AGGAATTAAATACAAAACAATTGAAGTTGGAAGATATTCCAGCCTTGCAAAGATGGAATCGAAACTCCGGATAAGTCAAAGCTCAAAACCAAAATGAGGAAGAAAAGTTCACAGTATATTTTTCTAACGAAACTCCCTCATCAGTCAAGCTTCTGATACAAAGAAAAGATCTGTTCAAAGTTACAAAAAATCGATGAGAACGACCTTTTCGGAACCTGTGGAAAAACACTTATCCTACTTGATATTGATCGTTTTTATCTACTGCCGTAAAATACTCATCTTCCGACAAACTCCAACAGCATCTGTTTAAGCTTTGGTCAATCTAGAATGAGATATCCTTAACAAGTCAGATCCTTGAAATTGGCCCTCTGTATTTTTGTGAAAATTCGCTTGGATTCTTTGATAACGATTTTGAGATTACCAACCTGCACAAACTCACCTTGGTCTGGAGTTTTTAAGTCTCAATTCTTTTTTTTACTCGAAGTGAAGAAGTTGAAAAATATTATGAAAAAGCTCTTTTTTTCTCACAGCCTTGTGCCCAATCACCACTACTAGACCCAGTTTTCTAGTGCATTTCCTTACATTTTCTTTGAGCTTTTTCTAAACCGTATCTTTTCCTCTATTTACACCTCGGACATTACTACCACAATCCGAGAAATCTTCCAGCCAACGTGCCAACCAAAAAAGCTGAAGGGAGGAAAAAGTTGGCGGTGCACGTGCAGCTGGCACACAGCTGCGCCGCTATAAACCTCTCCACCAAAATGCGTCTTTTTCGCCAAGTTTTTTTTCCCTTCATTTTTCTTTTCCGTTCATCCCGACAACCAGCAAAGTTCCTCACTTGAAAGTGATCCGCCGTTCCTTCCATGTTTTGATTTCGCGTCGTGATCGCCGGTTTCTGAAAGTTAGTGAAATGGTGATCAAATCATTAAGCATCTCTTACTTTTCTTTCTGCAGAAACACTTGAGCGAAATTTTCAAACGAGATCGGAATCAAATACGGTTGGAAACTGAGATCACAACAATGATATCAAAAACTCCACTATTGATTCGAAAAACGTTGAATTTTATTCAACTGCATCCTCTATTCTCAAATAGCTTCAATTAATGAATAAATTTTTTTAAAAATTCAGACTTAAAATTTACCCACAATTCCTCTCCTCGAAAAAATCAAATTCTCACGAAAATTTTAAATCAATTTTTCCATTTCACAAAGGTGGATTTAAAAATAACTCTTCTGCCTCCTTTATCTGGAAAACTTTCTCACAGTTTACAAAGGGCCGATGGAACAAAGGACGAGGCGCCATTGGCTTTCGATTGGAAACAGAATGTTTTGAAAAACAGAAGGAGAGGTTATGGTACAGGTCGGAGGGAATAAAGGTGGACGAACCGTTAAATACAATTTCTTAGACATGATTGGTAACTTTTTTCCGCATGAGGAGTTTGTTTAAAACAGTGATACCTAGAATAAATGAAAAAAAAAACCTGACAATCGGAACGTGCAGAATACAAAAAAAAGAACAGAAAAATTATAATTAAAAGTTGAAAATATATTTTTTTCAAAAAAAAGAAACTTTCAAATATAAATTTTCTTTGTAGACCCTGATGGCCAATTTTGAGAACAGATTGGGAATCAGCGTAAAAACTACATTTAGTGAACTTAGTCTCGGTCGAAAGTCCCTTTTTGAACTGAGACTATTTCCTGGTCAGCAATCAAACAATCAGTCTAAACTCAGACAATTAAATTTTTTGTTTGCTTTTTATAGTTAGTTTTTATCTTCTTGAAACTAACCGAATAACGTCAGGTCGGCCGCACCTCGGCCTTTGGAGAATGTTTTTGGTTGGCTCGTCGAGGACTCCGGTCGCTTCGAGACCCGCCAGTCGCTGCATGTTCTTCAACGCCTCGGCAACGTGATTCTCGTTGAGCTGGGCTCCCGGAACATTCTGCTCCAAGTAGCCGTAGTTCCTCAGAAAGGATACCTGGAAATGAATTTAAAAATAGACCTCAGCTCATATGAAGTATACATGTTTTTCTTTTTTTAGCTACATATGAACTCTTGACAGAGCTCAACATGTGGAACTTCAGTCTAGAATCATGATCAGAGTTAAAAAAAGTAAAAGAAAAAACTTTTGGTTGTAGTAATTTTTTGATGATTTTTCAAAACTAAATAATTTTTGAATTTTACTATATTTTTCAAAAAATTTAATTAATCCTCTCATTCCTTCTAGATTTTTCAGATAATTAATAATAAAATACTATTCAAAAAATTTAAATAACTAAAATGAAAAGGCTTCTTGTTGATAAACGAAATTACTTCCTGCAACTTTTTTTTACCTCTAGATAATTTTTTTGTATTTTTCTAAGAATAAACTCTACGAGTATGAGCTACTTTTTCTCACCATTTCCGGTCAGTCAAAATTTTTCATACAGGTGAAAACCTTTTTAAACCAATCTGTACTTTTAGAGTGTCGTCTAAAAGAGGTTATTTCTTCAAAATAGTGCAGACTGCAAAATTGCTCAACATCGGCATTTGAATGTTTTACGCGCCGTTCGTCATTTATGATTGGAACTCATTGGAGAGCACGCCGTTGTAAAACCCATTAACGCAAAGAAAAGTGCCCTGGGAACGAAATATGGTGTTCGGCTTCGTTTTGATGTTCAAACTGTTTTCTTAAGGCTAGTGATGGTCGCAAAACATTAGAACACGGGCAAGTCTGATCGTGCGGAGAAAGTTTGAAACAACGCAGAAAAATTTCCAGCGAAAAATATTTGACTTTTCTCCTCTAGGCTTCCAATAAACAATCGTTCAGAAAATTTATAAATTCATTATAGCAAGTAGCACATTTTTTACTTTCATTCTGGGGTCAAGACCTCAGCTTTAATAACTTCAAATTCGAGCAAATCTCTTACTTTTCACAAAGAAAAAGAGTTGGACACTTCCAAGAGAAAGACAACTCACATGGTCAATTTGAAGGGAGCGACAAATCAAGAAAGTAACGAAGAGCCAGGAGACGTGCATGGAACGTAATAATTGACTCAGACTGGCATATCAGTCACAGTTTTCAGTTATCAGGCAGTGAATCATAACTGAATTATATTCCACCTCCTAGTTCCGTATGGCTCCCGTGTTCCTCGGCCCTGAGACTTGGCTTGTGTAAAAACGGGATACTACAATCTTTTTTTTGCACACTGGACATACGGAGCATCGCAGAGTGAACTTTGGGAGAGATTCGAGACGGATTCGTGAATTATGGGATCTACCGGAGATACCAACTGCACCACAGCATCGTTCATGGGAGATAGAACTTTACGAAAAGTCACGAGTCAGAATCTCATCAATCTTAAGAATCTTTCTAGCTTGTGATATTGCGTGAATAAGAGAGAGTTCACAAAATGAAATCAGAAGTTTGGAAAAAAATTTGAAAGTGGGAAAGGCTATTTGCGATTTCGCTGAATAAAAAGGAGGAAACAATTCGAAAATCACAAAGAAAGAAGAGTAACCGAAACCGCTCTGGATATATTGTAAAAAAATCGTGAAGAAATATTTTATTTAAATTGATAAAGTAAAATTATTTTTTAATTATAATTTTTTTAAGAAAAAGTTGCACAAGAGCGCTCTAACCATCCAGAACTGGTCCCTATAGAGTTTCTGATGGTTTTCTTCGAAAAATTTTAATTTCACAAATTTTTCCTTTATATATTTTTTTAAAAAGTGTTTCTTACTTTTTAACTGATTCAGCTCCGTCGTAATTTTGATTTATTTAGATATACTTTTCAACAGTCTCTCTTACGTTTTTTTATTTCTTGAAAGCCTTCATTTGAATTCAACCACTTTAAAAGAAGTTTTTTTCCCGAAAAAAAAATGGATTTTTTTCAAGTTAGGTAATCCCCTTTTTTAATTATCATGCCGTGTTCAAAGTAATTTCCGCGAAATGCAAAATGGTCTCTGACCCTCCAAAAATTTAGTTATCTTTCACTTTCTCTTTCTCTGACAGCTATTTTGAATTTCGCGGAATCACTTTTTATTTTTATTTTTTGCTATTTGATCATATGAATTAGGGGAAAAAAACGAAGAAGGAGTTTTTCTTATCAATACTACATTTTTTTAACAGTGCACTGATTTTGAAGTGATAGAAAAGAGTGAAACTAAATGAAAAAAAAATGATTGGAAGACGAATGGGACGATGACGAAGCTCTTCACGCCTCCCAACTGAATGCGCATCAGAATAGAATGAGAAAACCTAACCCCAAAGGGCGGACCGACGTTTCATAGCTTCTCGGAGCAACCTTTATTGCGAAATCGGCCTTTTTATATGTTTTATTGCCTATAATCGGGTGTTTATTTGAGAGAAATATCCGAAAATGAGGTATTTCAAAGTCTGAATCGTTCTGTAAACTTGATAGTCTTTTGTGAACCGTGTGACTTGAATTTTTTGAAGCAAAAAGCATATTTTTTTAATTTTTAGATTAAAAAGAGATCTACACATCGAAGCTTCCATAAACTTTCTCTTATTTATCTTTTTCAAACCGACCGGAACGCTTTCACTGATGCACCGTTCATTTTGTTCTGAGTCATTCGATGCCACCCATGTAATCTTTTTCGTTCATCGCTTGATGCTCCCGTTTGCAAAAAAAAAAATGCAGTAAAAATGGAGTCGCCCCGCGAACAAGGCGGAGTTTTTGGCTGCAACCTTCACATGACCTCAGCGCAAGTTACGCGCGCTTTTACACTTTTTCTTTCAAAGTTTCAAATAACTTTTATGCCTTTTTTTCAAAAAACTGCGCTGTTCATAGTAGGCTTAGATTGATAATTGCTGATATTATTAGTTCGGGAATAGGTTTTCGAATGCATTTCGCATGGTACCATGAAACGCTGCACGCAGAAAAACTAATTAAAAAATTCAAATTATTAATTAGTTTAGTTTTATCACTCGGCTTTAGTTTCGAAATTTTTAACCCCATATTTCACAATTTCATGTTTTAGAGCAAATTGAAAGGGTAACATGGGGAAGACGTCGAAGGATAAGCGCGATATCTACTATCGGCTAGCCAAGGAGCACAAATGGCGCGCCAGAAGTGCTTTCAAATTGATGCAAATCGACGACGAATTCCACATTCTGAGAGGTTTGTGGTTTATAGTTCTCAGTGAAACTTTTTTGGTTCCTTTTCAGGCGTCACAAAAGCCGTGGATTTATGTGCGGCGCCGGGAAGTTGGAGCCAGGTGCTGTCAAAACGTCTCTACGCCGAGGACAAGAACGCGAAAATCGTCGCCGTGGATTTGCAGCCGATGGCCCCGATTCCTGGCGTCATCCAGTTACAAGGAGACATCACTGCCGTAAGTCGATTTCTTATGTTACGTAGTTCAAAATTAGTAATTCAGCTTGAAACAGCGAACCAAGTCATCGAAAAGTTTTCCGGCGAACACGCGGACATCGTCGTTTGCGATGGCGCTCCTGATGGTTTATTCATTGATTTCTTTGTTATCAAGCTCTGAAAATAGCTTCATTTTTCTATAATCCTAGACTTTTACAGTGACCGGTCTCCACAGTTTGGACGAATTTTTGCAATCCGAGTTGGTTCTGGCTGCTTTTACCATCATGACGAGGACCTTGAAACATGGCGGAACTTTTTTGGCCAAAGTAAGCCTTTTCAGGTTATTAAGAGTTGAGGGAAAATGTCATTTCAGGTTTTCCGTTCACGCGACTCGCCGTTGTTGTATGCTCAGATGAAGAAGTTCTTCAAGCAGGTCTACTTGGCCAAACCGAGAAGTAGCCGCGCTTCCAGTTGCGGTGAGCATTTTGGGTCATTTGACAGAATATCCAGAAACATGAGGGAAAATAATTGTGCTTTTAACCAGTACGCTTTTAAACGATATAATGATGGGCTCGGAACTTTTCATATGTAATTTTGTTTCTTAAAATTATTCTGGATTTTTCGGAATTTCTTCTTTTATAAAAGAATAATTTTTTTTTATTTGGCCGTTTATTGGAAAGATTATCTAGCAATGCTCACTTGACGAATTTCAAGACAAGCTTCAGAAGCCTTTCTGCTCTGTATAGATTATTCTCCGCCAGAAGGCTTCCAGCCGACGATGGAAAGGCCCTCGATCGACAGAAATCGTGAGCTGCAAGACTATTCCAGTGGTTCAAAGAGTTGCAGGGGAACTGACACAAGAGGAACTCATGAACGAGTGCTACATCGACTTCGTTTCTTGCGGCGACATGAGCGGCTGGGACAGCGAACAGAGTTATCCGCTCGATCTCCAGCTCTCGTATCCTCGTGGATCCAACGTTTTCGCTTCGAGGTTAATTCAAAATAGTTTAAAGATTGAACTACTGGGTATATTATTTTTAATTTGGTTTTTGGAATGCTTTATTAAAGAATTTTGTTTCAAAATTTCTGAAAATGTAGAACAGGGTTCAGAAAAAAATTCAAACGAAAAATAAAACCTCTTAAACAATTTATCAAGGACTGCTTTCAACCCATAGTTGCTTATAAATGGTATTATATTGATTAAATACAGTTTTACACGCTGGTTCCGAATCTGTCCTCAAAAAAAGCTATCTAAGAAAAGTTGTGAGCACTTCCGATTGAAAAAGGACTTACAAATGCAAAAAAAAAACACGGGTTTGCTCTTTGCAATGCCAAGAATGCTTAATCATGGCAAAAAAAAAAACGCCTTTTCTGTGATCACCGGGACCAGCTCTATCTAATATCCAAAATTAAGGGCTATCAGAGTAATTGATTTTTTTCAACTACCGAAGTTTTGTCTCTACAAGTCATGGTGCCTTTAATATAATAATTTTTTTGAGCAAAGATAGTTTAAGCCTTTGAACCTTCGTATCGTACAACAGCTCTTATTGAGAAGTCTTTTACGAATTGAGGTCATGCTCTGGGTGAAAATTTCGCATTTTTCTCTGAATTATGGTGAAAAACTTTTGTACGAAGGTTTTCTCAGTTTCCAAAATCTGAAACTCAATTTTTCAGCCGCTACGTTTTCCACGACGTCGTCCAACCTCCTATCAATCCTCCTTACAAGAAAGCGCTGGAGCTCAAAAGAGCCGGAAAATTAGAGCAGTCCTTATGGGAAATCAGAAAAGCGGTAAGGTACCATAAAGTCAATGAAAGATTTTTTAAATGAAATTTCAGGAGTATGCCAAGGTCCGAGAAGTGACTTCGGATCGGGACAGAAAGCGTCCTGGCAACACGGACATCGGTTATACGGACGAGCAGGTCTCTGGACTCGCCGATTTGTTTGGAGATTTGGAATCTTCTTGAGTCTGTTTGTTTTCTTTTTTAACTTTCTCTGCCATGTAGGAAGTTAAGAAGGCTTTTCGATTGTTCCTGTTTAATTTTCGATGCGAAAATGCGTCTTCTCCAGTCTGAATTCTAAACTATTTTCTACACACTTTTTTTTTCATTGAAGCAAAATAATTGATTGTTATGAGTTGGGTAACTTTGTTTTTGAATGAAATAATTGATTTACACGTTGGAAGCTTGTTGGTACATTGTATCATGTTGTTGAATTGCCTTTTCCCATTCATGAATAAACCTTTTTAACGTTTTAGTCCTGTAGGGTCATTTATTAGAGGTGCGGAGTTTGCCGCACAAAAGGTGGCAAACAACCACTATTCTTAATGCTTTCCGGACTGTTTGCGCAACTCAACTCCTTGCCTTACCGGTCATGTTCAACTTCAAAGACGTCTTTTCCCTCCTTCTTCCGGTTCGGAATGGGCTCCGGAAAGCACTTGGCCTGACTTTTGGCTGAATTTTTGTTAAGTCCTCTCGAATTGCCTTGGTCAACAAAGCGTTTTCCATGCGTTTCGGGATTTTTTTTGCTTGTGGTTATTTTGAGATTGTTTTTGACGGCTTTTTTTGATTTTTTTCAATAATTTTTTTAAAATTAGCTTTTCATTCGAAATTTTTCTAATCTTTTCTTGAGAGATTTTCAGCTTTTCTAGGCTTGCTCTCAAATTACAAATTAAAAAAAATTTTTGAATTTTTTTCGTATGCGTAGTAGTGAAAAAATAAAAATCGGCGCTACGCAAATATTTTTTTCTCGCATTTACAGTAAAACGGTTGCAAGAGAGCTCAATATTATCGAGTTTAAACTACATCAAAGTGAAAAAAAAGCTGTTTTGGAGATTTTCAAGGTTCTCATTGAGAAATTGTAGAACTTGAGTTTTTTTTTTTGAGTCACACAGTCTAAAAACCCCCAAAAGTGTTTTTTTCTTCAACCTTGCTCTCAGTAATTTTGTCAATGCTTCTTCAAAGTTCAAAAAATGGTTTAAAACAACTTGGGCGGTTTTTCGTTGTGTGAAATACATTTATTGTGCGATCATGGCTTTTCCTTTCAAATAAGGTAGTCGAAGACCTGAATGACATGACCTTGAACACGGCGACGGTGGTGCTCGACGTAGAAGGCGTCCACTTCAAGACGCGGATCAGCACGTTGACGTCGCTCAAGAACAGCTTCTTCGACAAGCTCTTCGAGTCAAACTGGCGCAAGTCATTGACCAAAGTGAGTCAAGATGACGTGCGTTTTGAAAGATAAGTCAATGACAGGAAGGGCATATTTTCGTCGACCGCGATGCGTCACTCTTCCCGTTCGTCTTGAATTTCCTGCGCGACGGCGAGGCGACGCCGTTGCCTCGTGATGAGTTCGTCCTGCACAGGATTCTCCAGGAGGCCAAGTACTTTTCCGACCTCAGAAATCATGACTTGGGTCTGAAGTGTTCGGAGAAAGAAAAAGTAGTATGGAATACGAAATTCGGAACTTATAATAGTGGATAATATACTCAGCTTGTAAAGCTTTTCAAATTCTATCTAACAAAAAAGGCTTTGATTGGCTAGTTATGCTTTTTTGCGGTTTTGGTAGACCTCACGGTGCTTGAAAAACGGAAAATGGGCGCAGTGAAAAAAAGTTTGGATTAGGATAACTTTGATAGTTGTGAGCAGATTCCTCTACGAAATTCAGTTGTTTTTTTTTAATTTCATCAAAAGATGAAGTCTTTTTCCAGTTACTTCAAGCTCGGACAGCTCCGCGACTATGTAGAGCGAAGGCTCGCGTGAGTTTTTAGTTTTTTATTGACTTTCTTACTCTCAAAACCTTGAGAAACCCTTAAAAAAAGTAATAAAAAGGTTTATAAGTAACTAATTTTCAGAAGCATGACAAAAGTAATGGAATTTGATACGCCGCCGCAGCTCCCCGCTACAAAACGTAGGAATTTTTTCAGGGTTACAAACTATTCCACTTTTCAGCCCCATTACCTCCACCTACCGAGAAGCCAGCCATCCAAATGCCGATGAGAAAATCGGAGGCAGACAAGAAGAACAAGCTGAAAAAAGTGGACTCGATCAGTCTGCCGCGAAACTTCACGTGAGATCATATTCTTTAAAAAAAAATATATTCGAGAACAAAAATAAGAATCTAGCTTTTCTACCGAAATTACAAAATTTGAAATGAGGAAGTGTTACAGACACGTTGCCCACGTCGGTTGGACTGGAAACGGCGTCGTTTTCGACAATGCTTCAGATGACGTCATTGTACAGAAGATCGCCAACGCAGCTTCTGAAGCCCTTGACTTTGACGTCAGAATTTCCTCGAATAACTTCAAATATAGATGGAGTTTAGGCAGTTTACAACGTAGTGAATGGCGAGAACGGAGACGGAAGCCACAGTGTTGAGGTGAGTCTGGTCGAAACATTTGCAGATTGAAAACAAATATTGGAAAAAAAGAAGTTCTATTTTACAGTTACTTCTCTAGCACTATGATCTCTTTATTTTTCTCCTGAAGAGTTTTTTCTTTTTAGGTGGTTCTAGCTGGAGGTATGATGCAGTCAAAACTGTCCGACAATGCTCCGCCGATACCGAAGAAAACTGTTCACTGAAGATAATGAATAATTTGAGCACTTGAGTCTGAGGAAAGGAAAAATATTCAGTAAATTGAATCATAACTATGAGATAACTACCAATTTGAAAAAAATTCTAACAAAAAAAGGTCATTTTACTTTTTGGTTGGAAACTTGGAAATTGGCCAAACTGCTTTTCGACAAAAGAAGATTCTGGAAGTCTCAACCTGCACAAAGAACTAGTTTTTGAGAAATGAGAGCTCCAACCCCCGAAATGACCTGTTTTAAAGGGTTGCCCGGGTTTTCTACGACATTCCGGTTTCCTTCCTCAAAAACTTGTAAATTATGCAGGTTATGACTTTCCGGTACATCAAGGAGTATTCTAGCGAGTTTTGAGGAAGATTTCAACTACAAGCTAGAATGACCATTCTTGTAAGTTGAAAACTGAATGACCGCAGACGCTAGAAGGTTTGGAACATGAGTTCAAAAATCGTGTAAGGAAAATTGGAGAGGCCAACTCTTCATGAAAGAAAAACTGACGTGAGATTTTTGAAGCTTGTTTTTCGGAGATTCCATCGGGACCGAAATGAGTTTTACCCGAGAGCCTGCACGGCTGTAGGTGGTCCTTTTGTTGGCGCAGACCCAACGGCACAATGCCGGAGGCCGCATCATCTCTATTATTGGATGCGTCGGCCATCCGATAGTATTCTTCCGGTGCGTGCATATAAAGCTCGGCAAAATATGAGCTGCCGTTGCTCAAAAACGTCGACAGAATAGTGCTGTCGTCGTCCCCACCGTTGCCTTCATGACGGTCACCTCTTCACTTCTCGCTTCTCTTCTTCTTTTTGCTTCAGGTATCCTTTTTTGTTCATTTTTTTCATCGAACTCTCGTCGGTTACTGCTTTTTTGACTATCACTTTGATTATTTGGAAATCATGAGGTTTCAAGAAAAACATTTGACCATTTTTGCTTCACAAAATACTCTCTTAATTCCTTTTTTTCTATTATTTCATGTAGTAAGTTCAGGAAACACTTATCAAGATCTAGATTAAGTTTAAAAACTACCAACAAAAATATTATTTTAGAAATTTTTAGACCTCTAGAATTCATAGCCTAGGATGTAGACTTTATTATCTGCATTTAACTTTCTTCTCTTCGCTCCGATTTTTTTGCCAATAAGTTTATCAATAAATCTTTGAAATTGTGAAATCCTACTCGAGAAAAGGCAAAAGAAACTGATATAAGATTCTTTTGGTGGCTGCGCAACCTCATTAAAAAGCACTTTGAAGCGTAAAAGTTCTTTTTTTTCTTTGTCTTTTCTGATATTTGCCCTGTTTGAAATATTATTTTTTCAGTTTGGCGCAGCGAATCAACTTCAGTAGTGCCATGTATGCTTTGTACGGTCTGCACAGAAACTTTCGAATCAGAGTCAACACCAACAGGCGCCCTTAACGCAATGTTCAAGTCAGTTTTCTTCTTTTTTTCTTTTTTTTTTTGTTTCTGTTATTATTTTTTTTTTCTCTCGCTTAACTAATTATTAACGTTTCTTTTTCTAACTAGTTTGTCTACCTCCAAATGTGGTTAGAAATCAATCCTTTGAGTTCTTGCGGATTCTTCTTTGATTGACTCACCGGAGTTTTCACACCAAAGCGCTTCCAAATTGATTTTCCATTCATTGTTGATTGAAAAAAAGCTTTTAAAAATGTAGGACTTTTCCTCAAAAATTGTTTCAAAGTTTGAGATATCGATTTTTTACTATTTTTCGATTTGAAGTATTGATTGAAAAACCAGTTTTCTCACTTACATTGGTTCCTTGATGAACTCTTGATTTTTGTTGCAGACCTGGTTCAAAAAAATTTCCCATGGCTTCTTTTTTTATCGCAATCTGTTTTTCTTTGAGGTCCTTTTTGAGAAGGCCCAAAAAAATTAATTAAAGTTTGTGAGAAGAAATAAAATGCTTATACATACAGATAAGGTTAATAAAAAAATCATAAAAAAACTAATTATTTTTTTGCACCCAGACTGCTAAATATTGTTTTCTGCGCTTTATTTATCTTGAAAGACTTGAAGGCTAGTGAGTCGTTAGAGGAAATCAAGTCCTTTCTTCTTCACATCCTATTCCCAAAGATTCTTCATAAATCTATTTACTGGTAGATTTACAGAAAATGCGATCGGATGGGTCTGATGGAACCAGTGTGCGGACAGTTCGTGACGGAAAACGTGAAGACGATGTTCCAACACGCGAAATCAGGCATCCCGCCAGCGGCCATCTGCCGTGCCATGCAACTCTGTGAACAATAAAGCTTTCACCTCACCCATTGCGCAATCGGACGTGTTTCTTATCGCGAGAAAAGCAACAAAATAGCCGACAAATCGGGTTTTTTGGCGGCAGCGGTCAAGCTGGGCCGAACACGCCCCATGCCAATTGTTTCCGCAAGTCAGTCTTCTTTGTGTTTGGCATGAAGCTTCTTCTCGTGCTCCTTCAGGCCTTTTCCGTCGTCGTCGTCGTCCAAGTTGGTTTTTCCTGATTCTTTGATCCTGAACTGGGCATGTAGGGCGGTCGAGGCCGCGCTTCTCGCCAAGGCGAGGCCAACAGCGGATCCACCGATGACTATACCGATTTCGAGACAAAAACAGAAGAGACAACAGAAACAAAGACTGGCGGTGGTTTGTCTTTTTTGAAGCCGGGGTCTTGGGCAAAGCTTCGAGAAACACTTTCTCTAGAAGTTTTTTGAGAAAGCAGAACGTCGTAAATGTCCTTCATTTTATTGTTATTATTAATTTTCGTTTAATATTCACTATCACCTTGAATCAAGAGGCGCTTAGTGAAGCCAAAAAACAGTATTAACGACACCAAATGACCATGATACAAAAATGCGGTCGAAAAATCAAAATTATCGAACTTCACTGTAATTTTGAACACCGTCCGGTGGCCTGAATGGATTGATAGCTCTCACAATTTTTTCGAAACATTTCAAATTTCCAATTTTCCTTCTTTATCTTGGCTTCTCCGAGGATACTGTAGAGCAACTCAACCTTTCAGCGAATCATGACTTGAAGCAGGTCAGTTATACGACAATCGCTCCAAAAGTGGAGATGCCAATAGACGAAGAGAACACCGGAGAAAAAGGTTTCCTTTTCCACATTTCATCTATCTCTCTATCTCTCAGAAACGTTCCCCGCGACCAAAGAAGAGAGGCCTTCTCCAGTTCCTGCCACCACAGCCAAGCCCAAATTTGTGAGAAACTTGAGGGAAGCCCTTTATAAGGAGAGAGTTCAGGTCTACCGCCGTGGCTACTACTTCCAGCACTATCCATGGGACCGACTTCCACGTAGGTATCTCCTCCGTCCGGCCATGACCTTTGTCTATCCACCGAAGCATCAATTCGTCACATACTCCTATCCTTACCTACCTTATTCAGGTAGACGACAATCTTGAAGTCTTGAGCGGAAAAGATTCCCGAAAGATTTCGAAAAGCACATTCAGAAAACGATTTTAATCTTCTTCAGACCCTTACAACATCTACCGATCTCATCCGGGAATTGGCGGAGGTTGTGGCGGCGGAGGCGGCTGTGGATATTCTGGCTACGGTGGATATGCACAGCAAGGATGCGGTGGAGGCGATGGTAGGGCATCTTTGAAATGAAAGAAGAATGATTCGAAAGTGAAAGCTGAGCCCCAAGAAAGTTCTAAGGATCTGAATTCAGATTTTGAGCCTCAAGTTCAACTCAACTTTATATTTCCCCGTAAAGTGTGCATAGTGAAGAAATTGACCCCGAGTTTGTCAGGATCGAATTATTTTATCGTTTCAAAAATGTAGTTTTTCTCTATTCTTTCTTGGATTTTTCATAATAAAATTCGAATCTATCTATTCGAGGTTGCGGTAACGGAGGCGACTATGCCGCATCGAACGAAGGAAGCGAAGAAGACGACGAGGAGAGCGGCCGCAGCGGAGAAGCTCACATCAACAAGAAAGACCCACTGGAGGACCTCGACCTCGAAGATCTCGAAAGAATCGACAAGGAGGACAGTGAAGAGGAGGAGAAGGAAGTCAAGACCACAAAGATCACCAAAAGTAAGAAATATCGTACTTTTTCATTTTTCATCAAACCTTTTAGTGACGAAGAAAACGAAAGAAGAAGAGATTGAAGACTTGGATTTGGAAGAGAAGTTACGACGCTTACGGACTCGACTCCTTCGACTTCACGCTTAATTTATCATTCTCATAGCTTATTTCTGTACATATTGTTGAAAAGTGCAAATACGAATGATGCAATCTGGTTGTTGAACTCAAAAAATGAGAGAATAAATATTATTATCAATCATTCGACGGCAAATTCGATATCCAACTGGATTATTCCACGGCGTTGCGCAACCGTTTTCACTCTTCGTGGATTATCAAGTTCTTCGGCGACCAAAATTTCTTTTTTTGGAAAAAATCTGTTTCTTATTGTCTTCACACATCGAATCCTAGCGTTCCACCTAGCAATATTGTGGGTTGAACTTTTGTACTAGCAAACCCGAACGTGTAGTTGATCAAGTTGAGAGCATAATCTTACTCTCCTTCGCCTCGTGCATCCAGTTGCGTCTTGACGAGCTCAGAACGTAGCGGATATTTTGCTGGAGCTCGAAGACCGAGCTCTAGGTGAAAGCCTCGAAATAAGAGCGACCACTTCGAGTGAAGACTTTACGAGGAATCGGAATCGTGAATTATCAGAAAGAAAACGGTCTCATGAGCCTTTTTAAACAGAAAAACACCTCAGAAAGCTTCAATATGGTCAGAGCAGACGGCGCAACGGAACCGGAAAGAAAACACTTCAAAAATCTAGGTTTTTTTTCGCTTTGATTACTGTAGTCCAGTGTCAGTACGCAACCACTTTATCTCGTACAACCGAAGAATTTTATCACACGCGCAATTTCAAAATTGAAAGTTTTTTCAATTTTTTTTAATTTTTTGATTGATTAACCTACTGTAACATTTATAGTCATATCAGTTTGACAGATGTGATGCTTCGGAACTTCGCGTTTTATGTTATTTCTCTAAGCCTACTTAATTCGGCTCACTTTTCAACAGATTTCGTTGACTGTACAGATCTTGATAAATTACAGTTAGTTTTTCTGGAAACTTAGCTTTTTTATTGTTTTTTTTTTCAGGTTCTACTGTAATCCTTCTGATATTGATTCCAAAACCCAACAACCCACGACTTGTGCTCCGGATAACTCGATAACAGGTTTTTTTTGGAAACAGTTTTTCATTTCCAATAAATTTCAGTTCGATGTCGTCCTTCCTCACACATAAGCTGTAAAGGGCTTGACAGTGATGGTTTTTTTAATAGAACGGTTTTTTGAGCTTTCATTTTGCCGTAGCAACTAACATTTTCAGATTGAAAACGGGTGTCATTACGAGACTCGGGTAAGTTATTACGTCGCCGTTTTGCTGTCCATATTCTTTGGAATTTTTGGCGTCGACCGTTTTTATCTTGGATATTATGCCATAGGTTATATTTTCCGTGCGAAGAAGATCTGATAATTTATTTTTAGGTCTTATGAAAATGTTCTCACTCGGTGGTCTCTTTCTCTTCTGGCTCATTGATGTTGTGTTGATAACTCTTCAAATACTGGGTCCTGCCGACGGCTCAAACTATTTCATGCCATTTTATGGTCCGAAAGTTACACAAATGAGGTTCTTTGCGTCATTTATTGCTAAATTATTTATATTTTTTAGATTCGACGAGCAGACAAATTATTCCACATACACTTGTATTGATTGCTTGTGATAAAATTGTACATTTTTAATTTGTGATAAATTTTTTATGAAAGAGTTTTTCGAGTGGGATAAGTTGAAGGCTATACCTTTTTAAATGTCTGATCATCATTAATGAAAAAAACGATTATATTTTTCGTTTTAGGTAGATTTCAAAATGGCTACAGAGCAGCAATTACAGCAAGTTGCTGAGCTTGAGGTAATACAATGATGAATTTGAAAAAAAGTTATTTCAGGTTGAAATGATGTCTGACATGTACAGACGGATGACGACAGCTTGTCAAGCCAAATGTGTATCTACGGCTTTCAAAGAAGGAGAATTAACAAAAGTACGTTTTCCAAATATTTTTTTGAAATTTCCGAAAGTTCCTTTGAAATCTTACTGTTAATGAAGCTTGAAGGTTTCATGTTCAAAAATTCTAAAAGTTCAGGAAAAATAGCATATTTTTCAACATTTTTTTAATAAAATTTTTCCTAATTAGAACTCATTTTTTTCTTTTTTTATCTATTTTTTTGAACTTATTTAAAAAAATCGAAAAAAAAATTTTTTTATAAAAATTAGAATAAGTTTTTTTCAGTCGTTCTGAAACTCTTTTCGAGAACTTTCGAGGAATTAAAGTTTCACGATAAGATGATAACTTAATAAAATTATTTCATTCTTCGAATGTTTCTCTTCTGATTTACCCTAGAAACTTTTTGAAGTACGGGTTTCAAGTTTCGTAAAAAAAATTTCATAATTCTTTTTCCTGGAAATTAACATTCAGTTTGGAAGCTTGAGAACGTGAAAGGTGCATAAATTGGCTTTGAACTAGTCAATTCAAGAGTTTTTGATAAAAAGAGAAGTATATAAACCCGATTTTCATCGAACCCTTCATAGTTTGACAGAATACTTTTCTGTTGAACAATTCACTTTTCAGGGCGAAGCTGTTTGCTTGGACCGATGCGTAGCGAAATACCTAGACGTGCACGAAAAGCTGGGCAAAAGACTGACGAGTATGTCTCAGACGGACGACGCCGCTTTGCAAAAACTTTCCCAATGATCCCCAACATTTCGCTCTTTAGTTTTTATCTCGATTAGTAGTTTTTTTTTCCTGTTTTGTTGCTTTTTCTGTTTTTGTTGTTGTCATTTCTTCAAGAATAAATTTATTGAATAGTTTCATGTTGTTTTTTTTTCCATTTCATGTGTTACAACATGTTTCAATACATCAGTAAAATTTTATTTGAGAATATCATTTTTTTTTTTACGCAGTTGAAGTTATCCATTTACACCTGAGTTTCATCTCTTGTTTATCCTTATTCAGAAGTATTCTGAAATATTTTGTTTTTTTTAGCAGTTTCCGAATTTTCTTTATTTATCAGAAACAGTTGCAAACTGAAAATGAGGAATAAGTGAAGTCGAAATTCCTAAGAAGCGCTGAGATTTGAAAGTATTATGGCCGTCGAAGAGCGGAGGTTCCCGTAGTTGTGTGCAGTCACAGTAAAGCGACATCTCGGTATTAAAGTCGAAAAATATGATAAAATTCTCTCTTTTTCTCTTGGAGCTTAGAAGCACGACGTGCACGTTCTTTTTCATGCAAAGAATCGCAGAAAGCGCGTTGAGCAGAACTGAAATTTCCGGAGTGAGTTGAGGAAAAAGAATTGAGGCGAACTTTCAATTGCAGCAATCACGAATTGCACCGAGTTGACAGCCACGCCGACTTTCAGCTGCCACAGACAGTTGGCGAAGTCGTACTTGTTCATGTGGGAGAAGATGTAGGAAATTCTGAGGTTTCAAATACGAAGAATTTTTTATTTTTTGGAAAAGAGAAAGCTGTCTTGAAACTCTAATACATGTAAAAATTGAGCACTTAATTCCGAGTAAATAACCGAAAATCGAAGTTTTCGAAATAGCTCATTCCACAAACGCAAAAAAAAGGAAAAAAATTCTATTTTTTTTGTTGTTAAATAACTCAATAAGTAAGGGCGTGCCTTTTTAGGATGCTCTGGAATGTTTATGAATTTCAAAAGATTTCCAAGAATCTATAGCCCTGGACTCATTCTCAGCTTTTGGAAATATTTCATTATGAAAGAATTTATCTGAAAATATGTCAAGGAGATCTTACACTGATTTTTTTTTTCCTTTACTGCAACTATAGAGCTAGTCTCGACCTTTTTTTGCATTGAAATGACATAGTTTTAATTTTTACAAAACGCATTGAAAATGGCGGACCCTTACCTTCCGGTGTCGTGTTGACCCAAAAGACAGAACGCTTCATCTCTTTCGATCCTTGGGTGATGATAAGTTCCCACCAAAGCCCAGTTTCTGAATTTCTTTGGTTAACAATGGCAAACAGTCTGAGAGTTCTACCGTGCGCTGAGCCCGCCGCTGATAAAGCACATCATTATGGACACCAATGAGAGTGTCAAGTGCGCCATGTAGAGATTGATCGTTCCGATTTTGGCAGCGGCACTTCCAACCTTTAGAAATTCTCGAAATTTTGCAAGAAGTTTAAAGTTTAAGAAGTTTAAGAAAAAGTTTAAAAAGCTACCAGCGCGTTGATAACGTAGATGGCTGACGTCCAAATGGCTGAGTAGTAGGGACAATAGTCGGAAGTATCACGGTAGCACCAGATTCCGCCGCCGAGAATCACAACTGAAGACGTTTTTTTCTCACAAAATAATTCATTTTTATTCGAAATTTTTGGATCAATCTATGGACTAGATGATCATTCTAAAATTAAAAAGACTTTTTTTATTTTACAGAAATTCAAGTCAAAAAGGTGACTTGAGTAGATTCTGCACAAAAAAATTCAAGCTTTAAAGCGTCTTTTTCTCGGAGCGAAACACTCTTAAACCGTACATTTTAAGACTTCGCTCTGTAACAATTTTCCTAATAATTATCTTATTTCCTTATTTCGCATTTCGTACTCTAAATATTCCTTTCATGTGTAATACTGACCTGCTAGAAGGAGCTCAACTAGAGCCAGTCGGAACATTCCGCGGTTCTCCCTCCTCGGAAAACGGTCGATCCACATCGGATTGAAGGCCGGGTGATCTGGAACGCAATACTCAGGAGGTGGCGGAGGAGGTGCCGTCGGAGGAGGTCTGATTGGAGGAAGACGGGAGGAACCTCCGTAGGAGCCAGAGTTTGAGCCGTTCTTCAAAGGTTTCTTTTGCATTTGGGACTTTCTGAAGAAAGATGAAGAATCTAGTCACGCGAACCCTTTACTTTTTGTTTTTTGAAACGTCGAGGTTCAGGTTTCAGCTGTGTAATCTAGTTTGAAGTAGCCAAAATTAAGGCTCATGAATAAGCGAAAAAATGTTCAAGTTGAATATTTTTTCACTTTCTTCCAATCCAGTTTTTTGTGTCTAAAAGTCTCCAGGTATTTTGGAGCTCGAAGTAGAAGAGAGAAAAAAATATCAAAAAAAAATAGATTTTTTTAAAGGTCAGTAAGATTAAATACATACAAAAAAACATTTACGAAAAACAGAATTTGAGACGGTTTAGACAGCAAAATCTGATTTCTGCCAAAAAAACTTGGTGAAAACTTCAAAAATTTGAAGTTAGTTTTTTTGGTTTCGCCTAGCTATAGCTATCGATAACTGACCATGAGACATGGCGAAAGTTAGGTCAACCTTTCAAACTTTATTTGTTTCTGTCATCTCTCAAAAAAAGTTTGATCACAGTTTTTTTTTACTTGATATTAATTTCAAAAAATGATTAGCTTTTTGAAAATTCTAAGGCAAAAACAAGAGTTTCTCACCCTCTTAAATTTTTATATTACCTGATTGATAGTGATTTCCATGCTTGGCGTAGATGGAGCAGGTGCGTAGCCGTACCGATATCCACCGCCGTACTTGTAGTCTTTCGCCATAGTTTTCTGTAGAAAGAAAGCCGGTTAATCTATCTATAAAAAGGTCGAAAAGAAACGCGTGGCAAGGCCAAAGCACGATGAGTAACGTCGGAGGAAAAACGTTCATACAGTTGCCGCTCGTTTGCTTTTGGCCGGAAGCTCTCACGTGAAAAAAAGGTCGCGAAACAGTGTAGAACAGGAGAAAAAAGCCTGCATTTCTTTCTGCTTTTTGTTTGAGCGACTTGTTGCAACGCGCGAGACTGTCAGAGAAATGCAAAATCGATAACGACCGGGCCGGCCAGCAAAAATGATAAGAATTCATATGGTTTGCGTGAAAAAAAAAGAAGAAAAAAGTGCGGTCACTGACCGTCAATCAATCGTATTAAAATGACGATTTCGAAATTTGCCAGGTGGTAGTGAGCGCCCTATTTTTTCTTTTTCCAAGAAAATTGAACAAATTTTTTTCATTCCTGGAGTATAATCTATTTGGAATTTCTAGGAAGGCAACAGAAGCCTTGGTATAGAGAAAAAAAACTCTAAAAATGGCTTCTTAAATTGAATTTTTCGGCACCAATTTAATTCGAGAAATGAAAAATCAATAAAAAAAATGTAGTAATATATTATAATAAAAAAAGAATTGAGGACTTTACATCTTCGTTAACATTTTGAGACTTGCTCAGAAGTAAATTCGCTTTCTTCTAAGTTTTATTTTTAAAAAAAGTTCTCTTTCCAGCTTTTTGAGAAAAGCTCGAGTTTTCAATAGTGTAACGAACTTTATTAGCTCCAAGAAGGCATAAAAACAGATCATGACATTTTTCATGCGTTTTGTGCTGAAAAAAGGCGAGAAAAGTGAGATAAAAGGAATGGAGGCGTGCTCTCCTTCCATGTGCTGAAATTTGAGACATTTCGCGTCCGGGATAGAGAATCGATGGCAGTCACGAAAATAGAGATGCACAATAAGATTTGGAAGCCCACAAAATTTGTCCTTTTTATCTTCGAGGCAACTTTTGAATCAAAGGCCAATGGAGAGGAAAAAGAACTGCTGCTTCGGTTGAAATTGCAGAAAAAAGACACTGAATATTAGTAGTAGCTCGAAATGTTTGCTCAGCCCCAGGCGAGTGGCTCTTCCTCCCGTGTGCCAACTCTTTTTCTTCTTTTTTCCCAATTTCGCAAGGAAACTGGGGTCTGTTTCAACTTTGAGCTAATGGTTGACTCACGGTCACCTGACTTGATCAAATAGTTCATCTCTTAGCGTGGGAGACTCGGATCAAGTTTTTTTTATCTGTAAATTGAAACTGGCTTCGGAAAGGTTAAAAAAAAGTTTCATGGAAGAGAGAAAAATTTACGGACTTGAACAAAGTTTCTGTTCTAGAATTGCAGAAAATTTTTTTGCAAGGCAAGTTTGAAAATAGTTCAAAGCTGCCTCTCTTAAAAAAAATAATTGAAACGAGTTTTTGAGTGTATTTCTGAAGTGAAAAGAGCTATAAAGAACCTATGAATTGAGGGATTTTTATCTAGATTGAGCCTAAAAACACTTGAGCATCGATTTCTTCAAACTTTGACTGCGCTGCACCCAAACGAATATAATCTCTGTGGCTCAAGGAAAATAAGAGGACTTGAAACTTCGAGATATTTTTCAACCTTTCAAGAAATTGCTCCGAATCTTTCAACTGTGTGAAATTAGATTTTATTGAATACCTTACCACAACATTGATTTTTTCACATTAACTTCTCACCCTTCTTACTGTTAAAACGCATTGATTTTCAGATCAATGCGCGATGGTTCTTACTCGAGTAACTTCCAGATTGATCAGAAGTCGGCTGATATTTTTTGAAAGGGCGCGTTCATATGCCTCAGAAAAAGCCCAAGAAGAAAATTCTTCTACGAGTATTCAAGTTTGTACTGAATTCTATCAAAATGACTACAATTTGAGGATAGGGATGGGTGACAAACGTTCAGAAAAGAGGAAAAATGGTGTTTGTGAAGGTTGACGATGGAGTTTCTCCAAAGCACGTGCAGCTGGTTTTTTCGAAAGAAAAAGATGTCAATGGTAGTAAGAAAAAAGCAAGAGAACCGAGAAAATGAGTTTTTGAACAGTGACGGTCGGCAGCGCCCTGAAGGCGTCGGGAAGCTGGCAGAAAAGCCTGGGAGCGCAGCAAGAGATGGACTTTTTCGTGGAGGAACTCGACGTCCTCTCTCGCGATTCGAACGTTTGTGTTTTTCGCCCAACAAATTGTCCTTCGCTTTCTGCTCTTTGACTTTGTTTGATTGCAGCCGCGCTACGACACGCTATCCGCCGACAATCTCCGGAAAAATGTGAATAATTTAGGAGGGAATTAGAGAAGATTGACGGTTCAGGTGCACTTGCGAGCTCGTTCTCAGGGATTCGCCGCTTTGGTCAAGGCGCGGTCGAGGGTTTTCAGCCAAACCCACAATTTTTTCATGGTTTTATATATTCGATGGTGGTTCTCTCATTATTTGAGATGTAGAATCGTGATTTCGTCCACATCGACACTCCGATGTTCACGAGAAACGATTGCGAGAGTGGCGGCGAAGTTTTCACCGTGGCTGATAGTTTGTTGAAAATTCAGACATTCCGTGATTATTTGATTTTTGGCAACGAGAAAGACGAAACCCTGTACCTCACTGTGAGCTCGCAGCTCCATTTGGAGGCCATGTGCAGGTGAACTTTTTTTCACAGCGAAATTTAGACTTCCGTCGGAAAGAGAATAATTTTTTTGTATTTTTTTAATCTTTGATTTTTTTACCTTGGCAGAAATTTTTAAAAAAATTGAAAGAAATTTTTCGAAAAAATTCCACTACGGCTAGCGAAACAGTGCGCAAGAATGATAAAGCACAAAGAAGTTTAAATTATTGAATTCAAAAAAATTTCTTTGGCTCGAAAAAAAGTATTTTTCGAAAGAAAAAAAAGTTTATCCTGCAGTTTAATCACCATTCCACTAATTCAAATTAGTTCAGCCGCATCCCCAAAGTTTACACGTTGAGTCCAGCGTTTCGAGCCGAAAAACAACAGAGCCACGCCCATCTTTGCGAATTTCGGATGCTTGAAGCTGAACTGGCATTCTGCGATGTTAATGAACTCTGAAAACCTGGAAAATGGCTAGAAATCTTCAGGATGTCGAAACGATTTGCGATTTAGTGGAGCAATACGTCAAAGAAATGATTTCTTTCACAGTTGGAGAAGCTCATTTGCAAAGATACATCTCCGAAATGACAGTTCTTCGAGTTTCCATCAGTTCATCATGCGTTTCTCACTCCTTGGCTTAGGATTCTCACGACTTTTCGAGATTGGAAGATTACTTGAAAAGGCCCTGGCCTCGGATAAGGTACGATAAAGCTGTTGAGTGTTTGAAGGAACTTGGCGAGAAGTTGTCCCCAAATGGAGGAATCAACAAGAAAAACGAGCTGCGTCTGGTTTTCTTTTTGCTGAAATGAAGAAAATAAAAACAATGTTAAGGTCGATCATCATGGCTCTCCAGTTTTCGTGACGCATTATCCGGCCAATCAAAAACCGCCCTACATGAAACAAAACGAAAATCAGGAGGTGAACTATTTTTGTGGTGATTTCAAGAGTCTCCAGAGAAGCTTCAATTTTAAAAAAAATTTATTAATTTTTTTGAAAAAAATTCCTACAATATTACTCAAGAAAAAGGATATTGATTTTTCTTAAATTTAGAATCTAAGCATTTCTGAAATCAAATGGCTTTGATTCTATAACCTGAGCAATAAGTATCTAACTTTTATTTTCTCTCAGACTCTCTCCTTCGATCTTCTCTGCCCAGTGGTTGGCGAACTTGCTGGCGGGTCTGTACGTGAAAGCGACGTTGAAGAGCTCCGGAAAAGAGGCTTCGATATTGACTGGTCCCTTTTCCATTGATCCATGTTGGAATTCCGTATTTCAGGTACCTGGAATGCCGACAACGTGGTCAGCCTGTCTCCGCAGGCTTCGGAATAGGATTTGAACGACTGCTGCAATTCCTCTTCTCTATTAGAAATATCAAAGATACTATCCCGTTTCCCCGCTGGTATAAACATTGTCAGTGCTAGTCTGAATAAAATATTTCTATATTTTCTTGAATATTCCTATTTTTGTTGGTACTATCCATCAATATTTTCCATCAATGTTTGGCCCATTACCATTCTATTTCAGCCTTTCATCTCTCAGAGACATGGTTAAAGTCAAGAACCGTTATTTTCTCCTACAGCTGATTTTCAATGACGGCGTCGAGAAAGATATCCATCCAGGAGAAGTATCATCCAACCAGATTCCATGATAGTTTTGAAAGTTTCAGATTTTCAAAGAAGTCATGAAACTGGCGACGGATATGTTTGGCGATTTGGGAAACGCGGCATTGCGGTCTAGTTTGATGGTAAAAAAAAATGTTGCAATGAAAGAAAATAGATCGAAATTTCAGGTTAAAGTGGCGGATGGAGATGTTTTCGTCCTACGAGTAGAATCTTCATCAGAAAAGTTTTATTTTTACACTTTTCGGCTCAATTTATCCTTCGTATTTAGGTACGTCGCAGCGGCTCTTCCTCTTGTGTTGAAAATTTCTTCTCAACCTCTAGTCGTTCGCACTTTATTCATAGGTTACTTCATGAATCCATGATTTTGTGCAAATACCTCTCTTCGATATTTCGAAAGAAGCTCAAGTCACAACGGTCTTGAGGCGAAGAGTAGTATTGCGTATTTTTAAAGTCAATCAATATTACAACTTTCAAAAAAGCAAATTCATTGAAAAAGACCCCAATAAAAAAAAATTGAATACTGAAGTTAGAAGATCTTGATTTGCCATAGCTTGAATGTAATCAAGAGATTTTCAGTTTTCAGTTAATTCTTTCATTTTTTTCTCACTTTTTCACACGCTGTTTCATAATGAATAGTCTGTAGAAAAACTTCTAATAATTGGAGCTGAATAATTTCGATATAGTTGTACTATCAAATTTGCAATAAAAATTGTTCTCATAGTTTTCTAAATAGTTCAGGCCGGAGTATGCGCGCCTGTGAGAAACGATTACTCAGCTTCCGGCGGAACGAACTTTATGATCTTCTACGCTCCTGTGACAATGAAGGTTTTTTCTCCTATAATGGTTTTTCTTCAGTTTAAAAAAAACTTCCAGCGGAAAGAAAAGTCGTCTTGAACGCGCTGGAAAAAGTCTCGGGTAGAATTAACATCGAAGGATTGTTTTAACTCATTTGTAATTACCTTGTTACGTTGAATGTTTCTGTTATGTATAAATTGTTGATCTGTCAGTTCTTATCACGAAAAAAGCAGTTCCGATAGTTCAAACTGTAAACGGCCACATATGTTTTTTCGCACTGAAGCTGCCTTCGACCAACCAAATTGGACTACGTCGTAGCGAGGAACGCTTTCCAGTCCCCTTATCAATTTCTCCGTTTTCCACTGTTGATCATCAATTGCCTATTGACATTCCTACCACTTTTAACCTCTTCGCAAAAGATGAGCATCGACGAAAAGTTCGAAGCGGCGGTGTTCATCGTGCAGAATCTGCCGAAGGAAGGTCTCAAAAGAGATATATTTGTTCTCTTTGATGAATTGGTGTTCAGGAGACGTGAAAACGAGTATCAATGAGAAGCTTTCCTTTCTACGGGTTGTACAAACAGGCGACGGTTGGCAAATGCAACGTCGGCAAGCCTGGTTTCTTGGAACGTCGCAGAAGGCTACAAATGGTAGGTTTATGGAGAAAGGGAACTGATGAATCGGGATGGATAGGGACGCCTGGCACAAACTGGGCGACATGAGCAGCGACGAGGCCAAGGAGACGTATTTGGAGAAACTTCGCGAAAAGATTGAACTCACACAGGAGAACTTTGAGACTTCGGTGCGGTTGACCTGTATATTTTGGTGAAGTCGCTGTTTGCTTATAGGAAAAATTGTAATGAAAGGACTTTCAGCGAAAAAATGCGCGAAGAATAGCTTTAGTTGCCTCTGAAAGTTTATTTTTCATTCGAAAACGCTGACCGGGTTGTTGAAAGCCGATTAAGGCGTTTTTAACGATTTTTTAAGCCCAGCACAAAGATTTTTATTAGGATATTTCAGACCTTTGAACGGAAGCGTTCATGAAAGGTCATAACTTGAAAAAAGGTTTTCGGAAGCGCATTCCAAAACTTTTGGGCTTGCCTTTCTATATATAATTCGACTATTTTTTTGACCTTATTCTCTCAAAAAAACCTTTTCAAATTCTTTTTTTCATGAATCATGATTTTTTTATTCAACAGTAAGGTAAAAAAATAAATTTTTAAAGATACTCTACTTGAAATTTTTGGAACTTTGCAAAGGTATGCTCGACTTTTTGGAACCTACTGGTCGACATATATGAAAGAGCTTCAAGGTTTTTGATTCAGAAAATTTCGAAAAAAGAAGTTACACTGTTAAGGAGAGAGACTTAAAAGAACAATGTTTCAGAGTTGGATGGGCGGAGAAGTCTATGAGAAGCTCCAGCCGAAGTTTGCGTTTCTCGGTTTCTTTGACAAGAAGAACAATGAGACAGACAGGAAAGAAGTAGAAAAAGAAGCTCGTCTTGAACCTTCCACAAATCAAACCGAGCAAACTGCCGCTTCGAATTCCTCGACGCCTTTGTCCGACAATGAATATGTGGACGCCGTTGAAGACGAAGAATTGTCCGTTTCCAGGTGATTCTCAACTTGAAGCGCTTCTGAAGACTATTTTAAGGTCTTCATCGTTTGTCGAGCCTTCCAGAAAACGGCACGCCTCTTCGCTTCGAGTTTCCTGTGCAAGGTTTGACCTATCTATTTTTTTGCTTCAAAAATATCTATTAATGTTGGCTATAATTGTTTAACATCAATATTCGATGAACTTTTGCTGATTTTTTTTTTCGAGAGAAAAACTCCTTTGAAAAAGATTTTCAAGTTTTCGGAGATGTCAAGTCCCATACTTCTCTTTTCTGCAACTGAAGCCAGGAATCATTTGTTCCAACCTGAAAAAAGTCGCTTCGCGAACAATAATGTATATGAAGCATTGTGGCTGCATTTTCTCCGTCTGAAACAACTTGTTTCGCCGGGCTTTTGTTACTAATTGGGACATTACTGCAAAAAGCGTTGGCCATTCCATTCCATTTCGTTCTCTTTTTTCGCTTCAAGGCCGCTCCCAAAGATTGAGGAGGCCATTAGTGACGGTTTCTGAACCTATCATAATTGAATGACCTTTTTCCATCAACAGTTTTTTTTTCAGAGTGGAAAAAGAGCTGAAAATGATCCACGAACAGATTGAAAAGCTTGGAAAAGCGGTGGAAGAGCGCCACAATTTGCTCGTTTCACTTTTCAAGAAATGCGTTAGTTCATTGGACGAATCAATAAGGGTTAGCATCATTTTTCAAATTCAGAGTGTTTATCTTCTGGTGCCACAGAAACTCTCCTGGAAAACTGTCATTTTCTTCATCGTCTGGCCATTTTTCGCAAACTTTCTTCTTCGATACTTTAAACGACTATTCGCTTGATTTATTATGTACATTTGATGTCTCAGAAAGAAAATAAAATTTCTATGTCTTAGGGAGGAAAGAAAATAACAAGTGACCGTTACCAGTACGGATTGAGCAAAAAAAAAAAACAGAATTTCAAGAGATTACGGTGCTCATCGATAGTGCTGGTTGTCGTACGGGTGTGGCGGGAATGGGCGGTGCGAATCGTAGAACTCCTGGCGCGGCGGCTGCGCTGCATGCGGCTCGAAGGCCGATGGAGCACGCGAAGAGTTGTAAGGGCGGCCGTCATACTGTAAAAAACTTGAAACTGGTGGAATCGAAAAATTCTAGCACTGAAAATTTTAAAGTTGAGAAAAATAGGAGATAATTAGAAAGTCTTTCGGCCTTGTTTTTCGAATCAAAGAACAAAAAAAAAGAACAGGAAAAAGAAAATTTAAAAAAATGATTAAAATAAATGATGAAAAACTATAAAGCTTGTATAAAAACGGTAAAAGAAATATTTCATTCATTAAAAAAGGAAAAAATTTTGACTTTGAAAAAAAAACTCGAAAACGGCTCATAAAACAAAGAAGCTAAAAAAGCCATATCTAAATTTAAATGTGTGCTTCATGGCAAAAAAAAACGAGCAAATAACGTCTCATCGTATTTTTTCAAAGTAAAAAATGGAGCGATAAATCGAATATTACTCAAATATTACCCTGTGTATGGAATGAGTCTAAAAAATGAAATGAGACTTCTTGCTATGAGAAGAAAAAAAAACTCACATGCTTGTCTGGGATTCCATTTCTGCGGTTGTGAATACGTTGGAATTTCGCCATGATGATCAACAGCAGCGAGATCTGCAAATCGTTCAGTTGTTATCATGAGCATATGCAGTTAGTTGTTCTCTTTGAAGAAAAAACGAACATGGAAGAACTGAAGGCCGAGGAAGAAAATGCCGGTAGCGATTCTGGCCAGATTTCCCTAAGAACGTAGTTTTCATGAACTTATTCAGATTTCGGGACGTACGTAGCTGAACCAGAAGATGAAAAAGACAGAGATGAGACCTCGGACGATATCGATCGCCATGAGGATGAGCCAAGGGACCAGCAGCCACTGGTTGTACATGCAAAGTCCTTAAATTTCCGTCTTTGAGTGAAGACAGAAGCTTGCGCAAACTTTTCAGTGAGAAAGAAACTTTGAGAAAATTACCTTTTTCAAAAAATGATAACTTTTGAACTTAGGCTACTAAATATGATATCTGATCAGAGCTGAAGACCCAAAAATGCAACACCCATAAATCACCTCAGGATTCACCTGAAGTGAGCTCAGAAAAAAATTGACATAGCTAATAAAGGGCAGCACGGTGGTACTTTTTTTAAACAAAATAACCTGATTTTTTTCTGGAAAAAAATTAAATGACAGTCTCAAATGGGACCAATATCAGAAGGTTTTTGTGAAAGAGAGTTCAAATTGAGCATTAAAGAATAATTTGAATTTAAAAGAGCCCGTGAAATCAAATTTTTAGCTTAAATTTATGAAACTTTTAGTAGTACTTATGAAGAGAATTGAGCTTCAAGCAAAAAAAAAAGCTCACCAATAAGAAGGAGGACAGAAGCGAGAATCAAAGAAACGTAGAGGAAGACATCGAGCCAAAGATGGGTGTAGCGGGCTGAAACATTTATTTTTTGTCCAATTTGTTCGATTTCGAATATTTTCAAGGAAAAAAAAAGGAAAAAAAAAACGAACGAGAAGCCGAATATTTCAATTCCTCTGTGTAAAGACCGATCGAGCAATGGTAAGAGGTCGAGTCTTCAACGACGACTACGGTCCTGCCGCCCGAAAAAGTCAACTTCCGGTTTTCTGGAACAGAAATGCTTGAGTTAAATTTCAAAAAGGGGGAATATTTTCAATTCACTGAACTAAAAACCTAGATAGTTTATGGTAGTCTAATTTAAAAAAACACAATATTTTTAAAGCTATATTTCAAGGTGCAGACAGCTTGCCTGGCTTTGCTACAAAGCTGTGCAAAAATGAGAATTATTCAAAACAAAAAATCCAGGAATTCGAAAAACATCATATAAGACAGAAATTATAAGAAACTGTTTGATAAGAACATAAGATACAAAGTTATGATTGTTTGAAGTTACCAAATTCTCAAAAATTAAATAGGAAATTTTTTATGATATTTCATGAATTTTCCACACTTTTTCTCTAGAAAACTGTGCTCTTGATAAGCTCGAAACGCTATAAGAAAAAGTGACACCAAAAAAGGTATACAAAAATACTGAAAAAAGAACAATTCAAACTTTTATTTCTAATCTTAAGACAATAGTACATCTAAAAACAAGAATTGAAAAAAGGGAAATTTAAAAATCTCTCTAAATCTATTCAAAGAAACTTACCGGCATTAATTTTTCCCTGAGCTTCAAGTTCACAGGAGTTGTAGTGAGTGACGTCACCATTGGCCGCAGTGTCCGACAGTCCCCAACCGGCAAGTCCCGTCAGCAAAAGGTACAGAATCTGAAATTTTTTTCAAATTGTTTTTTCAGAGTCAAAAATACTCAGAAAAGTTGAAAGTTCATCGTGTTCTTTTTATTTTTTTAACTGCTTCGATGAAAAAAAATAAGCAATTATTTGAGATAAGTTTCAATGAAAAGAAAGATGGGATGATAGTGACAGCGCAGAAAGATTCTAGGGGCTTTAACTGGGTCATTTAAGTTTTTTCTCCGAAAAACTTGGTTAAAAAAAGAGATCCAAGCTTTTCGCAGTTTTTTCCCGTTTTCATTGGCAAACGAAATGATGAAATGAGATGTTAACTTTTAGAAATCAAACACATTCCTATTTTTTACACAGAAATAAACTAAAACCTTCAAAAACTGAAGTTATGTGAAATAAGGATTTTTAGAATAAAAATTGAGGTTGTATATGCGAATAAAAATCCTTTTGATATAAAATAATAACGATAAAAGAACGGTGAGAAAAAAGATTATGCATAAATAGAAAAAAAGAATAAACATAGAAAGTTGGTATCTTATTTTTTAGGAAATTCTAACAGAAAAATTTGTTTTTCCTTTGTACCCTTGTTTCTAAATCCTCACTGTGATTTGAAAAACGCAGAACCCTTTGTGAAAGCTTTTAGATCTTTTCATACACACGGTTAGTCTGAACCTCATCGAACTCCAATTCTTCTGAACTTAAAGCTTTGAAGACGTTTCATTCATCTTTTGAAAGAAAAATACTACAAGCTAAAAAAAACAACTAACCAACGTATAAATAGCGATGGCCACAGTGGCGACGGATAAGCCGCAGCAAAAGCAGGATCGAATTTGGACCTCGACCTTGGCCATGGTGGAGAAAAAAGTGGGAAATATCAGGTACAAGGCGAGTCAAATGGAATTGAATCAAATCGAAGTCGAAAAGGAGGACGATCGAAGTGGCGGCGGCGAAATTGAGGCGTCGGCGGTCGACCACACCCCTGTTGTTTCGCCTTCTGCTGCTGCGGAAGAAGAAGAACGTCGACTTCTCCTCTTTTCTTCTTCTTCTTCTGCGGTGACGCGCCCCGATTGGTTACAAGGCCGCCGTGGCGCTTTGGCAAACCGCCCGATGATCGGCACGGCAAAAACCGGTAGCTCAGGCCATCGATTTCCGCGGTTTTTGACTGCTGGATTTGGCTGTTTTCACGTTTTCCAAGTCAACATTGACGGCTTATCCCATTGTTGCATCCGACGCGATACGAGGGCAGCCAACAATACTCATTCTTTCGCGTGCCTTTGTGCCTTTCGCCTGGAACGACCGCCATCTGCAATTGTTTTGGAAAGTGTGGGAATGACCCTGGCGCAAGGACTCGAGAAAAAAAAAGAAAGAAAGAGAACTTCCCAAAAATGCAAATTAATCAGTTTTCTCTAAACCCTCAAGTTCTCATTAGTCTATTAATCTTTTTTTAAAAAAATTAAAAAAAGGAAGATTAAACTAAAAAAGTCCGCAACCTTCGTCTTGTCACAAAAAAAAAAAACACAAAAAAAGAATATTGGCAAAATCAGACTCCTAGTTCTATAAACTTTTTCAGACCCTGCGATATACCTCAGGGAGTATCGTGATATCCTTTCTCGATTCGCCTATGAGCCCGTGCATAGGCGAATCGAGAAAGGGTATCGCGATACTCCCTGAGGTATATCGCAGGGTCTGAAGTCTAACGATGGTACCACGAGTCTACCTCTGAGGACTTTAAGCAAAATGAGATAAAATGGAGATATTCTCTCAAGGACCTCTGATATGGCACAGATAGAGCTAAAAAGGTATGTTGGAGATATCACAATGGACATATTATGGGAAATTCAAGATACATTTTGAGAGTTATATTTGTGGACACATACCTTCCCGATTCGCCTGTGTAAGTCGATAAAGGTTATAATTAGTGAAACTGAGAAAAAGTCGCATAGTTTATTTTCTTTGTTTTTTTTTTCTACCTCATGAACAAGCGTTTCGAACGCTTTTTCAACGAATTGCCCTATTTCGAATGACAAAAAGATTTTATGGTGGTCATACGCCGGAGGTTTGCGTATGTGCGCGCAAAAAAGAAGTGAAAAGCAATATAGATCTTACCCTCAAACGAAGAGAAATTTTTAGAAAAAAAGAGAATATCCAACATTAATAATGCTTTCCAAGATTGAATAGAATATTTGGAAATAAAAAAGTAGAGGAAAGCAAAGAAAAAAACAAGATGAAGATGAGAGCACAATTAATTATATTTCATGAAATAAATATCATTCGACTCGAAAAAAAAAAAAAGCCGTCATCGGCCGAATTCGAGCATTAATCCTGTCCAAATTTGTCAATCGGGCATGACAAGGACGCATAGAGTCGGTTAAAAATCTAGAAGACCTGGTGAAGAAAAAAAAAGTTGGAAAGTTTATGAAAAAAGCATTTTCACCTGCAGAGTTCTAGAACGCAAAATCCCTCTGAAAATCCAACTTTTGTGCTACTGTAATGAATTGCTACGCACCCACGCAAAAGCATACGATACGTATACAAACAACCGAACGCGCAATATTTATATTTATTTTTTTAGATTTCCTAATTTTTTTATTAATTTTTCTTTATTGCATCCTTTACTTTCAAAAAAAAATGATTCAAAATTTAATGAGAAAGCTAGTTTTTAGAAACTGCGGTTAGAACTTACGTATTCGGTGAGGGATTTGTAGGTTAGTCATTTTGAATAATTTAAATTAGGTTGAAATTTTTTATTTTTATTTGAAATCATATATGGATTTTCACCTTAAAAAGATATTTTTTTGAACTTTTTTTGTTTTCTTTCTATTCTCAATTTGACATTCTTTGCTAACTTTAGGTGTATAATTTGAGAATTTGAACTAATTCTTGTTAGTAGGTTAATTTCTTATTTTTTAAACTTTCGTAACCATGTTTTTCAATACACTTTCGATGGTTTATTTTTTTCAAAGATGCATAACGACCAAGGTGATTATAATTTGAACAATCCCTCTTACAACACGCCACAACAGCAGCATGTGATTCAAAATCAAAATCAACAGGCCTACTATCAAACAGGTTATTTTTATATCATTTTGATTCACGCGAATTTTAAAGCATCAGGAAGATCGGCACCTTTTGGAACTTCGATGAGAAGTGCGCTGCATCCATCTACCCAAGGAACGCCGCAGCAAATGGCGTATTATTCTCCGGCCACTCAATCTCAGTTTGCCAACCCTCCTCCGGTCAAACAAGTTTTTAAAACAGCTTTCATTGAGTACGGAAGAGAAAAAAAAATTTTAGCCGAGAGTTTCCTACAACACCTCTTACTACACCGATTCGCAGATGCCGGTGGGACAGGCTCTCACTCGCCAAGTTGTTCAGCAGAAGCCCATTCCAGTTCACATCTCAGCGTCTTCTTCAGGTTCCGTCCTTGAGAAAGTGATCCAAATTTTGTTGAGATTTTGAATCAATTTTTTTCAGGTTAAATTAGATCAGCTTGTGAAACAAGTCAATCCGAACACCGTATTGGAAGAAAATGTCAAAGATGCACTGATTGAATACGCAGATGAAATGGTGGATGAGGTTTGCTTTTTTTTTTTTGGTTCAACTGTTATAAAAATTAATTCAGCTCGTAGAAAAGGTATGCCATTTGGTCAAAAACCGAGGGTCAGACAAAATTCTCGCAAGGGACGTCGAGTTTGTGCTCAAAAATAAGTACCAAATGCCAACTGTTAGTTTGTTTTTTTTTTCGAAAGAAGTTGAAAATGATTTAGGTTCCTCGAGCGGCTGTGAACATTTATGGAGGAAATCCGGCCGGAGAAGTGCCGGACCCGAGAAATGTTTCTCTGGAGGCCCACCGACAACGACAGGCGATGCTCAAAAAACAATCAAAGAGATTCTGAAAATATTGAATTTTTTCCGTTGTTTAAATTGTAAATTTTCATTAACGGGTGCCTACTTGCCTTGTTTATAAAGTTGGATCTCTTTTGGGGTTTTTGCTTCTTTTTTCTGTCAGTATAATTCTGATGATATATTTCCTCTATATTTTTTTATTCCTTTTTAAAACTCAATTTGTAGTTGCAGCGAGTGTTAACCAGTACAAGCTGGACGAGAAATGCGAGAGTAGTGGCAATAGATGCTTTTGACAACCGCGCTCGCGGTGTTTCTGATTGCCTGGAGCTCGATCTTTCTTTTTGATTATGTCTTGAGACTCAAAAACTATGAGCCCTACATCAGGTTCAGTTATCGAGTCGGTCTTGAAGTTTCTCCTTTGCAGGTAGCATTCCAATTAAATCTATTAGAAAAAGTTTTAAACAACTTAGATCCGGTTCTACTTGCCCCAGTTGGATCCTTCCTCCATCACGTTAGCTGAAGAGAAACGAAAATCTTTAGGTACACCTAGATTTCGATTTTATTCTTTGAGTGATGAAAAGGTCGTGCTTGGGAATGTTGAAAATCACAAAAATGCTATTTATTCTGAAAAAAATCAGAAAAAAATAAAATTCATTTATTGTAGAAGTACGCCTTTTTCTCGACCTCAGAGGTTTTAGTTTGTTGCTGTCACATTTTTATTAATTGAAAAGGGTATCGAAATTTTCCAAATTTTAAGAAATTGGTTTTAATTTTTTTGGAAATTCTGATTCCGGAAATATTTTTCAACGATTAGCTTTTTCTTTCAATGCTCGCATAAGTTTTTTTCATTAAATTTAAAACATATATGGAAGTTTTTGCGAAGCTTACATAATTTTTATTAACCTTTGCTCATTTTTATTTATAATTTAAGGCCGGAAAGAACGGATAAAACAAGCTTTTAACATGGCTGTGGTTCTGCATTGGTGTGATCGCTTCGATCGTTTGTCTTTTCGGTATCACCATCTACCTCTCGCACTCGATCTATAAAGGTTTCCTGCATTTCTATTTGAAACCATGATTTTGCGTTCTTTCTAGATGTTTCTTACTGGGCCTCTCTGCGTCCTAGAACCACGCAGTTTCGCGGAATCAACGTTTTGGGGAAACCTCTGACGACCGAAGTGCCGCCGAAATCGGAGGCGCCTATGGTTTTTGATTCGCCTAATGTTGTAGTTGCAAACGAGGACAACGACGTTTTTGACTCAGGACAAAAGGGAAACGGAGGTTTCTGAAGAATGAAATTAAAATAAGTATGCATATGTTTAGGGTTAATACCTATAATTCCGGGGTTCAATTTACCTTGGGAGCACCTTCCAGTCTTCATGTTGGTACTCATCATCTCCACTCTGGTACACGAGGTCGGTATTTGAATTTAAAAAATCCATGAGAAAACTAGAAAATTTTTTTAAAATTTCGATTTTCAAGTTTGGGCACGCGAGAGCCGCAACTACAAATAACATCCGCGTGAACGGCTTCGGACTTTTTCTTTTCGGAGTTTATCCGGGCGCCTTTACCGACGTCGATACCCAGTCCCTCAGTCAGAGTTTTCATCTCTGAAAATGTTGAAAAAAGTTTGTTCAGAACGTTCAACGGTCTTCCAAAGGCTGATGGTTTTCGGGGCCGGGATTTGGCACAATCTGATGCTCGCTCTGCTGGCCTACCTCATTTTTCTTTCAACTCCTTCCTTTTTCGCTCCTCTCTATGTCGAAGGCCGGGGAGTCACTGTAAGAGGTGAGGAGAAGCCTCAAATCTCCGTTTTTATCGTTGAATTTAAGCCGTGGACAAGCAATCCGGATTGAACGGGGCCAATGGCCTGAGAGCTGGCGATGTCGTCGTGGCGATCAACGACTGCGATGTCGCTTTCGGGAGAGATTGGCTGCGATGTATCCAGAGGGTGAAGGATCAGAAAACTGGTTACTGTGTTCCCAGCGACCGAGTACTCGCCGCCACTTCCTTCAATGTGAATATCCTTTTTTAAGTTATCAATTTTGCAAGCATTAGTATTTTTTTCTAGCCTTCAAGTTATAACGTAAGAAAGAATTTATCGAAAGTCCTGTATTATTTTTGTGTCTTCTCGAAATCCCTTACTTTGTCCGACTTTCTAGAAATGGATATCGACGGACGAAGTTCATTGCTGTGATGAGTTCAACGTAAGCAGTGCTCATGTTTGCTTCGAGAGAGAAGAATTGGAGAAAAAGGAACTGACGAGTCACGCCCCGCAACTCAACGCTCTTCTGGGCATTGAGAGCCGTAAAGACCATCCGGTTCGATCTGAGAAGCAAAAAAAGAGAGAAGAACTTGCCCTTTCAGAAAAAAGATGAGACGGTGAAAGTCACGAAACACAGTTGTCTCAATGCGCGCTACGTTTTGGAACAAGCAACCTGCAACGAAACTGCTCCCTGCGCCAAGGTTTCATCTTTTGAACATTTCAAAACTTCTCAATGGTATCGATTTTCATTATAAAATGTCTCTTGAAGTTCTTTTCTGAAAATTTACCGTTAGCTAAATGCAACTCTAGAGAACTTATGGTTAATTCATGATTTAAGAAAGTGTTTTCTACGGTGATTTGAAAGAAACTAATACGTTTATCAAATGAAGAAAATTTGAAAAAGGGAAACTTTGTTGTTTCTCTTTTTTTGCTTCTGAAAGTTGGAAAGAACTCAAGTTTACACCTCTTAAAGTCATATCTTCAAAATTCGCCATTCATCTATTTTTTTAAATTTTTTTGTTGATCGAAATCGTTTGAAGATCAATCAACCAATTAGGATGTAAAGTGAAAAAAAGAAGATTATAAAAAAATTTTTCGTTCAACTCAACTTTTTCAAGGCTGAAAACGCAAATTTGTGCGTTTATCCAGCGCTTTTCAACGGTACCCAACTCGTCAAGATCAAAACCAAGAACAAGAGCATCTCGGTGCTTTACGTCGGTCATCTTGATGAGGTTGAACTCTCCTCGAAAACTTGACGTCCTCCGAGTTTTTCCAGATGCTGCAGCTGGTCGAGGTGCATTCCTGGACGCCTTCCACTTCTATTTTCGGCTTCGAATTGATCGACGGCGTTCAGTTGTTCGCCAAGTACCTGTTCACGATTTCTCTTGCTTTGGGACTCGTCAACGCCTTGCCCTGCTACGCGCTCGATGGACAGTACATCTTGACAACTTTGCTCGTAGGCATGTGTATTTCGGCTAGGTTTGTTTTTCTTTGACAGGAAAAAGCAAAAAATTATCTTTTCCGAAAGCACAAAATAAGTCGCGGTCGAAAAAACCTAGGGAAGTGCGCTCCATCGTTATTCGAGTCCTGATTTATTTTCAATTTTTTATGATTTGAGTCTGGGGTTTTTTTTCAATTTTTGACACAACTTTGTTGCATTTGGCGATGAACTTTTTATCTATAACATTTTTTCACAGTTAGATTCAAAATTTGAACTTTCAATCTGAAAATTTCTGGATATTAGACAAACCTATTATCTTCTCAAACTTGAAAAAAAAAACTTGGCTTTTCGCCAACGCGCTTCAGTCTTCTCTTTATGGTACTCATTCTAAGAGGTCATGAAAGTGAATGAAAATAACAAGTTTTCAAAAATTTTACACGAAGCCTACTTTCCGCTGTATGAGAGTATTTTTAGAACCGCTTTTTTGTCTTATTTCTGCGTCCTTTCTGGAAAAACTTGAAAGAAAAGTGGTGATTTTAACGGGTTCAGAAAACGTCGAGCGATTCGGTCAGTCGTCCTGCTGCTCGGTTCTATCCTTCTTTTCGCTAATATCGTCGCCGGGTTCCTGAGACTTCTTTAGTAAACTAACCATTCATTCATTTTTTCATTTTTTCCATATAATTTATTCTCTCTTTTCCTTCTTATCGGGCCTAGTGCTTTTTCAGGTTTTTTTTTTGATGCTTTTTGTAAAAAAAAAACTGCTGCAATTTTTCGTGGCGATGCATATATCCTTGATTTCATTAAATCCACGGAAAATAATCACATTCCGCACAATTTTTTTTGTTTCTTTTTTCCTCCTAGCCAAATTTTTGTTGTTCCAAACTTTTCAGCGTGTCCCAGATTATATACTTTCAAGAGCTGGTAATTGTGATGATATTTATTCTATCCAAAGTTAGTCACCCTTCATTCTGTGTCAATCAGTCGTATCCCTACTTATCACTTTTTTCATAATTCGAAGTTTCTCCTAAGAGTTCCAAGTTTGTCCATCCGATACTGTTCCATATCGTATCACTCCGAATGGGTTTCCTCATGCACATTCTATTTTTGACATTCTTTTGATTGTCTGGTAATAAATTTCGGTGTTTTTCCGTAAGACTTTTCTCGTAAAAAAGCTTGAGGATCATTCCAAAGCCTAGCTGGCACTGAAGTGTTTTTGGAGTTCGAATGATTGAATCTGAGATGCTAAAAAGATAAAATTTTCTTTTTTTAGTGCTGACTTGAGCCAAGTGAATTCAAAAAAGATGAAATTATGAAAAGGATTTTTTTTTATTGAATTTTCTTTTCATAGTTGATACTCATTTGAATGGCCCAACTCGTAGTTGACAGCTCTGAGAAAACGCGTCGAAACACTAGTGAACCCACGACTGATTGTATACAATATTTTTGAACGGGTCGCAAAAAACCACGAGTTGGGTTAGTCTATTCACGACACGCTCGAGAGGAACGCGGCGTCATCGAGAAAAGTTGCCTCTTTAGTGATTACTAGAAATCTTTTTGACACGATATTTCAAATTGAAAACGTCTCGTTGAAAAAAAAAAGCTAATTTGCGAAGGGAAGATGTGCGTGAAACACTGTGAATGCGAATGTTTTGGTGTTTGTTGGGTGGATTTTGAAAGTAGCTTCGCAGTGGGGTGCGTTCACGTGTTTGCACGCACCCGCTGCAGCCAGATCGATCGCCAAAACGCAAGTTGAGCGCTCAGATTTGCTCGGCTCTTTTTAAATTACCTTATTTGATGTTGATTTATGTCAATGTCTCAGAAAATCTTACGCTAAATGTTTTCTGTATCATCTTCTCTGTGAATACAAAAAACATAAAAAACTAGAATACGCCTAATTATTTTTAGGTTTAATTATTTACTTCACGCTTTTTCGTCAATTTTCAATTTTTTTTTCTTCCGTCTTTATTTTTTTGCATTGTTTCGATAGCAAATCTTGTAGATCAATTTAGTTTTCAAATTATGAAATTTTCTCCGTTCTCATTGTAGATTTGTTTACCTTTTTAAACTCAATTTTGCAAAATTTTGAATTTAAAGTCGTATCGATTTTCATAACTCGTGATAGCGATTTAGTTTCATATATTTTCTCTTTTGCTTTCCTGATGATCTGTTCGAAAAAAAAAGAAAAAGAAGAAATTTTTTTAAAAAAGTCTCACTATTAATGCTGTTTATTTTTCCAAGTCCTGTATTCAAATTTTTGAAATAAATTGAATTCTGTAAATGGTTTGAGTTTCGATTTCTTATCGTTTTTTTGATCGAAATTTTTCGCATTTTTTTGCATATCTTAAAATTTTACAGATGGCAGAAAAAAAGGAAACTTTTGGCTGAAATCGATAAATGTTACAAAAAGGTAGAAAAATTGAAGTATTTACGTTTTATCATTATGTTTTTAGATCGATGAAGGCGTTGAGCTCTTCGAAGATACGATGCAAAAAATGCAAGAAGCGAATAGTGACAATCAAAGGGATAAATATCAAGTAAAAACTGAAACTGAAGAAAGACCTTGAAAATTTTATAAATTTCAGGATGACCTCAAAAAGGAAATCAAGAAGTTGCAACGACTACGCGATCAAGTAAAAGGATGGCAAAATAGTTCCGATATCAAGGTTTTCGATCAATTAGAGCTCGATTTTATTTTTGAGATGTTCCAGGATAAGGAAAAGCTAAACCAATATAGGAAGTTGATCGAAGGTAGGATGGAGCAGTTCAAGGATATTGAACGAGAAAACAAGACCAAGCCTCATAGCAAACAAGTTTGTAACAATGCCGTAACAATTCCAGATTTGATCTTTTTAGGGCCTTTGTGCGGAAGAGAAACTCGATCCCAAGGAAAAAGAGCGGTACGACGCCGTTGATTGGATTCAGGTTCATAAGAGTTTCCGTTTGAATGAAGAAATTATTGGTTTGAAGAATTTAATACGAGAGTTGAACGACGAAGCCGATAGAACGGAAATGTTGATAGAATCCTTGACTTCTTCCGAAGTTGGGAAGAAAAGAGGGAAAAAGGATGAGTTGAAAAAAGGCGAAAAGGAGGTTATTTTCATTTTTCCTGTCATTTTTCATCAAAAAACATTCCAGAAGAAGGTGGAAGAACTGAAAAAGCATTTGGAACGAATGAAGTTTCATTTGGGAAAACTAGAGGTTTCCCTAACGAATATCATTTCTTCAAAGGATCTTTTCTTTCAGATTTGCATGCGAATGATTAATAATGAATCTTTGGAACCTAAAGTTGTAATAGATGTATTAAAAGAGCAGTTAGAGACATATATTGACCTTTTCGATCCGGATAACGAGGACAAAACCGAAATCGATCTCTACGATCCTGAAGGTTCGTTTATTTGCTTTTTAAAGACCAGAATTGAAAATGAATGAGTTTTTTGAATGTCGTATTATTTGCGAAACTCGCTTTCTCACTGAAAAAAAAAGACTCGATTGAAATGTTCTAATTAGTATGTATAGTGCTCGGAACATCGTGAACCATCGATTAGTTCTATTTAAAAACTGAAAATTCGATTTTCAGATGTCTATGATGAGTTGAAACTTGACGTTTTGACTGTGCAATTGGGAGGAATAAATCTGTCGTCAATAGATGATGATCAAAAAGAAAACGGTAAGTTTCAAGATTTGTCTTGCTTCAAAAAAGAAAATCTACTGATCACGTTACAAAGAAATTGATTCTCATTTCAATTTCGATTTTCTTTTTTATATTATTTTCAAAGCTAGGATTTAGTTCAAAAATTATTATTCGTGGATTCAAAATAAACGATGTATGAGATTTCAATATGAATCGAACTACGAATGGAACTTCATAAAAGTTGCGAATGTGCGAAAATATATTAAAAATAGTTAAACTGACCTCTGCCACCGGCATTTTGCCTTTTTTGCCTTTTTGGCGCGTCACACATTTGACCTTTGAAAACGTTTTTGCAATTCGGAAATATTCAAGTTTACCATAGATCGCTGTTATAGATCATTCCATACCGAACTGAAATAATCATTGTGGAGAGTTTCCACCAGATAACAAAAATACAGTTCGGAACGAATATTTCTAGACATCAATTTTATAATTTTTTTCTCAAGCATTTGATATGAATCTGAAACGAAAAATTAAAAACAAGTCTTGGCGGTGTTGATCTCTGGGATCGGCATTGCAATTTTAGGCGCCGCCGGTTTTTTTGACCTTTTCGTTTGGTAAATAGACATTAGTTGTAGGTCAAGAGAACGGTCTGGAAGGCGAGGAGAAAAGTTCGCGGCACAACAGTTCGGAGTCTCCTGCAAGTCCCGCAGGCCGGCGGAATCCTCCTCACTCGGCAACGAGTATTCCGCCGTCGCCGTCCTCGATTCTTGGAGAATCCAGGGCAAAATTGACGAAGTTCGTCTTCTTCTCTCGCTTTTCCGTTCTTCCTCGCTTTATTTTTGATGACTTTTCACTGGACTTTTTTTAAAGCTTATTGGACTCTTTCATTAGCAGCTTTTATCCAAGTTTTTCGCTTTTTTTGTTGCTTGGTAAATTTAATTACTAACTAAAACTATTGAAAAGCTCTTAGTTGCTTCGGGTACGGCTCTTGATTATCATTTTACGAGCATGTCGAAAAATTTGTTCAAAGCATTTTTCCAGTTTCGTCGATTAAAAAAAATAAAATTGAGAAAAAAATTATACTTTTTTTCGTCTCAGCTCGATCCAAGTGTTTGGAAAATATTGATTTTATTGCTCGTGCAAATTGAAAAAAAGGAAAAAAATTTCTACTTTTTTTCAAGTTTAAAAGATTTTTCACGGTTTTTAATCGACTTTTTTTGAAGTTAAAAGTAAGGGAATCTTTTTTTGTTTTTTTGAAAAAAATTTCTGAATTCTCCGCAAATATATCTACTCGATCCAAACGATGCTGAATTAAAAAAATCAAACTCTTCAAACTTTAAAAAAACAGTTATTTTTACGATGCCTAATGATTTAATATCGACTTAACGAAAATAGTATATTCAACTTCAGGATTGCCAAGTTAACGCTATAGAAGTTTACACAGTTTCTGTAAGCATTGAAATTGCAAAGCCTAATAAGTGTACTATTAATGCTGACTAAAAGCTTCACTGACACAATTTCTTTTCGTCTCGGTACTAATTGGTGTATTGATAGGGAACCTTCTCTGGAAAGTCCCACGTCTCCGGCGGGCTTCGGTAAGCCAAGTGAAGTAGCGGCGAACGTCGCGACGACGACGGCCGCGGCTCCTCCGCCCCCAGGAATCCCCTACAACTCGGTGGCGGCAGGACGACCCTCCGCCTCGGCGACGTCGACGCCGACCATCCAGCCTCGCTCCGCCGCCTCTTCGCCGCTTGTCGTTGCACCGTCAGTCTCTCTCTCTTTCTCTCGCTCTTCCTTTTTGCTCTCTCCGTTTCAAACACTTTCTCTCTTCTTCCCGTTCTTATTTCCGTTTTTTCATCGTTTCCTGACGTCATTTGCACTATGGTGGTTGACGGTTTGCTCTAACAAGGAAGGTCGTTTCACTTCGTGCTTGAAAATTATCTGTAGTTTGGCCCAAGCGCTCTTTTATGTTTCATATCGAGTCTTTGAAAGTTTCGGCTTATACCGTTGTCTTTTTTTTTTAGAATGGATTCCTCAAAATCAAGAAAAACAATGCGGCAATTTTTTGCTTTTTTCAAAAGCGTTTTATTTTTTATTTTCAAACGTTAGTTATTCATTTAGTAATTAGAAAACGTGTTTTGAAGAAACTAAGAAAAAAGTGAAAGGGCCTTCGAATTGGGTATTGTCACGGTTTTTTCTTAAAAAAATTTACCCTCAGTTTTCGAGTTTAGCGTCATTTTTATGGCGAAAATGGAACAGAGGAACAAAAAATTCGAAAAGAGGCCAGTTATTTGACATTGGAGGCCTACCTCACAGCTGAAACCGAAACTGCCAATAAAAAAAAGTGCGCGACGACATGGGCGGTTCTTTTTTGGTCAGAAGCCTTCATTGGCCCATGTATGATGCAAACCGCTAACCAAAGTATTCCATTTGACTTTTTTACATTTTCTGTTATTTTTGACTTGTTTGAAAGTTTATCTTTCTAACTATTGATCTACTTACTCCTGCTTGAAACATGGGAGAAGGTTTTTGTTCATTGAACGGAGGGGAACAGTCTTATCAGGTTTATGAGTCACAAGGGGAACCTGTTCCTTTTTTCAATCCAATGTTCAACACCTGCCGTAAAGTTGCGATTTCGCCCGCTTTCCTTTTTCGAAACAGTTATTCTTGAATTTAAAAACTGCCTAAATACATGTAGTAGTTCTTTAAGTTAACGTCAGGTAACTATAATAGACAAAAATTTTTGACGGCAAAGAATTTTTGATGAGGCAAGTTATTTTGTTGGTATAAATTTTAGGCTTGTTCTATTTATGATTAAATTTTGAAGTCGTGAAGAAAATTATAACTAAAAAATTAAAAAAAAGTTTAATTAGGCTTGAAGTTTTTTATCTATATTTTCTACTCCTTTTTCGGTTTTCCTCGTTATTTTTCGTTTTTATGATCTATTATTGCCAAAATTAGTAATAAAGAGCTTAATCGAATAATTTTCCAGCAGCTCGCCGTCGCCTCCCGCCGCGCCAACCACTCCTCCAGTAGCCATGACCAACGAAAGCTATGATGCCAAGAGCGATGTGAGCATTCTTTGAGTGGGAAAATTTTATGGATTAAGAATATGACTTTTTTTAGTTCTTGTCTTAAAAATATATTGTTAAAATCGATCGAAAGAAAAGGTTAAGGAAAGTGCGCTCTAGGAAAACAAATAAATTGAATAAAAAGAGTCAAGTTTTTTTAGTGTGTGGTTTGATTTAAGCCAGATTTTTTTGAAGATTTATTGAGTTTTTTTATTTTTTTAATCCTTTTTAGTCGTGCGTTGGGTACCTATCAAAAATTTCTCCGCTTCAATTGACGAAGCCTGTTTGTTGCTTCTTTTTTTGCTGTCTAACTGTTTAAATTAAGGATAGCTATTCAACTTCAGAAACTTTAGCGTTGTCAGGATCATAAGCGAAATCAATAATATTTTGAGACGAAAAGGTTTTTTCATTGTTTTTTTTTCATTATAACCTTGTTTTTATTAATTTTTTTTTGTCGTTAAGAGTCTTCCTTCGATCAAATATGGTTTGTTCCTGAAGATTCCCATGCGTTTCAGAGCCCTGCTCCTGCGAGGTTGGAAGATATTGTGCCGAGTGTGGTGGCGACGCCGGCGCTGAGCGAAACTTCGGAAAGAACCAGTGTCAATGGTAGCGTTCGCACTATAAAACCCTCCAGACATTTGGATATTGAAGGTGATATCAACAAGGCGAACAACAAAGCAGCGAATCAAAACGAGGAATCGTTGAGAGTGCTGCGACTCTCGCAGAACAAGCCGACGACGACGAGCACCGAACCTAAAAGGGTTCGTTTTTTTTTCTGGCAAATTTCCCTTCCTCAAGAATTTTCATGAGTTAGCATTCGACTATGAATGTTTTTTTTTAGATCTTCAGAGAATTTTTGAAAGAATTTTCAGAAAATCTCAAACTTGACGCTAAAATCACCTTCCTTGTCGGATGAATTTCAATAATTGATCTGACTTTATCCCGATTTTTGCAGGCGCACATTCCGGCGTGGCTCGGAGCCTCCCCGCTGGGTCGTGCTCCAAGCACCAACGAGTACGAGGTGCAGATGACGGCCTTGGAGTTGGCGTTGATGAGGACGACGCTGCCTTTGGACAGCGAACGGCCGCGGACCTACCTCCCGAAGATCGTCTGCCCAAGTCCTCACTACTACGCCCAGGTCTGTCTTTCCTTAAGGAACCGCGCAAAAAAAGCTCCGTTTTTTATCATCATCGTATGCATGAAAAGAGTACAGTCTTCATCCGAAGATGGTAGATGGCTAAAACTCGCTTCGAGAAGTAATTGAGTTTTTTTTTTATTAACAAAACGATGTCTAGGAGTCTCCTTCATACAGGACTATAACATTTTTTTCAAAAATATTTTTTTAATATCAGGGCATTTACCATTTCTTTGTGAGCCGTTTGCCACTTCACGGCATTCGGCTTACGGTTTTACCGGCTTAAGAAACGATTAAACGCAATAAATATTCTTGAATTTTTGAAATTTTATTTTCTGGTGCCTTGATCAGATATTCTTTTGAAGTACTTAACAAGTATTCGGAAGCCGCAGACTTTTTGATTTTTTTCATTATGAACAATTTTTCGAAGCTTTGGTTTTCTCTATATTTTCCTAGTAATGGGTATTTGAAAAAGTTTATGAAATAAAAATTCAAACAAATCTGGCGTACTTTAATTATTCACGAGTTTTTTGATGGAGAGATCAATGCCGTGTTCAAAGTAATTTCGCGAAATGTAAAACGATCTCTGACTCTCCAAAATTTATTTATATTTTTCTTTCTCTGACGACTATTTCGCATTTCGCGAAATTACTTTAAACACGGCATAAGAATGAATTTGTTCTTTTAGCAGAGATCTTATGCCGTGTTCAATTTGATTCCGAGAAATGCAAAATACCCGTTAGAGAAAGGAAAAGATCACTAAACTTTGGAGAGTCAGAGATCATTTTTTCGCGGAATCAAATTGAACACGGCATTGGCTTCTTAAGTTTATTTTTTCTCATCGAGTGAAAGAAAAAATTGCAGACGGCTCCTGCAAACAGCGACTCGTTGGAATACTACCTGCGGTTATCACCTGACACGCTTTTCTTCATTTTTTATTATATGGAGGTTCGTTTTGTACTGTTTTTGTTGGCGGCTTCAATGGAAATATCTGATCGAAAAAAAAATTGTTGATTAAATAGCCTTTTTCAACAAAAAGGTTCAGGGAACGAGGGCACAGCTGCTGGCGGCGAAGGCCTTGAAGAAGCTCTCTTGGCGGTTTCACACCAAGTACCTGACGTGGTTCCAGCGACACGAGGAGCCCAAGCAAATCACCGACGACTATGAACAGGTCCGATTCTCGCGCACCCTTTTTTCCATTCCGAACTATTCGATTTCCAGGGAACCTACGTGTATTTTGACTTTGAAAAATGGTCTCAGCGGAAGAAGGAGTCGTTCACTTTCGAGTACAAGTTCTTGGAAGACAAGGAGTTCGACTGAGCCCCTCTCCGATCTCACTTCACTTGTTCTCTCTATCTCTCTCTTCGCTTTCTTCTTCTGTTTGGTGCGTGCTACGACTACACTTCATTCTAGTCGCCATTGTTCTCTTGGACACTCTTTCGTTGTCTACTTTAATGTTGCTAGTGGTACTTGAAGCATTATCTTCTATTATCCCGAGGCCTCGGTTATTCCCTTCCATTGCGGTTACGTTTGTTGTCAGTGCTCTCATCTTGTATACCTCTCTCCTCCGTTCCACGGACAATTCAACCTATTTATTGCACGTTGTGTTCTGCATTTACGATCCGCCCCCAACGTTTAGAAAACAGTAAGTTTGTCTTTAATTTTATTATTTCTATTTTCTTTCGAAAAATGGGAGTGTGCTTGCGGCCTAGGTGTTAGTTAATGATTGTTAGCGCACAGTCTCCATTTGTATTTTTGCTATTATTTTATTTATATTTTCACTATTATTCGTTTTTTTTTTCTGTTCTCCTTGTTCTCACTTGTCAACAAACCGAAACAGCCTTGGGCCGTGGTCCGACTCGTCTTCTGCTCACAGGCCTGCGAGCAAAGGACGAGCTATAATTCTTTTACGGTTCGCAGCAGATCTTCCACTGTGATTTAAACGTTCCATTTGTTCTTAACTTTCTTCTTTTTCTTCTCAACCTCTTTTAAATAGAATGAATGTAAGCGTGGTCTGTTGTTTCAATTCACAATTCCTTATGTATTTCCTTTTTTGTTGCTGATAACATAAACTTAGAAACTTTCGACGCTTCTTTTTTATTAACAAAAAAAACACAAGTGATTATAGTAGGAAAACAAATAAGATCATGGTGTAGTAATTCGGTATATTGTTTTACAATTATTATACAGTTTAATCATAGGAGCGAGAGCGACGACGAGCATGTCGACGCGGAGAAGGAGATCGATTGCTGTAGTTTTTGAAGATATTTTTTTGAAAAATGATAAAATTTTACCGTCGAGGAGAATTGGAGCGCTTCCTGTAAGAGGAAGCATAGGAGTCGCGGTAGCTTCTCACACCCTCGCGATAGCTCTCACGGCGTCCCTCTTCCCTTAAATTTGAAAAACATCTGAATTATCATTTTGCTTAAAAAAAATAAACCTAAAGTGACGTCCTCCACCGTAACTACGAGAAGAGCTGCCAAAAGGACCCATGTACTGACCAGGAGTCGGTGAATGAGCTCTTCGAGTCAATGAAAAGTCGACGCGAATCTTTATTCTTCCATTTAAAAAAGGTTATTTCTGGAGATACTACCTTCTGTCCATCCAGTTCAGTTCCAGTCAGCCTGTCGCGAGCAGCCGTCGCGTGTTCAATACTCGTGAAATAAATGAATCCAAAACCACGAGAACGACCGCTGGGACGATCGTAAACCAATTCAACCTACAAAACACGAAAATATTTTCAGAACGCTCTAAGGATTTAGAGTGCTGTAAAAATTTTCTTTTAGTCTCCATTCTATTTCTGTACCATTCATTTAAAAAAACTTCATAAGTTTGTTTTTTTCTAGGATATTTTTTTCGAGTGTGTGGGTGGTATGAAAAAAAGACCAGCGAAAATTCAAACGGCGACTTTTCCGATTTTTTCGTATCGCTAGGGAACTTTCCGACGAAACTTTTCCGACTTTTTTCCCTTATAGTTTTCAGTTTGTAAAACATCTATAAACATTTTTTTTTTCCCATTTTTTTTTGTGTTTTAATCATGAACCAACCACTTACTTTATATAGGAAGATTTAAAACGAAGAGTTTATCGAGAAAAAAAGTCGGAAAAAGATTCGTCGGAAAGGTGGCCGTCGGAAAGTTCCCTAGCCATATGAAAAAATCGGAAAAGTTGCCGTTTGAATTTTCGCTGGTGTTTTTTTCATACCACCAGTGTGTGAGTTTGCAAGTTCATAGTTACAAGTTGATTCAGTCTTCAGAGAAATTTTTTTGCTGAAACATGAAATAAATTAAAATGTGATCATTGCTTTAAAAAAGTAAAGCTTTACTTTTTTTTCTTCATAAATTATCTTCTACTTTTTCAAACCATACCTTTTCGACATCACCGTACTCGCCGAACACATCCTTCAGATCTTTTTCAGTAGTATATACGCTCAGGTTAAATGCTCCCAAGCAATTGCTGGGCTTCGGATTATCGCGTTGACTGTTTCCTCCCCCATATCCTCTACGAGGGGATCTTCGATCTCTTCTGCGAATGTAGAATATTTCTTGTTTATGGGCAAATAAAACTTACGGTGATCTCGAGACACGTCGAGGTGAGCGTTCGCGATCCCTGTGGCGCTGAACAGCCATATTTTAAAGACTACCAAACTTTGTCCATAGAAGTAAAATGGAAAGCGTAGAAAATTCTAATGGGAAATGGCAGGACATCGAGTTAGTATGGTCGAAGCAAGGCATCTAGACCACTCACCGATTCGTCGGATTTCTTTTCCAGGGGTAAGAGGGCACTAAGATAAAGACGTATGATAAGTGAATTTTCAACTGCTCCCATCTTCTATCTTCATTCTCTCCACTTCAACTGCTCCACTTCTTCTTATCACATCTTCTATCTTCACAAAGGTTTTCTTGTTCCAATGGGGCAATCTCGCACGCGGCGAAAATCTAGAAAATAATCATTTCTACGTTTTCGTGTGAAAAATCGTGGTTAAGAAATCGTCCAAAGAAAATAAATCTAATGAACTAGGATAAAAGCCGTGTTTAAAACTTTTTTTTCGGAGACTTCAAGGAAATCGTAGAGACTTTAAGCACTAGAATTTCAACTAGTAAAATCAAAAAAAAAATTGACGTACCCCTCTGGACGGTGAACGGCTGGGACTTCGACTAATGCTTCGAGAGTGGGATCGCGACCTATCCATTTAAAGATCTGAACAAAGATCATTTATAGGTTGAAACATCAAAAAATCCTCCGAACCAAATCAATGGAAAAATAATCAGCTGTTCAGAGAAACAGTTCGGAAAGAAAATGATCGAGATAAACAAAAAGGCGGAAGCATTTATTAAGTACAATTGAGTCACTATACAGTCTACGCGACAATACAATAACAGAAAAAAATTTCACAACATGAGACCATTAAAAATTTAAAACACGCCAGCGTGAATTACTGTTAAAATTCTTTTCATGCGAAAAAAATTAAAGAAAAAAGAAATAAAACGTCAAAAAAAAATTATTATCACCGTTGCGAACTATCGGTTTTTTTCCTCGCTATTTCCTCCTTGTGCTTCTTGTAATTAGCGTAAGGTTTTTTCAGAGGGAGTCCGCCAAGAGATTGCTGAATAATGAAACTGAGACGGAAAAATAAGAAAAAACGCTGCCAAAACTGACCACAAGCCTTTCCTTAGCAGATTCGCTATCCTCCTTGCAAGCTTCCCTCGCAAGTAATTGTTCGACCTAAAACGAGAAAAAAAAGAAGGTAAACACAGAAAAATGAAATATACCTCGAACGTAACGCGCTTCACTGAAGTTTCTTTTTTTGAAATGGCGTTTTTGTTTTTCTTCTTCAGTATTTTCGGAGCGCACGGAGAAGGACGTTTGTATATACATGGAACAACTTGGACGTTCTCTTGTGGTAATCGTAGAGGGAAGAAATTGTCTGAGGACTTGACCTTGCTGACCTATAATTGATTTCAACATAATCCGAAATCTTTATTTACCGCATCTTTCTTGGCTGTCAAGCAGTCTACAAGTTGTGTGAGGGTTTGACTGGAAGAGTCGTTCGGGTTTTCTCCAAAAAGTTCAACGTTGCAACCCCAGTCATCTGACATACCTGTAAGATTTCATACCTAAAAAAACGAAGTAATACAAAAAAAACGAGGAAAAAAATATGAAATTTACAAGTATATGAAAAGGTTCAACAACATGAAATATCCCGTTTGGAAGATTTTATTCAACAAAATATACTATTGATGTCCCAGAGAACTCACTCTTATACAAACCTCAATATTATAACCAAAACGAAAGGTTTAAAAAAGTGAATAGGAAAAAGGTACTGGAAGATCGAATAAAATAAATTTAAAAACTTTGACACTCATTGAACGAAGATGATATTCAAAATAACGGGTGAAAGTGAGAAAAAAAAAGTAGGATTCAAGAAAAACGTAAAAATGTCGTCAAATGAAGTGCTTTAGCTGCGGCATACTTACGACCAATTGGAAACCGTACAAATAAAGAAGAAAAGTCGTTCTCTTCCTAGGAGCTCCTTAACGTTAGTTGGACTTGTCGAAATGATATAAAAGAAACATACAGCTCTTTTAGTTCACAGATATCATTGAAAAGCCTACAACGCAAGTTCTTTCAAAAAAAAAAAACCTCATGATCCAAGTGAAGAATGAAAACAGTAATGTTTAGAAAATAGAAGAAAGACAAATTTTTAGCCACGTGCACCACGTTTTACGTGTCGAAAAAAAATTTGACGTGGGAAAAAGTTTAATTCAAAACTGTATGGCATTTATATTAATTTCGGCGAAATAGAAACTACAGTCACAGCTAATAAGATGATGAAAATTGAGAATTCCACTACTTCGGTTAGAGAGGAAAGTTTAGGGGCGTACCTGACTCCTATGTAAAACTTTTTCTCTGAAGCCTAAAGCTTAGCTGGAGCTTGATAAGACAGCCAAAAAAGAATATCCACGGACAAAATAAGAACTAGATTTTTAAAATTTTATAATCATGCATCATCACACTGAAAAGAAGAAAACTAAGCATGAAAAAAAAAACGAAAGGGTTCACCTGTGAAAAGGTATAAATTTACTATGAAAGATTCCGAATTTTTTTTTGCAAATTTGAATCTCTATGCACCTTGAAAGGTTACCTAGAATCGTTTCTAAGGCTTCAGAAATATTTCTTTGTCTGTAAATTTAAATTTGTTTAGTAACCTATCTCCAGCCGTTTTTTTCTGCGCCCATTTCTGACACTTCGAACATGCAGAGCACCGAAAAATATGATCATTATTTTTCGACTTTAGATAACGTGTAATTGGAAATTAAAGATGAAAATATTCAAAAAAATTAACAGCAAAAAAATTAACAGCAAAAAAATTAACAAAAAAATTATTACCGTTTTTCAAAGTGATTTCACAAAATTTTTAAATAATAATCAGAGAGTGAAAAAGATGGAAAGTCAGAGATAAATCTGCATCTCACTTTGAACATTCATATGAATCATAGCTAATTTGACGCGCGTGGCAAAACAGTTTTTTTCGTTTAAAAGCACAAGCCGAATAGCAGGAAAACCCTGAATATTCTCACAGCGTGATTGTTCGGCCCCGCCCATTTTACAAGAAAAAAAACTGAATATAGAAAAATATATTGGAAATTTGCGAAAAACGTGGAGCCATCCAATCACACGGTGAGAATCCGCTGCGTTTCGGCTCGTGCCATTGAACCAAAAGTACTGTTTCGCTGCGCACGGCTAAATAGCTTTGAACGCAGCATTAATAAAAAAATATAAAATAAATTAGTTAACATCGATTCGTTTCAGAACCGTTTTTTTAGACCTACAGTAACCCACATTCCTTCGGCGCGAACTTTTCGTCGCGAAGCTGATTAATTTGATCGAAATAGTTTTTGGTTCATGTTCAAAGTTATTTCCGCGATATGCGAGTATTTTTCATCTCGTGAAATGGGCGGAGCCGACCAAGCAGGCAATGGGAATCTGCAGCGTTTTCCTGCGATTCGGCTCGTGCTTTTGAACGAGTAAAACTGTTTTGCTACGCGCGTCAAATTAGATTTGAACGCGGCAGTTGAAAGTTGTATTTTTGTGCTCATCGGAGAAACGGATCATTTTTCACAATGCAGAATTTTGTTCATCAGAGTTGCAATTTGCTGCAAAAAAGTGTTTTTTTAATCTCTGTTGTTGCGTTCTGACAAAGTTTTCGTGACAAAATTACAAAGTTTCCGATGAAAATGGCATTAAAGTTTTACACGTTCAAAAATGTAGTTTGGGAAATCGTTTTCACAAATAAATTGAAGAAATGCGTGCGAATTTTGTTCTAAAATTTCAAAGTGCTAACCAACTTTGGAGTGGTTATAGCAGTCCTACAGATGATTTTTGATTCTGCGTTTGCTCAAATTTCTCGAATAGCTTCTTATAACTTGAGCGGTATAAGTCTCCGGGCTTCTGTCGTTTTTTTAATCCTCTATTGCATCAAGCGAAAATAAACGCCTTTTTTTTACTAGTATACAAGGTAATTATGATCATTTCAAATTAAATAGTTTCCTTCAGCGTAATAGTAACTAGTCGATCGATTCCGAGGAGTAGGAACTATATCTTATATTTGGTAGTTCGCTATAGAACCTCTATTTTAACGAGATAAAAATATTGATTGAGTGATTTGTAAAGAGTGAAAATGGTTTTGCAGAGATGTTTTACTCCGTACAGCTGCTCGTTCGAAGAGGAGCGAAATTCTACCTAGTCTGGTGAGTCTGTCAAGAGTTTAAATGATAAACACTTTCCTGATCTTAAAAAAAAATACTAATATGTTGTAACTGTGAGGCTTTTTATATTTAATCAATTAATAAAAATTTTCTTCAATTTTAATGAAGAACGAAAATTTTTTCACTTTCTTTCAGGAAAATGGCTATGGCAACAGCAGGTCGACGAAAAGCGAAAGAATCTGTAAAAGGAAATGTGACTCTTTCTAAAATAAACAAGACAGATATTTTAGCGGAAAACGTCGAGAGCTTATGGTTGGTTTTTTTTTGAACATTTTTTATTCCCAAATGTTATCAGCAAAGAAATCGTCGAGATGGTGCCTCAAAGAACTGGAAGGAGCGTTTCACTCACCGAAGTAGACAAGAAGTTCTCACTTTACGTTCTTGCACAGCTTTTGTTCGGAACAACTGTCCTATATGAGAAACAAGTCGATATATTGCAAAGTGGATTTTTTTTTCTTCTCTATAAAGATCCTCTTTTTAGGAGATGTTGAATCCCTTGTGGAATCTATCAAAGTGAACAACTTCTTATCCAAAATCGTATTAGAAAAGTAGGATCAATTTTTTTTTACCCCCGATTTCTATTTACTCCAGGGAACAGAAGAAAAAAAGACGTCGTACGCAGACTCGTCACATACTTCCTGAGGATTCAGAATCTGAAGAAGAGAGAATCGCAGTTATTCCATCGCTTGATGACCAACACATGGTTCATTTCTTTATTAATTTTTTCTGTTCACTGATTTTCAGTTTGATTTTTCAATGGCTCCTCCGGCTTCTATCACTCTGCAAGATGACACACCGTTCTTGTGGAATCCCACTCGAATGTTTCCTGAATGCGACGATCTGACTGCTCCCACTCTCGAGCAAATTCAGGACTTGTGAGATTTTATATTGGACTTAAAACAGTTCTTGTGTCTAGTGAACAGCAAGTTGGAGCCACTTTTGCTGATTTTTTTGCCAGTGAGCAAAGCGATCGTGGTACAGTTCGGAATGCACATTCTTTTGCCCCTGTGCGTGGAAAAATAGGCATTGTCGTGAAAATGTTTGTTGGTTTAGGAAGACAGAGTTTTCAATTTCGACGAGATTCGTGCTCCAGGCGAAGAATTCGATAGACCGCTTATTGATGTTCCTATTCCAGCTTATATGAAAAACGCAGATGATCTCATCCAAGAGCAAAATATTCCTCAAACACCTGTGTTGGAAGCTGAAAGAGTTCGCGCCGGTTCTGCCAATCGACCAATCACACCTCTCGATAAAACAGGGGTGGCATAACTTTTTTTTTTTGTTCAATTTCTCCTATATTTGTAGGAAACTTTGCTCCGAAGTGCAGGTCAGAATGACTCTGCATTGCATACTCCGGGAAGATCCGCTAAGAAACAGAAAGTCGACGAGGTTTTCGTCGATCTGTAAATTAGTGAAGCAGTCTTTTTTCAGTTCACCACTCTAGCACTTCCTGAATCTGTTCCTGACCTTCCTCACCAAGCAGTCCGTAGGAAACGTCGCAGAGAACTCCACCAACTCTCCATGGTTTAATTAAAATTTATTTTCATCGATATTTTTCTCCAGGATGACATGAAGCACCACCGTGAAAACTACACTTCCCTTCTACATGCTCCAGAAGATCTGCGCGTGAAGTTCTGCCGTGGACGTTGTGAAGTCAAGGACGTTTTTGACCCATCTCCTTACTTGACTTACGAAAAGCGTAGGAAAAGTTAAGTTTTTTGCGCAAAAGTAGTTTTTACAGGTTTTGCTGTTAACCTTCGTGAATTGTACAAAACTAACGTGAACTTCCATTGGAACAAGGGAACTCGCGTGAGACAAGAAGACGAGGAAAGTCAATCAAGTGACAACGATTTCGTGAGTCCTAATTTTTTTTTTAACTATTGATGGTAATGAGTTAATAAAAATTTTCAGCGTTCTCGCAGAGCCGACTTCGAAGAAGAGCTGGAAGAACTGAATCTTTTCGATCCCCATTTTGGCAAGAGCGTTCTTCGTGAATCGCCTGCGTTTGTTTCATGGAAAAAATCAAATTTAATTCAATTCTTCCAGCCGTCCTACTGGAGATGACCTCGACCAAACCAGAAGGGAATTCGATGACCGAATGGAATATCCCGTCCCATTTAATGAGCAACCACAGCCCCTTGAAACATTCGACAATAATGGTTTCCAGGTAAAAATTTTGAGATAAAAATATAAACCTTAAGGAGTTGTTGTATTTATTTGACCTCTACAGATTGAGAGCACCATTGAGAACGTCCGTGCGTCTGACGCCAGAGCCAGTATTGTTCCTCAAAGACGTATTAAAAAAATTTTTCAAATTATATTTAATTTTTTTCTGTTGTTCCAGAAGACTATAACGGCTCCCTTCAAGAAGCATACACCATTGAAAAAGAGAGCGAACCTTTTGCAAAGTCCTACAGCAGGTTTGGGCTTATGCTTTCTTTGATTGAGTTTTTATGTTATCTTAGGTCTGGTCCGCTCGATTTCAGATTGGAAAAGTCGAAGGATAGGATTCTAGAGTAGTTTCGAAATTTTTTTCAATAATTGTTTTAATTTTAAGGCTGGCTCGATATCCTGAGTGGACTGACTTTGAACAGGTTGTCCCTAAGGACGAGTGCAACCGACGATTGGCAGCAAGGGCTTTCTACTCACTTCTTGGTGAGTTGAGAACAGTTTTGGTGTTATTTAGTAGAAGAAATTCAAAAAAGTATCTTTGGGTCATAAATTTGTATTATTTTATTAAAGCTGTTTTTCGTGAATAAGTTCATAATATTTTCGTTAAAGTTTTAGAACATTTTTTCAAGGAAAACTGTTCTCATTTCAATTTTTGTAGTTTTTCTGCGATATATACTTAGCGTTTTCACGCTAGTAAAATTTACCATTTCTCAGAACTGAAGAAATCTCATGGTTTGGAAATGAACCAAAAAGAACCATTCGGAAGGATTCTCTATCGGATGCCCCAGGAGTCGAGTGAAGAACACACTCTTGGAAACGAATCACCTGTTTGTTTTTTTTATTAGTCTTGAGCTTTTCAAATTTTTTTTTCAGGAAAGCGGAGAAGAAAATTAATATCATCTGTATAATTTTGTTATAGCACCCTGTACTATACTTGTTGAGAGTTTATACTTTTTTTTCTCTTCTGAACTCACCTCTTGATTTTCCCTCATTTACCTGTAATATTGCATTTAATCAATGTTTATGGGATTTCATCCCACTGTAACAATTTTTACCTGGAAATAAAATGTGTGTCTACAATTTATGTTGTGTGAAATTTGATACGTTGCTGTCAATTAGATTGCTCTTATAAAAAAAAAGCGCATGGGAGAAAATTGAGTTTAATGCGTTCGCGCTTTGGAAAAAGAATCAACGTACGTAGCCTTTCACACGTGGCATACTTTAAATTAAAAATTTCATCTGGAATGAAAATGTGTCGCCTCCGTTTGCACTATGGAATGTCGCGAAGCTGAGGAATCAGTTTCTCAATCTCCTGCGAAGGTTTTCTCCTGATTAAATGTTCTATTCAATACGCTGTTTCTGGAAAAGTTACTTTCAGTAGCTTGAATTTTCCCACCCTTTTTTGAGATGAATATTTTAGGGTTCTTTCAAATCTGCGGGAACAGACGATGCGGGTTCGACCAATGAGGAAGAGCTGCGCGATTTCCGGTTCCCTTAATTTTTTTCGCTGAAACTTTTTTTTTTGGGAACTATCTTGATTTTCTCAACAAACGAGAAACTTCAGCGGCCACAGCAGCCATCTGTGCTGAAATGGGCCATCAAGAAGAAGTTTGTCAATGTCGAACGGTTTTGTATTCCGATCTCACGCCTCGTTATGACACAATCTTCAGGTTGTGGCCGGTGTCGTGCCCCCAATGCCTTTTGTTCTCGTTCAAAACGACCGTCATCCTGCATGTCAAACTGATGGTGTCCTTCGATCTCGACAGCTGTTTCAAAATGCGTTTACAGACCTACAGAGCTTACCGTTCCCAAGTATTTTTGTTCTGGGGAAGAAGAACAACTACAAACGAATCGGTTTAAAAAGTTTTGAGAAGGTTTTCCTAACGTTTCTTTTGAAAAAAAGTTTAGTTCAAGACATGCGTCGCAAAGAATAAAACCGAGATGGGGTCTCCCAGCAAGGAACGGTTGGAAAAACGCCGAGAACTCAAAAACAATCTTTTCCGGCACCTGGGCATCGTCCGAACCGCCGTCGATGTCGTGGTTTTCAAATTTTTCTTGATCTTTCATTTAAGAAGTCGACCCTAACGTAAAATTTGTACACAGACAGGAAATTTTTTTGCGAATGAAAGCAAAGTACTGTTTGTATTCGCTACAAAAATTATGAATAGCGTTTTTTTTCACGAATAAAATGTTGAAGGATGCCGATGGAATGAAGCAAGAGGACTCGAAACCGACAAAAAGCAAGGAGTCCATTGCAAACACCTTTTGCACCTTGTGTTGCCAAAACTTCAGCAGCTCAAAGATGCTTCTTCTTCACAACACTAAAGTGATCATTTCGCATCTAATCAGCAAAAGTTTTGGATTTCAGCAACACGGAAAAGCGAGTATGGAATGTCCAGTGTGCGGGAAAACCCTCAAAACGACGGCGGCTTTCAACAAACACATGAAGACTCATCTCGGCGATGTACAGTACCACATCACTTGCGAACTTTGCGATCGCAAGTTCAAGGTTTTCAAAGCCAACGGTTTTTGAATTATTGAGAAATTTCAGAATAAGCAGTCTTTGTACACCCATGTTAAAGTGTCTCACGGCGAAGATGAGTATGAAAACCTTTTTTCACAGAAAGGAGCCACCGCATAAAAGGTCATTTTCATAGTAGTTTTAGTTACGAAACAACAACGCTGTCTTTTTTCTTTTTAGAAAACATGATTCGAAAATCAGGTTTTTTTCAGAAGTTCCTTTAAAGAATCGTATCAGCTGATGTCTATATCTTAAGATAATTGTTCATACATCAGATTATTGCACGTTCCTTCTCGCTGTTTTAATTGTACGTACTTGCTTTTTTTTCAAAAGTCTATTTTCTACGGGTTTCCTTCGTGCCTCAGTTTGATCTCGCTGGAGCGCAAATAAACATTTCCTTCTTTTCTCTTGTTCTTTCAAATGGTCTTTTCAAAGTTCATCTATATATTTCAAAGTTTATTTTGATTCAACTTTGGTACGAAAATTCTACTTCTCATTCTTTTTATAGTGATTTTATTGAACTAGTTTACAGGTTTTTGCAAATGTCTGTAAAAAATGGTAAGGAAACGGAAGTAAATGGAGAGGCCGAGAAAAATACAGAAAAAGAAGAAGAAGAGGATCCTGAAGAGGAGGATGAGGAATCTCTTGCCGATGACTTGAGGTATTTTTTCTCCCAAATTTTATTGTAAATATGTTTTCAGTGATCAATCGGACCGAGAAGTAGATGAAGAAAAGGAAACGGCCATCGATTACAAGGTGCTTGGAAATGAAAAATTTTCAGAATTGCCGAGCCTCAGGTTTCTCAAGCTTCGTTCTTATTCGTAAACAGAGAACTTTCAGAGTGACCAGTACTTGGGTGAATCAGGCGACTAACTTTTCGGCTGTCGTGAATGATTCAAGCACAAAAGACGTTGATCTCATCGAGCTTCCGGACAGTTTGAAACTGCAAAGGCCTAATCTCATCCAAAAATGGTTCCCTGTGCAGGTTTTCCCCTCTAGTTTGTGTTCCATTCATCACTTAGTTTCTCAGCACGCCGTTTTGCCCTCACTTTTGAAAGAAGCAAGGATTCCGCCGCTTTTGAGGCCACGTGACATTGCCATCGCGGCGCCAACTGGTTAGTATGTGATTTCATTATTATTTCAACTGTCTCGAATTTCAGGCAGCGGCAAAACGCTGTGTTATGTGCTGCCGATCCTCGCAAATCAGCAAAAAGTAGTTTCTAACGCTCTTTATGCCTTGATTATCGTTCCTGTGCAAACTTTGGTTCGACAAATCGAAGAGGTTTTTCTACTGAAAAACGTTGGAAAACCATATTCTCTTCAGGAGTTCAGCAGATGGAATCCTTCTGGAGCCGTGAAAGTGCTGAATTTGTCCGGAGTCCATGATTACGATTCCGAAAGTCGAAGATTGGATTCTCTGAAGCCAAATGTCATCGTGGCGACGCCGGCGCGGTTCGTCCAGCACCTCACAGCCGTTCCCTCGTTCATCGATCTGTCGCGCCTCAGGTTTTTTAAATTCATAACTTGCTTTTTTTTTCCTCGTTAACTCCTGATTATATGAATAGGAGAACATTTTTTTCAAAAATTTTTAGAAGATCTGATTATTTTTTTAATGGTTTTTTTGAAAATTGAATTAAAAAAATTTTTCTCAGAGTATTCGTAAAGAGCGTATGAAGGTTCAAAGATTTGTTTTATCCAAACATTTACTTCTTGGTTCACTTCAATCACTTTCTGTTTTGAAAATTTAAAAAAAAGGGACTCTTAGTTTTGAAATTTCTCCAATATACCGATCGCTCTAATTTCTCTTACTTTTTAAAATTGGAATATTTTTCCATTTTTTTCCGGCTTTCAAAACAATTTTTTTCAATTCGAGATTCCAAAAAAATAAGACTAGCGACAAATAATGCTTGAGTTTTTTTGGATGAAAATTGAAAAAAAGTATAAAACATCGAGATAATTATGAAACGCATTCTTCATACATTTTTTTAACCTAAAGTTTTTTTCTTCTCTTCATATTTGTAACTTTTTTTGGTTGAGCGAATTCAAGATTTTTTTCTTTTTCGGTATAATTTTTCTAGTTCAAAGATTAATTTTTTTAATACTGAAAGTAATAGTTGGGTATTTTTAGATATTTGGTGGTGGATGAGGCGGATCGAATGGGCAGTTTGGTCCGTGAAGAATGGCTCGACGTCATTGAAAAGTTTTCTGAATGTATGCTTTTTTTTCAACAATTTTCAAGAAAAAAAATGTGTATTCAGGCAATAGTTCATCGGCAAACATGTCGGACGTGTTCAAAAATCGGCAGGCCCCTCAAAAAATAGTCCTTTCGGCGACTCTTTCCAAAGACGTCGAGGACCTCCATTTGTGGAATTTGTACCGGCCGCGACTTTTCAGTGCAACCAGTTCTTCTAGCAAAGAGGTCCTCTTTACTTATTTTTTGCCATGCTGAGGATATTTTTTTGAAGGGTTTCGATAATATCTTCTTTTTTAGAACACGAACTCTGTGAATCATATGAGTGGAGTTCTGGCCTTGCCGGGCTCGATCCAGCACAAAATCCTCGTTTGCACGGCAAAGTTCCATCCACTGGCCGTTTATCATCATCTTTGTGAGAGGAAATGGAACCGGGTTCTCATATTCGTCAATGAAATGTTCGTTCTCTTTTTTTTGCTCAACTTGCGACGAAAAGCTCATGTTATTTCCACTTATTGTATATTTAGCCTAGGTAAAAGTTCTGCAAACGTGTAAACTTTTTTTTCTTTTGCTTACGTTTACCCTTATTGAATATTGTTTTGGGCCAGCGATGAAAAAATTTTCTTGTTGGGGATCTGGAAGTACATCTCCTCTGAACTGAAATGCCCTAAGGCGCGTCCAATTGTTTCTCTGCTGCAAACTATTTCGTCGTTCTCTGGTAGTCAGAGAGGGATAAAAAAAAAGCATGCGGCAGTAAATTCGGGTTCAGAATTATCAAAATTCCATTAGATTCTCAAACGGTGTCCTTTTGCACTTCCCCTGTCAGTAGTATATTCTGAATTTAATGATCATTTAAACTCGTCAAAAGCTGGCGGAATCTTCATTTTCTAGAGAATCTTCAAATCGATTGGCATCGGTCCTCAAACATCTTTGCAAAGACAAATACGAAGTTGATTTCTTCACTGCGGAACTATTCGGAAAACGACGCCAAAAACTTTTTCAGCGGTTCAAAACTGGCGAGGTTTTCCGATAACTTCATTTCTATCAATTTCAACTCTCTCATGTTCAGAATCGTGTTCTGATTGCCTCCGACGTCTTGGCGCGAGGAGTGGACGTCGAAGACATTGATTGTGTGATCAACTACAACTTGCCCCAGTATGATAAGCTCTTTGTTCACAGGTTTTATATCACTTTTTTTCCATTTTCAGTCTATTTTTTCAGGTCCGGCCGTACTGGAAGAGCTGGTCGAAGCGGTTTTGTTCTCAGTATTGCTGACAACGAAACGGTAATTATACTTAATCTTTTAGAAAATTGTGTCAAAAACCTAAAGAACAGTTCAATAGTAAGAAAATCACTACATTTAATATTGCGAAAGCCAAGTTTTTGAGAAGGATTTCCCTCAAAAAAGCTACGTCCAGTTTCTGTGAAAAAAGGCTGTCACGAAAACCAAAGAAAGTTTTTTTTATGCAGTTCCTATTTTCTCATTCCGATACTTTTCCGGATTACTGACGTCTCGAGACAAAAAAGTTCATTTGATGCCTAGTTTTCGTTTTCGTTATGATTATTATCATTTTTTCCACCTTCGGACTTGTTGAAATCTCATAAAGTTCAAATGCATATACACTTTTTCTCTCATTTTTGTTAATAACAGAAGTTTCGAGATAAAATAAGATCTAATTTTTCGAGCTAAAACATCATTTTTTTTTTGTTTAGAAACGAATCTTCATAAAAATGCTGAAAAAGACGGATCTCTACGGCGAAAGTACGGAGGAAGTCGCAGAGGAAAACGATTTCCAGCAGTACATGAATGCGTTCGTTTAGAAAAAAAATGCAAGTTCAAATCTATCCTTTTCAGATACCAGACAGCACTTGACGAACTCAAGGCGACTGTTGCTGTGAATGGAAAGAAAAAAAGAAGTCAGTGAATTGGAAAATGTTTTTAAACGAGTTTTGTTCGTAGATCAACCAGCGCAAAGAAGTGGCCACGAAGGATTCCGGAAAAGGAGACCTGTTAAGGAAGTCAAAGAAGAGTGGTGGAAAAAGAAGAAAAAGAACCGCGACGATTGAATTTTTTTTCTGTTTTCCGTTGTTTTTGTTACCCTCAATATTACAGTTGTTATATTTTGTTGACCCTTTTGAGAACAATTTCTATGATTTCTTGCTTGTTGCTATCTTTTTCGAAGGTTTCGTATACCTTTAAGTTACTTTCATAATTCTTTTTTTTCAAATCGCTTTTCAAAACTAAAGTTGTCGTTAAGATGTCGAGTGCTGGCGTTTTAACGCAACTCGTCACTGAGACATTGTCCTTGAATGCAGAGCAAGAGTGGGAGGATGTCTCTATCTTCACTCCCTTTTTGAGTTGGTTTTTCGATTGGGAGTTGAGAAAAAAAATAGAAAAAAGGCTTTTTGTTATCAACCAAAGTTACAAAAGAAACCTTTGTAAAGTTTTTTTTTTTCGGATGTCATCATTTTCATATTTCATTTTTTTAGAGAAGCATGTCCATAAAAAGTATCTAGGCGACAGTCCTTTTTTTTTTTAATTGTCTTCTGAAGTCCTTAATGATTTTTTTTTCCATTATTTTTCGAAACTTTAGTGCTCATTCTACACTAATCGTAATGAAATCGAATTCTCCCAGATGATCAAGCCCTTTTGTACGACTATGCCGATTGTTTGGCAGTGCAGACGTTTCTTCGGATGGCTCAGCTTCCCTTCAATGTCCGGCAACGGCCAAACGCCGAGTTTATCTCTCCCAACGGTAGATTTCATTATTAAAACCTCATTTAAAAGAACATCTTCAACAAAAAAAGATATTTGCATTCAAGGGCAAACAAATTTCCTTTATTTGAAGGTATCGTCCCTGTCCTGAAAATCAGCAAAACTTTGATCAGTGGATTCGGACCTATCGTCGACTTTGTCTACAAAAAGGTTAATTCGAATGAATTATTTTTCAAGGTGGGATTATTGAAGGGCGTCTCTTTGACTTCGCACCTGAGTGAAACGCAACTCGCCGACATGAAAGCTCACATGTCTCTGGTTGATCATCTTCTTCGGCACGTTGAGGTAAACTTAATGTGAAAAAAGAGCTAAAATTTATACCAAAAGACACATAAGAAATCGTTTCGATAACTTTTTGTGAATATTCAGTCTTCAAAACGCTCTTTTCCTGATTGTTTTACTGTTTCTTGAGAGTTTAAAAAGAACTAGGTTTATTAGACTTCTATTGTATTTATAGACCCTTATTTATTTATTTTTCTTTCATACTTATTGTCTTCTAATACCGATTGCATGGGGAAAGCTTTTGGAGTAATCAAAGAACAGTTTGTTAAAGAAGATTTGTTGATTTTAGCTTATTTCTGAGAGTAATTAGAAATTTTTAAGCTCTATGTCGTTTGGAAGCACGATGAAACGTATGGAGAAGTGACTTGCGCCCGTTACGGATCGGTGTATCACTGGCCGTTGAGGACTGTTTTGCCTTTCTTGAAGCGCCGCGCCGTTCTCTCAGAGCTCAGAGATGCGGATTGGGACTCTAAGGTGAGATATCGAGAAAGTTTTGTGCGGATCTCTTCGCTCCTTTTGAGAAAAGTATGAATTTTAGTGTTCCCGGACTTGCAAAAAAGTTGTAGCATTTTCTTTTTTTGCTTCGGAAAAGACTTTTTCGGAAGCTTGAAAAGTTATTTTAAGAGGGTTTTTTTCTGAAAGTTTTGAACTATCTTCTATCTCTTTTTAAACTTAACTTTAACTGTGTTAACTATGCTTCATACTCAAAAGACCCTATCATGAATGAATATTGTTCGTTTCTCAAGAACGCATTTATTCTCAGCTTTTGTTGTGCTTCAGACGCTGGACGACGTGAGCGAAGCGGCGGACAAGGCGTTCCGTTCTTTGTCGTCGCTGCTGTCGACGAAGAAGTACGTGATGGGCGACATGCCGACAGAGGCCGACGCCCTTCTCTTCGGCCATCTCTACACGATCATCACCATGCGGCTGCCCCTCACCAACCTCACCAATGTCCTCAAAAGATACCCCAACCTTTTTGACTTCACCAAACGCATCGAAGCCGAGTATTTCAAACAGTAGATTTCATTTCATCGTTTAGGGTTTCGGCCTCTTCCAAAAGCAATAGCTAGAAAATCTTATCTTCCTTAAAACTGTTAGTTGAATAGTTTCCTAAAAGGTTTATAAAATCTCACAGCGCATTTTTTAAAAAGCTGGCGGTGAATGTAGCTTGAATGGTTTTTTTTGTTCTTTTTCCTTCACTTGTTCATTTTTAGTTATCTTAAGCTTTCCTTGTTGGACATAGGATTTTAGCGATGTACATTTTTTTGACGAATTGAGAATTTTATCTTATGTGCATTATACGTTACAAAAACTCGTTCGAACGAATAAAACAATAAAATTATACCTAATTGTTTTTTTCTTTGCGTTCTAGATTTTCGCCATACCTGAAAAGCTTAACGAATAAAATATTAAAGTGAAAAATAAAAATAGGTAGATGGCTTACGAAGAACGGGTCGCCGTGCAGAAGATTCTCGATGAGCGGATGACAGAAAATTTCAAAAATTTCATGGAAAAGTACAATATGTAAGTTTTTCTTTCTCCGTAAACGTTCTACTGATCAGAACGGAGATTGCAAAAACTAAACATTTAAGTTGAGATATTTTCGATTAATCATTTTCTGCAATGGTGACTGCTTATTGAAACGTGTTTTGAATGAGCTTCACTTAATTTACTATCTAATTTATTTCCAGTAAGCCCAAGGAACCTGTCGTGGAGAAAACGCAACCTAAAAGTGTAGATAAAGAAGAAAAAAACAGCCGCTACGTATTTCAGGTGATTATTATTTTTAGATCTATTTTTTCTGTTTTTTTCAAGTCCGTTGACTGTTTTTTCAGAAAACAAGTAGAGATTGGGAGTTCAAAATGCCGAAGAATCCGCCAGAAGACAAGGATGTATCGTACATCAAGATGTTGTGCATGACTCGCGAAGTTTTCAGAGACTATCAAGAAAATGCTGACAAAATGGATGAAATGCTGGATACGACTGTTTGAAAAGAAATCATACGAATAGTTCAAAGTTGATTTTAGGTGAAAGGATGCCTAGTGTTAGAAAAAATTGGCCAAATTCGAGAGAAAATGGCTGAAGTGGTACAAGAACGGTATGAGAAGGTTCGGGAGCTCAAGAATTTGTACAAAGTTCTCTACGATACCGAGAAAATGGTCCATCGTCTGCGCAACGTGTGAGTTCAATCTCTTTCAGGTTAATTGTGAGCAAAGATGATCTTATCCCAAGTTTACTGTATTATAATCGGTTCGACTTAAAACAGGAACAGGCAGCTTGGACCCGTAGGGACGCTTTCTTTGAGATTTGTGTTATTTTTATAGTCTTTTCAGATTTTGAATGTCAAGTCGTCGCTCAAGCTCCGCCTCTAATGGTGCGATAAACCAATCAGAGAGCGAGCCATTCACAGAGTTTTTTTGAATGACGTCATTGCACTTCACATTTAAAATCTGAACAGATTATAGTTTCTGTCTGTTTTGAAGGGCTCATCGATTGAAAAAAAAATTGAACTAGTTAGAAGCACTTTGCGATAAAGACGCTTCTGGATGTCGAATCCCGTTTTATTTCACTTTAGAAAATTTTTATAGAATATTGAGCTTCTCACTCCCAAACCTCGTATATGACTTCTTCTCTATACAACTTCAGGATTTCCAGGTCTCCTGAAGAGTTTTACGAGTTCAAACAAAGACACAAGAAGAAGTACTCTAAAATAGACAAGATCGTAAATTCCAAGGTTTCTAATTCACTAAAAGAAAATCACAAGCGTCGCCAAAATGAAATTCAGAAATTCGAATATCGTGAGAAGAAAAAGAGAACCAAGATCATGGAACAGATCAATGAAGCTTTGAGCGTGTTGGACAAAGAAATCAAGAAAAACAAGAAAAAATCGTCAGTCATTTTGAAGGTAGCTTCAGGTGAGGTTATTTTTTGCTGCGAAACAGATGTATCGAAATTTTGAGATTCATTCGAGTCTGAGACGACGTCAAGTTCGTTCGCCTTCGAACGAAGAGTGGCCCCTAAAGTGGAGAGACTGGATCTGAGTGAATTGGAGGTCTTGCAGCGATTTAGAACAACTCACGTCAAAGTCGAATGTTCCAGGGAGAACCTCACAATTTTGCCATTGATAAGAACTCATCGAGGAGAGTGTCATTTTCGACTCCTTCGGTTAGCTCGTCTGTTTTTGGAGAGAGGGAGTCTAGAGAAGGTAAATTATCGTGGGTGTTGAAAATAATTCGAAAATCGTTTGGCTGAAGACGCTGAGACTGTTGTGTTGAACGATTCTCAACGCTCTTCTTCCGATTCTTGGACCAGGTGGGTATTTTTTGGTTCTGACTTTGAAATGGAGTGAAATCTATATCATTGTGAACATTTTCTATGAAATATACGTTTTAGAAAAAAAAGTTTTTTTTAGTTTATAAAAGTAGTATCAGACAAAAAAAGTTTTTATACTTTCTAGATAATTTCCCGAAAAACAATCAAGTTGATCAGAACTTCTTAATTTTCGAAAATGAAGTTGCCTGCAACCTCAACCTCTCAAATTTTAGTTTTTGAGGGCAAAATTTCTAAAATCGAAGAATGCCATCAAGGTCATTAGAAGGAATTTGATTTTAAACCATTTTGTAAGCTCGAGAGTTTTCATAAATTCTGAAATTTAATAAAAGCATTCTCGCGAAACTGTTGTTTCAGACGCTATGATACTAAGTATCCCACAGATTCGACAGCCGAAACTCAGTCGCTATCGCAAAGAGAGGTTTTAATTTTTAGCCAAGTCAACTAAGATCGACCTTTTCAGGATAACTTATTTCTGGATGTTTCGACGGCCCGTGAATTGAACGATTCTCTCGCCGCCTACATCGAGTCTGAAATGAACGAAAGCAAAACCGATAGAACTAATGAAGAAGAAGCTAGAGAAAAATCTAAAAAAGTCGGATGAGAACTTCAAAAACATTTTTTTACTGTTCAGAAACTAGACTCACAAGTATCAATCAATGTTGAGCAGGCCACTAGCAATGAGTCTGGAAACAGTTCAGAAGGAGATAGGAATTCTGTAAGTTCCATCTGATTCAGAGGTTGAAGTGTCGAACAATATATTTCAGAAGAAAGTTCCTCGAGCTGAAAAATCAGAAGAAGCCGAAGAAAAAAGTTTGGATGACGATTCTGGGTTTCTTTTGCCTAAGGTATTGATGAAAACTTGAATTTCTGAAGCTATTCAAATAAAAAATTAATTTGGAAACGATATTAAAGTTTTGAGGTACCGAGAAGAGAAAGGAAGATGGCGGAAGTTTTCGACGACACTCCTAGAGCTGAAAGTTGGTCTTTCCATTCAGTTTTTATTCCAATGTTCATATCAATTTATCGCGTCTTTGGTGTTTTCAAGATCATGATGGTTTTTCTAGAAACGGCAGAGTTCAGTTAAAATCTTCAAAAGCAAGTCTAAACCAACTTGAATTCGAGAAAATATGGCAGCGAAAAAATTGAATTGAGTTTTAAGTTGACGTGGATCCCATTCCCCCTGCAGAAGAAAAGGCGCCGTGGATCACTGAAGAAACTCTTCAAAAAATTGTAAGCCCATGAAAATTTTCCCTCTTTCAATTGGCTTGAAAACAGGGTGAAAAACTAGCTGAGAAAGTTTGGGAGGACCGAGAGAAACTCCGAGGAAAAGACTTCGCGGCATCGCTGAACGTCTGGGAAAAGCCGAAAATAGACGAACTTCTGTCCGGAGAACACTCGACGGAGATGAAGGACTCCTTCGACTCATTCATGTTATTATTCCAAGATTTACTGTTTCAAGCATTTTTCTGTTCAGGATCCGCATCTGGGGGACTATCGCTGAAGTTTTGAACAGGCATTTGGAACTGGTTGGCAGATTTCTTGTATTCTCTAATTTTCATTTTTCAATTTTTAGTTTGAAACTGGAGAAGAAGCTAAGGAGCACTTTTTGAAAGAGGCTCTGAAGGCGTTGCGCGACCGATTTCTGGTAGACAACTTCGAGTGGATTACTGGTTCAGTTTTTTTGTATGGCAGCTGGTTTCGAACCGCTCTAGACTTCTCTTAAAGCATGTTTTACGATTTTCCAGTTTTTTTTTTCGTATTTTAGAATTAAAAAAAAACTATTTTTCATGACAAGCTGAAAAAAAATTGTTCTCAGCGTTCCTACACAATATTTGAACTAATAGGAAAAGTCATTACAGCGCATGATAATGATAATAGTTCAAGTTTTGGTATGACATCACCTCATGAAATTTCAGGGACACGTAATTCCAAGCGAAGGAAATTAATAAGATAAAATTTATTGGCTTGAAATTGCAAAAACTCTGAATTTTTTTGAATTGCTGATACAGTTGAAATAGAAAGCTGCAAAAAAATACCTCTTAAAAAAACAAAACTAACTTTCTTGTTCAAACCTTCCAAATTTCACGTTTCAATAAAAAAATTTTCCACTTGCGTTCAAAGTTGAAATGATTTTCGACTAAAAAGGAGCTATTTTACTTTTTTTGTAAAATTAGTTTTCCAGAAGTGCAACTGTGTCAACGTATGGAACATTTGTCGTTACTCGACGTGGACTACCGCCTTTATAATCGCAACAGAACGCCGCTGGACAATCGGGAGGAAATCCAGTTGTTACAGCAATTTATGGACTCGACTTGGCATCTTTATCATCCCAACCGAACGGTTCACCACGTCTTGAGTAGTTCTAACCAGATTTTTCTCAAGGCCGCTCTTCTGAACGAATTAGCTCAAGACGAGAAAGATCAACTTTGTGTGGAAGTTCTCCGAGAGGAAGTCGCTACTTACTACGAATAATTGTATAAAACTCGAGAAACTAACTGAAATAAATGTGTATTTGTGTAATTAGAATAAGTGAAGAAGAGTTGCGATAAAGCTGATGAGGAGGAAAGCGGCTGGAGCGGAGGCCGTAGTTTGGCCCCAGGGATACCCGTTGTTGACGTCTTTGCAGGCCGCATTTGGAATGGTCATGGCTGGCAGGTCGGTCAGCGACGGATTCGTCGTGCACGAAGGGTCCAGCCAGCAGCGCAGGATTCCGATTATCTGAACCTCTTCATTTAATTTCAAAGCCCATTCTTATTGATACTTAAAGGTTCGGCTATTCCGCGCTACTAAACCAGAGTTTTCAGCCACAGTAAAAGCCGTTATGGCGCGTTTATTTCAAAACTGAGCACGAAACTCTTGTTTGTTCTTACTTTGAAAATAATTTACATTGCTCATTATTATAACGACGTTATAGAATGAATTATACGATTCTAGTGAACCTGGAAGCGTGCGTTGGTGATTGTGTTAGGGTCGCAGGTGTTGGGAGTTCGGAGGTCGAGATGATGTGCTGAACCGGGAATCTCCAGAACGTACAATCCTCTCGATACATCAGTCTTGTCCTTCTTGAAGCCGCCGCCTGACCAGGGGTCCAGATGACCTTGTCTGAAGTGAATTTTGAAAGAGATAAGCTTTGTCCCTATCTACGTCAGAATAATGTTGCTGGCGCCTGCGAGATTCAGTCCGTAGAGAGTCTTGACGGCGTCGATGTTCCACGTCGCGCTGGTCCAGTTGAAGCTTCCGAAGACGGAGCTGCAGCCGGCGGCGAGCGTCTGGAAGAGATCTGCGCCGCACTCGTTCCAGAAGACGTCGTTGTCGCCGCCCTTGGAGCACATTGCAATGATGATTTCCGAGCACTCCTGCAAGTCTTTCTTCTTCGAAACGCTTCTCCTTGAGCTGGATCACCTGCCAGGGCCATCCCAGCTGGTCGTTCCCCAGTCCGGAGACGCCGCTGTCTCCGCAGATGGAGTCGTCGATGCAGTAGACGTAGCTGGCGTTGTTGTTGTAGTTGTAGTAGATGTTGGCCGCGCTGACCACCATCGTCACCAGCTGTTGATCCGTGAAGTTGGTCCCGGTGGCGTTCATGTTGGCGCAAGCCGCCTCAAACCTTTTTCGTTCCGATGAAATACACATTTCTGAAACCTTGACGGGCCATCCCGGCAAAGGCTCCAAGAATCCGGTTGGATAGGGGTAGTCCACCATTGCCATGTACTCGATCGCTTCTCTGGATTAATTCATTTCAAGCTAACAAAAGAGATAATTTTACTCGGGATTGAGCTTCTTTTCAGAGTCTTAGAAAGGCTGACAAAACCTTGAAGACTTTCAAAATGCATGCCTTTTTTTTTCTGAGTATCGGCGCCTTCATTTTTTCAAATAAAATCCATAAGGATTAAACTTTGAAGTTTCTTTCCTGGAAAACTACTTTTTTTTGTGCAAACTGAAACTTCCAAGATATCCAGTAAAATTTGGGCACTTTTTTTAAATGAAATTTCGAAGTTAAAAATGAATAGACTCATCGTGAGAGCTTACCGAAGGTAATAATTGAAGTTCCAGCCATCGGTAGTATTTCGAATGGGAGTCCGCGGGTCGAACTTGAACTGAGTGTTCAGCCAGTTTCTACCAGATGCTGGAAAAGTCCTCTTTTCGTGAATCCTTTTCCGAAGAAGCTTACCAGTGCTGGAAAGACGGATGACGGCGTTCCAGCAGTTGGCCAGAATATATCGATTGCAGCCGGCGTCGACGTAGGTCCTCGAGGTGATGTTGTCGAAGGCGCCGGGGTCGACGCCGCCGTCGCGGAAGTAGATCAGCGGCGCCGATCCTGCCCAGGCTCTGGAAAAGCTTCCGTCCTGCTTGAGCAAGGAATTTCATTTCACATTGTGGTTGGGAATTTTTTCGAAACGGGCCAGAATACTTAATGATGAAAGCAGATAGAGATCCTGGAAGTTCTGAACTGCAGAACTCTATAATTCGAAAAAACAGTCAATGTCAAAGGAACCGACAAAATTCGTTACCATCGTTAGAAATCTAAAAAGTTGGACAGGTTAAAAGTTAAAGGACATATGGTACAACAAGGAATATTCTGACCAACTTTCAGAAAATTCTCAAGCGCTTTGAGAAAAGAGTTACCCATCGACAATGTGCGGATACTTCTGCCGGAACCAGGCCGAAAGCATTCCTCCGTAGGAACCGCCGAAAGTGATCACTTTGGTGTCGGCTGAGTAGGTGTAGTTGAACTGGTTGTTTTTGGTCTGAAATTGATTTCATCTTGGATTTTTAGAAAACTCAGAACCTTGAGCACTGTGAGAAGCTGAGCGTAGTCGGCAAGAGCTTGTTCCGAAGTCAGGAGGCCCATGTGAGGGATCGACTGGAAAGATTTGATGGATAATCGAAGAGAATTTTCCTTTTTTTTTATTAGAGCTCAACGCACCGAGTAGGATTCATTTCCAAACGGCTGCGTGACTCCGTAGAATCTGTGCTCGGCGAAGATGATGGCGGCGTTGAACATTTGAGCGATGTCGAACATTATTCCCTGAAATCATCTGTTCCGTATTAACTTAAAAATAAATTTATTCTATTTTTCATCTTGAAAACTCGTGAAAGCACTCGGTTAACCTCAAACCGTAGCGTTTGTGATCAAGATATAGCTGATTCACGACTGGCTTGAGCCATCGAAAAAAGGCTCCTGACACGATAATGCACGAGATAGCGCCTGGCTCGTGGAGAGCGCAGACTGGACACGCCCCTTAGCGTCCCAAGTTAGCCGTGAATCAGCTATAAACCCAACTCAAAAAAGACTTGTTTAGCTGCTCTCTTGAAAAATTTTTCTCAGTCGTTACGCGTCGAGCCAATCCAGGTGCGATCACAGACTTCTTGTAAAGCTTGCATTTTATGATTACCGTGGCCGTGACGAAGCCAGTAAGATCGCCTTCGTTTCCACTGTAGAAAAATATTGGACCTCCTGGCTTGTAGAACGTGTTGTTCCACATCCATCTGAACCTCTTCTTCGTCTTTTTTTTTTTCATCAACGAAAATGAGCTCAATTTCAAGAAAAAGACCTCATTGCACGCCATTGAATTGGAAATTTCGAGGAAAATTGAAAAAACCAAAAAAAAAGAACAATTATCGCTCTGGGTGGCGAGATCGACGGCTTTTTCTCTCGCAGAAAACCATCTTATTTTGTGAGTTTAAAACATTATCAATTTTTTCGTTTTATAGTAATGATTTAATATCTTTTAATAATAACCAGTCTTCACAATTTGCCAACTTTTTTCTAATTTTTTGCGGAAAGCTTTAGTTTCATTTAATCATTTCATCACGAACCTCAAGTCAAAAGTTCTGGTATCAGAGTAGGTGAAGTGATCCAGCTTCATGCCTTTGTAGAACATCACCTTGGCCGGATAGTTGACCCCATCGATGACGTCACGTCGAGGGAGGCCGAGGCGTCGCCTCCGGGCATCTGCGCCTCCGACGAAAAGGGCTGCCGCCAGAAAAAGGATCGCCAAAAGCTGCCGCATTTTCCTTTTTTGGCAGGCTGCCGATGTGAGTCCACCACGCCGGCTTCTGCCTTCGCTGATAAGCGCATTTCCAACTGATAAACTGACACGCCGGCTTCTTCAATCGAAAGAACTGTACTTGATGGCAAACACACTTTCTGTTGGTTTTAAATTTCGTCAAACGAGGTCGTAAATCTGAAAACTGTCAAATCAAATTTGGAATGTGGAATTACAAAAACCACGCAAGCTAGTTTAATATGCGTGGTCAAAAGCAGAGGTTTCAGGGACACTTTTTCAGAGTTTACCGTGTTGCAGTCTTGAAATAAGATTAAAAACAGATGTGGATAAAAAACGATTAGGAATTAAATTTTTAAGTGGGGTACGGTGAGAGATGAAGTGCAAAACACATTGACGCAAACTGCTTCGTAAAAATTTTTACGCTAATTTTTAATTTTTAACACAACGTAATTTTTTTTTTTCATCTGTAATATAATTTTACGTTCTTCCTTTTTTTCGTAGTATAAAATAAATAAAAAAATAGTGCTTGGTGAAATGGTATTTTTTTCGAGTAATGTTCTTTGTTACAGCAAGTTTTTTTTTTACAATTTGAAAAACGATTAAAATTTTTTAGATTTTTTTATCGAGTACCCAAATTAGAATTTCATAGAGCGTACATTTTTTTCAAGTCTAAAATGATTTAATTTGTAAATCTTAGTTTTCAAAAAAAAAATAAGCAGTTGCGAGTTGTTCCTTCTTTAAAGTTTTCTAGAATGTTAGTTTGAAGTTTTTTCTTTTTGCTGTTTCTTTTCACTCAAATTAAACAACTTCTTGCATACACTTTCAGAAACCGAAAAAGGTTACATAAAAGACATATTTTCAACAGCTTGACATTGGAGCGCACTTTCTCGTCGAGCGAGAGATTGCTATCCCGAGGCACTCTCTTCTCACAAAACAAGCTTCCAACGTGGGCGTTTTTCCTTTCTTTTCTCTCCATCTCTCTATCCGATGCCAAAATAGACTATTCTGTTTTCCGCCTGAAATTACCTCTTGCCTCAAACGTCATCGGTTTTTCGTAATTATTTCTTGAAAAGTTCAATATTTGACGCGTGTCTAGCTCTTGTTTTTTATCGTCTATGACGTTTTTTCGACCGCCGATCATTGTTATTTTTTTCTGATATGAGGTGTTTATGTTTATTGTTGGAATTCAGGGAAGAACGCCGTTTTTTATGGGTTTATTCACATTTTTGTGTTTGTTCGTACTGCTTTTATGTGTTGCGGGTGTTTTCTTCCGGAGTAAAAGGTGGGAATTTTTCAAGATTCATTGAAAATATATTGCGAAATTCACTAAATCAGCAATTTTTTATGTTTTTCTCATTTTCTAAAGAATTGAGAATAGAAAAATACTTTCCCTTGAGAAAAAAAAGACTTTCAAAAGCAACGATAGTATCTGAATTGAACTTTTAAAATTGCAAAATCGAAACTATTCAAAAAGTGAAGTATTGAAAAGTAAAATCTAAAAACAGATATTTACAAAAAATTTAAGGAAAAATGGTATAATCGCGTTTTTCCACCCTTATTGCAATGCTGGAGGCGGCGGCGAGAGAGTTTTATGGTGTGCCATTCGAGCGATGCAAAAACAGTGAGATTTACACGAATTTATCAGAAAAATGATAAAGTTAACGGTTTTCCGGTTTCCTGCGTACCGCCTTTACGTATACACGGGAGATTTTGAGGCTTCAAAAGAGCAAATTCTTTTGAAAGCTCACCAGAGATTCGGCATCGATCTGGACCCTGCTAGAATTCATTTCATAAAACTTAGGTTGGTGTTGAAATGATTGGTTCTTTTGCAAGAAAGGAATAATTTGAAGACTGAGAAGAATTGTGGAGGCCGATTTGTATCCGAGGTTGACAATGTTGGGACAGGCGATTGGCGGTGGGATTCTGGCCTTGGAAGCTCTTTTCAAGCTCAATCCTGAGGTATATCGAAATACTCTATGGGAGCGAAGTCATTGAATGAATCTGAAATTTGAAAAAAATTATTTTTTTAATATTTTTCATTTTCAAGGAAATAAAAATACAGAATTTTTGCGGTCATTCTGTGTAATATTTGAGAGATTCGAACCCAAAAAAAGCCCATTTTTTTGACCAATTTATCTATTTTTTTCCCGGAATTTAAAAATTTTTTTAAATTGAAATCCGCGATTTGCGATTATAAAATCTAGCGTAAACATCAAGAAATAATAATTTTTTTGAATAACTTGAGAGGTTGAAAATTAAACAGCGCTTTCGTAGATTTTTCGAACTCCAGAAACCATGGAACTTCCTTCTAATAAATTATTCATTTATTCCATCGATTTCTCATAACTCTTTCCCAAGGCAGTCATTGACTCAATGGGCTACCCACTCAGTCTGCCCGTTTTCAAACTTTTCGGCGGAGCTAAGGTCGCCACCTACGTTCATTACCCTACGATCTCTTGCGGTTTGTACTCGGCTCCAAAAGAAAAAAAAGTTTTTTTTCTGTCTCCCAGACATGATTGAACTCGTCGAAACACGAAGATTCTCTTTCAATAATTCGCAGCTCATCGTCGACAGCACCATGTTGACGTATATTAAGGTTTCTCTTTGGGATTATATTTTAATTTTTTCTTTCGGTCAAAGTTTCTTAGTTTGCCCAGATAAATTGGCACAATGAAGAGCTTTTTAGAACGTTTTTTTGCGTACTTTTTAGGAGTCCGGTTTGTCAAGGAACTCGAGAATTTTTTATGCTAAAATCAAAATTTTTTCATTTTAATGATTTTTCTTCCAAATAATTTTTTTATTAAGAGATGGATTGAGAAACTAAAGTTTTTTTACTTCTTCCCGTTTGTGGAAAAAAATATGTCAAAAATTATATATGTGCTGTAATTTACTTCTTTTTAGGTTTTGTACTACCGAATTTTTCGCCTTTTTGCTATTGGCTGGCTGGCCGAGCAGCCGACCGCGTCATGGTCAATGGGAGGTAACATTTTACGAGTTGATTTTTTTGTTTTTTTGAAACCTGATATAAAAAAACATACAATCTCCGAAAAATATTTTTCAATTGGATTTTTCTAATGATCTCTTTCCAGCTGGACCCAGCATCACATCACGTCGATTTGGCGACGTCGCGACGTCGATATCGTGTTTCCGCCTTGCGATGTCGGCGTCCTTCAGTCCGTGGAATCGATCGCCGAGGAATTGTTCGTTTTTTTTTTAAACTTCAATGTTTCAAATACTATTTTCCTAGGTTCACTTCAAGCAAAGTTCTACGAATTTTGGCGGTTGGCCAAATTCGCCCGGAGAAAAATCATCGATTCCAGTTGGAAATTCTCCGTGAAGCCAGCGATTCTTTGCGAAAAGAAGGTATCGAGGTCGGTCTTTGTGAAATTTTTCATCACTGGTAACGCATTTTCAATGAAAAAGAGATATTGAAACAATTTCAAGAAGTTTTTATGTGCAGGTTGTTCATATGCAGTTGAAGTTTTCTTTCAAAAGCAAAAAAATACTTTTTGAAGGGGTATTAAAAAAAATTTTTGAAAGTTTTTTCGCTAGGTTTTTTTTTCTAAAATAAGAAATGCATAAGTGCGTGAGAAATTTTCTTTTCTTTCTCTTCTTTTGTTAGATTTTTTATTTTTCAGGTTCGTCTTTGTATTGCCGGCGGATGTCGTGACCGGGATGATGAAAAAAGAGTTGGAGAGTTGAAGGTACCCCTTTTTTATCGTTCTCTGCGAGAAAAAAAGTTTTTTTTTTTGCAAAAAGACCTTCCGAACTTTCCAGAAATACGCAGAACAATTGGACGTGACGTCACGATTGGACTGGAAACTCAATGTTCCTTATGACGAACTCGTCGAGGAAATGTCGGTCGGATTGTTCATAATTAATCAGTTTTAACACTCTGTGTGATTAGAAATCGATGATTTCGCTTCACACGATGCACAACGAACATTTCGGGATTTCGGTGGTGGAGGGCCTCGCCGCTGGAATGATCACTTTGGCTAACGATTCTGGTGAAAATCTTGCTAGATTCTAGGAAAAATCATAGAAAATATACTCTTTTTTTCGCGACTTGAAACTGCTTTCTTTTCTCTGCGCCCTCCTCGTCTCTCGGCCACCCTCTCATAATGACGTGATATTTTCATGTTTCTCTGACCTTGTCAGTGAGGGACCAGAGAGACGCAGACACTCGAGAAGTGTCAAGTCGCGGCGAACAGGATATAATATGGCAGCGTTTCGAAAAAAACTTTTAGAGAAAGTCAATTTAATCAATTTATTTTCGCAACATCGGGATGGTATGGTGATGTTGCAGGGAGGGAAAAAGACCACTAGGTGGATCAACTAACCCCATCTGTGAAGAAAAAATTTTTGTGTGAGAAAAGAAAAAGTCAAAGCAAAAAGTTCAGTTTTGAGAGAAATTAGATAATTAAAGGTCGATTCTCATTCTTTTACGTCTATTTTTCCACATCAGAAAGTGGGAATAATTGGCTTTGAAATTATTGAGATTCAGAAAAAGCTTTTTGTTCCGATTCCTACAAAAGGAATGTTTTTTGATCTCCGTAAAATTCCTAATTTTTCCTCTTCTCAAAAAATCTTGAAATTTTTTCGAATTGAAAATTTCGCAATGTCTTGTTGACTTTTTCCAATTTCAGATCCAAAAGTCCTTATTTCTTTTCATTTCTCATTCTTCGTTTCTTTTTTCTCTGTGTGTGCTTCCGAGAACTAATTCGATTGTTTAGGAGGCCCCCAAATGGATATTGTAAAAGATCTGGACGGCCACAGCACCGGATACTTGGCCAAAACCAAAGAAGGTCCTTTTTTTTTGCTTTTTCTTTCAAATTGAACTGTGTTTTGTAGTTTGAGAATGTTCTATTTCAGAATATTGCCACGCAATCGCCAAGATAATCCGCGAGCCGCGACAAATTCGCGACGAGATTCGAAAATCCGCACGAAAATCGTCTGATCGGTTCTCCGAGGAGCGATTTGAGGTGGATTATATTATTTTTAGCTTGAAGAAACGCTGAAAGTTCAAATACTCTCATTTCTTGATCTTTGTCTTTTTTTGATTTTTTTCTAGAAAAATGATGAATTTTTTTAGAAAGTAGTTGAAAAATCTTTTTCAAATTTTTTTCAAAAAGCTTCATGTAATTTTTTTAGGACACCGACTTTAAAAATAAATTTTGGTGATTTTTCTTTTTTTATCGGAGAGATTTTTAAGCTTTTTGTGTCTTTGATTAAATAAAAAAACATCGAAAAAAATTTTAAAAAAATACAAAGAGTGAAAAAAATTTATTTCGAGATTGTTATAATTGAAAAATTTTTTTAGTTGTGTTCGAAAAACAAAAAAAGAGAATACAAAAAAACCTTGAAGTCATTTTTTTAAAGTAAGCAAGTCTACAGGGTGGCTCAAAATTACCCGCACAAGCTATAAATGCTGTATAAGAAAAAGTAAAAGTCAGAAATCCATGGGAATCAACAAAAAGTTTATTCATGATCATAACAACAATTATAAGCTAATCCTGTTCCATTTGACTTCCTCTCTTTGCGATGACAGTACGAAGACGCCGAGGGTACGCGACGATGGTTGCACGCAGGTAATCTGGCGACAAAGTGTCTCATTCCTAGACCAGGGTCTTGTTCAGGGCCTCGATACTTAAGGGGGATTTGCCGTTGACCTTGTTTTGCAAAACCCCAGAAGGAGTAGTCCAAAGGTTTGAGGTCTGGTGAAAAAGGTGGCCGTTAGTCCTTCGGGATGAACGCAGGCAAATGGGTCTCGGACCACTGTTGCGACAACTTGGCTGCGTGTGCTGGAGCACCGTCTTCTTAGAGCATCCAGGGACGTCTATTGAAGTCCTTCTGAGTCCAGGGAAGAAGTGTCTTCTTCAAAATCTCCGAAATGAAAACTTCCTTGTTGATTTTTACTTCTTGATCGACAAATAGCAATGGTGTCTTGCGATCAGCAGACTCTGCTCCGAAAACCATCACACTAGCGGGGTGAGAGGCTCGATGAATGGTCCTTCCGTTGCCAAAAGCTTCGTCAGACGTCTTAGCAAGTACTCGATGATTTTGAGGGTTGAATTCGGCCTGTACCGTGATCAGCTTCTCGTCAGAGAACACTGTAACCAAGTGTCCTTCAGTGCGCGTGCGCTGTAGGAGCTCTCTTGATCTTTCGAGCCGTTTCTTGTTTGTAGCTTCCGAGAGAATGGCTGCTTTTCTTACATGGTAACAGATGAGCTTCAGCTTGTCTTTGAGGATCCTTTCCATCAAACTTCGACTAATTTTCATATCTTTCGCCATCTTTCTGATGCTCCGGACTGAATTTCTTCTGGTTCTCTCTTTCTCAGCTTTGATCCGATCTGGAGTGACGACTGTTGCTTTTCTTGCTCTCCCACATCTATCCAAGAACTTGCTGAGCTTTTTGAAACGAAAAATCAAGTCATAGACGGTTCTACTTGGGACTGCGAGCCGTTTAATGATGTCAACCGGAGCGACTTCTTTTTTGAAAAGGTGCAGAATCGAAGAGCGATGTGGATTCGGTGGTGCCATTTACCGAAAACAAAACCGATTGATCTGAATTTTGGCAAAATGGTAAAAAACATACAATTAATCAAAATTTTATGTATTACGAGCAACAGAATTGCGTTTTCGCCTTGCTGTATAGCGTCAAACTTTTGTGCGGGTAATTTTGAGCCACCCTGTACAACTAATCTATTTTAAATTAATTGATGAGAAGGATATGTTTCACATGCGACCGTGTATTTTCATTTTACGGCGAAATGAGAATACTAAGAGAATTTTAAACTTATCAAATGCGTTTTCGGTAAACTCCTTGAGGAGAAAAATAAGCGTTGAACTTTCAAGAGTCAGCATAAAATTACGAAAAAGTACTTAAATAAACAAATTCAGAAAGAATGGCTTCGGGTGATGAAAGGTTTCCTCAACCAGGAGTCAAGCTCTCACAGTTCCCACAGCTCTCGCAGCTCTACGCGATAATTTATCTGGAAATATCTATCAGATTTTTTTTTTGGCTTCAAATCTTCGTTTTACTTGTTTTTTTTTCAATAGGGGTATGTTGCACTTTTAGTCGTTGATTTTTTTCCTTTTCTGATTGGCCTTATTAGGTCGCGTTCACACTTACTTGCCCTCATCGGAAAAGGGAAGAGATGCGAGTCAAAAGAAGCAAAAAAAGGAAAAAAGAAGACAAGGGCGGCTCTCTCTTTTCATTGACATTATTTTGTCAATTGGCGCGTTTCGCCCTCTAAATGCTCCATCTTTTCTCATTTTCATTCATTTGACGTTTTTCCTCCTCTTTAGCTCTTCTCATTATGGGTATTTTATCGTCGAGTGATGTCTTTTTTGTCGTGATATTCGTTTGGTCCGTTCATCGTTGGCTTGTGCCTTGAAAATGCTCAAAATGTCGTCTTGAAATGAGAATTTGAAACCAACTATGAACTGACCTTTAACTGTGAGAGATTAAGGTAAAGATTTTATTAATTTGAAGCGTTTTCCTCGATTTTTTTTTATTGGTTTCCAGCCAAACCGTTATTTTTAATCTTTTTTAGATGTTGAATTGAATTGAAGAGATATTTCGACAGATGAAACTTTATTCGATTCTTGTGTTCCATAAGGGAACGACAGGAGATGTCCGAGCCTTCAAATCGGCCTTCGATTTGTCATCTTTCAGCTTTTTCCAGCGAGGCTCTGTACAGGTAAATTGATGTTCGAAATATTTTTTCAGATTTCATTTTGTAGTTGGAATTTGGGAGAGATTCTTGAAATAAACAGTTTTTTTCTTAGGAATTTATGCAGTTTACTGGAAAGCTTCTTGTGGAGCGGTCAGGACTTGGCGCTCGCAGCTCCGTGAAGGTATTCTTCAAGCTAGAAGTTGTTCCTAAAAACTACATTCTTACAACTATCTTTTTAAAAAAGTATTGTTAGTATAATTCGTTTGCCGCGACTTGGCACTTTTCGAGTGTCTGCGTCTTTTTGTTCCCTCAACGGCAGGTCTGAGAAACATGAAAATATCACGTCATTATGAGAGGGTGGCCGAGAGACGAGGAGGGCGCAGAGATAAACAGAAGTTTCAAGTCGGAAAAAAAACAGAGTATTTCAGTCCGAATTCTGAGAGTTCGTGTTCGAAAAAAAAAGTTGAATTTCTACTTTTTTCGCTTACAAAAAAGCGGCCCCCAAAATGTTAGTTTTATGTTTTTTTCAGGAAAACGAGTACCTTTGCCACTGCTACGTCAGAAACGACGGACTCGGCGCGGTTTGTGTCACAGACGCTGAATATCAGGTAATTCCTGAGCTTTTTTTTTGGTTTCATGAAAGTGTTTATTTTATTTTTGCGAATTTTTATTGTTCTGAAAAAATTGAAATTGTGAGTTTCTTTACGAAATTATCCGAACTTCTAGGCTCGCGTCGCAATGAGTTGTTTAAGCCGCGTCTTGGACGATTTCACGTCGAAAGTCTCGGCTGTTCAATGGGTATCTTTCTTTTTTTATATGAAGATTTTTTCCTTTTCTACGAGGTCATCTGCTTCTAAAGAATAGTCTTCATTTATCATTGATTTTTCAAAGTTGAAAGTTTAGGATGCTCACTGGGTATATCAAATTTTTACTATATCTTTTTTTTTCTCTTTAAAGCTTTTTCTTCTAAAAGTAATAATACTTCCTTATCATTGATTTTTTTAATGTTTTTAGTGATTTTGAAAAGTATGATGTGAAATATATATTAATTATCTTGATAATGAGTTTTATTTTTTTGATTAACTTAGATTAACTAGCTTTTTTTCCCCATTTTCTGTTTTTAAACGTGTACCTCATTCTTGAAATTCAATAGTCTTTTTAAAAATCCGTGGTCGCACTCGAAATGGTTAAAAGCGTTGCGGTTGAGGTCGGGTTACGAGTCGAAATTTGCTGCTTGCTTTGATTATTTAAGTAGAAGTTCCTTTGATTTTTTGAAGTTTGAAAAGCTGAAAATATGTTGACCGGTTAAAAAGGAGCGATACTGTTTGCACATTTTTCATATAAATTTTCATGCTAATGGAATAATCCAAAGCGTATTTTCCATTTGATTCAATGACTTGCCATTCATGTCATTGCGGAGAAGGAATTTTCTCCCTGAACCCTTGCTTTTAAATTAAATAGAGTTTTATAAAATCAGCCCTCATTCCTAACTGACTAACCTCCTATTTGTGAAAACCTAGAGTATATGAGGAGATTTTCGAATAAAAAAAAACTGTTCAGCCTCAAATCAAGTCCGACAAGGACTGTACATACAACGGACTGCCTGAACTTCTGGCCAAATGGCAAAATCCACGAGACGCCGACCCAATGACCCGAGTTCAGGTTTTTCTTGCCTCTCTTCTCTTTTCAATGCATTTAAAACTCAGGAAGAAGTTGAAGAAACCAAGATTGTCATGCACAACACGATCCAGTCTGTCTTGGACCGAGGAGAGAAACTTGACGATCTTGTCAGTTTTTTTTTTGAGAATTGAAATCTTATCTGCCAGTATAGATATGCTTATAACTTATTAAAGTAATAATGAACCACATGAAATGGCTTGAATCTTCAAAATTAATGAAACGTTTCAGTTTAATTTTTTTCAGCCTCACAAGATAGTTTGAAAAATTAGTAAGTAAAAGAAAGCGTTCATGTACTTTGAGGATAAAAAAATTTCAATTTTTTTCCAATTTTTTTCTGATGTTAGTTTCAAAAAAATTTATTTATTTTTTTCTTTTTCTGTACTAGTTTCTTCAACATGTTGCAAAAATTCATTTTACCCCATGAAATATCCTTTTGAAACGAAAGCGACTAGTGAACACCTTTTCACCTTTTGAGAATCAATCAAAAACATTTTTCACTTGACTCTTCTTGAGAACCGAAATTTCCCTTTCCTACTATGAATTTTCGTGATTTGTGAGATCTTCTCAGTTGTTTTGAAGGTATAGAAGTGCTCAAAAATGGAAGAAGATCTCAAACCTCATTTTATTCTATATAATTTTGGGTTTAAGGCAGGAATTACTTTTGAAAAAGCGGGAAAACTAAAAGTATTATTCAGCGCTAGTTTTGAAATAAAAGGCCTCTTCTTCTAGTTAACTTTTTCGCAATTTCAATGGAGTACCTCACTTTCCATCGTGTTTTTTCTGATTAGAAAAACATGTTTGAACAATTAATTATATTACCTCCAGTTCCGATTTTCAGGTGAAGAAGAGCGAGAACTTGTCAGACCAATCGAAGCTTTTCTACACACAAGCACGGAAAATGAACAAATGTTGCAACTATATGTGAATATGAACCGCCCCCAGAATATCCTCCGCCTATTTCTTCTGTTTTGCTCTCCTCTCTGTCTTTTTATGTCGAAAAACTCTACACCCCAGCTGAAAACTTTGTTTTCCAACTCTTTATGTCCTTTCCTTTGCCCGAGAACCACAACTTTTCATTTTTCAACAGCTCTTTCTGGTGTTTGTAAACTTAATGCACATTCCTTTCGTGTCGAGATTCCCGTGAGGTGATCCCAACAAATTAACTTATAACTTTTCCTTCTGCTCTGTCTCTTTTTTCTTTCGATTGTGCCACGGTGACGAAATTGCTAGCATAATAGAATTTTTGGAGCCGATGGATTGAGCAGTTGTGTGGAGTTGTGATGCGTGGCGATCAGCCACTTATGAAGATTTTTGTGGATTTTTTCGGTTGCACTTTTGATTTCGAAAGATCTTTTGATTGGAATGGTCCGATTTCATACTTGTCTTTGGAAGTTAGCCTTTTTAATTAAATGAAAAAGGGTGGTAATACATCCTAAGCAGTAAATTGGTATAATTTATTCATTAAATAATTATTCGATTCAAAGTTAGTCGAAGTGTGCATTGATTGGTTTGAAAAAAAAAATCAATTTTTCGTTTCTATTAACATATTCCAAAATTTAATTTCTGTCCCTGTGAGCTCTTATTACTATCAAAAAGTTTCCTAAAAGGTTTGAACGACTTTGATAAGCTCCGCCCACTTTCAAGCAAAATCCTGGTACAAAAATGGATTAGATGAAAACATTTCTCACTCATAAATTCTTCAGTTTTTGTTTTTTTTTTTTCGAAAAATAATTCTTTAACAATTTGAGACCGAAGCAAGGTAGTCTCATAGAAATTTAACATCGGGTCAAGCTTCTCATTTTTCGACTAAAAGTTCAAAAAGTTGACATTTCTTTGAAAACTTATGCTACTTTTTTTAGAGGTTTTGTTAAGAAATTATCCTCATTTTCCGATATTTTTGAGTTATTTCCCTTCTGTTCTGAGAGCTTGAAAAATCTCAAACGAAATGCCTTGTTTTCTGAAAAAGGGTCGACTCGAGTACAGGTAGCCTCGTCGTAGTCTTATCAATGCTCTTTTTGTTTACCTGACATAGGTCAGGTACTACTCCAATCAATAGGCATAATTTTCACTCATCTAAGAATTTTTTAGAATTTTTTCCTGAATCTTCGGATTTGATTAACTTTTTTTCAGAGCGAAAATTTTCTAAGTTTTTTTTAAGGTTTTTTTACCGCTGATAGTATTTATCAAAGCTTAACCAAAAAGACCTTTTAAGGCCGATAGCTCACATTTTCAAATTTTTGTTAAGTATTGAACTGAGACTTTTTTGACATATAAATTGAGATCTAGAAGGGTTGGAGCCGCATGAGGATCGCCGGACTCGTCGCGCTGGCCTTTCTTCCGCGGCTCCCATGTCCCGAAGTAACTGCAAGGCCGGCTCCGGTCGCCTGTGACGTTTCCACCTTGAGATTCGTCCATGTGGTATCGAAACGAACCGTTTCTTTCCGAACTGTGGTTCTCAGATTTGGCGACATGGCGACAGGACGCCGTCGGATTATCTTCCTGGCGACGACCCTCTGAAGTGGCCCTTGGGTTATGGAGAACTGACTAAAGTCGGAATGGGTCAGTAAAATAGATTTTTGGATTTTCCTGCAGTCTTTTTTCTGAAAAAGGGGTTATCCAACCTTTCAAAATTCTATCTTCTATGTAGATACTTTTTGAAGGAATAAAACGGAGTTGATGACCAGCTTTCCATTTTTGAATTCGATTTCAACGAATAAATTCATCCTTAGACTAGTTTGAGTACATTTTTCTTTGCATTGCGAACCTGAAGGGTAGAAATTTCAAAAACAAAAAAAACAAACATATAATTTGATATACTTTCATCAATGATTTTCAACCAGGAAAATCTTCTAGAACCTTAAAACTTTTATTTTCTCAGGTCAACACTATCGCCTAGGACAATGGCTCAGGCGCCGCTATACCGGATTCCTTTCCGACCATTTTCTGAGAGACGAGGTTTCCTCCTTCCCATCTGGTACTTTTTGATAATCCAAAGTCTTTCAGGTCTACATTCGGAGTTCAGACTACAACAGAACCCTCATGTCGGCCCAATCCAATCTAGCAGGTGAAAGTTTCACAAAAATAAGAAATAAGGAAATTTATTAAGGATTCTTCCCACCAAATAAAGACGAAGAGTGGAGCGAATACTTGAAATGGCAACCGGTTCCAGTCCACACGATACCTAGAGAAACTGACAAGGTTCCCCCTTAAAAGCCGAAATAAATATCCAGTCCTTCAGCAACTCTACGAAGAAATTTACTGCCCGGCGGCAAAAGCCGAGCTGGAAAGTATTTGGAAATCGAACAAGGCGAAGGAAGTTGAACAAAAGTTCAAGGACGTTTTGAAATTCTTCTCTGAAAAGTCAAAAATACCAGACCTACAGCTGAGGAACGTCTGGATTCTCTACGATAATTACTTCTGCCAGGTCCAAAAGTTGCCAGTAAAAATTGAAGTTTCGAGTTTAGCTCTCAAATAACGTGACCTGGCCGTCTTGGCTCAACGCCAGCATGTTCAGCGACCTTTCCAAGCTGTACAATGCGGCCTCCCGACTAGAATACCATACGGAAAAGCTGAGACGTCTGCGAGGAGGTTTGCTTTATTTTTGGATGGACTGGTTGAAAGGATAGAAATTATAGGTATAACTTTCTTGATCGCATTTTGATTCAGCTGGGCTGGTTGAAATTTAAATAAACAATTTTAAATAAGGTGAAATGAATGAGAAAAAAAAAAATCAAAATGAGTGTACTTTTTATACGAAAGACTGTGGACAAAGGAATATAAACCAATCAAGATTATCAAAGTCATATAAAGTTGAAAAACTTTTTCAATTAATTTTTCGTTTCAGGAGTTCTACTGGAAGAAATAATTTCGCGATTCTGGAGTAAAAAAACAAGGGCGGCTCCGAAACGAGAAATATTTCGCCTACTCGGCCGTAAGTTGGAATTTGACTTGAAAAACATATTCGAAGAAAAAAATTGAAAAAAATATGCAGTTTCAAAATTTAAAAATTTCTTAATTTTTTTCAAAAATCCAATTTGAAAAAAACGGAAGGAACGTTTTTCAAATAATAAAAAAATTCAAAATTTCAGCACGACGCGACGATCGCAGCGATTCTTTCCACTCTAGGGTTCACTCCTCTAATTTTTTTCCCCTTTATGCGACGGCTCTGATGGTTGAACTCCACCAAATAAATGGGGAAAACTTTGTAAAAGTGAGAACTCCTCTTTTTTTCAAAAATACTATGTCCATTTTTATTTTTAGATCTTCCATAAAAACGTGACCGACTCGGACGAAATCTACGAATACGAAATTCCAGAATGTAGGCCACCATGCACCTTGCGAGCCCTAACTGATAATATGACAAGGTACATGATTAGAATATTAAAATAGATGACATTTCTTTAAATTTCAGGTATTTCCCTGTTGATTGGAATGCCGAGTGCGGTATTGTCAAAAGCTCCAATCCAAAGGAGGAAGTTTATTTGGGTGAATCTTTTTTTTTACAAAATCATTGTCAAGTTAATTCATGGAAAAACTCTACGCATTTTGGCTCATAAATTATTTTTTTCGAAAATTCCGATAATTCTGATCGATTATTCAAAAATCTTCAAATCTGAAGCGAAATTTCCTGAAAGTTTAAATCAGCAAAATCTGAAAGTTTAAAAATGGATTATTGCGTCAAAAAAACCATTCAGATTTGTTTTTGGTTTGAAAAAAATTATTTTTATGACGGCTAAAATGTTTTTTTATAATTTTGCTATCATTCGTTTATAAGTATAATAATTAGTTTTTTTATTTATTATTTTACAGTAACCGTCGCGTTTCTCTTCTCAACAACTCTGCTTTTCGCGTTTCTCTGGGTCAAAGACAAGAAAAGGAAGCCGTGGAGAACTTACCGCGACGGGTCCGACATCGAGATGCTTCTCGACGAAAAAGACGAGTACATTTAATAATTCTTTTTTTTTCTCAAGCTATTTCTTGTCAGTCATACCTTCATATTTACTCACTTGAAACGGGAAACTAACTATAGAAACATAAGCAAGCTCATATCAGTTCATCCTTTTTAATTCGGGCATTTCCTTGTCTCATTCAATCCCAGAAACAATTCATCGTCTTTCTTTTTGATATAATAGGGCATTTATCGCGAAAAGAGCAAGCTCTTAATGTGAATAATAAGAAACAAGTATAATCCGGGCATTTTTCTTCTAATCCAAGAAGCATTTGTGATATTTCCTTGTAATAAATTATTGCATTTTATGAAGTTTTCGAATTTTCTCACCTAAAAAAGCAAAATGTTTATGTAAATCGAATCACAAAGAGGAAGTGAACAGGAGATGATGAAAAGACCTCGTAAATTGTCTCAATAAGCGTTTGAAATCATTTCGTAAGTGCACATCGGCCGATAAAGTGAATACCTACCCATTAACATGTACCTAATTATTACAAGAATCAACGACGGAAATTTCGCAAATTCAATTCTTCGGAAATTGAAGTCACTGCGGTCTGTAAAAGAAGTTGATAAACGGGAATAAAGGAAAATAAAATCACATTTATCTTTTCCATTAGTAATCTGATCGAAGACGCGTCGCTGCTTTCGATTTTTACATCTTTTCGTCCTAAAATAATTTATATTTAAACATAAAATGGCCATTTCTGCTCCTAAAGCTTCGAATTCACACAACTTTAAACTTGAATATCTGGAAATTATTTTGATATCGACTTGGAAACTCCAAATGGAATAAAGAAACGACTAATTTTCAAAAAATTTCAGACAAGAATGAAGAGTAGCTTCCTTCAAAGCTAATTAACAAAAAGAAAATGAAAAAGAAAACATTTCTAAAACTTGACCTGAAAACTTTAAAGGTTTCTTTTTTTCATGATCAATTTCAAAAATACTCTAACCACTCTAAACCCTAAAAAAGTTAACGGCTTACTGTGGTTATTTATAAACCTCGTTTTTCTTGAACTTTTTTTGTATATTTTTTCCTTTCATTTTAACCTTGTGTGATAGATTTTCACTCTAAAAATAAAGAATGCAACCTTGGGACTCGATGGCGGCATTCCAAGGCAATGCGAAATCTCTGAGCAGTTCCTGCGCCTCCATCGTCAGCTGCAGAAAGACTTGCATAGTCGGATTGATCTGAAAATTTTCTCATTTTTCAGAAAAAGCTCAGAATCCGAGGACCTTGTCGCCGACATCAAGAAAAAGGTTGGTCCGGAGTTTCTGGAGGTAGAAGACGTGCGCCTCGACGACTCCACCCATGTCGTGGGCGTCGTCGACGCGGGCCAGAAGCTCAGAAAAGCCTTTCTCAACCCGAAACCCGGCGATGATCATTTATTTAAACTCCTAGTTCTACCTGGAACGACATCAACTGTCGTATTCTGAGAAGCGACGTGCTGATGACGTAGAACATTAATGACATCATGTTTATCACAGGTCCAGCCGTTCCTAAACAACGAGACGCTTTTTTCTAGAGGGTTACAAAAAGAAAAGGGGGGTTTTTTTTATTATGGATTACGAGTTTTTCTCTCTATTTTCCCTCAATATTGAACGCAACAATTACCTCGAAGCTTCAAATCACGATGAATGAAGCGCGATATGGGCATGATGTCGATGGCCGACTGCTGGGCAGAAATTCGAGCCAAATCGACAGACCAGATCATGTGGAAGACTTCTTCGTACCTGAAGGGTGCTGTTTTTTTTTTTTTTTTGAAAAATACTAGGCGAAATATTTTTCTGGAAAAAAGCCAAATTCTCCGGTATTTTTCAACAAAACTGAGATAATAACAATGAAAAGGAAGGCCGTACAATTCATGAGTCGCTTCAAAGATCGGCTTGAGCAAGCTGATGTCGGGCTCATAACGAGGTCGGAGCGGCTGGACGAACTGAAGCCTCGAGGAGGAGTTGGGCGTGTTCCCGACGGTCGTCAGGGTGTCCAGAGAGAAGCCGAGTTTCTTCTTCTCGTAGGGGGTCGCCGCTAGGGCGCTGGCCAGAGCCCTCGACGCCTCCTGCTTGCTGAACGAGGAGCCCATCTGAAGGCCATGAGAGGCTCTTCTGCAAGAGAATCTCCTTCGTTGAAGACCTTGAAGACTTGGAAACCTCATCGAATCGTACAGAGAGGTCGAGAAACGGATATCGGAGAGCAGCAGGAAGGATTTGACCATTTTGAGGTGCTTCCGGAGGTTTCCTCGGGACCTGATGGTCCGCATGACGACGCCACACACCACGTGCCGCATGCTGTCGAATAATTGCCCTAATTGGGAATGGCTTCCTGAAAATATTCTTCTCTGAAAGCTGAGGAAGGTAGAAGAAGAAAAAACCGAGGCGGAAAAATCCTCTTTTATTTCAAATTTTTTCACCCCTTTTTGAGCAAAATTTTCAATAACTAATGAGCTTTTCAGATTATTTTGCTAGCAGTGAAAGTTCCTAAGGATTATTGTTTCTAGGAGTCCATTTAAAACTAAAAAGAGCGCTTCGGAAGAAGAGCTCACCTTGGTTCACCAACAGATTGACGTTCAGATTTTCCTTGGCCTGAGCGTTTGCCACGTCGATCACGGCCAGTTCCTCGTCGCTGATCACTTCTCGATCGACATAAGGTAAAGATTTTCCTATTTCCAGCATCTGAAATCGTTCGACTCCTCTAAAATACTATTTGAAAAACGTACAGCTCGCACGTTTTCCTTTGTCATGAAAACTGGGACGCGCTGGACAACTGGAACTCCATTGATGTCCAGTCCAATGAGCCACTGGAAATCAGAGCGAATGCGAAACATTCAAAGTTCCAAGTGAAAACCTTCGGACAAGGAACTTCGCCTGTCGTCAGCCAGTGCAAGAGTTGCTTGCAGAAAACGCCCATTGTGTATTCCATAACGCGATCCAAAAGTAATCTCCTAGATGGGAAACGTGTAGAAGAGCAATTTATTCCAAGGAGTTAGGCATAAAAGTTTTGTTTTCTCAACAATGTTCTATAGAAACTTCTCGATTAAAATCATTAAATTTGTTTTTGATGTTTCTTGTTCTGATATTAATTCTAGCCTCAAGTCTTTCTGAAATCTTTTTTGGAGTTTCTTTTTTTTGCTTTTATACTTATCGAAAAATTGAAGGATTTTACTATTCTCCGTTTTCAAGAGAAAAAAACTGAGATTTCATACCTTTTTCAATAAATATTAACCTCCAATGGAAGAATTATATAATGAATAAAAAAACGAACGAGCGCTGGGTATAGGAAAAATTGGAGTACACAAGATATAGGGTGTCCAGAAGATCATTCGCTTCGGCGTTTCTGAAAAAATATAATTAATTTATAGCAAAAATAGATAGAAGATCTGAAGAGACGCCAGAGACAGAGAGACTACTGAATTCTTCAGACTCCCTCAATTTTTCTTCATTTCCATCCAAAAACCGACCTCAATTCAAAAAGGCGGTTCAATATTTTGAATCGAAATCTCCAAGCTTCGACGACCGGCAAAATTCGTCCGAAAGAAGGGTTTTTCAGCTGCAATTTTTTGAATATTCCAGTTAAGAAAATGAAAATCTACCGCTCTGAGTTGGTCAACTTCCGAGATGTACTCGCCGATAAGGCTTCTGATTGCAGCAATCAAGGCCTGGAAATTAACTAGAAATCGCATTTTCTTTCTTCGAAACAAACATTAACAAAAGGTTCAGGGGTGGGCGTAGGATCGCGGCTGTCCATGCGCAAAAATGTGTTGGCCACTAGCAAAACGCTTTCAACCACCAACAAATGGCTCTGAAACGGGGGAAAAGTTGATAGAACCTCAATTGAATGGAAGAAATATCAAATGAAAACTTCAGCCTTCTTTTGATCCTGTCGAATTTTCAGAAAAAAAAATGAGGCTTTGAAACCCAAATGGGGAAAAAATAAAACCATTTTGCAAAAAAACAAGATCATCCGAAAATCCTAAAACTCACGCTGGAAACAGAGACAGTAGTGGAAAGAGAGAGACGCCGAGCGCCATCGAGACGAATTTGTCGCGTTTCGATCCCTTGAAGCGCTGCCACCAACGATTTGCAGAGACTTTCTTCCGTTTCAACTGAAAATAAAACATTTTTTGAAAACACGGTAGTCGAAGTCCTAACGAAATTCGTTGAGAGAAAATTCCATTTATTTATTTAGAAATTATACTTATAACTCAAATACGCCTGATTTTCTGAATGAGTTACACCTACATATTGGCATGCCAAGACGAGCATGCAGCGGAATCTTCGGAGTGGAATGAATAGCCGAAATCGTCCTAGTGACCGACGGAGAAGCTGGCGTCAGGTCGTTGCGCATTGGTGGACTGAAAACCCTTTCTTCAAGACTTCAGAACATAATCTCAATGGTTGGAGCAGTTACACACTTGAACATGCGATTGCTGGCTGAAAGGTTGGAGGAAGCGGCGTAGGACGGCGGAGTCGAGACTTGGGTCGGAGTTCGGAAAGGACTTCGTCTCCGATGGTGGTGGTCGTCTCTGCCGTCGTAGAGCATCGAAGAGTTGGACCGCGCTCGGGCCGCCTCCGTGTTGTACTCGAATGACGGCATCGGTTCTAGCAAACGTTGAGTTTCTTCGGAATTCGAAAAAAGTGTTTAAGGGAATTTTCCGTTTTTTTTTCTTGATTTGCTTTAATACGATTTTTTTTATGGATCGTGAAACGATTTTGTTCCAACACATCATTTCAACTGGAATATACACCTCTAGTAAGAAAAAAAAATCAGTTCAAATAAAACTCGAAAAGTTTCTAGAATTCGAAATTCGTGTTGAAAGTAAAAGTAAGAATATCTCTTCGTAAATTTGGGTTATTTCCACTACAACTTCGAAAAAATTTTTTTACACCTGGATTTTCTATAATTTATAAAAACAAATGTTCTACGATCAGTCGGAAAAACTTGAAATTTAGGTAACCTAATTCTCAAATGAATATTTTTCCCTGAACCCTCGCACCTTTGTCAATGGCATGTATTCTGCTGCGACTGGCTGATCTCCGGTTGAAATAAGACGAAGATCCGCTGGAGTTAGTCCTCGCATCGTTGAATTGCGACGCAGTCGACAAAGGGGAATCCAAGTTCGACTCAACAGTTTTCGTGGAACGACGCGCGTAGTGGAAAAAGTTCTGGTGATGCTAGTTTTTCGAGTTCTTCTTGTTTGCACCATACTTGTCGGCAGCGAACAATGAACTCAATAGTGGAAATAGCCGAGGGGGAAATGGACATGGCCGCATTCAGCGACTTTCTGAATGTGCTGGAGGTGTCCCGTATGGCCACTAAATGTTTCTTGTCCCATTATCACTTTTTAAAACAATGTTTACGCTTTTGAGCAAAAGCGTCGACGTGTTTCCGCGATTCTTCATGGTTACAAGGGAAAGAAAGACTGAAAATGGCCGCATGCGCGTCTGACACGGTCACTGAAAAACTTCCTGTTTTGCACATTATAAAGATTTTTACCCAAAGATTGAAAGTCAAACGCGCGAAGAAGGTCCTGTATGGCACGAGATACCTCTGGAGACGCTGAATGCATACCTGCATCCAGTCCTTCGATTATTTTATCAAAGAACATGTAAAGCCTTCCAACTTCAAATATTCATTGTAATTTACAGATTTCAAGTGAACGAATATTATTTCAAAACCAAATTTTACTCACAAAAGCGAAAGGAATGCAACAGTCAAAATAACAACGAAAAAGAGATGGTAACAACACCATCTGACCACAGTGCTATGTTTTTTTGAACCCAAACTTCTTCCGCTCGTAGAACAAGTCCGTTTTTGCACTTCCCAAGTTAACAATCTTCGGACAGCCGTCTCGATCCTGAAGTATTAAAATAAGGTTTTTTTTTTCTAAAAAATATGTATTCGCTAACCTTCTCCATAATCGTGCATTCTTTACAATAATACGCATCGCTGACACCAGGTCCTCCGCAAATAACGCATCGTCCCTAAAGGAATATAAGTTGGATATAAGATTATTACGAAACCTGGTAGGACCCATAGTTGCACTCATCGCAAATTCTTACCAAAGTGCAAGGCCTGACATAAGAGTCACAAACCACACAACGGCCGTCACCTAAAAACAAGGAATGAAATCGGTTAGCATATAGGAATTACATTTATCACAAAGCCGGCCGATGGCGACACCAGGCTGCTTACGGCAAAAGATCAAATCTGGATGATGCTTAGCCATAGCACCTGAAAAATATATATCAGAGAAAAAACATCTTTGAAAAAGCTAAAGAGACGCGACTGAAAGAATGCGTATGAAACTGCGAAAGACGCTGATGGCGAGTGCTGAGGTTGGATGGGTTATCGAACAAAACGATGAAAATAAGATTTTCGTCTTTTATTCTCATTAAACCTAAATTAAAAACAACGATATTCTCAAGAATATGAAGAGAACGAAAAATTGAAACAAAAAATTTTCAAGCTAAGAATTTTTTCCCGCGTCGAGTATGGTTGCACGCCATCCGAACATTGCGACAGACGCAGTTGAATGGACGCCACCAATTACGAATAAATTTATTTACTTTTTAAATTTTTTTAAAATTTTTCTTCCTTTTCCGGCTTTATCTTCATTATTTTGAAAAATCGTATATTTTGGGCTTGGCAAGAGATTTTTGATTTACGTTTTCAGGGAAATGCCCAGAGATGATCCGATTCTTGAGGAGGAAAGAAAAGCCACAAGTGCTTACGATTTGGTGAGAATGCGATTGAATAGATTGGAACAGAACATTGTAAGTAAAACAGTTTTTAGGAACTTTTTTTCGCAATTTTGTGGATTTAAGCATAAGCCAGCACCGATTCCTACCAGAAAAGAGCAATTACGACCTCCAAAGCCTCCTCCAGAATTTGTTCGAAACGTCGTTGGTTCATCAGCTGCAGCTGGTAGCGCTGAATTTCACATCTACAGGTTTTTTGTTGAAGAATGTCTTTTTTAAATTTTATACCAGAAATAACCGACGGAAAGAGCAAAATCGTCTGGATTATATTGCGGCTGTGGCAAAAAAGGAGGATCTAGATGACGAGTTCAAGTAAGAAATTTTTTCGTTTTTTAAATTTTTGTTTCTTTAAGAAGGCAGAAAGAAAAAATCGAGCGGGAAGAAGAGGAGAAAACGGCGAAACGAAGAGCAAAACGACAAAAGAGAAAGTCGAAAAGAGCGAAGAAAGCCAAAAAAGAAAGCAGTAGCGAAGAGGAATCCGATGAAGATGAAGACGAAGAAGAAGAGGAATCTGAAGCTGTTTCCGTAGAGAAACTTGAAAAAGACGCTGACAGCGATGCCGAGCCGGAGAAAGCAGAAGAGGATCAATGATCTCCTGATTGTACATTTTTGTTATTTCTCGTTTCTTTATTTAATAAAATCCAAATGAAACTGATTTTAACTTGTTACCTTCGAACAGTAATTGATGGCTGTTAGAATATTTTATATTTTTGAAGGGTTTGGTTAATGAAGACAGTTTGAAGATGCCGATTTTGTCTTTCTTCGGCTCACCGCGGCTGTACGCGTTGTACAGCGGGCAAGAGCGGACAGAAAATTACCTGGAAAGTTCCGGAAACACTGGAATGTCTTTTGTCCGAGGTTTTTTTTTGAAACTATATGGAATATGTACTTTTCAGGCGTCTATTACTTTGTAACTTCGCTGGCCTTTTCCCCCGTGATAATCGGCTACATGTACTATCGCGGCTATATGCAGCCCCAGCCAATACTGACCTTGCTCCGATACGTTGGCTACGTCGTTTTGGCAGCCTTCGGGTCGAGGTAGAACTTCAGAAAAAAAACCTTGTTTCGAAAGTCAAATGAACGCAAAGCTTTATTATTATTATTCTTCTGATGGAAAAGTTCTAAGTTTCTTTGATCTGTGTAACGCCTTTCAATTTTCGCTTTTGCAGTTTTTTAAATCTTTTTTTTATTTTCTGCAAATTTTAGACTGATTGGACGAGCCATGGACCCTCAATATCGTCAGTTTTTGGATGTCTGGGTGAAAGCCTCGCAAGGAGACCGAGAAAAACAACAGGTTTTTTTGAGAAGCGCTTTTTTCATTTTGAAATTGCTTTCAGGAGCTGAAACGCTTCGACTTCGAGATTTACGGCGTTCAGCCGGATTTCGAAGCAGTGCCCAACGACAATCTGTGGTACCTGACATGTGAAGATAATCAAGGTTAGCAATATCTAACGACTTTTTCATTATTTCTTATGTCCTCACCGCCAATAATTCTTTTTTGAACTCTCATGATTCCAGCCAATCCTTTTTTAGGACTATTTCTTGACATGGGTTTTCAGCCAATTTCTTGGTCCGAGGGCTCTCTTATTACGCGATCCACGCTTTCGGTCGCCACATGCTCTATCCCGGCTCTTTGGCTTTTCTAAATTGGCTCATGGCCTCGAATCTGCAAGCCGGTCGCCGTTTGATGGTTCTCAACAAGGTAATTGGTTAAATTGTTGAAGAAACCAAATATCGTAGGAAAAAAAAAACGAAAAAAAAAGCGAGGAAATGATGAGAAGCGGATGAAAGAGGACTATGAAAAAAGCTTTTAAAATTTCCATTGACTCTACCGTTTTGTATTTTTTAAATTAACCTATTGCACATTTTTGTTCAGGAATGAACAATGCATGGAGTTAGCTACTTAGAAATAATAAATAAAAAAATAATTTGAATAGGAAAATGCAAGATATTTTTTTCCGTTGTAATTACGAAAAAGATTCCATTTAAGAAAGAGTTTGTATCCACGTTCACTGGGACAGCAGAAAAAAATATAAATTAAGATCCGAAAATAAATTTTCCGGCTTTTGAAACTCGAAAAATTATATTTTTACGAGAATTTTCTGAATGTTTTCTCCACTTTTTTTTCAAAACTTTTTTAAAAGTAACTTTTATCATGTTAGGGCGGTCAACGGGCTTGGATCAAAACCACCGAGGAAGATTTAATCGACGCGATGTTCATTCGAGGGAATCGCAGTCCAGAAAGGTAAGTTAGTAAAAAGCTTCACATAATCTACATATTGGTTTTCACCATGACTATAAGAAATTATCGTAGATACTGGGATGTGTAAAAGGGAAAATTCCAGAAGCCAGACCTTAGTGATAACTTGCGAGGGAAACGCTGGATTTTACGAGATCGGCATCGCCAATACACCTGCAGAACTCGGCTACTCGGTTTGTCATTCCCTTTTTCTACAAAACGGATTTTTTGTGTAAACTCTGTCCTTGTAAAGAAATTTTTTGAAAAGACAATCCCTTCTAAAATTAAAAATAAGGAAAATAAATCAACACCAAGAGTAAGTTACACAGATTGTTTGAACATTCGAAAAATCCTTTATGATGACTTGAAAAAGAAAACTATCACTCCTCAAAAAAGATGGGATATAACGTTGGATTTATCTCATTTCTTGGTTAGATATGTCTTTTTAAGGTTTTGGGATGGAATCAGCCGGGTTTCGGCGAAAGTTCAGGCCTCCCACATGTTCGAAACACTTTAGCCGCTGCCGAGGCCATTATGCAGGTGGAATTGCGCTCCTCCGCTCTGTTGTTTTCGAAATGTGTTTTTACAGTATGCCAAGTCTCTGGGTTTTAAAGAGGAGAATATTGTCCTTTTTGGTTGGTCCATCGGAGGTTTTCCGGTTTCTTGGCTGGCTGCCAATTATCCTAGTGAGTTTATTTTCATGAATCTCACAATCTCATTTTTCATTTGATGATGAAATGATTAAAGATCGCTTTGTGATGTTTCGCGTATTAATTGGATAGTTATTCAGAATTGAAGTTAATTTTGTTTTGAATTCAATTTAGTGTGATCTAAAGAGTTGAATTTTTGAAACCTAAATTTTATTTTGAAGATATTCGCGGTGTTATTCTGGACGCAACCTTTGATGATGTCCTTCCCCTGGCCGCTTCTCGAATGCCCAGGGTTTCCCAATCTAATTATTTCTAAAACTATCTTTTTTTTCTAGTTCCTCGGCTCGATTGTCGAATATGCTATCAGAACTCATGCCAATCTCCAAATCGAAAAGATTGTACGTTTTCTGCCCTTTTTTCAAAGTTTAACCGGTCCCCTTTTCCAGCTAGCACGCTACAAGGGCCCCCTGAAGCTGATCCGACGTCTTCAAGAAGAGATCCTGATCATCGACGACGCGGACAGCACCGAGGCCACTCGAAGGGCCACCAACAGGTTTGGAAATGAAGAGAATTGTCTTGAATGTTGAGTTATCCATAGAGCGCACTTTCTGTTGATAAAATAGCTCTTTCACAAAAATTCGAAATTTTTCTACACGAAAAAATTGAACTGTTGCTTGAATGGTTCTTTGAATTATTTTAGCTGCAAATTTCTTTTTCACAAGTTTTTCAGTTTTATTTAGAAACACCATTAGAATAAAATTTTTTTCAAATTTTTGCTTATAAACAAATAGTTTGTGGTCTGTCTAGTATGAGGAATATTTTGAAAACTTTCGAAATTTTTCTAGTTTAATTTTTTTCTACCCAACGTTTTTTCAAGACTAAGATTCAATCACAATGAGTTGGAATTCTGGCAAGAAACTTTGATTTCAATCCAAAAAACAGTTTTTTTCAGTCTTTTTAAAATATACGAATTGACGTGCCTTTTCAAAAAAAAAAGTTGCAAAAGGCCTTTTAGAAACACTGCGTTTGGTCATTGTTTTGCATTCTTGGAAAATTTTCAGTTTAAGAATATTTGAATCTTTCATTCAGAGGAAATTTCTTGCTGAAGTCGGTGCTGAAGTCGCGACACCCCGAGCTGTACGAAGGACTCGAGCCGCAGGTTCGAAGGAATATCCTCTCCACAGTAACCCAGGAGACCCAGGTGGACCGCTGGCTGGCCCTTAGTCCGACGGAGCGACTGATGGCGGCAGGTCCCAGCGAGTCTGAAGTTGCGCGACGACGACGTCGCCTCTACGCCGCCTGCGATCACTATTTCATCGACTTCGACTCAAACCACGTTTCTCCGTTAGATCCTGGATACTTCAACATTCCCGAACTCATCAAAGAGTTCTAGTCTTTCCGTGTCTTCTCTAATTTATTTCGTCTCTGAAACTTTCGTCTACTCATTGTTTATTATTTTCCCTGTGTTTGTCATGTGCTTGTCCTGAGTGTAGAAAATAAATTATCGATGCTTTAATTGGTTTTTTTGCTTCTGATTATCGGATTTTCAACCGGTTTTCCATTTTTTTTTTCAGATTCATTTATCTTTTGTTCTACTATGAAGGTTCAGATGGCTTTGGCAGCATCTGGAAGTTCGCTTTACATTGCCATAAGTACCAAGGTTTACAAAGTTGTTGGAAATACCGCTCAGGTTTCTCGTGATCTCATGCAAAAGTTGAAGAAATTCTTTTTAGGAATTATTCGACGTTACGTCGTTTCCAGAAGTCGAATCAAAGGAAAAGCCAGAAGATGAGCAGAAAAAACAGAAACCCGAAATTGTTGAGGTGATCGACTTTTTTTTTGTTATTTAGCTTGCTCCACTCTATAAACAACGAATTAGTAATGCTCCATGAAATTATCTTTTTCTTCACTTTGGACACCAGATCAATTTTGACATTTTCCTCTCTTTCAGACCTCACCGCCGATCATTGATTCTTATTTATTTTACTTCGTTTTCATCATTATTTTGTATTTTTATTTTTTTCTATTTTTCGAACTAAATCGTCGCGGGTATGTGTAATTGCCAAAAAAAAATCGAAGGAATTTTTTGGGTTATTACAAGTTGGAAAACTCTAACCTTGCTCCTAACATGTAGGACAAGAACATAGAGAAAAAAAGTTCCATCATCTTTGAACTTTTTTGTGAGGATTTGGATTTCATTCACTATCTTTCTCGTATTTCTCATCCATTTAACGAGATTTTGATCGTTTTATTATTTTTTTTCATGAAACTTCTTCTTTTTCGTACGCCTTTGTACCGCTTGAGCGGCGTCGACGCCCCAAGACGATTAGCCGAGATTCTATCCTGATACCAGTGACAATCAGTGGACTGGCTCGAGTGACATATCCGTCCTTGTGTGTGAGGGCTGCGGATTTTTTTCGAATTTCTCGAAATTTTCCCACTACCAAAATTTCTCAAAAATCTTGGTTGGGTTGCGGCGGGGATCGAACTGCTGGCCCTGTGGACCGCAGACAGGCACACAACCTGTTGCGCCACGGCGCATCCCATTTTTCTTCAGGAAACATGCTTCAAAATCAATAATTTTGTTTGCTGAATAGATAATGCATATATTCAGATTCTGTGTTGCTGTGTGTCCAAATGCGGCTCTCTTCTGGCGGTCGGAACCAACGAGAAGAAGTTCCACGTCTGGGACGTCGTCTCGTCTTCGTTGAAGACGTCTTTTCTTGTCATCAAAGCTCCACAATCGGCTTGTTTCGATGCTGTCCGTTTTATTTTCTTTGAGAAAACACTCGAGCTCAAAACTTTTAAAATTCGTATGGTATATAACATACAAGTGAGGGACACAATAAGTCCTGACTTACAAAAATTTTTGAATATCTAGTCTGTAAATAAGCTTCAACCTAATAGCGGTAATATTCCCAAGGAAAAAAAAAATAAAAGTTTAAACTTCAGGATGTTCAGGGAAAAGCTTGAGAGGAGGGGTTGTCGACTTTTAAAAATAACTTGCCCCTGTGGTACCAAAATGATCGCAATCGGCTGAGTTTGTTCCTGGCGGAGGATTTTTAAGTTTATCGAGTTTTAAGTGTGAAATTATCATCCCCTACCATTTTTTACAGTTTGATTCACATGATTTAGGAATGTTAAATAAAGTTAAGAATCTCTGAACTTTCGAGCTTTTGAGAAGGGTTTTTAAATTAGACATTTTTCCAGACTTCCGATAGCATCGTTGTTGGTGACCGAGCTGGTGATGTCTATCGTTACCGACTGGATTTCGCCAAGTTGGAGGAGATCTCTGGATCCGTTTCAATGGCTCTAGACGTTCTGATTTCGACGGACGGACGGTGGCTCATCACGGCGGATAGGGATGAGAAAGTTCGCATCTCCAGATATCCACAGGTTTTTTCACACTCTCTCTGAACAAAAAAACCTGGGAAATTCTTTTCTTCTAGTTTTCCTAATAAGGATAAAAAATCGTATATTATTTCTCAGCTCTTAAAAAGTTTTATAACTCGTTAACCGCTGCCCTTGAAAATTTTTCAATAAGGTTCTTTACAATTTTTTGACGTCCCTGTAGTTTTTTTGTCTAGACCTAAGGAAGTAAGTATGAATCCTCTTGGTGATTTTTAGGTTTCCTGATGAAGCTTTCCTTAAGTAAAAGCCTGAAAAATGGCGTTATGAAATCTTTCAGAAAATTTCTCGCGGCTGTCATTTGATGTTTCTTGAAACTGAGTATTAGTATTTTGTGTGTCACGACTTGAAATTTCACGGAACGACATTCCGCTGTTCCGCTGCGTGCGTTCGCGATGCGTCTTTCGAATCTTGATCACGCTTTCAATGGATTGTTATTGCTGTGGGAGCACATGAAAGTAGAGTACCTTAATTAAAGAAAAAAAAAATTTTAAGCGCGACCAAGGTTCAGAAAGGCACACAGCGGCACAGCGGAATGTTGTTTGGTGAAATTCCAAGTCGCGGTACACAGGCTATACTGCAATTCGCTTTCACTTCTATCCGATTTTCTATCATTGAACGTATTTTGAGTCCTTTGTGATCCAATGGTTCTGCTTGGGCCACACGGAGTACGTGCGAAGCCTCGCCCAACTCGACGACTCCGTCTGGAGCGCAGGTTCTCTTTTTTGACATTGACCCGTTGACCTTTCGACACGTTGTCCAGGAGGCGACGGAGTGATCCGCGAGTGGAGCTTGACGACTGGCGCCAGTGTCAGCTCGTCTCAAAGACTCAGCCCTGACAAGAGCCTTAGGAAGATTGCCGCCCTCAAGTCGGTAATTGACAACCTACCTCTCCAGTAAACTCTTTCCCGTTGTTCAGGAGAACGGCGTACTTGTCGGTGCCGCCGTAGAAGAGGACTCTTCGTTTTACATCTCTCATGAAGGACTCGAACGGGTAGAACATGTGCAACTTGATGAGAATATCCTGGACATCGCTGTTTTAGGATCTCGATTTGTCGTGTTAACAAGGTTCGATTTTCAGAAGAGTTTCCTTTTCAAGGGAATGGAAAATTTCAAGTTTTGCTTGTTTTCTGGAGTTTAACTTTTGAAGCACCATCCTTTTTTCTTTTTTCGCTTCTTTCTTCTATAGGTTTGTATCATATCCGTTGAGAAAAAGAGGATTTGAGGCGCCGAAAATCTGGAAAAAGTTGACCTTTTTTGTTCTAATTTCACTGACGCTATTTGAAAAGAATTGCAGTTTTATCTGAAATCAGGCCGAAAAGGCCTACACAAGAAATTCTCTGAACTTTTCAGATTAAAAAAAATTCAGATTAGTCATTAATTTAATTGCAATCTAAAAGCGGCTGTCACTTGAGATTTCAGGGTATTCTCCTTTGAAAATAGAAAAATATGAGAAGGGAAAAGAATTTCAAGGTCCTCTTCTCATACCTGAATTCCCAATTTTCGGATAAACTTTCAAAAATTTTTGAATTCCATTGAATGCTGGCTTGAACCAAAAAGTCAACGTCTGAGTCTCTGGAATTAACACGCTATTTCCCTTAGTTTTTAAGACTTATTTTTTAAATATTTGCAATTTGGCTCAAGTCAGTGGTGAAGTGAGTATCTTAATACCTTCTTTTCATATCCGATTTTTTCCTTTTTTGAGTCAGTATTTTGTCTTTTTCTGTAGATTTCTATCTGTCAGTATTATCAGAAGCTATTCATTAAGACACAATTATGTACACGTTCAGAGGCGGGTTGTACTTGATAGACGAGGGAAAGACGGTGGAAAGCGTGGAGCTGGACGGGGAGCTCAAGAAAAAGTTGTCAGAGAGCAAAGACGCCGTCGCGAATCTCTTCAAGAACGTTACATTCAACAACAAGGCGGCCTACGAAATGCGAAAGGCGAGAGTTGGCCCATTAATCACACGCACGAAACGAACATCTCGGCAACTGGCCGTTTTTTTCTGTTTCACCGCGATTCCATGATCTACGATATGTTGCAGAGCGAAAAGTTCGAGAAGATCAACGCGAAAAAGGCCCAGAAGAGGAAACTGGAAGTCGCGCGGTAACACATATATTCTCGTTGATTTTGTTACTTGTTATGTTGTTGAGAATTCACAGAATAAACCGTAAAAATGAGAGGATTAGGGGGGTTAGCATGAATGCAGAATTTGAGGATTTCAAGTGCAAAGCCGTCCTTTTCGGCGAAGGCGTCCTGCAGCAGAATCGACTGTTTCCGTAGAGAAGCTGTCGATGGCTGGAAAGTTTGAATATTTAGGTATTTAGAGGATAAGAGAGAGAGATATTATTTCGATATTTAGGGAACTTGATGCCAGGGAATGGCCGAGAATAATGTTCAAAAATAGGAAAAAAAAATATATTAAGATTTCTCGAGTCAAAGTATCATGAGAAAAAAAATTCCATTCAAGTTTTTTTGAAAATATCTTCGAGAAGGTATGTTTTTCAAGAAATTTCCTTTTAGAGATTTTTCTTCCTCTGCAAAGAACCTATAAACGTTTTTTTCATTAAAGATGTTTTTATACAGTTAAAAAAAAAGTTTTTTCTCGTAGAAAATAATGTATTTATTTCTTTCAGACTAAGTTAGACCAACTATTAACTGAATAAGAGAAATTACCGTATTTTATCGAAGTATCGCACTCGGGCGTCGTTTCCGAAACGGCCTTTCCTATCGGCCGGGTCCATACTCCAGTATCTGGCCGATTTTTGGGCCAAAGTACTCAGTGTAGCGTAGGTCCTACAGCCGCTGTAAGCGAAAAAGGAGCATAGCCGTTCCTGAAAATTGTTTCGTTAATTTCTACTTTTGTTCAGAAAATTTAAAAAAAAGTATCCATCAAAGTTCCAAAATGAACCTGAATTTCCAATGATTGGATATTCGGTTAATTTTCTACTCTAACGTCTATTTTTTGTTTTGTCCAAAGTTCAAAGGTCTGGAATAAGCGGAGGATAGGAAGTTCACTCTATAAAAAAGACCTAACGAACCTGATGACACTGACATGACTGCACCAATCGGTCGCCTTTTAACTTGTCGAAATACCTGCAATTATGAGTTTTGAACCCATTAAGGGTTTTTTTTAAATATACCGAACATATTTGGCTTCGCAACTGCCTCCACAGGTTTCTGGATTGCAGTCGCCAGGTAAATCGCCATGACACCAGTTATCTTCACTTCTTGTCGGCAGTGAGGAGCTTAATAACGGTTGTTGGAATGAGAAAATAATTTCGAAGTCAGATTGACTGAGGCGCTATTTTAAGCTTTCAAGGCCTCTTAACAAAATAAGATCTATTAGAAAAAAGTGAAGCTGAAAGAAACGTCGTTGTACTAATTTTCTAATTATTTAAAATTTTTCTTTATAAATCATTTTTAGGACTTGCTGAACAAGATCCTCTGAAAGATTTTGTTATAAGGATAGAATAGCCAACAAAAATATTTTCAATAACTATGGTTTCAGTATTTGGCGTTTGGATTCATTTAAGAGTTAAATTATCCAAATTTCCTCTTTCCGAATTATAATTTTTTTTTTTTCCTCCAAAACTAGGAAGTGCTGTACAATTTCAAGTATACTGTTCGACACGCAATGAAGAGCTCTACAAAATGGCAAATTTATATCGAATCCTATTTTTACTGCCCATATGCCTTTAACTTTAAACTTATTTTTGACGCTTAATATTGCATTTTTTTCAAATAATTTAGAACAACTTTTTATTTTGTACATATGAATGAGAGTAAAAATTGAACAAATAGCTTCAAAATTTGGCGAATGCTTGATAAGATCCTATTTCTTATTTATCGAATGAAAATTCAGAGACTTTTCTGAGGAAGATAGTAGAAGAAAATCAATGTTTGCACTTGAACTGGACTTGTTTTTCCGGTTGCGCGACTCGGTCAAAGGTCTCACCTTTCGAACGAGTGGACGAGGGCGACGAGGACGAGGAAAACGTTGGCGACGCCGAGGTGCAGCTTCATCGGCACTGCGCCGCCAACTGACATGACAACTGCGAGGAGCCTTGTTCCTGGCCGTTTGTGACCGTCCTCCCACTCCCTCACCCACTAGCAAACGTGAGAACAACATAACCATTTCTCTTTTCTCTCCTCCTCGTGATCTCTCTCCGCGATTTGCTGCCGGCCTTTGTTATCGAGATATATGGGCCGTTAAGCCAAATTATTGGCTCATTAGAGCCCGATGATTTAGTTCTTCTTTTCGGTCTAGTTTAGCGTTATTCTAAAGGACAGCTTCAGTAACTTTCCAAAAAGTTAAAATTCTTAAACTTTTGGAATCTTTGAAAACGGGAAAAATATTAGAAAAAAAATTAAAAGAAGCTGTTTCAAAATGAGAGATTCTATCTAGGCGAAATAAAAAGTTAGAACAATCTAATTTTCATTTCTTATCCAGTTATCGACTTATTTCTTCTATTTGATAATAACTTATTCACAGATCAGTGTGAACCCCAACGAGTTCACTTCGATCTACAATGAGATGAAGCTTCCGATTTTTTTTTGTTGAGCTCATTGAAAAAAAAAACTTGGCAAATTATAGAAAAACGAGCGGAAACAGACGAGAGACGGAAATATTCAGTTTTTCAAAGGCTGCATAGCGAAAAGTAAGCTGAAGAACTGAGAGATTTCAGTTTTTTTTTTGAGAAACACGGGCTTTTACAGCACTACCTTTTACATGTTCAAAACGTTCAGGCTTTCAAAAAGAAGAAAAGAATTTTATTAGCCAATTATACACACTCGAAACAGAATCACACTCTCACTCGCAAAACGAAAGAAAACAAAGAGCACGAAAAACACGCGGACCCGTGGTCATGAAGTAATTGGTGGTGAGACAACGGAGCGACTATCCGAAACATGATTATTAATAAGCAAAAAACGAGACAAAAAAACAATTCAACATGGAAGAATAACAAAATACCGGAAAAAAATCCTAAAGACTAAAAAATGAGAAAACGAGAAAATAAAAAATTAGACTCTAGTACTAGAGTGTCAGATCTTTGGTGGCGGCCAAGTTGAAGCGAACGACAGTTTGTTTGAAAGTGCGGAGGTTTTTGATTTCTCGGAACATGGCTGTCACCAACTGAGAGTCTCCATACGGCTCATCGTTCAGGACCGCTCTGAATTAATTATTTTCAGGGAATTATTAGGTGCAGACTTGTCCCTTTGGGTTTATCTTAGCTTTTGTTTCCAAGAATCGGACTCATTTTATTTTCTTAATTTTTACCTTGTTTCTGACGGGAACTGCTGCATGAAGAAGAAAAGAACTTCGGCAAGAGATTCGACGATTGGCCGCGTCAAAAATGTCTGTATCCTTTGAAAGATCCCCTGAAACCGTTTTAGTGTATACACAGTCTGAAAAAATGTGAAAAAAATCAAGTTTATGTCAAACGAGGTAATTTAAATATAAATTTCGAAATTTCATACCAAACTTTTTCAAAAACTCCTTGTATAACCTGTATATTTTCGGTTCTATGAAATATAAAATTTCGCGTTTAACACATAAGCCCCTCCAACCAAAACTTCTAAAATTTGAAAATAAATATATATTCTAAACTTTCCAGCAGTAGAACTTCACTCATTTTCAGAGGCTTTTGGAAAAATTTAAACTTCACACTGAAACCGCCTAGAAGGCCGGAAAAAAAAAAATGAAAATTTCTAGAATGAATGGTTTAAACTTAACTACTGAAGTGGTCACTCACCTTAACAAGCTCATTCCCATGAGACGCCAGAAGAGAACGAACTTCTCCGTCATCGTCAGCCGTCGTTTGCGTGGCGATCGAGGCGAGAACATTTGAAGCGTCCTTCATGACCATCGGAGAGTGCGAATTGAACACCGCCTGAAACTTCGCTCAAGTCCAGGAAAAGCCAAGATCCTCAAACATAGGCCGCCAGGTTGATGGCGCTCCTGATGGCAGGAATAGAGCGATCTTTATGCGCTCGGAGAGTTTTCCAGTTTTTCTTCACGATCTTCAAATTATTTGGGATGAGAAGGATGGAAAATATCTTCCACACGTACGGCATAGATGAGGGCCAGCCAGTATTCGATGTCAGGATTGGTGGAATTCGCCTCGAACATCGAAAACCAGTCACAAATGGCGTCACAGAGCTCTGTGCCAGGTAGCAAACCACACAACTGGGAAAAGAACTTTTATTCCTCGAAAATTTAAAAAAAAATCGAATTTGTTATTTCTACTGTGATGCTTTAACAGAAAATTCCTATTGTTTGGTAAGCCAAAAATTATTGATCTCAATGAAATTTCATAAAAAAGAAGGCACAAAGGAGACTTCGAAGGACACACCAAGACAGTAGACTTGGCGAGTTCGACGGCGGCCTGCGGACTACTCAAAAGGGTCGTGTGGAGTAGTCGGGCCAGGAAGGGGAACACGGCGGGAAGGTAGTTCTTGGGCAGGGCGCTGATGGCGCTTCTCATCGCCATGAGGACGTCAGCGACCAGAGGTCCGGACTGCGGTTGTTCGACGATCGTCTCGAAGACCGGAAGCGCCTCTTTCACAGCAAGAACTATCGTCGGCTCTTCGCTTAAACTCGCTTCTGAAGAGTCAGTTCAGGAGCACTCTTTTTTTTTTGCGGTACCGTCTTGATTCTTCAACCTGAGACTTTCAAAAAGAGCGGAGAAGATCTTGATTTTGAACGAGTAAATAGTCATTATCTGCTGGTCACTCAAGCCTTCGCATTTGTCGTCATTCCGCACGTGAACATCCAGGATGTGGCCGATAATTTCCTAAAACATCCTTCGGAATATTTTTCATTATTCTTTGAAAGGGCCCACACCAAAATGAGGCGAATGAGTAAAAAAAAACAGTATTCAAAAATATTAACAAATACGTAAACTTCATTTCTTCCATTGGATCTTTCTGGAATCCAGATGGAGTTTTTAAAATGTTAATCTGTAAAATTTCTTAACTTCTCAGAAAAGGATGGCTCAAAGTTCCAACATGGCTATTTCTACTAATCCATGATCGCTTTTTTTTCACTATTTTTCCTCACCATGGCTTCTTTCGGAGTTCGCTTGGTCAAGACGTGTCCGATGCACTTCAGAGCTTCTAGCCTTTGCTGCTCAGGATGAGATTCGTCCATGAAAAAGTTGTAACATCGCTCAGAAATCGTCGAGCCAATCACCTACGAAAACTAAATTGAATCCTCGCTATCTTTTTTTTTCCCACGTTCAGACTCTCAGATCGATCATGTACATACGTGAAGAGAGCAAACAGAGCATTTTCAGGGTCGCTGAGCCGCTCCAAATGAGTCAGGATCAACGGAATAATGGCCAGTTCCAGTTCCACTACCTGATCAGAAATGCAATTCTAACTATCTTTTTTCTGTGAACCTTGTCGTGATCTTGAATAAGATGCGCGAGCTGTAAAAGAAGGGACATCAGGGTGTTTCCTCGCCGTTGCTGATCTCCATCGTTCGGATCAACCTCAGCGAGGCTTGGCGAAGTGAGAAGTTGGATGCAGTGGAGGATCTCTTCGTAGGCCTTCTCCGAGAGGAGTTCAGAGACGGCCGCCCACAGATGCAGGACGCATTCGCACTTGTTCACGTCGTTGCCGGCGATGGCGCCTTCCAACTCGACGTTCAGGAATTTCAGAGTGCTCTCGCCGACCAGCGAATAAGCATTGAAAGGAATTTCTTCCCGACTCACCCGGTAGCTGAAGAAAGGATTTCTTCAATAATAATAAAGTGGGTATGAAACTTAAAGATTACAGACTATCAAAAAGAAAATCTTGATCTGGAATGAATAATTATTTTTTTGATTCACCTATCAAAAAGTTCCTTGTCTTCGGCGGAATACGAGGCAAATTCCCTCCACGGCGGATACATGTGCTTGAAAACGGCGCAATGGAGACATTGGGCGTACATTCTTCTGACGGTCGCCATCAACTGAAACTTTAAGTTGAAGTGGCCAAGTTTATTTCTTTCTCTCCAACATTCGGGTCGTTTTTGGGTGAAGAGGGAAGGCCTTCGTTTAATTCGACGCGGAGAAGCGTCCAGAAGTCGATGGCCAGGTCGGAAACCCTCTCATCGATGGGAAACCTTCCTTCCCAGTTGCCGATGGCTTGAAGAAAGCTCAGGATATCTCTGGAAAAGCAGAGATATAAGATGTGAGACGGAAAATCTCCGAACATGAGCCGAGGATCTGAAGCCTGCAAGAAGTTCTGAGCGAGAGTCGGCACGGCTTTCATCAGAAATCCGCAAATCGATGCGACCAGGGCGCGGACTTCCTCGCTGCAACTGTCGCCGCGGAGTTCTTCCGCAACTTTCTCCAAAAACTACGTAGTTCTGAATTCGGAGAAGCTCAAACCTGTGAACAGGTGGTCGAGATATATTCACATATGTTGATGATCAGCTGCGTCAAGTTCTCAATATCCTCGTTGTCCGACAAAATATTGAATAAGTTTGTCAGAGCAGCGCTGAAAACTTTTTTTTTCGAGAAACTCAACGATGTTAAGTCTGATACTCAAGCCTTCAATCTCATTATCAAAGTCAAGTTCGATTATACTTGACACAAAAAAAAACGAGAAAAGAACTATTTGATCCCGGTGCCCCTTCTTTGAAGTCAAACAGAAGTATGAAAATAATTCAATAGATTCTGACCAATCGTCAGCGACAGAGGCGAAGACGACGTCAAGGACGTTGGCCCAACTCTCGAGGGAAGCCCCGGGGAGTCGGAGCCACTGTTCGACGCATTCGATAGCCGCCTGTCGAGTTGAAGGCGTCGCGTCTCCAGCCGACAGGACAGTTCCGATGATCTTGATCAAATCCTATAAAAAAGTGAAAGAATAAGTCTAGAGCCTTTGAAAGTGTGCTCATTGGAATCTTTTCAAACGAGGCCGTCTAAAGTCCAGGTCACGTTTTTTTTATTAAGGCATTTTTCGAGTTGAGAGTGGGATTGAGAATAAAAAGAAAAACTTCCTAGAAACTTGTCTTCAAAAGTTATTTGCTTTAAAATACTTGTTAATTTTTTTCGATCCATTCAGTTTTAAGACAGCTTACCGAGTTAGATCAAAAATATTTTTTACAGCCTTATATCGACCCTAATTTAACTTTTTGCCGATAATGACCAGAACAGACTTGAAAAAGAGATCGTAGATTTAAAAAAACAAGATAAAGGTGGGATGATCTTCTCTCAAAGAACATAAATAAATCCACGAAGAAAACTTCAAAAATAATCCAATTAAGCTTCAAGAAAATTTTTTCCAATTTTCGTCAAAAGAAAATCAGAACCATGTGAAAAAAGAAGAAAAAAAAAAGACCCAAAAAAGAAAAAATAACCCCAACCTGGGTCATTTTATGGAGTTCTGCTTTCAAAAGGCTCCTTTGGGTTAGTGGCACTTTCACGTGTTGGAATTCCGCCGCCATCTCAGATAAGACTCTGAAAGAGAGCTACTTTCTAATAAAAAGGTTGTTGGAACCTTAGTAGGAGTTCAGGAGTGGCGGCCCAAAGAGAAGTCAGATCGGCGATGGGCTCGGACCAAACGTCAGGGATGCAATACAGGGCGAGCAAAGCCAACGTCGAGGACAACTAGAAGCGCTCATTTTAATATCTTCCTCTTATAAATCTCCGAAAATCGTATCTGATAAAGACCCTGAAAGTCTCAGCCTGGACAACTTCACAGTTTTTAAGGGATAAGGGGTAAAAATGGTCCACTTTTGCGGTTTTTGATGGTTTTCCGACTTTAAGACAACCGCTCTAGGAAATCAGGAAGTTTGCAGGATGAGAACTTTAGGATCTTCATCTGGTAAATCAAGGGGTGTTTTGACCAAATTAAAAATAAATTTCCAACCGCAAAGTCAACTGATTTACTTTGTCAGCAGCTATGAGAAGACGCAAATAGAAAATAATGTCACAAGAAACAAGGAATCGTCAAATTTTACATGAATTTTTTTCAAACAGTAACGCCAAAACAGGTTTTTTTGAAAAAAAGTTAATGAAACGCCGAAACAGTAAATTTCAGACGGACGATGGGTCAAATTCCGTCTCAGAAAAACTGATTTTTTTGGTTTTTCCAAATTAAAAAAATTCAACCTAACTTGCTAATTCCCCCTCATTTCATTTCAATTGATTAATTTTTTTCATCCAAAAAAAGGTCTAGTTTCAAAAATAGTGAAAGAATGAAAAAAATTCAAAAAAAGAACTAACTTTATTGGTAATGGACTGCGTCTGTATGTGAGCCCCGTTGGTTAGGCTGTCGATCAGGAAAACTTTCAAACTTTCCAACTGAAAAAAACGGGAATGAATTTCTGAAAAGTTTGAAGGAATCCTCACAATTTCCATATTAGAAATACATTCTTCGGAACGTCCTCGGATTATATCGTACAAGGACATTGCCGCGAAATACCTGAACTACGATGGCTTCTTGATGGAAAAGGCTTAAAATGAGTCGAACCTAGCGTGTGCACTAATATTGGGTGAGTTTATGATGGAAACACACGAGGAGATCGTTTCTTGACAACCAAATTCTGGAAAAAAAAGATTTTACTCTGAATTAAAAAATTTACTTTTCTGCTATACCCAAAATTTTTACCCCAATAGAGACTATTCAACAGAACTAAAAAGAAATAGAAAATTATATATGGTATCTAAAATTTTCTTCCAAGGTCCATGAGAAGTATGTCCCTCCCATAAAATAAAGGAAGTTTTTTTTTCTTTTCGCAATAAAAACTTCATATTTGAAAAAAAAATTTTCATATATGAAAGCGGTTTTTTTTAGTTTTTGAAACAAGTTTGGAATCAAGCAATGATGAATCACTGACCAGTTCTGAACCGACATAAGGCCGTGTCAAGCTCGTGTCGGCGATTTTCGTCGGTCGTCGTGTAAAATTCATCGACCCAGGCGACGAACTGCCGTATGTTGAACGGCTCTTCCATCTACGGGAATAACCTGGAATCAAATATCTAGGTGGATCAATAAAATAAACTTCAATCAATAGCCAAAAAAAAATACTCAGTGGTGAAATAAAAACGTTTCTCTTTTTCAAGGAGTTTCTTACCATATTGATAGAGCAAGTCATAAAATTCCTTTGAAAAGTAAAGTAATAGAAATTGAGTACTGGAGATAGAAAACCAGTAAGAGAACTATACGAAATTCAAGCTTGACGATTTATTCCAACAAAAAACAACAATTCATATCCGAATTCTACGACAATAATGAGATTGTTCTTCTTCGAAAATGAGTTCCAAGCAGTGACCAAGTTCCTCGATGCAGAGTTGAGCATGAAGTCGAACGACGTCATCTCGGTCGAACTTCCACAGTGACGTCAGCTTTCTTCTGAGATCCCGAAGACGTGGGCCCATTATCTGAATGGAAAACGTCTATCTCACATCTTTCATGATTTTTGGCTGTTACGGGCCAAATATCTTCGTTTCGCTTTTTTTAAACTTCTTGCTTATTTCAAAACATCATACAATCTGAACATATCCTTGTGAGTGTTTCAAACGGTAAAAAAAAACTGAAAAACTCGTTCTGAGCTGAAAATACTTTGCAATAGAAATTGAAGAAGTATCCTGAACTTTACTTGAGTCATTTCCCTTTCAAAGTGAACTCCAGTAAAAAGCCTATCGAAGAAAAAAAATCTTGTCTATTTCAAAACTTCAGAATTTTGAAAACTTTCAAAAGCTATTTTTCGCAATGCTTCAAATATTATGAGCTCAAACTTTAGAGATCCTCATTTTAAACAGGAAAAAATAAGATTCTACAGCTGTTTTCCTTTTAATATTCATCTTTAACATCTGATCTCAAGGAATGAATTTCCAACCTGAATCACATCGACAGAACAAGAAGCGATACATTGTCGGACAAAGTGTACACTGGAGCGACGTACCAAGTCGCTTTTGTCGATGAGAAGAAGCTGGTCGACGCACAGCATCATCTGGAATCAATTTGTGCGAGAAAAAAAAAATGAAAAAAATCCACGATGTTCAAAAAAGATTCAAAAAGGCAAGAAATCATAAAAGAAAAGGGAAAACTGAGAACATCAATTGAAAGTTTTTTCTTCAAGCCTTCTGATCACTAAATCGTTGAGCAAATTTATTTGATCTTATTTTCGAATTGAAAAACTTCAAATTAATAGTACTATGTATTCCGAAATTCGAGTTTACTTGATTCTTTGACATACAATAAATTAATAAAAATTCCAAAAACTGAGCAGTTCTTTGAAAAATTTAAAATAAAAACGAACCTCCCCATAAAATTTTCACGCCTCCCGCGCTTTTTCTGTTTTTTTTTAACAAGACTCACTTATAACAGTAAAACGAACCTCATCGATGAATTTTTCCAATCCTCTCCCACGACTGGCCGCTACAACGTCAGCCAAAGCATTGCAAGAACTCGCTCGGATTATTTCTTCATTTTCTCTGGATAATTGGGATTCAAGATTTAATGAGGGAGCTGTTTGAGGTGAAAATCGCAATTCTGGTCAAAACTTGGGAGGTAGGTGGTTCTAGGCTAAATGTTTCAAAAAAAATTTTTTTCTGTGACGCTTGTTATAAAAATAATCATAGCAGCTGTATTCGAAACCAAAAATCTGAAGAAAAACAGTTTGTTAGCGTTTCCTGGGTATTTCGAAGCGGCTGTTTCGATCAGATCTTCAATGTCCACCTCAGATTTTTCCCTTGTAAGAATCCTCACCTAACGTTCCTAACAAAAATTCCGGCAATCTGCTCGAGCCAAACATGCGAAAAATCACCTGGAAAATTCATCGGATAAAGTTAAAGTTGAACATCAGATACCAATTTCGCGAAAGACTTTCCCCAACGCTTCGCCCATTCTGCCACGGCGAATCAGATCCGTTTCATCTTTCGAATCACTCTGAAAAAACATTGAAATGAAAAAAGGAAATATTTCCGTTGAAACCTGTCCCATGGCTCCGTAGACATCGAGGACGTCTTTCAGAAGACTCCGATCATTGCAGATCATTTCACACAGACAGTTGATTGCCGCGAGAAAGACATAGGAATCTTCATGGGTCAAGAGATCTTAACTTCAAATATAAGCAAAAGGATCTGGAGTTTCTAACTTTTAACAGACTCATAGAAGTCGGCTCGATTCAGCCGCAAAATGGCCGGTTTGCAATTTGATCGGAAAACTCGAGAAGCTCGAAGTAATGCGCCGCCCAGCATGGCCGGTTCTCCACTACTCAGGTCTTCCAAAACTTCTTCGACTGCATCTTTTGAGGTACTAGAAAAAACTCTAGGAACACGAACAAAGAAAAATGAAGATAATTTTAAAATGATAAGAAATTGGGAAAAAAAAACTCTCAAGTACTTAATCAAACAAAAATATAAAGAAAAAAAAATTTTTTTAAAGCAAAATCCGTTAACATTTCAAGATTCTGAAAAAAGTAGTCAAGAAAACATACTGAAATATTGAGAAAGGTGCTCATTTAAAAAAATTCAAATGAACATTTCAAACCCTCAAAAAAATTAAGCAAATTAAGGATAATATAAAAAAAATTAAAATATTGAAAAACAGCAAAAAAACGACAGACTATTGAATTTTTTACAAATTTGAAGGCACTAATCTCAATTTTTCTGAAAAAAATTGGATAAAAGAAAAAAATTTCTACAAGCTCTATAAATCAGAAAAAAAGCAAAAAAACAGACCTCGGCTGAGAAGTCGTGTATTTCGCAACGGTTTTTTCTCCACTTGCTTGAGTTCCTTAATAAACCCATAAAGTTAGACTTTTCTTTCGAAACCAACTTCCAAGTAGAGAAATGAGCATTTTCGCATCATCAATAACGGCGTTCAATTTATTTTCGAACGAATTTCGATGATTTTCAGCTTCTACAACAAATTTTTCGACGGCCACAATAACCTGGTCAACCAGCGGCGCCAGCTAAACAAAAACTTGAATAGAAAAATGACTTTGAAGAAATTTTTAAGGCATAGAATTGGATTCCTACAAGACTATGGGGGAGGTTAACATTTTTTAAACAAATGAAATTAAAAAAGATAAAATCTGAAGAAAAACCTCTTGATCAAAAGTCGCGGCCAACAAAACAGCTCCCGCAATTCCAACACACGCTTTCGAAGTTTCGATCATCACCTCGAGGTTTCTTTGTTTTGAAATCCATTTTTCATGATTTGAATAATTAAGAAGATCACACTTTGAATAATTGGGAAGATCAAACAATTTCTGTCATAAAGAATAAAATAGTCTCATAAAGTGCTCTGAAAAAACAAGATTCACACGAAAGAGTTCGAAACCAAAACATATTCTCGAGAAATATCTAAAAAAATTCTTCCAAATCATTAGTTTCTTTTTCAAATTTTTCGCTATCTTCGATAGATGAGAAAAAGAGAACACTCCTTGAAAAAGAAGAATTAGAAAAAAAAAAACATCCAAATCATTTAAAATCGCTCAGAAACGTATTCAAAGCTTTGATTAGGCATTTATGAACAAACATGAGAAAAGAGGTCTTAAATTGAAAAATGATGACGGTTATTAGAAAAAGACAAATAAATACATTTAAAAAAAATGAGTTTACTAAACCAACCTCAACATTTTGTTCCTCTCCAACCGCACTGATAACGTCGAAAGTACTTTTTTTAACAGAAAAATCTCGCAATTTCTGGCCAGTTGCTTCCAAAACAGCCTTCAAAATTAATAAATTGACGCTATCTATGGGTTACCCAAATTAAAACTGCAAAAAAACCTTAATTTCAGTTGCGTTTCAAAAAAAAAACCTCGCTGATCTAATTTTCAACAAGGAGAAAGATAGAGAACACAATTTCGGAGTATTCTTCTCTTTCCAAAACACCTTTCATTAAAATTAGAAAAACACTTTCAGCAATTCTACTTCCTATCTATCTAATTTGAAACATATAGTTTTTAATTTCAAACTTTTTCGCTCCAATTTTTCTCCAAACAAAGCAAACCTCAACAATCTTCATCAGCAACAGGAGCTCGTCTCGATTCTCAGCACCGATTTCATGAGATGAAACTTGTTCAAAGCAATATCCGACAATGAAATGTGAGAACAAAGGATTTTCTGAAAAAGAACACGATTTTTCTTGAAAAACAGAGGAAAATCCAACCGTTATCTCCGCTTTCTTCGAAATGAACAAAACGAGGAGAATCATCGAAATCTTTTCGTTCAACGCTCATCCAGCTCTTAACTCCCATCAGCAACATTTCCAGCAGAACTTTTTTTTCAAGATGTTCCTGGAAAAACTTTTTAAACATTATTCATGAGAAAATCGAAAGCGAGTTTGGTTGTATTTCAAATTAACATGAAAAACGCAATTATCATGATATTAATTAGAAAAACGTTTTTAATCCGATATCTTAGCTTAAAAATTTTTTCTAGAAGTTCTGCAACTTTGTATGGACTCAAAAACCTTAATAATGGCGCAAACGTGCTCCAATCGCCGCATCATCGCAGCTTCAGGTTCTTCTTTCTCGATAACGAATTGAAGGCCCGTTTCTGAAACTTTTCAGTTCAATTATCAGGTAGGTAAACTCGAAACTGCCTTTCTCATCAATCTCCTCGCCAATTTCTTGAACCAAACTGTTCGTTTTGTTGGAATTTTCAGAAACTCGGACAGATAGCTTGGATCTGGTCACGAATGAATACAGAAACTCACCCTAAATTCATTTTCCAAGGTTTTAATTGAAAGAAAGATCAAACCAAGTTCTCAATAGGCGATAAGAGTGATTTCAGAAGGGATCTGACAGTTTTCACTTGCTCAATTGAAACGTCGTGACAAGCCAATTCCACAAATATGTGAGACACCTTCAAGTTTTTAAAAATGATATTCGGCAAAAATAACTATGAAACCTGTAGGAAACGGGGTCCTATTAATAAGGCAGAATCTTTCAGTGCTTCCATAACTTTCAAAGAATCCAAAAATGAAGAATCCAAATCCAGAGTAAAACCGTTTTTCGTCTTCCAATGAGCCAACTTTTCATTCAAAACCTGAAAACAATGGAAATTATGCTGAAAAGGAATAAATCTAACCTCCCATGGTCGCAAAATATAATCAAAGACGATCAAATCTGCATTTTTCGAGTTTTTCCTCCTCAGTTCTTCAATGAAAGAGCACATCAACAAGGAGAGTCTCTTGCGCGAAGCTTCATCTTTCTAATAGAAGATTATTAACGTGTTTTCGAGAAGACTGTGAAACCTCATTATTGTAGAGCTGAATAAACTGTCGGAAAATGTTGGAATGATAACTGAGAGAGGAATTGAAAGTCTTCGGCACCGTCGCAAGTTGGAGGGCCACGTTTCTTCTCAGAGGGACATTTTCCCACCAACTATCCCCTCCTGTAAATTTTTTATTCGACTATGGAATTTTTCAGAATCAACTGAAATAATTCTGAGGACAATTAAAAATTGAATTTTCCTTAGAAATAGGGTTAAAATTTTGCAAGATTCAAGGTTTGTGTAGATACTTTTCTCAGATTGCAACCGAAAAAAGTTAGTGACTTTTTTTCAAGTGATCGGCAACTCATCACAAACGCGAGGTTGCTTTTAAACCGTAGATAACACATTTTAAAAGTTATTTTCAAAAGTCTCACCCATTTCCGAATAAGCTGATAAAAGGTGGAAAAGTCCATTGGTTGCAACGAGAATCGCGCTCATTTCAGTCCCTACGAAATGCTGGAAATGTTTCCCAGTGATTCCTTTTGTTATCTGGACAGCTTCCACCTGAAGCCATTGTGGCGGCGGATGTTGTCCTTTTCGAATTTTACTCAATCCCGTTAATGAAGAGACCAAGAGAGGCCTTGGAACTTTGGAAAGGAAATCTTTGAATTCGGAGGATAACTTTTTGACGCCGAGATGAAGCAGCTGGAAAGAATAAGTTTTTTTTCCTCTGAAATGGTTATTACCTCGAAATTGGCACAAAGAATATCGTTCACATAACGTTTAACAAGCTCAGTTCTGAGTAATTCATTACTTTCCAAAAGGCCAAAAATGATTGAGCAGCTATCGAGTAACTGGAAATTATCAAATTTTGCATTTTGGTAGAAAAATAATTATCAACGAACTCCGTCTCTTTTGGCTTGAATATCTCCATCCGCCGTTTTCCAAGTTTTGATAAAAGCTGACCTCGCGCTGACACTCATTCCTACACCTGCAGAAGATCTCAATTGGAAAAAAATAACTGAAGAATAACCTCACCATCGTCAAGATAGGGCAAAACGCCCGAAAGTACAAAAAACTGGAAAGAAGAAGAAACGACAGACAAATTTTGCAAAGACAAAATTGTATACTCGTCAGAATTTTCTTCGTCACGAATGAACACCAAACAATCTCTCAACTTGAAAAAAATTCAATTACAGTTTATAACCAAATTGAAACCTTCTCAAAAATCGAGGCGAGTAACCGAGAATACAGGTTTCTGTAGTCGACATCCTTCTCTTTCGGTTGTTCATAAGAAGTTGATGGGACAGATTCTTCCAGTGAACGATCCTTTGCATCAGCAAACTCAACCCCCTTCCTCCTGATTTGCTAAAAAATAAAAGAAATAAAAAAAACCATAATCACGAAAAACCTCATTTAATGTATCGAAAAGAAACTTGAAAGGGTCATCTCGCCACACAGCTTCTGCCAAATTCCAAGTTCAACAAAAACCGAGAGAATAAGATAAAATACTTTGATCGGAAAACGTTGTTGAAGATCGTAGAAGCTGTAAACACGTCTCCAATTGTTGATTCATTTCGAATCTAAACTAAAGTGTCTCAAACGTTGGAAGTATCGCACTTAAGAGAAGGCAACAACAAATGAAAAGATAAACATGCCGACGACAAGGAGAATGGGCGCTAATTCTGCGTAACTTCGTGCACGAATTGCAGAGCCGCGGGCGGAAAGTGAAAAAAGTTTAATTGAGAAGATTTCTTTGAAACTTACAACACTATAAACAAAGAAAATACTGTTCCAAGCCTCATATTGAATAGATAGTTCCAAATTTTTGAAATTATTTTTTCAATATTTCAGATTTCAGTATATAGTTTATGGAACAATTAAATATATTTAAGTAACATAAAAAAATCGAAAGAATTGATTTTTAATGTATAAAGCTTTTTCTTCGTTGATTTTACCATTATTATTTGGAGCAGCCTTGAAGACAAAGATATATAAGTTCTTCTTTTCGCAAAGTGAACAAAAAAAAGTTGCAAATGTTTTAATAGAATACAAAAAATTAAATTTAATATTCCGACTTTATTTTACAGTAACTTTGGCGTCAGTTCAAATGCTGCGGTCCATTCACTGTTCATGCACACTCTAGGCATCGTACCGTAAATTGATCGGAATTTAATTTTCAATCTTTCTTTTTTTACACTTTATTTGAAGTAGATATATCTTTTAAGATTTTATTGAACATTGCTTTCTGTCGGAGCGGTTAATTGGGTTTGTGAAGCAATTAGTTTAGCGAAAGCTTTCATTTGGTGGTCAGCAATGCGTTTGATGGTCATCGTGCCAGTCACGATCTGAAAACCGGTCTTTTGCAAAGAGTATAAGAATGTTACCTGGAACACATTAAAACCGATGATCAGAGTGAATAAGACGATTTCGATAGGTAATTGTCTGAAAGCAGTGTTCACAAGAAGAAAAATGGTGATGGGAAGCTGAATAACGGCCGAAGTTATCAAAAAACCGGATAAAGCCGACATCTGTAATGTTTTCGGATCACAAATTGTATAGATGCTTCATTTTGACCACCTTTTCGAACAAGTTGCCATAAAAGGCGAGGACTAGTCGAATGATTTCAGCCGAAAAGTGAACGATACTGGCAGCGAATAAAATCACTCGGTAAATCAAGGAGAGCTTTTCATACTGAAAGTTTCTTTATGGATCGATTCGTCTCATTTGAAACAATTACTTTGAAATATAAGCATAGAAGACTGGAAATAAAATGAAATGGCATGAGCGAAATATTGAGGTGCAGCGACATTTGCAGAGGAAAATTGGCCAGTCGTTCTGAAAAGTTAAGGTAAATTGAACAATCCTGCCATTATTTGTATGGAAAGTTTTTTTCTCCTCGTATTTTCAAGTTTTTCCGAAGCACACTTAAATAGCAACAAAAATTACCGTCGCTTGGAAAAAGATGGCCGAGCTCGAGTCGCTTCATTGCAATGCCTTTTCCGACTTTTTATTTCAAGAGATCTGAAATTTCTTGAAAACCTGAATTCTTCTTTGATAAACGATTTGAGAGCTTTTCTGCTTGTGAAAATTCGATTTGAAAAAGGAGGAAATTTGTAATTTGGTCATGAAGAAGAACTCTATTTGACGTCGCCATGGCAACGGTTGGCGTATTTCTTCGGAAAATATTGTTTTATAACAAATAAAGTGTGGTAATTTTAGAGAAAATCTTCATTTCAAATATGAACAAGGTGTTTTAAAATACTTCTTCCACTAATCCGAAAGAAGCCTGAACATTCTCTCGTTTTTTGTGAAATTATAAAAGCATGAGGATCGCAGATTACCTTACTTCTCAATTTCTTTGTTTGCTATTTCCAATTTTACCCCTTTCTCCAACTTTGACTAACTGCGACCTTGTTAGAAAAAAAACAGAAAAATTGAATCTTGTCTTTAAATTTAATCATGTTATTTCTCTTTTCTTCGAACTTCGAAAGAAAAACGAAGCTTGAACGTTTCATATCATCAATTTTACAACAACGTGAACAAAAACTACAGGACGAGACAAATAATAAATATCGGCTAGTTTCGAGCAAAAAGAACAATAAATCAGATCTCAATGCTCGAAACTACACCCTCCGATTTGCACATAAATTATTAAATAACGATTGCTCAAGCAGTCTTTTTGAAGCCGTCGTGGACCTCTTCGTGGTCACCGGTCAGCGCCAGCGACACCTTGGACTTTTTGCCTTTGTTGCTACCGTAACCACCGCCGCCACCGTACTCCAGCGACATGTCGACGCCGTAGTTCGGACCGCTGACATAGCTCGGCTGCGGCGCGACGTTGAAACCGGTGTTGGCGACAGGTCCGCTGCCGTAGTAGCCGTTCTGGTCGCCGTAGCCGCTGTTCTGAGCGCCGTAGGACTGGCTGGAATCTGGTTGATAGCCACCGTAGTCTGAAGTTCCATAAGAAGAGCCGCTTGGCTGGTTGCCATAGTCTGTGTTGTAGTTATTGTTCGTCCAGCCGTTCTGACCTTGTTGGTTAGAGCTTCCATATTGAGACGAGCTTCCCCAATCTGGAGACGATCCAGATCCGGCTTGCTGACTATTATCGTTGGTGTTGCTACCGTAGTTGGAGTTGGACTGTCCCCATTGGGAATTATCGTTCTCATTAGTTCCATAGTTGTTTTGATTTTGGGTCTGACCATAAGGTTGTTGAGAGCCGTATTGAGATGAAGTGGAGGACGATCCCCAGTCTGGTTGGGAAGAAGTCTGACCATAGGGCTGCTGAGAGCCGTACTGAGATGAAGAAGAAGCCTGACCCCAGCCCCCTTGCTGGCTGTTGTCGTTGTCGCTGCCATAGTTGTTCTGGTTCTGGCCTTGACCATAGGGCTGCTGAGAGTTTCCATACTGAGATGACGATCCCCAGCCATTTTGTTGGCCTCCATCGGTATCACTTCCATAGCCATTCTGAGTCTGACCATAGGGCTGTTGAGAGTTGCCATACTGAGACGAAGATCCCCAGTCCGGCTGTGAAGAAGACTGTCCCCAACCGCCTTGTGGACTGTTGTCGTTATTGCTTCCATAATTGGAATTAGTCTGGCCCCAGCCTCCATTTTCTTGATTGGTCGTGGATTGCCCTTGGTTAGAGTCTGAGCCTCCATAAGGACCAGACTGTCCATAGCCAGCGTTAGAGCCGCCGTAGTTAGATCCAGAGGAGCCGTCTCCATAGGACCCGCCGTAGTTGCTGCTGCTTGGCTGCTGTCCGTAGTTTGAACCTTCGCCTTGACCTCCATAAGAGTTCTGACCGTAGCCTTGGTTACTGCCGGCGTAGTTCTGATTGCTGTTTTCATTATTATCATTGCTGTTGCTGGTTTCGGGCCACCAGTTCTGTCCGCCTTGAGTGTTGCCACCAGCGTTACTGTACCCATCTTCTGAGGTACCGTAGCCGGATGAATAGCCGCCATTTCCTCTCTGATTGGATTCATACTCGTTTCCAGAGGAGCTACCGTATCCTCCGTTCGAGTCACCGTAACCGCCTCCTGTGTTACTCTGTCCGCTTCCAAAGTTTCCAGAGGTTCCAGCGTTGCCGTAATCTCCATAACTCGAACTTTTCCCTTGCTGGGAGCCATACTCGTCTCCAGAAGAGCCACCGTAACCTTGGTTGTTCCAGTCGCCGCCAGAGTTACTATTGGGGCTGGTCCAGCCGTTCTGATCGCCGTATCCGTTTCCATTGTTGTAATTTTGGTTATTGTTCTCGTTATTGCTGCTGTAACCATTGTAGTTATTGTTGTTGTTGCCGTTGTTCCAGTTCTGGGCATGGTTTCCTTCTAAAACACTGAACGTTGAAAAACTTTGGTTTTTTTTCCCAGTACCATAACTTCCATAGCCACCATCGGAGTTTCCGTAGGATGATCCAGTGGCGCGGTTCATAGAAGCCTGTCCTTTTTGGCTATCAACGCTCCCTGTAAAACGCGAATACTTTTTGGAATATTCTTCACAAGAAACTTGGGTTTTTTGTCGAGTTAAATTTATTTTCTCTACTTTACATTGATAAGAATTCTATCCTTGCTTCCTATGAAAAAAGGAAAAATTTTTTGTGGACATCACTGACATCACACTAATGATTTACCTCACAAGGTGCAAAGTGAAAAATTTAAAAGCTTTTAAGTAACTCTATTCTAAACCTTAATTTATTTTTTTCGATTCTTGACGATACTCTTCTCTAATAATTAAAAATCATTTATCTATCTTTTTATGATGAAAAAGACTCACCATAACTTCCAAAAGTTCTCTTCGAATTTCCAGAACGCGTGATTCCTCCCATATTTGCTCCATTTTGACCGATTTGAGAGTCAGGTTTTCCTCGATATCCACTGAAATCGGCTCGAATTTGAAGAATATATTTCCAAATCATCAAACTTAGCGTATGGATCCCCAGTTATGGCTGTGTGAGGCTTGCTCAGGTACAGAGAATAGGAAGAACCCGTGGCGATTTTCTTTTCTTCGAATGCACCTTAATTCAGGTGATGTATGAAAAATCTGTTAGTTTTCGGGATAAAACAATTTTGTGCCAAGTGTCCCGCATTATTGCGTAAACAGAAATCGATCAAAATTTTCACGTTGGTCGGCCTCAGTTGTTTTGGAACTTTGGCTACAAAAGATGGAAAAGAAATGACAGCAAGGATCACGTTTCAAAAACAAGATATTTTTAAGTTTTCCTGGAAATATCACTTTCAAGCTCGAAAAACAAGAAGCTTCCGAAAAAATAGCTGTTCAGATTAAAGACCGCCGCTGGTGCAGGAGTCTGTTCTAAATTCCCTATTGAAGTGTTTGAATGAGCTGAAAGAAAAATGGTATGATTGTCAATCTCTTAAGTTTTCCTAGGTCACGCTAAAACTGAAATAAATTTTCTCAAACTTTATTTTTTACAACTTCAAAGAAATTGAAAAATTTTTTTTTCCAAATTCAATCTGCCAACATTATTTTTTTTGATATTTTTCAAGTTGTTTCTTTTCACGGGATCTGGTACAAAAAAGAAAAAAAATATCCAATCAGTTCAACTCACTCAATCCGCGCGACTTCTCAACGTTTGGCTCTTCACGATTGTTCTAAAAGTGTCTTTTTGACTTATTTTCAATCAAGTAAGTGAAATGAACTCACCAACCGAGAATTTTTCTTCTTCGGTCTGATTTTCGTAACTGCTGGGAACGTCGTAATGAGCAAGGAGCCTTGGTCGCGGGCGATTTTCGGGACCACCACTTCTGGCGCTGAAAAAAGTTACTTTTTTGTGATGCCCTACAATTTAAAAAATAAAAAATTGATTTGTGGAGCTTAGAAGTTTCTTTCAAAAAAAAAATTGTATATATTTTTTCTGTGAAAACCTTTTTACAGTTTTCAAGGCTAGAAAAGTTTTAACTTGTTTTTTCAATCGAAAAAAAATTTTCCGCGCATCCAATTCTTATGACCGGTTATTCTTTATTGTGATCTTCGTGAGATTTATCGCAGAAGTCAAAATATTGAGAACTGGTTTCAACCATGGTTCCAAAAGTGGAGAAAAAGACAGAATAGGGTAACTTTTTTTCAACTTTCGTGAATCTAACCTAATGACTCAAAAAAAAAAGTCTATCACTCAAAATAACAGAATCAAAAAAATTTTCGAATAGTCTGCAAGCCTAAGCGAAATTATTTGAAAAAAATTTTTTTACTGTCTTTTCCAACTGAGAAATTCAAGAATTAAAAAAAAACATCATTGAATACAATCCGTTCAAAAATCCTCATTATTGTGTTCCAGACTACAAAATTGCTGCGAAAAATAATACACAATTACAGTAATCCGACAATGCGATCAAACATTAACGAGTTCAAACCAAAAAAGGAAAGAGTTGAAATGAAAACAGTTGGGGTCAAAGTACCTTGTGTCTGGTTGACTTGGACGGTGGCGTTGATTGGCGGCTCCGCGGCCGCGGCGACGGCGGCGGCCACAAGCAGGAGCCGGAGGAGCAAACGCATGTCAGACCACTGGTCAGCGGCTCCGGAGCTTTTATCCGCCGCGCGGTCCTGTCAGCCCCTGGAAGTGTCACTTTTCTTGCTTTTCCGCGTTTGCCAGTGCGGCTGGATCCGGCAGACCCGCTGCCGTTCCGAAGTTCGAAAAGTGAGGGAATTTCGGCTGACTTCGAAAGACTTATCTTTTTGATAATCACTTCGCACTAAAACCCGAAAAGTTTTTCGGTGAGTCTGACCCGAAACAAGGACCGCTTGGCGGCCTCGGAAAGCATGGGAGCAAGCTAAAAAACTTCAAATCAAAGTAAAAGTTAAACACATATTGAAATTCCAAACCAAATAATTCAGAAAACGGCGAAATCAAATTTTGAACTGTGATCAGGATCTTATCTGGTCATTTGAAGTTTTCTCTTTCAATTTATCCATTTATCAAGAAGCGTCAGGTTTATTAGAGTTGAGGTTCTCAACGATGATGATATTCAACCTTTTTTCAATTTTTTTTCCTGTTTAAAATTCAAAAATCAAGAGATGTAGAACTTTCTTAGAAGGTTTTCCGATGCTTTTCTCTCGGTTTTCTACAAAATTTCTTCGAGAAGCTCTTTCTCATTTTTCACCTTATTAGCGGGGTTTCAAGTTCGCAAAAAGTAGCTAACAAGTGTGACGTCTTTTTTCTCTCGACTTTTCGAACAGCAGGAAAAGCTCTTTTAGAACATAAATTAAGAAGAAAACAAGAAGAGAATCTATTTTGAGCTCGTTGGATCATATTGCAACCTCACTTGTTTTTTTGGAATTTGTAAAGGATGAGAAAGCAGATTTTTTTGGTAACTAATAGACTTTTAAGTAAAAAAATTGTACCCAAGTTAAACTAAGTTCATCTTACTCCCTTATCATTGTGTTTGCCGCGTTTTGAAACTAATTATAACTAGTTTGATGATTCTCACGATGATCAGCATCCCAAATAACCGGTCAAAAGAATTGAATCGCCGGAAGCGTTCTTTTCTTATCGCGTGAGGCAATGACCGGTGAGATCGATCGAAGTTTGATAATCGGCCAATTTCTCACGTTTCCATTAGCTATCCTATAAAACACTATATTTTGGTGTTCGAATCGAAGAAGGAAGAACGAAGGTGCGGCTGTCACATCAAATCACACTGAACGCCAATTTTTTTCACATTCCTCGCGATTAACACTGCCTATTACACTGTTTGATTGGAAGCCGCGTCGAAATCCGCAACGCAGACGCGACGCTTCAAACATATTTTGGTGTTGACAGAAATGAAAAATAAAGTGAAATAAATTTATTTCATATAAAACAAATGGTACATCGTACACGCAAGTGCGGTGTGTCTAAAACGTCACAACACGGAAAAAAAGGGCGTTGTTTTGTTTTTTCTCATAGTTTTGAGTCCCGTATTCTCATCGTCGTCTTCAAAGTCATACAAACATGAGGGAAATAAAGCAGTGAGTCAAGAAAAGGAGCACAATAGAATGTACAAATAGACAGGGGAATGGAACAATCGAGCTATTTCTCCATGAAACCCAGAAGTTGGGAGAAATTGCGTAGTTTCCAAGTGTGACACGAGATCTACTAATCATTTTATAGAGAGAAAATTGGACTAAGGCTGAAGGAATTGCTCAACAGCGGGCAATGACGTCACCGGCGCGCTTTTGTCGTTCTCTGGACATGGCTCGTCGGAGAGCCGTCAAAACGGTGAAGTTGGGCGCTTGGGCCGGCCGTCGGTGGTGAGGTCGAAGAGCTGACGTCACTCCGTTGCACTGTGACGAGCTTTTCGTCTTTGCTTGTTGTACCACGGCCTTCAGTTCCATGGAAGAGGGCGGAACCAGAAGTGAGGTCTTAGAGACTCGGACTGGACCGATGGGCATCGCCTCGTGTTGGCTCTGAAAATAATTCAAAATAGAAACTTGGTATCGAAAATATGATTCTTACATGCTTGGTAGTGCTAGCCAGCGAGCCAACGCCGCTTTCGCCTTCGCTTTCGGCGCTGACGAAATCTTCCTTTTCCTCCTCGCCGACCTCTTCTAAGACTTCACTGGATCCTGCGAAAACTTTCAGTTAACGAAGGGCGACTACGCCAAGTTACCTGCTTCATCAGAAGGCGCAGAAGTGGAAGTTTCGACGGCAGCATCTTTTGCGGCGACTCCGGCAGAAACCTTGGCAGTGAGGGTGGTCCAGTCGGAGGTCGGTTTTCGCAGCCATGGATGGTTGAGGATAGCGTCAAGCGAACAGCGCGCGAATGGATCGAAGGCCAGACACTTGCTGATCAGGTCTTTCGCCTCTGGAAAACACCTGGTTTTGGTACAGAAATAAAGTCTTCATTTGGAAAGAAAAATAGTTTGATTATACCAGCTATTGAAAAATAAAGAGAAGGTACTTTTTGGTCTTTGACAACTTCAATTTTAACCTCGACGCTAACTAACTTCTTGAATTTTAGTCAAAAAAAATTATAATTTTCCGATTTAAACCGTTATATCCTTATTGTATAAATCAGCCCAAGGGGCCCTTTCTGATTTTTCTTTTTGCATTGCGTCAACCACCCAAATCATTCACATCATTGATAGTCAACAGAATGTGTCACGCAAAAAATCTTCAAAGGTGAAAACGGTTCAAAAACCTTGACGTCAAAAAACCGTTAGCATGCAACAATAGGTTTTCTATTCTGACTGGCGTTTCATTCAAAAGCAAAAAGTCAGGATTTCGTGCACTTTGTTGATTCGTTTACTGAAAAATTCAGCAGCAGGGTCGCTTCTCGATCCCCCAGAAAGAACTCACCGGCTGAAACGGACACGTAGAAAGGCAGTGGACCAAGTAGGTGCGCCGTGCAAATGTCCTTTTCATTTCGGAACGGCAGTCGTCCATTCAGAGCGTTGTAGAGCAGCACGCCGAGTGACCAAACAGCAGCTTCTCTTCCCAGGTAGAGAGAATGCAGGAACCATTCAGGAGGACAATAAAGCCGAGTTCCTAAAAATAATAAATGAGAGCAGAAGAAAAATGAAAAAAATTGAAAAATAATCATGAATCTATGCGCCACTGTTTCACTGATTGGCGTTTTTTTCTAGTTTGCGTAAATTGTGATTTTTTTCCCTTTTTTTAATTTTTTTAAAATTAACTTTTTGCGTTTTTTTTTTTTTTTTTTCATGTGAAACTCTTTCAGAATGAACCTCTTTTTTTAGAATGATATTTTATAGCTTTGAACTTCCCCCATAGTTTTCTCTTTTACTCCTTTTTGAAACACCGAAGAAAAGCTTTTCACGATACCCACGCAAATGTGCTGAAAAGGTGTTTTTTGTATAGTTTGTTGTACGGAGCCCTACCCACTTGGTAAACAAGCTCAATGACTAATAGACCTGCGCAGCTGTGAAACTCGTTCAAGTGAACTCTTTTTAATTTTGAGAAAGTATAACGCGACTATTCGCACTCATTCTTTTGGGTAACTGATCCCGAAGGTCACAAGACGTTTTCAACAAATTTGTTGCTTTTTTCAAAGATGAATTTGTATGAAAAATGACTTCAGCGTAAAATCTTCGATTCTTATTGCAAAATGTTTGCAAAAGTTGCACTCTTTGGAAGTTTTTCACTGGCAGTTGAACTTTTCGTTTTCGAAAATAAAACTTGCCCTTTCACACACTTGGACATTCATTGATCTCAGAAAAATACGGTTCTTTGGTGTACATTCAACATACTGAAATCGAAAGTTCTTGAACAGAATAATTATAACTGATTTTTGTTTTCAAAGAGCAGTGGAATTTGCTTAACGTTCTGTCATGTTAGCGTATTGTTTATCAATGCGCCTAATTTTTCCAGTATAACCGGTTTCGAGCGACGAATAGAGAAGAAAAGCCATCAACAACTTTTTCGTTTTTTTTTTTCTACCCAACAAATACATTCGCGTGATTCGCCGAAAAATTTCTTAGATTTACGCCGTATAGATCGCGGTTTCTGACTATTTCAAAGATCACGGAACGGCAAGGAGTCGATAGAAGTGACTCAGAGCATGGAAAATTTTCGTTTCTTTTCACATAGACTGGACTACAATTGCGGAAATCATCCATGTTTACTTTACTCTATAAAGTTCGACTAGAAACTAGTTCTAATGTTAGCCTACAGGATCATCAAGTATATTTTATTTATTTCAATTCAGGGATCGACTATTGACTTTTGCGCGCATTGAAACAAAATAAATTGATCACTTCGCACTCAATCACAATCCTGTGAAAACCTGATTTGGGTACATAACTTTTAGAGGAGATGGATGTCAACGAAACAAGAGAAAATGATGATCAACCGTTTAAGGGTCGACTTTTTCTCTTCTTATCGGTGAGAGACTATGTGAAATCGTCTGGAAGGGAACCCCTTTCAGTTTTTCGCGTTAGGCGATTAATTTCAGAAAAGTCTAGGGACATAAAAACCAGCAACGTGAGAAAAGACAAGTTTCTAGGTTTAGGTGGGTGCACTTGATGTTTCGAGGACAACTGTTCCTTAGGTTTGACAAATTTACACGATGATTGGTGTAAAGGCGAAACTTTTGAAGTCAGAAAAGGCAAAGTAGCAAAGCCGAACCTTGGAAATCACTGTAGTGAGACTTCTTGAGAATGGTGGAGGCGCCGAAGTCGATGAGACGCGTTTCGCCGGTGACCAGGTCGATGACGACGTTTTCGTCCTGGAAGCCACCGGATAGGTTAACAGTAGTTTTTACAGTATACCTTGATATCTCGGTGCAGGACCCGGTTCTGTGAGCATTCTTGAATTGTGTGCGTGATCTGTCGGAATAGGAATCGCGCAGTCTGAACCAGACGGTGACGTCATTTCTCGTCATCTTATCACAAACCTCTTCGTCGAGCTTCTGCTGACCTTTGACGAAGTCGAACATGTCGACGCAGGGATACGGTCGCTCCATGACGATCAGAAAACCTTCAGGGATACTGTACCAGTCGAGCAGACGGATTACACCTGCAGCTGGGCCAGTTTTTCGGTTATTTTTTGCTTTCGCTGACGCACCTCGGACTTTGGAGCAGCGCATGAGCATGCAGATCTCCATCGGCACCTGTTCTCCATTGACCTGCAACCAGACGAGTCAATCAATCTTTTTTATTCTTTGAACTCACTCGTCCCCACTCCTTGACGCTCATTCTGTCGATGAACTTGACGGCGACAGGAACGTCGTCGGCAACTCTGACGGCCCGATAAACGATCCCGAATCCGCCTCTGCCGAGCTCTCCCTTCAGTTTGTATGTTTTTTTGAACTTGGAGAAGCCGCGGCCTGCAAAATATGACCTTTGCCCTATATTCTCTCATTTTCCTCTCACTTGACTCGCCGTTGAGCAGCAACTTCAGGTTGAACAGTTGACTCGACGCCAACTTTTTCACTTTCTTTGCCAATATTGGGAGCGTCATCTCGCTCGCTTTATTTATTCGTTCTTAGCCAATTCGAATCGGTTTCTGGAATGAGTTATTTGATTTAGGACCAGGAAGAAAGGGTTGCGACATGTGTGATAGCGCAAAAAACACGGAACTGAAGGACGAGGGCGGTCCCAGCTGTTGCTCACCGCCGTGGAATCCGAAAAATCTCAGAAAAACATCGGTTTTTGGAAATTAATGTCAAAAAAGGTGGGATTTTTCGCAGAATTTTTAGAAAGAGCCAAAAACCTTCTTTAGAGCTGTGAGCGGTTTTGAGTATCACTAATAGGAAAGAGCGTGAAATTGAGGAAACGTGGAACAAAATAACTGGTATAAACATGAAAAGTCTATGTTAGTAATGTTTTGAAAAGTTTTCTTTGAGCTTGAAAGGCATAAAAATCAGGTTTCAAAGTTCAGTGGTATCGGATTTCAGAAAAGTGAGAAAATAGGGATAGCATAATGGAAAGGTTTTTGAAAAAAAGATCGAAGTTTACAAAGAAAAATTCGAAAGTGGTTCAGAATTCCAAATACAGATTTGTAGATTTTTTGGAAGAGGAATGGTCATAATGATATCTTTAAATTTCTGTTGAACAAAAAAAAAGAGAAGTTTCAAAAAAATGTTTGGAGAAGAAGATAACCTCAGATCGGATTCAACGGTTTGTCAAAAATCAGCAGATAATTGGAACATTTTTTTAACGAGGTTTTTGTAAGTTAATTAGGAAAAAAATGATTCAAAACGGAAAGTTTGGCTTCAAGTTGAGAAACGAGAGAACTCGGAAGAGTTATAACACTAGAATGAAGTCGAATTGTTGATCAGGAAGGAGGAAAGAAATAAAGAAAGACCTCCACTTCCTCAAACACAAAGGTCGACTGATATTCAACAGCCGGAGGCCTACCTGAGGCAGTTTAAAGTAACCGGCGAGGAAGTTGGAGAAGGCGGAGCCTCGAGTCTTGCAGCCGTGGCGAAGTCGAGGGCAACGAGAAAAAAAATAAAAGAAACACGAGAAGCTGTCGCTGATTAACACGTGCTCGGGAGTCCAGCCTCGCGGAAGGAACGGCCGCATTTTCCTGATAAGCCGACCGGACCCGCTGGACACAGCTTTTCTCCTTTTTCCGATTCTGAATACCCTCGCCGATAATGTTGCGAACGGCTTTTATTTCCGCTCCTCGTTTGATTATTTTTGTTTACCCTGAGCATTCACATTTCCGGGTGCCAGCAAAGAATTGGAAAAGATAAACGATAAGATTCTAAATGACATGTAAATAAGTGACTTTCTTCAAAATTGAGACGTCGCTTGGTTGGAGATATAGCTTACTGTAAATATTAGTGATGATATGCTTCTGGTTTTCAAATATAATTTTTTGAGCTCTCTGGAACGCTCTACAAAGTGCTGTAGGAACTCGATATGATAACTTGAACTTATTGAAAATTTCAAGTTCGTCAGTTCTTTTCAAACCTAGCGAAACAATATTTCTGTTCATTAGCAGCATAATTCATAAAAAGCAAGATAGAAAAACGCTCAGATCGAAAAAAAAGAAGATAAAAAAAGTATTAGTCCGCTTCAGTAAAACTTGGTTAGCGTTTAGCTGATCTACCGAATCACGCCGCTTTATTTTAATTAAACTTCAACAAAAACCCTAAAAAAAAACGATAAGATATTTCAAAATTTATAGCTCATAAAAACTGTAGTGCGTGCTATTCTCCCCTTTATATTTACATATAAATTTCATTCAAGCACTCTCTAAAAAAATGTCTTTTTCAATATATCATTGTTATGTGTCCAAAAAAGAAGAAGCCCTATGAATAGACTACGGAAAGAGTGCACTGATAAGTGTGAAAAAAAAGATCAGAAAAAGCTCAGGCGTGTAAACAAATTGTGCGAGGGTGTGGATCAACAACGCCCAGGGAGACAGGAGTTTTTGTTTTCAATGAGACTGAAACGAGAAGTTGTTTTAGTTGAAAAATGGGGCTGGATCTGAAGAAAAAAAAGAGGAAATGATAATGATTGACTCCGAAAAACGATAAAAAAGAAGCTTTGAAAAGTTATAGCAAGGATAAGATGGAAATTTTGAAGGAATATGAATGAGTTAGAAGCTCTAGTGAGAAAATTTCGAGATGATTTTGGAAAATCTGAGACTTTCAAAATAATCTCAAGGAAAAACGATTGCATTTATATTAAGATTAAAGCAACGACAAAAAGAAAAAAGGCCAAGAAGGTTCAGTGAACTTTAAAACGTTACATGAACCTAAAAAGATATAGCAACGCTAGAAAAAATTCAGAAAGTGTACGAGAACTTCAATAAAAGCACGTTAAAAGGCAATCATCTCGTCACCGCAATAAGGTCCATTCAATTCGACGAGGAATCACGCGAAAAAAGATGGGTTCCAATCAGAAAAAAGGACAATAGAAATGAAGTTGTTGTGGTCGTGGCAAGCACCATCGGCTACAGTGCCGCAGTATTACAGTTGTGAAGAACAATGGAGCCGCGGAATAGAAGACGTCGGAGGAGGCGGACGTCTCCTATCGCCGCTTTCGTCATCACTGAATCTTCGAAGGTTGTCAGAGGAGGCGGAGCGCCGAAAAAGGGAGGACGACGGTCGGCGGAGAAGAACGGGGCCGCCACCGCCGAGACTATCGATGATCGGGAGGCACGTGCCGCTCTTCGAACAATTTGCACTCGATTCTCAGGTTCAGATTACCTTCCAGTTCAGGTCAGAAGTTTGAGAGAGGGAATGGAAGAAAGAAAAGAGTGGGAGAAGTTCGAGGAAACTTTTTGATGAACTTTGAAGGTCTTTGATGAAGTTCGGTATCACACTTTGAACAATTCACACCTCGATTCCCAGGCTCACAGTTCTTTTGAGTCTGACTTATGAGACAAACGCCTGAGAACAGGATGGAAGAACAAACAAATCGTTGAGCCTAACAGTTTTAGGCAAGTCTGATGAGTTGGGAACGTCTTGAAAAGTATTCGGGTTGAATGACTTCAACTCGATCCCTGGGCTACTGATGAAGATTTTTGAGAAGTGGCGAGAAAGAAAAAGATGAATAGAAAATAGAAGGCGAAAAATCAGTTTACAGCGATTTTCATGGTTTTCTTGAGATTTTCAGCTTCTAAAACTTTCCAAAAAAAAAACTGAGAAAAGATAATATTATCGAGCCTTGTTAGGTTGAAAATTATTCTTTTTTTTTTGAGTGTTACCCACGGCGCAGAAGCTTTTTATTGACTTCTTCGATAAAACAATGTTGATATGCTGGCACTTCGGATTTTATGAGAGTTTTCGCCACGTGATAAATCAGTTAAGCAAAACTATTTGTTTACAAAAGAAGAAGCTAGTTTTTGTTTTGTATTTGGCTAAGCCCTAATCAGAAATTTTCACTTTCAAGGAAACTACGAAGAGAAAAAAAAATGAAAACGTTAAACTTTTATCTCCTTTTCATGTTTTATTGCGAGATGAAATCCAATATCATTTACTGTTTTTCAAGTTCAATTTTTTTCATTACAAAAAGGTTTTTTTCGCGATCTTTGAAAGAAAGTAAGCTTTAGTTTTGAGAAGAATACAGAGAGAGAAAAATATTAAGAAAAGGTTTTACAAAGAATTCCAGACCTAATTTAGAAAGTTTGAGTCGACTTACCATGGTTAGTAATTTATTCAAATCTCACAAAGTCATAAAAGCTGAAATCTTCTGATAAATTGATTGATTTTAGAAGGGTAATTGGAACTCTAACGAGTTCAGTGGTCTGACAAAACTGATTTCTATTAAAAATATTACTTTCCTGGCTTTATTCTTACTGATCTCTGTGATAAGCCCCACTAGACGACCCGAAAATGAACCCATGTGCTCTTTGAACCAAGTTCAACGATTCCTAACAAGGAAGAACGTCAACAAGAACTTCTGCAACCAACAGAAGCAGACCGAACGAAAATTGATGACGTCACGTGATCATAAAAGATCACCAAGGGGAGAAGATAATATATATGATGACGAACGCTTTGGTTCGACCCAACTGTAAATATTCCGACCCGATCCGCGCCGGTAACAATGGAACCGGCCGCGTGAAGCAGAAGCTTGGCAGTTTTTAAGCTCCAGTGAAAACAGGCACGGGGAAGTCTTCTGCTCAACATTTCAAGCAGAACGATTGGATTGCGCTAAAAGTTCATAGCCAGGAACTGATGGTTTTTTCTACTATTTATCAATTTTTGAGCATAACCGGGTTTGCTCTTCGAAGTGATGATTTATGAACAGTCAGAGGAATAGGGAGCATATCAAATTGATCTCCACTGATCAAGGTACAAGAAGTGAATAATTTATTCAAAAATTTTACATTAAAAAAATCAAAAAAAGAGGGAATTTTTTTCGAGCTCAAACTCTCCTAGAATATCATGCTGAAACCACGCAAAAATAATAAAAATTTTATTTCGAAAATTTTCAATGAAAATACGGTTTTTATTATTTTATAGCTCATACTAGTCAGTTTCCCCATTGTTTTAGCTTTTCTTTCTGAAATATTCCAAAACTTTGAATTGCGGAATCAAATTTTTGCTTATCGAAACGAAGTGGTTTTAGAACTTTTGGATCTTCTACCTTTGCAACTATTATTGAAAATTCGCAAAATATATCGGGAGAAGGATCTTTGAAGTTAAACCGATTAAAAATGTAGAAAAGGGGTGTCCTTGACTCAGCCCCAAGCCTGATGAATATAATCCAAAAATAGCGTTTGTTTGGACTCTCAACTTTTGAAGGAAAAAGGCTTGAAAAAATGATGAACACTTATTTTCTATAAATAAAAGGAGGCTGAATTTTTTGAAAAATGCTGTGAAATACCATCTAGTGAGTGTAATTTTTTTTTTGTTTGAAATTAACCCAGTTTTTGACAAAACTGATTATATTGAAACGGTGTGAGATCGAAGTAGGCTCAAAAATAACGAAACGGAATGAGCGCGAGAGAAAGAAAAACGTTTCAAAATATATACGCTCGGCCTGAGAATGACCCCTTCTCAGGGTTTTTTTACGGGAGTTTTTCTTTTTTTTTTTACTTCCACTTGATCATAAAATATAAATTTTAAGAGCGGCTAGAGTTCAAATAAGTTTAAAATATTTTGTTCAAGATTTACCTTGTCAGTTTTATTTTATAGACTTTTTTGTTCCGAGCTTTGAAGTCAAAAAAGTTGGTGGGAATCAGCTTCCATCATTCTGACTACTCACAAGAAAGCTAAAATCACTTTAAATTATCTGAAAATTTCGTAAAATTGTTTTTCCTTTAGTTTAGAGAGATTCTAAAAGTCGAAGTCTGCTGAAATTAGAATTTTCTGAGATTAGACGCGTTAAAGGTTTGCCGTTTCTAGACACTGTCATAGAAGCGCTGCTGATTTAACACTATGTGGGTGAAAAGTCAAATAAATCATTTTTTTCAGAGAGAAACAATTTAGTTTGATTATATGTGGAAAAGAACGGCATAGAAAAGTTCTGGCCGAAAAACGCCAAACTCGGTGGAATCGGAAGACAGGAGGGAACATAATGATCAAAAAGCAATAAGCAAAGCTGACGAGACAGTCTGGCCGGAATCCTTCTCACCACGTCTTTCCGGTGCCACTTCACGGAGGCGACTGTCTTGTGGGAGAAGGTGAAAGGGATTCGAAACGAGGGTGGAATCTGAGTATGTTTCATGAGCATTTGACAGTGAGAGAGCACACGTGAATGTTTGGGTGGAGCCGCGGAAACCGGAACGTGTCGGGGGGCCGGTCGTGGCGCCTCGGCGACAAACACACGGGGTTAAGGCACCGATGAAGACGTCGCGGACGTCTTCTTTTTTTGTTTCGTTTTGTTGGTGGTGGTGGTGGAAGCTTTTTGTAAAGCTGTGTACAACGCCGAAAGACACGCTTTGGGGGAAAGATTTCAGAAAAGAAAACAATGAGAAAACAGAAAAAAGTATGTTATTATTGCCTAATGTCAGTTTGGCGAGTGTTGACCAGTACTTTTGAGAAATGCGTGGGCGCCTGATTTTTGTTGTATGTTGAGTCTTCAATTGATTTATCGCGGCTCAATGATATTTCAGAGCAGAGATCAAAGAATGAGTTTCACAAAAAAAAACGATTCAAGTTTTTACTTCTTTCGAACGTTTTGATGAATCTATCGGAACCGTTATCGAAGTTACTAGAAATATTTTCACAGAGACCAAAAAGCTGCGGAAAAAAAACTCAAAACACTTCCTCATGGGGCAATTTTCAAGGTAATTGGTGGTGTTCCATATTTACGAACGAAGCTTCACTTGAAGAATAGCCCTCTTTAAATAAAATTTATGATAAGTGCTCTCTTTTTTTTTGAGATTGAGTCCTAGTGCTAGAGCTATATGAAAAACTAATGATGGAGCTTATTTTTACTACAATCTCTGCCAGTTCATGAACCTTGAAGCCGCGAAAAATGGTTTGGTTGTGGCCAGTGATCGACGTCGAAAGCAGTTTTTCATTGGGCAAGCCGAGAAACAAAAGAATAAAAAAAAGCGAAGAAAGAAGAACAGGCTAACACTGAATAGTTATTCAACACTACAAAGGCCCATGAATCTCGTTCCACTTCTCTTAAAAAAAAAAAAAAACACCAATAAGAACTCATAAATACGGTTTTTTTGAATAGTATCGAACCGGTTTTTGTGTTTTTTTTTTTCATGGTTTCTCACGTTTTTATGTTGCAAAACGCCTAGGAAAATAACAGTTTGAGGAAAAAAAGACCACGTGCTCCAAAAACCATTTTTTTCCAAAAAAATAAAAAAACTGATGATTTCCTCAATTGTTAAATCTTATGATTCAGTTTTTGCACGAGTATTTACTATTATTTGTCAGATAAAATAATTTAGTACCCTGCCAAAAAAAGTAATTTGCTTTTTCACAAGCGATTTTTTTGAAGTATTTACAAGCCAAAAAAATGTTTGATTAAGTTTAAAAAAACAAAGGATGAAAAAAACTTTAAAATGGAAGGCGAAAAGAAATTGGATCCAAGGCTAAAAAAATAAATTTTTCAGACAAAACTACAAAAACTCACTTGTTTATTTTTTCTTTTCATTTCCAAATTTATAAAACAACGCCTGGTTTTTGAGACTTTAAAACTACGTAAAATAGTAGAAACTAGAGGCCGATGACGATCCTAAACGAAAAACTGAGTTTAGAATGACGAATTTGTCGCAAGCAGCGAGTTGATTTTCTATCTCTGTACTTTAGAAACCAGAAAGAAGAGTCCGAATGGGTGTTTCGAAGATGAGCTGACAAAAGAGGCAATTTTTAGAGCGATTTCAGAAATTTCTCTTTAGAAATCTAGATAAAGACTCCTTACAATGGCCATCTGCGCAATTTTTCAGCTTTAGAAATGAGATTTTAAAAGGTTGACGTTTAAAAAAAATCGAAGTCAATTTGTTATAGCTTTGGGAAATCGCATCTCAAAAAATAAAACTTGAGAAGTTACTGACTACGAGGGAACTTTATCTAGACCTTTTAAGGCGTTTTTTGAGCTAATTCATAAAAAGTTCCGAAATAAACACTGAAACAACCTTTCTTGGAGTGCCTAAACCTTTTCAAAGCTGTACTTTTATATGAGTTCTTACCAAAAAGGAATCGAGTTATGCTTTTCTCAAGAAAAAGCCATTCTTCACATATCACCGTAGCAAGATGAGTAACCGCTCTTGAATGAAAGTTGGAAAGAAGAAGACAAAAGACGTCAAACACAATGGACGGTTCTCCTTATTCGGTCAAGTCGAAATGAGTAAGCTTGAAGGGCAAAGTCCGCTGACGCACTTTTATACAACTGACGGTGTAAATAGTTTCGAGGGCAGATCAAAGGACAAAAGTTGGGTTTCCAGTTGGAAGGAAAGGAAGAAATCGATGAGATCCGACGATAAGCGAGGCGCTCGGGTGAATCAGCCAGCGGAGGAACGTCGGCGATTATGCGAATTATTTGGCTTCTGCCCGCCCAACCAGTTCTTCCTTCCTAATGCACTGGCCGACGAATGGACTTTGGCACCTGTCGTCGTCGGTAAAATCTTCAGATGGCTGTAGTCAATACAGTAGTTGGGGACTCGCGTTCTCTCCAAAGAGCGACCGGTAAAATCGCAAAATAAACATTATGATTCGGGACAGTCGGATTTTTATACTAATATGTTATGTTCTAAATTCCTGAGGTGATTAAAGACGGGACTTGCCGCGGTATAGCCAATTCACGACTAGCTTGAGACGATAATCGGGTGTGTATCTTTTTGTATTTTTTTGCAGGACTTTTTTTATCCGACTGCTCTAACCGGCCGTGATTCAGCTATGCTTTTTTGAAATCTCCAGCAATCCAGCAAGGATTTTTTTGAATAGACAAGCTCGAAAGAATCAGAAAAAAATAGAAAGTTTTTTTGAGGATTATTTTTACCTTTCACTAGATTTTATTAATCTTCTTTGTTGGTCAAAAAAAAAGTTCATAAAATTTAAATGGGGAGCTTCGGCTTGAAACAGCATAAATGTTATGTCAAAGAACGGATAATCGTCACGGAACTAAAACGATTTGAAATAGAAAAACTGGATGCAACGCCTCATGAGCTTCTTCCGGTCAACTCCTTCTCGCACACACCAATTTATTAATCAATTAATTTCTTCATTCGCTCAATTCAAAATTTCTCATTTTTTCTGAAGCTTCTCTGCATTAATATCTCGTTATTTCTGGTAACAAAAAACAAGGTTAAACTTTTCAATCTATTTTTTGAAGATTCGAATCAATCTGATGAATGAGAAAAAGAACCATTTATTGAAACTAGAAAGTCATTCGATAGAGTAGGAGATTCCATCGGCGACGGCTAGCGACAGTTTTTTCCGAAGGGTTTGTCGGGTCGCGTAGGATGGCAGCTGCAAGCGATTGAAGCACGTGTGGGCCCTGGAAAAAGCGAACACCAAAGTCAGAAGTTTTCCTTTTTTGGGAAAACCTCGGCAACGCGTCGTCGTCGCCCCAGCGCTCGATGCAGAACTTGTTGGCGCCGTTGGTTCCGCGCAACGCGGCGAACCCTTCAAACGGCACCGAGGAACTTCCTGTTACGAACTGAAGAAGAGGGAGAAGATTTGGGGGATAGATAAAAAGCAACTGTTACCAATAAAAGTCGCAGTCTTTCGGCGTTGGAGAGCTGTTCGACCGTCTCCCAGAACCACTTGATGACGACGTGGCCGTCGAAGTAGCCGCCCTGAATGTTTTTTTCTTAAGAAAGTTCTTCAAGCTTTTTTTGTGAGAGGAGCTGAAAAAATTATGATTTCAGATGTGGCCCATCCTAACTTATTTTTTCACCAAAAACGCAAAAATTCCTTAACTGGGAATTTTTTTCAAAAAAAGGCAAGACAATTTTTTTTCAGAGCCGCAGGGGACTTTCACTAACTTTCTCGGCCATTAAAAAAATCGCTTCAGCAAAAAAAAAACAGCTTCAATCATCACTTCGCAGGTTCTACGCTCTATTGACAACTTTAACTCTTTCCTTTTCGGTTTACTTGCAAAATATTGATACTCCAAATGGAAAAGCTTGAGATTCGTACCTTGTAGGAAGTATTGCTCCTCCAGTCCACCAGGTCAAGCTCCATATTTCCAGAAAGAGCGACTCGTAACTGATCCACGGAGAGTATTCCCACAATACTTTTGTCGATCACCTAAACATTTACAAAATTTTTGTAAGATTCATCTTCTTTGAAGAAACCTGATAAAAAGCAGAAAGCAAAACTGTCGACGATTCTTCGACTCCTTTGCCGGCTTTCCACTTGCACATTAGTCGCACGAATTCATCTTTATTTTCTTCGGTTACCCGTAATTCCGCGCCACCCTCTACCAGTTCCTTTTCAAAGCTCTTAAAGTTGGATCTACTCTAAAAAATCAAGTTCGTTTTCACTCACGGCTCCTTCGGAATGGTCATCAGCAACAAAGTACATATCGAGATCTTCTACAGGGTTGGCTAAGATCCAAAGCATACTTCGGTGGAAAGCTTGATCTACCAGAGCGAAATCGTCGATCTCAATTTGTCTGGAAGTTAACACTATTTTTGAATTAGCAAAAAGCACGTAAGGTGTAAAAACCTTCTAACTAATTTTTAACTTTTTTTTTTCCAGATTTTTCAAAAATTTACAAGCAGCTTGATCGATTACCCCTCTTCAAAAAAAGAACCTCATAATTACAGATTACTCACTGTTGGAGGAGCATTTTGTAGAACGGAGCGGTGAAGAAGACGTCGATGAAACATCGATGAATCAGGGCCAGCGCCAGAAGTCGACCACACAATTCGAGCCTTTTTCCCCAAGTTCCAGTTACTTTTCGCAAGAATTCCAGTACCTCTTTTTATTTGGAGCGTCGATCCTAGAAGCCAACTGCAGGCTGTATTCCGATTCGGTGTACTCGAAAAGGCCGCCTTTCGGGTCGAAAAGCTCGCGAGAAAGTAGGTAGAAGAACTCTCGAGAAGGACCTCCGTAGTCCAATCTTCAAATTATGATTATGGAATTTACAATGGAAGTGATTGACTGACGCATTCTCGTCGTCGAAAGAAATGGCGAGTCGGGAACGACGGAGGCTGAAGACGTCGGCGGCGAGAATCTGATGGAAGGCGTCGCGGAGCAAGGAGTCTCTCGAGAACTTCCAGCTTAAAGATTGATCATCTCACACTTTTTTTTTACGAAAAGAAAATCTTTTTATGTTTTACATACAGGAAAAAAGGAAATAAGACAAAATAGGGAGCAGACAGATCAGACTGTTTCAAGCCAGAGCAAAGCTTTTTAGATATAACATTTTATTTCGAATTTTGGTGGATCAACCTTTTTAATAACTTTTCTTTTGAAAAGCCCAAAGTGCTCACTTCAACTTCCCAGGCCCTCGGCCGAATCGCGCTCTTTGCAGTTCGGCATAGAAGAGATTCAGAGTGGCGTCTTGCTTCCGAGCCACGTCGTCATCATCGACGTCGAGCAAACTGGAACTGGGCGTGTTTCCTGAGAGCTTGTCCCAGAAACCTGATGGCAAGGGACAGGTCCAAGTCGTTGGCCAGGCTGGCGAGGGCGATCTCTCCGAAGCGCTGCACCAATCGCAACTTCTTGCGGACTCTCGTTGCGATCAGCGGCAGTTTCCGATCGGCCACCTGGGCGATCTCCTCCAGCTTGTTCAGCAGCTGTGCTCTTTCGCCCTTGGCCGTCTAGAACCAGAATATTTTTTCTCTTTCCCTTATCGCCTCAAATTCATCTATAACATACGGATTGAGAATGTCTCGGTGGAGCGCTGAATCCTCGACGCGGCAGTTGAGAATGAAGAACTCGGACGCGTGGGTCGAAGAACGTCGTTCGTTTCGTTGAATGATTGACATAGACGTTCTGAAACCGACATAATACTAACTGGGAATGATTTCCGGTCTAACCGGAGTAGTAGAAAGCAAGGTCCAGCCAGCAGGAAGCGGCTCACTTTCGTCGGCGAATCCGTTGATGAACCCAACGAACGTCGGATTGTTCTCGAATTTGCTGGGCGACTCAAGATTCTGTCGGACGTGGTGAACGGCGTGTCGCACCAGAGAGGATGAATTGTAAACGGCTAGAGCGTCCTTTAAAGAATAATTTTTACAATTTTGTAAAAAATTTATATTACATCAGAGCTCAAAACAGCTTCTTTTTAGTAATAGTACTTTAGTGAGTTTTTGACACGTTTTTGCATGTAACCTAGTTTTTAAATTGAAAAAAACCTCGTTAAATTGAAAAAAAGTTTGAAAAGTGCGCTCAAAGAGTGTTTTTTCGTGGCTGCATAATAACAGAGGCCTCTAATTTATTTTTTCTAGTTGGGACCATATTCAGACTTCATACGAAACTGCATTGAAAAAAAAAAATAACTCGTAAAAATTTACTCAAACTTTCTTGATATTTTTTCAACTGCTTTGACTAATTGTCCGTCAGGCCCACCTCAGACGGCCTCTTTCTTTTTTTTCTGAACGGACCGTGTTCTCATGTAGAAGACTGACAAAATCGTGACGTCGGATGAAGTTGGCGACGTCGGACTCGTCGTTGTAGGCGGTCGTCCGACGCGGAGTTATCAGTCTGAAACCCCAGGGGGTGGCGACACAAAAGGCGACACCCACGCGCTGTTCTTCGAGATTCTTGGCCTAGAAGCTCTTGGCTCCGGTGACGTCATCGTGGGTGCCGTCCAACTGGTCGTTTTCGTTGCGTGATTGACGTAAAATCGGCGGCCTTTGGTGTCCAGACAAGATTGCCAGCCTGAGAATTGTTCGCATCGAGTTTCGTGTTTCGAGTTTCTTTTTCTGCTCTCAAATTATTTCAAAACAGTTATTCTTGTTTTAATTCAAGGGTATTTCAGGAGATGAAATATTTCTCAAAGAGAATTTCTCACCACCTACCAATTTTCTTAGAAAAAAAGGCTCATGAGGAACTGTATTTTCAAGATTTATTGTTGGTTGTAAAATAAATAAGACTCTCAGATTTCCTTTTTTTGATTTGGATTCAGTAAACCTTGCGAAAAAAACACGGAGAGAAAAGTGCGAATCTTTGACTTTTTCTTTTTAAAAAGGAATAACAAAAAAAGTTATGAAACCAATTTTATCGATATAACAGACCATTTCCATTATGTAGCAACCCGTGTTCTCTTTAAAATATCATGAAAATAAATAAATAAATAAATAACGCTTTTTTCCACAAAATTCAATGTGAGACTCACCTGTTGGCAGTGGATTCTGATTAACATCGCTTGGGTTCGACTTTGAACTGAAAATCCGAAAAATCATCTATAAATTCTGAAAAATTCGTACCTGCTGGCGATGGCGGCCGCCGCCGACGTCGACGCCTTCATCGCATTGGCGGCGTCTGCAAGAAATTCGAGCCTCGTCTTTTTTCTTGAGCTGAAGCGGCGGCGACTTGTCAGATTGCGTTCCGAAATGAACGATGAGGGGCACAAATTCGCAGTTGATGTGTATATACGAGGAGACTCTTTTTTGGAAATTCTCGGATTCTTCCGGGAGCTTGCTTTTTCGCTTTTTGATAGTTTTTCGATGAAAAAGGCTTCCATTCGTGTAATTGCAACGAATTTTAATCGAAAAGCTTATAAAATTTCGGCTCAAAAAAACTGGAAAAATTATTTTTAATATAAAAAAATATAACATAAATTTTTTCTTCAAAATTTAAAATTAAAAAAACAAGAATCGTGGATCAAATTATGAATTTTTTTAAGTCATTAATCGGAACCCGAAACTGAATTACTGTTGAATAAAACTAAAAAAATTTCTTGTAGAATTGATGAAAAGAATCGTCATATACTCTTCTCAATTTAGAAACTTTAATTATTTACTTTTGAGGGTATCATTTTATTTAAGATATTGATGATGGTTTTTTTCCCTGCGTTCATCAAAAAAATTGAAGATTTCTCAACACCTTCTGGGTCAATTTTTTCAAGAAGATTTTCAACCGATAGCAAATTTATGTTAAAACATGACAATGGTCGAATTAGATTTTGAAAAAAGATCAGTTCTATGATATTTTGAATTTGAAACTATTTATTTTAAGAGATTTCGAAAAATGCAACCTAAGAACTACAAAATTGGACCTTTTCTTTTCAAACTCGGTCGACAGAAACAGTTTTCCGAACCTTCCAGATCAGGAACAACAGAAAAATGAAGATCGAGTTGGTAGTTGGCCGTGGGATTGTCGACGGAGCGAAGGACGACGGCGTCTTCGAGCCTGAAAGGATGAGCCAAATAAGGAGAGGTGGAGGACGCGATGGTCGCCCCCATTCCGGCGGCATCGCAATTCCTCGGGGACCCCGCCAGGAGGACGACCGAGATAAGACCGCCTTCTGCTTTCCGACTCGCGGCCCGATGAAAAACGGGCAAAAAACGCAACTGATGAATTGAAAAAAGATGCCGGAAGGCCGAATTGGGGAGCCGGACGTGCAAATTGTGCGACGGCAGAGGAATCTGAAGTTTTTTTTTTAGATGGGACGAGGAAAAAGCGTTCAATTACGGAAAGAGGCTGGTCCGTGGGAATAGGTAGAAGGACATCCTGGTCGTCGGATGTCACGTAGACGCTCTTGAGTTTGCAGTTTTTCTGTTCAACTCCTTAATAATTCTATGAAAACTACTCATAGAACATTCACTTCGGACTTGCCACAAAGTTTACTCGGGTTACTGTAGTTATTCTGGTTTTTTTTTCACTTGGAAACTCAAAAAATAGCAAGGCGGTGAACAAGGAATAAGAAAAAAGGAAATAAAGCAAAACTGAAAATGAAATATAATTAATTGATTTATTTTCGATGAATATCATTAATTTAATGAAACCACCTGGTATGCTTTTTTTGAAATTATCTTCTGAAATAATTTAAAAAGACATGTTTCTTCAGCTGAGGATATGGTTCATTCATTCATAAAGTAACCCTTTTTTTCTATAAAATGAGCAATAGTTGAAAAACATTTCAAAATAAATGAACAAAACTCAAGTTTTCGATAACTTTCCATTGAAGTTCATCGTTCTGACAATGAGTTTATTTTTTTGCTTATTCTGTTTTTTTCATGTTTTTTTAGAAAAAAATCGAAAAACGGCTTTATATACCCACTTTTTTTACTAATTCAAAAATTTATTTTTCAAGCCAAAAAAAGTCAATAGTCAAAAAAATGTGTCCAATATCGTGATAAACGATTCATTTTTTTGACAAAAATTTTAAAAATTTTTTTCTTATTCTGGATTTTTAAAAAAACATTTCAAATCAGCTTGCACTCTATTTCCTAAAAAAATCAATTACCTGTGGTCCGAAATTTCGGAATTTTCCATTGTTAATTGTGATCATTTTTTTCAGTTTGCGAGAACTTTTTTTAGCCAAAAAGGTTCTCGCAAACTAAAAATAATTTTTTTGATAAACCTCACCAAATTTTTGATTTCACCTTTTAGAAAACAAAAAGAAATTTAAAGTTTTCATTGAATTTTATAGTAAACCCACTGACGATGGAAAACGATCCTGGCTTTGGAACAAATTCTTATTGGTTGGGACTTGGCCAGAAGTCTCCCCGTAACGCCATGGACATAACTGAAAATGGAAAAAGTTATCAGATTCTACTACTGACTAAGTAACGTCTTCCAAACGAAAAAAGATTCTCGCAATAGATCTCGTTGAGACGTATCAAAAGCTTGAAATGGCGCTTTTTGTCATAACTTGCGTATTTTGCGAAGTTTGAAGCTTCAATAATCAAAAAAAGATCTTTTGCGGGAAATTTTTTTTGTTCTGGAATCAGGAGGCCCTGAAGACACTTCAGCAAAACAGGGGTCTAAAAAAAGTTCCCTGGTGAACTTCAGACCCGAAATAAACGGCGCTAAAATGCAGCAAATTGTTCTTGGAGAGCGTGAAATGAAGCGGAGAAACTGCGGATCTCAGAGGCTTCTGGTCGAGGTAATACGACGAATCATCTCAAAATAACAGGAGATGAGTGATAGTAACTATCCATTTTTCTTTTCTTTTTTGTTTGAAATACCGGGCAGTTTTTGATTTTCTTTTTTGTGAGTAGCTAGTTCTAGAATTTTGAATGCCTGAAAACTTTTTCAGAAATTATTTGAGAATCTTATTTTTTATAATTCGGCTCAACGTTCTCGCAAGATGTCTAGCCATGTTCGAAACAATTTTTGCTTTATTTACAGTTTCACTAGTTTTCTGACACTAACTCCGATTTTTCTAAAGTTTTGTTCAACCAGAAGGCTGAAGAAAATCGATCGCAAACAAAATTTTCTACTCAAAAATGGTATTTCATCTCAAAATTCATCAATGGGTATACAAAACATCATAGAAAAAACAACGAATTTAGGCTTTGGTGTCAACGGTGAATAAAGTACAAAATATACGTCAAAGTCCAAAAATTGGGATGAAGAATAACCAACCACAGTTGAAAAGTCCGATCCAGTCAAGCATGCTGGTCTCTTCCTCGACCTTCCACCAAACCTTGACTACCTAAGATGAACACTGAAGCCGTCATCGGAGAATCAGCCTCACCTGTTTCTTCGTTGCGAACAGGTAGACCGAGTCGGCGGACACAGCAATTCCGGCCGCAGAAGTCGTCGGCTCGTCGACGTCTTCTTCACATCTTCGCAACGTCAGCATCGCCGCTCATCTCCGACCAAAAAAGGCCGAAAGAGAAGCGGCCGGAAACGCCGCCGCCGGATGGTAAAAGGGCCTTTTATGTGTAGTGACTCTGGTCAAGCGGACGAGAATCTCGGATGTCGCGAGGAGCAATGAAGAGAGCAATGGAAGAAGACAGAAGAGTGTGCAACGTCGTCAATTAGCCCCCAAAAACGAGATAATTCTTCAGAAGATGTCCGTCGGCCGGTCGGTATTCGTCGTCTCGTTAAACAAAGAAGAATGCCGAAAAAAGAGGCCAAAAGGGGTCGGATCCCTTGGGTGAGCCCATTGACTCGCTCCTAGCACATCCTTCAAGTGTCGCGCTTTTGGCTGTATGGCCTATTCTGGAAACCTCTTCATTCAATACAACATATCAAGCAGACGGAGACGGAAAAAGATGTGATAGAAGTGCAGAACGAGTGTATGAAAATACAGAGGAGCAGCGTTAAAGTAAAAAATTCGAGGCTTGAAGCTTTGTAGAGATTGATCTTTCTTCATAATTAGAAGAAAGACAGAAGAAAAATTAACAACGCTTTTCTCTACCTTGTCCAAGAAACGCGCAATTTTCGACTTCCTAGTGGTTTTTAAATAGCTATCTTATTTGATAAATTGCTCTTTTTCGGCTGCTCAGAGCTATAATTCCATACACCCACGCTGGGAAATAAAAAGCACTGGCCAACAATTTCCAGAAAAAAAGAGCCTAATGTAAGGGCACAATGTGAAGGATTTTTTCTTTCAAACAAACACTCGAAAGAATGGACCGTAATACAAATATACACCGTAAGGGAGGACATTAGATTTCTGTGAGAATAATTTTTGAATTTGGATAGTCTACAAGCGTTATTATGATATGATACGGGGAGTGGAATTGAATGGTTATTTGAGGATTGAACCGAATAGGAATGGAAATTTTGTCGTAGAGGTTTTATTTTGGAAGAAGATCTGTAGGAGAGAATAAAGCATTAAGTGAAGAATGAATATATTTGTGAGGAAAGGAATGACTAGACAAGTTTGTGTTCGTCTTCTGGATGATGGTTGAACTCGTAGTCGGTGTGGACGAAGGCTCTTTCCACTTCCGGGAGACTTTCGATGTTGATTTGCAGGGCCTCGCTGATGTCGTGGGCGTCTCTCAGATACATTTTCTCGTCCAAAACAATGTGCACCTCAAAATGTTTCTCTTTGAATACATTTTATTAACTTTATATTTAAACATAGCTCTCTGACTGTCGGAAGCTTCACCTCTTAAAAACGATACTGCATGTGAAAAAAAAAGTTTAATGAATAATGGAGGGATAATTAATAAAAATAATACATTCCAATGAGTTATAACAGTAAGAAGGTTGAGAAGTTAATGTGAAAAATTCAATGCTGTGATAAGGTTTTTCAATAAAATTTCTTCAAAGTTTGTGATTGGAAATAAATTTATAATTGAAGATATTATAACGCGCAGCCGTTTCGGGTCTCACCAAAAAAATTGAACATTAATGAAACTTCCTAGCTTATTTATTGGAAAAAATAACAAGAAATAAGAGACTTTTTTCTCTATCAAATGTTTTTTTTTCAAACAAACCTCGACCAAAAACTTGGTGCCGTAGTGATAAACGTAAACCGTCTCGAGATGAGATATTCGCGGATCGTGATCAATACAAACCTCAACAACGAAGTGTTTCATTCATCAAATCCGATAAAACAGAAACCTTGATGATTCTATTGATGAATTCAGGCTCAGCCGACTTTCCACTCAATTTCGTGATGTATTCTTTTCCAGTGTTCACCCAAGTGTACAAAATGTAGAGAGAGACGAGGATGGCGCCGACCGGATCCATGTAGTAAGAAAGACTGAATAAAAAAGTATAAGAGAGAAATTTTTCATTTGCGAAAAATGTAGATGGTCTAAAGACGCAATGGAAAGCCAAAAACTATCGTTTCAAGGCGCGATATGGGAAGTTTCAGGGTCGCAAAGACAGGAGCGAGAGTACTGTATGAGAAAGTCCGCAATTAGCGTGTTTGCAGATTTTCAGTGGTCTTCCACGCGTTTTCTCCTACTTATCTTAAAATTTTTATATTTTTTGTAAAACAAGTCAGACAGAATAATTGATGTACAACATTTTACTTAAGTTTAAATCTATTTCGATGAAATTAAGAGCAAAATTAGAAAAAAAAAAACAGAGATGGGGCCTTCAAAACGTGCAAACACGCAAGAGCACACACCAAGTCTTTCACATACAGTACTCTTCGGAAAAGGAAAAATCGCCATTGTGGTAGCAAAGTTTCAGCTTTGGCTTTACCTGGCGCCTTCAAATCTCAAGCCATTTTTTGAAGTCAAATTCTAAACACACAAAACATGTACGCAAACCTAGTTCCAAGCCAAGCACAAGTCAACGCGACAGTGTTCGAGATGCAATCGTTTCGATGATCCAAGGCAAGGACGGCGATCGAGGCGTCTTTCTTATATCTGAGTCCACGGGAACAGGTAAAACAATTCAATGACTGGAATACTTTTGACAAATGATGTACAAGACGATTTTGACGACAATAGTAACAGCCATGATTGCGACAGAAACCCAAGTGACGTCCAATTTCGGCTTTTGTCCGTCGCCTTCAAATTGAGATCGGTTTTGCTTTTTATTTCGAGTTTCCAAAAACCTGTGGTGTCAAAAACAAAAGCCTCGTGAATTCTTCTCCCCGAATTGATGATCAGTTGGATGCTGGCCATTCCCATGATCACACTGATCAGAATCTGTAATTCGAACTTTGTTATTTCGCTTTAATTACGACTGGAGTAGTAATGGTTTTGATTCCAAATTACTCTTTTTTTTGCTTATTATTTGATCTGACTTTTCAAGTTCACGATTTCATTCCACTAATAATTGCTAAAGAAGACTCTCTCTCTCTTGTTATATCTATATTATTATTTAGAAGTCGTACGACCAAAAAAGATCCGAAAAAAGACGTTGGAAAGATTTTAAAATTGACAATTAAATTTCAACTTTTTGAAGCATTTCTCAAGCCTAACAGCTATTTTTGGTCAAGGAAATCGTTTCCACGTTATATTTTGGATTTAATTCACAGCTTTCTTCAGCTTTTTTTTTCCATTTCTATCTCATGACTGGGTCAAGAAGGCGGCGAATCCCACTGAAAGTATATTTGATTCAAAAAATTGACCAATGAGAGAGGTTCGAGACGAGTTCTTCCGCGGGGATACAGGTACGGGTCGCGTTTGCGGATCATTCGCGTCGAGACCGACAAAACGAGACCCGAGGTGAGATCGACGACGGAGTCCACCATCGACGAAATAATCGACATCGAGCCGGAGAGCACCGAGGCCGTCACCTACAAGGATCAAAGGAATTTTTTTTTCTTTTTTGAGCTCTTTTAATTTAACTTCAAATGCAATTTTTTTCCCTCGAGAAATAAATTCAAGTTTTCGGTAACACTTCTTCAAAAGGAAGAAAGAAGGAAGAATGACGTTCGAATTTCATTCCCAAAAATGCACTTTTAATTTTGAAATTTTGTAGACTTCCTGATCATATCTGCGGAATGAAAATGCTCAGATATTTCTCAAAATTGGAAAAAAATAAAGCATTTTCCTTTTTCACCTTTTTTTTTGGAAATTCATCTTTTTTTCGGATTATAAACGACTTTTCTTTTAATTTTCTCCCTACCTTGGCCACCATCAGCAGGAAGTTCACAAAAAGCGTGATTCTTGTGAGTCGCAAAGCCGCTTTGGAAGCTCTCTCTTCGCTTTTGAGCTGTGCTTCATGTCGAGCCCTAGAAAGACATTAATTGAAATTTCCTCTGAAAAGATCGCACATCAAGGAGTCTCTGGAAACTCCGGACAAAGAACGACGATCCGTTTCAGGGGCGGAGATCAAGGCTTGTTTCTCACAATTCTCAAACTGAAACTGGGAAAATGTCATTTCTAATGAAGAAAAAAAAGGACCTTGAGATCTGTCGGAACATCTTCTGGACAGGCAATCGTCTCATCTTTCGTAACTGGGACCTCCTTCTCCACTGGCTGCACAGGCTCCGGGTCCTGCTGTCGGAAAACCCGATTAAACAAAGACATTCTTTTTAATCAATCAACCTCCTTCTGTTCATTCTGTTCGTCCGCCTGTTTCAGCTTTTCCTTGTCGAATTCACTAATTGAGGAGTTCAGCCGTTGCCTCGTGCGAGTTTTTTTGAACGCCTGAATCATAAAAAAAAATGAACATTTTCCTCCATTTTTATCACCTCGATCTGCTCACTGTCGTTTTTAAAGTTTTCGAGAAGCTCGTTCTGTTTTTTGTAGTAATCCGTAACTTTTTTACTCGCGTTTCCCTGAAAATATGTAGGATTTTTGTGGGCTAAGAAAAATTTCTACTCTCCAAACATAAAATGAAGTAAAAAAATTTCACAACGTTTTATAATGACTGAACTTTTTTTAATTTGTCTATTTTATCTTAAACTTTTTCACGAACTACCTCATCCATGGACAACCGTCGTGAAGTATCAATTAACTGATCCGTGGTCGCTCCAGATTGTTGCAAGTTATTTGGAGCCGTCACCGAATGCTTCTGAAATAACTGGAGTTTATTTTAAATTCTGAAAGTTTTTCTCTGAAAACCTATCTTTGAAGTCATAATGATTTAAAAATAAAAAAAACCTCAGTGGAAGGAGCGTGGAAACCGGCGTGAGGCAAAGAAACGCATCTCAAGTTGAAGTCGGGCTTCCCGAAACCGTTCTCCTCACTTCAAAAACTTTATTTGGCAATGAGATCAACTGGAAACTCACTCTGAAGCTTTCTCGTCATTTTTCTCGTCATCTTTCTCGTACAAACCAAACATTTCCTCTTTCTTTGGTCTGCAAAATTTAATGTTCGAATGAAAGGAAAAACTGATCAACTCAGTAGGTTTAGGGGGTTTTCTGTGATTTTCAGGAGTAACGGGCTCATTTGAAGCGTTTCGCGGTGCTTCCGGGACGTGAGCGGGAAAAATGAGATGCGGATTGGCGTTGGGATTTTCGATGCCGTTGACTGAGCCATCGCTGTCATTCGGCATCCTTTTTCCTCAAGATCAGTTTAATAAATACGATAGAAATTAACAAAAATATTTTTCTGTGCACTGAGTGACAGCGTAGGAATATAAAAATTATTGAAAGACTATATGGAAAAAAATATTCACCATTTAAGGTAAAACCGGGGCGTTTTTCAAAATAAGAAACCGAAATTTACACTTCCTCAATGGTAAAAACTACTCTAGCGGAAACCTGTTTTAAAAACAACAAGGGCAATAGTGACGATAAGAAAAACGCTGTTCTTTCCTCATGAAAATATTATTGAAATTTTTCAGAAAAAAATAAAAGTTTTCTGCTCCAAGGCAGAACTAATTACTTTTCCTTGACCGTTTTCCATTTATTTAACCGACAGAAAGGTCAAAGGGCCATGAACAACTTTTCATCCTACAGCTATAAAACTCTAATGAAAAAGTCTCAATAAAAGTACAATTTCTATTTTTGTTGAAAGAAGTATGGAAAATACGCTGTGCCGAAATGGACACCAGTCGTGCGCTCAAATAAATAGAGCAAAAACCAGAAATCAGTTAGAAATGCGAAGGAAAAGCTGAAGCTAACGTTTCGCTCTATCGCACACACAGGGAAAAAGAGCGCGAAAGGAAGAGCGGAGGAAAGATTAAACCGATTTCAAAGAGATTATCACTAAATTTAAGCAAAAAGTTGCACAAAAAAGAAAAGCAGCGATTTTTAGCTTCGATTCATGTTTTCGACCAACGGAAAATGTGTTATTCAAATTCATCGACAAAATGCACTTAATTATATCGTTTGACCTGTCTGCCTCAAATGTTTTCCTCTTAACCGAACAAAGAACGAGCGGAAAAACACATCAAAGCCTTAAATTTTGTTTTTGTCTACGATTTACCTCAAATAATTGACATGAACAAAACTCTCGAACTCCAAAAAACTCATTAGTCTATTTGAGAACTATAAAAATACAGTGAAGTGTTCATTTTTTGTCAAAATGATTCTAGTAATAACATTCCTATGCCTTTATTCAATCTTAAACGCGAACTGCAGAACTTTAAAACTATCTGATTTACCAGGTCATCGGTAGGTGAAAAAAGTTTTTCTTTTTTTTTTCAATCAATTTTTGAGATCTAATCCGTCTAGCATTACTTTGGACACTTCCAACGGAATTTTAGAATGGAGGAAAAAACTCAGTTCGCAAAAAGTGACTAAGAACAACAACATTTACTGCAGGGTATGCTTTCGATTGCTGAAATACAAAGAAAGCACAAAGTTAACAGGTTTTCAATATGTGCATGCACTACGGTTACGGCACTATGGTTTTGAGTATCAACGAAGCTTGGAGAGCACGAGGACTTATTCATCCATACAAGGTTCGATACTACTTTTCGAAACGAATGTTGATCTGAAAATCTATGAGAGCTTTTCAATATTATTATTATCAAAATTTTTTGAAGGAACTCTCGAAGTAACATAATAAAAGTAAAATTTCTTCGCTAAAATTTCTTGAAAAACTCGTCCGTGAAATTTTGATAAATCATAGATTAATGACTGAAAAAAATTTCATAAAAGTTTGAAGATTAGTTAACTTAAAAATTCAAGAGAGAAAGATCAATTAAAAAAATGAAAAAATAAAAAGTATTTTTGAACGCCAAAATGCGCGTCATACAAAATGTTTTGCGTTCTTTTTCTATACAACGGACTTTTGTCATACCGTAGTATTACACAATTTTTTTTGAGGTCTCCAATGGGAAACCAAGAACCGACATGCCAATGGATAAAATTCGCGCAACCGTCAGTGAGTTCCCCAACTATTGGAAATATTTTTATGATTAACTTTTAGAGAGCTGGTACAACTTCAAGAACAAGCCTCAAGTCACGCAAAAACAGTGAAACCGCCTCAATACGTCAAACGAACAAAAATAGCATCATTTTTATGGACAGACAAATCGTGCCGAGACCCGATAAATTACGATGTACAATCGATTTGAAGTTTTGGATTTGAGTAGTGGGTTTATCGCCGAGTTCCGTCTTCGAAGAAGATGCCGCCGTCAAGAGCGCAGTACTTGGGGCAAATTCCTCGTTCTCCTTGAGGTCCTGGCTGACCAGCCTGGCCAGGAGGTCCGACTTGACCTGGAGCTCCCTTGAGATCCTGGTGGTCCAGGTGGTCCTTGTGGTCCCATCTGTCCGTCAGAACCGGGGCGACCTGAAGAATCTATGGAAATAGAAAGAAAAGGAGTTTAACCTGGCTGTCCTTGGTCTCCTGGAAGTCCTGGTGGTCCTGGCTCTCCTGGTGCTCCTGGGTCTCCGGGAATGGCTGGAGTCGAGAAGGCCGGTCTTCCTGGCTCTCCACGAGCTCCGTCTCGACCAACATCTCCTCCGTTTCCTGGCGGTCCGGGTGGTCCTGGAAACAATTGCTTTTAGCGAAAGTCAGAGTAATAAAGAAAGACCTTGGGGTCCAGCTGGTCCATCGTTTCCGTTGCGGCCAGGATGTCCCGGTTGTCCAGGAGCTCCGGAATCTCCGGCAGGTCCGGGCGGTCCAGGTTCTCCTGGCGGGCATGGATTGCATGGTGGTTCAGTTACCTCGACGCAAATTCTGAAAAAGTCCGTTTCCTCTCCGCAATTTCAAGTAATCATACGCTGGTGGTCTTCCAGGGAATCCAGGAGCTCCTGGAGCACCTGGTCGTCCGGGCGCTCCGTTCTTTCCTGGCGGTCCATCGGGTCCAGGAAGACCAGGAAGGCAGCAACCTGAAGATAATAAAAATATGAAAAAGCAGAAGTTATGAATATTACCTGTGCAAGCGGCGGCTTCACGTTTGTGTCGCGTTTCGTTGCTCGAACGCCGGAGGAAGAACGGCAAATTCTTGTTGGGAGCCGTGCGGAAGTTGTGCATCTCCACCATCACGTCTTTTGCCGAGAGCTGCAAATAACACGAATATCAGCCATTTTTGAACACTTTTTCTTCCGGTCTGAGATATATCTCTGTTGAGGGAAAAGAACTTATTTGTGTCATGACTGAAGATCCCGTTTTTACCCTGGTAAACTTTAAAAAATGTAATTAAAGTTATGGGAAATTCATTTAAAAAATTATTGCAAAAACAACTAAAAGTTTGAACACGCTTTGTAACGGGTTAAAAAAAAGTATGCGAAGCCGTATTATCGATCGCGTCATAACTATTGATTCAAGCGACTTGTTTAGCTTTTTTTAAATATTTCGTTTGAGAAAACCGTTTCTGTATGAATGGAAAATACTGCTCGAACACGAGGTCACTAAAATATTCTAACTGTACCAAAAAAGGGGCTTACAACACAAAAATGCATGAAATTAGGAATTTTCTTGTTCCAATTAAAAAAATTAAACTTTCAAAAACCTTTGCTAATTCTCGAAATTCAAAGAACATGCCAAAACTATAAGAGCTCTTTCAGAAGTTTTCATTATCCCTGATTTTCAAGAGACAAAGCCACACTCAGACCGACCTTGCAGAACTCCATCTCGTCATGGACTCGGAGATGAACAGAGTGGATGTAGTGGTTGACGAGCGGCAACGTGACGAAGACGGCGACGAGTGCGACCAGCGAGAAGGAGACCGCAGAGTAGGCGACGAACCGAAACGCCTTCTCCCGCGCTTCGTCCTCCATCTTCAACATCTTCTTGGAGCATTCAAGTGCAGATATCACAACGAAATGAATCAGGAAGAATGTTCAAGAAGGTTTGAAAGTGTTTAAAGTGAAGCCCTTCAACGTTTAAAAAGAAAAAGGAATGAAAAATTTACTGTCAAAATTAAAAAAGAAAAGATAAAACTAAATCTTGAAGGACTGATCTTCTGAATTGAGAAAGACCGATTTCATTCATTCAGACTAACCAGAAAAAAATTTTTATATGAAAAGGGGTATTGAAAAATGTTTTTCTGCGTGGGTAATTCCGCTCACGACAAGTTTGAACGTTTCTATGAGGCTTAAAAAAACCCGCCAGAATTTTTTTAATTTTTTTCAAAGTTTGGATTCTACCATTTCGAATAACGACACAAAGTGAGAATAATTTAAAAAAATTGCAGCAACGTATAAAAAAAAACAACGGTTCGCAGAGATTTCATCAAAAAAAAAGCTGTACAGTGTGATTATTACAGAAGAATCTCAGGTTGTTCAAATAAACTTGAAGAAAAAAACGAAATCAAGAACTTTCAATTAATCATTGAAGGAAGATTCAATGAAATCGCTTCAAAGGTCGAAATTCGAATATTTCCTGGACATTACTAAAATTTCTGGGCGAAACTGTTCTTGAAAGTTTAAGAGAAGTCTCGGAACTATATTGAGAACGATTAAAAAAAATATATTATTTGTTCAACTTTTTTAAGTCGGGCTTTGATTCTTCGAAGAAGTATGAATTGGTTCTTCAGATGCAAAGGTTTTTTTAGTTTGACTTAAGGTCATTTAACAATTCAACAATCCAAACTAAAGAGAGCATAAAGAAAGAACATCTCAATTTGTAAAAGCAGAATACTAAATTTACCACAAGCTTGGGACAGAAAAACTTCAGAGAACTCGAAGATTTTTATTTTTTCTTCTTTTGGAGTTTTGTCTATAGACAGCGGCAAATGGACTGCATTCCTTTGTATTATATGAAAGCTATACATAAAAGAAACAAGTTAATGTACACCATAATCATAAAAGACATGGAGAAAAACATGAAAAAGAATTAGAATTATTAGGGAAAAGCTGGAAAAAGTAATCAGCGAATCAGAGCGGGTCGGGGCGCGACACCGCCGTTGAAGCTTATATACAGGCAGTTGAATGTGATGTGCTTGGAAAAACGTTTTGACGACGCGGAAAAGTGGGCGTGGCTTTTGGAGGCGCGGAAGAAGCCGCCAATTAGAAGCACACGAGGGGCGGCGACGACGACGCGGAACGGGAAATCTCCGTGGCATGCCGAGTTTCGAGTGGCTTCTTCAACGTCGGAGATGACGTCATCGTGAAGCCGAAGCAGTTAGGAAAGTTGAAGTGGCCATTTAAGGGGGCAGTCGGCAAGGTGTTTCAATTGCCTCTTAAGTGGCCGCTCACTCGTCTTCTTTACAGAACATTTTGAACGAAAATCTTTCAGGTAGCTGGTTTATTCCTTTTTCTTCATTTCCGAGGATCCTTTGAAGATCTTTTTTTTCAAATTTCATTCACATTTTCAAAAACATTGTCTTGATAAGAAAAGTGTACAAATTTTCTGCAGGGTAAAATTTTCAGCAAAAAGATAAGAAATTCAGTATAGACATACTCGAATTATAAATCAGAGCTCAACAGAAGTTAGATTGACCCGAAACATTTTTAAGAGTTTTTCTTATGTTTAGAGATTTTCAATTTCGACTGATGAATTATCGATAAGGATGGAAAGGCTATTGAGAAAAAAAAACTAACATTTTTTTCATTTTTCTCAAAAAAATGAAGTCAATCTACCAGAAGGAGATGAGGGAGGTCCTACACAATGGTTTGGGAAAATATCATTTTTTTTTTCAGCGTCAATCTCGATTTGTCCGAAATTATTCGTCAACCAGCATTCAATCTAGAAACTTGACTTACGATCTCTTTTCCTTTAGTCATTTTTCTCATCTTCCAGAAATTTAATAATAAAAAAAACATCCAAATAAATGTAGCTAATTTATGTAGGCGTATTCGAATCCAAAAAACATTCTTGAGAATTTGCTTCGAAACTCTAAAACTTCGTAATCATTTTTTTTTTTCGAACTGCAACTGCGGTAATAAAAAAATGGAAAAGCTCGTAAATATGATCAATCAAGCTGTTACCGAACTGAACGTTTTCATCAATCGAGCTTGAAAAACTCGCCTTCCAAGCTTTTTTTTCCTAACTTTTCCCACACTTTTTTTCGAGTTGCAGAAGTGCACTCGACCTCTCTATCCAATTAACCTCCGGAGATAATAAGGTCGTCGACGGCATCAGAAGAGAAGAAGGAGAAGCCGAGGAGAAGCCTCGCGCGGCGGCCGTCGCGGTCACATCACCGCGACGGCGACCAGTTGTGGCAGCCGTGAACACTCACGTAATATCTGGCGGAGTTTCCTTCCCGCGGGGCAGAAGTACAACGCTTCATTCCATTCAAATCACAAGAGGGGAAGAGAGGGAGATCAAACAGCGTGGAATTTGTACAACGAGAAGAAGTCATCTCAAGAGTTATTTCTACAAAAGGGTGTCGACACGTCTTTTGGTTTCCTCGGCGTCGCGCTCTTGCCGCAGGCGTTTTCGCATCGCCGCCGGCAGGTCTGGCACTTCTTCCGGATAGTGTTGGTAGTAGAGTCTGCAAAGTTCTTGGTTTTGACTAGAGTTGAAGAGTTTTCATGCCTCGAGAGTGAATCGAAAGACCTTGAATCATAAATCTCAGGAGTTGTTAGGGGCCTTAGGGTCTTCCAAAAGCCTAGGGTACGTTTAAAATCTACTTTTAGACCGTTTTTCATATTCCTAAACTTTTTTTCTTATTAGATTGTCATTAAAATTTGTTTCTTTGCATTGTAACTTTGACGTCGAGTTTCGAAAAAAAATACATTTGATTATTTTTTTAAAGATTGTTTGTTAAAAATTATTCTGACAAACAATTGAAATTTCATTTTAAAATACTACAATGAGATTCATCTTTACGTTATTTTTCTCAAGAAGCTTATGAAAAATATTTCAATTTTTTTCCGTCGGCTGACATACAGATCGTAAAGATTATCTTAACACTGTAAATTTTTAAAGGTATTAAGGAAACTAAGTTTAAAAAAAGTTTTTCTCCCTTTTTCGGTCAACCAAAAAAAAAATTCTTCTTACGAGAAGTACTACCGTAGTTCAGGGAAAAGGCCTAATTTCCAAAAACATCAAAGAACTTTCTGGATTATTCCTATGGATTTGAAATTGAAGCGATACTCAAACACAGCCTCTTGAATGCAAAAGCCCGTTTTCCCACTTGAACACTTGAGATGGAAAAAAATAAAAATAAAAAAATAATAACGGAGCGCGAAAAAGTGAAAATCGCGTGGCCACCTTTCGATTTTCTCGGCTTGCGTCAGACGCCGTTCTTTCAAGTTCTCCTCCAGTCGCTTCATCTTCCAGGGGAACGTCGGATCGTCCGCTTCTGGCGCGTAGAAGTCGAGGCTGAATCGAAAAACGGATAATGATATGCAATCAGAAAGCTTCATCTTAAAAAAATAGGTTTTTAGCTTTCTGAAACAAAATGTTCCTTTGAAACTCGAAAAGATAAAAAGATAGCTAAAACTTGAGCAAAGTGAAAAAAAATTTATAACTTTTGTGGTGAATTTCGGATCGATTTCGCCGGAAAACTGCCAAAACGGATTTAAAATTTTTTCGACTAAAAAAAAGTTATAAAATGAAATTGAGCTCTTTTCAATCGCTTTTCAAATTTTTTTCTTAACTTCACAGACTTTTTTTAAATATGATGCAAAGATTGCAAGGAAAAAAACCTCGTTTGTTCTCCTTCATGCGGAGTTCTTTTTGATGTCGAAGCCTTCGTGTCTCAGTTCAGACCTGCGATCTCGATTGATCTTCTGCTGGAGTTGTGGATCAGGGACCTGAAGAAGAGATATTCGAGATGATTTTTTAGTTTTTCAATGTTTGAAAGTGCCGAGTCAACTTTCCACGCATCAAAAAACATTGAAAGCCATATATCTTGTGCTTTATTTGAAACTACTCCAATTTCGAAACTTATAAATTTAGCCAAAGTTTTGTCCGCTCTGAAGGTCAAAGTTTATTAAAAGAGTCGGTTTTACCAAAATTCGCTTTTGGAGGATTGTTAAAACTGGTACCTGTTTCAGTCGTATAGTATTAGGAAGTTGGAAAGAATATTTCGGGTTGGGTTCTCAGGCTCGTAATCTATTTCCACCAAAAGACCGCCATCAGGAAAGGAACTAATTTTTAATAAAATATATGATTTCAGAAGATGTATTTTGACAGGTTTCTAAATAGTGTAGCGTAGAAAGACTAAATATTTTTCTCAACGTATCTTTTTTTGGCACGAATTTTTTTGAAATTTATAAAAAGTTTGGAAAAATTCATATATGAACAAAGCGCAAGTACAATTTTATGGTCAAAAAACACCTTCGAACATTTTTCACTTAAAAGTAAAAGTCTAAAAACCCGACCCGCCACCTGAATAATTTCCTATAAGTCTGTTCATTCATTTCCTGCTTTTCGAACTTGAGTGAGTGTACGAATATTGCTATCAAGAAAATACGGACCTGAGGCCACTCGCGACGCCAATGCGGTATGGTCGACGGGACGTGTGAATGCGGAGTCGGGAAGAGAGATTCTCGGTTGACGTCGACGAAGACGGGCTGCTGCAGGTAGGGCTGTTCCAGGTAAGGCGCTGCCGCGGGAGACGGCCCCATTTGTGGCACCGCCGCCACTACCGGCGCCGTCACGTACAAACGCTGCAATTTCCTTCGGATTATCCTTCTTTCCGTCTAGAAGTTTTGTTTGAAGAGGCCTGGACTATTGGAAACTTTTGAAAACGTTGTGTTTGGTGGCAAAGTTTGATAGAAAAAAGGAAGGTTTAAGCTTAAAAAGAACAAGTAAGGTACGATTTTTCAAAGTTCAATAAACACCGTTGAAAGCTCCAGCTCTCGAAAATAGGTAACCTTTGAAATTCTAATTGAACTGGTGAGTTTGAAACGGTTGTTATATCATCAAACAGGTGTCAGAATAATATTGAAATCGAAGGAAGCGTGAATTTATAATCAAAATTAATTTTTAAAAAAAGCTCAAACCTCGACGTGTTTCCGTTTCCTCCGCCGAGACCTTTTGGGTCGCGTTGAAACCAAATCTCCAGAAAGACGCGAATAGAATACAATAACGACAATAATACAAATAGACTGAAAAAGACAATATAAAGCTCGAAGTTATTGAAAATGGTCTTACATTTACTGCAACGGACATGACAAATTCGAATATCGAAACGGTGAGTTGTTCATTGAAAACGTCCTGAATACATCTGGTTATGGAACGAATTCATAAAGCAAATAGTGAATAGTCATTTCTGATGGAATTTTTGAAGAAAAGAAAAAAATTCATTGAGTTAAGGGAATCACGTTTATTTAGTGATAATTCAAAAGCTTAGACTCACTAGGGAACGTTTTTTAGCCTCCGAGGAATTTTGATGAAACCTGGCTGAAATGCACTTCAGGACCTTCTAGCTCCAAAAAAGGAAATCCCAAAGTTCATTTCAGCAACTTTTCCTTTTCAAAAGTTTAGCCGGGCGGCTCGCAAAAAATTAACAGCCTTGAAATTTGTTTCTAGATTTATTTAAAAAGCTCAAAACAAACCCCACTCCACCAGAGAACCGCATAAACTGTTGTCATGATACAAAGTGGAATCGAGGTGAACAGAAAAGGCCAAAGCATCCATTTGATGTACTGAAAAATTTGATTAACCTTTATATTATCACTGAAAATATTCTGAATGAAAAAAAGAATAAACCAACTTTCACTGACCTTAATTGCGGCATAGAGAAGAGAAAAAGTTGCTATGAAATTGCCGATGGCAAAAATGATACAAACGATGATGATGACGTACATTGCTGAAAGAAATTGATACTGCTTGTCGAAGTTAAGATAATCCTAGTTATCAAAGCTTCCAGTTTCTTTTTCCAGAAATTTTTTTCCTAGGATTTTTCTTTTTTGAAGTTTTTTTAACTTATACAGCATTTGACACAAAATCTGATCGTATTTTTATTCCCCTGTTTTGGATATCATTTTCTTGAATATTTTTCCCATAATTATTATCAAATCATCAAACCGTTGGCCCTCCTTCTTTCCGGCGTCTCCGAGTAAATCTGATAAAGGCCCGGGAAACGCGCTTGGTACGCATCGATACTGAAAAAAGGAAACACGGTGAGTCATGTCTGAATCACGGGAAAGCATCGGGAAAAAAATCGACAAAAAAATATCCGGCACTGGTACTCCTACAAAATCTTCTTTTAAGTTTGAAAATTTTGATCAATAAAATAAAAAGCCCATTTCCAAAAATATATTCTTCAAAGAGCTTGTAACAAGAGTTCTAATCGATAGAATTTTATCCAAATATGGTCCTTCAAAAAGCTCATACCGAGGGTTCTAATCGTTGGATTTTTATGGCCTTCCCATTAATCGATAGCTAAGGTTTTGGACTTTCTGACGGCATCCAATTTTCATCAAGTCGATTAAGAAAAAGAAGAAAATACCAACTTAATCCTAAAAAAATTAATAGAAAAATTGAAAAATAACGAACGCTCCAGTTGCGGGTAATTGTCGATTCTCATACTCTGCGATGATGTTTTTCACGACTTGAAATTGCCAACCGAGGAGTCCAAATTGAAGCAAAGAGTAGATCTGCAAAAACATGGTTCGAGAATGATCGCTAACGATGATATTCATTTTGAGCCTTTTCGGAAACTTTCTTTTGTATTTATCTGTCGAAACATCCGAGATTCTTACTGACTGGTAATTATTCGATTTACGCAGAATCAAAAAAGCTCCCATAACTTGACATTTTTATAGAACATCTCCGCTTCTCAGAACTTCCAAAGCTTCGAGTTATCTTTAATTATAATGGATAATCAATTTATGTCGGGGAAAAAATTGAGAATTGCTTTTATAATCTTAAAAAAACTGTAAATATTTGAATTTCAACTCCTAGCCTTAGGAGATGCTTCGGACACTGTTTATTTCTGTGTTTCAAGATTTCAAAATCATTTCAAATAATTGCAAAACGAAACTTGATGAAAAAGTTCAAAGCTGGTATAAAATCAGAATGAAATCTAGGACCTTCCTGCCGTCAAACAATCAAACATATTCCAATAAATAATTATAAGAGTTTTTTTCTTAAGCTTTGGCCTATCCAGCTCAAATTTATCAATATCAATCCAATTATTTAAAATTAAAAAAAGAATGGGAAATTTTTAGACGAGGTTAATTTTCAAAATTTTTTCAAAACATTTTCCGAAATCTCAGTAATAATTGTTTCTCAGCATTACCTTTAAACATTAAGAAAATCTTCAAACTCAAAAATCATCCCTATTTGAAGAGGCTAAGAATATAGAGAGACAACTCAAAAAACTTGGGACCTCAAACTGAAAATTGGAGTTGAGCTTACTTCTATTTGATCATTTGACACTCCGAAAATGAACTTATTTTCTAGGTCCTATCTTTTTTGACCTTCCAACTCAGATTCCTAACTTTTGAACTTTTAACTTCAGAAGTCAAAACAAAACGAGATGAACTGACAATGTTCCAGATGGCGATGCAGATGGTGGCGCTTCGAAGACAAGCCAAGGGGTCGGCCATCGACGAGTCATGCGGCCGTAGTCCGATTCTTCCACCTGGAGGGAGGCCGGGCGACGAGCGCCGTGTGCAAACACCGAGAGACCGCAGACAGAACAAACAAAACAATATCGAAACACAAGTGTACACATTGTTGTTTTTCACGCGCTCGTCCTTCCTGATCATTCCGCTATTTCGGTCATGTCAAGGGCAACACGCCGTCGAAGCGTTCCTCGGCTGTTGCCAAGCTGTCGCGCCTCAGAGACGGATCTTCGAGGTTGGTCGGGCCAAAAAACTGCGTTTTCCAATTGAAAAGCAGGTTCTCACGGTGGCAGGAGGATGTCCTGCGTGTGAAGACGAAAGATGAGTCGTTGGAAGTGTCGCTAACTTCCGAATCGAAGCATTTGCTAGTCGGGTTCGGCAAAGCCGTCGGCGGCATGGCTGCAGCTGTTGAGGATATTCTGGGACCTCGACTTGATCAGGGCCTCGTCATACTACCCGAAGGCATTGAGTATGTTCAAATAGTCGGAGAAAAACTGAAATAAGAAGAAAAAAAAAGCTTCGAAACTATATCTCAAGCTGGAATTCAGAAAAACCAGTTTTGTTCGCTCAACAGAAAACTTTTTTGTTTTTGTTTTTCATCCATGAAGGTAAATATTTTTTTGTATTTTCAATGCCTTGAGAAATTTCGTACTTTTGCAACTTTTTGAAAGAATTTGTTGGAAATTAAATTATCTAACTTTTTTTTTAGGTATGTTGATTTTTAATTTTGTAAAGCGAACTTTCAGAAAGGTAAGTAAAAAACTTCCAGATTCTCTCCAAATGAGAAACAAAAAAAAAAAAAAGTTTACGTTAAAGTTATAACTATATGTATCACGTTTATTCCTATTACTATGAACTGAAACTTCGCCTAGCGCTTGAATTTGAAAATTTCCCCACATTTTTATCAAGACTTTTTTTCACTGGTCAGAAATACAGTCCAGGTGCAATCTCCGCTCCCGTGTTTTCCACGCCGCCAAAAACAATTTACCGGATGAAGATTCTGTCAACGCGACAAACGCCCTCATCGAATTCCTTGAGAAGAATGACTCTACAAACACGGTGATAATCTTTTTGATCTCCGGTACGGCTTCAAAATTCATAATATTTCAAATTACCGAATCAATACGTTCCAGGAGGCGGATCTGCACTACTTTGTTCGCCTGTCGATGACCTGACCCTACAGGATAAACTCCAAACGATTCATACACTCACTAGTCACGGTAAATGTACCTGAAGGACTCAATAAATCTGAATAACTGCTTCAGGAGCGGACATTCACAGTTTGAACACAGTTCGGCACTGTTTATCCAAAGTGAAAGGAGGAAAACTGCTACAACATGTCCCTAAATCCACCGTTCGGCCTACATTTATTTCTGATCTTATCCAGAAATTTTCAGAAAATCTCATTGATAGTTTCTGACGTCATCGGAAACGACGTTGAAATCATTGCGAGTGGTCCAACAGTCATCCCAACAACTAAAAGGAACGCCAAGGAGATCATCGACAGCTTGAAAGTTACTGAAAAAACTGACTCAAAACGTCTTGGATCAAATAAGATCAACAACAATAGAAGCTGATCTGAAAGAGCATCACTTCGTGATTTCTAACAATGTTATCGCGTTGGAAAGTGTAGAGGTGACCACTAGAAACTTTAAAAAAGAAAACTATTTTTATTTTCCAGAACTCTTTGAAGACTCTTGGATACAATACGTGCATCATGACGAGCGAACTCAGTGGAAACGTGACGGAAGTTGGAATTATGATGGCCGATTTTATCAACTCCGAAAAAACAGCTCTACACGAAAAAATACGAAGGTTCCGTCCAGATTCCGCTGAGGAGACGTCGTATCCTCTCGCTTTGATTTTCGGAGGAGAAACAACAGTAACGATCAAAGGACAAGGAAAAGGAGGAAGAAACCAAGAAATGGTGCTCCAATGTCTGGAGAGAGTCTGGAAGAGCTCTCCCAAACATCGTTTCGTTTTTCTGAGCGCCGGAACCGACGGTCAAGACGGTCCAACAGACGCTGCCGGAGCTGTCATAACCTCTGAAGATTTGCCCGAAGATAACCTATCTCCCAACTATTTCTTGTCCAATTCTGACTCCTACAGTTTCTGGAATTCCTACCAAAACGGGTCCTGTCATTTGAAAACCGGTAAAACAGGTACAAACGTGATGGATGTACAGATACTAATCCTCGATGTAGTAAAATAATTCATTTGCCGATAAATCAATTAATCTAACAGGAATAAATTAATACTCAACACATAAGAGCGATTAGAAAATTGTGATGGGCGCGTTAATTAAACCATGGTTCCAGGCCGTGAATGTTCATTTATACAGAAGAGCGGTACAATGCGTATCACAGGATCGAAAAAAGAATTATTGAAGATTCCCATACCGTAAGAAATAATTAAAGGAGAAGAAGCGTATTATGTTAGACGATTTCGAAAGAATCAACGTTGAGTAAGGTTTCGGAGGAGAAAGGAACCGGCTCGTCAGAACCTTTGAGAACTTCGCTGACCGTGATGGGCACGAACAGACATTCCGATGAGAAATGAACGTGTACGGGGAAGAAATGGTCGGAATGCCCGTTGGGAACTGTGAATTCCAGGACTCCCGTCGAGTTGGAGCTAAATTTTCTCCTTTTTTAACAGCTAGGTTCGAATTTTTTTTTTTTTATAGAAGACCCTGAAAAGTGAATAAAATACCTGTCAATAACAGGGAGAGTCCAAAGCATCTGGTTTCGAGATTTCTGATATTCATAGCTACCTTCGCATTCGCTCACAACAGGAGCCGTTGAGGGTCTGAAAATTATATTTTTTTTCAGTTTTTTCCAAATTATTGAAAAAAAGAAAAATATAAACTCACGGCAATGGAATCGTGATTCTGACATTGTTCAGAGCAAGATCTTCACGCTGCAGAGTGTATTCGATATTGACTTGGCAACCGTCGGCAGATTCTTGAGGCCAGCAGTTCACTGAAAAGAAAACAGAACTTCATCTCGAAATGATACAAAATTACACTTTTCTTTCAAATGAGAAAGATATTTCCAGATTTAAAAAAAGTCTAAATGACTTATAGAGGCTGGAAATGTCTATCCAGAACTCTTAATAATTAATAAATCATCTGTAGTTATTAAAGTTTTTTTTTTACAAATTGAGAAGCTTTTTTTCACAGCGTAGTCCTGTTCCACTTTCAAGTTATTTTCCAAATTTTAGTTATGCTAAAAAACATGAAGTTTCTTATAAACAGTGATGTTACAAAGTTCTATTTTGGACTTTCTCTAGAGCAAAAAAACGCACAAGAAAGAGGAAGCTGCTCCTCCTCGCTGAGGACGAGCTTCCACTTGAGAACGCCGACGTCGTTGTTCACCGGATAGGGTTTTCCATTGGCTTTGAGTTTCAGGACGGAGGAATTCTGCCATTCCTTCTTGTCCAGGTTCGGGTGCACCTGCAATTGGACGCCGGCCGGAGCGTTGTTGCTCATTTTGACAGAAACGCCGTTCAAATCTGCCGAAGTTACGTTCAGCGCAACTGTTGCCAGCACCTGAAAAAAACAATTTACATTGTTGTTTCAATTTTTTTAAATTATTCGCTCGACATTTTTTTGGGTGCCTCGACTCTGAAAGCTGAGCAGAAAAATTTTTGTAAAAACAAATGTGAAAGAAAAAAAGTTCCATCTAAAAAGATTATTAGAAACTAAGAAAAATATTCTAAAAAGCTGTAACCGAAGGAAAACGGAAGATGTAAGACAGGAAAAAAAAGCAGAAGTCGTAAAGTAAAAGATGGTGAAGAAGAAGAGGCAAGAACGAAAAAAAAGACGGCAAAAAGATCTAACTGATAAAATGATGGCTCGCGCAGAAAGGTTACGCCTTCCATCAGAAACGGTACATTTATTTTTAGACGCTAATGGACGTGTGGGCGGCGAGGCTTTATGAGCCGTTCGTTGCGACATTTCTGTTCGACCTTTATCGTCGAAAAAAAAAACATTTCTTGTTACCCTTTTTGAAAGGTAAGGTGAAAGAAAAACAGGTTTGAATAGAATCAGCTCTATGTCCCAAAACTTCTTAAGAAACATTTTTCTTCACATAAAGGAAAATTTTTTGAACAAAATTTCTTTTTACTATAGAACTTGCAACAAACCTCAGCCGACTCGAGACCACCATCCCTACTGACGCGAGCAATGATCTTCTCATCCGTGCGGACATGGACGGCTTCTCTTTTGACCCGAGACGTCGGAACTACATTCGCCGCTCCGCCGACATCGCGCTGGAAAAATTAGGCTCAGAAATAGTATAGTTTTTCATAATTGAACGTGTTAATTTTATTGTTAACAGCAAAATTCGATCAAAAAACTGAGTTTCGTTACGAGAGATTAACTCTATTCTAAGAAAAGAGTTTTTGTTAGATCCTTCACGACCTCTATGCCTTCAAAACCGCTAAAAAGAAACTCTAAACAGAGGTATAAACTCTTCCTCAATTTCGAACAGATTTTCGAAATTATTAATAGCCATTTCAATCAGGAAACTTCCATTATTCCCTCAATGCTTTTAAAAGCTTCATTTCTCACCGATTTTTCGACAGGGGCAATAGTTTGACCTTGCTGTCGGAGTTGAGCAAGGAAAGCGTCTTCAGTGTTGGTTTTGCTACCAAGTTTGAGAGCTTTTCCGCCTCCAGAAGTGGTCGGACGGGTTGGAGCAGGAGCTGCACGAGGAATGTCTTGAACAGCCGTCAATGGTGCCGACGACGACGAAATTCCAGTTGAAGAAGAGAAAGCTGAGAAAATTTTGATATTATCAACTCATTTCATCATGCTTTTACCATTTGGCTTGAGTCCGCGGCTAAGAGCTTCCTTCTGTTGTCTTTTAAGCTCTTTCGCCTTCTCAGCCATGGCTTGCTTGGCCGCCTTTTCTTGGGCCTGAATTTGAGAAAAAGTTTACAGGGGTCATAACGGATAATAGATTATAATGCTTTTTACACGTTAAACGCAACATGAAACCATTTAGGAAAATCACAAACCTCCTTGATTTGCATGAAGACGCGTTCTTCGTGAGAATCCATTTCCGTGAAGGTACGGATCTGGGCCAAGTTGACACTTTCCCTTAAAAATGTCATAGATATAAACATTGACCAAAAATAAAACTAAAAAACCTGTAACCGAGAGTAACAATTTCGTCGAATGCGAAAATCAGGTCGAAATCATGGGCGAGAATTTCTTTTTCATCATTCGAACGGCAATACTCAGGAATCTACAATATTTTTTTGGTATAAATTTAAAAAATCAAAAAGTCTCACCACTCGAGAGAACAAACGGAGGGTTTCCAAGTCCTCTAGGATATTCGAGTTTTTAGTTGTGATAAGAACAACGTAGATGTTGTCGAGCGGATGATAAACATAACGAACGCTTTCCGTTTCAACAAAAGTATGCTGTCTTTGAGCTAAAAATAACTATTTAAACTATTAAAAATCGATTATGATTACCAGCATCTTTATCATTTCCAATAAGCTTCGGAAAAGCGTCTAGGAGCCCTTCAAGCCGAGCTCGAGTCATATCCGTCACAAATTGACGAGCGACCAGAGCTTTTCCCGACTTCGAGAAAACACCTGCTGTGAGAAGCACCATTTTCTGAAAAACGGTTCTTTAGACATTTTCAGGATCAGAAGGAGGTTATTTGTCAACTCAGAAGGTTCTGAACCGTTAATAATTATTTTTTTAAAAATTATATATAAATAGAATAAAAACAGCGTAAAAAACTGGATGTGAACACGTTGGTGGATCTCCGCGCTTCGAAATTTTAAGAGGCGGCTTGCTATGCGCCTTTAATAGGAGGTCGGAAATCACAAACACAAGGCTGAGGATTCCAAACACGGTGTTCCGCGCAATGAAAAAAAATGCGAAATTTTGGGTCCCAGCGGCATATTATCCGTGGCGCATTATTGCGCCCTTCTCATCGTTTCTGATGCAAAAATTGAATTTCTTCACTTTTTTCATTGGTTTTTTACTTTTTTCTATTTCTTGCATTTATGTGATCCGCCTCTCTATGGGTACATCTTGTGGAGCTTTAAATTGCGCATTTTTCTAAACCGGTTTCAGATCTTTAACTTTTTTCTCAAAAGAGCTGAAGATTTTTCTAAAAGTCCTAATTTTTCAAAATTTTGAAATCTGTTTCGCGACATGAAAATAATCGCTCTATTTCGGAAACTATAGTTTTTAATTTAATCAGTTAATAATAAAAAGTTATTATCTAGTTCCTTTGACGTAGTTTAAAACCGGTTTCGCGTAAATTAGAGCCAAATTGAATTTGCTGATGCAGTTTAATGATTTTGATATATGCATCATCTAAATTATATATTTTTTTCTAGTTTTTTTGATGGTTTTTTTCAGATTTAAACAAAAAAATTTCGCCATACGAGGTTTTCTTTCTAAAATTTCTGCTTTCTATCCATTATATGTTTTTTTCTGAAACTAGGTTTTCGAGGTATATAAAATGTTTTTCATTTGCTCCTCGAATTTTTCCTCATTTCAATATTTTTTTCGTATTTATAAATGCTTATTCAATGGGAGTTGATTCATTTTTCATAATATTTTTTTGTTTTTTTATTTTTGTAATCAGTAATTTAGAGTTTTCCCTTTTTTCGAAATCGTTCCTAAATGTTTTTTTAACGTAAGTGAATGTTTTTTTCACATCATATTCTTCAAAATGACAAATTTCGAACATTTCAGGAGCTATTATCCTGAAATCGCAAATTCTAAAATTGAAAAAAAGTATTTTGAGTATGCGATAGGGCGTCTCGGTGTGCTTACACTCTAAGCATCATTATTTACGAAAAAGTCTTGACCTAGCGTAATAAAAAAACACCGTGCAAATCCACGGATACGCATTACAAAAATTTTTCTTTCAGTCATTTTCACAAAAAACCCTATCCAAAACCGAAAATTCGCTGAAAGTAGCCGATCTCCAACTTTTGGTTTCAATTAAAAAAATAATATCTTGAGGTATTCTCTATTATTGAAATAATAAAATTGTTGCAGATATCAAAAATCGAATAAAAACTTTATGAACCATTTTTTCAGCACAGTAAATTTGAATATGAGGCACAACCTATAATATCCAGCATATTTCCAAAAAAGTGATTTATGAACAACCAATTCTCGTCACAGTAAAATGTACAAAACAAACACGAATCAGAATTCGATTGAAAGGAAAACTGCACAGCAAAAACGCAAAAAAAAAATTGTAAAGGCAGAAAAGTGAGCTTTATTGCACAACAGGAAAAACTTTGGATAAAACAAGGAAAAAACAATATTTCGAGTGGAAATCGGGTCATAATCGATGAGCTGACCGGGAAGGCACTAATCGTTGTGTCACAGAACCGAAGGCGTCACGGAAAGTATCACTCCATCCCTGAAATCCGGGAAATTAGATGAACAAAAAAGAAAGACGGATTTTCAAAAAAAAAAAGTTAGTCTTTTTTCAATAAAATCTGGAGGATTCAAAACTTCTCATTTTTATTGAAAGTTCGCAATCAGCTTGAAAAATTCGGAACTTCGTTTTATTTTTCTTCAGTCATCATTTGAAGAGAGTTAAACTATATTCATTGCTGCTCAACTAACGAAACTTGAGGTGATAGGCAAAATTTACAAGGATCTTGGAGCGGAGAGCCTTCTTGTTGATGATTCACGATTAATTAAAACCTCGCAAAGAAATTTAAAAGAACAAAGTTTTCAGAAAACTTCTATCGTAACCTTTTTTGACGCAAGATTTCGAAAGTACATCATGAAAACTTTTCGGAATAAAATTTTTTAAAAGCAGCGATAAACAGAGTAATCGTTAGAAAGGGGAGTCATTAGAAGTCACGCAGGAAATTTTAAATGTATTAATGGGGTTTAGAAAAAAACCTTGCCGTGTAATGGAGGAAGAGCCGCATGATGAGGAATGCGGTTGGAATGGGCATCCAGAACCTGAAGAAAATCGATAATCTCCTTTCTCGAAAACGAGGAAAGTACTTTTTGGTATCGGAGTTTGCAGGCGGCTTCGATGGTCTTGGCCATGGCGGCGGCGCTGGGCTCGACGTGGAAGACGTAGCACATGTAGTTCTCCGAGGAGGTGTGCATGATGAAGGCGCAATGTCTGAAGAGAAGATTGGCTTCAGAAGACCTCAGAAGGCCTCACTTGACGTCGCGGCCGATTCCCAAGAAGGAAAGATAGCGGACGCGGCATTCGGCGATCTGCGCGCCGTTCACTTCGACGATGGCGATCGTCGACGGCGCGATGGACACGTCCGCCAGGATCCAACGTTCCGGTCGGACCTGGAGAATAGAATAAGCGAGGAAAATCATGATCAGCTGGTTTGGAAGATCTTTAAAAAGAGTCGAATGAACGTACCTGTGAAACAAGCCGGTCGACGGCTTCATTAAGAATCTCGATGCCGGTTGCCCTCGGAACTTGGGTGACGCCCAAAAAGTGACAGCGGATCACTTTTCTTGGCTCGTCGCTAGGCGGAGACACTCCTTCAGCTGAAAAAATAAACATTAAATTGAATTTAAAAAACAAATCACTTCTAACAATGCGCTTCTCGCCGGATTCAATCGCTTGCAAGTTGGATGGTCTTCTGAAAATTGAAATTTTGACAAGAAGGGAAACTCTTTTGGAAACCTATGCAGCATAAGACGCTTGCAAATGTCTCGAAGAGTATTTGCGATGGTTTTGGCGGGAGTATCGCAGCGGAAGACGTGGCACATGAAACGGCGCGAGTTCCGATCTCGAGCCACATAGGCAAAGTCTCTGCAAAAAAGATGTGAGAAAATGAACGAATGAAAAATCATCGCGAAGACCTGAACTTTCTTCTAAAAAAGATACTTGAAAATGAGAAAACATCAAATTATTCGGGTTTAAAACATATAGTTTTTTTTGAGAACAGATATTGCCCACCGGGAATTGAAATTTTCTGTTTCAACTGAAGTTTAAAGAATCAACTTTCTCTTCAGCCAACAATCGTGGCACTTCTCTCTTGTCCTTGTGATTCAATAAAAAAATAAAAACAATAAACGCTCAGAATTACGCTGTTTTTCAAGGTTTGTCAATCTCCATTCTTCGATTGTATTTACTTATTATTTTAGAGCTTTTATTCACTTTGTTATAAAGCTAATACTGACAGAAACTGATTGACCTTTTCATCTTGAAAAAAATTTGTGGAAATAATAGAAAGCGCCTCGAAATGATAGAAACATTTACACACATTTAAGTTTTAAGCTAAAAAACTCTCTTTTAAGCTTAATTTTGCTCTCAGAAAACAGAAAGGCAAAGAGAAAAAGAAGAAAGAAACCATACACAACGTTACAACACGAAACTCACCGATCTCTGCACAAGTTCATGAAAATCATTCATTAACACATTTTAACCGATTTTTCCAGTACTCACCGGCCGTTGTCTCTTCCGACGCCCCAAACTCGGATCTGTTGGATTCTTTCAGAATGAATGACTGTCATCGTGTCCGGATCGATGAGAGATAGTTCATTATCGTCCAATTCCATGATAAGCTCTCTTCCCTGAGGGAAACCATGAAAAGATGCAGGAAAATCGGAAACCTACGTCTCCCCACTTGCTCACATTGTCCATTAGGTCATTTCTTCCGGTTGAGAGATCAACAATTGCTCTGAATAAAAATGAAACTAGACGAAAAAGGAAATCGAGAGGATAACCTATTGACAGCGCGCGAACTTTTCTCCGCCGTCAGTTCTTCCTCGGCCACTTCAGTCCATCCCAAGGAACGAACGGCGAATCGGATTGGCTGAAATTAATCCTTTGAAATTCTATCGCTTATGAAGTATTGATTTTCCTTCCAACTTTATAAAGATTACATTCTCCGAACTCTGTCTATGAAATTCGAAACTAAAAATTGCTTAAAGTTTCGGCTAGATTTCAATCAAAGATAAAGCTGCTTCACAAAAATTTTCAGGCTTAAAATTCGAGCAAACATGGGCAGACCGCTTTTAAAGGTCGCCGACCCCTCCTCCCAAGTTTTTCTAAATGAAAATTGATACTACTTCCCTGAGACTCAAAATTGTATTATGTGAACCATTTTCAGGAGCCAACCCCTCCTTCCGGGCAGTAAGGGTTCTGTACTTGCCCATCTATGAAGTCGAGCTTCATTTTTTTTTTGTAGCATGAATTGCAATTGTTTCGAATCGAATCTCGCTGATTCGAGCTCGAAAAGAACAAGATCACATATTCAGAAACCTCACGTCGACTGCGACCGAGTTCAGACTCAAAAGAGTGACACAACCCAGAAAATCCCTTTCTTTTCAAATCTCGACCTTGGAATATCCATCGACGTCTCCTTCGGGAGCTCCTTCGCTCTCCTCGTCCTGCTCGATCCTGCGTTTGGTGGTGGTCTGCTTGAAGGCGTGCTCCTCGATGACGGGCTGCTGCGGCGGCAGCTGGATGATCTGCGGCGGCGGTGCGTCGGCTTGCGTTTCGCGACTCTGCAACCTGGCCCCATCAAACAACCAATGAGCAATACTTTTCTCTGTTAATGACATGTCCAAACAACTCACGGCGGTTGTGATGGAATAAACAGGTGGGAGAGGTGGTGTTGGACTACGGGGTGGCGTCACCGCACGCTGTAAATTCCGAATATCGAGTCTTTTTTCGTGTAGTGCGTTCATTTCAGCTTGTCAAGTCTTTACAGTTTGCTCTAACGAACGGCACTTCTAATCGGTCTTTCTTTTTTTTTTTTGTTAGTGCTTCAGTAAATTGACAAGTCGAAAACGGATACAAAAATGAGCGAACATAGAAGGTTAGGAATGATGCAAACTAGAAATCGAATGGTTTACGGTCCGTAAATGAATATTATCTTCCAAATCTGGAAGTTTTTTCATTAGTACTCAGAAAGATGAATAATTGGATAACGAGGCTTTGTGAAACTCTTTCAAGGGCCGTGAACCTTCATGCTTTGGGGTATCTAACTCTGAAAACTCCTCACCACTGGAGGCTGTCTCTGAATTGTACCACTGTCCACGTGCCAATAGTAGGAGTAGCCTTGAGGGTCTGGAAAAATAGGGAAGTGAGCATTCTAAACTAGTCCCCAAGGAACACGAAAAAGTTAACCCTATCCAGTCAACAATGAGATTCTCAAGCGAAAAATGGCTTTTCAAGGAAAACCTCGACTAAAAATCTAGTGAAACCCATACCAATAAAAAGTTTACATCTTATTCAAGGCTCAAAAGAAGCTTGATCTTCATGAAACTACTAATTTTGAAAAGGAAAAACTTTTGCTTTTTTTAATTGTCATTCCAGATCTACCTTGATGTTTCTCCCATCCTGGCGGCAGATCCCTTGCTTCTTCTTCAAGCGGCGGAGGCGGGGGAGGTAGAGGATGGATTCTCTGGGGCCGACTGTACTGGTTTTCGAAGCCAGAGTCGTGGGAGTCGGGAGAAAGAACCGTGTCGATAACCTGAACCTCTGGAGTACTACTTGTTTCTTCAACTATTTTAGAAACTATTTCATGGTAGACTATTTTTGCGGCTTCTGGAGCCTGCTCACGATTTTTTGAAAGCTCCTTTTGTCAACTCCGCTTATAATCCCACAACTAACTCAGAATTCTCCTTCATTTCAACCAAAGTTCCTTCAACATTGAACGTGAAGGACGCCATGAAGCGGTAAGATTTCTTTTTCAGAAATTGACGAACAAATGTTTTTAAAAGTTGCAAATAAAATCTTGAAGAACACATTTTTGTGACGTAAAAAGCCAGGCCCGTTATATCACCTCAAAGTTGCTCATAATTTCATTTCGTTTGAAACCTTTCAGGTCGACCTCTTTCGACTGTTAAGACCTTCCAGAAGCTTTCCTTACTGAGTCAAGACTCTACTACTTTTTTCTCGGTACAATAATTCTTCGATACAGTGAAACCACAAGAAGCACACCTCCTCCTCATCAATGACATAGTCGGTCGGAGGCGGCCTTCGGGGCGGCGACTCGGCCTCTCTGCGGGCCTGGTCGAGCTGCCAGTAGAAGGAGTACGGATCGCGATGTTCGGTCATGATGGTGGTGTCGCCCATGTGACGGACGCGAACGCCGTCGGCTCCTTCTCGAGAAACGGCGCCGTCGCGGCTCGCCTGGTCGATGGCGGCCAGCGACTGCCGGAAGTCGTTGGATGAGTAGTCGACCGCCATACCTCGTCGCTGCTCACGCTCCCGCGATCCTGACTTTCCTGTAACACACAAAAACAATTGCAACAATTGGATTCCTCGAGCACTCTGTGCTGATTACTTCCGCAGAGTGCCTAAGAAATGACTGAACAATCAGATTATTGTGACAGAGAAAGAAGAATTGAGTATAGCTAAGAATTGAAAGAAAAAAAATATAGAAATCTTGCAAAAGTTGGTTTTTGAGCATCTACAGTTGTTATCTATCGCTGTGAAAAAACTTTTCAAACTGTTTTTCTGTTTGAAAAAAAAAACATTATTCGACCCACGCCGAGATAAGAGAAGATAGAGAGTTTTCAAATCAAGTAAAGTGAGCCCAAATCAGCACATTCATAACTGCATTATCACTGAAAATGGTAAGATTATGAATCTTCACTATACAAGTTCAACCAGTTCACAGCTTTAGGAGCTCGTATAAAAAAAAAAGAAATTTTTTTTTCAATTTCCGCACACCTCTTTTCACTACGCGGTTGAATTTCTCTAATTAGGTTTCAAAAAAAGTTCATCTGCAGCTTTTGACTCATAGCTTTCAGCTCAAGTTTCCTATGCTGATTCATTATTCTTTTTCTAATTCGTAATCACCAAAAATATACCACAACGAACCAAAACTTCTGAAAATTCATCGGACTTTCAAAAAAAAAAACATTCTGTTATAGATGTTTCAGCTCCCAAAATCAGAAGTATCGAAAGTAACTTTTCGCAGCTTTTTTTCATAGAACTTTCCTCTATAAATTTTTTTTTTCCTTTTGACCATTTTCACAAATTTCCTTTAGCCCTTCAATTCCACTCAATCTTCGTTCTTTCTTATATTTCAGCCTTTTCCTTGACTTTCTCCTCTCTGGGCTAATTTATTCACCTTTGGCGCCCGAGGAATATCCACGCGAGTCAAAGTGTGAGTTGACGAGTTTCTTCACACCGTTTTCGATGACGTACTCGCGGATTTCCTCCTCCTCGTAGGCCTCCCGTTGAGCAGAATATTCGTTGCTCTCCTCCTAAAAATCGCACTCCTCATGACCGAAACGTATATTCATGAATATGACTGATCGCATATATTGGCAAAAACACACAGACAGTCACACCGGAAAAAAGTCGCCTAATCGAAAAAATAAACACCCTCCAGAAATTAAAAAGCGGCGCAAGCAAACATTCCGAAAGGGAATAGAAGTGAGATAGAAATCGCTCAACTAAAAAAGGATATGCGAAAAGAATTAGGAAAAGTTTTCGGGAAACGACCCACGGGAAGAATGAGCGGAAAGAATGGGAAGAAAGAAGAGGAGTGGAAGAGAATCGATGCCAAGGAAGGCGAAGAGGTGGCAGCGGAAGAATAAATCCCAACGTTTCCGCTCGTTTTTTTTTCTTGATAACAAGGCCAAATTGAGTTTGGGGCCGACGAAAAAGCACCTGGCATGTGAAAAACCTTTTTTCTGAGTACGAAAGCAAAAGCTTGCTGTGAAATAAAGCGCGTGATCAATATCTATATGATTTATAGAGCTGGATAATTTTAGCTTTGATGGAACGTTGCAAAGAGACGGCTGTTTTTTCTCAGGGCACAAACTGTACAATCACTCACTTTTTCAATAAGGCAATGTTTTCCGAAACTAAAAAAAGTTATATCTTCGACTTTTCTTCGCTATAAACTTGGGGAGAGACAAAAGTTTGAGTTTCTATTGAAAACTCGGAACAAATAACAAGATTTCAACTGAAAGATAAGTAATTAAATAAGACAATTTTAACATTAAGCCACCCAACCTACAAGAAAAAAATTATTCAAATTGAAAATGCTTTTCAATGACAGCGTAACCTCATTATTCTGAACTCTTTCAGTACGAACGGCCCTGGAAGTTCCTCGTTTTTTCATCTAAAATTGCAAAAACCGGGGTTCGGTTTCATGCAGAGAAGAAGGCAAACAATTGGAAAATACAAATAGATCGGGGATTTCGTGTAGCACAAAAAGGCGAATGGCGATTGTCGACGGAACACACACACACACACATCGATTCTATTAATAAAGCAATAAAAAAGTCAATTGGTTTCTACGTTGTGAGGAAAATTAATGCCGCACATTGAGCCCAATGAAATGGGAATGGAGAAGGAAGAAGAAAAAAGCCATCAAACAGAAAAACAACATAAGAGCACAATTAAAGACTAATCTTTTAAATAAAATTATAAAGCGATTGCAAATTTAGAGGATTTAAATTGAACTGTGCATTCGCTGTTACTTTTTTCTGAAAAATGAAAAGAAATAATAATCAATGTGAAAAAATAAATTTAAGAGCTGCAAAGTAAAAATAAAACGAAAAAAATTATGGGCGAACCACAAGAAAAAACACTTCAAATTCAATTATGTAGCATGACGTTCAGTTTTGAAGCGGAAAGTTCATCTGAACAAACTTCAAGGAAGAAAATTATAGTCTAACCAAATTTTACTTGAAGTGAAAAAAGAATAGAATAAATAAAACTAAATTTAGAATGAATAGTTCAAAAAAAATTTAAAAAAGAAGTTATTATCGAATTGGATTAGTTATAGTGAAGTACTTCTTTATTTAGTACCAAACTTACCGCATGCATATAAATAAAAGAAAATGAATGAAAACACGAGAAAATTTAAATCCAACACAGCTTTTTAGTTTCGAAACTTACAAGAAACAGCATTTGCAATGCCCTTTTTTGGTCTACACTTTCTCCGTTTGAAAAAACTTTTGCACTATGGAAAATTTTATGAGAACATTGATTGATATATGAGTGAAAAAACGTAATAAGGAAGAAGAAAATGAAGAGATAAAGATAAAGAGGACGCGCCGAGATGCATGGAACAGTGAGCGAAGGCGGCATAAACGCGCGTGAGTGGGGGGAAGAGGAGGAGCGGCATTGAGAGTGTGCCAAATCTCAAGTGCTTCTGCCGAATCTTCCCAGGCAAAAAACTTACGTGAACTCGATCATCCGTCACGAAATTGATGGTCGCCGTGTCGGATCCATGGCTCTGAACGCGCTCAAGACGTTGATCATTGCGACTTCCATTCCGAGATCTTCAAAAATTCGTTTTCTAGTTTCCATATTCTGCTTTTTAATATTATTTTTTGAGATTTATTAGTGAAAAGACTTTGGTTATGATCAAAAGACCGCCAACGAAGAAACCTCTGACGGTCGACGTCGAGCCGAACGTGCTGTCCTTCGCCCATTTCAGCGTAGAAAAATGTGTTGAAAGCAGAAAAATATTAGAGTTTCCGAGGGGATGTCTTCTCGTTGCAACCGCAAACAGTGCTCAAGACGGTCGACGGGTCGAGAGGGCGAGAGGCTGCGAGGCGACGAAAACGCCGCTCAAGCCAACCCCGACGACGATACCGGTTGCTCCGCGGCACCGAGTAAGCGCCACTCCAACAACCGCAGCTTTACCTCCAGGCTGCCGACGGGTTTTCCCGTGTTGCTCATTGTACTTATGCCAACAAAAGTCGAGAGAATGCCTCTGGAATAAAACACCGTTCCGCTTCAACTGAATCACACTGTAGACACTGTTTCTTAACAGATAGTTTGATGGAAAAGTTGAGCAGCCAAGCTTTTGAAAACTGGTTTTTCTCTTTTTTCAAAATAAAAAAGGAAAAAAAAACTTGAAAATAATCTGCTAAAAACGACAAAATAGTATTGACGCAGAAAACCTTTGCAGAGCAACGTTCCTAAGCAGTTTGATGGAAAAAAAAATCACATTTATGCTCAATTTATGGAAACAGATTTGTAACGAATTTCCTAGACTTTTTCTTTAACTGCAAACTTGAAACTGCTATATGAAGCTCTTATTATGCGCTAGTGACGTTGTGGACTTCTCTTTTTATTTGATTTCCTTCGAAAACGCGGGAAAAAACGATAACCTGGAAGAGTCGCTCCAAATATTCCTTTTTTGGGCTTTGTTTATAAACAAATTCGATGCTTCACGCCAAGCAGGAGCCTTAGGGCCGTTGATTTCCAATGCTTCGCGTGTCTTCCGCTGCCTCCCATCGATCCTTCATTCCTTCTCGTTCTTCGCCACCTAAAAACGCCTTTTAGCTCCACTTTTTCTTTGTTTTTTTCTTGTTTTTGTTTATCGTTCGAATACATAGTATTATGACTTCAGTGGCTAGTGAAAGAATGTTTTTTTGAGGTAACCTTTTTCTCCTTTTCTGACGGCGAAATTGTTTTTCGATGCATATTCGAGTGTAGGGTGCGCTGAAAGCCAATCATGTATCAAAAAAAGAAAGAAATGAAGTGAAAAACGCATTAAAAATTAGAACAGTGAGGAGAATTTTAACTAGTTTGTAGAAAACGTTTGAAAGAGTTGAATGAAACTAATCAAAGTTAAAAAAATCGACAACAAAAACCTAGCAATCTTTTTGATTTAATTTTCTATTAACCTTTACTTTATGCGCTTTGGAGAAATGTACATCCTCACTAAGATTCTACAAAAAAGATTCCGGAATGTAAAAAAAGAAAAAAGAAGAAATAGCAGCTTTGTACATTCCTTAGGATTTTTTTGAAATGCTATCAAGTTTGAAAAATACTTGTCCTCGATCAAAACCGAAAAATTTAAAAAGGTGAAAAAAATAGGTGTTTCTAAATTTTTTCGCAAAATAAGTCTAGCCCGTTTTCTTGGTGAAAAAAAAATACTAACCGTTCACCAGGGTAGTTTTCAAACATTATTTGCGAAGCAAAAAAAAAAATTTAACGCTTAATTAGGGCGAAGAAAAAATCTGAAAAAGAATTATTCCAGGGGCGAAATAAAAAAAAGAAATTAGATTTTGCATTCCACCGTAACCAGACTCTTTGGTTTTCTTTTCGTTTTAAAGTGACGCGTTCAGTGGAATCTCGTTAAACATTATTCTTTCTCAAAATATGATTTTATTACATGTTTTTTTATTTATGTAGTGTTCGGTATATTTTTTAGCATCTTTTTTTTGTCTCTCTATTCAGTTTTATGGTCTCCGTAATATGTTCTTTGCCTCTTAAAAGTGGCTTCTGCGAATTTAGAGGAGAGCCTAATATAAGAAGCCTTTAAATAAATTGCTTCTATCATTTTTTTTTTCTTCGAACCTGAGATATTGCGAAGCATTTTTTCAGACGTTATTTCCAGAAGAAAATAACTCCTTTATTATTAATTTTTTTTGATAATGCCGAAAAAGGGGGTCCTTCGATTACGGGGGCTCTTTAGATCATGTTTTGGAATGTTCTTGAATGAAAAGTATTATTTTGTCGCAAAATAGCATTTTCTTATTGAAGAGCTCTCAAAATTGTTGCACTTAGAAAAACGAACGGCTATTTTGCCTTCGGGCGATAACCGAATTCGGGGGTGGCGGAAGTTGGCGGATGGACCGGCTGGTATCGCGAGTTCGGCGACTCTCGCCCCTGCGAACTATTTCTGACGCGCTGCTCCTTTCGCTGCTCTCGCAGTCGGAATCCCAGCCAGACAACTTGCAACAAGGCGTCGTCCGTACGTTGATTTGATTTTGGGTCGGCGTCGAAAAAGAAAACACTCTTTTTTTTTGGGTATCAAGCTTTAGCCTTCAGCTATTTTTCTGTAGATTGACTTCCGCCTAATAAAATGAAATGAGCAATAAAGAGGACAGCCTCTGAAATTTGATATTTTTTCCTTGAAGAGGGTGTCGGAAGTCCAAAGTTATCATTAGCTTGAACTTTCGAACTTCAAAGCTGTATTTTGTGCTCTGAGCTTTCTCAGATCAGTTTTCAGTGTTCGAGAAAGGCGAGTCGACGTGCTATTGGTATCTGCTCGTCAGCGGCGAAGTGCAACTCTATCGCCCTTCCAATGTTTGCCAAACTTCTTTTCGGCTTGTTAATTAGTGGGCGTGTTGCGTTGTTTGGGCATTTCCAGCATCGGAAACAAAAAAAAACGTGAAAAATTGGGAAAAGCCACAAGAAAAAGCTATGATGGGAGAAAAATGATTTTCAGCATAGCTATTATAATTTTTTTCTTCGTCTACAAATATTCAAAATAATTTTATTCCGGCGAGTAGGTTTTAGTTGTTTTGATTTTTTTGAAAGCTTTTTCAAGTCAGTTTGAAATAGTTCGCGGTGCAGTTCAAATGCATATAAATTAGACTTTAATCAAATTCACACCGAAAAAAGTTCTTGTTGACTACTTTTTAAAAATATTCGCAATTGTTTTTTTTTTCAAAGAGCAAAGCATGATTTCCAAATTAAAGGTTCAGTTTCTAAAGCTTTCTCATTTTTTCAAGTAAAATAAGTTGAATAGTAGGATTTCAGTCAAGCTCAATCTTCCTGATTATTTCCAGAACTTTTAGAAAAGAGTTTTTCTTGCTTGTGTTCAAACTGATAGGGGCTATCTACAGTTTTCAAGTTGAGATCTCATAAACTATATAAAAACTTGATTGTTTCCGATCAGCTCAAAGTTTCAGAGCCACGGCAGCACTCACATCCGAACTCTCCTGTCGGGAGCCATCTTCGGAGAACTGGGAACGACGTTCCATACGTGCTCGGCCCTCGTCTCGCGGCCTTCGCAGCTCGTCAGAATCTCTCAGACTCACTTTCTCTCCATTTACAACGTTTGTGAAAGCTCCGGACGTCGGGAAAGGGAGGATGATTGATGTTCAGAAGCACGGCGACCACTTACAGCCTTTCATCGTCGTCGTGCACGATCTCACCGACGACATCGGTGAGAAGATGTCGATAATTTCCGGGGAAGATGCTCTCAGGGCCAATACATTTTTTCTTTGGGCCACTATCTCGGATATTTGAAAACTTTTTTGGAAAAACTGATTTTTTACAAAAAAAAGTCTTTAAAATCAAATAAAAAGTGTGCAGGGGGCCTTTTTTTAAACTTTTTTATGTCCGAATCACGATTAGCTTGGGATGGAAAGGGGCGTGGCCTGTCTGTTCTCTTCACAAACCACGCAATATCTTAGTTTTTTTAAAAAAATCGTGTCAGGACCCTATTTTCGATGGCTCAAGCCAACTATGACTCAGCCATACTTGTATATAATTTTTTTCTAAGTAATCAGCTAAATAATATAGTGGAACGAAACATTCTATTGTAAATTATTTTTTTTAAAGGTTTTCCCCACAATTTTCAATGGAGGTATAATAGTTTTTAAAAAGACATTAGCTTTTTGCTCTGGAAAAGAAAAATTAGTTCTCAAGAGGATGATCGGCGAAAGTCATGAATAATTTAGACGAGGCATTTTAGCCGTTTTTCGAGTCACGCACACATCCTGTTATTTCAGTTGATTTCTAAAGAATTTACATGACATTTTGACTTGAATTATACATCACACTCGAACGAGAAAAAACTTTTTTGCAGAGAATTTGAGAAAAAAAAAGTTTCTTTTGATGATTTGAAAAAAATAGTTTGAGTTTTTCAACAGAAAAAAATTTAAAATCGAAAATATTGGGAATTCAGATGCCACCCCCGACTATCCAATCGTTTACGTACCCCCTGTCGACTACAACAATGTTCTCTACAAGAGTAAAACCCTTATTTTTTCAAACCTTAAGGTTTACGTTCAGAAGACCCCACAACCAGCAACGGCGATGCGAACGAGAAGAACTTTATTGAGATCAGTAATAAAATGGTCAAGGCTTCATAGTTTAATCAATCTAATTTAACATTTTTCAGAGCCCTGAGAAACAGATTGTCGAAGCTGGAGAAGTAGTTCAACGGGCGATGCGACATTCGGCGTCTCATCTTATTCGCGACGTTGTTTTGCATAATGAGGTAGAGCTTTAGTTTTTCCAAGCTTTCAGATGAAATTAATCAAAGGACGGTAATAAAATGAAGAAAGTTTTTTTGAGACATTATTTTTTTAAATATTGTAAACTCCTGTGTCAACTCAAATTATATTGACGTTTTTGAAAAAAATTTAGTTGATCCAGAAATTTTTTTCTTAATTTTACGAATATAATGGAAAAATTTTTTTATTTTTTTGATCGAAAAAAAGCCTTTTTAAAAAAACGAAGTTAAAATTTTTTTAAAGTCAGTCTTCAGCGGCGACTCACATTCTATCAAAAAAATTTTTCAGAAACTAGCGGAACTCAGAGAACTTATTACCTGTTTTTGACTGAAATTACCTTATTTTTGAGAAATAGAAACACAAATTTCAGTCATACCGAGGATGCATGGCGGGCAACGAAATGGTCGATTGGCTACTCGAAACATTCATCAGCCATTCAGTTCCCACAATGTCTCGATTTCAGGTTCTTCCAATTTTCATGATTGATTGGACTTCAACGTTTCTCTTCAGATGACAGCAATCTGGCAGATCCTCCTCGAACAAAACGTGTTGACCCACGTCGCCGGCGAGCAGAAGTTCGTCGACAAGCACGTCTTCTACCGATGGACGAGCAAAGTTCCACAAAGGGGACCTCCGACTTCAGAAGACGTCGCCCACGCCATCTCCTTCCTTGGCATCGTCGCTCCAGAAACTCTCTTCCGAATCATTCTTTCCAAACCGTCAGTTTGAACTTTATTTTTGATCTTTCTTATTTTTGATCTGCAACATTTCATACAGCTGTGAAGTGGTTTTGCATTTCAAAAGAACTTAAATCTATTTAGATGTTTTTCTTCATCAGTTGATTTTGATATCAAATCTCCAATTTTTATTCATTCCTTGAACTACTCAAACTCTATTAGGTTGATCGTTCCGAAATATTGTCGCTTTTTTCGTTTCTAACGCAAATATCGCTTTCATGCGTTCGAAACGCCTGATTTATTATATATTAATTCTCCAACTTAATTTTCGTTTGAATTTTCTTTGTGTTCTTAATCCACCCAAAATCACCATGAATAAGAAAAATTTGACTACTAAATTGAAACATTTTTTCTAGTGGTTTCGAGAGGAATCCCGAGGAGTTGGAGCTGGTCTACGAGGAGCTGATGCACATCAAGGCTTTCTCGCACCTGAGCACGATGGTCAAACGACAGCTGTCTTATGTTGTGGAGCTGCAGCAGTTCGCCCATGCCGGTGAGCAATAAATGTATTCCAAAAAAATAAATAAAAACTACTTTGAAACCACATAATTATTGAATTTAAGTCTATTCATAGATGAAGCGCCTATTTAATAATAATAAGTTTATTCACTAGATAATGTTAAAAAAATAAGAATTGAAATAGTTCAAAATAAGAGAGCAGTAGAATAACCAGTAACGGGAATTATTCCAACCTAACGAGTAGACTGTGACCCGGAAGATACTTCAAACCTCTTTTTATTACTAGTTGACAATTTTTTTCTTTGAAAAAAACCTTTAAAAAAAGAAAATTTTTTTACTTTTACATTAGATAACTCTTTAGTTTTTCAAAACATTTTTTTCAGGCTATTTTTTTAAATAAAATTAACGCGGCAGATTTGTTTGAAAACAATTGATCAACAAAAATAAACTCATGACGTAAACAACGCACGTCATTCGTCCGAATAACATTGTCCCTTTCACCGATTTTCCCTGAAACTTTGAAATTTCCCAGTTCTGTTTATGCAAATCCTTGAAGGAAGCATCGTTTTTCGACAAGGCGACCGCGGTAATCACTGGTATATCGTGCTGAAAGGCGGCGTCGAAGTCAGCATTCATGGAAAAGTTCGTTGGATTAGATTTCCATGCTTTGAAAGGCCTTTTTAGGGTCCTGTTTGTGCTCTACGGGAAGGCGACGACTTTGGCAAGTTGGCATTGGTTAACGACCTTCCGAGGGCCGCCACAATCACGACACTTGAAGACGATTCTCAGTTCTTGGTTGTTGACAAACATCATTTCAATCAGTTTAGAAAGCTTCTGAAGGCTTTTCTCAAGCTCGAAATTTTCAGAATACTTCGTGAAGTCGAGGCCAACACTGTGCGGTTGCGGGAGTTTGGAGAAGACGTCCTGGTCCTGGAAAAAATCGACATCCCTAGAGGGGCCGCTGTGGACAACACTCACTCTTTTTCGCACTGCGGGTTGGTTCATTAAAGTAGAAAACCAAGTGGTCACTAGAGAGATTAGTTTAAGTCTAAGTGGCTACTTATATGGTCGCAACTCAATTACTTTCTTTCCTGATTTTTTTAAAAATCTACATTTAGCGTATCTTCTTTTGAGAAGATACTTAAAAGTGATATTTTGAATTTTTGACAGTTTTGCATGGTAGTTTATAATGAGTTTTAGATATTCCGTGATGGCTGGCCGAGCTGAGAAGATCCTTGAATATGTTCTGGAAACTCGAATCGACGCTCATTCAGATGATTTGACAGGTTTGAGAATCTCGAAAAAATCTTCAGAACTCAATTTGGATTATCAAGAAATTGACGTCTTCCTGGAAGATTTCATACTGACGCACGAGGCGTTCATGTCAACCAATGCGGTGTGCAATTTCTTGAAGTCTTACTATTTCAGACCAGCTTATGTGAGCTCCAGATTTCAAAGTCATTACTTTTCATTTTTGATGCAGAAAGCTGGAGAAGTGCCGTCGATGGACGAAATGGAGGAGGTCTGCTCGAAAAGGAGAGTCGTCAAGTTTGTGACAATCTGGAGCTCCCTACTCCGACTCAACTTCTTCCTTCACCCAGCTGCCAACTCCTTCATCGAGGAGCTGTACTGTCACGTGATAGACGACCAGAAGCGGATCGAAGGGATGCGCGATATCGTCGTGACGATGACGGCTCTGAGGTCGACCAGGGAGTCTGTCCAACGGATCTTGGCACGACATCCAGCTACCGTACTCGATTGCGGCGTCTTGTCGGCTCACATGCCGACGCCAATCTTGCCTACTGATATCTGTAACCTTTCTAAAATCGAGTTTTTCCAATTGTCACACTTAGGTAACCAAATAATCCACCTGTCCGATACCACCTGCTTCGTGCTTTCGATTCGGTTAGACAAGACTGCCGGGGAAATCTGTGAATTGTCAAGAAGAAGGCTTCGGAATCACTCATTAGAGCCGTTGTTATTAGTTGAAGTTAAGAGTAACGGAGGTAAAGAGAAGGTAAAAATAAAGAGTTTCTTTTTTTTTCCTTTAGAGAAAATCATCTTCGCTCCAACGGATAGAGCGATTCCGACAATGTTGTCACTCAATAGCAAACTCTACGTTGTGTTTGAAGACGAGGTCAACTGTTTGGTAAGTCAAAACACGAAAGTATTTTCGAATAAAATCACAAATGGGAAAGTAAAGAAACTCAATCAGACCGGGAAGAGTGGGTTAGCTTACAAAAATTTATCAAAACGGCGAGTAAGAGATTTCTAAGCTGAAGAAGTAATTTGGCATCAAAAATGGCCTAATCTTAGGGGTCCTTGAAAGATCCCCTCTAGAGACCACTTTATCTACCGCTTTAGGGGCCACTGAAGCTTGCAAAAGTGGCCCCCACAGTGTATGAATATAATTAGTGAAGTAAATTTTCAGGACGCGTTATTCGACCAGAATGGCCCCACTGAGTCGGTTCACTCGAGTATCCTGCAACTGATTGACGCCCACGAACTGGCCCATCAGCTTTTCTGCTTTCATATCCAATTGGTGCAGTCGACTCACACCTGCGAGTTGATCTCCCAAGTCATCGGACGGGAATCTTTTCCAGCTCATACTCCTTTCAATCTTGACCTCCTCGTTCGGAGGTCAGAACTTCGGAAAACATTAAGCTCTTATTTTTCTCTCCTTCTGAAAATCATCCGAAGAGTTGAGAATCGATTGATTTAAGGGGTTTCAACGTATAAGTGAGAAAACTGTGAAATTTGTGAAAAAACTTGAAAAAAAAAAACAGTTCGAGTTTCAATTTCTTGCCGCAACTTCAAATTTTTAGATTCAATGAGGTGCAGTATTGGGCGACAAGTGAAGTTCTTCTCGCCACTGACGCCACGAGAGTTGAAATCCTGAAAAAGTTCATCAAAATCGCAGCTTTGTGAGTTTTCGGCAGAATAATTTCTTCACAACTCCATTTTTTATAGTGCAAAACAGAACCAAGATCTCTTGACGACTTTTGCGATAATCCTCGGATTGAGCCACATTTCCGTCAGCCGACTGAGTCATACTTGGAACGTAGGTCTTTCGCTTATTATTGAAGTTAATATGACTAATTTAGCGGCTGTCATCGAAAGTGAAGAAGCAGTTCGCCGAGTTCGAAGCACTTTTGGATCCTTCGAGGAATCACCGAGCTTATAGGATGTTGATTCATAAGGTTTCAAAGTTTTAGTTTTGAAATTCGTTATTTTTCTAGAGAAAATCTTCAAAAATTTTCACAAGGGTTTTTCGAAAGCAGGGAAGTATAGTCTGCTTTGTCAAGTAAGCAGACTATACTTCCCTGCTTTCGAAAAAAGAAATGTCAAGTAAACAGACGTCATTCAAAAACGCTCTGAGGATGGATCGCTCTCTGATTGGTTTATCACGCCATTTGGGGCGGAGCTTGAGCTAGGCTTTGACATTCAAATATTGAAAAGACCATATTCTATAACCTAAAATAAATCTGGGAAAAGCTTCTAAAGTCTTTTTTTAAGACATTCCTTATTGCATAAATTTTTATGATTTCATTCATCTGACAAAAAATCAGAGATATATTTTTCACTTTGAACCCTTCTGAAAAATGTTTCTTTGGGGCGAAAATCCTTGATGCCGTGTTCAATTTGATTCCGCGAAATACAAAATGATCTCTGACTCTCCAAAATCTAGTGATCTTTTCCTTTCTCTAACGGGTATTTTGCATTTCGCGGAATCAAATTGAACACGGCATGAAAATTAGAGGCTGTTTTTTCCACATCCATGAAATATGTGTCTTTTGAGAAGACTTATTTTTTTGCTCGATTTTAGATGGCGGCTCCGTACACACCTTTCGTCCCGATTTTACTGAAAGATCTCGCTTTTCTACACCAGGGCAACAAGTCCTTCTATAACGGACTCGTCAACTTTGAGAAAATGGTAATTATTTTAAGCTTGGAGTTCCATTATTCCATTTTTCAGCATATGCTGGCGAATGTTCTGCGCACTTATCGGCAATGTAAATCGTCATTTAATGGTCAAAATATTCAAGTTTCCCTCAAATTTATCGATTTTCAGGAGAAGATACCCATAGGACATTTGCCGACTCACAAAGTCTAATCAGAAATCTACGAGTGAGTGATTTTCAACCAAAAAAAGATAAAGTCAACATTTTCCAGGTAATCGATAATCAACGACGTCTCATGCAACTTTCATACAAAATTGAACCTCGGGCCGGTAGAAAAACTGACTATTAATCTTTCTTAAAATGTTAATGATTTATTCAGAGTGATTTTTTATTGCACCCTGCGCTTTCTTGGATTCTTTTATAGCTGTTATCAGTCTCGCTAGGCTTCATGTATCGCTTTCTTATTTTGTGCAACCTGTACTTGTGTATTTGAACGGCGTAAAAACGGGAAATGAATCATATTTATGCTTATACGTGAAAGTCCAGCAAATTTTCAAATTTTTTCTAGAGCTCAACTTTTTCATTATTATTTTTTTTTTTGAGCCTTTTAGTTTAAATCGCAAAATTATATGTCACAGGCGAATCGGGCCCTCAAAGATACCTTTCAAAATGGATCGTGAAGACCCCATAATGTGTCCATCGTGAGACCTCCGGCATACCTTATATATCCGAGCCATCTCGGAGGTACTAGAGTCTCTCTCAAGCCCTTCTCATTTTGCTCAAAATCCGCAGAGGTATACTCGAGGTACCATTGTGAGACTCCAGAGCCTGCGATATACCTCAGAGGGTCACGCGATACCCTTTCTCGATTCGCATATGTGAAAATTCAAGCTGGATCTTGAGATTGAATCGGAAGAAAAAAGTCACTAAAACTGTCAAAGAACTAACAAGGATGTTCCAATTCTACGCAGATCTTTTTGTGATGTTTAAGATAAAAGTATCCGATGGACTTTTAGACGATGAAATCTTCTGCACATGCGAAAAGCCTATTTTTGATTAATCCTTGAATCTCAACATAAATTTGAAAAAAAATTATAGAGATTCGAAACCCCATCTCGTGAAACCAGTGTTTTGAAATCGCCAGAGAAACCTCTGTTCAAAGACCTATTTGCAATGATGCCAACCGGACAGTCACGGTGGCCAGAGAAGATGAAACGGAAAAGTACACTTGGCGAGAAAAAAGCGAATTTTCGGCTGGGGATTTGCCGCGTTGCCATGCGTAATCTCCAATTTTGCGCAGACTGGAGGCCTTTTCGGTTTGGCCGTTGGCAGTGACGACGGCGTCGGATTCGCCACGATACGAGCACATCATCGTCGTCGGCGACATGGACGAGAAGCCGCCGCGGATTCCGAATCCGCTCACAGACATCGAGCATTCGTCCTGGATTCGCATCTTCCGAGCTGTTCGGACTCCGACTTCGGATTAGTGATGGAATCCTTCTTTCAGTTTGACACAGACCACGATGGCCTTATTGAGGTCGAACAAATGCAGAAGACGATCAGAGAGGCGACCTTTTCCTTCGGCTTCGACCATTATGAAGTTTCCTTTTTATCATTCCAGATCCCGACAGGAAGATTCTTGAAATTCGCGTCAAGTTCAATATGATTAATATCGATTTCTGACTCTGTCTATAAGTTCCATTCATTTGTTTCATTGTGCTTTCATTTCTGAAAAATCGTTCTAGGACCTTGATAACGCGAACCGGACATGGCGGGACATTCTAGTGACTACTTCAGTAGCTTCAGCGCTCTTAAGTGATCCCTAGGATTGCTCGGAAAGAGCGCGTCCGGTTTTCGATATTGAGGTCCGAATCGCCGGTACCTAACTAATAGTGAGAGAATGTAAACGATCCAAAAAGAGGCATTTTTTCTCTTTTGAAAAGCTTCTTGGCTTCCATGACAACTTTCAGCTCCAAAACATGTCCCTTTTCCTGGAAATGCGACAAGGAGCGCCCATCAATTTCCAAGACTTCTGTTATATGGTTCAGAATACATGATCCATGTAGGGAAAAATGAAATATTTGAGATGAGCAAATGCAAGGGCTATCACATGAGGTACTTCATGTTCATGGCAGCTCAGTTTGTCGTTCCCAAAAATCGGAGAATCTCAGTCTTCGATCGACTTCAAAGGTATTCTTTTTCAATTTCCTAGAAGTCGGAAGACTGAATTTTATAATTTTATTATCAATTATATTTGATAAGACGTTTGGAGCTATCTATAATTTTAAACTGTACGAAGTATTAAAAATAAAATGTTTAAAGCTTTGCAAAATTCAAGAATAATGTGCCAAAGAAAGGCTATGAAGCTCCTTTTTGAAAGAGTTTCCTTTTTATAGACCTTTTCTCAAAAACTGAAGAGTTATAAGACTTGAGACTTCAAAATTCTTCATTTTGTTTGATTCGATCGATTTCCTAACCATGAAGACGTAAGCAAACTTAATTTCATAAAAGTCGACGTTTTTATGGAGAATTTAGATTCAAATGCACACCGCCACCAGTCTTTCTAGCGTTCAACGTTATTATTCAAGTAAGAAATTCAAGCCTTGAGCTTCAAATAACATCAGAAATTGATAGATAGCCTTATACATCTTCTACGTTCTGGATTCTGGCGAAGGGATCTGGACCGGCGGACCGATTCCCACCAGATCTCCTCTAATCTTTTCTCATTTTCACTATCACCAAGTATGGCGCTTCTTCACCTATTCACTGCTTCAAATTGGGTGAGTCTTTGTATCTTTTCTTTTTCAAAAAGTCATGGTTTTGTGGGATCCTTCACATGCTGATAAATCTGGCGGCTCAAGTTTTCATCGGGATTCCTTTGGAGCTCGTGTACAGCGGAAAGGCCATTCTACTTTATTGCGGTGGTGTTGTTTCAGGTCTCAAACTAATCAACTTTATGTGAAATAATTTTTTTCCGAAATTTAGGAGCACTTCTCTCGGCTGCCCTCGACGGGGAAGTGTTCTTGGCCGGCGCGGCTGGCGGCGTTTTTGCCATTGTGATTTCCCATCTTTTAACTCTGATAGTTTTCTATGATCAGGTGAGAAAAAGTTCTTAAAGCGAAAACTTGGTAAGTTCCAGATGGAGTTTGTGATCCCACGAGTTGTTTTTGTTTCGGCTTTCGCGGCGGCCGACTTTGTCGTGGCGGTCTTCCAACGACATTACACCAACAGAATTGACCGAGTCAGATTTTTTTCATCTTTTGGTGATTAATAGCTCAATCACCGCCGGCTAGAGAAAATATTCGAAAGAAGGTTTTTACACTAGAAGTGTGAAATAGTGTATGCGAAGAAGAGGTTTAGACGTCTCTTTAGTACTTTTCCTGCCGAGCTTACTGCGAATGAAGTATGGTCCTAGCTGAATAGAAATTCAAACCATTCGAATGAGATTTTTAGCAAGAAGATTCTAAAAATATCACAAACCTTTGTTACAGACTAGAACTTCGGTAAAAAGGAAAAAGTTTCGAAAAAAAAATTTTTTTGAAACTTTCAAAATAGTTTTAGAAATCACACGCGCCAATTGTCACGTAGAAAACGGCTGAAGTACAAACTTTTGATAACTTATAAAAAAAAAACCAACTTTAAGGTATCGTTCATGGGTCACATTGGCGGAATGGTTGCAGGAATTCTGCTGACCTTTGTCCTTTTGAGTGGGCAAAGAAAACGCCGATGGCAAATATTCAGTTTCTGGGCTTCTATAGTCGCCTACGCCTTTTTTGTTATCATTTGTTTCATCCTCGCATTTTATCCTGAAGCTTTTTGATATGGAAACAATTTTTCAGAAATTTTCCCCATTACTGTATTTTTTGTAACCTCGTACCATCTTTTATCGAAAATAAACTTCGTACATTTTTTTTTTACAAGCGTGTTTTTTTTTTGCACACTGAAAACTTTGGACAACACAAAACTGAAATTTTTTTTTCGAACCTTCTAAAAGTGCATCGAAAATAGTAGAAATTTTTATTTTAATGAAAAATCTTTCAAAAAGGCCATCACGCACACGCAAACACAATAGAAACGCGAGACTTTGGGCTCCAAAAATGGCTCTCCTAGCATGTCCCTGAGCGAGCGAAATGCGAAGATTTCCATAAATTATAAAAATATTAAATTCCAACGATCAGGCATCGACCGTACCGAAAAATAGTAAAAGAAGCAACACAGGGGCGAAGAAGAAGAGAGAAAAAAAAAGAAACAAAACTATTCGTCACCTAAAAACTTGAATGGCTTCGAGAATTTACAAATACGTGTACGATACGTCGCACCACCGAATTTTGTACAAAGTTTGATTGGTTGATCGTTTTAAACGGGTTTTGTGTGGGAAACATTGGCTCCTAGAAAATTTGCAAAAAGAAAATCAGGAAAGACATGATTTTGGAAAAAAAAAAGCAACAACAATTGCAATAAAACAAATATAAATATACAGTAAAAAAGGTGCAAAAATGATGAGAACTTTCTGAATATTCTTGAAAATTTTGAAAAAAAGTCTTCCGCAATCACCAAGACGGTACGAGCGCATGAGCGAATTACAGTACTACATTTCATTTTTTCATGGATATTTTTAGTTCTCATAATCTTTTAACCAGTACTGTAAGTCAATGGCAACGAGCTGTAGACGGGGTTATTATTTGAAGTTGAAAGAACGAATCGGGAATTGCAGTTGGAGACGGGAACATTGCATTTTCGAGGGATCAGAGGTAAAAGCCGACGATCAGTTGCATGAAAGACATTCGTTTGTTAATATAATATACTGTTTCAACTACGAAAGGGTACGCGCAAGAACAATGAACACTGTATAAATAATGAAGAAAAGGCTTTATAATCCGCCTCAAATTGACACGATTAAACATTTTGAGCAATCAAAACTGCTCGGCGAGCTGGGCGAGGTGCTCGATCTCCGGGATTTCGTAGTCTGGCGCGAGGCTGTGGACGAATTCCTAGAAAATGCCGTTATTAGGAATGATTTCGTATTTGAGGTCTTACTCGGAAGTTGTCGTTGGACACGAGTTCCTCACTGTCGGCCCAAAGACGCGCAAGAGCCTTGTCGCGTTCGCTCTTGCGGTCTTCGGAGGCGTCGGAAGGTGCCGAGCAGGTCGACTTGGATTCTGATGAGAGAATCGAGCCGTTGAGGTCAACGATCGTCGTCTGCTGCGGAGGTGGCGCCAGACCCATGCTCGTCGCCATGAACCGCTCGGCGGCGCGGCGCATCTCTTCGAACGTCGTCTGCAGAGGGTTGATGACGTTGTTGGATTCAGATGAGGCGCGTACGGGTAAGACTGGAGCTTCCTCTTTGACAATGGGCTTGACGTCGCGGATTTCGCCTTCGACGCTGCCGGCGGGCGGCACCAGACCGACCAAGGCGGCGAGCTTGTCCGACATCGACATTCCACTGAAGACGTCTTCATCCGAGCTAAAGAAAGAGATTGAGCTCCTGATTGTTTGAAATACGGGGATGGATAGAGACTGGATTTTTGTTTGTCGGCGTTGCAAAAAAAAGTTCAGGTGAAATGAGTTCTAGATTCTTACAGCTTTTCCTTTCCCAAAAGTTACCTTTTTTTGCGGAAAAAATGCATTAAATGAGAAAAATCAGTAGAAAACACGCACACCGCTTTATTCACTCCTTCGAAAACCCACCATTCTTTCTTGGCGAGTCCTGGCTGTACTCGAGCTCCCATCGTCTGACTGATGATCTGCTGGACCAGAGGAGACGCCTTCGGAGTAGTTGGACCTCCAGTCGGCGTTGAGGGAGTGCTGGCGTTGCCGCCGTGTCGGATGAAGTCGATGAGTTCGGACTTGATCTTGTTGGCCGGACCCAGACAGCCCTCCTCTATCCTCATCTCTTCTTCCAATTGAAGAACCTGAAGATGAGCTTGAAGAAGGGGATTTCAGTTGAAGTGTTACTCTTTCGTAGTCCTCCTTGTGGTGAGCCTTCAGATGCATCTTGAGATTGGTCGAGAAGGCGGATCCAGTGCGGAACTCGCAGTTGATGCAGCCAACCATCTGCAGGAAAATCGATATTGATAATATTTTTGGGGATTCAGTTACTCGATCTTCGAGGTCTCGGAAGAACATCCAAACTGGATGGCGCCTTAACCGCCGTCGCTTCGGCTGCGGAACTCCGTTGGCGTCTGTGCCGTGGGGCGCACTCATCACATCGACCGGCTTGTTGAGATTTTGGAAGTTGAGATGGTTCATCAGCTGCTCTGGACTGATCGCTGAAAAAAGAAGGTTATGAAAGGCTTTCGACTTTCCATTTGAAAGTAAATTGTTTACTTCGAGTTTTCACAAGAAACAGGACTTGTTTGGTGTTGATATTCGTTTACTTTATCTAAGCCTATAATGAGAAAGTAAATGAGAAACTGACGATGTTGTTGGTTGGCGATGTGATTCCGCGCGAGCTGATTCAGAGCCGCCAAGTTGGCAGCGTTCAGAGCGAACTGCGGCATTTGCTTCTGCTGCACCTGCTGCGCTTGATGCTGCTGCTGTTGTTGCTGCTGTTGCTGCTGAGCTTGGAGCTGGGACTGAACTTGTTGGAAGTGTTGCTGGAGGCCGGTCGCCGCCAAAGTCTGTCGCAAAACGTTGTTCAGCGGGTTCTCTTCGCCGTTCTGCTGCTGATTGGCCACTGAAATCGTTTCTTCCGATAAGTTGTAAACTTGGAAACTCACGTTTGTTGATGGTCATGAGGATGCTGCTGGTCATCGGCGGCATTCTTTTCCGATTTGAGTCGGGGTTCAGGAGTTTGCTCGTGTTTCCACTGAGCAGCAAGGCGTTCAGGTTGAGCGCGTCTTCTGCTTGGATTACCTGAATAGTTTTTGGCGTCAGTTTTTCATCTTATGAGTATCATTAAAACAAAATTTGAACTCAAACAAAAAAAACTTTTTTTGTAATACGAAAATGTATTCAAATGCAAGTGAAATGCAAGATCAATGAGAACTTTTTCCACCAAATGAAGTTGGACAACAGACCTTCTCGTAGTCGGCTCGATGATGTGACCGAAGATGGACCTTCAAATTGGTACTGAACACGCTTTTCGTGCTGTACAGGCACTGTTTACACCGGGCCGTTCCATCGATTACGTCAAAATATGGCCAAACCGGATTTCTAGAATTTGAAGCATAAACCTTGAAAACTGCAGTTGGAAGAATTTCGGCTTTAAAAGTCGCAACTCGGAAAGTTTTGAAGCTTTTTTTTTACAGAAATAGTCTTACAAGTGTGGACATTGTATCGTGAAGCTAGGAACTTTCTTCCAAATTTGCTCAAATAATCTTTGAAGGTATAAAAAATAAACTATATAGGCTCTACCTGCACAAACTTCAAAACTTCAAAATTTCAAGATATGAATTTTAAAAATTCAATTTTAATACATAATTAGACCTAAAATTACCATTTCGCAGCTCAAAAACGAAATTTTTACGCAGCTGGCCGCTATACACCTTCATAGAGTATTTGGTGAGATTTAGAGAAAATTAAAAATTCTACAAAAAAAAAATGACCTCTTGGGTTGAGCAAATTAAAACGCGAAAAGAAAAAGTTTTCAAATAATCTATGACTTTTTTTTGACAAAATTGCCAAGAATTTTACCTTCTTTGCCTTTTCCGCTTTGGAGGCGTGGCCTCTGCGACTGGAGTTGGACAGGGACTAGAATTCATTGGAATACCCGCATTCAGATTAACAGGCACCTGAATCTCTCGTTATATTTCTTTTTATCAAACTTTTTTACCTTTGGCATAGAGGCCAAGGTGTTGGATAACAAGGTTTGGTTCAGAGCGTTCATAATATTAACGTTTCGCGTCTTCTCAGCCAAAGAGACTCTTTGAAGTCTTGTTGTAGCCTCAGGATCTCTGAAGCAGCACGATTAGAGGCTTTTTCGATTTGAGTTCCAACGTCTTTGAAGTTCTTCATCTGAAGGCAGGACCATCGATTTGGCGTCGATCAGAGAGTCGTGAATGGCTGTTGAAGACGTCGACATGTTGTCCGGCGACTCGTCGCGCTCGCTTCCCCCAAAGCCTGAATTTTATGATTTTACTATTTTTGCATCTCATCGACTATATCGTCAAGTGATAAATTTGAAAGTTTTCGATTTCTACTGGTAGCCATTTTTGTTGCCATGACATATAAACGGGCTTAAAAAGAAGTTTTACCCAAAAAAGACTTGTTATATCATTTTTATAAGCCCGACAACACTTCAAGAAGAACCAATTAGGAAATATGTGTAAAAATTCGATAAAATTCCGTTTACAAAATTTTCATAAGCTGTAAATATGTTTTGTGCGAACAAGTTCCGATGTTTGGAACGTTTTGAAGAATCATTTCTGGATTACAGCCGAAAAAAATTCTATGCACATATCCGATCAATCAATGAATATTGAATCCATTTCCAAACTGTACATCCAAGACCCGAACACTACTGACTCGTCTCAACATTGTCGGGGGAGTAGGAGTTGTTGGCGGAGTAGTGCTGGTCGGAGGTCGGCGTCTCCGTCCGGAGGTCCGTCGGGGAGTGGTGGTCCGAGCTGTAGGGCGGACTCGACTCGGACGTCGTCGTGAAGGAGGAGAGGGCGTCGACCGTGTCCGAGGCTCCGGAAGGGTACTCGGCCGAGGGCAGGAGCGAGGCTAGCGTCGACTCGCAGTCCGTCATCGCATAATCTATCCGACGACTGATTACCGGAGGAGGAGAAGTTCTGCAACGACTTTAATTAATCAATGTTCTTGAGAAGAAATTGATGAAAAGGTTCAATCGAAAATCAGAGTAACTTGGAAAGAATATTTTGTTTGAAGAACTGAAACTCAAAGTTTAAAAATCTGGAAAAAACGAAAAAAGCGTTGAATGATATTATGAAAAATTAGAAAAAAAAATTCGAAATTTTCGCCCTGTTGAGTTGGTTGAAAATTGATGGAATCATGATGATAAAGAAAAATTTATCGTAATGGAAAATGAAGAGAGAAAGGCAAAATTTCGAAGTTAATGAAAAAACGGAAAAACGGAAAAATTGCAGTTGATTTTCTCAAATCAGTTCTTCGAATTCAACATATTTGATAGTTCATTAAAGCTAGAATCCCTAGTCTAGGAGCAAATAATGTGAAAAATGGACATGATTTTGGTAGATTGAGAAAAAAGGAAAAAAGGGAAAAAGAATCAAGCTGATGGGAAAACTTCAAAACGGTAGATTTCGACACGCCAAAAAATGATCTCGGTGAAATTTTCAAGAAGATAAACGAAACAAAATAAATTTATTCTTCTACCAGAAATTAGAAGACATCACTTACAAGCCACTCTCCGACCAATTTCGAAAAATTCAGAGTCGGAAAAAAATCCAGTAATCATGGGAAAAGTACTCGGACAGTTCGAAACCATGTGATAGGGCACGAATTAGGAGAAAAGCGACAAGTGGCCGCAGAGTGGGAGCTGAGTGACCATACAAACACAGACTCTCATACAAAGGGAGGTTGAAGCTGACAGCTCAGTTCGTTTCGGGAGAGACACCCCCTCGAGCGATCGAGCTGTCATCGACAGTATACTGTCCAGTGGTGCGGTCCTCTGTCTGTGTGCCTTCAATACTTTCTTGGGGGCTCCGAAGAACTCTCTCTCTGCCGCGAGCACAGTCCCTGCGGCCGCCGACTCGCGCCAAGTCAACAAAATGACAAACACAAACACATAATCGTACTAATCGCAAGCGAGTGGTGCTGGTGGACAGTAAGAAGCTTCGATGGAATGGATGGACTGGCCTGCCCCGTACTGAAACGCCGAGACGGTTCGCATGGCCGAGTGGTTTTGATTCGATCTATTGATCAAGAGGCCAGAGGTTCTAGTCCTTCTGAAGGGTAATCAGAAAGTCTGCTCGGTCAGTACCGTATTGAAACGACAAGACGGTTCGAACGGCTCAGTAGTTTTGATTCGATCTATTGATCAAAAAAGCAGAGGTTCTAGTCCTTCTGGAGAGTCGTTCTAGGCAGTTCTTGAGAGTGAAACTAAATTTTTAATCTATCAGTAGACTATAAAAAGCTTCAATGACTACGATTTAAAGAGAAAAACTTTCAGAAAAGATTCCAGTTTTAAGGAGTAAAAAGATCTACATGACGCCCCAAAAACTCATCAAAACCACATTCAGCAAAAAATTCTCTTGATGATCAAGAATTTTTTTCTTTAATCAAATTATCGAAAAAAATGGAACCTAAACGAACCTAAACTAAACGAAAATATCTTGGATCAAGTTCAGCAACTGATCAAGCTTCTCTTTCAAACTTTCAAAGCTTTCCTTCATTTTTCTGAGTGGACTCCCCAGGAGGTGCGGCTTTAATGCGGTAAAACTTGGCGCGAGCGGCGATCACGATCCGACAAAAAGGCGAGATGCAAAGCAAACAGTCTGATAAACACAGTTCTAAAAAAGGCAAAGAGTGGGACTTTGGGTGGTAGGCCGAACGATGGGATTTGCGCCGCTCCTTCGAAGAGCACGAGGAGTAAGAAGAACCTTGAGCTCGTGATCAGATCCAAAGTAAATAAAATCAAAAGTTCATGATTCTCATGATAAGAGAAAAATTATTGATCGGCAAGAAGAAAAAAAATTTGGCTTACTTTCTTGAAACTTTTTTCCTTAAGAGTTAATGCAGTTTTGTCGCCCACTAAATACACTCAAAAACGTACTGTGAACGAAAATTCAGTTCGGACAAGAAAAAAAAATGTAATAGGAATTTAAGAGTTGAATGATGAAGTTTGAAGTAAGACAAGTTTTTTGGTTTGAAAAATCTAATTCATGCACTTGAGGAAAAAGAAAAATTAAGTTTCAAAAATGGGAATAAAAAAAGCAAACAAAAGAAAAACGTGACGTTGGCTTCAATCAAAACAGCTTACATTTGTGACAATTGTTATCAAAGATAAAAGTTGCGAAAAAATCGTAAACATTGATAAAGTCAAGAAAGGAAAGAAGGAGCATACTGAAAGTTCAACTTTGACTACTCGGAGAGGAAATCGGATCCGGTCAGGGAATAATCTGAAAAGCAGGAGGCCGAGCAATCTCTGTGAGACTTGACATCGGATCGGTGGCGGCGGCCGGTGACCAAAAAAGGAGACAAGGCAACTCGAAAAAAGGAGAAGGAGGTTCTGGGGGCTCTCGAGAGCAAGTCTATTTCGAGTACAACTGCTGGTGGCGGCGGCGGCGAGAGAATGGAGCCGCCCAAGGAGGAGAGGCAAAGTTTCAAAAGTTGCATTTCGCATCGGTCACGACTTTGACCAACGCAAACAGTTACGGGCCGCGCAGGCTCTGACAGCGACGGCCCTCCGCCGGAGCAACGCTATTTCCGTCGAGCAAATTGCTCGAAAATGACCGGCTGCAGCTGCTCAGGCCTCAGGGCCTGCACGAGGTGAGGTTTTTTGGAACCAAGACAAGACTAAGTTTTGCGAGGAGCAAAAAACGCAGTTTTAGACAAGACCCGATCAAGAGCTAATCTCTCTATTGAAGAAACTAAAAAACTGAGAGAATTCAAGAACCAAAAACTTTGAGACAAAAAGGTCCGGGGAAGTTTTTGGAATAATTTTTTCTTGTATGATCCAAAATGAAAGGTAACTAGTTTTAATAGTCTCACAAATTAAAAAAATGAACTTGAAAGTCAAAAAAAGCCAGAAATTAAAAAAATAATACTCGTGATTTCAAAATCGACATAAAACCAAGGTGAACATTTTTTTATAGATAAACTTTTTCCGAAAAAAAAGTCTATAAAGTTTTTCTCGCTACTGTAGGTTGGAAGAAGTGTCACAAGAAGATAAAAAAATGAGGAATCTTCAAGAAAAATTCGCTGATGATACTTCAAAAAAAGTCAGAAACTTAGCAGTCAATTAAGTGAATTAATTTTTTTTTATAGCTATTTCGAAATAATTTTCGAAATTCTTTTGAGAAAACTGGAGATCTCCTACATCTTCTCCTTTTCCGAATGAAAAAAGGTCCTCCCTCTACTTCTGAAAACGGAAAAGCTGGCTGCAGCCGTCGCCCACGGCGCCGGACGGCCTATGCGTACTACAAGGCTGATAAGGCTTGAAACAATGGCTCTTCGATATGTTATCACCGGCCAGCTGACTGACGTGGTTAATTGTAATAGTACTATCTGGTTGCGAGGCATGCGACTTGCGCTGCACTTTTTTCTCCTGCTCTTAAAGTTTCTCGAGGAGGAAAAAAGTTTGAGGACTGGAAGCAGAGTTTACAACGATGAAAAATTAGAAAACGTTGTGAATAAGGGTTCAAGGATCATGAGTGTGATAACTAGTGCAAAATTATACTGATATACGAAAAAGATCGAGAAAGTTTGAACTTGTTCAACTAGGTAATGAGAGTAATCAAAAAAAAAAAAAAATAATCATGAACGGTTTTTTAGCCGATAACGAGGGTAAAAAGCTCTTTAAGGTCATTTTAGTTTGGTAACATCGAATAAAATTTCTTGTGAAAGGTAGGAACCTTGTAGTCCTACCAAGGTGGTCTCAAAAGCTTACCCAACTCGGTGAGAATTGAGGTGAACCTTAAGAAGAAATTTTGACCAGCTTTCGCGTTTCTCAACTACCATTGGTAAGCCATCGAATCCTCTTTCTTTGGGCTTTGTCAAAGTTTACCTAACTGAGAGTTTGTTCAGTGAAGTTAGTACGAGTAGGTCCATGTACTATTTCCAGCCTTACTTGACTGTTTGAAGAGAGAAGACTACCTAACAAATTGGAGCTCTGGCTGAGCCTTGGACCAACCAGCACGAAAAGCTGGAGGAGCCTACACCGGCCCGAGCAAAAAGCCATTTACAAAGTACGAAAAGAGGCCAACTGGAAGTGCGAGTAGCGTGAGCGTGTGTTACAACAGCCGACGTTCAGCTGCTGTCCGCCCCGAGGACTCGAAACTTTGGAAATAGCCGAAGGCCGGTCGTCCAGCAGAGGTGTAAACAAATCGTCGGAGGTTAAATGAGTGGTGGAGGAGAAGAAGAAAAGTTGAAGTGGACTTTTGGGTGTGCGGAGAAAGAGGAGGAGAAGCGATAAGGGCTTGTGGGTAAGGTAGGCCTCTGTCCGAAGGCGAAGAAAACGAAACGAAACGATAAGTTGGGAAACCTGTCCTCGGCCTCGGACATCGCAAACGAGAACATACATGGGTTGGGTTTGGGTTGGACACCCGTACACATTGTACTTTTTTAGAGGCTTCTCCTCCTCCTCCGAAGTCCTCGCGGCCTTCGGGAATCTCGTCTCAATTTGCGACTGACCTATTCAGACACGCTCAGTTTTATCATTCAAGTCAACCTGTTTGCGCTTTTCCGATCGGCCGGAAGTTTGGAGGACTTTTTTTGAATGTTAAATAGTTGGATATCTGTGGAAAACTTGATAAAGTTTATGGAAGTTAGGGTTTTTTCAATTACATTTGTGATTTAGTGAAAACCTTCCAAATGAACTCGGACTTTGGTAACGCGAGCCTGACGCAAATGGGGCGTGTCGCGGCATTTCCAGTGACCGCTTTAGTAGCAACATCACTTTTAAGTAATCCATAGAATTGCTCAGAAACGTCTTTTTTTCATTACCGAGGTCCGATGGAATCAAGAAAATTCAAATCTGCAGTATTTCAAGAAGTAAAATTAAATACGATCTCACAGAAAAATCTTGAGAAATAAAATGAAAACCTATCGACTTTTAACATGTCTGAAAAAAAGCATCACCTCAATATTTTTCTTCCACAAAGGTCTTGGCGAGAAATCTACTATCAACCTTTTTAAAGGTAAATTTTTCGAAAAACTGAATTTAAAAAGAAATTAAAAAAACGTTACGTAAACACTAGAAAAAAGCCAATCAAGCTCAAAAAAAGATGAAAAACTTTGGGCTTGAGCCAATTTTTGAGTTAACACTCGAAAAAACTTTTCGGAGCTCCAGAAGACCAAAACTGTTTCAGACTCACTTTTTCATCAGAACAAACACCTCGACACCATGCAACAACCTCAAATTTATGACCACGTGGGTCCTGGAAGGCCATTCATGTCAGATAAGATCAGAAAGAGGGAAAAAAAGGAGAAACAAAAGAGGCAAAAAACTACCAATGTCCTACATACAGAATAAGAATTAATCAAGCCTCGTAGGAAGGGTGCAACATGAAGTGCGCAGTTAAAAGTTGCAGGAATGTGGGTCAGTCAGTAAAGGTTGGAGAGGGCGAAATTCGAGTTGATATGTAGGTATGTACGGTAGAAGAAGGGGGAGGAGGAGTAAGATGACGAGTGGAGATTTGAAGAGGATGTTCTCGGGAATGAGTTCACTGTCCGTGTCTACACACAGCCGCCGCGGCCAGAAACGGGTCGGTAGTTTCATAAAGTAGAAGATAATTCGGAAGACAAAGGACGTTTGGAGAAGGGGGAGGCGGTCGCTCCGCAGACGCTTCAACTGGGCCGTCCGAACTGAACGCCCTTTACTCGGCTAGCCTCTATCAGCCTTTGTACGGCGCGGCGATGGATGGAACGGATTGGGCGAAAGTCGGAGAAAGCGGAGTTGGTCTGCACCGCCGTTCAAGGGCAAAAAGTTCAAGCATCACGTTGGGGTTTTCCTTTTTTCTCCTATGTCGGGACTTGGGTCTTATCTGTCTCGGGTACTTCGAGAGAAGGAGCTGATGTTGAGATAGATTCGAATTTTGACCTTGATCAGAACTATCAAAGATTCGGTCAGCTGGACTGAATTCTGCAGGACAAGTTCTTCGATCTCGAGTGTCAGCTAAGGAGAAGAAGCTCGGTTCAAAAAAGATAGATCTTCAGATTCTCGGTTCTGATGAGTTTGATAAGTACTTCGGAACTATTAAAACTTCGAACTACCTCGGATCGAAAATTTCTTAGAAAATTAAGCTCGGTTACTCTGAAAAACCGAAGCCAAAGTCCGACTCACGAGGATCATTATCTCACTTCTACCTCAATCATATATGTTTTTTTTTTTGAAAGTCTAAAAAGATAGTTTCACCCAAAGTTAGTAAAATCTAGTCTTACCCACGAAGGATAGGAGCATGGCCATCTACTTCAATCAAGCTGTAGAACTGCTAAAACTTCAGGTTTGCCCCAGTGAGAGTTGAGCTCAAAAGTCAGCTTATGACCAGAGAATTATATGCGAAAGTAAGGAGAAAGAGGCACTACCAAAGGAAGAGGATCCATTAGGAAACAATGAGGCCCAAAAAGTGGGCTCGAAGCGAAAAAAAAAAGAGCGGAGAGGCCGTTTTTTTGCGTCGAAGAGGTAGCTATGGAGTCGCCTTGGCGCCACCGCCAAACTCATCTCAAACACTTTGATTTTGATGGGCCGCCGATGACAGAAAATGCATATTTTATGGAAATCGTCGTCGAGAATCTTCTGTAGCTTTTGCATAAAGGAAGATTGAAGAATGAGTTATTTTTGGAGCGGTTGAGATACGCTATGGCTAAAATATATATTCTTTTTGAATATTCATGAGCCTAATTTCATACGAGCTTTTGATTGAAAAATGATGTTATTTTTCTTTTTCATTTGAGAACAGTTTACTAGTTGAAATTTTTGAAAGTTTCACTGGTAACTTTCTTAGTTTAGTAGAATTTTTTTCTCTTGAAAATTATGATTTACATTTTAAACTAAAAAAAGTAACTAAAAAAATTGTTTTTTTCAGTAAGTTGGACCCTTTTTTTCAGCCGTCAATTCATAGCTTTAAGCCGAAAAAGAATCGAAAAATTAATCATGTACTTTATGAAACTGATGTAACATTTAAATTTAGAACCTCTTTTCAAAAATTATCTTGAAAGTGCGGAGGATAAAAATTTTACTCTTTCCAAAACTAACAGGTTACTGAGATTAGAGATTATAGCTAATTTTTCACCGAATTCATTTTTTTTCAAATCTTTTTTCAAGAATGGATTTCGATGAAAAAAAAAACCAAAGTTGGCCAAAAAAGGAAACATTTGAGCGGTATGCGAGTCGAAGCTTGATCCTCGAGGCCGACAAGGAGGTTACTGTAGAGCGGACAACGAGATACACGAATCGCCACCTGGGAGAAGCCGTCGTCAGCCGAAACTAGTTCCCCTGGCGGTGGCCACGCCCACTTCGGCACTTCGCACACCGATAAATTGTTTCCAACTAAGTCCACGACAGTAACCCGCAGATATGAGGATGTGGGTCGGATCAGCAGATAACGCTTTCAGTTTTCTTTCTTTTCGCACTGCCCGAGACTTCAAACTAAAGACAAGGTAATGAATTGAGGGCAGCCCTTTGAAGCTTTGTCTCAAAGTTCTGAAAAACTTCAACTTTTGATTCTCGCTCGAGTATTACTCATACCTACTGTTTCCTTTTTTTTTCGGCTTTCCTTCGATCAAAATAGCCTAGCATGTTCAAAAATTCCTCTTGGAGTATTCAAAAGCTGAAAACTGGAAACGACTCGATTACCTTTATTTACGAAATCGAAAAAATTTAGTAGGTTGAAAAAACTGTCGTGCTCCCTTAAATTTTATGAAAATTTAGAAATAATATTCCAAAATTCAAAAGGTTGGCATAAAACACGGATCGGAGCAAATAACGAATTTTTTTCGCGCCACATGAACTATAAAAAAATAGAATTAAAATTTTTCAAAAAAATACTAAAAAAATGATGTTAAACCAACATGAGCTTTTTCGAACCAGTAACTAAAAATTGAGACTTTCAAGCTTCTGAAATGTCCATGAAACCAATTGAGATCATTAAACTTTTTTTCCTTGAAAAATTCATGTGGCAATCTAAGATGAGCAATACATCCACTGATAATTTTTCCATTGATTCTTATAAATTGAGTTTCATCAAGCATTTAATCACCCTGAATGAAGAGGCGGAGAAAAAAGCCTTGAAATATGTTTTCCTCGGCGAAAAACGTTGCCATTTGGCCCCGCCCCTGACCACGCCCATTTGTCATGGACGCGATTCTTAGCGGAAATGAGAAAAGAGAACTTTCTATTAGAAGTTGGAAATATAGTTAAATTATAAGAGTATTTGAGCTAGCCTAAGATAGAAAAAAAAACAAGAAGAAAAATAGTTTCCGTTTCGTTCACAGATTTTGAATGATGATCAATCAATTAGAGAGCACATTTACTGAAAGCTTCATGAAATGAAAAAAAAAAAAACGGATTTTTAAAACTCCAAGACCTTCTCAAGTTGCACAGAATTGAACTGGAACTTGAAAGTACTCATCCAGCTAGGAAAAAGGTGCTTTTTCCCAAGAATAATCAGAAGAAGCTGAAAAGTCAAAAGTACAGTGGTCAGCGGAGACTAAGAGATCTGAAGGAGGAAAAGTTACGACAAAAGCGTTTGTTTTGTTTGTCGAAAGTTGAGTGCGGGAGCAGGAGGGGCTACTACCGGTCGACAAACTCGTAAAAGGTCGGGCGAGGGTCGCAACTGCTTCGCCTGTGGGGTCCTGATCAGCGTCGGTCAGGCTCTTCAACGATATTTCCGCCTTGGGCTCCTCTCGAGTAATGACCACACCCTCTCGATTGATATACTCGATCGGCTCGCGTTCACCCGAGATTGCAACACATCAAGAAGAAAGATTATTCGCTAGGGGGTCGGGGAGAATTTTATTTTTTCGGGCTAGGGAGAATGACGATCATCGACTTGGATGATCTTTCAGGTCAGTACAAGGACACTAATTTAATTCATACATTTCTGAAATACAAGCTGTGTCTAGAAGGAGAGTGTCTCTGATAAAAAAAAATTGGAAAAGATAATGGTATTTTTTTCGACTTTTTTTGGAAAGTCTTTAAAAAAATGATCTGAAAAAAATGAATATGATGATTCAAGAAACTTCTTAAGAAAAAGAACAGGAGCTCAAAAAAACTTTCAAAACTTATTTGAAACGAGGAAAAATATCAAAATGATCAATTTTATTTGAGAGAACCGTAAAAAAGGTCGAGAAAACAGTTGAAAAAAAGGTTTTTAACACTGAAAATGTTCTTCGCTTTATCTGTGAGAAAGTCTGAAAACTGGAACTCCAATCTTGAAGTTGGAAAAATGATCGTAGCCTTGAAGAAAAATTAATAGAAGACTTATCTTCAAGAAAAAAGCAACTCGTCCTAAAAAAAACTCTGACACATGAGAGGGAGGCGTAGGAGAAAAAAATGGTCATAGGAGCTCAAAACTTCAAAAGCAGATAATGAATCTCTAGATAATTCTGGACAAAACTTTGATGAGATCAAATAAAGTGATCTCCTCAAGAAGCAGACCTGGAAAGCCAGTCAACGGAAAGGAGGATTAGGTAAAGGACAAGTTAGGCGCGACGCGGGTCATTACCGCCAGAAGACGCTGGCCAGATAGTACACGGCGAGGTTCCCGAAAGTAGGTCGGACGCCGTCGACGCAAAAGGTTCCCGAAGAAGAAGAAACGCTTTTTGAAAGTAAAACCAAACACGTTCATATACGGAAAATTAGGCCGGACGCCAACGGCCATGTACTTGTCTCGCGACTTTCGCCTGCCCTTTCGCCCCACACACACAAACGTCGAGAGTCGTGTTGACCCAGATCCGCCGCGGCTTCTGTCGAGTACGACTTCTCGACTCGTCCAACTGTTTCAATTCAAGGCGTCACGAGACGTCTTCAGAAGCGTCAGGAATCGACTCAGTTGGTCTGAGGGTGTCTAGTGCAGCTCAGCGGCTGAAATTTGTGGTCTTGCGAAAGTCCGTCTGCGAACTAAGCAGATATTGAGCTGAGAAGTCAGCCATCAACCTTTTGGACAGACCGAAAAATCTGAAGCTTAGCCATCGCGAAAATTGTTTGATAATAATTGTGGCATTGATGAGAAATGGATCAAGCTGAATCAAGCTTCATTGAGAGTCGTTCTTCACTTCGTTTAAAGAATCCGACGTCTCTTCGTAGTTTATCTGATCTGTGAAGTTAAACAACAGCTTTCTCACAGCAAAGTTATCTATGAAAGTAAAAAAAATGCGAGTATATATTATTTTTCTTCTGAAACAAGGTTAAACGCATTTCTCTTGTCAAAACTTTTATCTAAGGTAAATTAAAATACTGGGATAACTTTTAGTGGCCACTTGAGGGATTTTACGTTTAGTGGCCGCTATAGTAGTTGAATTAGTGACCACTTGATTGAATAAATTTTTTGGCTTCTGAAGAAGTAGTTTTAGTGGTCACGTTAGTGCCCTCTCCAAGGAGACCGTTTTAGGGACCACTAGAGTTTTCCCTCTGTAATGTGTTATTTTCATACTTGGAAAATTATCTGTCCGCTCAGGTATTTAAATGATAAATAACAAACTTCAAAGTGATTTAGGAAGTGTCCGCCAGTCCTTTTATAATGGCCATACCTGACCGTTGCGCAAAATGAGAACGACTGGAGAGCCAAGAGTGCCGCGAGAAATGTGTCAAAGAAACAAAGTTACACTATCCCTGTTACTTAGAAAAATACAAGAACTTTGATCATTAAGAGAAAAAAAAATGCAATTTAAAGTGAGCTATTTCGAGCAGTTTATACTCGAGCCAACTGCCAATTGTTTAGAAGTTCTGTGCGTGCGTGTGTGTGTGCAACGAGATTTTTAAACAATTTCCCGCACTTTTTAGTCATTTTGTACTAGTACGCATTCATTTCCTCGAAATGAAGTTTTATATGATATCAGCGACATTCGCAATTAGGGTTAGGATAAACTAAAAAAGAAAGAAAACACGTCAAGTAGGAGCATTCAGCTCGACCGCAACGCACTGGGCCATTCCAAATGCGGTCAAAGTTTTTCCAATTCGGAACGAAGGAAATATGATCTCTTTAGAGTTCCTAATGAAAAGCCTTGTCAGGGCTTTCCAACCATGCTTCAAACTGAAATTTCTCTACCTGGGAAGTCCAAGAATTTTTTTTATCTTCTGAAAAATCTACGATCGGAATCCTTCTGAAACAGAAAACCTCTCATTTCGTAGATCCTAGCGAAACCAAACAACTTGGAAGGAAAAGGCCATATTGAGTTCGATGTTGCTTTGAACCGGTTGAGGCCAAAAGCAAAGTGACCATTTGATCGGCTAATCGGACACTCTCGAAACAACTTTTAATGGGTCTGAGAAGATTCCCGATGGTCGGAAGAAGGGAAGACTTTTGCGATTGGAAGAAAGGTGAGGGTATTTCAGCGGCCAAAAAGACAGTCGAACCGGTATATCCGCCTAGAGGGCAACCAACCGGCCCTTTATCAACCAAACAGAGACAATGATTTTTGAGACATTCACTTGACATATGTAGGAAACGAGTAGATATACGAAAAGAAGTGTAAAGATCCGATTTGATTCGAGTGCGTGTGAGTGTGGAGTAGTGGACAAATTCCAAGATTACAGCGAAGAAAGACAAAGCGGCCAGGGAGTGTGTCCGGAGGAATAAATTGTAAATTCAACCGACTCGAGTGAGTGCACTAGGCTTTACACATTTAAACACAACTCACGCGTTGCGTCGTGCACTTGATCGCCGACGTTGGCTCGGCGCCAGAAATCGCCACACCTTTTGATGGATCTCCGAAGAGGTTGTGGGCAAGTAAAGAACTCAACAAGCCCGGGAGAAGCAGTTTACTTTATAAACCTCGAAAATTAAGCAAAATCAATTTTCAACCTCTAGGAGGTAGAGCTGAAGAGATAAAAACACCTCTCAACCTCCGGGCGGTTGTACTGACTTCAATTTAGGAAGATTCGGGAGGAGGGATTGGCGGTCTTTCAAAAAAGTCTGCCCATGTATGGAGACGTTACAGTCTTTTGAAGCGTTAAAAAGATTGAAATCGTATGATTTCTTCTGCGTTTTCAACCAACCTACTAAAGAAGTAATCTTATTGAAAACTTAAAAATTTACTAAAATGAAAAAAAATATCTGATAAAGTTCCTTGAAAACTTAAATTCCCTAACATATGAACTGTATAGACAAAAAAATTAAATCAAGAAATATACTTGAAAAATTGGTCCCACTAAAAAAAGCACTTTTTCCTGCGTACTTTCAGTTCTCAGCTGATAGTAAATTCAAGGAAAAATTTTTCATGAGTCATCGAGAAAGAGAAAGTAAATTTTTTTAGAAATTTGTAGCCCAAATTTTTCGGTAGAATACGAAGCTAGAAAAAAACCCGAAATATTTAAAAAAAAAACCCCTTTTGTAGCCTTGGAACTTCAGCTTTTTCAAACTCCAAATCCATCGAAGAATCTGACTTCGACCCCTCAAGAAAAAAATCTATTCACCAGACAACCTGGTGAGACACATGAGCCAGTGTTTACGCATGATTTGGCGAACTCTGAGCTGTGGAGAGATAATAAAACGCATGGATCAGCTGCTCAACTTCTTTTTGAAACAGAAACTGAAACGTGGAAATGAGGAGGAGGAGGCGATTTTGAAATCTTTACAATAAGAGTTGACAAAATCACACTGGAATTAGAATTCTATGAGCCTAAGTTTTTTTTTCAATAAATACATTGAAATTTTCCGCTTTGGAAAAACTGAAAATGTCGATAGACTTATAAAAAGATTTGTTAGATTCAGTCTAAGAAGTCTATTTTGAAGTCTGTGTTAGTCCTTACACATTTTTGTGTCTTTAAAAAACCTTCCAAGCTTTTTGAGCTATCTAATTTCCCTTTCAAGATAATTTGAACACAGTTAGAGAAGCACATTGTGCAAAAACAAGCTCTCCTACAGTAACCAATCAACTTTCGAGGTAATCTAACGATGAAAAGAGCATGCCTTCTCTACCGTAGGAAACACTACAACCTCTGAGAAATGATTCCAGCAAGTGTCTACGGGATTGATGGCGAGTTTACAGCAGTCAAGCGCGTACTTCGAAACTGAGGAAAAGTGCAATTGGCCGGCGGCCAACCAGTTGTGCGATGGAGCAACTGTCGCGGGCTGCCACGGCTCATGCCCGACTACCAGCTCCTTTGTCTCATCGCCTGGTTACCCGCAGTGAATTATGCACGCGTGTCAGGGCCTCCGACGTCTTTTCGTAGGTTATCTGATCTGTTTACGTCGGGGTAGAAGTTATTCTTCCCCAAAAAAACAAGGCAAAATAAAGGTACAAGGTAAATTAATAGATCAAGAGACATCTGGCAGAGATAATTGAAAAAAATCCGAATGCGAGAGCTTATGTCGCGTTCGAAGTAATTTCCCCGAAGTTCAAAATTATCTTTTACTCTCCAAAATTTAGTTGCTTTTTTGCACTCTGTGACGGTTATTTTGAACTTCGCAGATTCCCTTTTAAACGGCAGCAATTTCTAATTGAGTTGGAATTTGAAATTGATTCGTACCTGAGGAGCCGAATTACATTCCGAATACGATAGCAGTCGAAGGTATATTTTCTAAATTTCCGCCCAATTTCCTCCCCAAAATGTTTTCGTTTTTCATGCCGCCGGCGCCCAGTTTGTAGTTCTAAAATGTATAATCAAATATGAGAAATTCGTTTCATTCGGCTGATTCATCACGACAATAAACGAAAGAGAGTTATGTAAATATCTTGTTCTTGGAAATGATAAAACAATATATGAAAGGCAATGAAAAAAACTTTCGAAAGTTTTTCTAGGGCTACCCTTGTTTCTCCAACAAACAACCTTTAACAAAATTTTATTTAACACATCCTTCTACAGAAAGATGTTGGGAAGCAACAGGAAATATTTGAAAGGGTCCGGAAAGAAGGAATCTCAAAGAAACTTTTTCCTTTTACCTATACATTCGAGCCTTTTTTGGCAATTAAATCTTAAAATCCGTTGAGATCCAATCGTAATTGAGCCAAAGCTTTGTTCAATGAAAAAAAAAACGGTGAAAAATTTTTCAAAAACCGATTTTTTGTTCCTTTTAGCTTTCCCTCTAGCTCTATTGAACCGTAATGATAAGAAAAAAGGATAAATAAAAGAATGAAAGTGAAAATTCATACTTCTTTCCGAAATTTTGAATTCCCTCGTTTTGTGTAGAGAAGGCAAAAGCGCGCCGCCGCACTTCCCTGAAAAGGTCGCTTAACAATGAAGTGGCCACTTAAATAAAATTTCAGCGCTTTTCTGTCGGTTTAGTGGGTCGATTTTCCAGTTTCTATTCAACTATTGTTTTCGTTTCTTTGTCTCAAAAGATCACGTTTCTGAGCCTTTGGTTAAACTTATAGCTTAGTCTGACATTCCTCATTGGTTTTCATCCTAATATCTCGGTTCCGAGGAATCTTTTTTGATGAATTAGTCTTCTTCTCACGATCGCACTGCAACAAAAAATGCTCAATTTTTTCATATTAAAATTAAAGTTAAGATGGATCGGCTTTCCTGGTACACGCCAGGGGAAAGCACAGAAGAACTTTTATGTCAAGCTGGGCACGTCGGAATCTATGAAGGCGATTTGAAGCAGGTCATTTACCTTGTTGAATTTTTTTTTACCAATTAATGGTTTTTAGACCCAATTTGAACAAGGGACTGTTTCTTTGACACCTCAACGGATTATATGGGCCGACTCTTCCGATCCAGTAATGAAAAAAGAGAAAAAAGCACCTTGTATCCGTTTTCAGGACCGTCGTCTCATTCTGCACCATTCTTTAGTGCTTTCGATGGAGAGGCACCACAAGTCAATGTTCAGCCGTGGTGGAAAAATAGTATTGAAGCTAGGAAAACCAAAGCCGAATAATGTTGGACCCGTGAATTCAAGTCAATACGATTTGATGCGATTTGTTTTCCGCACTGGAGGCGAGGAAGATGTGAGCCAAGTTTTCACTTTGCGAAGTATAATACCCGGGTTCAGTTCTATAAGAAATACGACGAGGCTCTCCGGAGGAAGACGTGGCTTCGTTCAAGTTCCGGTTCAAGCTCAAGCGGGGTATTCTTTTGATAAACTATTAGAAACATAATAATGTATTCTAAGGGTGGTTTATCGGTTCAGTCTCGGGCTAGTGGTCAGTTGCGGTCTGTAGGAATAGCTGGAATAGAACGAAGATTAGCGGAAAATCATCAAAAAACTCATGAGACTATTACTCAGGTTAGTTTTTTTTTTCAACTTTTTTTCAAATGCAGTTTTAGGCTTTCGAGGATATGTCGAAGCTAATGGAAACGGCCAGAGACATGGTCAATTTGTCGAAGAGTATCTCTGAAAAAGTGAGGTCTCGAAAAGGAGAAATAACTGATGATGAGGTATGTTTGAAAAACCATTTTTTTAATTTTTCTTTTTTTCAATGTTTTAGTTTTTAAATGACGCTAAAATTTTTCTAGCTATCGCGTTTCTCAGTAGTGAAGCTCACCATTTTGACTATTATCAATTATCTTATGAGAAAGTTGTTCAGATCTTCCAGTTATAAAAGTTTTTATTAAAGTTTTTCCAAGAATATTTTGTCACTTAAATCGATTTTTTTGTTCATTTTCATCTATTTCTGTCTTTGTTCAGACGATTGCATTCAAGTCTTATCTTCTTTCCCTCGGAGTTGCTGATCCTGTAACGAAATCTGCGTTTGTGGGAAGCGACACCCAATATTTCCAAGAACTTGCCAAAGAAATTTCCAAAACGTTAACCGGCCCGATCACAGTTTGTTTAAGTCCGTGAAAAGTCAGAAAATTGTGCGAATTCACAGGAAAACGGTGGTATGATGGCGTTGCCAGAAGTTTATTGCCGGATAAACCGAGCTAGAGGAATGGTATGATTATATCGAAGTTTATTGAGACGTTTTTAACAACTTAGGAAATGTTATCACCTGAAGACGTTCTCAACGCTTGCGAAGCCCTTTCACTCGTTGATTCTCCTTTGGAGTCAGTTTATTCTCAGTAAAAGTTTAAAAAGTCGATGACGTCACGAAACAAGCGTTTTATTTATCGTAATTAAAAAATTCCTCTGGGTTCTTAATTAAGTTAGCGCAAAACTCCTATAGAAATCTTCTACCCAAACTCACTGCTTCTTTTTTATTCCTGAGAAATTCAGAATCCATCGATTTCCTTCTGGAGTCATCGTTGTTCAACTGAAGACGGCTTCGGTTGAAAGTACGGTTCACGAAACGAAATCTTTTGTGGAAAGTGCTGGAAAAGCGAGAGCGGCCGACTTGGCGGCGAGCCAAGGGATCACCGTCATACTTGCCAAAGAAAGGTACAGAAAAAAACACGAATAAATTGCAATGTAGGAAATGTTCATGATAATATATTTTGTTTAATTTGGCGCTTAATGGTGTTGATTTATCTGATTGTAATAGTGCTTAAACAGTTGAATTTTTGAAGACTTCCTCTATTTGAAAAATATTTTTAGTATTCCTTATGTCTTTTTTTGGTTTCTAATAGCACGCCTATGAAGAAAAAAATTTTTTTGAATAAACAAATAAGTTTGTGATTCTTATTTTTGGTCGGCTAGGCAACTACCGATTTTTTTGTGAATTTTAGCTGTCATATTAGCCTTTTTTTCAAGTATTAATGAAGAAAATCTAAGCATCTTCAATATAAAATCGCGATCTGAACGTGGGTTTAGGTGATTCAATTTTGTGCTCTATCGACGTATAATTAATTTTTTAAACATAATTCATTTCCAGACTACTCGCCGCAGAAGAAAAAGCTCTGATTTGTCGCGACGACTCGATCGAAGGACTTCAGTTCTACGTGAATCGTTTCCTCCAAACATCGAATTGAAGCTTTACCTCATAAGGAATGAATTGTGTGTCGTTTGATTGCCATCATGTAGGTTTTTAATTGTATTTTCTGTATTTCAACTGTGCCATAGATCTCAGCTTGCCATCTAGTTCCTTTCCCCGATGTGAATAAAGATTTCTATAATTTTTCGTTTCATTGATCGAGTATCCCATGTTATGATCTCAATTTTACCTTTTTCATTTTTGTCAAAGTTTAAATCTACAAAAACTATATATTTTTAACAGATAAAAAAATGGAGGATATAGAATTACTTCCGCCGGGAGTCGAAGAACCTCCCGAGGTAGGTATTCATTGTTTTTCTTATAAATTTAGATTCAACTTATTGATTTCCTCCTAGGGAGACATCGAAGAACTTGAAGAAAAGCTAGAAGTGAAAGAAGCGGAAGAAGTGAATAATGCCGAAGTTCCCGAAGCAGAAGACGTAGAAGATGAGGAAGAAAAGACTCCATCAGAAGGTGGATTTGATGAAAAATCTTGAAAATGGCGAAAATATATAGATAATCCGTTTGCGGATGATGATTCTGACGAGGAAGATGGAGGTGTCCAGGTCACTATCAGGAAAATTGATCAGTCACAATTCACGGTGAGAAATAAAATTTATTAAAATGGTTGAATTAATTTATTTTACGAAATTTCTTCTGTTTTTTTTTTTTTGAAGCGTCGGTTTCTCTTGCACTAACTGTCTACTCGATTATGCAACAAAATTTCAATCAGCTTTAAATTTATTTCTCAAATTTATTAGTTTCACAGCTTTCAACTGTACAAACTTTCCAGAAAGCATCAACAAGTGGAAAGTTGGATATCGATACAACTCCACTGATCAATGAAAAGCCGATTTATGACATTGATTTGGCTCAAATGGACGACCGGCCGTGGCGGAAACCCGGTGCCGATGTTACGGATTATTTTAATTATGGTTTCACTGAAGGTTAGTTTTTAAGAAAATTAAGAAAAACTTGTTCTTTTTCCAAAATATTTTTCGATACCCTGTACCTTACACGAATTTCTTTCTGACTCTTTTTTTCTAAATGTTAAATTTAGAAATATTCTAACTTGATTGAAATTTGTCAAGTACTTACTGAATTTTTTTAAGGTTATGCGAATCTTGTTCATTTTCAATAACCCAAAAGGGTTTTTTAGCATTACTTTTAGTGTTTTATCTAGCTAAACCTTTCAATTTCTTCACTTGTTCGTGTATTCACAAAGCAATAGGTGCCTTCCCAACTATTGCAAATTTATAACGAAACATGTTAATTTTTTGTTTCAGATTCGTGGAACACTTACTGCGAGAGACAAAAGAAGCTGCGCATGGAGTTTTCGAACAACCAGGCTGCGGCCAACAAGGCTCTCTTTTCGAATATTCAGCTCTCCAATCCCCTTGTCATGCCCCTTATCTCCTCAAGTTTGAAGAAAGTCATTCCGAATGACTGACTTTGGTTTTCTAGACACGAATATGGGAGCCGTGAAGGTTCTCACGGATAATGGCGGCCGATTCAAGCCTCATCAGTACGTCAGCCGCACGACAAACGACACAAATACTGTCATGAGGACGGTTATCGCGCCGAAACCCATCGTCCCACCTAATAATGATCCTTATGTAATTATTTTATTCTCCGCAGCACTTTTTAATCCTGAAAAATTTACTTTTTTTTTCTGAACTTTTTTAAGTAAATACCTTGATTAATTTGAGGAACGAAGAAGTTTTCAAACGTAATGCAGAGAAAAACCTTTGTGATATGGTTGTTTTGTGAAAAAACCAACTTTTCGGGAAAATTCTAAAGTTTTTATCCTCATTTTTTAATGAAATCGAATCGTTATTAGGAAGGAAATTGTTAGGTACATAAGTAAAATTTACTAAGACAAAAAAAGTTTTTTTAGCCTGAACTTGAATCCTGAATCTCTTGAGAATAAATAATAAAATAAACTATATATTTAAGAACTTCTATTTTTTGCAAAAATGATGTTTGAAGATTCCACCGGCGACGCCTACAGCGACAGTCATCGACTTTTCGAAGCCGCCCCCGGGAATGATGAGCGGACCGCCGCCGCCAATAGTTCCTACCACGAATTCTGTGCCTTTGATGGGCGCTCCGATCGTTCAGTCAGGTAACATTTAGAAAAAAAGACAGTAGAGAATATTAGTTTTGAAAGTGTTTTTTTAAATATATCGAATATCGGCAAAAGAAATCATTTCCGGCTTGTATTCCAAAAATAATCGGTGATGAGTTGTGATTTATAAAAAAACTTATAGAATAATCATTCCAAAGGGACTAAAAAAAGTTTTTAAGAGCTGAAAAAAATAAATTTTGGAAGAAGTGGTCACCTTTTCCGACCTCGCTTGGAGATGTGGTTTTCTTCGGTTTCAGTGTTTTTCTTTGTCCTGAGATAAAGAAGATGACGTACTCCTGATCTTAATTTATTTTGTTCCAAAACAGTTTTAGAAGCACCTCCCGGAATAGATGCTCCGCCGCCAGGAGTTTCCATGGAACGACCGCCAGGTGTCGTGTCCCCGCCCACTACGATTTTGACGGCTCCGGGCCTCGATTTGAACCTGGGAGTTCCGCCACCTGGGTACCAATAGAACCAAAATTCAATAATTGTTTTCCATTTTAGTTTCAATCCGTCTTTGCCGCCCCCAGGCATTGGCGGGATGAGAGGGCCGCCGCCGATGGGACTTCCGCCGACGAATCTCCCTCCTCCAGGCTTCAACATGATGCCGCCGCCGTTCCCAGGCGCTCAGAGATTTCCGCCTGGAGCTGCACCGCCAGGTATCGTTATCATAGTATTCTCAGCCTATGATTTTTAAAAACTTTTACCTCACACATTATCAAGGTCTCAGGCCTTAATGGTCGCTATTTTCAGAAAACATTTTTTTAGTCTTTTTTCGTGTCTTCTGTCAAAGTCATTTTTCTAACTAGGAGAATTCATTTTCAAAGTTACGAGTTTCATTCTTGTTGGAAAATGAAGTAAATATATCTTCCTTTAGTTTGAAACATTCAATTCTTGATAGCTGAACAATCACGGTTACAGGTGCAAATCGGCCTGTGCCGCTGATGGGCCGCGAATTCGAAGTTCGTGATTCACGAAGGGAATCTGGGGATTATGAAGAGTGGGAATTTGGAACGTCGTCTTTCTCATAAAGAGGTCATTCAGAGACGAGGACCGACGTCGTCATCGGAAAAGGTCGTCTAGGTCGCGGAGTCCGTCAAGACGCGACCGCGACAGTGGAAGCAGGTAAAAATGATAGGAGTTAGGGAAAAATATAAATGATCTCATCGACATAACCATTTCTGCGCCCGCTCGTTTATACTTCAAACAAAAATACTCCGCATTTTTCGGATTTTACGTCGGATGATAAAAATTTAATAGAAGACGCACGGACCGGGACCGCGAACGAAGCGACCGAACACGAAGGCATCGCAGCAGAAGCTCTTCTGCTGATGGTATAACTGTATAATAGGAACATCGCAAATATTCGAGTTCAGGGCGACGACGACATCGCGAAAGAGAAGAACGCGACAAAGAGAAGAGAAGAGAACGTCGAGATGATGACGATCGCAAGAAAAGGTTCGGATCAGCTTTGTTCTTGACTGAAGAGAGATTCAGAAGACGTGATGACGAGGAAAGGGACGATCGTCGCGACAAGGACCGCAAAGAGAAAAGGTTCGATACCGAATATCCGGTCTTTGTTCAGTCTTATCTTTCAGATCTCGCAGGGACTCCGAAGAGGGAGTTTCTGACCAGAATGATGAGTAATGACGAGTTCTGTTGTTTTAAACTGTTTTATAACTGTTGTTCTCTTTTTTCCGGTTTTTATGAATATTTATTGACTAGCGGTCAAAAATGTACAGACATCGTTGCGGATCATCTCCGCATGCTTCTTAGTGGAGCTTGCGAATGACGTAGCAGCCAAAGTGCTGCGAGCGAACGTAGCAGTGTTCGCGGTGTTCGTCGGAGAGTGGGGCGACGTTCTCGCCGCAAGCGACGTAGAAGTTGTCGCTGACGCGTGACGCAATCTTCTGCGTCGAAGACTGTGCGTCAGTAGTCAGACCCTGAATATCATGTTTTTGATAGAAAACGGAAGTTCTCATCTCTCACCTGTCGAATGATTTTGTTGAGCTCGGAAGAGTTGCAAGGCGTGCTGTCTCCGAAACGATTCTTCGAGAAGCGTCTATGTCGGAATTGGCTTCCTCCCTCGTACTCTTCAGCTTCTTCGGTGGCTTGGTCGTAGTTGGCGCCGGCCGGAGATTCTCCGCCTTGATAGCCGCTTTCTCCTGAGGCCGCAGCCACTTGTTCAGCTCCGGAGGCGTTTCCTCCTTGGTAGCCAGCCGATTCACCTCCAGATGGCGCAGATTCTCCTTGATAGGTTCCTCCGGCCGGGGCTGACTCTCCTCCTTTGGCAGCACCCTGATAGCGGCCGCCACTAGGTGCTCCTCCAGATGGAGCTGCTCCTTGGTAGCCTCCGGACGATTGAGAAGCACCTCCTTGGTAACTGCCACCGCTAGGAGCGGCTGCTTCTGCTCCTCCGGACGGAGCTCCACCTTGATAGCCTCCGGACGATTGAGAAGCACCTCCTTGGTAACTGCCACCGCTAGGGGCTGCTGCTTCTGCTCCTCCTGATGGAGCTCCGCCTTGATAGGCGCCGCCAGATGGAGCTGGAGCTTGAGCTGGTGGCGGTGGCGGTGGCGGTGGGGGAGCTGGAGCTGGAGCCGGTGCTGGAGCTGGAGCCTGGAAAGTTTGAAAATCGCAAAGGCTACATGTTTTCGAATTCAGATGCGTTTGAATTAAAAATAGAAGTTTTCAACTGAGAAGTTTTGTTCCGTTTCCGGCGTTTCTTTGTTGCAGCTCTATTGTTGTGGTAATAGTCAGTTCTCATGCTAAGCTTTTTTTTCAAAATATTATTCTGGCATTCCTTTGAACATGCTGGGGATTTTTAAAAAAAAACATGCCATTTTTTCGTGTGTTGCAATTTTTTTTTTCTGCGTTGCGTTAGCGTAGACGAAGACGTTGATGTGACATTTATATACAGGACAATTGGCAAGGCGTTTTCTTTTCTCAAATTTGTCGGTGTCGGAAAAGCCGCAAACGAACGCCTTCGGAATAGGAGGAACCACCCACGGATTGCTGCTCCTGGTAGCCGCCGCCGCCGCCGGATGGCGCCGCTGGCGCTGGGGGAGGTGGCGGTGGAGGTGGAGGAGCCGCCGATTGTTGGTAGCCTGCAAGCGGAAGTTTTTAGAGAAATTCCTGCGATCCTAATTAAGAAGTTGAGAAAGTCATGGAAGGAGTTTTTTGGGGAGAGTTAGATTTGGGAGACCGTTTTCTGTACCTAGTACATTAGAGAACGTTGAAAACTTTAAAACAGGTGTTTTCTGAGATCCGAAGTCGAATTCATGAATGTTATGGATTACTGAGGATTTTATTTTTGAAGTGATTTTTCAAAGTTTCCATATAACACAAAAAATGACCTGAATTCTTGAAAAAATTTAATTCAAAAAATCATCCAGAAATCTAAAAATTGGATCAGGTAGCGGTTATCAAAAATATCTACCTGGAATTTCTGGTAGCGTTCGTGAAATTTTATAAGAGACAGCAGGCTTAAATTATCTTCCTTTTCAATTCCAGTTCAACCCCGAAAAGCATCCTGAAAGCCTTACCGCCGCCGCCGCCTCCTCCTTGGCTGTAGCCTCCGGCGCCGCCGCCTCCTTGGCTGTATCCGCCTCCGCTGCTTCCTCCAGCGGCATAGCCTCCGCCGCCGCTTCCACCGCTAGCGTATCCGCCGCCGCCGCCTCCTACAATCAAATAATTGTTTTTTGTCAGTTTCCAGAACTAAAGTACCTTGCTGAGCGTAGCCTCCGCCGCCGCCTCCTCCTGAAAATTTTTGATAATAGTTAGTTCTTTAGGTCCTTTTTTTGGAATTTGTGACCAAAATTTTTCATTGAAACTACCTTGCTGGGCGTAGCCACCGCCGCCGCCTCCTCCTGAAAAAATGGATATTTTGCTATTTTCCATGCTTTGAAATATTTATATTTAGACGTGAACTGGTTCAGAAATTTTTACAAAAACCATTTGAAATCAGTTAGGTTGTCTTCATATTTGATCGTGGATTTTCAGAAAGGTTTCTGAAAAATAGAAGAAAGGGTTCTATTTCTTACAACTCTACGAGTCCAAAACTTAAAAGCAAATGAAATAAGTCTTTTGTTTATCGATTCATCAATCTATTTTCAACATTCCGGATTGAATCCCAACCTTGAGCATATCCGCCTCCTCCTCCTGGAGCAGCATATCCGCCGCCGCCTCCAGAAGAAGCGTATCCGCCTCCTGAAGAAGCATAGCTTGGGGGTGGTGGTGGTGGAGGTGGAGCAGCGTAGCCTCCTCCAGCTCCTCCAGCTGAAAATCTCAATCATTTCAAAGTTCGCCACATTTTCGCTTTTCTTTTATTTGAACGAAGAAGGTTCTGTTTTTTCCAAGGAATCATTTTTTTTTAAATCGTGACTGAGAAGGTATTTAGGTTGATACTTTCAGGGCTTCTTACTGCTACATCGGATAAGAATCTCCCAAATTTTTAGAAAAAAAAAACCTTATTTTCTGTTTCAAGCACATGGCTCAAACTGTGCTGATTTTCAAAAAATGATTCTGCTGAAACTAACCAGTAGCGTATCCGCCGCCTCCTCCTCCTGGAGCAGTAGCATATCCTCCGCCGCCGCCTCCTGGAGCCGTAGCGTAGCCTCCGCCGCCTCCAGAAGGAGCTGTGGCGTATCCGCCGCCGCCGCCGCCGCCTCCTCCTCCGCAGCCTCCACCGGATGGAGCAACAGCGTAACCGCCGCCGCCGCCTCCACCGCCGCAAGATGGAGCTGGAGCTGGTCCACCGCCGCCGCATCCTCCTCCGCAGCCTCCGCCGCCGCCGCCGCCTCCTGCAGAAGTTTTTTTTGGGTTTATTCGGAAAGAAAAAACTGAATCTTGGTCAGAATTCTGAATCCAAGCCTTCTATAAAAACTGTTATTCTATTGAATCTTGTATCAGCCTGTAGAACACTCTGTCAGATGGTCAAATCACTTAGTTTTTCGAAAAAGAAAATTTTTTTTTGCCCATTTTACGACGAATTTAGTAAGACGGTAGACTGCTTTCAGCCAGGAATTTCAACCATATTTCTAATTTTCACAAATTTATCGAAAGAAACGCCTAAATTTAGTCATAGCCGTTGAAAATGCTGACCTCCGCATCCTCCTCCGCAAGATGGAGCGGGTGGTGGTCCAGCTGCGCAGCCTCCTCCGCAGCCTCCGCCGCCGCCGCCTGAAGAAGCTTCTTTGAATCGTTTGAGAGGAAAAGCTGCATCAAGAAGGGAAAAGACGGACCTCCGCATCCGCCGCCGCAAGGTGATGGTGGTGGTGGAGGTGGTGCACATCCTCCGCCGCAGCCGCCGCCGCCGCCTCCTCCTGAACCATTCGTAGATTTGGACGAGTTCAATTATGAAAAATGCCGAAAAATGGCGATTTGTTCGTTTTTGACTATTCTGAGGTGGCTCAATTTCAGACCAATCAATTTCTTCTAGAAGAAAAGCCACTTGAAGTATATTCTTAAGGCTTTGTAGACTCAAAATAATCAGGTTTTTCTGAAATTCCTTTCTTCCTATGTTGAGATTCGGATCCGCCACATTGGCTCAATTTTAGAAAAATCAACGTCTTCTGGAAGAAAAGCTACTAAAGTATATTCTCAAGCTTTTGTAGACTTGAAAAGTTCAGGTCCGCCTGCACTCTCTTTTTCTTCTCTTCCTATTTTGAGAGAAAAGAGGTCGCAGACAAGCCAGACCGTTTCGAATCATTTTCAATAGGTATACTTTGATCGAGATTATTTTGAAAAAGAATAAAGAAGTTAACTACCTCCGCAGCCTCCGCCGCAGTCAGAGGGTGGTGGTGGAGCGCAGCCTCCGCCGCAACCGCCGCCGCCTCCTGAGTAGCAATTAGTTAACATGAGCAATGAGGTAATTTATGAAAGTTCGAACCTCCGCATCCACCGCCGCAAGGTGGAGGTGGGGGTGGAGGTGGAGCACAGCCTCCGCCGCAGCCGCCGCCGCCTCCTGAAGCTCTTTCTTGGAGAATGAGATCTGCTTGAGTCAAAATTCAAAAGACACAGGCCGATAAAATCAAAATTTCTTTGGAGCTTATATTTATTCCGTAGAAAAAGTCATAAGCTCGTAGAAAACGTTCAATTACGTATATGAAAAACATGGAAAAACTCAAAAACTGAGTAATTTATGAGGTTTCTTTTCAAAAAGACAGTCGCTTGTTTCAACTGGCGATCCTGGTTATTTAAAATCTATTTCAAGAAAAAAGGCTGACCTCCGCAGCCGCCGCCGCAAGGAGGTGGTGGTGGTGGAGCGCAGCCTCCGCCGCAGCCTCCTGAAGAATTTTTGTTCAGTTTTGAATATCTTGATCGAACTCAATTTGTGACTCGGCAGGCCGAAAGTTTAGTAGTCTAGACAACCGTAATGAGTGAAAAGTGTCAATAAAAATCATTTTCCAGCATTTCTCGTTTAGAATCTACCTTGTAGTGAAGCTCATAAGTTCTGGGTTTCAAGTAATTTTTTTCAACTTAAGCGGAAGATTTTTCAAACTTTCGGAATAAACGTTTTTAAAAAAATAATAAATTCGGAGAAAATTCTGACCTCCGCCGCCGCAGCCACCGCCGCAACCGCCGCCTCCTCCTGAAAAATGAAAGTGTTTATGCAAAACTTTTTCCAGGCTCTGATTTTTGTATGTTGATTTTTTTTTTCAAGTAAATCTGAAAACTTCGTTCACTAAAATTATCTGAAAACTGGAAAGTCACTGAAAAATAAACAACCGAAAAGTGCGTGAGTGTGAAAAAAAATACTTTCGAAGGTGCGATAAAAATTCTGATTTCTAATAATTTTTCAACTAGAAAATAAAATAGTTGAAAAAGATCACCACAGCCACCGCCGCAGTCTCCGCCCCCACCTAATGATGGGAAGAGGAAGGCGTTGACCGGAACGGCCAGGAGTAACAGCGCTGTCAAGTGTATGTACACCATACCCTGTAAAGAAATCCTCAATTACAGTAGGCATGCAGATGAATCATACAGATACATGATAATTGGAAGATAAATAAGTTCAGAAAAAGAAGTTGAGTAGATGATAGCTGAATGGAATCTTCCAGAAGTTTCAATATTCTAAGTTTCATGATTGACAGGGCAAAGTTTGATCGACTTTGAGCTTCAAAGTAATTTCAGAAAGTTTTAATAGAAGCATCAACATCTGAATCTTGTGGTTCATTGAAAAAAATTAATTAAAAACAGATAAAAATTCAACTAGAACCTTGTAATTTGCGGTCCAAAAATAGATGTCAGCTAATGTCTGAATTTTAAAAATTAGTTTGGCTGAAGTAGGAGAAAGTTGTTGACTCAAAAGCTTCAAGTTTCGAACATTTTTTTCGAATTACCCGTTTGTCAACAGCTAAGAGCCATGTTCTTGTAAAAGATTATTTTACAAAGGAGAGTTGAGTCATGACTTTAAAAAAAAAATTTCAGAGATTTTTCTGTTGTGAAACTGCCGTGATTGTTCGAAGAATTTGAACTGATATGATGATTATCAAAAAAATCGATATAAAGGTTTTTCAACGATGACAAAATCACTTCCGAAATATTTCTGAAGAAATCCTCTGAAGCCAAAGTCAAAAAGAATGCTTTGAAACGAATTCGATCTGGAATGAAAAAAACCATTTTAAAAAAATAATTTCACATTTTTCAGTTGGTTCACTACTAGCTTGAGTCAAAAAAATCAAAGAAAATATGAAATGTAAAAAAATTCAGGGCAAAATAAAAAAAGTTTATAAATATCTACAGTAAACTTTATGAAAAGCTAACGGTTAATGAACCAAAAGTTAAAAGGTATTTGTCGATATTTCATGCAAAAAAGGATTATAAACACCTACAGGAACCTCCATGAAAAGCTGAAGGTGAATGGATTTTGGGAAAAGCTTGGTATTAGGATCGGGATAAGTGGCAACAACAAACAGATGGAGAACCGAATCAACTGGTATTGTTTGGCGCGTCGTCGGAGTGGACGATGGTTGTCGACGCGGCCGTTCCTCGCTTTTATACAAGTTGGGTGAGACCTGCTTCGGGCAAGTGCTGGTTTTGCCAAATCTTGCCTATCAGGCCTCCTTCGGCTGGGACAACACATTACGTGGTGCAGTTCCACGAGACCGTTTCGCCTCGTCTTTTCTCCTTTTTGTTCCGATGGATCCCTCTGTACTGTCTGTAATACAATCGTAAACTAAAGTTCGGTTCGCTGTGAGACCCGTTTTTCCTGATGAAAGGAAAGGAAGGATGTATTCATCTTATCAACAGAGCATTAAAACTATAAGCCTTTGTTTGCAGTTTCATTTTTTGATGCGCTGGTTTAAGATAGAAAGAAAAGAAATTCTCCGAGTTCATGAAAATAAAGCCTTGGAAAAAAAAAAAATTAAAAACAAGCTTTAACTTGAAAAGGCTACAAAGCGATCACAAATAATCAGAAAAACTTACAAGGAAATCTCAGAAATTCTAACTTGAACCGCACCGCGTTCGCATCGCGTCGAGCCATTCCAAACGTCTCTATGTGATTTGAATTCGTGACGAAGTATCTATCGGTATTTCTAAAGTACGCAAACTTTGAAGTTTTTGGCTGAAGTGCCACCGTTTCGGTTTCCAAGGGGGTTTGGAACATTTCCTGTGTTTAGGCTCCGATTTTCAATCCTTCTGTAAAATCGAAGAATTATCGATCCAGGAAAAACTCAAATCGAAAAAGACGGATCAAATGATTGGAAAAATATTTATTTTCCAAATGAAAAATTGCTATTTGAAAATGATCCATGCAATTTGAAAATAAAAATGAGAGCTTTCGATTCAAACTTCATAACTTATCGAAAACTGTGGGATCTTTTTGAATCTATATTTTTTTAGAGCTCAGTTAGTCGATTGAATTTTGTTGTTCTCAATCCAATCACAAAATCTGCATGAATCTGAAGCAGTTATAAGTAATGAGAGTTTTTTTTTTCCAAAGTCCAAAGTCTTGAAGATCTGACTTTTTTCTCATAGGATCATAAAAAAAAGAGATACTCATTAATTTGCCACGCTTCAATCCAACCTGGAAAAAACGCGGCCTTCAGGCGATAATTGTTTTTGTTTTCTTGACGCCGCGTTGAAAAAGTGTGTGCTCATCTGCCCCAACGATTGTGCTCGTTGGCCATAAAAGGCTGTTGGCCGACGGCAGTTCATTTCCCGATGATTCCGACGATTTTCTTGTGGTTGGCGCTGATCCAAGTCGTCAGAGCCGCCGAGGTCTGCGAGGCGGGGGCCATGAAACGGGAGCAACGCTGCGCCAACATTTTCGAAGACCTCAGCGACTGCAGAAACGCCTCCTTTAAGCCAATGCTCATGGTTTGAGTTTTTCTGAAAAAAAAGGTAGATTCGAGATGGGTCCATATTTCGCATACAAGAGTAAATTTGGAATTAAAGAAGTTTATCATACGCTTCTTCCCTCACCATCCATAAGTTTCTGAGAAATTTTGGAACATCTACTACGATCTTAGGACTGCCTGGTGACGTGCGGCTCTTGCGACTCCTACCGTTGCCAGAACCCCCAGCCAGAAAACGTGCTCAACTGCACGGCCCTGGCCGACCAATGTGAGGATCCGACCTTCGTCCAGTTCATGAAGGTCAGTTCCCAAAGTCTTTAAAAATCTCAAGATCTCGCTGTCAGGAGAAATGTCCGTTCACTTGCGGCAAATGTGACGTCAAGAACTCGAATCTCTGCAAAGATCTGCAGAGCGCGACGGTCTGTTCGTCGATGGCAGTTGGTTGTTGGAAGTCTTGAATCGGGAATCTTCTGTCTCTTTTCAGCCTTTCTGCAACTCCGTCGACTACTACGACCTGCTCACTGTCCAGTGTCCTTCGACGTGCAATAGATGCTCGCGAAACGGCGTCACAGTCAAACCAGGGGGTATTCTAATACCAAAAATAGCTTGTTTTGAAAAAGTCAAAAAAGTTGAGCCGCGCCGCTATGATCAAAGGGAGAGCTTCAAAAAAAGCTTTTCACAACCAAAAACGAAACATTTTTTGCTAAAATTCCAAGAAATCATGATTCCTGCAAGCAAATTTAGGTCCAAGCTATTACTTCCAAATTGTTGAGAAAAAAATTATTGACTTTTGAATCTTTTTATTTGTCAGGCGATTATCAGTTCAAATTCCAAAAACATTATAAAGTTATAAGGCAAGAAAAAAATATCAAAACTTTTTATAAAAAAATTTTTTTATACTCGGAATCAGAAGCTTAATTTTTGAAAGATTGCATGATTTCTTTTCTTGATAAATTGGATTTACGACTTTTTACTGTACAAAACTTTCACAGAAGCTTTGCAAATCTATAAAACTTTCTTATTTTTTTTAACTTTGAACATTGCTTCGGCTCGTAAAAGTCTTCAAAAACACTTCAAAAACTTCAACTTTTCTTCAGAATGCGCCGACATGGCTTCGGACTGCGCGAAGAACTCGATGCGATGCACGTCTCCGAACTACGCTCCACTGATGCATCGACTCTGCCGGAAGACGTGCAACGCTTGCAACGTCACTTGCGAGGACCAAGCCCCCAAGTAGAATTCCATCTTTTTCACTTTTCCATGAATTTCATTCTTCAGCTGCGCATCCTGGGTCAATCGCGGCTTCTGCAGAGCCTTCAAAAAGCCCGAGGCGATGAAAAGCTGCGCGAAAAGCTGCAATTTCTGCTCACAACGACCTTGAGAACACTAGATGCTATTATATTTATATGAAAACGTTTTTCAACACCCGAAATTTTGGCAAAATGAAGGAAGGGCTGAAAGACCCAGACCCGCAATCAATTGAAATCAAATATGAATCGGAAAAGCTATATGGGTACGTCTGTGTGCAAATTATTGCCGATGACGGCATTCGACATCCTTTCGACGTCATCTAACGGCCGCGCCGCGTCTCGAGAAAACTCGATGAACACCTGAAATCAACCTTTTTTCATCGAATTCACTTCTCGGTCGAACCTGCTCAAGTGTGGTCTGTGACAAGGAATAGTCATCCCATCCGATTTTCATGGAGATTTGCTCGAGGCGCTCGAATAACTTGGACCAATTCGTTCCATCGCGTCGAAGTTCGAAGTTCAGTTGGAGTAGGTGTTGTTCCTTTAAATCAAGGCGTTCTTTCGATAATTTTTGGACAGTCCGAAAGACCTTGAGAACCGCGGTGGGAAAACTTTCTCGGATGGCTTTTACAGTGGCTGCAACTTGTGATTCGAAGGCCGCGCGGATGATCAAAGTGTACCCCGCACCGTAGCGACTTTTTATGTGTTGACAGCTGCCAAAACACCGGAAGCGGCCTGGAATTTTGTCAAAAATTAGTAATTCAAATGTTTATGTCCTTTTTCTAAGTTTAGTTTTTTCGTGCATCAAAATTTTGGAAAATTTTGAAAACGGTGTAATGAGCTTAATTTTCATTTCTCTCATTTGAAACTTTTCAGAAACAGTAATTCAGAACAGAAACCCACCGCTGACCATGATGGCGAGTTCGGTACAAAGAGCCTCGCACTCGTCCATACTGTGGGAGGTGAGGACCAAGGCGACGCCGAGCTCTCTGACTTGGTTCAGAATGTTCCAGATGATGCGACGAGCCTTCGGATCGACGCCAGTCGTTGGCTCGTCGAGAAGAAGGACTTCTGGGAGTCCGACGAGGGCGATTCCCAGAGACAGACGTCGTTTGTTGCCGCCGCTGTACGTCTTGATCTGTCGTTTCGCGTACATTTTGATGCCGATCGCATGAATGACGGCATCCACCTGAAAAGTCTCTTCTTGACCTAGGAACATCCACTTGATGTTTAATTGGAATGGAATAGAATGGTTTGAAAAAAGGTGCAGGTCGAGGACTTCAAAAGATTTGGACAAATTAACGGATTGTTCTTGAAAAACAGGGAAAAAAACATTTGAGCATGCTAAGAACTTTCAGAAAATAAATCTTAAAAAAAATTAGTAATGAATCTTTTTCTTGGAGCGCAAATGCTCTTAATCTTTTTTAAAGGCTCTTTATTGATTTCAGATTTTATGGGTTTGTCTTGCTCTGAACTTTTCGCTGATTACATTGGTACACGTCTTTTTTTCAGGAAAATTACTGGGAAACTTATTTTAGCCTTTTGAAAGTCAAAAAATTTTGTTTTGAGTAAGAGTTCAAAAGTTAGACAACTCAAAATTACAAAAAATGTATAGTTCGATTGCAAACCTCGAAAATAAATCATTGTACCTTTTCTTTGAGCTCATTCCCCGGAATGCCGCGGATACGAGCGAACATGTAGAGCGTCTCCTCGCCGGACATCTCGCGGATGACGGCGTCGAACTGTGGACAGTAGCCGGTGTGGGCGCCGGCCTGTCTCCAGTCGGTTGCAACGCTCCAACCTTTGACGAAGGCGTTTCCTCGGGTTATCGTGTTCTCTCCAGTGAGCATCTAGAAACAAAATCTTTTCTCATTCATTTAGGGTCCATTCAAAAACCTGGAAGGTGGAAGTTTTCCCAGCGCCGTTGACGCCAAGAAGTCCGAAGCATTCTCTAGAGTTGACGTGAAAATTGACACCTTTGACAGCTGTGAAGTCGCCATAGCTGGAAAATTTCGGAATTCCCAACTTTTTCTAATTATTCTCACGATTTGACAAGATTATTAGCAACGAGAGAAGTTTTCTGGATGTCGAGCTGTTTGACCTTGTCTTTTTCAGCAAGGACGTCCGAATCTTCAACTCGAAGGTCGTGCTCATCGTACTTCAGCTTCTGAATGATCTTGTTATCTTTTTTTTATGCCGTTTCCCAACCTCTTCTGCCATGACCTTGGCCGAGTTTCTTGAACAATCGTTTCCCAAAGTTGAGAATTCTTGCGAACTGGCTGGTTTCAGCCATGAAGACACAGATCCAGAAAATAAACCCTTGGACGGCAAGGAAAATCAGAGGAATGAGAACGCCTTTGCGAGTCGCGTCGAAGGCGACGTGGTCCGTGTAGGCGCGTTGGGAAGAAGGCCCGCAACACTGGGTGCTGCTGTTGTACAACATGTTCGAGCAGGCGAACGGTCCGAGCTTCTCGCAGGCCTGCCAGGCAACTTCATTCGTGTAGATCTGAAGAGACGATGCAAAAATTGCTGATGGAAGTTCAAAATCAAGCACATAGGTCGACTTCTTCTGTCTCAATCAGAAAAAAAAGAAAAATCACGAGAAAAAAAAACCCAAACTCTGAACTTTTTTGAACTGGGCTGGAAATTTTAAAAAAAATTTATTTATTTCGAGTTGTTACTGAGTGACCTATAACTAGGTGAAATGTTCAAAATAAAAAAATGATTGATTGATCCTTGCTTTCAGCCACAGAAAAAAACCAGCTCAAAAAAATTCACAAAAAATTTCGTAGTTTGATTTTTGCTGACCTCGAGCAAACCTAACGGGCCTTCTCCTGGCCTTTTTTCGACCCAAACTCTTTTTTTTCACGTAAAGGAACTTTTCAAAAGCGTCAAACTGACCACAGTCGCAATGTTGGAAATGCTGTAAGTCGGGAAGAAAAAGGACAAAATCGTGCTGGTAATGTAGGCGGGATCATTTCCCGAGGTTTGCTGGATGATCGGCACCGCGATCGATCCGACCATTCCTGAATCGTTTGAATCTAAAGCCTTGATTGAGGGTATTCCAGATACCTGTGATAACATTGTACATTACGATCAAGGTGAAGCCCTTGGGAGCCGAGGTGAACATGAAGGAGAACCAATAGGTGAAGGGAAGGGAAGTCCATCCGTATAAGGACATCGAGACCACCAACACGATGATCGTAGTGAACCGTTTTGTGTATTGCTGGAAAGAAAATAAAAAGAGATAGACAAAAAATAATGTTTGTACAGTGAAAAAAAATCAATATAAAGTCAGCCGTTTTTTGAAATTTTTTGTACTAATTGTAATATTAAAAATTTTGAAAATGGACAATTTTCGCGTAGATGTTCTTCAAAAAGAAAACTTTGTTCCAAGTTTGTTTTAACGTCCTATCAGTGGACAAACCTCAATGTCAAACGCATAAAAAATGGCGATGAAACAGAGAACTCGGAAAAGAAACCAGACGGCGTCCCACACGAACGCCGTCCACCAGTAAGTCGTCGACCGCAGTCCGGCCAGCATCTTCAAATTTACAGGAGAGGTCATTTTATTTTTCTACTTGGAATTTTTCTGGAAATTTTGTTTGAATACTTTTCAAAAGTGTAATTGAAGAACCCCTCCGTAGTATCTACCTTTTCAAACTTCTGGTTTTATAGGTATGATAATAACTCTTACTCCTTGATCTAACTTCTAGTTTTTGCAATGATTTTAAAGCTCGGGAATTTAAGCTTAAAAAAATCTTATTTGGCAACTTAGAAAAATTCATATGTCCAAAATTAGAAGTCTGCGCAGGTAGCGACTATGAGATTTTACTCGACATTCAGGGAGTTTTTTGAGCTAATTTTTCAAAACCGTATAGTAATATGACCTCGATTTTGAAACATTTTATTTTGATAAAATGCAAAAAATAAGTTTCACTTTAAAAAATGAGATTTTCCTGTTATTTTTAATTATGAAACTGGAAACCTGCATATGCTTGCTTTTCTTCTTCCTCTCGCGGATCAAAAACTGCGAATATCCCGCTACGATCACGGCCATCGAAACTAGAATTTCATTTTTTTTTTTCCAAAACTTATAGGTCCAGTTCTACCAATCATAGCATAGGCGATGAGGAACACGGCGGTGTTGCTCAGATTCTGATTTTTGAAGGAATCCTGAGTCGTGGGCGGCAATGGATGATTAATCGCCGTGAAAGTGTATTCCGTCTTCATTTTCTGGGACAAAAGCATCGAGTCGGTAAAGCTCACGGCCAGGGCGGGGGTGGTGAATCCGAAGTTGTTGAAGAGAGCTGGGGGAAATTCATCTCCATATATTTCTTTTTCCGATTCCTATCCAACCTTTGACGATCTTCAAACGTCAGGGAGACTGTAGTTGCTCAAGGAGATCTCATCGACGTCATAGGCTATTGGGTAATGAACCCCAATCTCTCGGGAGCCCATCTGTGAGAAAATGGATTATTTTTCAAACTGAATTTGAAAGATCTAGAATCAGAACTACAGACTCTTAAGAATCGTTTTTTTTTTCATAAGATAACTTTCGAATTTATCCCAAATTTTCAAAGCAATGAGAAATCGGAAAGTTTATTGAAGCAAAATGGAAATTTTTTGAATTTTTAAAGCAATTGATGGGGTCTTGTGAAAGTCTGAATTTTGAAACAAATTTAAATTGTATAGGTCATTCACCTAGTTGGTTAAAAATTCACAGAACCAGGATTTTTCCAAGAAAGGTCAGCAGACGATCTGCACAAAAACGCCCAAAAAAGAATTCATTCACAAAAACGGAAGGAAAGATTTTTTGCGAAAACCTAGCGGTGAATTCAGTGTAGGAAGTGAGAAGAAACTTTCCCAAAAAAGATCAAGGAAAACGAAAAAACGTTGCTGAACATAATAATTACTGATGGGTATAAGTCTAATCTTCCCAAAAAAAGGGTTGAAAAATATATAATCTTGCTGAAACCTCGCTTAACCTAGGAAACTTTTTTTTTATCTAGTTTTTTTTTCTGGATTCCCATCACCGTATAAATAAAACTGACAACATTGGTGAGGTCGACAATGTACTGGGTGACGTTGTCGACGGAATAAACTTGAGTCGAGGAGCATTTCAAAGCAGTTGCGGTCTTGTTCACCAAACTATAAATCCAAAAGAAAGTTTTTCTTTGAAAACCGACAAAAAACGTTCTGATTGGCTGGTTTCTGTAAGCCTTGCTCGCAGTGATGATATGTCCTGGATCGGAGCCGGAGAAAAAGGGTCCAAAGTGATTGTCAGAGGCGGCTGTTCTTTGGCCACAGGAACTGTCGTCGAGGTCCAGACCATCAGGGCCATGTAAGCTATCTGGAGGATTTGGAATGGTACTTTGAACTAGAACAAGGAATCTACAGGGAAAAGCAGCTGGGTGATGAATTGGGTCCACTTTTCTGTAGAAATAAATGGCCCTTTTGATGAAACATCGCCTTGATGTGCTGCATCTGAAGGCGCCATCCCGTCAATCGTCGGTTCGCTCGAAGTTCTTCAATTTCAGAATGATTTTTGGAAGAATTATATGTTTATTTCCTACTCTGAAGCATGGGATCGTTGCGAGAGAGCAGTTCCTGAGAAGATTCGTCGACTTCGACGATCGCCCTTCTTTCTTCCGCCATTGCCCCGACTCTGAAATCGACATGAGCTTTGCTGAGGGAAAATCAAAAAAGTCACTTCAGAAAAACTTCTTCCATTGTGGTTATGGAGACGCCGAAAGACGTGATCGCCAGGGAATCCTGTGATGCTTCCAACTTTGCAAAAAGGGATGGGAATCTGAGAAAATTTAGGTGAACGATCTTTGAAAATATTTGTCAGGAAATTATCATAAAGATGAATGTCCGATAGTTGGAAATTTTGCATTTTATCAAGAAAAAGTCTTCATAAAAAGTTGAACTCGGGTGACCCTGATTTGTAAGAACATAGTTGCAGTTTTTTAGCCTAGGTTGCTTCAAGACGTTCCCGACCCTAAACTACTTGCGCGCAAGGGCATCAGAAGGCATGAGATGAAGCTTTTGAAAAATCTATACTTTTAGCCAAAATGTCCCAGCGACGCTTCAAACCATACAGATCGACGTTTCAAGTCAGGATGAATCAGGAATAAAAGGCAAAACGCATATTTTTCTCATTGAGCTTTCTCAATATTCTCGTTCGTTCCTCCCCTCATTAAAACTGACTTGGGTCGATGAGACGCATTGAGAATGACGGTGCCTTCCTGGCCGACCACCGACTGAAGCTGTGCATCTTCCACGAATTCTCTGATCAAGGACAAAGTTCCGTTGACATCGGCAGCGTCCGACGAAGAATAAACCACTGTCAGATGATATCCATCTCCTGGACCGTTCTTTCATTTTTATTCTTTTCTTTTCTTTTCTGGAAAGCCCTACCGTATCGCTGTTTGAGATACATTGGCGATCCACAGCATTGCAACTGCCCATGGGCCATTATTGCGATTCTGAAATTCCAGCTAAAACGAATGAAAATGAAAAGAAAGGACCGGTCTCCCAAGACGTCAGCTTCCTCCATGAAGTGAGTGGTCAGTAGAATCGTCCGAGTTGATTTTTCGGCTTGAAGCAAAGCCCAAGTCTCATGTCGTGCTCCCGGATCCATTCCAGATGTTGGTTCGTCGAGTAGGACTACCTGGAAATTAAGGTATTTTCATTCAAGATTGTGGCTTTATCTGAAAATTCGCCAAAGCGATCAGAGAAAGTTCCTATGAAAGTTCTCTGAAAAGGAAGATCATTTTATTTTGTGGTTAGGGAAACTCCTGAAATTTGCCAGAGCACTTCTTGATATACCAGATGAAGATCTTAAAAGTCTCAACCAGCACAATTTCCTAGTGAAAAAGACGCCAAAAAAACTTTTGAAACTGACCTCGGATCCTCCGACAAGTGCGATCCCCAACGACAACTTCCTTTTCTGACCGCCGGAAAGCGTTCCAGCATAAGAGTCCGACTTGAACTCTTCAAAATTCCTTCATTTTCTTGTTCCATTAACCCTCCTAACCGATTTTCAACTTTTTCAGTATGGCCAGAGCCTCGTCCTCGTCCCAGTGGCGACCCTTCAACTCGCAGAAGAAGTAGAGATGTTCCATGACGGTGAGCTTGTCGAAGAGGGTGTTGTACTGAGGACAGAGGCCCATCCGACGTCGGATCGTCGGGAGACTCGTCCTCATGTCGAAGCCGTCGACGTAGGCCGTTCCAGAAGACGGTGACGTCACTCCCGTCAGCATGCTGAACGTCGTGCTTTTGCCGGCGCCGTTGTGTCCCAGAAGGACGGTGATTTGCGACGGGTACACGTGCAGACTCAGTTCATCGACTGCCTGGAACAAAAAGTGGAAAATAGGTAGTTTTATGCTTCGACACTGCGATAAGGTCGGCATAAGTAAAATTTAAAAAAACACGACTTTGGAAATCTTAATTTTTCGAAGCGGTTAAAGAAAAAGTTTTTTTCTTAGAGAGGATAGCTGAAACTGTGTTTAGTTTGCTCAAAATTGGAAAAAAGTGAATCCCTCAGTTCATCTTCAAACTGAGTTCTCACAAAAACACAGCAGGTTTTGACTTTTCTTCAAAAAAAATTGTACTCTCTTTTGAACTTCCTTTCCCAAAACCTTTTTCTCGCTTTCCCTGCCAAATTTGCAATCGAAGAGCTTCTTGAAGATCGATGTTCCATAAGTCTTGCTCAAATTAACGACGTCGATAGTCGGCTTAAAAACACAATTAAAATGAGCGATTCCTGCTAGGAAATACCTCCAAATTTGGTCCTTTCTCAATATTTTCATTTGACTTGCCAATGGACTCGTCGTCGTCCCAATGACCGAGGTACTGGTCTTTTCGCGTTTTCCGTTTCGCAGAAAGGTTGGGAAACCAATAAGATGGCTGGAAAAAGATTTCCTATCTTTTTAACAGGGCGAGGCCAACCAAGAGGAAGAACCAGGGCTTCTGAGGAACTCCTTCGCCGCCAGGGTAGACGGCTTCGACGTACCAAGTGAAGAGAATCATGTAGATGGCGTCGACCACCAACATCAGCATGGCATGGCCGAAACAGAGCCGGTTATCCGGGGCTGGAGGAGTGAAAAGGAGGTTCCAGTGCAGACCATCGGCTGAATCGAGTAGTATTGAGTGGACATTTTGAATACTTTTGTACTGACCTTATCCTGTTGGTTAAAAGAGCGGAAATATCTCATTGCATAAAATATATATTCGAACGTTTTCCCACGAGAATTTTTGCTCAGAAAAGATTTTTGATCAGACTTCATAACTTCGAAGCCATATAGAAAAAAAAATCAGCTTCAGCTCACTAACTGACTATCAAAAATGCATTCCTCATTTTTTGAATTATCGCTTGAGCTTGCAAAACGTTCGAAAAAATATTCCTTATCTTTTTGGACCTGCTTGAAAAAGATTCCGAAAAAAAAATGTACATATTGAATTTTTTTCCTTATTTCTGCTCTTTCTTTTTCATTCTAACCTCAAATCAGATACCAATCAAAAAGTCCAAATACGTCATTTTTCGTCCTACCCACCCTGAGTCTCATACTGCGCGAGTAGAGTAACACCATAAGAAAGAGCGATATCCGGATTGAGACAGTTGAGGATTCGGATGCCGAAAGGATAGGGCTGGATGGAGTCGAACGAGGAGAACAAGGCGTACCAAAAGTAGATGAGCATCCATCCGACGACCGCCATCATCGTTCCGGCGGTTCCTACACAGAATCTCTTTCATTTTTTTGATATAGAAGAGAAGAAGTCGCTAATTGAGGGGAAGAAAAGTAACTGAAAGCATGAATTACCAAAAACCCCACCCGAATTCTATTGCAAAAAAAAATTAACGAGACTAGATTCACTAGCCAACGCACCATTAAAATAAATCAACTTATTTTCTTCGGAAATTATTTTCCAAAAACTTTTTTTTACTATTCAGCACTATTAATTCACGTTTTTTTTAAATTATTTTTTTCCTGAAGTTGCTCCCTATCAAATTCCGAGTCCGATTTCAAAATTTAAAGTTTTCGAAATTTTTACCACCAGATATTCCTTTATGGAGTGGAAGCAAGTTGAGAGAACTAAAGTTTTGTTCTCACCCTCCAAATCCAAAAAGTCTTACCGGACTGCATAAAAGTTGAAATGGCGAAAGCGAAACATAAGGCATTCAAGGCGTACAGCAAGAAGAAGACAAACATTATAGTTGCGTCGGATCTTTCAACACTCAAATTAGTCAAATTGCTGATTTCTGACCAACTTGATTGTCACAAAATGGAGAAAAATAGTCAGGACAATGACGGCACCCAAAAGCTTGACATAATTGATGATTCCGTGGGCCAGCCAGTTCACCCACTGTGCCAAGCCCATCACTCTCATGTATTCCTAAAACTTCTTATTTACTAAGTATTCCTTGCCAATGAGAACTTTGAGCCGATTTTCCTTCTCCATGACGACACAGCGAACGATGTAAATCACGCTGGTCATGTAAGAGAATATCACGACGACTGGCAGGAAAAAGGCTCCAATTTCGATGATTTTGTTCTGGTAGGCAGGATAAGGGAATCGTGACAACTAAATATTTTTTTATTAAAAGAAAGAGAAGATATTATCAAGCCAACCATAAAAGCGTCCTCAAATTCATTTTCTGTTTTATTCGTCAACTTTTGTGTGATCGCCACGTGAATTGCCTTCTGGATGGTCATGAAACCTTCTTTCCAATATCCTGGTAACATTTTAATGATAATCAACACCTTTTCTCTCTCTTTACCCGGATAGCCGCCATCGTAGGCTGAAGGATTTACCGGTCCGCTGATAAATTTAATCGCGAATAACTGCGACGTGTCCCATGGCGTGTATGTGTTCGCAAAAAACTGGAATTCAAAAATTGATATGTTTTGAATTCAATCTTTACAGTTTTCAGACGGCGATTTGTGTTTGATAGCCGAATGGTGTACTTGTAGTCGGTGACAGAATATAAATTCTTCACGATGGAATCATCGAAGACTATTCCAGCTAAAAACAGCAAACTTCAGCTCATTTAAAATCTAATAGAGAAATTATCTGAACATGAAAATAGCATGAAAAACAAACAAGAAAAAAAAAACGATTGAGAGTTTTATAAAAAAAGCTCGTAAAACTCCGTGCAGGAGCCAAACTTTGAATTCGTGTCGATGGAGCATTTTTGGACAACTCTTTTGAGATTGTATTTTTCATGATTTTTTCCCCGTATTTTTCTTTTTATTCGTATTCTTCTTTTCAAACATGATTATAATTCTAACATAGTTTTGCAGTAAAACCACCAACCAAGCAGGGGATTTCCACATTGACTAGCAAAAGAGCTTGTCATGTATTTTGTCATGGAAGCATCGCTGTCAAAGCCTGAACGAAATGTCTGAAAACAGGAAACAAGTCAATTTCCACCTCTAACGTTCATCTTCATGTCGATTTTTGTGTAGTTATATGGTGAGTTCTCTGCTTTCAATATCATCATCAAAATTCTAAGCAAATCCTTCTTCGTATATCTCGCCTCGACGATTTTCATCAACTCGTCGGTCACAGCAGTCTTTGGTGAATACGCAAGATCGATGCCTTGAAGGTGGGAAAATGAAAAAGTTTGTGAAGAAAATCTAACCGATGAAAAAGCTATCATTGCCGGTTTTTGTAAAGTTGAGGAATTCACACTCAGGTGTTGCGCCCAGTAAAATGGAAGGATCAATCATGGCGCTCTAGAAAATTTGAAAAAAAAGGTAGGCATAAGGTAAATTCAAAAATACCGATGGATCTTCGGGCCTTGTAGGCATGATGACATCATAGGCAGTTCCTGTGACAGGCCAGGATGAGTAGAGCTTCTCGCGATGGTGCTTTTCGAAGTCTCCTCGGAGCTTAACTGGTTCAATATTTATAAAAAAGTTAAGCTGGAACCGTTTTCTCTTTATCTTTTATTTTCTTTCTTCGTCATTTCTTTTTACTCTGTGTTAGAGACTTTAAAAATAAAAAATGTTCAGGAAGTATTGTTGACCCACAAAAGAGATCTCAACTCAATTAGGGTGAGTAGTCACGTCAATATGTGCTCCACGGACAAAACTTCGAAAAGATCAAGTTTCACAAAGTTAGAAACTCAGAAAAGCAATTTCATAAAAAAATTTCACGCGCCGCCAGCTTTTTTTTCCGCAAAGCATACGGAACGACTCAAATAGCTTTTAAATTCCACGCTGACTTTTTTGAACCGTTCTTTTTTTTGAGGACCTATGATCTGTCAGAATTTTTTCTCACGCGGAAGTCCTTTTAGACTCGAAAAAAAAGTTGAACTAAGCTTTTCGCTTCTTAAAAGACCTATGTATATGGATCCATAGTTTTTAGTGGAGTTTTTCTATGCTACTTGAAACGTTTTTTTTTAAACCCGTGACTAATAAAAGAAAACTATTAAGTGTTTCCTACTTTCTTTTCCATTAGTCAGGACTTCATTATTTTGAAAGCTGGAACTGTTCAATAAAGAGGAGTTCAGTTTTTTGGATCAACTTTTCATTAGAATCAAAATCCTGACTAACGCCGATCATGGCGCCAAAAGACGCGCTGATGAGGATGAGCGGGACGACGAACTCGAGGAGACTGAACCAGGGCGAGCGCCACTGCTGCAAGGCGTTCTTCCAAAGAAGAAGCCGCAGTTGCGAGGCGGCGCCCATTTACCCGGCTGAAATATCAAAATCGAATGATCCAAGGGAGTTCTCGCGGGAGCAAACAATCACGGAGGAAAAACGTCAAAAGCCGCTTCCGACCATCAAACTGTCGTTTTTGGGATTAGCCGAGCTTGTTTTTTGTCTTGTGACAGACTAAACCTTGTTCGTGAGGGTTTTCTGTAATCAAAGCTTACCGTTTAGGTTTTTTTTTCTACTCAGGCAAGTCTTTGGAAGGTAACCAGCAGGAGAATTTTCAGAAAGCCTTGGGAAGTTAAAAATGAAAGATGTCTGCCATAAGCCTTTCAGCAGGCTTTTGGAAGGTAAGTAAAAGGTTTCAAGAAGCTATGAAGCGTTAGATCATTTGCTGGAAACTTTCCAAAAGCCTTCCAAGGGACCGAAAGCAGAAGTTTCCCATTTCAGAAAGGTTTAATCCGATTTTGATCGATATACATTATCGAACAATTTTGATCAAAGTTTCAGGTAAAAAAACTTTTTCTCTAGTTTAAAAATATTTATACCAAGTACGAAGCAGTTTGGTTGTTGTAAGTCGTCAGAAAATTAATGAACTTCTTTCCCTCATTTTTCTAGGAAGCATTTCAAAGTTTCTGGGATTTCGGGAGTTCGAATAGTAATTCAAAGCTCGAATAGTAATTCAAACTTCTTTAAAACGGCAAAAGAACGTGAAATAAGCAAAATGATGTCATCAAACGCATAAATCTATGCGGTTTTCCGATTAGAAACCCAACGCAATGGAAAAAAAAATGAAATTGAGCAAACACAACATCATTCGCCTTCTCATCAAAACTTAGATAACAGACAACCTATTCTGTAAAAGGACTTTCCGAGCAGTAAAAAAGGAAAGTTTTGCCATGGAGCACTTTAGAATGAAAATTTTAGCCTCTGTAGATTGAAAAGTCCTCTTTTTGAACTTAGTTGTGTAGGCTACAGAAGGTTATCTTCAAATTTTTGAACTTTCATTGCACCTTTTGGAAAATAAGAACGTTCACAGCAAATTTAAGTTCAAAAATTGATAATTTATATTCAAGCAGTTGTTCTACTTCAACTTTTACGATCAGTTTCATATTTTCTCCGTGTTTTACAAACTTTATCGAGGAATTTGTTGATTAACGTAAATGGCGCTGACTCACTGCCTTATCAGTAAAAAAACCCAATATTTGAAATTCAAAGACAGGCCGAGGAATAAAAGTGGAAAATTTATTCAAAAAGAGATTGTTTCAGCATTAGGAATATATTCGTGGTAAAGTATTGAAATTTTTCTAGATTGACTCAACAAACTTTTTCGAAAAAGGTTGGAGCATCAAAATCTAAGAAAACATCCAGATTACCACGAAACAAGGTCAAAAAGAAGATGGAAAAAAGCGTGTGAACCGAAGAAGGAAGCGAAAAACGGAGCGAGGAAGTAGGAAACGAAGAATGGTCAGTAAGTAAATAAAATGAACAAACCGACGATGCGACGGGGCTCAAGACGAATCGAACAGTCGGAAAAAGGCCGACGGCAGAAACCAAAAGTTGTATTTTTTCGTCTTGATAACACTCAACGCAACGCCTGAGGCCCTGATACTGTTTGAGTTTTCCGAGTCTTGCAGAAATTTAGGTTTTTCTCGCTTTGTGAGTCACACACAGGTTGTCCATTGGCATGAGTATCTTTCAAAAAGGGAAGTGAAAACATAATTGAAAAGAAAAAAAATTTACAACGAATAAAAATTTTTTTTTTTTGATTTTTTTTTTCTGAAAAAAGTTCACTTTTCTACGACTTGTAAGTCTGACCTCCGTGTGTCCTCGTTTTTCTCACTGACGAGGTCAAAGAAGCCTAGAAACAGCACGTGAATACGAGAGTGCAGAGAAGACTGATTATTTCGAGCCGTTGCGATTGGAGAGTAAGTTAGAAAAAATTCCATTTTCTGAAAAATCTGAAGGATTATTAGACGAATGAAAGTTTTTTTTTTCTTTTGAACATTTTTTTCCGTCAAAAATAATTTAAGGAGAGGGGTTCGAAAAATCATGGATTCCATCGTAGATTTAGTTTTGACCACAAAATATTTTTGCCATTCCACGTGCGGCCACCGCGTCTCAAATCGTTAAAAATTGAGTTAGACTGCATTACACGCATGTTTGAGACAGTACTACGTCGGCCGGTGGCCGGTCAATATTGCGCAGTCCGTTTCGGAGCCAGGAAATTTTTTTAATTTTCTTTCTTTTTTGAAATTTGTTAAGAACCTATTTCTCGAGGTTACAAGGTAGTTTACGTCACAAAAAGTACACAAGATTTCATTCTGTTACTGAAAAACCTATCCAAACTACCGTAATCGGTGGTCAAAATAACGCCTGAAGACCTTAAATAAAATTTTACTGATTTCCGCTTTTTTCCCTCACTGGTGACGTCATAGAACCATGAAAATGAGGTATAAACAAGAGAACGTCTCCGAGAACTCCGAAAAATCAAATTTAGAAATTTTACCATGCAGGACATCGGAAATGATCTGAAAACTGCTATTGACCATCAAGAGTTCGGAGTAACTTTTTGATATGATTAATCCATCTCCCACTTTCGGCAACTGTTTTTTCCTCGTTCCCAGAGAGAAAGGACACCGCCCAATCAGAACTCGATAACCAGCAACCGATGACGCCGGATAGGAGAGATCGTAAAATGCCCGGGGCTTATCACCGCCATCGGCAGTCGAGCCCAGCTTCACCATGCGAGCCTTGGTTTTCGTCTCTCTATGTTGCGCCGTCTGCGTCTCGCAGGGTCCCATGTTCTCTGCACTTTTGCCAGTGCCTGACGACTACCTTCTCTCCGAACAGGAGTTCCAGAAGTGAGAATTAAGAAGCTTAACGAGAAGATTACTGTAGTTTTTGTCATTTTTCGTCTAAAGACTTCAATTTTCAGATTCTTCTTCACCGACTCGAAAGACTTTCTCCTCGGCCAATGTAACAGTGTTCAGTTTAATACCGCTCAGGTGAGGAATTTTGTAATAGTTACAGGTAGGAAACAAATTTTGATCGACCTGACTTTTCTCCTTTCCTTTTTTTTAGTTGATTTTTATATTATTCTAAGCCCATGTGGAGAGAAAACACACGCGGATAGGCCAAAATTTGTTATGGAGAGTTCGATATGGTAGAAAGAGGAATGGGAAAGTAATTTTTGTCATTTGGCTTTTATTTAGAAGCTGTGACTGGCTACAAAACGGAAAAAAGCCGTTCTTCAAGTTCTTCAAGTTGTTTGTCAATAAATAAACCTAAACCACGAACTTACCTGAATAAAAAATTTCAGAACTTCGGACCGACAAAAGCTATTTTCGATTAGGATAATCGTCAGCCAAAATTTTAAAAAAAATCGTTTGGTGCGCTGGGCAGGGGTGTCAAAATTACTTCTCGGATCTCCGTTAACAGAAACCGGACCAGACGGGAAGTTTCTGAGTAATTCTAGGCATTACTTAAGAGAGCTGACGCTACTAAAGTGGTCACTAAAACTACTACCTGTCCGGTTCACCTTACCAATATCCGAGTTTGGAGCGGATAGGTTCGATTATTTATTGACCAACTAGAAGATGTTCGGAGCTCGATCTCAAGTTATATTCCTGAGAAGAGCTGCGAGTTTCAGTGACAACTTTTTTAGATTTTGATTCATTTTAAAAAGCTTTATCCTACATGTATAGGCCGGCTTTGCGAACGCGATCGGAGCCCCGGTGACGACAACTTGGCGCGACGCCTACCTTCTCACCAACCTCACCTACACTATGATCAACCAGGGTCTCGACAGTCTGGCTGCCGTCTGCACGTCTGTTTCCGTTTCTGTCCAAAAAACTGTCTCTTATTTCAAGTCCTGAAGAAGATAAAATCTTTTTGAGTTCGCCCAGCTATCGCTTTGGAGACTAAGGAACCGAACGTGTAGTTTGAATTGAAAAAATAGGACGATTTTGAGACCCTTTTTCTTGTTTTTTTGAATACATTTTAATCAATACATTTTTTGAATAGGGTGATCGTATACTCTTGGTAGCTATACAGTTCGATATGTGGAAACAACAGCGCCTTGCGTACTAATAAATAAATTTTTTTATTAAAAATTTAAACATTTTTTTCTTGAAACGTATAATGAGCAGTGTTCAAGAAATCGTGTTTAGTCTAGAACTTCAAGCTTTTTGAGAGTTAAAATGTACTCAGAAAGAGAGTTGTGCACAAATTTCCTTTCTGCAGCCCTTATTGAACCATATCTATCTAGTTTTTTAGAAATCGAAATCTTCTTTCTTGATTTTCGACTGAAACGAGATTTTTTTTGTTTTTTTTTGCCCTTTTCCGAGAACTACACAATAAACCTTCAGTATTTTCTTAGCCCCTCATTTTTGATCAAAACAATACTTTTCCAGAGCTCGACAGCAGTTCGTCCAGACTCTTGGCGCCTCCTACGACACCTGCGTCAACAAGTTCTACCTGTTGGGTCAGGGCCAGACGACCTTCGGAAACGTTCTTTTCTACACTCATCTGATGCGACATCTCGAGTTCATCTGCAGTTCCGGATTCGACGGTTCGCTTCTTTAAGTTTTTGATTTGAGGACTGAAAAATCGTGAAAATCTGATATTCCTAATCTGGCATTTTGTCATTTTTTTTTTCAATGATCTCTTCGAGAAGTTTCTTAATAAGGAAATGTCTGAGATGAAAAAATGAAAAAAAATCGCAGACCTGGTCCAAACGTTTGTCAAAGTTGCCCTAACTATGAGTTCTCGAAAACGAGAAAAGGTATCTGCTAAGCGCTTGATGGTACCGGAATATATCCGGTCTAACACGTAAGACGTACCGAAAGTGGTCAAAAAATGTTTCTCATCTAGTTTTCGGAAAAAATGTTATTTTTCCTGTTGCGGATGCTAGGATCGTCCAAGGAAATGGTCTCTGTTAAAATTCTGGAGAAAAAGAGCTTCCGAGCTTTTTTAGTTCATTTCCGACGGGCTTTTTCTCAGTACTTTATGGCGCTCTTAGCAGATAATTCTTCTGGTTTTCACCTCAGATTCTTCCCTAATCAGGTTTAAAAATATTTGATAAAGTTCTCAAGACGGACAGTTTTTTTCGGTGTTTTTTTCTATGTCACTCAAGATTTATACGCTTTTAAAATCTTCAAAAAAAATTTTTTTAAAGAGAAATATTTTTTTCAAAAAAAGGATTGTTAACGATTTCAGTATACCAAAGAAACTTGGACTGCATCCGAAAGGCAGAAACCACCGACGGAACCAAATATCGCGCCTGTTTCTACAAGTTCAACGCCACCGTCAACGCCGACCCCAACAATTTCTGCGGGTTCGTCGTTGTTCTCACTTTTTAAAAGAATTTTTGAGAATTACAGCTACACTGAGACGTTCCTCGACTGCATCCAAGACTACTTTGTGCAGGAATGCAATTCTTGGGTCCGTTTTTTTTTGATCCAAAGTTTTTATACTCGTTTTGATAAGAAGCAAAAAAAAAACATCGCATTTTCTAGGAGCGTATTTTTTAATCATGTTCGAAAGCACCTATTTAAATGTGCCTTAAACGAGCTGGATGAGCTTTGAAAATAGTTAGTTACAATCCTATAGAAATTCCAAAGTACAGACATTTCTGAACTTCAAAAGAACAGCCGCCAATTTTGAACCGAAAAAAGTCCCACAATGTCTAACCAAACGTCGAGAAGAAGATCAAAAGAGGATCCGCTTCAAAAGACGCCGATTCTATTCAAACAGTCATTTGTTCAAGTTGATGCCGTTTCAAATTAATTATGGCGGAATTATTTTACGAAGGCGGCAAAATTAAAACATTAGGAGCCGTTGAAAAATTGGAAAAATACATATACCGGAATTTGTTTCGCCTATTTCACGAAGTTGTTTTGAACGAATCACGTTTCAACTTTGAAATCGCCAAATTTACTTTGAACATGCATGAGTTTTGTTCCAACCTCCATCTGCTCTGATTGATCATCAAAAGATTGACCCCGATGATAAAGAAGGAAGATGGAATTTCAGGTGGGCTGGATGGAGTGCGAGATGGAGCGAGTGGGATTCGCCGGCGACTGCCTCAACCTCAAATGCTGAAACCTTCTTTTGCCCCGCTTTCGTATATATATAAAGGATTGTCCAGAGATTTCCGGGGAGCACGAGGGGCTTCTTCTCGGCGTGTTGTGGCGGCGGCGGCATGGTGCTGCCTGCGCAAACAGCTCTCGCCTCGGGATCCTTGTATTTTCGCCTCCAACTGCCACAGGTCCACCTCACTTTCCAAACAACCGTCGCGAGGGGCAGCTCCCTCCAGCCTTCCATTCTTTTTTCTCCCGCTCACATTTCTCCCTTTTTCCGAAAAAATGTCGCCATCGTCGTCGTCGTCCCGTTTTTTTTTTTCTGAACTTTCGGCTCCGTCGGGATGTTTCTTCTTCCTCTCTCGCTGCAGTGATTGCTATCTGTGACCTTTTAACAGTGATATTATTGGATGTTACTATCAAGATCAACGCTTGATGTATTCAGCCAGAAGAGCTGTTTTTCTTCGTTTCTTCCGTGCGACATATGGAATAGCTTTTCATGATACGGCATGTACAAAAATCGAACAAATAACAAATAATTGGCAATTGACTTGCAGAATGAAAATTAGAATAGTGGAAAAAGCTTGAATTTTGAAATGCTACGAAAAAAATGAGTGATTTATTCAAGTGCGCTCCACCGGGCTGAGAGAGCTTTCAAATTTTTTTAAATTTCGTTTTTTTAAATTCGTTTTTTCTAAATTTATTCCCGTTAATTTTTGTTTTTAAGTGTGTTCTCTCGTGAAGAATCAATAGAGATTTTTTTATTTTGTTTATGGCATTCAATGAATTTTCGGTAATTCCGGCTATCCATGCACTTTAAAAAAACTTTTTATTTAGATGCTTTTTTCATTTGGGAAGTTTTGCGATTCAACTTTTTCTTTCAGAAGCTTGATCCAAATCTGATGTTGAAAAAAAGTTGATCTTTTTGACATGCTCTTTCAAGTTCAGTTGTTTTATTTTTGGAAAAAAATTTTTCTTTTTTTGAAAATTTTTTTGCTTTTTCGAGTATTCTCTGTTTAATACTGTGAATTCGTACGTGGAGCGATTTCTTCTGCATTTTCTGTGAGCTCGTCTTGTTTAAACTTTATAAGTGAGATTTTTCCATCAAAAATATAAATTTATGTTTCAAGTGGATTCATGCAAGAAACGATAAATTGGACTAGTGACTTTTCTTGATAGCAAATTTTTTTTCGACAGGGTTATATATAACTTTACGGTCAGCTTCAAATAATAGTTATTGATGGATGATCTAGTCCATGGACTCCAGTTTTTGAAACTATTTCGCGTAATTAAAAGTTATCTCTGTATTTACAAAGTTTAGTTTTCTTTTTCACTTTCTGAGGGTTATTTTGGTTTTCACGGAGCTACGTTGAACACGACATATCGTTCCGATTCCTTTCATTTTGCGAAATAGAACGCAGCAATTCCATTTACCCATACCAACTTGTCGCGAAATTACTCATAGAGCCATGAGTCCGAACTCGGCGTTGACAGTTTTGTTTGGACGCTTCTGCACTGTATCGTTTTCATATGCTCGAATTTCACGGATTCTCACGCGGTTGGCCCCAAAATGTTGTTGTGTGTGGCTCGTGGCGGCGGCTGATACAGTTCCTACTGATACGATCAATCGATGAGGGTCGCACAGGCAGCCGTGGAGGTGCTGTTGCTCCCAGGGACCATCCTGCGTCTTTGCACCGGCCGTTATCCATGCTTGGTGTCGGGCCAGCGCGCTGGCGTCTCTCTCGCGTCCGCTCGCCTTTCCATTCCGCCTCCAGTCTCTCCAGGGCAAAACTGTGTGCTGGAGCACCATTCCTGAATGTCTCTCCGGCTTTTTTGCCCTTTCCGCGCCTCATCGTTTCCATTCGCGAATGGTGACAGCGCTTTTGGATAGTGTCTCTATAGGAGAATCAATTAGATCTGAGAAAAAAGTCATCCTCCTGTAGGCTTCTTCAGCTTGAAAGGAAGGTCGTATCACTCAGCACTTAGGCATTTCTTGAAACTTTTCTGAAGAATTGCTTGAAGATTTTGATGACTCGGTCTCGACTAATTTCTATCTTCTTAGAAGGAAGGACATCGGAAAGATATATTTTCTGAAGAGTGTCCAAGAAATTACAAATTTGAAGCTTCTTTTCTTAGAACTCGGAGAGTTTTGTAGTTTCTGACTTTCAGAGCGTTTTTTTTAGTACATTAAGCAGTTTTTCTGAGAATTCAGAAAATTACAACGAATTCATTTTTTTTTAGTAAAAGGATCTTAGCCAGTTCTGACAAGTTTCAACTTCACTTGAAGCTTCAAATACCCTTCGTTCGGATTTTCGAAGCCTACCTTAGCTTTTTCCGCAGAGTTCGAAGAAGCATATTCGAAATTCATGAAGATTTCTAAGCGAAGAATATCAGGCTAAAGGCGTTCTCAACGCCTTTAAAATCCTCAGAAAACTTTTTACAAGGATATTAAAAAGAGATAAAGCTACTGTATGCCCTCGCCGTTCTTGCTCGTTTCCTCTAACCATTTCCGATCATCTCGAACATTGTTCAGAATGAGCGACGGACCGCCGGCTGGCAAGAGGTCGCGACTCGATGAGGAGGAGAAGCCATCGGAGATGCACGAAGACGCGTCGACGCAACTCGCCGCCTTGCGTTGCCTTGGAGCGCTGCCTGCGTCGCTGGGAGCTGAGTCGTCGTCGAGTGGCAACGGGTCGAGAGCCAGTCTTCGGCTGCTCAGCACCCAAGAGGAGAAGGAGCTCCGGAGGGACCGCGGCGAGCTCTTGCTTCGGCTCTTCCGAGACTCACCTTCGCTCGCGGTAAGACCGACAAACAACATGTAGAATCTAAAGATAATCGTCAATTTACTATCGAAAAAGTTTGGAGTTGGAGATGCTCAATTGGAAAGTTATGAAGAAGTCGTGCTTATTACAGATTTGTGGTTTAGATTTTGAAGACATGCTATCTCTCAACTCAAAGTTCGAAAAGAGTCTGAAAAACGACTGTGACTCACATTAAAGATGATAAAATCTTTTTCCTATGACTCAACTTTGCAAATGATACAATTATCTTCAACTCCAAAAATATTTTTTCACCCAAATTTTACATTTTCCAATATTTCTGGCCCAAATATGGATCCTCATCGTCAAAAGAAAAGCTTCAGTTAATGTTCAAGACCTATAAAATCTTAAAGTTATTTTCCAGAGTACTTTAGGGTCTTAGGTGCAGTAATATCGATGCTGTCTAACTCACTGAATCTTTCAAACTTTTCCAGAAATTTTTTGAATCATTTCTCCCTTATTCAGCATTCGGCGTCAGCTCGACGACTTGAAAAGAATCAGGAACGAGCGGCGATGTGGGAAAGCATCACGGCCAAAGTAAACAGCGAGTTTGGCGACAAACTCGAAGTCCTGACTGTGGAGAAAGTCAAGAAACTACTGACATACTACAAAAAGAAAGAGGACGGCAGCTATGACAACATGTATGCTCCATCGAACTTGTTCCTGTCAAAGAAATGATCTTCCAGAAGGCCGAAAACTGAACCTCCGGACGAGGGGACGTCGTCGACCTCGATGGAATCCGACTTTGGCTCTTCTTTGAACGAAGCCTGGGGTCGTATCACCATTGAGGAAAATGCTGACAACAAGGAGCTTATCGACTTTCTTGCGTTCGTTTCTTTTTAATGAGCGGAAATTTTCGGTTGAACTGCGAAAACCATACAGCCCAAAAGAGTATCCTGACTTTGTAACAAAAGTTTCAAAGAACAAAATAAAAATGAAAACTTCATGGTGTTACTAGTTGATTGATTGACTTGCTCCAATTCTTGAACACGAGAGAAGTCCAAACGACCTCAGAAAGGTCTCAAAAAGAACATTCTAAAGTCATTTTTCAGTTCGAAACCTTTTTCCGCATTCTTCTTTTTTTTTTTGTCCTTTTTAGAACAACTTCAAAGAAAAAGCGTCTGTTAGGCCTTTCAGAAACCTTTTTTCCAAATATCACTTTTAGGTTTTTCTGGACTTCCAGTAAACTTGCTTCCCCAGGCCTCTCAGTTTTCAAAATCGAAAAATTTCAGGCTGATGGCGTCGGAAGGAACGACGTCGCCGAGTGAATCCTCGACTTCGATCCGGACGCTGACGCCGACGACGGAGACCGGCTTCCAGCTGAAGAAAGACCGACACGACTACGTGGTGAACCTCGCCGAGCACTACATGCAGCGGATGTGCTTCGACAACTCCTCGCGGTGAGCCTGACCCCTCTGAACGACTCCAATCATCGAGACGGTCAGCAGGTCCGCGGCGGTGAACGCCGAGCGCCACAACATGTGGATCAACATCGCCCACAAGGCCAACGAGCGCTTTGCCGACGCTCTGGGACCTCTCGGCGTTGAACAGGCCAAGAAACTCTACTCCAACTGCAAGCGGCGGCGGCGAGTTCGCAAGGAGAGGTCGGTCTAAGGAAATAGAAAGAATTTTCAAGATATCCGGAACGCTCTCAATATGACCGATTCGAACAGTGTGAAAAAAAAGTTCGGTTATTTTATAGGAAATTTTCGTTTCAAAGTCGTATTGCTGTACGGAAAGTTGACAGTGAAGCTCAAAACTAATAAAATGTTAAATTGATTTTCGGAAAACATCTTTTTTTCAATGTCTTTCCCCTCAAGATTTTTTTCTATGATGAATCTTTATAGTATCTCGTTGAAACAGATTAAAGTTGAAAATCATCATTTTAAAAAATTTTTTTAATCTACTTCCCAATTCAGAAGCGAAGAGGACATGTGCCAGGCTTCACCACAAGGTTCTTCTGGAACTGAGCGCGAAGAAATCAGCGACGACCCTCTGACCGACTTCAACTCCAACACCAGTTCGCTTCACTATATTTTCCCTTCAAAAACTATCTTTTCTTCAAGATTCAAACTCGACGGACCCTCTGGTGAGCAACTTCGAACAATTGATCCGAGGGCTCGACAGAAGCGCCGAATTGGATGAAATGCGGAATAAGTTGGCTGAGAAAGAGGCCGAAGTGGCGACGCTGAGAAAACGCGTCGCTGAGGTTACTAGGCATATTTCTGAACGTTGTGGTTAACTTTGTTGAATTCAGCAAGCCGAAGAATACGCCGTCAAGACAAAGGCCATGCTGGAGTTGCTCAAAGTCGCCGTCGACAAGAAGACGTCCGACGATATCAAATATATTCTATCAATTTGACATTTTTTCATTATTCTATTGCACCCAGTCTGTTTGAAGATCCTAGTTGGATTATTTGAAGGAAAAATGATACTCAAAACGGCTCTTCGCCTCGCGATCTTCATAGAATTTTTCCTTCAAACAGGCTAACTACGATTTTTGAACAGACTAATTTTGGAAGCAACCGGTCGGCAACGGGAAACCCCCTTTTTGAAAATCTTGCAACTTTCGATCCTTAAATCTAGAAACTCATCTATTTGAATTATCTTGACTATCTTCATTCATTTTCTGAGCTTTTTCCCGATAGTAGCGCATAGTTTATTAGCATGTGGAAAGGGAAGGAAACTTTCAATTTTGAAAACTCCAAAAAACCATTTCTTTAAAATTTTAGCAACTCAAAGAGGAGCTCGAAATTCTATTTCACTTTTTTATTGCCACCGTTCAGAAGTACTCTGTGATATTGTCTGTTATACTGGGGTTTGATCTCGTTACCTCTCATTTTTCTACACTTGCCAGAGAAGAAGATTTATTCGAAAGCGGTGTGAAAGTAAAATCGTTTTTTTTTTTTTGGAAGAGGTCACGATTCTCACAGAAACACATTTATACACGTAACGGCTTGTAAGGGTTAAGGTTTTTGCTCTGCTGTGGTTATTTACAAAAGGCAGACAGAAAGAGAGGCGCTAAAATCAGTTTTGGGAGGACGATATGCAAACAAACTCGGGACACACATTTGCCCTTAAAAATTGATAAGAGAAGAGCGGATTGGTCTGCGGACGAAATGTACGCGGAATACAGTGAATTGGGCGTGTTGACACGAAAACGGACCGGGCAGTTCACTTTACACACACCCGTATCACAACAAATCGAAATACTGCCTATGAATTGGAGAAGGAAAAGAAAACAAATCGGCTAAGTCCATAAAATCTCTCGTTATTATTATTAGTTCCAGAATTCTTGAAGCAGAAAAAATATGATACATTGGGAAATGAAAAAGAATAATAAGAGAAGTGTTCAAATTTCGCTCTATTTCCTTTCGGGTTCAAACTGGATCCAGCGCTGCGAAAGCTCCCAATTTTCCTTCTTATCCAGTCGGAATTCGATCTTAAGTTTGAAGTTAAGTCTACAGAGTAACTACGGAATGGTTTTTGGTCGCATTGGGACTTCTGAATAAGACCACGTTGTCTGGGTGAAGTTTTTTACGCTAATTCCAAATCTAGTCTCGAAAACTGTTCCGAAAGGACAATATCTGATAATTAAAAAAAAAAATCCTCGTCGGATACATTGAAATTTTTCCTGTATAACATTTTTAGAGTGTATAACATTTTTAACAGACCCTCGCAGCAGCTTTTGATACCACATTCGAAATAGACGCCAAAACCTTTGCCTAGTGAACCTAGTCTACTTCAGAAGTCCCCCTGTGAGATGAGACAATTTCGTAGAAAAAGAAAATTAGGATTTCAGAGAGCTCTTTAGACTTTTCGGGACAGAAATTTTCGATTACTCAAAAAGTCTCAAGGTTCAAAACTAGAGTTATTTCTTTGAACTTACAACTCCAAGAACTGGTTTCGAAGCGAAAGCACCGTAATTGGTGTCGTCCTTGGCCGAGATCACCAACTTGTGATTGTGCAAGTCAGAAGAGTTGACATCGAACTCGAAGCTTCAAAATATTCGGTTCGAAATGGTCTTTTCCGCCTTTTCTCACTGATTATCATAACTCGGATTGGTGGTGTTGCGGGCGGTGCCGGTTTTCCGTTTGAAAACTTCCTTGTTCCCATCCAAAGTCATCAGTTTCACCTGAAGATTCTTCTTTCAGTTTTTCGAGAAGAGATGATGAAACCGTGATGTAAGGATTGCAGAACCCCTTCTTGTCGTAGGCAAGAAGGTTTCGCGCCCTCAGAATCAGAACGACGAGTCTCTTGGTGCCCTCGGCGTACCGGATTCCCATTTCGAGCTCTCCGCGCATCTCGCCCAGCCTTCAAAGCGAATATTTCACCTCACAACAGTCAGAATCGGCAAACTCGGACTCGCTTTTCCTTTTCGTGTGCTTGGATTGGAACAGACGCGCCAAACGGCTCGATTTGCCGGATCCTACCGAATTCAGAGATCCTGATCTCATCAACTGCAACGGAAGCCTATTATTTCACAAAAATCATCTTTTCAATTTGGATTTTTGTGCAAGAGTGTTTTAATAAATGTTCCTTTTTAATCCCGAAATTTCAAAATAGACTTTCAAGCTCAATTATCACTCTAAAATGTACAGAAACTCGTTTTAAAAGCATTTTTTTCAATAATTTTTTCATCCATTTTTTAGATTTGTTTTAATGTTTTTTCATTGTTTAAATCGGGCACCTTTTTGAAAAATAACGAATAAATATCCTCAAGAAAATTAAAAAAAATATAAAAAATCTCATAAACTGTGAAATTCAACGTTATCTCACTAATTTCTCAACTTTTTCACTTGAAGTAGCGTCTCACACCTTTCAATAAAGTTTTTGAAGCTTATCAGAACAAATAGGAACAAAATTTGTCGACCCAAAACTGTTCTCCCCAAAGAGTTCAAGCTCCAAACACTGATCAATGATCCTTCAGAAAGGCTCAAACAGCACAAACAAACTGACGCTAGTGGTTGGAGCCGTGTTCTTGAGCTCGGGCTCAAAAATGCCTGCATCCAGGTTGACGGTCTTGGCCGGTTCCACTGCCGCGACGTCTCCGTTTGTGATCAGATTTTCGGCTTTTCGCTCGGCTCTCTCAATGTGGAAAGCTGGAAATGGGAATGATCAGTCGGAGTGATATAATTAGCATTGTCGAATTGCTAAGTCTACTTGAAAAGGTTAGTTTGAAAAGTAAATTTTATTTTTTTCAATTTCAAAGTAAATTCAAATAATAGCAGATAACACATCAAATTCAAAAAAACTCGCTCTTCAGGTGTATTTAATTTACTTTTACTCAAGTCTTTCTAATCACCAGATTTTGGAAAATTGTTAATACCCATGAAGACCTTGAAAAAACTTTTAAAAAAAATCATCTTTTAAAATGCCATTTTTCTTCTCCAAGGGCGTATTTTCACATTAATGCCGTGTTCAAAGTAATTTCCGCGAAATGCAAAATGGTCTCTGACCCTCCAAAATTTAGTTATCTTTCTCTTTCTCTGACGGCTATTTTGAATTTCGCGGAATCACTTTGAACACGGCATAAATTCGCCTATATTGAAAATTTTTTAAAACCTAAATCCCCCAATCTCCATCTAAAGCTTCATTTTCTATAATTTCTTTTTCATTCACCATTTCCATACTCTCCGAGGATATCGTGGTCCAATTCGCTTTCCGCATGCCTTTTCGGTTTCCCTTGGACCAGTACCTAAACTTCCATAATAAATTTGGTCAGTCCAAAAATGGAAAAGACCCTGAGACGAGCCGTCACAACGATGGGGCTCTGATGGACGCCAAGGGTGAGCATGAACATTTGCTGGTTGATTTCGAGTTTCGGTTCGGCAAGTAGTTGATTAAGGGGTAAGGCGAAGGTTCCCAGAGAACGGCGGGTTCCTTCGTCAATTGCCTTGAAGGTATTTTTTCTAAGTCCAATCATTCTTTTTTTTTACCTCAAATCTGAGTTCTTGGCCCTCAACGTGCCGAACGAAGAACATAAACTTGGTCTGGTAGAGCGGATTGACGGTTTTCACCTAAAATAGGTGGAAATAAATCATTGACTTTTAAAAAAGAAAAATTTTGAAGTTATGAATTTATAAATCCAAATGAAACACAACGTATTCTTTTTTCCCATTAATCCAAGATTCTGATGAGTACAAATCCCACCCGGCTATTTCTATCCTTCCAATTTTTTTAACTTCATCCGTTTTTTTGATCGCTTTTTCAGCTTTTTTTATTCGAAAAAAATTAGAAAAAAATGCTCATATAAGTCAATTTATCAAATAATTCCTTATCTCAATAAAATTTCTCACCTTAACCGGAGTTCTCTGAGTTTCCTTGCCCAATGAAACTTCAACAAACGGCGACGGTTCGAGCTTAGACTTCGGGTACTGAAAAACCGATTCTTTTCTCTTTTGAAACTGATCGAATCGCACCGGCAAGTCAGAGACCGAGTCGATGTAGACCATGAGGAGGGCCGGATGGATCGGTTTGGTCTGCTGGCCGACCCATTCCGACTCCCACTCTTGCTTTTCGAGTTGTTTCAGGTCGCTGGAAAGGTTCATCCACATCGCTTTCACGTGAAGGTCGCCGTGTTTGCAGCCTTCCAGGGGGTACCACTGGAAACATTTTTTATTGAAAATGTTTTCAAAGGCGCAGGAAAAGTTTTGAGCAGAACAAAATCGTTTCGAAACCTCTTTTTTCTATCATTTGAGGGTCAATGGATAAATGTCGTTTCAAAAAAAACTTGAGAGTGTCAACTTCGAAGCATTTCACTTCAAAACCAACCTTATCAATAGAACCACGGGCTTGGATGCTGTTCAAATCGATGGCCAGCCTTCCTAGTTCCTCGTCTTTTCCTTGATCTTCATCAAAAAGTTCGATTCTCAGCTTCTGACCATTCGCCTGAAAAAACTTCCTAACTGACTTCTTTCGCTGAAAATGAACCTGATCAACGACAGCTTCGAAATGTTCGTTCCAAATCGGATTCAAATCATTATCAATGGTTCTCGTCTTCAAAAACTGTGATCCAACTCAAAATATGGGGATTTTTCTCAATTTTTTCGATAAGGTCAAACTTTGAATATCGCAGTACGGGTCACTTTTGCCTTTTTTGATGAAGGAAATGTCGCGATTCTCCAAATTTCTCGCCTCGATTATTTTCAGTCGAATGACACCCTAGACAAAAAATTGTAGTGAAAGAGTGGAAGCGGAGGAAAACATCTGGTTCTGGGAAATAGAGCTTCGTGACGTCGACATTTGGCGCCAGGGGAACCACGATTTCGTTTGGAAGAACGGCCAACGCCGCAATCTGAGAAAAAAAAAGTGATTGGAAACATTGAAAATTGTCTTTTTTTCATTTTTCTCAAAAAAACAGAATAAAGTCAATGGAAATGATAAAATGGGATTTTTCTTGAAAAAAATGACTGAAAAAGGGAAAATTGGATTTTTTTTTTTTGGATTATTTTACTTTTTAAAACTTCCAACATTATAACTATTATTTTTATGATGTAAAAAACTTTTAGTGAAAATATTTTTTTAATCAACACTTCCAGACTACACGGTTTTTCTAAAAAAAATTTCGAGTTTTCCTTTTTTTTTCAGTACGCTGCGTCAAAGTGTGAGAATAAAGTTTTGTTTAATAATTTAAAAAATAATATTAAGATCATTCAGAAGGACGGGTGAAACAGCATCGTAAATTAGATTTTTCTTTTCGAAGAAAAAACTTTTCAAAAAAAATTGCCGTCTTTTTTATTTGAAAGTAACGATCAAAAACTTTCTGGTTCAACAAAAAGAGACAGCAGAAACTGACAGAAACATAAACTAGAAAAAGTGTTTTTCCTTCCTTTTTCGCAGACCTCCGCATCAAAGTTAACTCTTCTAACTGATTATTTTAGATACAACTTGAAGAAGTTTATCCAATTTTTCCGTACGAATTCTTGAAAGAAAAATATTCATCCTATATCAAATATTCAAACCTGACTATTGATGACACTCTTGATGGCGTCCATCAGCCCGGGCAGTTCGACCATTTCGCCCATTCCGGTCAGGTTGAAATCCATTTTCTGCAAATTTTTCGGAAACTTCTTCAAATCATGTACAAAAACTGACGGGCATTTCGAGAAAAGACGCCGAAACGCCGCCAACCATTGGCGGATACGGCAGCAAAGGCTTCATCACTGCTCGAAGTTTTCCAGAAAACTGAAAAATTGAGAAACTTGTGAGGAGAAAAATCGGATCTTGATAAAAAAAAAACTTTCGATTTCTCTCTTTTTATAATTTTTCCGGATACCGTTCAACATAAAAAAAATGAAAAAAGATCGTTCTGGAACTGAAATTGATGAAAATAACGGCCGAGATTTCAAAAATTCAAGCATTAAGATATTCAAAATATAACTTCACCTTGAAAAAATTAAAAAAACGCTTTCAATAGGAATATTGTTCTCTCAAGGATCCTTCAAACCTAAATCTGAAAACTGAAATTTTACCGCATAATTTCAATTGAGCTCAAAAACCCTATAGGAAAAATAAAAATTCTGAGATCAGGTTAAAAAAACGTTTCTACTGAGAAACTACCACCTTCATAATTAAAATGAACAACCCAGTGCTGAAAATATGAGAAAAACGACTTTAAAAGACTCTCGGAAAATAGAAACCAACCTGGACATTGTTCATCCCGCCCGTGAATCCCATACAACTGACGGTGAAATCGGCGTCGCCGGCGTAGGCGACGTCCATGTCCATGATGATTCTGTCCCGGCCAACGTTGGCTGTGTACACCTTTCAAGGCAAATATGACCATTTTTCATTCATTTTTCTTCTGGCAACTTTTCGATCGCAATCAATAAGGAAACATGTGAAAGTAAGCCATTCAGGTACTGATGGTCAGGCGGGGATGCGCCGGGTGTCTTTTCTCATTTTTTGCCTTTTTTTGTTCAAATAAGCTGTGAAATTTGGCCTTTTTTTTAACTTCATGCTTTTCTTATCATGATGATCAGGTTTGAAACAAATTTAACGCATAAAATTCAACGAAACTCATTTTTCATTTCAAACCAATAAACATTATAAAAAAGAAAGAAAAGCGTATTTAAACAAGAGGTTTTTTTCTATTCGAAAAGCAAAAACAGAGTCAGAAACCCGGCGCGTTCCGATCAATTCTTGAGCTCGTCAAATGATTATAGAAATTGGAGTATACATTTATCAAGCGCATTTTACAGCTTTTCTGAAACTTACTTCACTCAACTTTCTCAATCATCATGAATTATTTAACCTAGGGAGTAACTAAACTTTTGTCTTGACTTTTAATATTCTGGCTGCGTTTTACAAAAGCCTATCCAAGCTTCAAATATAGTTCATTGTCAAAAAATTCAAGTTTCCTAAAATTTTTCTTCCAAAAAAGCAAGAAAAAACTGAAGGATCGCTCGACAAAATTCCCGAAAACTCACCTTGATACCGCCAACTCTGCATGGAATGTCGCCCATATCCATCTTGGTGAATTTGAAATTTTTGAACATGGACGGCATTTGTGACTGAAAAACTAACAGTCTTCAAAATGTATGGCGCGAATTTTCAAACCTTTACTTGAGGTAAAATGTAATCGTTCATGAAGAACTTGCCGTACTCTCCAATGTACGGCCATAATTGCAAAATGACCTGAAAAGGCGGAATTTTAGAGATACAAAAATTGAAACGATCGAAAAATTCTATAATCAAAGTTATATCCATAGAAGGAATAGAGTTTATATGGAATTTTTCGAATAGCGGTAATTTTTTTACTAACTTTTCACATTCTTTTGATGTTTTTTTAGACAAATAAATTTTCAATAATTAAAAAAATGAAATTAATAAAAAAACAAGAAAAATAAGTGCAACTGACGTTTTTTAAATTGAAAAAGTTGAAAGCAATATCTGAAACTGATAATTTGAAGACTATTGAAGTCAAAGTTTAAACTTTCAAATGAATAAGATTAATTTCAAAAATTTTCCTTTTTTCAAAATCTGATTATAAGTGAAAAAAGAAGGATGTTCTCACCCAGTTGATAAAAGCTTTAATTTGATGGAACGAGAAATAAACTAGAATTCAAAAAAAGAAAAGTAATCAAGGAAAGATCCTGTAAAATCCGGTACGCGTAATTTTTGTGAAGAGTTAGGATGCCTCAAAAATGAAACAAGCTCAAAATGAACCTTATTGATCCACTCGACCCTTTCCGTGTCAGGAAACTGAACCCAGGCCGGCAGGTCCTGCAAATGGGCCATCACGACTTCTTTTTCTCGAATCGCCGCCACTCGTAAGGCCAATAACCTTCAAAAAACAGAATAACTCCCCGAAAAAGAGTCGAAAACCGACCTTCTCTCCTTCTTTTTCCATAAATAGGTCTTTCCCACGCTCAGAGCAATGATGAGAAAAATAAAAATGTACGAATAATTATATTTTCCGATCAAAAAAGCCAAAGTCGACAGAATGGCGCTGCCGACCAAAGGGGAAAAACGTACGATTGCCACCCCATTTCCACGATCCTCCCTCCTGAAACTTGATATTTCGGAGAAGCTTCAAAATAGAAATAAAAAGGTAAGGATATAGAACTTATTATGGATTTAAAGCGCATATTTAAGAAATTCAGAAGCAGAGAAAAGTTGTGTCAAAAGATTTTTTCTTTTAACAACTTCTATCAGACAATTTTTCCAGAATTAGTTCTCAAGTTTAATGAATTGATTTAATAAAAGATATTTTTTTGAGTATGTTACTCGTCTCATCTCGATATAAGTTATGAAAGCAGAATGTTTGTCTCATTCCTCTAATAGTTAATTACGTCGTGTTTACTCAAATTTGTTTTCCTGAAATTCGATCCCTCAGCGTAGTTTCACAACGAATGCTCAAAAATAAGAACTGATAGCAAGGAATGAACTTTTTTTAACCATATGAATTTATATGAAGTGTTTTCCTCCATCAAAAATTCTGTACGAAATTTTTTTAACAGACAAATACTTCATAGATTTGTTTTCTGAATCGCATGAATTTCAGTTTGGGAGCAAAATGCTACTGAAATATTCATTTTTCGGCTTTTTCGAGCAAAACTTTTGCAAAAAAAAGAAGAAGCAAAATACGTTGTTATTTTGGTCTCTTCGTTATAACACAGTCTTTTTTAACAACTAAAAAAATGATTCAATTATTAAATTATTTGTTTCACATAAGCTCAAATTGGAAATTTGAAAAAAAGCGGAAAGTTTTTTTGAATAAAAAAACAATTGTTTCAAATTTTAAGAAAATGCTGAAAGAAGAACTTTTTTTGAAGAAATGAAATATGTGATATAATAAGAAAGATTTTTTTCAAAAATTGAGCCATAAACAAAGAAAAAATCCCGTTTCATGAGAAAATTTTGAAAAGCTACAAAAACAAAAAAATACATCTTTACACATTTATGAAATAAGTTTGAGATGAGAAAGAAATGGTTTTGGCGAGCATTTGTCAGGAAAAAGGCGATAGGAGAGACGCATGCAAAGTGACAAATCGTTGTTTGTCTCATTTCGCTGTGCCTCGCGCGAAGGAGCATACAATTTTGGGATGTTTACCCGAGTTTCTTGGCGCAAGAACACCTACGATTGCCTTCCATTGTTCAAACAAAAACCGATATAAGCAACGTGATAGTTGAAAGGTAAACGTTCAGAAAAATGCGATCCGCAGGTTGTCATGGAGACTTTTGACTATAAAATCAGAAAAAAACAGCATCTTGCTTTGAGAATAAATGTATTCAGAAATTCAGAACCATCGAGGTTCCACGGAGAAGATGCATGGAATAGATGTTCGCCGAAGAGGCTTTTTAATGTCGTTAAAACACGTTCGCGACACCTCAAAATTACTTTGAGAGCGCCATTTGAAATCGTCAACAATTGGAATCGAAAATATTGCGCTCCCTTTAAAATTTTTCAACAATCTTTACATAAGAATGGAATTGAAGAACAGAATGGCGTTTTTCAAAAAAAAAAAACCAACGTCTTTCTCATAAAAAATAGAGTGATGTGCGAAAAAAGGAATTTCATGTTGAAATCGGCAATGATTTTTCTCTTTTTTTGAAAAATACAATAAATCAATGGAAAAAAATTTGCGGTTTTTTTCCGTATTTCTAAACTTTTTCTCCGCAAATCCCTTCTTATTTTTCGAAGCACTCTGAACGTTTTGAGATAAATAAACAATATTCATGCATTTAGAGTCATTTTCGAGCCTGGAAAATCATGAAACTGTGTGTTCATTGGGCAACACTTGAAATTAAATCGGGAGAATCGCAAATGATACACTTAAGTTTTTTTACTTTCAAAACTTGGAAAAATACTTTGAACCTGTAAAATCAGACAAGACAAATTTTAAGAAATTTGAAGAAAAATTCGATAAAATTAAATTTAAAATAGTCGTAAAATATACTGGATTCACCGTAGATAAGTGTACGCGTCCACTCTAACCACAGTAATCAAAAAATAAAAAACATTTTCTGCGAAAGTTTTTCAGGCTCATATTTTGTTTTAGTACGTTTCGCATGTCTCTTGTACATCTTTTCTGGTCAATGGTGCACTAATAAGTGACTAGATAAAAATCGCCGCCAGGGCAAACAAAGATAAGCTGAAAAGCGGCGCTAGACTACCCTAAAGAAGGCAGTTCACGATGAACTGTTAGTAAATATAAACAAAACAACAAACCAGGGGTTTTGGCGCCGATATCTCCATTTGGAGGAGCCATCGCCATCGCTGAAACACAAATAAACTCAATAAAAAGGAATTGAAGAGCGACGGCCGCGGAGGAACTGTTTTACACCGCCGTGAGTCAACAGAAAACGGGCGGGAGCCAATTGTTGTTGAAAAAGTTTCCGACTTTTCAAAATAATTGCTCAGAAGCGTTGCGAAACGGAAAAAAAACAATCCTAATCAAAATATTTCGCGAAGGATCATCAAAGTGTAAAAAAAAAGGGGGGACGTGGCCGCCCTTATCTCAATCACATTACAACGGACGGGCGTGTTCCGAAAAACCTGCGTTTCTCTGTTTTGAAAACGGTTGCAAATATCTAGTAAACAAAGCGTCTGTCGAAAGGAAAAAGATGGATGGAGATCAGTTTATTTCACATTCAAAATGTTATATTATATAAGTGAAGACTAGTTTCAAATGTAGTTTTGTCTCTCTTGGAATACTGAGGGATCCACTTTTAGCCGCTTGGCTGCGACTTCATTTTGCTGCGTCATTTGGTTGTTCGCCAGCTCCATTCTGAAAATAGTAATATCAGATCTTTCCTATAGTGCGTTTCGCGAGGGATAGTCACATTTTAAGATCACAGAAAATAAAAAGCTACCGTAAGTACAACCTTCGCTCTACAAAACTGCTATAAAAGACAGGAAAAAAACAAAGGTCTTGAAGCGAAAATGCTCAATTTCGATCTATTTCGGTATAGGGTTGCTTTCGGCGGAAAGAAAAACGTGACAAGCTGGCGAGGAATAGGCTATAAAAATCGCAGGAGAAAAGAGGCAAAATTTGAGAAGAAAATAAGCTTTCTCTAGAAAAAATACTTGTGACAAAAAACAGAAAAAACTGCGAATTTGGTCCATTTTTCATGACTTGAAAATTTCAAAAAGATCTTTAAAAGTGAAAAAAACATTCACTCGCGATGTAAATCAATAAACGAACTTGTAGTTATTGGTGACCATGTGAACCCAATTCGTTTCCAACTGTTTCAATTTGTTGCCAGCATCCATCTGCGCAAGTTTCCTCGTCGCGTGAACTTCCATCACCTTCAAGATCAAGGATATTCATGATTTTCCTCTACAAGAACCTCTTCTTTGACTTTCCGCAAGCTTTTCTCGGTTTCTGTGAGAGCCTTTTCCAAGGCCTTATTTCTCTGAAGATAGCTCTCGTGAGCATATTCTTCCATCAGCTCCAAGTTCGTCTGCCTCAGAACCAAATGTTCGTTTTGAGCTTTTGCATTCCGGAGCACCTCAAATTGAAACCATCATAACTTAAAAATTGCGAGATGGGAAAAATGATTTCTAAAATTTTGTCCTCATCAAGTGGCACGGCTGATTTTCTAGAAACTAATTTTTACTAATTTTCACTCAACAATAAACCCTAATTTTTCGAATAAATGCATTTTTGACGATAATTCCTTATTGATTTCTGAAGACGTGAAATATTAACCTCAAACTTCTCAAAAGTAGCAACTGTGACCTGATCACAGTGATTCTCGTTGAAAACCCTATGAAAATTTTTTTGAAAACTTTTCAAACAGACTATTGCTTCTTTGAAAACCCTATCATTGGCAAAAGAGCGGAAATCGAACTTTTCGCCAAAGTTTCTTGTCGATTCCTTTGGCTGAAGGAGGCGGAAGTTCGCATCGGGTCATGTCAAGCTTCGGCATCTCCTAAACACAGCATGATTGACGTATCAATCAGATATTATCAATGGAAACCTGTTTCTTGCTTATTCTGGTCATCTCCTTCAACATACAAGGGGAAAGGAAAGCATCAAAATCGGGAACCGCCAAATGCTTCAAATAATTCTTCGTCGGCCGGAATACCTAAGAAATTGTATAATATTTGAAGAAATTCCAAATACTCACTTTACACTCATGTTCAATAAGTTTTAGCGCGTATTGTCGATCAGATTCGTTATATTCTGTGTCCAAATACGGCAGGGCATCTACTAATACCTGAAAATTCAATTATATTTCGGGTGTCTGAAATTCGTTCACCTTATCGTCTTGAATGAATCCCGACCCACTGGTGATCGCTAAAGGCTGTGACGTCATCTTGAAAAAAAAATTTAAGATGTAATAATAAACCGAGAATGAATTAGATATTTTAACTTTGATTCTACAAAATCGAAAGAGAAGGGGGAGAAAATTGAAAAAATAACTGTCTTTATCAAAAAAAAAAATTAAATACTCTTCGTAGACATTTGAATAAAGCGGTTAATAAGGATTCGAATTGGAGAAAAAGCGTCAACAACAAATAAAGGGAGAAAATGGTAATACTTTGAGAAAAATCAGGTAAAGAAAAGCCTCTGCAACCCTCCAGGTTCGATCCGTAAGTTGTGTTCACCACAGAAAGCAAGATTCACCGTACAAAGCGCTAGAAAATCTACAAATGACCGGGTGGAAAAGTCGAGTAACAGGTTAACAAAAACAGCTTTTCATTGTTATTTACAACGTGAGAGCTAGCGAGCTATATATAATATATAACACAAAAAAAGTCTGCAAAAAAAGGTTTACATGAAAGGTAAATGTTAGAATTTTTCGTAAGAAAAAAACAGCAAATTTTTCAGTTCAAGATTTGAATAGAAGACGTTTCCGAAGCTTCTGGTTCCGGTTGTGTGACCACTGCAGGCGATGCTCTCTTGTACTCGCAAACCACCCTGAAAATCGAATACTTCTCTCATCAGAAACTAATTGAAAAAATAAGAGCTTGGTAAAAAATATAAAGAGATAACCAACTTTTTACTGGACCTTCTTTTGGCCTGAGTATGATCTGGAGAAGGAGTCATCGATTCACAAGTGCCTGAGATTGAAGTGAACGCCGAAGAATTGCCATCTGAGGTCTGGAAAAATAAAACTGAAAAAAAAAAAATTCAAAATCGACTTCGAAATTACGGAGAAACAATAGTCAAGCGTAGGAAAAAAAACCTCAAGAAAAATATATAGAAACCGCTATAGTTAACATATTGAAGCTCAAATCGAGAAAAAAAGTTTTTTTAAAACATTCAATTTCAAAAAAATCAAAAAAATCCCTAAAAGTTTTGAATAAACTGCAAGAATGTGATTGAACGAAAAACGCGACCAAAATATTTTTGGAAAACTTAATTTCCAGAAAAAAATTGAAAAAAGATGATTGGTTGAAAATTTGAACTGATTTCTAGAGCTAATTTTTATCGAGAAAATTATTTTATTACTACCTTTTCTTTAAACAAAAAAAAACATTTATATTTTCAATGAATAACCTGTTCAGTGTTTGGAAAAAGCCTTTCTCTTCAAGTTGTGCAGTGCAGCCCATTCTCTACGGCTGCAAGTCGGCATCTCTTCTTTTCCGGATAAGCCCAAAACGTTAGAAATACGACGAGTACGCGTGAAAAACTTGGTCAACTTAGTTTGCGTCTGAAAAATCTACCTCGGCCTTTTAATTTTCTTTTAAAAAGACAAACCGTGTCTGGGCTCAATCTGGTCTTTCGCTTCTCACTTCGCTCCATTTCCTCATCGAAACGCTCAGGTTTCCAACCACACGTTTTCGATAAAATGTTCTACAATTGAAGAATTAAAAAAGTCAATAATCGACGAATCACCATGACAACATCCATATCTTTGAATGGCTTCGACGGGAAAGTGAGATGGTCGATTTTCAGAACTTTTGGAAGCAAGTAAATGCTGACAGCTTCACTGATAAAGATCAAAAAGAAATAAAAGAAACGTTACGTCAAAAGCTCAGTGTTTGGAAAGCCATCGGGAAGGTGAACAACTTTCTTTCGAAGTTTTTTCTTGGTTTCGCTGTCATCAGCCCGCTCCGGTATTTCGCGACGATGATAAGCACTAAAACAAAAAAATTTTGCATATATTTTTTTATATTTATTTAGCGCCATGTGTCTCAGCCAGCTATTGCAATCAAAGAAAAAGATAAAAAAAGACTTGAAACAAAAATATACGAGATATTGATCAAAAAAACTATCTCAGTCACTTAAAAGAGCCTTGTCAAAATTTATAAAGCGGACTGTGGAATTGTAAAAAAAAACTTAAAAAAGAATTATTACAGTGAAAAGAAAAATCGACTATTAAGATTACAAACATCGAGACGTAAAATCATTTTTTTTTACAGATCAAGCAATACTTCGACTTTTTCAAAAAGATCCTCACGAAATTCAGATTTTTTTAAAATTTAAGGTGTGACGGTTTGAGAGAATAATCGGCTAATACTCAGAAGTTTGAAAAAAAGATACTTTGGAATGGAAAAAAATAATATTTTATGGAATCAAAAACTAACGCGAATCGATCCAAGATGGAAACTGGATGATCGTCTGCACCGCCAGGAGCAGGTTCAGTGAACTCGGACAAGATTTCCAAGGCCGTGACCATTCCAACTCTGCCGACACCTTGATCATAGTAATCGCAGCCCAAGAGCATAGATAACGCTATGAGACGATTTCTCGACAAGTCTGCAAGAATCAATAAAAAAAACTTGCTAATCGTTTTCAACTCACGATGTTCCGTCTCCAACTTATCCATAGATAAGTGAATGACGTCCTGTGACACGGTTTTCCCCCCATTTTCGTAGTTGATTTTATACAGATTCATGCCGCCGAACAAGAAATAATCGAAGTCGCTCGTGATGCATCCATGTGTGAGTTTGGCCATTTCGAGCTGTGCACACTGGGCTTCACCATCACTTTCCGCGACCAAACAGCGGATTCCCATATTCCGCAGCAAAATCTGGGGATTTTTTTATTGTCCAAACTAGTAGATAAGACTAACCTGTATCTTAAGGACTTTGTCAGCACAATCTGAAAGCGGAGATGAAGACCTGTTTGAGCCGGCTCTCCGCTTTTTCCTCTCTTGCCAGGCGGTTGAGTCCGACTGAAAGAATTTCCCGGTTCTATTTCAAAACTCAAAATAACCGATGTTGAAGCAGCACAGTCAGAATTGATATTATCAAAGACAACAATCAATTCAATGTTGTATTCCAACAACCGCTGGCACCTAAATGTTGTTTTTAAAGCCGAGAAAAAAAAAATCACAAGAATATAATGCTCATTTTGAACTCTAAAACTTCATGCAAAATCTTTGAAACAATAGTCATAGCTTTTGTCAAACCAACAATATTAATGATCCAAAAAAATGACGAACCGATTGAAGAAAGTAACGAGATAGGAGACTCCCGAAGTTCCATGCGTGTGGCAACCTTTGTTAGATTCGTAAAGCCAAATATGCCCGTCTAAATGTTAAAAGTGAAATGGAAAAGTTAACCGATAACTCACCAATAGCAATAGTTTTATTACGTAGAGATTCGATAGATACAATGTCAGTATGCTTAATCATATAGTCCCAAATACCAGTGACCCCCATTTTATTGATATGAATTAGCCGTTTATCATCCCTTTAACCTGAAACTTATTAGAAAACGTCCTTAACGGAAGTGAAAACAACATAAAAGTGATCTTTCAGCGAGGCTCAAAATTTCGTAAATCCTGATTGAAACCTTTCTATTTTCAAGTTTGTAAAATTCGAGAAAATGATATTCTATGATTGAAAAAGATTTACTATAAAAAAACAAAAGAAATACATGAAAAAAAACATGAGAAAAACAAGACATGCTTTTTTTACAAGCGAAAAAACAAGTTTAGTGAGCCGGGTCCTGCCACGAAAACCCTTTAAATGTGCCACGATGTGTTTGGCCAGCGCCGCTGAATCGCACTGCTTTCAAAATTTTTTTCTTTCTCTCAGAAGCATTTTCGTTCATTTAGTTCACTCTGTTTTGTTTAAAAATAGACTATTCTTCTAAATTTCTTTTTTTGATGCAACGAAAAATTGGTTATACATTTTTTCTCTAAAAGGAAAAAAAAAATGTTGGAATCTCAGTTCGTATTTTTTTTTTCTCTCGTTCAACATCAATACTCGCATGCTGAGCAGGTGTCTCAACAGGGTGTACCCGTATTAAACCCGTGTTTCTGAGGTTATTTTAGTCTCAGTTGGGCTAAAACGGGGGAACAACGGGTGTAAGAAAAATATGTAACCCAGCTGGGCTAAAGCGGGGTCTCAGTTGGGCTAAAAAGTGCCAAAAGTTCTATCAGCTGGGTTTATACGGGTTTAATACGGGGGCACCCGCGGAGACCCCGTGTTAGCACGGCTGGGTTACCCTGCTCAGCATTCGAGTACTTCAAGAGGCTAATAACTCTAAAATTTCACTTGTTTGGCACGAGAGATCCCTCAAAACCAAAATTTTTCGGTTATGAAGCATTTTCCGCTTGATTCCAAGAAGTGCTGTTTCTATATATTTCCAGAATAAGCTATAGTTCATGTTTCGTCTCAATTTTTAATAGATGTCTTAAAATTTAGCATTCATTACGACTAAACAGAATATTTTTTCTAAGAGCTTTGCCATTTTTCTAGTATTCGTAAAAAAAAATCTGAGCACTCTTTTTTTGGACCAAAAGTTAAAATATTATCATTACTGATTTATAAACTCTTTTAGGTAAACCATGAAGGAGAGTGTTGGCCTTGGGAAGAACAGCCAACTCGGATTGACAACGCTTCTGACGTTTGCCATTCTCGCTCTGGCATGGTTTGTCGGATTTGCGTCAAGATTGTTTGCTATCGTCAGATTTGAATCTATCATTCACGAATTTGATCCATGGTTTGCTCTCAATTCCTAAAACTTTCCTCAAACATAAATTTAGGTTCAACTACCGCGCAACTCATCATATGGTTCAAAATGGTTTCTACAACTTCTTGAACTGGTTCGATGAAAGAGCTTGGTATCCTCTAGGACGAATCGTCGGTGGAACGGTTTTTCTTTAAGATATCAAATAATTTAAAAAGTTCATATTTATCCAGGTCTATCCCGGTTTGATGGTCACATCAGGTCTCATTCATTGGATTTTGGATGGATTGAATTTCCACGTTCATATTAGGTAATTAAATATTTGAGTTGTTTGTAAAATGAGCTTTTTGTAGAGAAATTTGCGTGTTTCTTGCCCCCACTTTCTCCGGCCTTACTGCGATTGCAACATACTTCTTGACGAAGGAGCTGTGGAGCCCCGGAGCTGGTAATTTAAAATATTTGATTGATTATCCAACTCGATTCAGGACTTTTTGCCGCGTGCTTTATCGCTATCACCCCCGGATACACTAGCCGTTCCGTTGCTGGATCTTACGATAACGAAGGAATCGCCATTTTTGCTCTACAGGTTTTGAATGAAAAAAAAAGGAAAACAACTCATTATTTTTGTTCAGTTCACTTATTTCTTGTGGGTGAAGTCGCTGAAGACTGGCTCCGTGACATGGGCGGCTCTTTGCGCTCTGTCCTATTTCTACATGGTCTCCGCCTGGGGAGGATACGTCTTCATTATCAACTTGATTCCGCTCCACGCGTTGGCTCTCATTATCATGGGTAAGAGCTTGGATTTACTATATCTTTCGATTTCTCCGGGTTATTTCTTTCTCTTTCCTTTTTTTCTTTTTAGTTTTATTAATTGTTTCCACTTAAAATACTGAACTAAATTGATGCTAATCCTTCTTTCTACTTTCCATCCGCCTAGAAAAACTTCAAAAACGGTGGGAGCGTTCTGTTTTTCGTACCAACTACTTCCTTTTTTGTACCAAAATACTGCTGACGAATTTCAAAAATTCTTGCAAATTTAATTTTCAGGACGATACTCTTCTCGTTTGTTCGTTTCATATACCACATTCTATTGCTTGGCTACGATTCTCTCTATGCAAATTCCTTTCGTTGGCTTCCAACCAGTTCGTACTTCTGAACACATGCCCGCCTTCGGAATCTTTGGACTGCTCCAGGTTTATAAAATCTTTTATATTTTTCTTTACAATAATTCTGTTCAGATTGTGGCCGCTATGCACTATGCTCGCACTAGAATCACTCGTCAGCAGTTTTTGACGCTTTTCGTTGGAGGACTCACCGTTGTTGGAGGTCTCGCCGTCGTTGTCTACTTTGCCCTCGTTTGGGGTGGATACGTCGCTCCGTTCTCTGGCCGTTTCTACTCACTTTGGGATACCGGTTACGCCAAGGTTTCTTTTTTTTTAGCTTTTTGAAACAGATTTTGAGGCCTTAGTTGTATTTTGACGGTTTAGATCCACATCCCCATCATCGCCTCGGTTTCTGAACATCAGCCTACAACTTGGGTTTCTTTCTTCTTTGATCTCCACATCACCGCCGCTGTTTTCCCTGTTGGATTGTGGTACTGCATCAAGAAGGTCAACGACGAGCGGGTTTTCAGTAAGTTTTTTTCAGTTTTTTTTTTCTAAAAATAGTTTTTGGTTTTTTTTTTCTTGAGGAGATTTTGTTTCCAAAAAATCATTTGAAAATAACTGATTCAATTTTTTTTTTAAAGCTAGAAATGCTTTATCTTATCTGTAATCTCTTTTGAAATAATGTTACACAGTTTTTTCCAGATCAAAAAATAGGTACCTATTATTTTAATTTTCCTCTTTTTTTCATTGAGTCCTTCTCATATTTGTTTTCTTGGTTTTTTCATTTCACACTCACTTTCCAGTCATTCTCTACGCTGTTTCGGCCGTTTATTTCGCCGGTGTGATGGTCCGTTTGATGCTGACTTTGACTCCTGCGGTTTGCGTCCTTTCCGGAATCGCCTTCTCTTATACTTATGAAAAGTTTGCTTTTCTCGATGTTCCCTATAGTTTCTCACTTTTAATTGAAGATACCTGAAGGACGATGAGAAAGTTCCTGGATCGACGGGTTCCACCAAATCTGGGGAGCCAAGGACCTACGACAAGCCTGGAAAGTCGAAGGTAGTCGACGCAAGTTCAAGTGTTGTGAGTGTCTTTGTCCGTGTTTTATCAATGTCCTTTTGTCATTTATTTGTTGTATTATCGTCCTTTTTGTTTTTTTGTGGTGTTTTTATGAGTAATAATTTTTTTTCAGTGCAAATCAGTTTTTAATTCTTTTTTCCTAATATTTAAGACTGGAATTAGCCTATTTGTAATTTTTTTTCTTCTGGTAACTGAACCAAATATTTCAGCCGAGCTCTTCTGAATCGGATGATCAAGTCTCCGTCAACGTGAAAACCTTCGTCTCGGTTTTGCTGCTCATTTTCTTGCTCATGTTCGTCGTTCATGCGACCTACGTCACCAGCAACGCCTATTCTCATCCATCCGTCGTTCTTCAAACCGCCTCCGGCAACGGGTTGGTTGAATTTTTTTTATTCTGATCGAACGGATATAAGGTTAACCCCATATATGTTTTTAACCTTGTCTTGCAACACCGTGAAATCTAAATAGAAATTTCCTTGGTATTAATTCCTACTAGAGTTTTTGTAAAAAAAATGTGAGTTAGAACTTTATTTTTGAGTGATAAAAACAGTATAAAAGCTTAGAAGCTATATTTCTAGGATGAGACAGAAAATAGTTTAAAGTGACTCATTTTCTTTACGCATCTTATGCAAGCTTGTGAATCTTAAGATTTTTGGGGACGGTGTGTAACATAAACTTGGTTATTTAGCTAATTTTTGGCGAATCATTGATTTTTTTATAAAATAAAAAAATCAAAGACTGTGCATTTCGATTTTTGAGTATTTTTCAACTATCGAAAGTTTCAGTTCACGATTTCATTTGTAGTCGAAAAAGTTGTTCGAGAAAAGTTTCAGTGAAATATCTAGTCTCATTTTTTTTATGCGGGAAACGTTCAGAGATCGGCTTATCATGGATGATTTCCGCGAGGCTTACCATTGGCTCCGCGAGAACACGGCTGACGAGGCCCGAGTCATGTCCTGGTGGGATTACGGTTATCAGATTGCGGGAATGGCTAACCGCACGACGCTTGTTGACAACAACACCTGGAACAACTCTCATATCGCACTTGTTCGTTGGAAAATGAAGGAAAAAATCAGTCGAAAGTAATCTTTCAAGGTCGGAAAGGCGATGTCTTCAAACGAATCAGCCGCTTACGAGATTATGAGAGCTCTTGATGTTGACTATATACTTGTCATTTTCGGCGGAGTTATCGGATATTCTGGAGATGATATCAACAAGTTCTTGTGGATGGTCCGAATCGCCCAAGGAGAACACCCGAAAGATATCAGGGTATGTTTCGACTTTGTTGGATTCAATTTTTTTTTGAGTTTTATTTAGCATGTATTAAACCAATGGCATTTATTATTCAAGAAAAATTAAAATAATCTTTTAAATTTTCGTTCAGAATGTTGGCTTCGAACATTAAGAGAAACGTTAAATTAAAAATATAGGGCTAAAATGTTAAAATTTGTAAAATTATTGATATTTTTCCAATTTATTTCGGCCGAATATTTTTCTTCGCAAATCATTCCAATGAAGGAAAAAAGTGTATGAAATTAACTAGGAGTGTATGCGAGTTCGATACGATTGAAACAGAATATTGATTCAATTTTTATTGTTGGAACTTGAAAACAACGATTTTTAGTTTTACAGAAAATTGAAAAAAAGCAAAAAAAGATCAGAATGAATCAATTTGAAACAGGATTGTGTGTTTTTACAGGAGGAGAACTATTTCACCGAGTCTGGAGAATACAGCGTCGGCGCCCAAGCTTCTGAGATCATGCTGAACTGTCTGATGTACAAGATGAGCTACTATCGGTTTGCTGAAACTCGCGTTGGATATAACCAACCGGCCGGTTTCGACCGAACTCGCGGATACGTCATCGGAAAGAAGGTTTTCCTATCATAGAAACTGCGGAAAAGTCGAAACAAACATTTCAGGACGTGACCCTCGATTATATCGAAGAAGCCTACACGACAGAGAACTGGCTCGTCCGGATATACAAGCTGAAGGATCTGCCGAATCGGCCACAGATCAAGCCTGCCGATTTGACAGTTCCTTTCCGAGGGAAACGAGTCGCTAAGGTATTTCCTCATCTACCTTGAATGATTTGAAAAAGTCATGTTTTCAGGGTAAAAACAAGAAAGGCATTCTTCTTCAAAATGAAAGTGTCAAGGGAAAGAAGGCGGAAGCAGTCTAGTTGTTGAATTCTAATCATTTTTGTGTTGTGAGTTGTTAGATTCCGAATGATTTTTTTTTGTTGGTTTTTACTTTTTACGTGGCGTTGTTCTTAATATATTTTGAAGCGGTTCTTTTGTGATATTGCTTGAAAGCGGCCGCGATTGTTTTAATTTATTTCTTAATTTATTGCTATTGATTCGTGTACTTGTATGTTGTAATAAATGTCTATGTACACGACGCGAATACCGCATTGATTTGCGATTTTTATGGGGGTCGTTTGGCCCCGAAAAGGAAATCATTTCGCGATGTTTCGCCTGCTGGTCACCGGTCTGAAGCAAATTGTCCAAGTGACGGATGACTCCGACGTCAGCTTCTTGAAAGGTCGCCAAATGAATGACATCAAGGTTTGGAGCCGTTGGACATTCTGAAGACGTTGAAGCGCAAGATTCTCAACGACGACAGCGCCAATCTTTGCGTTTTGGTCGACAACGAGGGGAAAGTAGCGTTTGTTGGCAGAAAAGAAGACGTCGAACGACTGTTTGATCTCTCTTCGGTCACGAGGACTATTGAAACGAGAGGAGGTTGGGAAAGTATGAGAGAATGAAAAAAGGAGTCTGAACACACGACGCGAAGATTTTTCGTAGAAAATTAAAAGAATGATAGTGTAAAAAAAAGTTGGAGTGAAGTTTTCTGTAAAGTCCACGTAAATCTTACCCGGCAGCCGAAAATTTGCAAAGAAAGTCTCCATAGAGCGGAAATGTCCTATTAATTAAATTTTTTTTGTTTCAAACAGGCTGGTGCCCTTTTGGCCTTTATTTTTTTGAAAAAAATCCTGCTTGGGCCAGGACGGGCTTGGAAAAAAATCTTAAATTAATCAAACATTTTTTTCACCGAAAAATTATTTTTTTACTTGTTGAATCATTATCCCTTTTCTCAAAAAGCGAAAAAAATTCAACTTGAAGGGAATTTGATCTTTCTGGGCCAGCCCACAAAGATCAAATAGGCCGGCCCAAAAAGATCGAATTTTTCGTTTTTTTTTTTTTGAGAATCCTGGTTTCGAACAGATTCTCCCGCACGGTGACAAAAAGTTCAACAAGTCTCTTGAGGGTACTAATTACTGAATTAAGAAAACCCTTCGCAATTTTCTGATGCTTTTCTGATGGTTTCAAGTCATTTTCTATGAGTAGTATTCCCAAAAAAGGAATTATTTTCACGTTTAAGGGGTTCTTCTCCCCGGATTCGTCGATGCTCACTCACATCCTGTTTTCGCCGGCGATCGGGTCCACGAATTCGCCATGAAACTGGCTGGCGCTACTTATATGGAGGTATCTCCTTCATATCTTCATTATTAAATTGAAAAAACTCAGGTTCAACAAGCCGGCGGCGGCATTTTCTTCACGACTTCAAAGACCAGAGAAGCGACGGAAGAAGATCTTTTGAAGGATTTCGTCGAGGTTTGAAAGAAATTGAAAACTGTTTAAAATTTTTTTCACCCAAGATCATTATCAATCGACGATCGTTTCATTTTTTTCAAAATATAATCAAATTTTTTTATGAAATTTTTTTATTCATTTTTTTATTTAAATTTTTAACATAAATTGATGATGAAAAAAAAGGTTTCCGATCCCAGAACGACTTTTTATTTATTCGTGAAATAATTTTTTTACATTTTTTTCCCATTAAGATTAAATTTTTATTAGGAGTCAACTTTGATCTCATTTTACTGTTTTTAGTTTATATTTAAGAACAAAAATGAATGACTCAGTTTTTTTAATTCTCTCTAAGATTGTTTGTGACGTCATGTTAAAACTGCATCCTAAGTCCCAAAATCAATTTGAGATTGCTGGGAAAATGACCAAATGCGGAACAACGACTTTGGAAGCGAAAAGCGGTTACGGACTCGACCTGGAAACGGAAATGAAGGTCGAAAACCTGTTTCAGTTCCGATTTTGACGACTTTCATCGCTTCAGATGCTCCGAGTGTTGTCTTCTGCTGATGACGAATGCGCCTTGGAAGTCTCGGCGACGTTTTGCGGAGCTCACGCCGTTCCCAAAGTATTCTGAAGACCTATTCTCCTCCTAACGTCTTCAGGATTGCGACGAAGCCGGGCAAACTCGTCGAATTTGCGAGGAGATGATCCCGTTAATCCACAAAGAAAAAGTTGCTGGCAACCTGCAGAAAGTAGAAAATATCGACGTTTTCTGCGAGAAAGGCGTTTTTGGAGTTGAATCTACGTAAATACTTCGATAAGAAATCATGTAACAGTTCTGATTGAGGGAGAAAATCCTGAAAGCCGGCCAAAAAGCAGGTCTAGTTGCTAACTTCCATGCTGAGGAGCTCAACTACATTGGCGGCGTGGAAATGGGGGCCAGAATCAAGGCGAAGGCGATGTCGCATCTGGAGGAGATCTCTGACGACGGAATCTCCGCGATGTCGTCTTCCGGGTCCGTCGCCGTCCTGCTTCCTTCTACCGCCTTCATTCTTCGTTTGACGCCACCTCCAGCTCGGAAAATGATTGAAAAAGGTTTCGCAGTCAGATTAGCAAAAAGAATCTACATTTCCTACTTCTCAATTTTGATTTTCATATATAGAAAAAAAAATTTGAGCGTAAATGCGGTACAAAACATGGTGAATCACATTTTTCAAATCTTCATTATTTTTTAAATTCCAAAAAGTCTTTTTCCGAGGGTAGCAATAGAACCATACAAAAGTTGAAAACGCTTCAATTTCCATTAAAATAAGTTTCGAAAAATATCAGCTCGTTTTCAATTTTTCTTTGCCTGTCACCAGCTATTCATTATTATTCCGCATAAAAAATAATTTGTTATAAACCAAGAAAACCCCTAATCACATAACTTTCAGATGTAATTGTCGCTCTCGGCTCAGACTTCAACCCAAATGCTTATTGTTATTCCATGCCGATGATCATGCATCTTGGTGAGCTTTGCCTTTTTTTTGAAACTGAGATTGTTTTTCTTTTTTGATTTTTTCTTTAACCAAGGGGTGAAGTCCACCCTGTAACTTTCATTATTTCGACATTCTCCTTCAGCTTGTATCACGATGAAGCTTTCGATGACGGAAGCGTTGGTGGCGGCGACGCTCAACTCCGCCCATTCGTTGGGACGAGGCTCGACTCACGGCGCCGTGGCTCCTGGAAGGTTAGATTCTTCCTCCTGATCTCAAATCACCCCGCAGAAAAAAGTTCCATACGCCCCACAAAATTCTTCACCATACAGGTCCAAATACCCATCAGGATGGTTAGGAATCATTTGTCAGGAACCCTTTTTCCACACTTGTTGAAACCTGTTGAACAGTTGTTGATCATGGAAAACGTTACGGCCTCATTTAACGATGTTTGTCGTTTCGAAGACTAATAGGGCATGTCAAGGTCGGCGTCGAGATGGTTGGAAGTTGAAGAAAATTGTTTTATTACTAGTTTTTGTTGCATTTTCTTTCTGAACTCTGCAAAAAAGGCGATAAAATTTTGGAGGCCATTTTTGAGAAAAAAAGTGAAATTTTAGAGTTGGCGATTTTGTGATACTCGACGCGCCGTGTTGGGAGCATATTATATACCGGTTTGTTCGTTTTTATTTGAAAGTTTTATCAAAAGATCAAGTTTTTTTTTTCAAATTTTTAAGACTGAAAAATTCAGATTTTTTGAAGCTTATTTAATGGTTATGTGGAGAGAATAAAAGTGATAGAGAGTTTTGTGGACATTGAGAGGTCATGGCCGCACCGGAAATGGTTCTAGGTAACGGTTGTATTTATAATTCTCCGGACCAAAAGTGACTTACGCTCGTGAGCATTTGGAAGCATTAGAACACGCTGACAAGGGAAGTGTTTTTGGTGGCCGGTTGAACTTTTGTTGAAACTTTGCTGGAAGGTACTATAAGACCTCCTCTTTCCAGAACACAAATAAAATTTCTCGCAATAGATCTCGTTTTCGAGTTATGAAGCTTCAAAGTTTGCACGCTGAATGAGTGCTGCAAGGCAAGAGGGTATGTGGCTCGCGTACGATCCCTCCACACCAGTTGGCAGCGTGGTGTAGTGGCTAGCGTCCTTGCGCTGCGGAGTCTATGACCTAGGTTCGAAACTTTTTGAAGAATTTCGTTTTTGCCAAAACTTTCCTAGGAGGAATTTATCGACATTGGAGAAATGGACCAAAACTTTTTGTCCAAAATAACATAGCTTCTCATTTTACTCGATTCCCCAAGAATTTTTAAAAGACACGTAGAACTTTTTCCCCCCAAAAAAAAGACTATTAATAATTTTTATAAGCGGAAGAAAACATTTAAATCGGTATACCGAATCAAAATGAGAAACTATGTTATGTTGGAAAGAAATGTTTGGTCCATTTCCCAAATGTCGATAAATTCCTCCTAGGAAAGTTTTGGCAAAAACGAAATTCTTCAAAAAGTTTCGAACCTAGGCCATAGACTCCGCAGTGCAAGGACGCTAGCCACTACACCATGCTGCCAACTGGAGTAGAGGGATCGTACGCGAGCCACATTCCCTCTTGCCTTGCAGCACTTATTCAGCGTGCAAACTTTGAAGCTTCATAACTCGAAAACGAGATCTATTGCGATAAATTTTATTTGTGTTCTGGAAAGAGGAGGTCTTATAGTACCTTCCAGCAAAGTTTCAACAAAAGTTCAACCGGCCACCAAAAACACTTCCCTTGTGAGTCTCATGCCCGTTTTAGACCCAATTTTGACCGCAATGATTGAGGACACTCCTCAGGTTGGATGGAGTGTAATTTTTTTTAACATACCGAATAAGTAGTCCTATTTTGATTCAGAGTTTAAAAATTACGAAAAATTAATAAAAGTTGATTTTTATAAAAAAAAAACCTTGATAAGATATCAGTCTTGACAATATATCAGTCTAATTTTACGAAAAAAGAAATCCAAATTAAAATTTTCTTTTCTTTTTGAGTACCAAAACTCATTCTCGTTCCAGAATGGCTGCCCACGACGAAATAATCTCCTACGTCGTGAAACGGGGCACCCTCGTCTACCGCCGAAACGATCCCTATGTCTGAAATTGTACTGTTTTCTTCCATTTTTCCTTCTCTCCCAACTTGAGAAATGTTTGCAAGTTCTAATAGAAATAAAGGCTCGTTCTGCATCATGTGGGTTACCGTAATTTGTCTAATTTCCGACAAAATTACACTGAGAACGTCTCTCCCATTCAGCGAGTTTTCGTTTGATTGAGTTCTGGTCAAAATATCTGACAGGTTGAAATTTGGAAAGGAAATTGATTCTTGATGTCACTTTTTTCTCAAGTTACATATTTTGAACTGAGAAACGGGAAAAATAGAATTTTGGACACTTTCTTGGAAAAATCATAAGTATACATAGAAACCTGTGAAAGTGAAAAAAAAAGGGAAATAAGAACTTTGGCTAAAAGGCTTTCTTCCTTGAGCTTTTGTGCTCTGATGAAAATATGAATTCTTTTGTGATTTCAGGAAAAAAAAGGATATGAGAAGCTGCACACAAAACGGCAAGGTACCGCTTATTCGAAATCATTAAATTTTAAGGTTTTGTTTTTGTTTTTGTTTTTATCAGTTTTTTTGTTTTTTTCAAAGTTCTAAAGCTTTTTTATGCTTACGGAATATATGAATCTAGAAAGTTTGAAATGATTTTCGAAGTTGGTTTCAAAAAAGTCTCTTTTGTACTTAATAAAAATTTCAAAATACGATAAACGTATCTACATGAAAGCTTCTCTGCTTGCTTGAAAACTAAAATCACTTTATTTCTTTCCTTCCAAAAACTTGAGTAATAGGCGTGGCCATCCAATCAGAGGCCTAGTTCAATGGAGCAAAGTTCTTATAGCTAAATCTTTTTTTTTTCTTCGAGTATAAGTTTTCACATCTTATCCAGCTTTTATCGTCTTCCGCTTCTGAAACTGCAACTATTCTGTAGCTGAACTTCCGTTTCGGAAACGGCTTGCGGCCAAAGACCGCACCTATTTTGGGATTTGGCCCGTCTTACGGCCAATTGCAGCTTGTCAGGCGAGTGACGTGGCGCCACATCATCTTCGTTTCCTGTTTCAACAGATTTTGATCTCTCATTTACGACAGAAAAATAAGAGGAAAACGTGCGATTCGACAGTCTTGACGGCGAAAAACAAATGGGGGAAAGGCTTGATGAATGGCGAGAGGCCGTTTCTTTGAAATGGGTGATCGGCCTAGTGGGTCAATTTATTTTTTCGCCCTAAGCGCAGATGCTTTCCTTTTTTGTCTAGAAAAAGAAAGACGTCTGAAACTCCTTGTACTAGAGAACTTCGATGGGTCGTTGGACTTAATCAAAAACAAATTTATTTCTAATTTTAGGTTATTTGGCACAAAAATTGTCAGATTGAATGATATTGAAAGGAGCCTGTAAACTGAAAAGTCGAACTTCATTCTTCATCATAATCGAAACTATGGGCTTTGAAAAGCAGAAGAAATATTGACCTTTCCCTTAAAGTCTTGAACTTTCAAAGAGATTCTTCAGAAGTTCCTTGGCTCTTTCTTAAGCGACCACTTGGATTTTCCTCACGAGGAGACATTTTTCATGGACAGGGAAAGTTTTTAGTGGCCATTTTAGGGTTTTAACGTTCAAGTGGCCACTATAGTAGTCAAATTAGCGGCCTCTCAAGCGACTAAAATATAATGACCTCTTCAGGAGTCTCAGTGGTACTTCTATACTCCAAAAAATTACTGTAATGGCCACTAAGACACGAGATAGAGGCTTCTATAAATTTGTTTCTAGTGGTCACTTTAGGTTCCTCTCCAAGCTGTCCTTGCAGAACCTCTCAAGTGGCCATAAAAGTTTTTTCAGGAGCTTTAGAATTTTTCGGCTACTCAAAAGTTGCTTTTTTGGTCCGTGTGGGAGTAACTAGTATATTTCGACCTTTATTAAAATATTGGAGCAAGTCCGAACGAATTCAAGAAAGAACTTGTAGTCTGATCGCGAATAATTAGAGCCAGAAGATCGATAATCTTTTTTCTGAGAAGCTTATGTAAAAAGGAATAAGAAAACGTAGAGATTCCATAAGGTCTACGGTAACCTCTTCTTTTTCGTGACAAGCTTGCGGTGAACGGAGTATAAATCAACTAGATTCGGTTCATCCTCCGAAGAAGTTTCTCGCAGAGAAGAAGCGAAAAAGGAAGCTTCTCTTGGGTTGTGAGAACGAGGCCGACGGGGGGTCGACCAAAAGCGAGTTTCTTCTGCTTCTTCCGAACGCGTCGATTCTTTTTCTTCGTCTTCTTCTCCCACCGTTTGGTTTATTTGTTATGTTTGTATTTGGTGTGTGTTGCAAGGGCCTTTTGAATGGAATTGTGCACAAAATGAGCGGATACGGTAGCGAAAAGACACTCGATGACCACTCGGCCGTGCACGGAAGGCTGGTTCGGACCTTTCCTTTTTTGGATTCTCGCCTCGTTTTTCCTACTTCTCCTGGCTTCTAGTTGGTTTTTTACGTTATGTGGTCGTCCTTCAAGAGCTTTTATAGTGTCTCTTCATTATTCGTTGCATCATTTTTCGGTTCTTACCCGGTTTCGCATGGTTTCTAAAGCTCAAAGTTGCCTAAAAATTTGTAAATTCAGTCAAGTTTGTATGGGAGTTTTTTCATTTTCAGCAAATTTCGATGATATTACAGCTTGTTATGTTCTTTCGCGAAGTTCTTTTTAGTGACTCTTGCTGAGGCCTTTGAAAGATAATTAGAATTTGTTTTTTTGATTAAAAAAATTTTGCCACTGTTTAAAAAAATGATCAAATAATATTTGAAAATTATTTATAATTTTGTTTGCATTGAAAAAAGAGCAAAACGGAAAAGCAAAAATGACTCCTAGGGTCTTAGGTCTTAGACTAAACTTTAGTCTAAAGACCGTCGACGGATCTTTTTTCATTTCACCTTTTTTTATTTTTTTCAAGTCTTGTATCAAAAAAATATGTTGGAAAAACAACTAAAAAGATTCCAAGACATTTAAAAAAAGAATCTTTGAGGCTATGAAAAAAATGAGCTTGAAAGACTGTTTCGAGGAACTTTTTAGTGGGATCTTTTTTTAGCTCCTTTTTGAGGGTCCTCAAATGAACTTTTCCGTTTTACCTAGAAGTACAGTTTCATCAAAAAAATTTTTGAGATATGTACTGATTTTTTTCTCATTAGGTGGATGAGCCCCATATCGATAAAAAGATTCATTTTTCTCGTTTTTTTTTTCGGATAGTTGAACGTTTTTTTGAAGCTTGTTCTAACTCCTTATAGAAATTCAGGCCAACTTGTATTTGAGTTCCGGGGAAGCTTAAATTTTGAACTCAAGCGGAAAAAATGAGTACCACTTCAAAAAAATCTCTTTTTCCAACATTAAAAATAGATCCTCACAAATTTCTGAGCTCCTTTCTAAACTTCAAGTCTTTTGAAAACATCTCGGAATTCCAACAAACTTTTTCTTCAATTTTTTCCGATTAAAACCGCAATTTTTCCCTTTAGAAAACCTTGCCACAGGTACTTATGAAAGCAATCAAAAGTTTTGGAGAGCCCGGAAAGACCTTGAAAAACTTTCGCCGCCATCATCATTTTCGGTATTTTCTAAGTAAAAGATGCGTGGCCGCGGCCCATTTGCCGAATTTCCATTTTTGTTTGGTTCGTCTGTTTGTCGACGGTGCACGTCTTCTTCTCCTTCGTTTTTTCTTCCATTCTCCGCATCATATGACCCCGACGTCTTCTTCCCATTTTCAGTGATGTTCGTCGCCGTTTTGATTGATTCATAACCTCGTTGAGAGTCGCTTCGGAGGCTGATAAAAAGGTTTAATTGTGATTGTAAGGACCACTTTTATAGGGCTGTTGTTTGACTTTCCGAGTGATTTCATCTCAGAGATTTTTGTACTTGGATCTCTGGTTTTTGCATCTCTGGATTTTCGGACAATGATCATCTATTCCGATACAGCACTTCTCTGTATGAACAGTTTTAAAGTGATTTATTATTTTATAAATGATCACTGTACTATCACTATACTATCACTGATTATTACTATATAAATTATCACTGAATTATTTCGCCGCTCTTATATCAGACGGCTCACCGTCGAAAATATGAAAGGGCTATATTATGAGGAAGTTTATTAGGGAATTAATCATCTAATCTATTCCACTAGAATTGAACGTTGGTTACGAAAATTTTGATGTTTCTGTGACTGTCGGAACTTCCTAAAAGAAAAAAGGCATTTTTGAGAATTTTTTTATTCATATGTCTTTCTCAATTAAATTTCATCAACCTTGTCATGGGAGTAGAGTTGAAACGATATTTTTTCTACTGAGATTTTTTAAAGTCCTTTTAGGCCAGTGGAATCAGCTGAGAAGCTTCCACTACAAAAAAAGGGCTTTTTGAAATATTTTTTTGAAAAAAAAATTTTTTTCATTAATCATTTATTCAGCTCATTTGATAAGAGTTGAGACCATATTTTAGTTAATTTTATTTTTTAATAAAATCATAAGGAGCTAATTCTCTCGAATCGGAAAAGGAGCTTCTTCAAAAATAGACGACTTTTCGAAACTTTTTTTTTTTCAAAAAATCCCTTTTCATTATGATTTCTCAACATGATCATTCGATGATAAGAGTTAAGAAGTCCATATATTTTCGATATGGAAGTTTTGAGAGCGATTTGGACGCTTCAATCATATGACCCGATGAGGCGACGTCTTCAGGCGAAGGTCGGCCGCCCCCTCGAAAAACACTTTTCTTCCAATTCGTTTCCCACCAAAGTCCGTTTCGGCCGCCTGTTTATCTTGCCTTTCAATCATCGAAAAAATACCGTCCCATCGGGTATTTTTACCTCGTCCGATGGCACTGGAGTAAGTGACCACCTACCGTAATCCCTTTGTTGGCCTCTTCGCTTTTCAAACACACTTTTTGTCTCAAATCGAATCGAAGTACTCGACGTCCGGTTTTCTTTCCAATTTCATTGTTTGGTATGGCGGGGCGGAACATATTTCACCTTCCAAATATATTCCCAAACTGGTCCGTTATATTTTAACTCTTTGATGGACCTGTGATTGAACTGTTTGCAACAAAAGAATGGCTTTTACGAGCCGAAAACTGGCAAATTAGGTTCGAAAATAGTTGGCAATGGCTAGCAAACTTTTCCACGAGGTAATGGTATGCGAAGTTTTCAAAAGAATAGAATCGCAACTCTCTGAAAAAGTTTACAATTCTCCAAAAAGCTATCAGGTCATTTTATTATGCGATGAATGGACTACTAATGCTTCTTAAAATTCGACAAAGTTAATTTTCCAAGGTTTACTTTCCATAAAAGTTTGTTTCAACAATATTTGATGAGATTTGAGTTTTCAGTTTTGAAAAGACAAGCTTTAAAGTTTTTTTCTGTATATTTTGGTCACTTTTCCACATTTTTGTCAAGTTTAACACGCTCAGCTGGAGCGCAAGAACAATTTTTAGTTCACTTCTTGTTGACCGGCCTTCTTTATCTTCCTTTGCTTTTCTCACGTTTCGAATATTCTTAAAATCCCGTTTCTCCGAGCCCACTAACGTCTATAAAGATTTTTTTGTCAATAGTAAATCCATCCCGACTTGAAAGGCGATATGAGTAGGTTGGCAAAGGTGAAGCGTTGCGTGTGCGTCGCGGTATTAACTCGAGGTCAATTTAATCGTGAAAAATTTAGAAAAAATGCTTGTTATTATTTTCATACTTTATTCGTTCAAATGAATGTTTCAAAATCATTAAACTTATAGTTTATTGAAAACCTGACAAAAAAGGAGGAAAAATGGTGATTCGTGTTTGACCTTGAGTACCCCGCCAAAAGCCGCGTCGCACACGCAACGCGTCACCCTTGCCAATCTTCCCATCTCGTCTTTCAAGTCAGGAGGGATCGACAATACCGTTTTCGAAATTTTTTATCTTGTGAAAAGGCAATGCCATTCGGGGTGACATCATCATTACACCTTCAAAAAAAAAAGCCCTCATTTTTGTCACTGAACTTCTTCTGACCACTCAATCACCCGAAAAGTCTCGGAAAATATGTTTTCGCTCCCTATCAGCCCTTGTTCCAGATAAGTAGTTCTGAAAAGGGTTGAAAAAGGAGAAGAAGAAGGTGGAAAGTTAGAAGTCGCCACGTGAATTCCATTCTCGACGCAGATGACGACCGATAACAGTAGACTTACCAGTTTTTCGGCTCCGCCTCCCCTTTTTTTGAAGGTGTCCTCCTCCTTTTTCGGCAACCCACTATTTTCCTTTTTTCCGCCGTCGACCGTTCTTTCGGCACCCGTGGCCGTGTCCATCCATCTTGTTTTCCCTTAAGGGATCATATTAACGATACTAACGCGGTTCGATAAAAAATAAAAGAAGAAAGTCAGAGATAGAGTAAGCTTGAAAAAAGGGTAAATTATTTTTATTTAATATGATTAGGGATAAACTTTGTTTTGAAAATGCTCCAGGATTTTATTAAACTATCAAGAGAAAATTTTTTTTTAATTTTCAAATGAACTGTTTTTCAAGAGTCTTTTCCATTTTTTCACTATATAAATTGATCGCGCGTAAAACGGATCAACGCGTCGCGGTCGCGTTGCGGTCTAGAGCCACTTTCTGTTAGCTTTGCGCACAAGTCGTTAAAAGCCGGTTCAAAGTTTGGAAACCGCTTCGCAGCCGTTACGCGCCGAGACATTCCAAATGCGGGCATTGGTTTGCATTTCAATATCATTTTAAAAAAAATTGAACATTGAAGAACTTCAGCCAGATTTTTTCAGCTAATTAGAATTTATTTAAGCCGACTTTTGTGACCGGTTTCTTCCAATTATTTTTTGTTCAAAACTTTTGAAATTTATTATTCTCAAAAATTTAATTTTTGCTAAAAAAACGAAGTAGAAGTTTTTAAAATTTGAATAAAATGTTAATTTATTCAGAAGGTTATAAATATCAATGAATCAGATTTCATGTCATCCTAAAAACAACACTTCAACCCATAATTACCGTTGAATCATCCATTTCCCGAAGAGTTGCCCTTTCCCCGACCTTCTGCCGTAACTCGAATCTAGTCCACTTTACCGAAGTTTATTGATCGATCTCGCACAAAATCCTCGTTTTTCCACAGTCTCCTTTTTTTGGCAGGATGACTAAACTAGGCGTGACGCCAGGCGTCCACGAGCCGGCGAATGTCGACGAAAAGGAGAAGGAGGTCGAGACCGAGAAGATCAAGATCGACCCCAAGGTGATTCTAAAAATAGTTCATTAATGATGGGTAGAAGAAATTTCCATGTTGGGCTTACTTTTGCTTCTTTGACTTCATTTTTCTAACCTGGCCAGGTTTTTTTTTTCAAACTTTATTAATGAGAAAAAGAAAATTTTTGATTTTCCAATGTTTTTCAAGAAAAGATTTCAAAAAATAGTCTATATGAAAATGGGTTTAGAAATCTGTTAATAGAGTTGGTTCACAAAATCTTTTAGAGTAGTTACAAAACCCTGTAAAACTAGAAAAAAGACAACGCGAAAAGATTTTTATTTTTTGGCCAAACTATGCCTTTCCTAGGAAAAATCCACGTTCTAAAAAAACTGTTTAACATTAAGTCGAGCTTCACAAGTTGTGAACTATAGTCAAGTTTCAAAAAATCATCAACTGTTTGTTCAGGTGTTCACAGTTCTTCAGCCTACCGTAATCCCGATGCCGGCTCTGCCCAAAGCGGCACCAAAGACGCCGTGCGCGATGGTCTGCAAGGCTCTGATTGTGTTCCTGCTCTTCACTTGCTGCTTCACCGCCGGCCTGGTCCTCATCTACGGCTTCGACAACCTCGTCAGCCAGCCCCCGACGTCAACAGAAGCACCGAAAGCGTTGGATGACGTCGTCGTCTTGTCGCTGCCGCTAAACAGAGTCGTCGAGAAGGCCGAGGAGCCTCGGAAAGTCGTCGACGGCTCCGTTGAGGACAAAAACGAGGAAGATCGACCTCTTCATCCGTTTGAAGTTGAGGTAGAGATTCTGTTTTTTTGTGCCTATCTTGTTCGCGGCTATTCCTTCCGGTGTTCTCTGTTATCCACCATAACCAAATCTCTCATCTGAAACAAACAACAACATTTGCAGCCACAAACGTCGCCTTTCGAAGAAGTCAACGTGGCGTGGCAACGACAAATGGAAGCACGCATGATGGCCCAAGCCATGGTTTGTTTACCGAAGAAGGCTTTCGAAACCAAACTTCTCTGTTCAGGCGATGCGTCTTTGGCGTCTTCGCCGAATTCAGCAGGCCATGATGGAGCAGAGAATGATGAAGGAGGCCATGATGCGCGCCGCTTTCTTCCAGGTTTTTCTTGAAAACAGGGGAGATAGGAAGTCAGATGGTTCAGCAACAACAAGCTCAGGAGGAGTTCGCTCGACGACAATGGGCTCAGGCTCAGTTTGAAAGAGCTCAGTGGGAACAGGCTCAGGTCAGACTTGAAGTCTAGCTTTTGAAGTGATGATTTCCGGAAAGATATGAAGATTTCTTTTTCAAAAGTTCAACATGAAGAAACTATTTCTAAAACTTTTCGGGGTCTTTAAATTAGCATAGACAAACTTCGAATTTCCTTAAAGCTTCCCCTCAATATTTCTAGATTTTCAAGCTGAACCAACCTTCTTGCAGGTCGCCCAGCAGCGTCAGATGCAGGCCCAGCAGCAATGGCAGCAGCAGCAGCAGTGGGAGCAGTCTCAGGCCGAACTCGCCGAGGCTCACGCTCGTGCTCAATGGCAACACCAGGCTCAGTTCTGGCCTCGTCCCATGCAAGTTCTCAACCGACCTGACGTCAACGGCAACAACTGGTTCCACCAACAGCCTTTCCAACAGCCCAGACCCACTTTCTGGCAGGTACGCACTCTTCTTGACGAATCAGAATGATCAAGTTGATTTTTTTCAGCAGCCGCCACAGAACAACTTCTTCCCACAGCAGCAACCTCAACAGCAACCTCAACAGCAGCCTCAGGACGCTTTTCCAGTCGCTCCTCAACAGAACCAGGTAAAATTATCAATAGGTGTTCTAGGTGGCTTGTTTTGATGGAACTTAAAATGGAACGAAAAACCCTTCTCTTGAAAATTGATGTCTCTCATGATTTTGAATTGCAGCCCTTGAGACCCCACGACGCCTCGCCCCAGGAGATCATCGACAACATGAAGCCTCCGATGCCGGCCCCACAGGACCGCATCTACGAGCAGCTCCAGCGCAAGTCCCAGAACATTGAGTTCAACGCTCCGACTCACCAGATCTGTGAGCTGGACGAGCTCTTTCGTGTCAATACTTTTGAGTCTAGGGACCGCCATCACTCCATCGCCCGCCGCGATCGCTGAGGACAAGAAGAAAGAAGCCGAAACCGCGGCCAAGAACCAGGAGAAGGACATCACCGACGCCTTGCTCCGCGACATCTTCTCCGCCTTCGACGAGCAGAAGAATATTCAGGTATTGCACTTTTTCACAAAGAAAAGGTCTCTGAGTTGGAAGCTTCATATTTACATGTAAACTAGAATATCACCTGCTTGATCAAAAATATAGGGTTTTCTAGGCTTTCATAACATTTTTTATTTGAAGAGTATTTTTGGAGCGTAAAACTGTATCTTTTTTTAATTCAAAATTCCCTGCCTTGAGTTTATTACATCTCTTTTTATTTTTATTTTTTGTAGCTTGAATCCCTCACACTTCTCTAATTTTCAGGCTCAAAACGCCTTCAAGCCATTTGAAGCTGAGAAGCCAGTAGAGGTAAGAAAAACCTAGAGTTCTTATTCCTAAAAATATATTTCAGACGACAACTGCCAATGTTTTCAAGAACTTCGAAGGAGAGCAACCTGTTGAGGTAATCATTGAGGATCCTGAAAATATTAGAGAAGATCTTCCAGACCACAACTCAGAACGCCTTCAAGCCTTTCGATGAGCAGAAGCCCGTTGAGGTAAGATTAAGAAACAAGGTTCCGAAAAATGAAATAAAAAGTTTCAGACTTCTACCGAAAGCGTCTTCAAGCCATTCGAAGGAGAAGCTCAGAAAGTTGAACAGGTATGAATAAATCTAAAATCTTCCAAATTTCCTCATTTTCAGCCAAATGTCTTCAAATCTTTCGAAGAGCCCAAGGAGACGTCACCAGCTCCGGCGGAGACTCCGAAGACTGCTGACGATGACGAATTCGCCGGCGCGGTCGTCGTCGAGGACAGCTTCCCAAGGATCGAGGCCAGAACCACGACTCCTGAACCGAAGGCCGCTGCCGCCTCGGCCGAACACGCCGACGACGACGCCGACGAAGACCACGAACGCGAGTTGGACCCTTTCACCGCCGTTCTGAAGTCAGTATCGTTCACCTCATTTCATCTTTCATTTCTGAACTTGCAGGTACTTTGAGCACGAAGCGAAGCCCGTCGAACGGCCACACTCCAACGAAGAGCCTTCCGACCCGATCGTCTAACTTCCCTCACCGTTGTTGCCTTTTCATTGGAAATAATCTTTCACGTTGCACCAACCCTCAGCATTCCCCCGTCGATAATCCCATCCAGTATAGAGCTACCCATACAGATTTAATTATTCTGTTTACCGGTTGTAAATAAATAATTTTATTGTTGCTAGATCAAAAAAACAGTAAATGAACAAGAAGAAGAAAACAACGGAGAAAAAAATACCGATAAATGGCCGTCCAAATCGAATCACTGTCGTCCAGGTCGCATTTTTCTGTAACTTTTTCAAGCGTTTTTTCAACTTTCAAAACTTCACATGAAAAAGATTGCGAGAAAAAAAGTAATTTTTCAATATTTTTTTAATTTAATTTAATTTAAAAAAATCAGAAAAAGGGCCGCGGACTAGAAAAAAACAATTCTCAATAGAGCGAAGTACATGAAGTTCTTTTTTTTCGCAGTTCAAAAATTTTTTATTTTTTTCCTTCTTTGCGAATTTTTCTTCTTTTTATAATCACCAAGTTGTTTCTCTCAATTTTCATATTTCTACGGTCATCGAGAACATTTTCTCAAAAAAAGGAAAAAGCGAAACTTTTTTTCTGAATGGTAACTCTGAGAAGGATTTGAGATCCAATTTGCTCGCGTTTCTTTATTCCATCGTTTCCATAAAGTCCTGATTCTCGAATAATTTCGTGAAATTTGAATCAAACCATTCTGTTTCAGGCCTCGCGCCCAGTCAGGCAACCGTTCTTTGAGCGCAAAAAACGACTTTAAACAGTCAGGCAGCGGAAATCGAGCCGCGGTGGCAAACATGACGACTATATGGATCAGCAAGGCCACCGTCGTCGAGATCAACAAAACGTCGTAATAAATCACTGAAGTCATCCAGGTATTTGATATTTTTTATCGAAACAACTCACATGACTTCGGGACGCCTTTAGTTGCTAGTGGAAACTTGCTGAACGCGTCTTGCAGGAATATCGACTGAAACTGTTGATTTCTCCTGTTTTGGTTGCAGAAAAACCAAGATGATCATGTTGGAAACGAGCGTGAAGCTGGCGAACGCGCAGGAGTCGATGAAGAAAGGCAGGACGCACATCAAAGTGCCGATGATGTTCGGAAGGAAGACACCGGCGAAGAAAAACGGCGAGTGCCGCGAGAACACCACCGTCGTCATTACCATAGTCCTGAGTATGGTAAGTGTGTCAAAAATTGGAACGTTTAACTTAAAATTTCATCAGTTTAAGTTCGAGTAATCCATTTTCAAGTATGTTTTGGATATTAAAACTCTACCTCTGAAAATGGAAAAGAACGAACAGTGATCCTTTTTAACTCGTGTACTGAGCTTTTCAAAAGAACATAGGCATTTTCGGATAAGGTATCGAGACGAAGGACTCAATGTTACTTAAGATAAGGAAAAATTTTGCTCCTCGAAAAACCAAGCGAAGAATTTTCAAAGGCTGAACTTTTTTTTTCTTGTCAAAATGCCCTCTAAAAGGTCTCACCAAGTCTGAGAAAGTTCGTTTTCAACAATTGGCGCCAGTTCAGTATAGTTGCCTTCGCTGTAGTAAACGACGTTGTTGGTGATGTTGACCACGTTGAAATCCGATATGATTCTCTTCTTGCTCTGATCGCCCCAAGCTGAAGGAAAGATATTTTCTGAAGCTGTAGCTGATTTCAAACCAAAGCTCAAGCTGGGCGGCAAGGCGTAGTAAATGTTGATTTGGACCTGACTCATGGGTTCGGTCGTGAAAACGGCGACGTTGCACTTGTTGACGTCGTTGGGGAAGTCGCTGAAGTCCATCAGACAGCCGACTTTGATCGAGAATGTCGGGTAAATCTCCACTTTGGCTCGGTTGTCTGGCTGAAAGTCTCATTTTATTTCGATACGATATTGTTATCGTTAGTTTTGATCGTTTCAAGTTGAGCTTGTAGTTTTCGATAAAATGAAAATCTCAAAAGCTCATGATTTTTGCACTTTGTGAAGAATCAGAACCGAGGACATTTGATATGATTTAAAACAACTTTCTTGGTCGTCTCCAAATGTGCTTCTTCGATTTTATCAATTACCTCACCTGCATTTCCAACAACGCGTGGCCTTGTGTAGATATTTCAAACAGCGAATTAACTCCAGACACGCTAAACTGTACTGTTAAAATTCACTTATTAGAATAATAACCTATTTATGACGCGGACTTTGGGCTGCCAGACCTGCCATTTCTTGCATCTAGCTGTACGGACTCCGTTGAAATCCTTGGGGTCCCAGACGAGGAATTCGTCGAACCACGACTAAACAGAGAGACTCATAATCACTATCGACAAAAATGAACTTATAAGATGATATATTCGTCAGGTTTGAAGTAAACTCGCTCATAAAATTTCATCCAAATCGACTGAGAAAAAATAATGTAGGAAAAGCCTTTAGAAGACATTTCTGCTCAACCCCGGCGTTTCAAACGAAAAATCGAATAATTTGTTGGTTTTTTTAATGGTCAAAGAGTTCAACTTATGCTGTTTTATATCCAAATTTTACACTTTAGGAAAAATTACTGAGGTTCAAAAACAAAAATTAAAGTTCTACTACGGCTCATGCCTGTATCTATTTGGTCCTAGATGGTTTGTGAAAAAAGTTTTTTTGAAGATGCAGATATTTTTCCTTTTATAAATTATTTTATTTATAATCGAACTTTAGTGCGCGATGTTTCCAATCAGAAGTTAAATCCACCACGCTTTTTCAAAATGTTTAGCTTCAAAGCTTACTCTCACATACCGTATACAGTCTACAACAACTTTTTATATTTGTAAGAAACCATGTAAAGATGTCCATGTAGAGTCATAGTCTGTTCGTTGGCGTTGACCGAGACGTGGATCACGTGCCAGTGCATGCTCACCGTCGTCGGTTGCGACACGTTTCTGATTTTTCCCCATTTCTGAGCCAAATTTTTATTCTGCAAACCGGACAGGTCGACGGTTGTTGCGGTAGTTGTAGAAAATCTTCTTTTCTAGTGCTGATTGCTGCTCCCGATATGTCATGTTATAAAACTCTAAAAGTTTTGATTATTCGTTTTTTTTTTCATCAATAACAATGATTTCAATCCTTCCCGACTAGGGAGGCTAGATAGGTTGATTGGCAAAAGTGAAGCGTTGCGTGCGCGACGCGGCTTTTGGCCGGGAACTCAAGATCAAACACTATTTACCATTTTTTTTTTCTTTTTTTGAATTTTTCCAATAACTTTAGATTTTTATAGTTTTTTTATGAACGTTTTTCCATGATTAAATTTGACCTCGAGCTCGCGCCGAAAGTCGCGTCGCTCATGCAACGCTTTTTCAACTACTGTAATGCTGATGAGGGTGGCCCAGTCGGGCTAACACGGGGTATCAGCGGGTGCTCCGTATAAGCAGAATTGGTAGAACCTTGGCAAATTTTACACCAACTGAGGAACCGCTTCAGCACAATTGGGTCACAGATTTTCTAAATAAACACAGCTAGGTCACCTATTTTTTCTTACACCCTTTGTTCCCCCGTTTTAGCACAACTGAGACTCAAATAGCCTCAAAATAACGAGTTTGACAGGGGTATACCCATTGAGACACCTGGCCAGAAGGAGAGTATATTCTAGTCATAGTCCGAGTTCCCTAACGAGGGTAACACTAATTTTAAATAAAAGTTTCAATTTTTCTGTAAACAACAACTTCAATCAAAATTTAAAAAAAAACTCACTAGCGGCGTCACCATCTTCCGACTCGATCCCATCGTTATCATCAGCTTTTGAATGAATAGTTAAAAGCAAAATCAACAGAACCGGCCAGACGCTTTTCATGACCGCTGGACTGTTGGAATGCCGAGTTTCGCAGCAAGTCGGCAGTATTTATAAACACATTCCGGGGCGAGGTGAGCAACGCGAACAAATCAGCCACGTTTGCAATTTGTCGAGTCGCGCACCTCGTCCGAAACGTTTTTCAGAATAAGAATTACTAGTTTGAATTTCTTGGAATTGTACAGGTTTCGAAATATTTAATTCAGTACAGTTGAAGTTTTAGTCTACGAAATGAGCTCTGGAATCTGAGATTAGAAAGTCAGTAGAAAAAATTTCTAGGTGAGCTACTCGCGGAAATCCCAGAAAAAAGCCATAAAAAACCAAGTTTTGATATGTTTCTCCGTGGAGCACATATCCATGTGACTTTTAGGCTCACAGAGGCTATTTTTTTGGGTTTCCCCAGAGGCTGAAGATTTTTTCTGTTGTTAGGAATTTCAGAACTGAATTTTTTAGTCTTACTATTTTTCATTACAAATTCTCAAGAAAATTCCTAGAAAAGAGAAGTTTTAGACGTCTCTGAAGAAGTTCTTTTGTCGAACTAAAAAGGATCATAATAGGAATGAAAGAAAGTTTGGAGTGAAACTACGCCCCATGAACTTTCCAAACCGGATTCACGCTTCATTCTTCCTAACTCGACTCAAAATCTTTGAAGCGGAAATCTCGAAAGGTCAATCCAGATCTTTGCCGAAGTCGTAAGAAGTCGTAAGAATCATATTTATTAAAGCACTAAAACTTTCAACAAGCTGGCAATAACATAGAAGTAGATGGGATCACAGATGTATCAAAAGAAGGGCACGTAAATCATGACGAAAGCATTTGGAATGTGGTGGATTATATCAAGCAACTGATAATGGAGATCAGGAAGAAGCAGCTTCGGATTTTCGTTGTTGTTTCCAAGAAGAACCGTCCAAAGCGATAAACTCAAGCCAATCGTCACAAAGGGTTTGTCCTTCCTGAAGACAAATGTTGTGTAAAAAAATATTGATTTGGAAGCTTGTAATTTAAAGATCTTTCACACTCACTGAATTATAAACAATTCCACTGAGAGCCATCAAAGCCTTTCCGTCCTTGACGCAAAATCCGTTCCCCAGATAGGCGTCGATCTCCGCCAACAGCCCTTGGAAGTTGCCCTCCAAGTCGAACTTCAGAAACCTGCCGGCTTTATCCATCAATAATATTCCGTCCTCATATCTGAATTTTCTTTTTAGGCCTTTCTATAACTCCGATTTCTCACTTTCTTATCGTCCGAGGGAAGAAAATGTCGCCTTCGCTCTTTCCGGCCTGGGAAAAGGATTTTCGAATTGAAGCTGAAGGAACATCGACAAAAACCATCTTTTGTCTAGGAATAAGATTATTTTAAATAATCCAAAAATCTAGCTTTTTTACTTTGAATACATCGTGACGGGATGCTCAGACATGGCGGCGACGATCGTGTCTTCGTCGACGCTGCAGATGGCGAAAAAAAGGCGTATTCGTCGCTCGTCAGCAGCTCCTCCCAGCCGATTGGCGCGTCGAAAGAGCATCTAGAGAGCAAAATGAATCCCAGAAAGACAAGGTTCAGATGAATTTCAGGTGCGTCTGGCACATTTTTGAAAAAAAAAGTTCTTGATCAAAATTATTGAAAAATGACCACTTATTCCTTCAAAAGAGAAAAGTAGATTCATATTTTTTCTGTTTCTTTAAAGGTAAATGAATGTTTTCAACAGAAAAAAGGGTGTTTGGAGCAAAAATTGAAGAGGTTTTGACGAAACTTTCCTACAATAAAAAATAAAATTCATTAGGGAATTCAAAGTTGAATTCTTTGGTTTTTTATGACTAACTGGGAAGTATACATCAATAAAAGAAGAAGTTTAGGAACAACTGAAATTTTTTCTATTGAAAGAAAAAAACTGAAGACTTCCACAAGTGTTCTTGACATTCATCTTCTAAAATCGTCTCTAAAAAAATTCTTCAACTGTTTTTTTCAAGTCGTTTTTCTGTAGGCTCATTTTTATAGTATTAGTCAGTATCCGACGCTCATCTACATAAAGAAAATTCTCTATTTTTTTCTCTTGAAATCGATTCGACTTCCTAGTTTTCTCAGGGGTTCATTTAATTTCCCCAATACTTACTTATAAATAGAAGTTTTGCTGCTGGTCGGCTGCTTGGTAATGTACATCTCGCCGTCTTCGGAAATCGTCAAGGAAATGACTGAAACAGCAATTTCAGAGGACTCAAAGATCCATTATGACCAATTCCGTCGATAAACGACTCGTGTTTCAGCTCGCCATCCAACGTAAACATTCTCAGCTCGGTTACGTTCTCCGCGTGTTCGGCGCAGGTGTAAACTATCTGTTGGTTGGCAGAAAAACAGTCGGTTTGGATGGAGAGAATTGCTCGATTACCGTGTCTTTGTGCAGACAGACCTGCGGGAACGGCGACATTTTTTTCGAGAAAATATTTTTCCGCTCCCACATCATCGTCTTCTTAGTGCCGTGGATCTTGAACAAACCGCCTTTTGATGCCACCTGCAAATTAAATTGATTTAGGAAACATTTAAATGTGTAGAAGACAGATTTTGGAAACCTGTGACATTTAGACCCTTCAAAAGAGCATCAATGCGAAAAATGTAAGATTTTCAAAAACTCAAAAACTAGACGGATATGGAATTAGAAAGTTTATTTTGATAATAAACGTATAGCAGATGCAGTAGGCAAAGAATGAGTAATTCGTTTACTGAAAAATGGTGATTCTTACACTTTCTTTCCGTGAATTGATACGATTTATGAGCTATGTGTAGAAAACTCCTTAAGGACAATTTTATACGGCATACAGTATTTCTGAAAAAAAGCTAATCTAATTTCGCTACGAATACTACTTCATACTTTTCGACCAATTCAATTTCTTTTCCAAAAAAAAAATTACAAAAACTTACCCAAATATGGCCGTCGTGATCATAACAAACATTGTAAGGTATCGAGGCTCCACGTGGCGTCAAATGTACAAACATTTGATCAAACCTCTGAAGATCGGATGTGTCTGAGGCTGGCTGCGTCATTCTAGAATTTCTGAATTAAATAAAACTGTTGAAAAAATAGAAAAAAAAATAAAAGAGTTGGAATAAAATTCGAAAAAAAAAGCTTCAGCAAAAGCATAATACTACTGCGCTTACTAACTTTACAAATAGTTTTTCAAACATTGAACTATTCAAAAAAATTTTTTTTTACAAATTACAAACAAAAAAATAGAACATCGTTTTTAAAATGAAAAGGACATTGATTCAGTAATAAATTATGAAAAAAACCAAAGTTTTAAAACTTTTTCGGACTTTATCTTCAAACTTTCACATAAATTTAGCAATTAAAAGGCTTCAGAAAAAAACATAAATTATATAATAAAACCAAAATATCAGATCTCTCGTAAATCGTCGCCTAGCGATATTTGGTCTTTCAGGGGAGCGAACTTTCCTCCGAGGTCGCTGCTCTGCGCCTCCGCTCTTTCACACAACTGAAATGGAGGCGCCTTCGATTTCCTTGACCCGTGTGTTTCGGGATGACTCATCGCGTGGGACAACGGCAACAATTCCTTCTTAGCGTCTCAAAAAAACTCCCCTGGCTCTGTCCCCGACTAAATTTTTGGCGTTTCGCGAGAATCCAAAAGAGAATAGGTTCGTTTTTTTCATGTCTTTTGGATTATATGTTCCTTCAATCATATCATACCTTTTAATTTGATATTGAGTCCTCATGAAGTATTCAGAAAAAAATTTTAAAAAAACTTCCAAGAAAATAAAAAAAAAAGATCAAGATGCGTTTGTAATTATTAGGGTCAAGGTCGATCCGCAACAAGATAATCTTTTTCAGTTATTTCTGCTCATCTTTTATTTCTGATTTTTAACTTCAATAATCGTTCCTAAAAGTTCTTATTCAGAATGACCGCTTATGGACACCTTCCGGGCGAAGTCATCGAATGTCTGAGCATCGCCGTCGAACTTCGGAAGAAAGAGGTTTTTTTCTTAACGCATATGTTAAATAAAATTTTTCCAATAGGTTGTGGACGCTTATGGAAACGTCTCCCTCCGAGTCGGCTTCCGGCTTGGCGGCGGAATCGACCAAGATCCTCAAAAGGCGCCTTTCAAGTATCCAGATTCGGTTTGTCATTTTCTTTTTTTTTGACAAATAATTTTTGTATGATTCCAGGGGATTTACATCACGAGCGTCGAGGAAGGGTCTCCAGCAGACGAAGCTGGGCTCAAACAACACGATAAGATCCTCCAGGTATTGAAAGAGAACAGAAGTGGCCGGCCACTTGTAGGAACAGCTGAGAGTATTATTGTGAGAGTGAAATTAGGTTTCATTATCGAATACTCAAGAAAGAAATGGGGTATCCTTTATTTAAAACACTCTAAAAAATTTAAATTACTAATTTATGGACTTAGTGGTACACAAGACGCTTAAGTGATCACCTAACGCTAACTACTCAGTTGATAACATTTAAGTGGCCCCTTAGAATTCCGAATACAGCATTGTTACAAAATCCTTCATTTAGGTGAACGGCGCCGACTTCACAATGATGACTCATGAAAGAGCCGTCAAATTCGTGAAACAATCGAACGTGCTGCACATTCTCGTCGCCCGAGCCGATTTGCCGCCTGTCAGCCTCCACTGATTATCAACTCTCACACTGAAATACGGGCTTTGAGCATGACTAATGAACATTTATACTCCTGAGGTGTTGTACAAAGTCAAGAAAGTAAAGCAAAGTGCTTTTTCGAAGGGAGAAAATTGCTTCCGTTTCAATGAATTTCCATCGCGCCTGGAAACATTTCCTCTCCTTGGGCGAGTCGATGAACTTTTTCTTGTTTTTGGACACTATTTTTGAAATCGCCGCTGAAGTTCCTAACCCGGCTGGTAAGTTATGGTGAGAAAGAAAAAATAATTATCAGTTTTGACAACTTTGATTAATATTTGAAAAAATAAAATCAGCTTACAAATCAACTTTTTTTTCAATCGATTGTTGCACCCTCAAAACTCTTTTTTTGATTAAGCTTCAGATTACCCACAATCAATCGGGCTGAGATGTGGACTATCTCAATTCGATTGTCAACCTCAGGCTCCGGCGCCCCTTTGTATCCCTTTCACGGCAGTACGCGACTGTGTTTTCGACTGTCCCAACATGAGTGACGAATGTGGGGCTTTTGAATATCTACATCGTTCCAAAAAGATTGACATGCTAGTTCAGCCTATTCACAACTGCTTGCTGGTGTTTTCAAAAGAACAAGTTTGGTTTCACAAAAAAGCCATTTTATGGGTTAATTTAAGCTAAAAATCCTTCAAAATTCGGCTTTTGAAAACTCTGCCACTTTCTATGAATTAATTATAACCAATTTGTGTAGAAAAATTTACTTTTTGTAAACGGTTTTAAAAAGAATTAACATGACCTCTACAATTTTAGGGTGTGGAAAAGGGAAAATTCTTTGCGACCTGGGAGTTTCGCTGTTCAAGTGCGGCCAATGTGTGGAGCCTGATCTAGAAGCTTCTTTATGTGTTGACCGGAAATGTGAATTTTCCCCGAAGCCTATGAGTTCGAAAACCTAAAACTTCAGGGCAACACTTGTGCGATTCAGAAAACACAGTCCCATGCGTTAAAACTTCGAATTGCGTTTTTCAAGAATGGATTTTGGATGGGAAAGACGATTGTGGAGATGGAAGTGATGAAGGTTATCAAAACATAAACAACCATTTTCGAACAAGCTGAACTGATTTTAAGACCCTTGTAAAAGCAAAATGTTGAGTTGCTACAACTCTACGACCAGAAAACCACCGACTACCCCAATAAGTACAACTCGGAAGCCATTTGTCAGTAAGTTTTATCATCATTCTTGATTGTAAACGTCGAATTTCGCGTTTTAGGAAAGGACAAATGCGAAGATAACGAGTTCCACTGTCAAAGCGGAGAGTGTATAGAGAAGGAGAGAGTTTTGGACGGAAGTTTGGACTGTGTCGATTCTTCCGATGAAAGTAAAAGCTTTGTATTTTCTATTCATCATTGAATTCCAGAATATTGCAAAGACCACGGACTTTGTCCTGAATCTAGGCCTTGTGCCTTCCATGAAGATATCGCAGCTTTTGGATGCGGCTGTCCACGAGGACAAACTCCGGACAAACGAGGAATATGTCGATGAAACTTCGTTATGTAAAGTTTTAGTACTCAGTAAATACAAACATACAAGTAAATAAAGAACTCAGTTACAACTTTCCTCTTTGGTTTGTTTCTCGAGGAGATTCACGAGCTCTCGCAAAACGGCTTTCTTTTCATCTCGCTCCCGTGTCTTTTCCTACAAATATGATCTTAAAAAGCAGCAATTAAAAATTGACGCAACCTCGATTTCCTCCTTCATCGCTTCAATGGCATCTTGAAGAGGCGTTTTCAAAGTCTCGAAAGTTTTCCTCACGTGCAGTGTCGTGTCGGTCAAAGGCTGTAAGTTGGGAAATTTTCGAAAAATTCAGAAAACGTACATCAATGGGCCTATAGCCATCGGTGACTCCCAGTTCTTTGTTGATTTTTTCGCTGTTCTGGATGAGACGCTCGAGTTTCTCATATTTCTCTTCTAACTAAAAAAAAAACTCTGCGGAAGGCCTTCAGATAAAGTTCATACATTTTCCGATTTGACAATTTCAGAGAGTTTTTCTCTCATTAAGGCTGTCGTCTTGTCGGCGAACGCCGACATTAACTGCTTCACTTCATCTTTTGAACAATTAACGCCGTTTGTAGTCAGCTTCAAATACCAAGTTTAGAAACACATAAATTTAATTGTTACCGTTTTATGTGGCTGCCTGCTGTTTTTGACGACTTCGCCTAGATTGCTAATAACAAACTCCAAACTCCTTTCCATTTGCTCAATTTTCACTTGATGCGACATTTCTTCTGAGCACGAAGACGATTGAAAAACCATTACCGGGTTATAAAAAAACTGAATGTTGAAATAACACGTGAAAAAATAAAGAAAATACAAAAAATAATTTTTGAAATTTTTTTCTTGCCGCGGTTCTCAATGGAGCACACTTTGCGCTCGTTTAAATATTAATAGACGCGCTGTTTCATAACCTTCGCTCAGAAATCCATTTTTTTTGCCGATTTCTACCTTTAAAAAATTTACTTTCCATCCAGAAGGACAAAGGAACAAGCACTTTTCAATTCGTCATTTTTTTTTCCACCGCAAAACCTCATTATTTTTTTTTCAAAGGTTTTAGAAAAAATGTGAAAAAAGGCACCGACATTATTCCCTTCGATATGAATGTAGTTCATAGGTATGGGAGATTATGCAGTCCCATGGTTAGGCAAATATACCAGGCATAAACATGGGCGTGCGATCTTATCATTCCGCTCGCGTTTTTCTCGTATCGAATTCTCTTTTTGTGAGTCATCTCCTTGCAAAAAAAAATATATCTCTTCTCTGACCTCTTTTCATCTTTCGGCCACGTTCTTTTTTCATCGACGTAAATAAATGCTCATTCCATTTCATTTACTAGCCATTTCTTGATGAAAAACGTACGGTTTGAGAGAATTCCTGAGAACTCGGATGGTCTTTCTTTTAACGAATTTTTAAATATGAATGAAGAAATTTCTTTTAGAGCCTCCGATGTTCAGTGCACGAGGAAAGTACCGAAGACGGTATCGCGAACAGTTTGAAAAGGTTTTAGAGTTGGGACAAGATTTGTTATTTTTTGTTCTCCAGCTAAAAGTTCATCCGGGTGAGACGGAAATTCCTCTGGATAACTTGGCAGAGAGGGTTGATGATGCGAATGTATCTCTCAACAGTGCGCAGGTATCATGGGGTTTTCATAAAAGTTCGAATTAGTTTTTCAGAAAAGAGCTATCCGCGAATACAGTGCAGATAGTGACCGCGACATGGTAGATCTGAGTGATTTTGAGAGCATGGTAACTTTTTCTCAAATTCATTACAAAAATGAATCGAAACACAGTTAACTTCGAAAAGAGCCCAACCCTCGAGGATGAAACGTATCATGTACGACATTGCTGACCCTGTCATCAGTGAGTCACAGAAAGTCGAGGTTTGTCAGAAGAAATTAATTTGTCTCTAATAAATAGTGAATTCGGTTCTCAGGTTCGCTCTTATATCGACTCCTACAATTGTTTCCCTCCCCCGATCTTCATCCTACTCGTAACAATTATCGAGGTAACCGGAAAAGTTGAAAAAAACCAAAGCATTGGTTCCAGATCTCAATATTTTTCTATTACTACGAAACCGACGGCCGAGGGAGTATATGGACAGATTGCGCCGGCTGCTTCGTTCACCACAACCATTCCGACCCGGGAGTTCTCATTTTCGTGCCAAAACTCCGGGCGGAAGCCTGGAGGTTCTGCTCCTACATGTTACTGCACAGCGGGTGAGGATTAGAGAGATTTCCAGAGAAGAATAGGTATTTCAGGTTGAATCATCTGATTGGAAACATGGTAGTGCAACTACTCGTAGGGATACCTTTAGAAGTGGTGCATAAAGCGTGGAGAATCGCGCCGCTCTACATTCTAGCCGTTGTTACGGGTAATTATCAATTTCATTTCAAGTAACATTTTCATGAATTATCTCTATTATTCTTCAAATAGATCATCTCAGGTTCCCTATTACAGTACGCTGTAGATCCTAATGCGCTGCTGGTCGGTGCTTCTGCGGGAGTTTATGCTTTAATCATGGCTCATGTTTCCAACGTGATTTTGGTGAGAAATTATCTTTTAATACATTTTATACGAAGTTTCTTTTCACAGAATTGGCACGAAATGCCGTTCCGATGGGTTCGCGTGGCGGTTCTAAGTACCTTTATTTTATTCGATGTTTGTGGAGCATTATATAGACGTTTTGTGATCAGCCAGTGTGAATCGGTGAGGATTGTTTTAATGCGATAGGTATATTTCTTTGGGTTTTCAAATGTTCGTTAAAAGTAATACGAATGTTTGAGTCGTTTAGGGGATATTTTGGGTTTTTGGCTTCGAAAATATTCAAAAGAAAACTTTCAGCGCTTTTTAAGTGAGAAAAATAAGAAAATTAGCAAATTCTTCAATGGGACGTTCATTATCCTTCAAAATACGTTATTTTTAGAATTATATTTTTCTTCAAAACTTCTACTTAATTTTGAAAAACTTGAAACCTCAGTTTTGTGATTTTTTTTGAGTTTCAGATATCGATTCTTGCACACGTCGCAGGAGCCATTACAGGCCTTTTATTCGGATACTTTTCATTATACAACGTTGTGGTGAGTGAGGCAAAAGAAACTTTGTAAAAGGAATCAATTTTAGGAGCTAAAATGGGAGAAAATCGTGAAATGGGTGGCGTTAGGTCTCTACACGGCTTTCCTAGTGCTAACCGTGACGATGGCCGTCGTCCGGGTACCCCATTCCAAGGCATTATGGGAGGACTCGTCGTGCTGATAAGTGATTGCCAGAAAATACGCACATATTTTACGGATTCCAATAAATTATTCAATTGATTATGTACTTTGTAAGCGAAGCATACTGTGAAAGTTCACGGGCGGTCCAGGAATTCTCGGATGAGATGGTAAATTTGGCCGTTATTCCGTCTCGCCAGGTCCAAGGGAGTGTCGCCAGCTCCGCTCACTACTGTCGCGTTGATTCCTGAAATTTTATTTCTTAGTTAATTTCGACAAAATTGTTTCATACCGTGTTCAAATTATGTCCCGCGAAATGGAAAATTATCTCTGACTCTCCAAAATTATGTTATCTTTTCTACTTTCTGCCGGCTATTTTGAACTTCTCGAAGTCACTTTGAACAAGGCTCTATATCTGCTTTTAAAAATCATCCTTATTTTCGAATAAAACTATGATTAATTTTCTTGGTTGCACAAGTCGCTTTGAGTCTGGTGCAGCTCTATTGGAACCGCTGCGCGGCCGTTACGCGTCAGTATTCAAAATGCGGCATTGGACTTCCAAATTGAAGCAAATTGAGTAAATTATGATGAAACTTCTAAACGGTAAACTAGAAAAGTTTGCAACTTTAAATTTACCCATTTCATTTTCCAAATCGATTTCATTTTTTTTTTCCTGACACAAAATTACCTGGAGCTTCCAGAAGGTATCTGACCGTGTGAAAGATGTTTTCCGGATCTTCGCATGAACTATTCACTGCCAAATGTAACGCCTTAAGGAGTCCAATATTCTTGTCTCAGTTATTTACAAAATTACCGATAGATGCCCCTCGGACAAAGCATTCACATCCGCCCCTTTGCTTATCAACCTGCCGACAGCCTCAAAATTCGCCCAATTGGCGGCCGAGAGCAACGGAGTCCAACCGCTGTTCGTTCTGGAGAACAAAATATATCCCGTAAACTGTTTACTCTTTACCGAGCTTCCGTGTTGGATCCGTGGGACACAAGGAAATCGATGATCTGGAGGTTGTTATTGTACGCGGCGCGATGCAAAGCCGTATATCCGTCGCGATCCGCCGCCTGCTGAGATTTTGAGATCCTTTCGACCTTCGGCGCTAACCTGCACGAAAGATGGTTCTGCCGCGAACATCTCCGCCAATTCTTCCAGTTTCCCTTCTTCGGCCGCTGTCAGGAACCTGAACAACTTCTATCTTTGGTCTGAAAACATTTCCGCCTCACTTTTCGACAGGATCGTCGAGATCCTTCTCGTCGACTCCTTCTTCGTCCTCTTGCCATGCTGAGACGAACATTCCTGAGAATCAAATTTAGGCTTTTGCAAAAGATTAAAAAAAACCTGGATTCGCCTCTTTCCTATCTCTTATCTCGTCTATCAATTCTTTCTAAAAACGAATGGAATTATAGTTTTCGAATTTAGAAAACTCACCGTGAAACCAAGATTCATCCCCTCGCCTTCCTCTTGAATATCTTTCATATCCGCCATCTTATTTAGGCAGACAACTAAATAAATAGATGAAAAAAAACCTAAAAAAAAAAGAAAAGAATGCCGCGTAAAAAATGTCTGTAAAACCCTTCAGTGGGCCCTACGAATGACTGTCGTTGCGCTCCAAGGCTATTTTTTTGAAATTTAAATTTTTTTACGAGCGTCGAAATTTTTTTAAATTTTCAATTTCGCTATGTTCGTTAAAAAGATTTTTTTAGCTTTACAACAACGGATTTTCAAATGTTTTTCAGTAACTGATTCGTTTGTAGATCATTTTTCCATACTGCGGTACTGAAAAACTCGACAATTTAGTGTATCAAAAGTTTTCTTGACTGGCAGAAAGTCCAAAATGGCGAAAACGAGGTTATCATTTCATTATAAGATTTAAAATATAATTTTCATTTTCAGAACTCGCGCGCAAAAAGTTGACAGATATGAAGAAGCTAAGAAGGTTTATGATGATATCCAACAGAAGAAAAGGGACGAGAAAATAAAGCGTCAAGAAGAAATTAAGAAGAAGTGAGGAATAATTTAGTTTTGTTTTCGTGAAATTGAAAAATTCAGGGCTGAGTCGATGCAGAAGTACAATCAATCGAAGAAAAAGATGCAAAAGGCGTTAATGAAAAGGAATAAGAAAGGACAACCGAATCTTGGCGCACAAGTTCGAAAATAGCTTCATTTTTCATTTAAGACTGCTTAATTTTCAGATCGAAGTAATGCTGGAAAAGATGCAGAAGAAGGTCGGAGAGGGAAAATGAATAATTTTACGGATATTTTCAATAAATTTCTCGATCAAAATTGTTTTTTCATGTGGTGAATAACGTTTGAAGCGTTTTTTTGATATATTTATTCCAAGATTTCTTATGAAATTTCCAGTTTTAATATTGTCTTCAGTTTTTCCTTAAATGGAAAATCAGAATGGAGGGCCACAGAAAAAGTTGCAGCCATTCCTACGCAAAGGCCAAGGATTAGCACGATTCAATAAGGTGAGTTCGGATTTTTTTTTTCTCATGAACGTGAAATCAAATTAAAGATTTCTTACCCTGTTCGAAGATCTGATAATTCTACGACATCGGGGTCGGTAAATCGCCATTCTTCAGGTTTTTTTGCTTTTTTTTTTAATTTTCCAATTAAATTTTTCTCAGAAGGCTCAGAAAATCATCAGGAAGTGACGGCTTTCTTCAGAGAAAATGTAGTTTTCAAAATTTTGGAAAGAAGAGGTTCTTATATAAAATTTAGGAGCGTCCTTCTTCACATCCTCTCTCTGCAAGGACAGTGGATAGCGGGATTTCTCATGAAGGTTCCAAGAAATTTCCTTTTTTAGGAATAAATGTATTTTCAGGTCCTTCGCCTTTTGACGAGGAAGATATCGTGACAAGACCGCCCACAGTAACCTCGATTATAGACGCGGAGAGTTTTTCCGCGCGTAGGAATTCAGTGGAAAATCCTCAATCCAGAGCTCAATCCAGGGCTGCTCCTCGTGTAGAAGGTAGTTTTCGGTTGAGAACATTTCTAAATCGAAGAAAAATTTAAGAAATAAGGAACTTTTTCCACTAAAAAAAATGTAGAAAAATGTGTACTTTTTAAGAATCAATTGATTACTTTGCACCTGGTCAAGAATTCGTCAACGATATTTCCGTGTCGCGGCGACCTTCGGAAAGTACTTCTTCTTCGGTTTCGACGGAAGGTCGAGAAAAACATTTGTACGTCCAGAAGGCCCAAAAAGACGCCGAACTCATCGATAAAGTTAGTATTTCCATCACCAAAAAAAAAAATTGAAACTGGAAATATTTGAGATGAGATCCGTGAACGGCAGCCAGTACACGGCGAGTTCCGGGCTGTCGACTCCCATCGGGGCAAGTACGCCAAAGGAATCTGCACACATCTACGACACTCCGGCAATCAGGAGAGAGGTCGGTTTATCGCAGCTTCATTCTGATTTTTTGAAAATTTCTCTCAAACCGGTCGAAAATTTTCTTTTTTTCTTTTCTCTAACAAAATCATGAGATGATCAATAATTTATTGCTCTACGGATATAAGTCAATTTTTTCCGTGCTGTCTAATTTGTTCAGAATTTTCCTACTTGTCTTTTCAAGCTTCTAAGAAATCAATTTCTTGATCGAATATTGAAAAATTCCTTGTTATCTTGCTTTTTTCCACGAATTTCTCACACCTAAGGGTTAGGTTCGACTAAAATTCTGAAAAAGAGTTCAAGAAAATTTTTATGAAGCACTTTGAACACTTGATAGTGAGAAGTTGAGACAATTTCCAAATTTAAAAAAAAAAATTGTCTTTTTCTAGCGTTTCACGCAGCCAAGCGTTTTCGAAACGGATGGAACTCCATCCACCAGCGGCGGAAGAGGTAGAATCTGAAAAACGAAATATTTACAACTGTTGAAAATTTTTTTCAAGTGGCGGCAAATGACGGAGAAGCCCAAACAAGCGCTGGATTGTTCGAAAATCGTCGCTTTTTTTCCTCACGTTGTTGGTTTTCCTTTTTTTCAATTTTTTTGTTCAGAATTGATTCTGAAAACTGAAATTTTTCTGAATATCCATAAAAAAAAATATTCTCAGCGTTTTTTTCACGACTTTCAATGCAATTTTTTTCCCTCATTTTTTTCTCACAATTCTTGAAAAAAATGTTGGTTTTTTTCTCGAGTATCCAGCACATAAATCAGCAAATTCTGGGTTTCTTTTTGACTGAAAATCGTTTTTTTATTTGATTTATTTTTGGGATACAGTTTACAATACTATTTTTTTCAGAAAAAAGCGTCAAAATCACGATTTTCATTGTTAGTGTAGAATTATGATCGAAACAACCTACTATTCAACTAAATAATAACTTTAAAGAGACCTCGGTCATTTCCTTCTGCTTCGGAAATCCCTACAAATGCCGGAAACGCGAATAGAATCCCACTGAGCGGAGTTCAATTGAACGGCCGAAAACCTCAAGATTTCGTCTTGGAGACTCCCGTTGAACCGGCGAAAGACAGATTCGTGGGTTTTGCAATGATCCTTTCTATATAAAATAATGTTTATTCCATGATTTTCCTCCAATTTAACTTTCAAGGCCAAGAAGAAGACGCGTTTTTACGCCCCTGAAGTCGTGAATCTGATGACCCAACTTCGGAACAGCATCGCTCATTTGGATTATGCTGATGATCAACTACGGCGAACTGCTAAAAAGGTTCAGGATGAAAATTATGTTGAATATAAGTCCCAAAAAAATTATTTTTTTTAATTATTGAAAGTTTAGAATTGATCAAAATTTTCAAACAATCTTTTTCCTTGTTTTTCATCCGGACCGAAATCTCACAGTGGAGTTTGGAACATATTATCTGAAATTACCGCTCTTATCGATTTTTTCAATCTCTCTGGGGTTCTAGATGCGCGACGAGTACGAGGAACGACTTGTTCGGCTCGAAGAGAAGGAGGAGGAATTAAAGGCGCATTGGGAGCAGAAGAAAAATGGTCTCGAGGCCGAATGGAAGGAGAAATTGGACGGTTGGCTGGAGGAGAAACGGCTCGACGAGGAAAGAAACGTCCGGGATCGTCGACAATTGGAAAGCGACCGAAGACTTTTGACCAAAAATGAGAGCGAACGCGTCAAAATCCTCACCAAGGAGGTCTCATTTGAACTTTTCGGACTTTTCATCATAAATTTCATTATTTTAGGTGGCTGATAGTAGGAAGAATGTTCACGATAAAGAGACGAAAATGGCGAAAATGAGGGTGGAAAAGAGGGCGGTCGACGAAAAACTGAAAGAAAGCGCCAAGGCCTTGGAAAACTCCCAGAAGGACTGCGAACGTCTCAAACGCGTCAATGCTACCTTGGAGGTTCGTTTTATAATTTGATCTTATTTTAGTGAGTTTTCTTGTGAAAAGCTCCTTTTGTCCGAAGATTATTATAGGCGGTTTGACTGAAAACATTTTGGCATATTTATTTTGAGATAAAGAATTTTGTGCATTAATAAATCATAATAAAGAGCTTTTTGGAAGCTTCCATTCGAGAAATTTCTGATTTAGAGAGCAAATTTAAGGATTCAAAAAGTTTGAAGTTTATTTTTTTCAATCTGCATTCTGGAAAGTGAATCGATTTTTTTAAAATCTTTTTTTCCATAAATCCTATTTTTTTCTAAATTTATCTTGCTTTTTTAGTTTGAAACTTGAAGTTCGTTCAACTGGAAAATAAAACTGAGAAACTTTTTGCTCAGTCATTTTTTTGATTACTGTAGAAATAACCTCTTCTTAGTTATAATTTGTCAGGTTTTAGCTGATTCGCTCGCGGTGGACACTTTCAAAGTTTATAAAAACCTTTTACAATAACAAAAAAAGGAATAAGACTTTTTCGCAGAAGAACCTTCGGCAAACACGTCAGGAAGTTGATCGTTTGAACCGCGAAGGCGTCGCCGAGGCCAAAGTCCTGGCCAACCATTCTCGACGTCTCAGTTCGAATCTCAGTGGTCCGAGAGAGGTTTTTATTTCTTTTTTTCAAGCCATTAGAAGCATAACAATGTTTCTCTGTGATCTGAAATCAATTGCCTTTTCCAGAATCCTGTCGATTCGGCTCGCGAGAAACGGCTTTCCGAAGAGAGACGAAGCGAAAATTATCGGAAAAGTCGATCGAGATCCGTGACGTGGGACGACGTGCACGACGCCACGGAATCTTTCGATACCCAAGATTCTGATCCCATGGTAGGAATTAGGGCCTTGTTTTCGTGTTCAATGAATTTTCGGGGGTTTGAACTTTTCTTAGTGTAAAATGAACTCGCCAAATTGGAATTTCGAGAACCGTTAGAAAATTGGTTCCTAGAACGATATTTTAATTTTTTTTACGGGTAAAAATGCCCAAATAACTCAAAACTTTAAAGTTCGTGCAAAAAAGTCATCTTGTTTTAAAACCTTTTTTTTAAGTCTCTCAAAATGCTATTTTGCGTATTTTGCGAAATCATATAACACGAAAAACGCGTCAATTTTTTTAAATTATCGCAATTGCTTTGAAAGACTTGAGAATTTAAATGGAAAAAGACTTGAGAAAAAAAATTTATTTTTGAGTGTGGATCTTTCAGAAAAAAATTGATTGGAAAAAAACTCAAACTTTTTCCATTTTTTTCGCGAGTTTTTTTCAATTATCATGTGTTGGTAAAAGTTTCTCTACATCTTAAATTTCAAGGGAACTTGTTTAATTAAAGTTTTTTTCTTATCAAAAAAAGAAAAAGTAATTTTTCATGGCTTTTTATCATTTTTTTCCTGTTTTTAAAAAGATAAAAAAATTTTTCAGAACGTTGTGGCGGCGGGTGTCGGACCATTCGGAAGATATCATCTCCTCCGAAACTTGCGAGGTTCGTTTTACTGTTTCAGAAGTTATTCTTGATCTTCGATTTTTCTTTTCAATTGTTTCATTACTTGCTGTAACTTCATCGGGTATTCCGGAAAAGTCGGTCGATTTGAAGGAATTTGTAGGATGACTATTTTTTTGGGATTATTAAAAGTGAAATTTTTTTCGGTTGTTTAGGCGGTTAAGGAGAAAAATATTTCTGTACTCTTTGAACATTTTCAAGTCAAATTTTTTTAAAATAATTAACAAAAGCTCCCTTTTTTTCTCTATTTTTTTAAATTTAATTAAAAAGGACTCTCAAATTTTATTGAAAAATTTTTTTGAAGATAACATATTTCAGGCTAAATAAAGCAAAAAATTCGCTCACAAAAAAACATATTCTCAAAAATAATCTACTGTTTTTGAACTATACGCATTCGGAACAAGCCAAAGATTTCGAATTTGAAAAAAATCGAGGTTTTTTTAAAATAGTCACCTAAAAATGCTCGGAACCGACTTTTTCCATGAGGCTTTTTATCAGTTTCTCTCGTATTAATTTTTTTATTATGAAAAAAAGAAAAAAACAAGTTTCTATACAAGGTGAAACTACGAAACACACGACAACGATCGATGGGGACCTCTTTGAGTACGATAACGGCGATCAGAGGTGGATAAACCATCAAAGAACTTTCCAGGTTCACAATTTTTCTCTTTTCAACTCTCAAGTTTTTCCATTCTCCAGATTTATAACTACTCTGTGGATGGGATGATTTCCTGGAAGATTCTGCCTATCAACAAGATTATATCTGTTTCTCAGAACGGAGAGGTGAGCAAATTCCTAAAACCCTCTTGAAGAGATAAGTTTTTTTTTTGGATGAAACGTTTTAGTAGGTGTTTTTGAAGGGAATCTTCAACGTGGAGTTTTTAAAAAATGAATAATTTTATTAAAAACTTAATTTTTCTTTTTTTTTTTCGCGTCTGGTAATAGATCCGAATTCGAGCTGAATCAAAAGAAGAAAGTGAAAGTTTTTTTGTTTTTTTGGTCAAGGGTTATAAAGGTTTTTTTATCATTTGAAAGATTTTTGTCTCTTTAACTGAAACGTTAAAATTCAGATTTTTTTGTATAAAAAAATAATTTTTCGTTTCTCTTTAATCAACTTTTTAGTTGTAATTCGTGAACTTAGAAAAAAAACTTTTTTTGATTTTTCAGATGCAAATTTGGCGTCCCGACGGCAGTATGAGCGTCGTTTATGGAAGACATAAAGTTCGAATGGAATTGGCGTTGGATTCGAGAAATTCCTATTTTCCTTCTGAAACGTATGATTTTACTGTTTTACATCAAATCGCAAAACTAATCTCCTAAATCTTGAAATTCTGATTTATTTGTCCGCCTTCATTTCTCTTGCCAATACTCTCATATTTTCGCGCTATTTCCATGTCTCTGTTATCTCACCGATGATAGAGAAGAGCGCGCAGATAGGTCGGAATTTCAAGCCGTGGCGGATGTGTGGCAATTATTTTTTTAATTTTATTTTCAGATTTGACTGTTTCGGCTTCGTTTCAAGACGTGGTATTCATGGAGTTCAGAAGTCTAAGTAAGCTTTTTTTCAGAAAAAAAAAATGCTTCAGCTTTATTTTTAGGTACAGTATCCCGAATCGCTACAGTGTTTGCGATGGAGGCCGCCGTTACGTCGATGTGAAGCAATTTGATGATTTTGAATTTGTCGAGCCGGAGTTCAGGGTAAACATTGATTTTTCGAATAGTTTTCAGTTTGTTTTTTCAGTTACGTTGGGTCTGTGGCGAAGCGATCGTTTGTAAGATTTTTGTTCCCAATGGGAACACCTTGAAGGTGAGTTGAAGAAAAAGTTTTGGCTGAATTATGATCAGTTTGGACCTCCTGGAGGTGGTACTGACTTTCTTCTTCCGCCTTTATACCGCTTGAGCGGCGTCGGCGCCCCAAGTCGATTAGCCGAGGTCCTATCCTGATAATCAGTGGACTGGCTCCAGTGACATATCCGTCCTTGTGTGTGACGGTTGGGATCATGAAGCCGTGGTTTCCCACTACCAACATTTCTTAAACCCCTTGGTTGGGTCGGGGCGGGGATCGAACTTGTGATCCTGTGGACCGTAGGGAGGCACACAACCTGTTTCGCTACGGCGCGCCCGGAGGTGGTACTGACTTTAACTCAGAAATAATCGGGAGCAGGTGTAGGTGGACATTTAAAAACGTCTGCCCATGTATGAGAGCGTTTGAAAATGAGAGGAAGGCCTTTTTTCTCTCTAAACGCCCTCTTGTTTACCAGTTCTCTCTAGCTCTGAAGATTCGAACGTAGACTTTTTAATGATCATGAAGCTGAATCTTGAAAGAAACAATTTGTTCGACATAACATCTTTTTTGTATTCCAATTTACATTTTCTATGAGAAATTGTGGATTTTTAACTTTCATTTTTTTGGCTCTAGGACGAAATAGAATGTTCATTGATTGAATGTAAGTTTTTTTGAAATAGTTTTGAAACCATTTTTTTGAATTTTTTTCGACTTTTTTTCGAGATGAAAGTTTATTTCTTCCGCTTGTAGGTCTAATCAGTTCGTAGTTTTATTCTGATATTTTATTTTCGCATCAGTTCATGCCATTTTATTCGATTATTTTCAATTATAGTAAAAAAGCTTCCTTTCGATAATAAATCTTCAGATGGCCGAAAAAAAAACAAAAAGGGAATTTTTTCAAGATTTTCAACCTTTTCAAGCCTTTTATTTTCCAGCTGCAAGTAGACCGGAAAGAAGTTATCTTGGAAAGCGTCGGCTGTTCTCCAGTTGCCGGGAAATTCGAAAAGAAACTCTGCTTCAAATGGCCTCGAAAATAACTGTAAATTTAACCTTGTTCTGTATATTCTCTGTTTTATCCTCCTTTTCTCAAATAGTATTGCCTTCTTTGATTGTACGGATTGCGTTCATATCTTTGACCTCACTTTTCTGTTTCTCACTTGCCTTCTTAATTCGTCGTTTTTTATAAATTTCGTTTTAGTGGAACCATGAGCTGGTTTGAATTCAATTTTCTTGCCTTTACATGTAAATTGATTGTTTCTTCTGAACGCTGATTCACCAATAACTAAAATCCCATCCCTTCTATTAACCTATATGGATTCATTGTATCGTACACTGACCTTTTTCTTTGTGAAGTAAACTTTTTCCAATTAATCAGTTCATTTTGACGTGAAAGTGACGAATTTCGTTCTGATCGTCGGCGTGGAAAAAACTTGAGCCATTTCTAACAGCAAATGTCTACTAGTGCGTCGATCATTTTGGGGCTTTGATAATTTCTTTGAAGTTCCAGGTTCAAGTTCAAGTACAGGCTCAGGTTCGGGTTCAGGTTCGGCCGAAGTCGAACCTCCGAAAGGCAGCAAGTGGGACCCGATCAAAGTTGATATCGTTCCGGAAGAAAGAAGATTTTGAGTTTTCAGCGTTTTTTCCTGAGAACAAAGAAAAGGGAAGGGAGCGACGAGGAAACTGATCCGGACGTTTTGACGAGGTGAGGATCGTTCAATTCTGACTTGAATCTTCGAAAAAGTTCGATGAGTATCGGTGTGAAGAACCTTGGCAATTGAGTTCTGTAAATCGCGAAATTTGGAAAAGCTTCGTGGGAAAGTTGTACTATCATACACGGCGAGAAAATTCATTTATTTTTACAAGATTTAATTTAAAAATATGAATTTTAATTTTTCGTAAAACACTGTGCAGCTTCAAGTACTTGAGTGTTTGCAAAAACAGTCGGGGAAAATGAGCATGATTTTTCAATGTTTTAACTATCGGATAGTGGTTTCAAAGGCTTATGAGGGTTCATTTCTAGAAGAAAAAAGAGATCAAAAAGCGCAAATAAACTTTTTTTTCCGTAATGCAAATACTGTGAAAAGGAGCTCTTAACGCTGAAAAAGTTCAAAAACGTGGAAAAAGATTGAGGAGAATATTTTCTCGGTTATAAAGTTGTTCACTTGGTTTGGCCCTGAAGGGTTTTTGTGAAGTTATTCATCATCGAAAAAAAAAGTGACACCCGAATTGTTGAGATGGACGGCGGCGTGCCTCAACTCCAGAAGCCCCATGTTTTCTTCACAGCCACCGATGAACGCGGTGAGACCTAGGCTTTATCGATAAACTCTAGAAAAGCTCAAATTTTGCTATTTGAAAAATTGAGTCAAAAAAAGTTCAGCACTTTGCTTGAAATTGCGATTTCCTAATGTAAAAAGTTCGTGGAATTTTATGTTTTAGTGATGCGTTTATTCAGTCGAGTTTAAATCCCGGTCAAGTCCTAATGATTGTTGTTTCGAGGCTTTCTCTCCGGCCCCGTCGCTCCTTGCCTTCGCGGCTTTCATGTTGGCCTCCGACGAGAGAACGATGATGATCATGCGGAATCTCTTCCAACTATCTACCGCTGACATCACTGGTCGGATTGTCTTCTTTGAAAAAAGTTATCCACGCCGTGTTGAAAAGATTTTGCGCGAATTTCAAAATTATCTCTGACTCTTCAAAATCTTTTTCAGTCTCTGACAGTTATTTTTAATCTCCCGGAATCACTTTGAGCACGACAGTTTGAGAAGTTGTCGAATTTTTTCAAATTTTCTTAAATATACTTTTGAGAAAAAACCAAGTTCATTAGGTTTAACTTTTTACGTAGTACCTGAATCTGTGCTCAAAAATTGACGATGAAGTCCAGGAAAAAATTCAGAAATGCTTAATTTTGAAGCGACGACCAAACGAGTAAGTGAAAATCGCTGAAAAATCATGCCTCGAAAAAAAAAAACTTTGAAAAACCCGATTATCGCGATCAAGAGCCCTATTTTACATCCCAAAAAAAAAAATCCATTTGGTGAGTTTCAATTTTGAACATTTTAAAACTTTCTAACTGCTCGACAATTTTTGAGATACAAAACTCAATGTCAAGCTGTGAGCTCTGAACATTTACTAGAATCTTCGTTCATTTGAACCTTCGAAAAAAATACCCTCAGATTCATTCGAAATTTATTTTTGGTCAATCATTGAGTGTATTAAACAGATCATCCAGCTTGATCTCACCTTGGATTGAGAAACAAGTTCAGAACTGGGAGAGAAGATGGAGAAGCTGTCGAAGTTGAAAGCCAAGAAGAACTTCCACTGCTTCGTGCGGATCGTCGTCGACGAGGAATCGACGACGACCGTTGGCACTGCTCTCATGGCAACCGTCAATAGGATCGGCCATCAACAGGTTTCAGACCTGCTTCTGGACCAATTCGCGAGTCTTCTGTTGAGGTTTTCGTGTCCGCAAGGCCCTCTCGAGCCATTCGCTTCGCCCTGAGCCTCAACTGCGCGCCGGACGTCGTTGACTTGCCCCGACCTCATCTACTGACCACCAACGCCTTCTGCTCGGCTGGCGTCGTCGCCAGTTGGGCCGGCGAAGTCCGGCTCCTATTTATACTTGCATTTTCATTGCATTTCCAGACTGACAAGGCATCCAATGCCAACTTTTCATCGACCTACTCACTCCGATATCAACACGCCTTCTTCGAACTCAACACCACGGCCATCCATGCTAGTTTTGGCAATTTCGAGGTTTTTCGACGTCTTCAAGAGAAGTCGAAGAATGGTGGTTAAAGGTCTGGCAGTTGCCTCTTCTGAACAAGGCGTCTCCAAACTGTAAAATCACCATCTTCCGCCCGTTTTTGCTTGGAAACCTGACGGGGGAGATGATCTCGGACTTGACGCTTCAGAGAGTCTTCGACAGACTCGAAAAGAAGCCGGTAATTAGAGTATTCTTTATTCGGAGGAACAAATTTGTGTTCATTTTAAAATATGCGAGTTAAGCCCATTTCTTACAAGCAAAGTTTGAAGAAAAATATCGCAGAAAGATTTTTTTCTTAATGACTTTTAGGAATTTGAGTGTTACTATCTACAAAAAAAGAACACTTTTTTCAATTTTTGCTTTTGAAAAATGAGCTGTTCAGAGCATGAAGGCCCGAGTGCTGATGCCCAAGTTCAGCGCCCACTTCAAAAGCGACTCGTTTAACTATCTTCTCAGCCGAGGTACCGTACTCGTCGCCGTTGATGTTCAACAGCAATTTTTAGGAGTAATGCGAGACTTGGGCCAAACCGCCCAAATTCCTTTTGTTGGATGCGTCTGGCAATGGACGACGGTGGCCATCGACGAACAAGGGGTTACTTGCAAACAATTTAATCAGAAGGTGCTTTTCTGGTATTCTTGATTTTTTGAAGCTTAAAAGGGTGATGCTGAAAATCTGATGCTAGAAATCAGCGGGCGCATGAAGAGATTCCAGAGAAGTCGAAAGTTTTTCCTTCTTATTTTCCGTCTTCGCTCAAAGAGAGTAATCCCAAAGTGAAGACAGAGGAAGAGAAAGTTTTGTTTCTCTGGCATCTCTTCTGGCAGAAGGCTAATCTCTAGCTTTGGCTTGTTTTGGGTAGGTGTTTACCAAGGAAAATATTGTTTCCATTTAGTAATCTTCTCATCACTTTGATATATACAACTTTTTCTCTCTGTTCTTACTTTTGAATCGATTTTAACATTTATCTCATTTTTTTTCAGTCGATGAAAAAGGTAATTGGAAGGATTTCATCGGAAGAGCTCTACTTTCACAGTCGACCTTACTCGTTACGCCTCGATTCGCCATTCATGTACTTCAGAATTTTCTCTGCGGTAAAAATATCGTTTCAGGTACGTCATTTCGATCGATAAGATCCCAATGGTGGCTGGGAAATACTTTGGGCATCCCGCTCCTAAGCCGAAAGACTACTCCATACCTTTCCCCGACAGGTAAAGTTCCCTTATTTTCTTCAAAAAACTTGATTGACAGAAGCGAAAAGAAAATACGAATAAAGAAGCCAAAAGAGAAAGTGACGAAAAAGCAGAAGCGTCGCCAGCAACTCCGTAAACGTCTGGATAAGGAGAAAGTTGAAGAGCAGAAAAAGGCTTCGAAAAGCCGCGCAAGCTCAATCGCTTCTAAAATTGTTACGAGCGTCAGATCGAAAAAAACAAAAAGCTCAGAAGTGTCGTCGGCGTCTTCGAAAACCTCTAAATGGAGAAAGATCAAAGACGCTTTTAAACGCAAGAAACGGCGATGACGACGGCTTCTGCTTTTTCGGTACTTTCTTCATTCTAAAAGTAGAAATAGCAAACTATCTATTTTCAGAATTCCTGATGAAGATAAGGAGAGCTGCATGGTAGACTACCTCTACGCTTGGTGACTGCGAAAGAATATCTTGCCATAAAGAATTTTATCTATCTTCTGGAGAGAAAACAATCAGGAACAAGCTGTTAAACAAATTAAGTTAGGAACAGAAACAACAACTAATGAAGATGAAGAAAACGAAAAATAATCCCGGTACTATAGGGTAACAGCCAAAAGAACAAAACGAAAAGGAACCATTAATTATAAAGAACCAACCGAAACAAGTAGGAAAATGGAGACTTGCATTGCGATACCACGTAGAATTACTTTCGCCTCCAGTTGGAGTCTGAATCGGCCTGAGCGCCACCGGTTCTTGGAGCCGTCGTCGCGGGTCTCCGGTTTGCGTCGCGATTGAAGCGGTTGTCGCGATTGTCACGATTATCGCGGTTATCACGACTGTCGCGGTTATCACGACTGTCGCGGTTATCACGATTGTCTCTATCGCGGTTGGGTGCGTCTTGCGGCGTTGGCCGTGGTCCAGATCGGAGGGCACCGAAGTCTCGTGCAGGAGCTGGTCCAGCTGCAGAAAAACATTTTTTTTCACTTTTTTTATATGGTGTTCTATAAACTTATATACTAATCAATAATCAACTTTTCTACATTTTCGGACTCTTTTTCAACCTTTACATGAAAGTATTTTATTTTATTTATTGTTCAAGTTGATAAAAAACAAATAATTGTAAAATCTCTAAATCTAGACTGATTGATTATCAAGATTTTCCAACCTTCTTGTGTTTGGCGGGGTTTCAGGACAGATTTGGGTCGCTCTTCTGATGGTGCGGGCGCTGAATAGTCGAAATTACTGTCAAAATTAAGGGGATTATTTGTACCAGGCGTTTCCTTCTTGACGACACTTCCACGAGTCCAGGTCGATTCGGCGGGGGCGGGGGCAGGAGTTGGTCTAACTGGAGGCCGCGCTGCTTCTGGACGACGTTGGCCGAGGTCTTCGCGAGTCGGAACGTTGTCATCGATGCGACGGCGATCCCGTTCACGCTCCCGGTCGCGGTCATTCTCACGATCGCGATCACGATTAACTAAAACTTTTCTCGTTTCATGTGGCTTTTTTCAGAATTATTATTCAATCAAATATCAAAATTTATACTACTGCGTGGTAAGATTATTTAAAAACATGGCTATTTGAGACATCAAAAACGAAGTTTCATACGTTTTTCGGCTGACTTTTGTAACTATGAAGGATTATTCTTGCAGATAAAAGTATTTAACATCGAAACGCAAAATCAAAAATTACCAGGCGGAGGACCGGAAGTTGGAGCGGTGTTCGCTCTCCAGGAATTGTCCCGATCAGCTTGGGAGGGTGGCGCCTGGAAAAAAAGAATAAAAATCAATCAGTTTTTTCAAGATACAAACATCGCGTTCACGTTCTCTGTCGCGCATGGGAGGCCGTTCGTCGCGACGATCTTCTCGTGGCGGCCGGGTGATTCTCTCGCCACCGCCAGCTCGCCAATTGTTGTCTTGCATGGCGACCGAGTCCGGATTCTCGCGTCTTCTGCCTCCGTCTCTCTCCTAAAAAGGAAAAAAGTATTAAAATCAGCTCTACCGAGGTTTCCTGAAGCCTTTACTCAATATTCACTCAAAGAGCTTTTTAGCCATACTTATTTTAAAAAATGATGAAATTGATTTCAAGCGTACCAGTTTTAAAGTGACCTAACATTCAAAAAGCCAAAAATTGTTTTAAACTCAAACCATAGTAAAAAATTTTACTCAGGTTGAATAAACTTTTTTTTTTAAAAAGATTGCCAAAAAATGCTTCAAAGAATGCTTTCTTACGGAGAAAAAAACAAATTCTTCACTAACAGGTCTGTTGCTGTCGCGCTGCCGCTTCATTTCGTCGAGGAGTTGCTGTCTCTGACGTTCTTCTTCCTCGCGTTTCTGATCAGCCTTGGCCTAAACTTTCAAAAAAATAATTAATTGAGTATGGTTATATGTTAACCTTCAAGTACTTCTCCTTTCGTTCTCTCTTACGCTGCTCGGCGCGCTCAGCCAAACGATTGTTCCTGACGGCTTCCAATTTGTTTTGCCAATCATTCATCTGGAATGTTCCTTTATTCAACTTTTTCTTTTCTTCGACTAAAAATGACTCAATTACTTTCACTTCGCACTTATATATCAAAGGAATCTATAAAAAGCTTAGAAGTTCAATGAAGTCTTTCGATTAACATTAATATCCGTTATTGATCCCTACATAGAAATCCAGACTCAACACTTTTCAATGAGAAAAAGCTAGGAGAAAATAATAAGAAAGTTTTCTACACAACTTCTCGACTAAAAGAAACTTTTCTACGCCATCCATTGCATTGAACAACAAACATAATGATTTCCAAATTTAAACCTTTTGGTCGAAAACGTCGGAATTGTTGTTCTTGACGTCTTCGATCCATTCGTACGCTTGCTCCATGACATTATCCCACAAATTCCACGTCTTGACCTGTTTCTCGTGTTCCGCACTTAAAAATTTGCTTTCACTCAATTTTTTTTTCTTCTCAAACTAACATTTCCTTGGCGATTCTCGTCTCTTCATATTGTTCGTGGTGTTTAGGGGCCTCGTTCAGGCGGTGCATCATAACAGCTTTTCTGAATACAATAAAATGATATAATTGATGATTTTTTTTCACAATTGATATTAGTAAAGTTGAACTACACAAACAGAATATTTTTTTCAGGAAAATGCCGAAACGTTGAGTCCAAGCTCCTGAGCTCTTCAACGTTTTTTTCTTTTTCAACTTTATATCCTCGATTTAAATAAGAAATTTCGCATCAGGAATAATTTTTGACAATGACCTAAAAATAAAAAAAAAATTGACTTGAAAAAAATAATTATAAAAAAATTTTTTTTAAGTATCTTCATTTCTTTAACATTTCTCGTATCTGTTCCGTCAGCCACAATTTTTCACAACATAAGTGATCATAAGCTATCGATTTCTGCAAACCTTTCCAACATTTCCTCGAGATGAAGGGCACGAACATGATGGTCGAAGGTTTTTTCTTGTTGCTGGAGACGTCTTTGAGTCTCCATGCGTTCCTTGTCTAAACGCTCGCGCTGAAAACAAAATAATTGAAACTAAAAAATGGATTCGTGTGTTTTCTACCTGTTCTCGTAGAACAGCCTCGGGATCCATGTCATGGAACTGATCAAGGCCTTTTTCTCGAATGATGTCTTGATAAATGGCGTTTTGCTGCATTTTACGCAACTGGTCTTGTCGAATTTGACGCTGAACTTCTTCCTGGACAGAAATAGATATATATTTGAAAGGAACAAAAGAATTAACCTGTTCGGCCAATTTGCGCTTTCGCTCGCTCTCCTTGTTCTGTTCCTCAAGTCGCTTCATCTCATCCGCTCGCATAGCCTCGTCGCGTTTTTGGGCTTCGGTTTGAGCAGCCAGGGTCTTTTCTGCTTTTGACGCGTTCCCAATTTTTCCTAAATGAGAAAACCGTGAAATAATTTATCTATAAAAGACTATGTTGCATGCAGAAACGTTTTTATTTAATATTAAAAAAATTTTACGAAATTTTTTTACTTTTTTTGTAAAATCTTTTTGAAAAATTAAGTCTACGTGATTATGAACCTTGTAGTTTTCGAGCTTCTTCTTGCGCTGCAAAATGCGCTCCATTTCTTGAGGACGGTTCCTTTCGTAGTTGAGAGCGTGATGTTCAACCTCAAAATTTTAAGAAATTCCAAAACATTTTGAGCTATTTTCAAACCCGAGCAATAAGTTCTCTACGACGCTTGTCGCCATCAAGAAGCTCAACAGTGTTTCTTAATTTGTTGTACATGACTTCCAAATGAGTTCGGATGCCTTCGACGCCAAGTTGAGTATCATCGCCTGCAATTTTGAATTAGAACTTAATGAAAACAATAAAAACCAGTGAATCCGTCGGCTTCCTCCAGATCAACACCACCGGCTAACGTCGCGTCTGCCACTCCGAACTTCACACAACCAGCCCGATGATCGACATGAGCCTTAATAGAAAAAAAAACATTGAAATAAAAAATGCGACGAGAATTAGGCTTCCATACTTTTTTATTTACTTTAAAAATCTCCAAAACTTAAAAAAAATTACTTTACATCTGGAAGTCTTGAAAATGATTTGTTGAATTGATTAAAAAAATTCTTTACGTTCTGGAAAACCAAAAAGTTTCCCAGATTTTACTATGATTCCAATTACTCGCCTAATCTTAGCCATTACAAGTGAAATATAGAAAAACCTTGACAAATCGATGTTTGCTTGCTTCAACCACAAGACGCTCCAGCTGCAGATCGTTGTAGAAAGGAATAACCTTCATGATTCTGTCCCAGCTGATGGAATCGTAGATGACAGAAATCTTGAAACAAAAAATCATTACTTCCGTCTTTTTTGAAGTTGCTTACCTGCTTCAAAGTTTTTGTGGCGACGACAGTCTGCAAAGCATCGACATATTGGAGATGATCAGGTCGTTCAATCGATTTCAACAAAGCTTCAACATCCTTGGCCATCCTATAGAAGATTTTGTAACTCATGGCAGACCGAATTTTGATACCGAAGTGGAGCGAAGTTGTTTTCCAGGAGCTTGTAGAGGTCCTTGGCAACGTCGCTGGCCATTTCGGGAAGGCCGATGCGAGCGGCTTCCTTCAGAATTCCATTCTTCGACGGAGCGATCGGGAGTCGCAACAAGTTCGACAACAAGCTGAATTATACAGCTCCGTAATGGTTCATGAAAATGAATAATCTTAGAAAGTTTGAGTGGAAAACAAATGAAAAACCTAAAAAATAACCAAACATGAAAACTTACCGAATATTGGCCATGTGCTGGTCTTCAATGTCAAGATTCCTCGTGAGGTCAGACGGAGCCTCCGCGCCATCGGGAATCGAAAGCGTAGCCAAAAGAACGCGACTCGCTTGTTCTTGGGCTTCTTCCGACGTGAACTGCTTCTTCATGTCCTGAAAAAATGATTTCATCCTACTGCTTTTTTCCCCAAACAAAAAAATTTTTTGTGAATAATTTTCGGATGTTAATGATATTTTCAATGAAAAAAAAAATATTCAAGAATCCTACGAAAAAACTCGCCTTGTAAATGATGTACTTTTGCAGAAGAGCAGCCGCGTGGAACAAGCTGTTGCCAGCCTTCCAAAACACGAGAGCCAGTTTGTCGTAATAATTGACGTAGCTGGAAGGCTTCACAGTTCTCTTGTCCTTGTCTTTGGACAGCTGCATCATTCCGTGGACATCTTCAGCACTCCTGGAAAATAGAAATCGGTCAATGACATATTGTAACTAAATAGATTACTTGTAAGCTTCCTGCCACAGTTCCATTTGAATAGCCGTATCCAACTGACAGAGCCGAGTTTCCTGCATCATTGCAAGAGACTCGACAGAATGCAGTTTCACACTGAAACATTTTATTTGAGTAAAAAGCCAAGTATTATTTACATACGCATGTCCGAGATGTTGCTGCTTCTGAATTTGATTCAAATGCAAACGAAGAAGGTCGCACAACTTGCGAAACTCAGTTCTTCTTTGATATTTCGCGCAGAAAATGAAGGACTGCCTTGTGATTTGATGGTACAAGTGTTCAACCTGAAAACGGAAATTTTTAAAGGATGTTCTAAGCCTTGTCGCACCTGAGCGTTGTTTCTCAGCAATTCCAAGCAGTTACGGTAGGAATCCCACAAAAATCTCAACCAAGGAGCCAAAACAGTTCGGTCCATCCGGTCTTGAGCAGCAGCGCCAGAAACAACGGCGAGCAGCATCCTTTAATCTATTCATTATCGAGAGAACAACATGAGATCCAAACGTTTCAGGAACATCCCCTTGGTCGAGATCGTCGATTTCCTCTACTTTTTCTATAGAAAACTTTTGAGCTTCTTCTGTTTTTTGTTCGGCCAACTTCAAAAAGTATTCGACAACATTTTCCAAAGATTTCACATTGATCTGAAAAAAAAAATTATGAATCGACTTCAAACCAACGAGCATCTTACCTGTTGCGTCAATGTTTTGTACTGAAACAAAGCATCTTTGGCGACGTGGTGCTTCTTCAAGTTCACACACAATTCCATGTGCTTCATCATAATTTGCTCATGAGTGGCCGTCCACATTTTATGCCTTCGTGCCTGGAAAATACTTCTGAACAAACAGGATATGTAAGTATAATACCTTAATAGTGTCATGAAGAGCTTCCAACGCATCGCTTTCCTTTCCGACTTGAATAAGTTCTTGTGCTCTTTTGAGAGCCGTTTCCGGTTTTTTGGAAATAATTCGGGGCCATTTTACTGAAATTGACATACCTATCAAAATTTTCAATGAACTTTTTAATATCTTCGCGACAAGAGATTCCAGATACTGTTATCTTCATTTTAAAAAAAATTCTCGATCAAAAAAACTAATGTATTGGAAAAGAAACAGAAGTTTTCTCAGTGCCATGAAACATTTTTCAATAAAAAAGAGTAAATCACAGATCGAGAGCCTATCGAATTAAATAAAAAACCAGAGTATACACAAGGAAAAAACTTTTGAATGAACGCACTCGTAGAACGCGGTGTGATATGTTCTTGCCTCAGGAACGCTCAAGCCGGTTGCAACGCGTTGATCGACCCACTCTCGTTTCAAAATGAGTAAGACTCGTAAGTTTCAATCAAACAAATTTACTAAACTCCTTTTCCCGGAATTTACAAAATACTAGCACGTAAAAAGACATGTACTTCTGAGTGGAAACTAATTGAGAAAAATATCAGATGAAAGACTGAAATTTGTTATTAGTTACCGAAGCCTTAATACACTATCCGAATCTATCGTTGTACGCGCTGCGATGTAACATGGCGAAGGGTATTACTCCAAGAAATTACAACAACAAAAAAAAACACATTTGTTTAAGGCGTGTTTAAATAAATTTTTTTTTATCTGACCGGTTGGAAGGGCGATTATTGAAGAAGATATAGCTTGAATGACATTTTCAGAACCAAACTGATATCAATAATTAATTATTAATTAAAAGAAAACATAGTAAATTGAATAAAAAAACAAATTAAAATTTTATAAAGCTCGGTGGAACGGACCTTGAAGAGAGAAAGGCATACTGTAATTATCCCGTATCTGTGTCTTTTTCCTTTTTTTTTTCTTTTCTCCTCTTTCACGCGCAGCTATTTTTTCAATATCTCTTTGTTTTAGCACATCAAAAATAATTTTTGTTCGTGAAGCTTCATGAAATACGTCTCCCATCCCCCGTTTATGTAACTCGCAAAAAGGTGATTTATTTAATTTCGCAACCTCGATTACCTCTAAGAGAAGTGTGGTTAAATTTTGATTTCAGGTTCTTAGCAGCTTCTACTTCGCGGTTCCATGAACCAATATGAACGCGCATATAGGTGTGTACTTCACAAAAAAAAAGAATTAAAGAATTTTTAAGGAGTATCTTGTGATGGTTGCTCAATAACTGCCTTTTCTGGTCATCGGTACAAATGCCTACGCTGCAACGACTACGATCTCTGTCAACATTGTTATCTCAGCAAGCAGTTTGGCGATCAAACCCGTTTAGAAATCATGCCTCACGAGGAAAGCCATCCGATGCAACTCATGATGACCCAGTCTGATTTTGGTATTTTTTGAAATTACATAAACATTTTCGATTTTCTTTGCTGCAGAACTCGTGTATGAAGGAGACAGTACGAAGAACTACGAAAACTGCAAGATTGCCTCTTTTACCTGCCCATACTGCAACATGAACGGTTTCGGTATCAGATCTTTTGGGATCCATGTGACTACGAGACATCCTGACCCACCTTCTTACAACGTCGTGAGTAACCTTCTTTTGCTTTCTTTTTCATTCGTTTTTTCTTTAGATCTGCCCGGTTTGCATCGCGACGCCTGACCTGGAGACGAGTTCGAATCGAGACACGGAGAACTTGAAAACTCATTGGAATGATTTCCACTCAGCCAGGTATTTTCTCAATTCCTGATTCTTTTTAAAGATATATCTTTCAGTGTTGATAATAATTACCGAAATGAACCGATACGAGGCGTTGTTCGACGACCGATGTTGGCTAGACGAGCAGGTCGTCAACAGGCTGGAAATCGGGCAGCTCTTGCAGGTTTCACTTTTCTCTTTTTTTAATCCCTAAAATTAGTCTATGTTTGATATTTTAGTTTCTGTTAATTTTATGCATACATTCTTTTTTTCCGAACACTTAAAAAAAATGTTCTTAGTGATTAACATCCGGATAACTTCGTAAAAAAACGTCACTGTTTCAGATGAAATAGCTCGTTTATAAGATTTGGAACTAAATTCGAAAAAAAAAATAGAAAAAAAGCTGTAGCTAATACAAAACCAATTACAGTGTTTTGGCACAGTTATGCTGTTTATATATATATATTTTTTTACGCCCTAATTAAAATATTTCCTTAACAACACAAAATGGATTTGTTGCCCATATATCATTTTTCAAACAGACCGTGTTTTTGTTAGAAAGTTAATTAATCAATTTCCGGCTTTCTTAAGAAGCTATTTTTATGTTCCTTTCACTCTTTTTTTAATGTGTTTCAAGGCTTTTTACTTGTTTTTAAAAGTATACTGAAGATAATTAGAAAGATGTTATGAAGCCTTTTATGGTTACGCATGTTTTTAAAAAGTTTATTAGTTGTGTTATTCTCTAGTATATTAACGGAGGTACAGGAAATGCGGGAATCACAACGGCGGGCGCTCCGGTTCACCTGGGATTCCCGTGGGCGGTTGAGGGCGATTTGGAGGTGGAGGATGTCCTGAGAAATATCCGGAATCTCGCCCCTCTTCCCAACCTCCCCAACGAGTTCCAGCGGATCGGAAATCAAGTATCATTCCCTGAAATTGGTTTGGAACGGAGGAACGATTCAGCCTCCTGCTGCGGCGCGGGAACAACTGCGAACGCAGATTCTGGCGAATCAAAGGCTGACGGCGACTTCTTTACCTGGCGCGACCGTCCAAATCGCGAGTAATGAATATGCTCAGCCGAGGACCACGACCGTCGCTGGCGCAAGTGCTGCCCAACCTACGAATAGCCAGGTAATTTTTACCTTTTGTTCATTTTTCGAAAAAAAAAGCCGCAAAGAGAGTAGAAGTAAAAAGAAATTGTTTTTATAAACGTGAATGACAGCTTTTTTTCTCTCAAAAAGTGTTTTTTAATGATAAAAATGAGCAGAATTATTTTTAATTTTTTTAAATTTTCAATATTGTTCAATCGATCAACTTTTTCAGGTTATTCGACCTTTGCGTATGTCGGCCATCTATCCACCTACAAACGACATGTTGGAAGTGAGAATTGAATTAATCTAGGAAAAGCGTTATTAAATTTCATAAAAGCCTTTTTTGGCTCATGACTACCACTCTTTCAGAATCTCAAGTTTTGGATCCCATATTTTATTTTTCTTACACTTTGAATGAGATGAGAAGGTTTTTGAGGTAAAGAAATACGGAAAGTCTAAAAACTTGATTTTCTTTGAAAAAGTTTTTTTTCATTCTGTTCAAACTTTTCTTTAGGAAATAAGCTTGGAAGATATTCCGTTGGACGATTACACAGAGGACGACGGCAGCGATGACGGCCATCTTTACCAAGAAGCTTCATCTGCGGCTGAAATGTTTTTCGTTTTAATAAGGTCCCAGGTTTAAAGAAGATTTTCAGAAAAACGGGTCGAAAGAAGTTGGGAAAATGTGTGGCGGATAAAATCTGCGTAAGTGATAGTGAATTCGAGCTGTATTTGGCGACCGATGAGGTGGGTGTTTTTCAGAAAATAAATCTTAGATTTTCAAAAAATAAACAAAATTGCTCTAAAAGTGGTTTTTTATTCCTCAAAATACTTTTGTTAAATATATTCATTGGATACGCTGAATGAAAATTCAAGCGTGACAGGTGTATTTTTTTTAGAAATTTTATCGTAATATTGTTTTTTTTCCCGAAGATACAAACTTTTTTCACCTTTTTTTTCTTTCTTACTTGTTTCTAACCATTGAAACATAATTGAAAAAAAGAAAAGAAAAAAAAAACGTAGAAAAAGTATTTTCTTCCTAGTTTTTCAGGACTCTAGCGATGAAGAAGAAATCGATGATCAAGGTCACAGGATCAAGCCTGTGGGCAAGCCAGATTTGTGCCCTGATAAAGAAGCGACTTGGAAAAGTTTCCTGAATCTTTACTCACTATATTCCTTCCCTTGACTTTCAGAAATCCGGGAAAAGCTGACCAGAGACGACGTCGAAGTCCTGCTTTCCTCTTTGAGAGCCGAACCTTCCCTCGGGGCCGACGGAGAAGAATTGTTTGATTTTCTTGATTTTTCTTTCGAAAAATATTGTTTGGTTGTAGAGAATTGCGACAATTGCCATTCAAAGCGCCCCAGCGTCACGGCGTTCCTGCAGATGAGGGTCAGAATTTTCGTTAATTTTCTCGAGAGAATTTCAAAACTTTCCAGGAGTTCAAAGCTGGCTGTCTCTGCAGTTTGATGCCCCGCCGATTCGGTCTTTTGGCACGGAAACTTATTGGAGCGACAAACGTTTCCTTAGACAGAGGTAGTTGCAAAGAAACAACCAAGTAGAAAATTTTCAATTTTAATTCAAAGATGGGTGTTTATTTAGAATCGATACCATTTCAAATTTTTTGATCAAATTAGAAAATACATTTTTCTGTAGTTTTTTTTCTTGAACTTCTTCTAATCAACTTTTTTTCAGTTGAAAACTTCAAAAAATGTTAATTTTTTACGGTTTTATGGGTTGTAACGATAAAAAAATTTTTGAAAAAAATATTTGAACTAAAAACGAATCGCATTGAGCACATAATAATCAAGTAGAAGTGCACTTTTCAATTAAAAAAAATAATGTTATAACGAAGCTTTTCTATTTATCTCATTCTAGTTTATTTGAAAGTATCAATAATGGTTTCGAAGTTTTTTTTTAAATTTTTTAGGGGTTTTTGAACAAAGAAACCCGTCTCTCTGGACCCGAATTCAATATTTATAGAAAAAGTTTTTTTTTTCAATTTTTCTTTTTTAAAAGGTTTTCAGAAGTTTTCACCGTGTTTAACATGATTTTTCTTCTTTCTCATCGATGTTTCTGAAAACTCTGTTCATAGGCGGTTACTCCGCGACCAAAGTTCGGTTTCTTCCCGGGAGGAAGATTTGAGACGTGGCGAGGTCGCTTTGGCTTTGATCACGTCTGGAATCGAAGGATTACCTTCCAATTTGCGATATTTTGACAGACCAGGTAATGAATTGAATTTCGATTCATTTTATGTGCGTTCTTTGAGATCGAACTTTACGGAGAATCTTCCGAAATACCAATTTCGAGACAATGAGCGTCCCGACGCCCGAAGAAACAACCGAGCCAGACGAAGCTTGTAGAGAGGTTCATTACATTTTTTCCCTGAGGGTTTTTGTCGAAGAAAGTCAAGGAATTCCAGTTTTTGTTAGATATCACCATTCATAGATTAGGTCCAATTTCCGCTAATTAATTAGTCTCTCTCTCATTAAATTAATTAGTAATTTAATCGTTGAAGTTTATTTCCGTACTTGATTTGCTTGATGAAGATTGAAGTCTGGAATCTGTTGATACTTGGAATCTATCCGTAAAAAATTGGTAAGAAAAAAAGCCAATTAATTTTTGAGCAATTTTCGGGAACTTTTTCACGTAGATTTTCAAAAATTCTTCCGAAGTTCGAGATCTTTTTCAACCCAATTAGGTCAAAACATGAAAATATAAAAGCTTTTGAATTTTTTTTTTGCAGTGGTTTTAGTGTGCTGTGACAAGACCTGTCTATTTTTTTTTGGAGGGTAAATCAGAAAATTTATTATTTTAATCAAAATCTCAGGCTGAAGAATCGATTTTAAAGTTAGAAATTTGAAAAAACGAGAATTGATTTTGAAGGTGTTGATGAAAGAAGCGTCCCTTCGGTTTGCAAGTGAACGAGTATCTGCGGCGGGTCCTTCAGGGGTCGATTCGAAAGATGATGTGGTTCCCCTGCACTCTTCTACCCTTAGGTTTGCTTGTTTCGAGAGATATCAGATTTAAAAAAAACTATTGAAAGCTCTTGAGCTAAAGATTGCGAAGGAAATTCTTTTGAAAATTTTATTTCCAGGTCTAGGAAATTCATAGGAAGTCGACAGAACCTTAGACTGAGGTTTCGAATTTTTCGCTGCTGTGGAGTTATAAATGTATTCAAAGAAATATTATATATTCATTCGTACCGTTTTTTTATCGAACTCTTCTTGGCGTTTTTCCAGTACCCTTTTTTCACTAACTTCCTGGATCACCATATTTTTCAGCAACGAGGACGACGGGGAGTCTTCGGAGAATGATGACGCTGACGATCAGTAACTTTGCCTTCATTTCCTGTATATTTTGTTTCGCTCTGCAGGTGTTTTTCAATCAAAAAAAAAGGTTTAATATTTGATCGCTTATTCGGTTCTTTAGATGTCACTAGGTTATGATATGCCATTTCTAGTCGCTCAGCCGTTTTCGCTTCAAATAGATGCTATTTTCACTGACATAAGATTCCTGGTTCAATAATTACATGTACCTTTTCACATACATAATTAACTCTAATAACCGTTTGAATAAATTGATAAAATCGGAAGAAGGAAGTTCTAGTGTGAAAAATGAAGAAACTTTCATGAGTAGCTTAATTTTGAGAGCAAACAAAAAAATTATTGAGCTTTCGCGGGGAAATGTCACGAATGAGACGGTAATTAGCACGATTTAGACAAGCTTTTCGCAAGGTCTGAAGGCCAATTAGTGGTGCAAGGAAAGTTGGAGAGATTGCTCTGTGGGAACTCGTAGATCTGAAACGGCGAAGCAGACAATCCGAGGGCGTCATAACTACGCAGTTCGTTCTAAATAGGGTGGGAATTTTCGGAGGAAGCCTGTTTTGGAAAGCATTCAAGTCGTTTTTGCACTTGCAGGGCTTTATTCAAAAGTTTTGAATCTTGTCTTATCACTTGGTTTTTTAAATTATCGATATGTTCTCTTAACCTTGAACGGTTAACTCGTGTGCAGTCATCTATATTTCTTTTTTAAGATTAAAAATTTTGTAAAAAGCCGAAATTCGAGTTTCTGCAGGTTTTTCTGCAATTTCAAAGCTCCTTGTTGAAGTTTGAGTCCGTTTTGAGAAAAAAAAATGGTGTTTTCGCTTTACCAAACTCTACTAAAATGCGATCATTTATCAAAAAAAATTCTGAAGATTGAGATGCAAGCTTTAATTTTTAATTTCGCAGTGGTTCTTTCTTGATGTTTTTTTTTTAAATTTTAGGCTTGCTCCTAATTAGGGAGAGTTTTAGGAGATTCTGCCTCATTAGAGTTCAAATTTCTTGAGTTCTTATTTCACTGTTTCGAGGAGTCATGTGTAAACTTACTAGGAGAAATGAACGGATTCTTTTTCAGTTCATATTGAATTTAGTTGATATTCATAATTATTCGAAAGTTTCTTGATAGAAAAAAGAAGCGATTTCTCTGCAAACCTACTTTTTTCTACATGTTCGAGAGTCAGACGTGATTTTGAATTTCATTGAAATCTCTTCGGACACGACATAACAAGTTTCATAAATGAACCTGAGTTCTCGGATCAATTTTAGCAGGTTCAAAAAAGATTCGAAAGTTTTTTTCACAATTGAACCTTTAATTGAAATAGTCTGTTTTACATGCAGCTGAAACTATTTTCGACAAAAGCCAATCAAATTCCAAAAATCGAGAGCATGTTCAAAACTCTTTAAAGAAGCTTGACAAATCGTAGACCTTTTTTTTTAAATTAACCTTGGATTTCTTTAACGACATTTCTTTTTATTACTTCGAAAAGCGCATAATCAGATAAATCTAACAAGGTCTAGGCGCCAAATGTTTTGCACCTAACCGAATTTTGATGCCAATATTTCAAGTTTCAAGTTACATTTGCAAGCCCCTGAGAGCAGGTGTTTGACGCGACATTTATAGGTCGATCCACCTGCGTTTTGCATAAGCTAAGGCAAAGTCGGCGACAAAAAAGGCAATCAGCTTCATCTGCGCGGCTCGACGGAAAGGTCATCCGCCCAGAATTCGAGAAGGGCGGAGATGCGACTCTTTTCCGTGCACCTCGCCTATTTGGCTCCGCGTTTCCGTTCCCCTCTTATTCATCCGAAACTCTTGGATTGAATTAAATGGTTATATTTGTTAGGAAAGGTTGCTCGGCTGGAATGTCGTCGTTCTGCTGGGGAGAGCCGTCCGGATCTTCCGTCGGCACCACCGCCGTCTTCGCAAATCGTTCGTTTCTTGCCTTCTATCATGATGTAGGGAAAGCTCGAAAATGCTGGAAATTTTCAAATTATACCGTTTCTAAGAAGTTTTTCTACACGCCTAACGTCTTGGTTCCTGAAACATTTGCTCCAAAATTGAATAGAAAAATTATTCAGCATGAATTTCTCGTTATCAACCTTGAAAATTTCGTACATTTTGCGACATTAATTGAAACTAGAGTTGAAATTCTTATAATTATCCATTTTAGAAGAAGTAGTATGATCACTTATTTCTTGATAATATTTTTAACCCCGTTTTTTTCTAGTTTCGTTTCATTTTTCAAATGCCAGTTATGTCGAAGGGCTTCTTTCAAACCTTATTTTAGTATTATCTTTAGAAACCAAGTTTATTTTTTTAAATTTTTGTCAAAAAAATAATCGGAAAGCCCCACGCTTTCGTTCAGCCAATTCTGAAGCCTAATAGGTAATACATCGGAGAACGGATTAAAACTTGGCTTAATGAAGAGATCTCTGACTTTTTTCTTCTGTTCGCAACTATTTTTGAGTCACAATAGATCTTTGGATCCGATATCAGTTCAAATTAGATTCCAAGTGTTCTTATTTACAAAGATTAGAAAATGGCCTTATTTTTCTCATTTTTGAGGTTGAAGAAATTTTAGAAGGTTTGAGGATTCCCAAACTTATCCTTATTTCAATTTAGTTCTTCTCAAAATCATGAGTTCAGTTTTCTCTGAAAAAAATTAATTCTCTTATAAATTTCAGTTTTCTAATTGAAACAGGTGAACTTTTGAGTGAAATGAAGGTTTCTGAAACATTCAACACCCACTCCTTCCATTTATTCCTTTTAGACAACTATTTTGTAGTGACCAGTTAGTCAGAACTTCCAAACACTGACGAAACGTGAGAAATTCGAAAACATCTGCAGAAAAGCGTCAGACGATTTCCCACACCCCAACTAATTTCCGGCCAACTCCACAAATATATGGTTAAATATAACAAATCGATGGTTTAAGCGGATTACAAGTTTTTCCGACACATTCGGGTTCAAATCTCGTTAGAAGAGCAATTTGAAGACTTATTCTCGGCTTTCATGCGTCATTTTGTCACGTTTTGCTCTTTCCATGAGAAAATGGTCAGAGAATAGGAATGAGCTATATATTTTTGCTCAGGTCGAAGAGAATGGGTATAAGGAATGTTTTTGCAATTTATTACAAAGAAAGTTTTTTCAACTGGAAAACAGTTCTTCCTGAAGAGAGTCTATTCATCTGAAACATATTCGTAGAGAATTTCTATTTTTCTCGAAAATAATAGCTCAATTATTTAACTTTTATAGATTAATAAACAAAACTTGAAAAAATGCACCTATTGAAAATAATAATTTTTAGCTTTATCTGAAAATAAATTCAAAAAAACCTCGAACTCTGGCTTTTCAGAAAGCCTAAGCAACATGTGTTTCAAGACTTCTATAATAATCTCAAAAAAGAAGAATTCACATTATACTTCCTTCAACGAGGAATTTCATAATGGAAGCACTTCTAACAGCAAAAAAAGTTTCACTAAGAAACCGGATTAAAATTTCATTTTTAAAAAGTTTCAATTACCGTTGAAGGATTTTTTTAGAATGCTACCATCAAAAAAACTTATAAAGGGGGTAACTTTCACGTATTTTTCTGAACATATAGATGTAAGCTCTGTACTGGGTGGATAAATAGTGCAAAAGCCTGAAACGGCCTGAAAAGAAGCCTGAAAAGACGCTTCAGGGGTCACTTTCTTGAAAATTGCGCTTTGAAGCTTCTGTTCTTGAAAAATACAGAATTTTTCAAGCTATAAGGATTTTTAGCCGGTGCTTCGAAAAGCAAATAAAAACGATTCTTGAAGTTTTGCGGGAAATTCCTTTCCTAAATAGCTTGAAAATCATAAAATATTGACGAATGATCTCGAAAGGCTATCGCTAGAATCCAAAAAAAGAATAAATGAAATCCGACTCATTTCCAGCGGTTCCAACGCTGACCGAGACCTTGGCGGCACTCCAACTTCCTCTGGTCTCCTCGCAAATGTTGTCAGTCGCCCTTCCGCAAGACTCCTTCCTCACAGCCCAAACTCTAGAATCCCTTTCAAAAGTATTTTAAAAATTATCAATTCATCTCAATCTCCCAATTTCAGACAATCAGCGCCACCTCGTTCGTTCTGGCCAACGCTCTTGCCTCTCCAGCCCCAATCCAAACAAATCCGATCGTCGTCGAGCCTCCAGTCGTTCTTTCCCCAGTCGCTGACGTCTTCAACCCGTTTGGCTTGACCGATTCGACGATGTCAACGTCGACGTCGCTCAACGAACCGACGACGTCTTCTTATCCTTCCGCTCTGACCGCCTTCAGAAGATTCAGTGCGCCGGAGACGACCTTATCCGAGCCTTTTTCGGACCACGACAGGCGGAGGTGGAGATTGGAAGGGAATCGAAGTGGATTTGAAGTTTCAGGTTCTCTGATTTCACGGTGGAAGCGTTGCTCCGAAGTCCAGACCATCAGAGAATTTCCGTGGCAAGCGAAAGTCGACGAGGAATGGGCAGAAAACAGAGGTGAGATTGAGGCCACAGAAACAAGTCCTCTAAAAACAAATGAAAACTTTTCGAAAGTCTAGTCTGAAATTTCCTTTTTAACATCAAAAATATTTTATAAGCTTCACTTGAACGGTTTTAAAGCTCGTAGTGAAAATTTCGGGATCCCGATGAATATCGTTTTTTTTCCTCTCTTGGTCTTGTCTGACAAGCTCATCTTCTCATTATAAGCCGGATCAATGGTTCTGAGATTTTCTGTTACCAAACTATACTTAAAAGCTTATAAGATCAAGTTTTTAAGGTATTCACGAGCATATAAATTTTTCCAGTCAATACCTTTTTAGTGCATCCTGAAAAATTATCCAAAGTTCCTTGCATACCAGAAAGTTCAATCAAGAACAGTTTCAGAACGATTTACGGGATGCGACAGACGGAAGTTCTAGAGGAGGCTTTTCACAGCCAGCGCTACATGGTCGGGGCAGGTCCGTAGATGATCTTCAAGACCCTTTGAAAGTAATAACTCTTCAGAAAGGGAAACCCTGGCAAGTCGTCTCGGCCTGACTGAGGCCCAGGTCCGCGTCTGGTTCCAGAATCGTCGCAGCAAACAAAGAAAACTGAACCGGAGGGCTGAACAGGACCCGCCGAGTTGATTTTCGGTGTTTTCATTGTATAGCTCGAGCCAAAATTGATTCGATTAAGAGTGGAACTTCGAGAAGTTGGCTTGGAGGGTTTTGAATTGAGGTAGTGAGAAATCTATGGAGACGGCCTGGAATCCCTAAAAAAGGAAGTATTTTTTTCAAATCTCTTTCAGAAGCAATACTGTCTCTAGTGATCACTTTAGGATTGAAATTATAAAAAGAAGGTTTAATTTTGAAGAATTTTGAAGAGACCACATAGTCATATGCACTAGATGAAGAAGTTGGAAACCTTATTCTGCAAAACTTCCTAGTTTTCGAGATCTAACGCTTCAAAAATCGTTTTCTTGTTTTTCTGATTTTTAGACGTGTTTTCTCGCAAAATGGGAAGTTGCCCAGGTATGAAGGTTTTGAGAATAGTATATCCGAGTTTTTCAACCGTTTCCCAAGGTGTTCGGAAGCTCCGAGTGAAAGAGTCAATACCAGTCTGGTTAAAAACATCACTTTGATATTTTTCTGATCCTGATCTTTCTGGAAGTATGAGATATGTATGATGATTTTTTAAGCTAACCAAGTAAGCGGTTAGTTTGACTTTCTGATTTAAATAATCACCTGGGAGCACCGGACATTTTTTAAATTACCCTTATAAACTGTAAGGTTTTTGATATTTTTTTTAATCAAAAAACCTGAAACCTAAATATTTTTTTTTAACCTTCGACGTTGAAATCTCCAGTTCCACTCTTCCATTGCCATTTTTTTACTTGTTCATCCGGTTATTTGTTGTTTGGATCCACTAATAAATAGAACCAAATTTATTAAAAATCCAACTAACTCAAAGTATTTATGGGTCGTCGACATTTTGATCAAAGTAGAAAGATTAAGAAAAGGTCGACAAAAGTGTGTTTCTTTCCATTTATAAATCAAATAAACGCCTGAAAAGCCAAGAAAAAAAGGATGCAGATTAATCTAAATGTCACAATTTTGGCGCAAAAGACTTTGAATGGCTTCACGTGTCAGGAATAGAGAGTAGGAAGTTATTAAAAAAGGATACCTGGGGAAATAAACGGAAACGATTTGAATCAGACTTTGTGGGTGTGGAAAATTGGAAAATATTAGAAACAACAGGACAATCGCCTAGAAATGAACAAAATGGAGAACAAATTGGATAAATAAAGCTCGGTATAAAAAGAAAACTTATACGGTAAATACACGAAATTTCTACGAAATACCCTATTTTCGACAGGTTTTAATAAATTAATTAAAGAAAATGATTAAACTGATCTATGAAAGAAAATAAGGGTAAACGAAATTTTTCAATCACCGTCTGTTTAAAAGTCCTTATTTGAAGGCTGGGTAAGCCTTAAGAAACACTGAAAACGCTCTTCGTTTCGCTTCTTCTTATTATGAGATTGAGCTATACTCTTTTAAATGTTCCAGCAAGGATTTTTGACCAGACTAGTTATTTTTGACTTTTTTTTTACTTGAACTGATGAAAGATTAGTTGAGTTGACAATAAAGTTCCTTTGAAGAATCTAAAAAGAAGTGAAATACAACAAATATGATGATTTCGAATATTTCTTTTCGTTGTCGGCTGTCGTCTCGTGGTCTACGGTGTCCATCTGCAAGAAGAAAAGTTGCTGAAAAGCCGCAATTACGAGGGAAAATCTTTCTTTTTTCTTGCCCTTTTCTCCTGTTTCAGACTTTTTTTTTTGCAATGTTGCGAGAAGTTTCCTTCAAAGAAGAGAGAATATTCTTGAGCAAAAAGACCTTGTTAGTCAGAAAGTTTGCTCATTGAGTTTTCTTTTCACGAAACAACCAGAGAACGGGTTGGGTATTAAAAATGTGTTTCTTTAGAATTAGGAGCGTGTGGATCAGAGCATAAATAGCCACATTTGTTTTCAAGAAAATCATGGAAATGAGCGAGCAACCGAACCTTGAATATTGAAAGTTTTTTCAAAGGGGAGCTTGATTTCAATCAATTATTCATGAAAATGATTACAGTTTTTCAAAACTCAGAAAAACTTCAGTATAACCGAGAGTTTTCAAAGAAATTTTTTGTAGTTATACTAGAAAATTTGTTTAGATGCCGAGTTTTATCAATTCTGCGGCAAGGGACTTCATTTTTTTAAAAATTATTTTTTTATTAGTTTCTAATTTCTTTGAGACCTCATCCAAAAAGAAGAAGAATAACTTGTTTTCTCAAGATTTGAAAACTTTAGTAAAATTTCTTTAGTTATGATCATTTTCCAACAGCTTTTTTTGCTTACTGTTCCAAATTTTCAAACTACAAAAATCCTCGAGAGGAAAAATTGGTCTTGACAAGTTTCAACTTAACAGTGCTTCAAAAAACTGTTATGTTCGATATTTTGAATTCAAAATCATTTTTTAAGTTTATTATTTCCGGATTATTTCCCTTGAACTATTATTTCCGGATTATTTCCCTTGAACTTGAGCCTAACCATTTCTTCAGTCTATTCTTCTTACCGCTCGCCATTTCCAGACCACAAAATCCCCGGTTCACAAACGTTGGTAGAACCCATTTTTCACACGGCTATTTGCCGAGGAGAGGAATGAGATCGGAGCTTCTTCATTTACCTAATGAATTGCCGAATACTCGTATATACGAGGCTCGAAAACAAAAACAAAAGCCGTGAGGAGCCTTGGAGCAAGGAAAAAGAGACTGATGGGCCTACGATTGCAAAAACGTGGTTTATTGCGGGAAGAAGAGGAAGTTCGCGTGTTCAAAACCGACCCCAAAACGTCTTTGAATAATTCCTCGAGAAACTTTTTGAGTTCATCCTGTCAGTTATACATACGGGTGGTGTACTCATTTCTGCGCATAAACTTACATCCAGTATTTATTTCTAGCCATCTAAAAAGTGCATGAAAATTTGCATTTTTGGCGCCGGTATTTTCTGAATAGTTTCTAAAATCAAAATTCAAGATCTCTGAAATTAATTCGATGTTTTGCTATTTAAATTATTTGAAAAAAGTCAACAATTGTTATCTAAAAAGAAAAATCAAAAAAAGTTTTTTTCTCGAAAAAAAGATTACACGATTTTAATAGACTCACTCAAAATTCAAAAAAACTTATTTTTTTTTCTTTTTCTAGAATTTTTAAATTGAAACGAACCAAGGAGCGACAAGACAGCAGAGTATCAGGAACTCAGTTTCGAGGAGCTCAGTTTGGTGTCCTGCAGGAAGCTTTTCCATCTGAAAGCCGATTTCTTTTTCCAAGGAAATCAAGTTGAAATTGATTCATTTTCAAATTTTGAACTAACAAGGAAGGTCATTTCACTTTGCGGTTTGGAATTTCCTACAAATTCGCTCAATCGCTCCATGATTGGCTAGATGATGGTCCCTCATAGTCGCTACCTGCGAAAACTTATAGTTTTTGAGATATGATTTTTCTAAGTTGCGAAATATCAATTTTAAGGCTAACTTTTCGAACTACAAAAATCAATACCTGGAAAAGTAGAAGTTTTTGCGGATCGCATGTTTAATGGACCTTTATGTAAACCTTCAGAGATTGTTCGAGCAAATTTGTAGAAATTTCCAAGTCGCAAAGAAAAATGACCTCCTTGCGGGGTCTAACTCTGCGTTAAACGCGAGCTATAAAATATAATATCTAAAATACTAGAAGTTTGCGCGAAGGTAACGGCTATGAGAGATCTTCTTGACTTTCCGTGTAAGTCGAATATATGTAGGAATAAGAACCTTCTCTCATGACGGGACTGCAAAAGTTCGGCGTCAATGTTGGCGAGCTTGACGCAGGTCGCGTTTTTCTTCAGCTCGGAGTTCAGTCTCAGAAGGCGGCACTGGAAAAGATTCTTTTTTGATTTTATCAGTTTCTGAATTTATTTTTTAAAAAAACGAACATCGATCTCGACGCGACGGTCGTGAACCTCGTGAAGTTCGGTCATCCAGACGCGAACCTGTCGACCGACGCCGTCGATTTCTTGCTCCAGCTGCAGACTTTCTTCTGTCGGAGCTGAAGCGGGAAAGAGAAGTTATCAATATCGTTCATGAGCAAGCAAAAAACTCTTATAGCCTTGGAGAAGGAGTTGGCAGAGAGCCTAATTTTCAAAAAGAAGAAGAGCGCCGTTTCTTATTACCAGTTAGAAAAAATTCTGTTCTCTCAGAGATCGGTAACCGGACATTACCGGGGATTTCTAATCGTAAGACTGCTGCCGCCGCTTAAGGGACCACTAGAAATGCTCAGAAATGTCCGGGGCGCGTCCAATTTGTGTTACCGAGGTGAGAGTTTCACCTTATAATAATTTATTGGAAGATAATTTCCTAGCGGAATCCCGCCATTTTAGCAAATTAACTTTTTCGACCACAAGAAGTTGATTTTCAGTTTCCTTTAGAAATAATTGGAAAGAGAATCTGATCACCTTTGAAAAATGATTCACCGGTCAAAGTTCAGAAAAAAATAAGAGAAAAGAAGCTTAAAACATTTAGATGAAACAATTTTTCAAAAAAATCTATGATTGAAATTAAAAATATTGTGAAAAATCGCTTTTTAGCTGAAAAACCCTGCATAAACTTCAAAAATTATTCGAGGGACTTCATGATTTTTCACAAATAATAAATTTGAAACGGTCAAGTCACCTTCCCTTTCATTTCCCAATGCCTTGAGATACAAGAAATTGAATCTGAGATTAAAAAATCAACCAGTCGTGTGCAGAAATAGTAGTTCGATGATAAAAAGGAACTTAAAATTGGTCAACCTCGGAAATTTCACGTTGGAAAAATAAAATTCAAACTTCAAAATTATTCGGAAAAAGTTGTTTTCTTCATCGAATATTCCCAGTGTTTCGAAATTTCCCATTTTCAATTTCTCATCTTTACGCTTCTCCATTAAATAGCTCAAAGTTTTGGAGCTGTAAAAAAAATTCACAGATTTCGGTGCTTTTCCGATTGTTTTTACAAAACTTTCAAAAGCTTCTTTTTTTTTCAAAGTTAAAAAAGATTAAACTAGAACTGCGCGTGAAACTACTGTAACGACCTCATAACTTCCAAACGGCGGGGCGACTTTTCCCATAGGGAAGTTGTTACATTTTGACCCCGAGGCTTGTCAAGTTGGAATGGCGCGTCGCCCGAAAAGCGGCAAGAATGGAGGAAAAGACGGACCCGACTCGAGAAGACGACGGATCCCCGTGTGGCGCTCCTCCAGCTGCACGGCCGTCTCTCGCAGGATCTCCAACTGGGCTTCGTTCTGAAACAGTAATCTGTGGCTGATCGATCTTCGTTCGAATTTTTCTCAATGACACAATTTTCGTTATATTTTCCTTTGTAGATTCTCATTGAAAAAAAAAATGTTTGAAAATCCTACAAGACGAAAAATTCTTTTTTCAATTTTCACTGCAAAGGAAGTTTCTTAAAAATGATCAATACAAGAAAAAAATGCTAGTGAGAAGGACTTTTTATCACCTTAAAAACACTTTTTGAAGCACCAGAATCCCACTTTTTTTTAACCTTCAAAGTGATTTCCATTAAATCGGAGCAATAACTGAGCGATTTTTTTAATTAAAAAAATAATTGGTTGATTTTTTTGGCTTCGCTTTGTGCAGAAATCTTAAAATTCCTTTTTTTATTACTAATTAATTTTTCTGAACTTTTTTTAACTGAATTTTTCCTCTTCACGCGTTGTTGAAGGTATCTTAATTTGAAAAAAAAAAGAATCCGAAAACTGATCGTTAACCTGAATTTTATACAACTTAGAAAATATTATTATATTTGGAAAAGTCAAAGATCGATTTTTCTTTCCTGTTTTGGCCGATAAACTGAACACGAAATGCGAAATTTGCCTAATCCATCAAATTTAGACCTGACGTCATTCAAATTGTGATCGAAGGAATTTTTTTTAAACTACAATAATCTCGCCAGAAATTTCTCCCTCACCTTTATTTATTTCTCAGGGAAAATTATTGAACACAGAAATACAAAAAACGAGGAAATATTATTAAATATTGAGAATCTCGTGGAAAAACCCCCTAATTGAAAGAGACCCAGTTCAGAGACTTACATGCAACTTATTAAAACTCTCTTTTTTTATTTGAAATTACCTGTTTGAGATCGTGAAGGCAGGCGTTGAACTGTTCCCTCAAATCTTGGTGCCGAGCACAGGTTTTTCGCATTTCCTGCAAGAAATGACAAGTGAACGCCAAAGTTTTCTTTTGAATTTGACATTTCTGTTCAAAGTAATATCTGTTTATTACTCTACTAACTTTTTTTCTTTTTATAAATTCCAGACTTTTTTTATTTTTTTGTTTCAAAAAAATAATTTGTAATGGAGCTTCAATATTCACAAAACTTATCCAGGAATATACATATTTCCATCAAGAACACTTTAGTAACCTTCAAACTAATATTTTTCCCTCAATTGCTCTTAATTTCTGCAACAACGTACTCCGCGTTTAATGAAGCTGTCAAGCGAAAAGTGTAATACAAAAAAAAAAGAAATAAAAAAGTGGGACCTCAAGCGTAGTCAGAAGTGTAAAGCGAACAGAAAAAAAAAGAGTTGCAAATTTATTGCCTCTGTTTCTAGTTATCAAGGGAACCCAAAAAACGGTCTATACGATTTTATAACATTTTTTATGACGAGAACTCGAAAAAATATGTTATGTTATTCGCACAACTTCTGAGAGACGCATTAAATATTAAAGTGTCATGCGAAAACCTCGCAGATCACACAAATTTTCAAGTTTTTTCCCTTCTTCTTACTATAATTATTGGAGGAAATGTGGGATTTGGTGAGAAAAATAAAATATTAGATCGAAAAAACTATTTTAAAACGCGGTTTTTTAAGGTATGAAAATTTTTCAAAAATTCACAAAATTGGAAGTTTTTTTCCCTCAATGTATGTAACTCTAGCATTGCGTAGAGCCTGAAAAGAATTATAAAAGTTTAAGAATTCAGCCATATCTTCTCGTAAAACAAGCTATCTATCGCAAATAAACATTGAAAATTTATAAATTTAAAACTTCATCAAGGAAATTTTTCGATTTTATCTAAATAAAAAAAATATATCTGTAGACTTGTTTTAACCGATAGTAAAAAAAATAATCGAAATGTCCTATCAGTTGAAAATTTGGAAAGAAATGAAAATTTCAAGAAAAGTGACACGATTAATGAGTGCAAAAAAGGTGAGGTCGTTACAGTAACCAATGAATTTTTCATTGGAAATCTAGCCATAAATTGACTGAAACTATACATTTGTCAATCGATATGTATCTTATAGCTTCGAAACAAGGATTTCACTCTTAGTTAATAAGTTAGAAGCTCAAAAGAAGTTTATAAAAAACAGACTTACCTCGACCGAAGAGCAAAGCGTAGTGGACATCTTTTCTCTGCTTCTTCAAAGGCGACTGTGACTAAGTGTTGGGTGGGAGGAGACTACGATAAATACTCAACTACGGAACCGCCTGAAATCTCAGATTTCATATATATGAATGAATGAGAAGAGAAAAAAGGCGCGGTCGCACGGGATTTAGTGGAGGGATAAAGTGAATCCGCCAGCCTTTCTCGGTTCCTTATTGGGCGGCGCTATACACTTTACTTAACGCCCACAAGAAAGTGGCCGGACCTATTAGTTTTCAATGAGATTTACAGCATTTCCAAAGTTCTCGTAGTTAATTGGATAGAATGCTGAAGTGACCGATGGGGAACAGTTACAAATGAAATTCATTATGTTCAAGATCCTTGTCGGGATGTTTAAAGGAGCATGGGGGAAATTCCGCGAAGGTGTCAAGGCGAAGATCAGTTGACAGCGTTTTTCAAAATTCTTCTGCCTCTTCAGCACAAAAGCAAAGGTTTTCAAACTTAAAAATTTAATCAAATTACCACTGAAACTTCAAGATATAGTACTATCGCGATCAGCGTTTCCAGATGACCTATTATGGCACAAAATACAAAAATTAGATAGAATCAGACTGATGAAATGTTACCAATCATGATTTCAATTTATTTTTTTCATTAATATGGAACAATTGAGTTTATAAACCATAGATTCATTTTGCGGGAGTGTTATCCTAAACGTAAAGTTAGGTTTTTTTTTGATGACAAAAAGTACTTAATTGCCATTCAAAACACAGAAAGCTCATAACGAAGAGAAGACTCAATTAAGTTTTCACAAAAGTGCAAAGAAATTTTCTCATCCATGGGAGAATTAGATCGGATCAGATGAAAAGAAAGAGGTACAAAAATATAAAGTACAAACCCTTGTAAGAGTTCTGAACCGAATACCTCAAAAACAGCTAAAAAAAAAACCTGAGAAAAGTGGATTTAAACAAGAGATGCAGGAGAGTCTAAGTGAAGACATTTGGAAACATTTTCTCAATTTTTCTTCGTTTCTTTTCAGGAAAAACAGTCAGAAATCTCACAAAGAATTTGAAATTTGAGCGGAGAACAGAGAAACCAAGCCGAAAACTGCGTTCTTTCGAGTTGTGTTTGCAACTTTGGACCCAGCGGAGCTCGTTTATCTTCAAGACTTATTGGCTTAGATGTCTTTGGAGAGTGATGGACTGCACTTTCCGAACCAAGTCAAACGGTTACAACCAGGTCGCAACTTGAGCTTTTTTTGAAAAAGTACAGTTTGATCCAAATTTAGTTCAAAAAAACCAACCTCCAAATACAGCTTGTAATGATTGAAACGCGGCATGATTTCAATCATATTCCAGTATCAGCTCAATTAAACGGATAGTAAAATAAATAAAACCAAATAATTATTCACTTGAATGAACATTTTCAAATTTTAGTTTTTCGCGCGCTTTTCAATGGAGCGTATATGCCCTGAGTACGTTTGAATACGTTTTTATTTGGTACTTACTGAATTTTGAGACTGGTGTTTTTTCTCCATCATCAACTATACTAGTACAGACCATTGTAACAGAGCAAACACATTTGGAGGCGGCAAAGGCGAAAAATGGAGACTGAACGACGGAAAGAACAAAAAAAAAAGAGAAAGAGAAACGTCGAGGCGCATCCGTTGTCGCAATCCCCTTTCTTTGTTACTTCAATTACTTCAATTACACTTTTGCTGTTTTTTAGCTTCTTCTTAATGCACGTTCGTGCCTAAAAGTGCCTAATTTGGAGAAGATGCAAGCATTTGAAGTCCCCTGGGCACCGTCCGACTGAGACAATTGCGCCGCGCAGCACTAATCAGAACTGGCGACACGCAGTTACTGAGTATGAGTCGAGGAAAAATGGCTGATTTGCAGCGAGAAAGTTCCTTTTTTTGGGTCCCAAGTTGGCCGGAATTCGCGAGAAAAGAGACGTGTTTCCAGCTTCCTGTACTAGCTCGAAGCTGGTACCGAAAATGACTTTAGTCTGTTCGAAATTGCATTCTGGAAAGGCGCAAAGGACAGTTATTACTGTAGTTGCAATAATTTTGATGGAAACAAACGGAATTTTTGAATCAAATTTTAAAGCTCAAGTAGGCCGCTTTATTTTTTTTATTTTATTCAGAGTGTAATGACTTCGAAAAATTATAAAATCAGAAACCCATCCATTTTTGCAGAAAAACTCTGATCAGAACACTTCATAGAGGAAGTGGTCCCCTAGAAAAACCAAAGAATAAACAAAACAAAAAGTCTTCGCACGCGTTCGGAGGGCACGAGTGCAGTAATAATGGCAAAGACACTCGAGGTGACACTTCAATCAGGAAATCTTTCACCCCGAACTTCGAGTACTTCCCAGAAGGTCCAGAGATTTTTGCAGAAACAAAGGCTTTTTGCAAGAAAAGTTCAGAACCTTGTGATCAACTAGTTGACAGATAAATTTTAGATGCATACGGTGCTGGTCGACCTCAGAAATTTCAAGAACTACGTGCAATTTTTTTTTATTTTCATGCTGGAGGTCGCGAAATGTTTCTAACTAATTTATTTAACTTCATTTCTGAATATCAAGCTTATTTCCAACTTTCTCAAACCTTTTTTTTCCAGTATCGTGCTTTTGAGTCTTGACAGATAAAGTAGGGAAACACATTTTCAGCCTTGAAACATTTGAGAAATTTTCGAGCCAAGCGTTCAAGGCCAATTGAATATAAAAATTATTTTTAGCTGCTGCAACCAGTAACCTAGATAAGGAAAAAAAACTCCAGGTAAATTAGAAAATGAAAACCTAAGATACCAAAGGCCAAATCCGAAAAGGTCCTTGCGAGAACACCTAGTAATAACCAACCTCGTAAAAATAGGAACCCCATAAAAAAGGCGACTACTTTATGTGGCGAACGCTAATCAAAAAAATTGCCAGAGAGCCTGAGAAGTGACAAGAGGAAGAAGGAAAAAAAAGAAGCAAAAGTAGAAAAAAAGGAGCTGTCGCCAGCAATTAGTCGCAGGGGCAATTCGTAAGAGCAGCCGCAATTGTCTTTTCGAGAGTGTGCTCCGAGAAGACCACGCCCACTTGTTTTTTTTCTCACGTCGGCTCGACGACACCACTCCGAAAACGATACTGGAAATTGTACGACGCGCCGAAAAAGGACTTGAAACCCAACACTACGTTCATAGTATAGATGGAGATTCGTATAGTGTGCTCTTGATTTGAGAGAGGAAGGAGCAGGAAAACAAGAAGGGCACAAAAAATGTTTATGTTGTGTGGAGTTTGGCAGATCTAAGCTTTTTCTAGGACTGGCGGCGTCGCTGGAGCATCGTCGGTCGACTCCAGAACCACCGTCGGAATATGGACGTCGAACATGACGCCGTTGTCCCGCTCCATTTTGAAGCGACCCCTGTAATGATTTTGAAGTTTCAGTGATAATTTCCGGAGATCTAAAGACTCAGATCCGCTTATCAACAGGGATTAAAGTTTCATTCAAAGCCCGTGCAGCAGCCATAAAAGCTTATACAGTTGAATTAACTTCAAATGTCCTTTTTTAGCGCTTCGAAATGTATTAAGCTACCTGGATCATAGTTCCTTCATTGCTACCTTGAAAGAAGACATTATAGAAATCTTTAAAATACTTGCGATCATTATGAAAAATGGAAGGTTTATAGATGTTTTTTTTTCAACGTTCAACGGTTAATTTAATGATTGGTAAATTAAAATCAAATCGCTTTGAAAAATCCAGAAGAAGTATTTACGTAGAAGTACTCAAAATCACACGATCAGTTTAAAAAAAATTGAAGTTATTGCCGGTTTCAAATCTATTTTACGATAGAACTAAATTGTTTCTCTGGTTCGAATAAGCAGCTTTTGTGTAAGCTTGAGATCCTTGGACACTGATTTTTGTTTTCTCAAAGAAAATTGTATTCATTCTCAGAAGCAAAAAAGATCTCCTTCAGGAAAAAAGGCTGAAAATAGAAACGTACTAAATTATTGCAGAAAACATGATTCTCATGAAAAAAGAACAAGCTGAAATTCGAACCCCAACATGGAGAGTTCAATTTTCTCTGTCCACCAAGGCCATTCAAACATCTCTAATCGTAAAAATGACCACTCTTTTTTTCTGAAAAGAAAGCCGAAAACAAAGAAAATGCCAAAAACAACAGCAAAAAAGAAAGCGACTGGGTTAGAAAAAGTAATGAAACCCCGCAAAAACAATGAAAATCTTTGGGCTTTCAGTTCCGGTCATTGTTCATGCGTCCCTTTTAAGCAGGGCTTTATTTGCACAGCTCCTGCTGCAAAAAATCGCCTCGAGTAGTGAAAGAATTATCCGCTAATAGTAAAGCTACTACTGATCCTACAGAAAAGAGGCGACTGTCTTCAGGAAATTGTAGGATACAGCTTTTAGCTAACTAGGGAACGTTTTTTACCCCCCGGTTGAACTTTTGCTGAAACTTTGCTGAAGTGTACTTTAGAACCCCCTGATTACAGAACAGAAAAAAAATTTCTCGCAATAGATCTCGTTTTCGAGTTAGGACGCTTCAAATACCCGAAATAGCGCTTTTTTGGCCTATTTTGCGTATTTTGCACACTTTGAGGCTCCATAACTCGGAAACAAGATCTATTGCGAGAAATTTTCTTTTTGTTCTGTAATCAGGGGTACACTTGAGCAAAGTTTCAGCAAAAGTTCAACCGGGGGGTAAAACACGTTCCCTGCTAAATGAAAGAATCCTTGAATGAATTGTTTCAATAATTGTTGAAAAGTTAAAAAACTGAGCACAAGAAAATCTCACAGTATTTTGCTCATAAAACTTTTTCCCATGATTAAGTTTTTGTCTGAGAAATTGTCAGTGAAGCTAAAAAGATTCAATTCCATTTTTTCAATACTGATTCAATATTATCGTAATTAATTTTGACAAGTCTATGATGTAATGTATATGAAAAAAATGTACAGATGAATTATCAAATAATAAATAAATAAGAATAGTTCAGAGGTTAGATTGGATTTACAATAAATTAAGGGCTACTTCATTCATTTCTTCTGGTAGGAAATTTTTTTTTGGGACCTTCTTCAAATTAAAAAAATGTTCATATAGGGAGATGTTTTTACTAATTAGCTTCACTGAGAAAAAGTTGATTTTTACGGTGTTTTCCCTACGGTAAGCCAGAGAGTGGGCGGAGCTTAATGAAGCTTAGTTCCGAACATTCCGTATGTTGTTTAATACTTATAGTAGTAAGGAAAGGAAAAAAGATGAAATTTTCGTAGCCAAGGCTTTTCGAAAATCTCGCAGAACGTGTGAGTTCTCAAAAAGTCCTTAGAATTATTTTTGATTTGTTGAGGAAATAGGAAAAATAAGGTACTCAACTTTATCAAAACTACTTTTTCGGAGACCTGAGAAGCTAGGAAACAAAAGAGCGCGGATCTGAGGGACAACTTGATTGAGGGAAAAATAAGAAGCGGAAAAGGACCCACCACATGTGTCCGCCCTTGGAATGTTTGAGCTCGATCGTACTGCTGAACTGGAAGGCCGGCGACTCGGCGTTCAGCTCGGGTTGCTGAGTTCGCATGATAAGCTCGGAAGACAGAAAAGGTTTCAGTTCTTTCAGAAATTTTTCTTTATTTTTTTAAGATTTTTTTCCCAGATTGACTTCTTATCTGTGTAGGGTCCGAAAAAACAAAAAAGCTCAAAAGCTTTTTTTTCAGAAAAAAAAGATTTTCTAAGGGACCCCAACAGATTTTATAAATTACGCCTATACTTTTTTGCCCCTTCCTTCAGTAAAAATATGCTGGAAATCAGGGTAGTTGCTTTAAAAAAACCTCTGAGACTATAAAAAATAAATTCAAAAAGAAGTTCCCATCATTTTTAGGAACAAATTATCTTTAGAAATCAAGAATATTAACGCTCCAACCTTGCCAATAACTCCATGAGCATGCATCTGATTCATGTTGTTCAGAGAGTAGATTTTCAGACATCTTTCCCGGAGAATCACTCCTTGTTGAGGAGTCATGTTTTCTATTCTGAAAAGAATAAGTTCAGAGAAGTTTATCACTGCAGACTTTTTATAAAACTTCAAAATGTAGTTTTTTTTGTATCTATTGAGTGAAAACTTGAGTACGAAAGGGCCAGACTTTGGCCAGTGACGCGTGCGGTTGCGAAGCGGTTTCAAATTTTATTAATTCTCAAAGCGTGGCAAAAGTTAGATGTGCAGGGCAACCGAAGGCTCTACAGTTGTCGTGATGGAAAGGAAACTCGAAAATTCAACTTCATTCTGGATGGCTTCAGATGCGATTTCCAAAACATCCTTTATTAATTTATAGAAAACAACCTTATCATGAAAAAAAAAATTTAAAAAGCAAGTTTTTCTTCCGCAAGCTATAAGAACGCTTTTTAAGGCGCAAAGTCAACATTTTCTTCTCAGGACTCAATTTTTTTTTGTGAAACTCGTGTGAACAAAAAATGTGAACAGACTATATTCAAGTTCTAAGATTCACATTTGGAAATTGCAGAACAAGCTTCCGTCCGATCACTAAAACAGCAAAAAAGGCCTTCTGAAACAGAAAATGGGACAATCCCGTGGGGCACATCTTGTGCGCTTGGAATTCTGGTGACATTCTCGGAACTTGGTCTTTTGGTCCGAATGAAATCAGGAAGGAGCTTCATTTCCTTTTCCGGAAAACTGACCTGACAACGTATCGCCACATATGTTGGGGCTGTCCTCCGACGTTGTTGACGCCGAGGTAAAAGGTCGTGACGGTGACTTCGATATTTTCGGTCCGTTCTCTGGGAAAACTCCGTTCCTTGATGTTTTAATGTGAATTTCCAACAATGAGATATATACTGGATTCAAACAACTCGCTTTCGACATGAAACATAATTAGCGACGCCAGAGTGGTTACTATAGAGGATTAGGGAGAAAAAAAAAACCCTTTTAGGGGACTAAAAAGTGCATTCTATAGGAGTAAATTTAGGTGGTCCCTATAGGGGTTTAGTGTCTGACCATGGGCCCCTAAAGCTCAAGTAGTACCTATGGGGTCGTTTAATTTTTTTGTTCAGACATGAAAATGACAAAAGACATCTTGATCAATTTTTTTGATTTGTATTTTAAATTTCAAATAACGCCAGTTTATTTAGTTTTTTTCTCATAGAGTTTACAAAAAAAGAATCAGTAGTATATCCACTGTAGGGACCACTTTGTGAAAGCGTTTGGTGACCCCAATAAAGGGGGGTAAAGATATCCCTAGATCTCAAAGCGCTTCCTACTGTTGATCTACATGTAAGCCATGTGAGGTTTATTCGCGTTCCAACTACCCAGAAAGGTGTTATGAATGATCGATCTAAAAATATCGATCTAATACCTATAAACATCCCGTGGAGCCAACCAAGACCGATGAGAAGAACGATAACTTTCCATTAGCTCTGGCTTCATAGAAACTCGCAATTCACCTAAAAGGTGAAAATTTGGAACGTGTCAGAAACTTTTTGTTTATACTCCCTTGTCAAAAAATTCAGAGAAAAAAAAAATTAAAAGTTATTCTTTTGCGGTCACATAGTTACAAAATTTGAATAAAAACCAGAAACTGTCTGATTTCTCATGTTTACGTGATATTTCCATGTTTCTATTCTTCCTGTTTAGAGAAAAGAGGGCGCAGAGAAGTCAGAGAAGTTTCTTATTCTGACATCGGTTTTGCAAAGAGAGAAATCAGAGGAACGATAATATTTCTACAGCTTCCATATTTCAAGAAGAAGTTTTTTCTACATAGCTAGTATCCATGGTTTCTTTTGTTTTATTACTAGACCGAGACTTTTTTTCTTGCCCAACTTCATCTTTGCCCTCCGGAAAACGAACCACTTTCATCTCTGACGTCAAATATCCGTTCAAAGAGGTCGTGATCAAAATAGGCGTTGGAAATGGGAAAATACGGTATGATGTCGTCGTGGCCAACGCAGTCCATTCCACTGAAAAGACGTGGAATGAGCGGAAATAATCACTCAGACTCGCACTTTATGAAAGTTAATAGCTTTTCTCCGCGCGTGTTGACGCCGTCAACCAGGTAGGAAGTCATGTCGACAGGGAAACCCATGTGGCCCCAGTCGCGTCGGTGGACCAGCACTTGGTAGAAGTCCTTGGTCGAGACTTCTTTCTCACTTGAAACCAGAGGTGATATCATTAGTCAAGACACCGGTGGCAGGTATATGACGGAAAAGCCAGAAAAAAGGAAAAAAATTGATGAAAGTAAGCACCATGGACATTTTGGAAATATTCGTTGATTTTGAGTCTTTTCTGGATTTTTTTGTGCGAATCAGTTCTACATGAATACTGAATACTGCCCTCAAATCACTCAAAGAGTGATGCAAAAAATTTCTTCAAGGCGCGCGTCCGACTTGAAACTACTTGTGCTTGAGAGGGAACTCGAGCGGACTAAAAAATCACAGAAATCTTAGATTATCCTTGGAAAAATCTTAGATTATCCTTGGAGCGCACATGCCTTGGACTCTCGCGGCTTTTTATTCCAGTCCATCTTTTGATTTGATTTTTCTTGGCTGTTCTATCATAAACCTTTGTTACGATTCTCACTTGGTTCCGGCCTTTTTTTCGTGTAACCGGCAAGAAAATGAACAAACGACGACTCCTTTATAAGCAAATGTACGGTGGATGAACGTCTGGTGATTTTGAAACTTCTTTTCGAAACGAACTCTTTCGAATTACCTGTCCAGGTTCAAAAGTCGTTGTTGGAACGACAGGAAGAATGTGGCCGATTTCTTTTATCACAGGCGATGAGGCCGAGCGAAACCTGTTAGATCAAAGTTAGTAAGAGAAAGGTGCCGAAAAAAAGCAGGAAGTGAAAGTAGCGAATCTTAAATTCGACTCACTTTTTTTCCGAATTCTGGAAAATGTTTTTTTTTACCTTGATAATATTGAAGAAGAAGCCGAAAAATGCCGCTGTAAATTGAATAAAACCTTCATCGCCCTAAAAATCTTCCATAAAGTCCACAGAATCTAAAACTATCCAATCGAAGATATCAGTTGGAAAGCACTTCCTTTCACAAAAAAGGAAAAATCAAAAATTTAATGTTTATTTCGAGATAGAAATCTAATGGAATGAGTCTACGATAAACCGTATAAATTAATGGCAAGTATTGATGTTTCTATTCGGGCTGAAGTTTGAGTGAGCGGGCCATTTTCTTGCCTCGATGTATTGAACAGATGCCAAAGGTGAGGTTTTCGTAGGAAACCGACGAGAAACCTTCTTTCATGAACATGTTGGCGAACTCTTGCTGCAAAATTATGAGGATTGAAACTGTATTTCTTGATAAAAAGCTTCAAACTATATAAACCCCTCTAACATTTCCCTTAGTTAGGAAATACAGAGTAGTCTCTTCAGGGGTTTTAGTTAGTGACCTTATAGGGTAAATGCTAGTCGATTATTTTTTATGAACCCGAGGAGAAAAACAATTTCTATGCGAAAAAATTCGGGTTTTTTGAATAAAAAAGTATCAACAGAGTTTTTCTTTTCACTTTTCGAATCTGAATAAAAAGTTAAAAGACCCTATAATGACCACCTAGATTTTACCCCTCTAGGGAGCTCTTTTTCGCCCCTTTTTCCCTTAACCTCTATAGGGACGACTCTGGTGTTCCTGACAACTTGATTTTCATGATTTTTTTTTAGGATTTCACTCGTTCCTCTTTTTTCTGTCAAAAAGTCAAAAAAAGTAAAGTTGTCATTATTTTGCGATTGGTAGATTTTAAACGGATCTCATTGAGAGTTTTCTTTTTTACGACTTTTTTTTTTAAAATAAATCCTATCCGACCCATCCCATAAATCCTTCAAGGATTAATTACAGACCTGATTGGGGAACTTTCGGATGCTCTCAACGAGGTATTGGTAACTATCGCGGTCGTTGGCCAAGATTTGGCCCATCACAGGAATTATGTTAAACGAATAGGCGTCGTAGAGCGGCTTCAGAGACTCGTTGATGGCACTGAACTCCAGAATTGCGATCTGGCCGCCCGGCTTCAAGACTCGGAATGCTTCTGCGAGCACCTGCAATCATTTCAACTGGAATTTGGAGGGATAATAAAATAGTTTAATCATTTTAAAGTTTAATGAAGAGCTTGAATTCATTTTCAGCAAGATTTGACTTGAGAAATTTCTACAGAATTTCCCTTAAAAATCGCCAGTTTTTCAATCAACCAAGTAAATTTTGATCTTTTTTTTTTTTTTCAAAACGTTCAAATTGAAGCTCTTCCTTTATATGGCTTGTACTTGGAATTATTGGAAAGGACTCTGAGTTTTTCCAAAAACTCATTGAACTTTGAGAATTTTTTTTAATGCTGACTTCAAGCAGAACAAAAATCATTAAAAAAAACCTTCTAGACTGATATTCTCTTCCAAAGCTCAGCTCAATTTTGACTATGATTCTGCCATTCCTAAATATCATTTCGATAAATGAGTTCAAGGTTTCAAATGACGCATGATAAAGCTTACAATGAACTGCAGTAATCGAGCGTTTTTAATAAGGAGGAAAAAAAAAGTTTTTTTTTTTTCAATGGAATCGCAGCCACTCTGGAATACAGACAAACAAAAAAATATTTTTTTCAAAAAAATTCTAGTCAACTATTAAAAAAACCATTTCAAAACAAAATCGTTCAGTTTCAATGATAAGAATTCCGAAAATTCGACGAGAAAAATGGCTGTTCCACTGCAAACGTCAACGAAACAATAAAATGTCGGAAAAACCTTATCAACGTGAGTGCAGTTTCGGATGCCGAAAGACATGGTGAAAAGGTCGAAAAAGTCGTCGCTGAATGGCAAATGTTCCGCGTTGGCGCAGACGAAATTTAGGTGTGATAAGTTCACCTGAAAGTTGAAATATTTAGGAAAAACCGAAAAGCTCCTCAGAAGGTTTTTTCAAAAAAAGACCTTCTGAAGGTCCCCAACATATCTTTTTCACATGCTTTATCAAAAAGATTTCAGTGGATTCAAAAAAGATTTTCTGAAACTATAAGAAGAAGCTCAAAAGTTTTTTACACGTTTTTTGGGAGCTTCTAAAAGAACCTTTCCAGCTCTTTCTGAGAGCCCATGTAAGAAATTTCCCGTTCTACCTTTGTAAATCTTTGAAGAAAACAAAGAAAGAGAAAAATAACATTTTCATTGGAAGCTCTCTCTTTTCCGACATCCAGCATGTTCTGGTTGATGTCCCCAACTGTTATGTGAGCTGTGGGAGCTCTTCGATGCATCCGGAAAGCGATGTCGCCCGTTCCTCCGGCCATATCGAGAATCTAAAAAGATACTGAAAATATATCTTCTCAGAACGTTTATACAGTAAAATGAAACTTTCTAGGTTCTATCTTTCAATCAAAACCTTCGCTTCTCTCGGAATCTGAAGGCCGCCGACGTAGTAATCTTTCCATAACCGATGAACTCCCATACTCATCGCGTCGTTCATCAAATCGTACTTCTTCGCAACATTCGCGAACACTTCGTGAACTAAAATTTATTTTTTCACATACTTATATCTCACAGTTAAAAAAAAACCTTTCTTCTCCTTTTCGACCTCATCAACATCGGTGAAGCCAAAATGTGTGGTTGGCCGAGGCGCTTCTGCAGAGAAAGTTCTTGGAAATCTTCTTGCATATTTTGCCCTATGATTCAGATTGCACAGCATACGTAATGTTGACGGCTTCATTGCACTTTTTGGCCTGAAAAGTATTTTGACAAAGTTTGGAAAAAAAACGGTAAAATAAAAACTTTAAAGAAAGACGCTCATTTAGTTTTTCAAATAAAAAAACCTGTAAATTCCTTCATATTGAAAAATTAACTTAAAACGACTTTTTGGTGTATGAAAATTAAAATAAACATTTTTATATTTTATTAATTAAATAGAATAAAAAAATCTCGCAAAAAAATTTAGCCAAATTGGAGTTGCGCCACTGTGTACTCACAAAAGGATTTTTTTCTACAGTATCATTCAGCCGATCCGGTCTTCCACGTCTGAAAAATTTTTATTTTTATTTTTTTATTTTTTTATTAATCTATTTTTGAGCGGAAAGTTATGTAGGCTCTTGCTTCCTGCGTCAGAAAGTATTTCTTATTTCAAATCTTCGGATTTTGAAATTCACCTGCGTGCCTGTTCATTTCGATAGATCTCTAAAAAAAATTAATTGCATACTGGCTTCAATCGAATAGTTTTTCCAGATGGCAGAAAGCAGTGCTCCTGCAAGTACTGGAAGCAAGGTTACATTCAAAATTACTTTGACGAGTGACCCAAAACTCCCTTTTAAAGTGTAAGTATAAATTTTTTTTTGGAAAAAAATAGTTTTTTTAGTCTTTCTGTTCCTGACGCAACGCCTTTCACAGCTGTGTTAAAGTTTGCGGCTGAAGAATTCAAGGTTTTTTGTATCTACCTTATATTTTTTTAACAATTTTTCTTGTAGGTCCCTCCGGCGACCTCTGCCATCATCACAAACGATGGTGTTGGTATAAATCCGGCTCAAACGGCTGGAAACATATTTTTGAAGCACGGAAGTGAGCTGAGATTAATTCCTCGCGATCGTGTCGGAGCTGGAAATTTGTAATGTTACTAATTTATTTTTCGTCAAAGATTATTGCATTGAAATTTTCTTATCATGGGATGTGATCATGTGAATAAATTATTTACATTATTGCTTTTGTTGTTTTGTTTTTTATCGCGTTTTCTCCGCTGATATTTTTTTTCGAAATTTTGATTGAAACCTTTTTTGAATGATATATTTCAGATGAAGTTCTCACCTAACCAGAAGTTGTTCATCAGCAAATCGGTCGAAGTTACTACTTTCGCGATTCAATGGGGATTCGTTCCGTTTGTCGTTTATCTTGGATTCAGAAAAGGAGCTGAACCTATGCCGAATGGACAGGTTTGTTCATGTTTCTTGTTCTGATGAAGATTTAATTAAATATTATAGTTGTGCTAGATTGTTTTTTTCATTTGGTTCAAATCGATAGAAAGGTCTCGATGATAAAAGTTTTAACATTTGTTTAATTGATTATACCAAAAAAAGATAGTTTTAAATTTATAAGTGAGTGTAAGGAGTATCTTTGAATGCTTTAAAAAAATAAACAGTTATAATTTGCAAACTTTTTTTCCTAGGCTTTTTTTCCTTTTTTTCTTCTGTCAAAAGTTTCGCAAAGTGAAGTTCATCTTTTCCAAGCCAAGAAAATCATTTTTCCAAAAGTTAAAAAAAAAATAAAAAAAATGTGGAATAAAAGTAACGCTTGTGAGTTAGACCTGTTTATTTTCCGCATATACTTCACTTGAAAATTATTCGAATGTTTGCCCACAGTATTTCAACGTTAAGCTGAAAAGTTTTTGAGATTTTTTTTTCCTCTTTATCATCATCATTTTTTTTATCAACTTACCTCGAACTCTTGTAGTCTCATGTTTTCAGGTGATTCCTTTGTCGGTAATGAGTCTTCTGTGGGGATGATTCGCCTTCTTCCGTCAATAAAGCTTTAAAATGAAGAACCTCTTGTTTTGTTTTGTTTTTGTTACTTTTTTTGTAATAGATTGATATGGAAATAAAGTAGTTTGCTAGTGAAACTTGATGCCTAACGAGAAGAAACAATGGCGGAAACGGTCGGACGAAAGGGAAAGCGCAGTCTCGCCTCATCGTAATAAACAAACGAATATGAGCGTTGTCGTCCTGCGAATTGTTGCGTCGCTCCTCTTCTTGACCTTTATTCAAAGGTAATAATCTGTTTTCCATCTTCTCGAGATTTGAAGAGTTCAAGATGCGAATGCGGCTGCCGCACGGTTTATTGTCCGCAGATCAGCAGCACTCTTTTCCCATGCGACAATTGTCACACTTGCCTTGAAAAGTCCAGCAGGTTCCACTTGTTTATCGATTTCGACAAGTAGAGAAATATACAGTTGATCTTGTCGTTCTGGTCCACAGTCCATTTCTCACTGCCTTCGAATAATCTGAGAAGAATTTTTGAAGCTCCTTCAGGCTTCGAAGGACCTTAATTTTTAAAAAATAGTTTGAATCGGCTTTTTTTCGAAACATTTTGGTTCCCTCAACATGGATCTCACCAAACCAAGACTATATAAAAAGAAAAGGTCTTTTGAAAATCATTTTTGCACTTTTCTGGTAGCTGATTCGGCTCTTTCAAAGCTTGATTCTCCGTATTTTTTAAATGTTGGAGCGATTTTAAACCAAGACAGTGGGCACACTTTGCTAAAATAGATTGGTTATGTATTTTTTTTTTTTGACTCACTCTCTTTAATTAAATCTAACTTTTTCTCTACATAGATAGACTACAAGCAGAAAAACATAACTTCAGACTTTGCTTCACTAGCAACAATGCGACTTGTGGCTGCGCCACGGCTGTACCTGCCGAATGCACCCGAAATCCTTCCAATACCACCGCTCCTTTTATTTTCTGCTTCATTGCTGGTTTTTAATTCATTCGTCCATTTTTTTCATGTCGGATAACTCCAGACGATGCCGCAATCCCGGTCCCTGAAGTGAAAGTACACGAGGGAAGTTTTGTCTCGGCGGTGGTTCCTCGATTTTTCTCCAATCCGCCGTTTGACGTCGTCAAACCATCTTTTCTCTACCTTTTGGCGTCTTTTCCGAAGGTTTTGATTTATTCTGTCTAATTTCATTCCAAGTTAGTAACTCTCAAATTCAGGAAGGCTCTCAATGTAAGTCGATCGGCCACATTGAGGCCTATGAACGTGGGGCCGAATGTCTACTCAGAATTCGACTTCATATGCCATCTATCGACTACACTGGCCATGATGTTGGTATTTGAAAGTTCAAGAAGAAATCCCGTCGAAAATATAGTCCTACAAATATTTTTCCATGATATCTTTGATTGGCTGGTCACGCCCTTTTTTGAGAGTCCAGTCAAAAATTTTTTGGTTGATACTAACTTCAAAAGTGAAGGAAAAGGCTGGAAGCCAAGAATCCGAATCCGAATCTTCGAGACTTCAATATTTGAACACTGGAGTGCGATTGTAGAAAAGAGCTTCTAAAGAAAAAAAAAACTTCGCTTCTCATTTTTGAACGCTCTCTAGAGTCCACAGATTCAGGAGCAGACTCGAAATAAACAAAAATTCATTTTTCTCTTCAAAAATTGCTTTTTTCAGAACTATTATTACGACGATAGATCCCCGTTAGAGACTCAGTTATCATCAGATCTATTCGGCAAGAAAAAAAGCTTGCGATTCTGGTCTGAAGTCACCTTGACAAGAAAAGACACGGTTTTTGAAAATCCTTCTCTTTTAATACGAATCTCTCAAATTCAGGTAAAAGACGGACACGTTCACTTTGCCAGCGTCCTCAAGTCTCCTTCCACAACTGTTGGTATTTCTTAAACTTTTCCTTGTTTTTTTTTCAAATTCGAACTCAGCAACACATAAAAACATGTATCCTCGTCGATCCAAGCTACACAAAGCAAAAAAAAAGTGGCAAGTCAAAACAGAAATTGGCTATGAATTTTCATTTATCTGCTCAAAAAATCATCGACCGAAGAACAGGAGATCCGTCCGTTCACGTACCGACAAAGCATCACGTCTGGAAAATTAAAATGTTTTTCAAAATGATTTTTTCTTCCAATCATTCAATTTTCAAAAAAAAAACAGTAATGAATCCTTTGAGATCTTTTCAATAAATGAACTAAGTTTTGAAAGTACTGCGAATTTTAAAAAAGTTGGACTATTTGTTTTTGAATTTTAAAATTTGTACGAAGAACCTTGGTCCAACTCGGCGTAGGCAGGTGAGCTCGAAGAACGTTTTCCATAACGGGGAAGCACGGCTCGACCATATCTTGAGAAATATTCATTATTTATCGGTCCTTTTTTGAATGAAAACTTTTTTGAAAAGAAATTTTTTTACCTTCACTGAGTCTAAAAGCTTTGGAAAAACATTTCAACGCTTTCTTTCCAGAAAAAGGTGGGTTACGGTAGGAATTTTTTCACCGAAATTTCGCTTGTTATTCCAGTTTTCTAAACAAATTTACTACGGTGCCTGATTGAACTTTTGAAGTGGCGTTAAGATGCAGAATTTCAGGCAAGGCTGGTTTCCGTTTCTAAAGTTTTCAAAAATGTTTGTAAGGAGCCGATAAAATAGAAATGTTGATGCAAAAGTTTTGCAGTGAAAAATTGGCGGCAAAATGATTTTTTCATCTGTAGGAGTATGATGGTGTAACAGATATCTTCAAGTCCTTCCAAAGATGTTAAAGTCACTTAGTTTTGCAAGAGGATCAGTTGAAGTACGAGTTGAATGATAGTATAAATAAAATAAAAAGTGACTCCAGTGACTCTAAAAAAAAATCAAAACCGGGAAAATTTTTAGGACAACTCTTGATATCGATGGCGTTCAATCCAAATTTCACACTAAGCCGTTAGAATCCAGATAGTACTTTGATAGGACATCTTAGCAGATATTTATGAAGGAGGTCTTTCGGCGTATTCAAAGCCGTTTTAACCTGGAAAGCAGTGCCGGCCGCTTCTCAGGACGCTCGTCGGCGGCGACGAGGAGCAGGAGACAGGCGAAGAAGACGAAGACCCTCGTGAGCATTCTGAAAAATCGCCAAAAGCCTTATCGGACACATGAAAATGAAGCGACGGAGTCACTCGAGCGGCGGGTTAAATGGTCCAAAAAGGGCGGAAAAACGCCTCTTCAGTCTTCCTGAAACACAGTAACCGTGGGAGCAAAATCCGCAAATTGATGAAATCGCTCGGATTTCAAATTGAGCCATTTTGAGGTTGAGGATTGGGTAATTCAAAGGTTGAGAAAGAAAGGACGTCCAAATTAGAGGGCACTCGGGATGGAAGGCTTTTTCTGGAAGCTGGGAATCTTGTGAGAAGTTGGAAGATAATTATTTTAAGTTAAAATGTGGTATTTACGTCGGAAATTGTAATGATTTTCCTTTTTCGAAGAACTTTTCTGTCAGAGAAGGAATTCGCAAGAAACAAAAACCCAAAAAAATTTTTTTCATTTCTCAACCTAGTTTGAAGCATCTAACTAACAATCTAAGCATTTTTCATTATCTAAAAAAACAAGCATATTCCATGTGCACGCGATTCCACTGAAAACAATTCCCAAAGCATCGTTTTGATTAATTTTTCCATTTAGCCAATTTTTCAGGCTCGCCACCGAAATCGTCGGTGCTGAGAAAGAAGAAATGAATGGAAAAAGGTGAACCTGGATGGTTAAGCGTCGTCGGGAACAATCATCTAACTGGAAATGTGCGGAAATCGGTAGTTGGCCGTGTAATTCGAGCATTGAAGAGGTCTCTTGAAGAAGTTTGGCTCTGGAAGAACTTTGAAAAGATCTCATTTCAGCGTTCTTTTTTTTTTCATTGAGCTTTCGAGAAGTTGTAGTTTCTTCAGGCACTTTGGAGATGAAAGGACAGTGGAAGTCAGAGAGTTTTCATGACTTGGGAAAGATTTCTCTGTTTTACAACCTTTACTCTGACTTCCCGTTTCTCAACACTCAAAAAACCAATTTTGAGATTAAAATTTTCAGTTTTACAAACTCTTCTAGGTGTACAGGTTTTTACCTTTTTCAGTAAGTTTCCTTCGAGTTCAGAAGCGTAATTTACCCGTTAAAGTTCACAAAGTCTTTAAAAAACCGGAACTGCAGGTTCTTTGATGGAAGAACTTTTAGCGAGCGAAAGCTTGGCATGGAAATTTCCGCCTCAATGAGCTTAGAAATTAGGTGAATGTGCGCTCCACGGACAAATAATAAAAAAAAGTTCCAACCCAACTTTTTGAAAATTTAAATATTATAATATTTAGTTCCTTGATATTTTTTTCGAAAGTTTTTGAAAGTGAAGATTAGAAGCTCTTGACAGAGCTTCGGCTACATTTTTGACTTCAAATTTGTATTTGTATTTCTCCGACTTGTTTTCTGGAGAGTATCAGATGTTAAACATTTCCTCCCAAACATTGAATTTCCTTCATAGTCGTGAATCATATGAAAGCATATGAAAAAGTCGTTCAAAAAAATGATGGGCCCATCTGGAAACTGAATTGATGGAATGAATTTGAATTTCTTTTTTTCATAATTTTTTTCTATCAGTTTTCGCACTCCCACTCTCAATTTCCTTTTTTTTTCTTCTTATTTTTCTGAATACTTTCAAAAAAAACTTTTACATTTTCTTTTCAAAAACTTTAAGGAGGCAGTTTTTATAACTGGAAACTCAGTGCTTTTTAAACGTGTATTGTATAGGCAAGCCTTGATTTCGATAAACTTAGCCTCAGAATTTTCCGGTTTTGGGCCTTTCTTCCTGTCAATTTGATTCTCCACGAAGTCAGAAAGGCAATGAATAGGTTTCAAACTTTTCCCCTGAAAGAAGGGGAATACTGGTTTTTTTTTGAAGCTTTTTCACAAAAAATTTCATGATCATACTTTTTTTTTCCAATTATGAGAAACAGGAAAATGTTGGAAAGTGAAACAGGAAAATGTTGGAAAAAAAAATTGGAAAACGTTTTGAATTATCTCTTTTTTTTCAAGGGCTTTATCTTCCATTTTGCGCCCTTTTCAAAAAATTCGCAATATTGCGCAAGTTTGAACCTAATACAGTGACTTTGAAGTGGCCGGAAAAGAACCTGTGAAAGATGGTCCCGGATCGCGCAACTATTTGAACAGCTTCGGCGAAAAGGTGCACGATCGGCTGGTGTCTGGACCCTCTCGTCTCGACAGGCTCTCTCGGGCAGCAGTCGGTCGACCCGAGGCCACTCGTCGGCCGGCCCAGTCGCACGATGTTTTGTCGTCGGAGGGCAACTTTCAGCCTCCTGGTGCCACTTCTCGTCGTTTCCTTCTTGCTGTACTCCTTGCTGTCGACGTCGACGTCGTCAAGCCTTTCGGAACGGCGCGAGGACAACGAGTACATCAACAACGTTCAGAGGGCCAAGGTTTCTTGGCTCTGACGCATTTGAAAACTTTGAACTTTCGTCAGGTTGAAGCGGCGGATGAAGTGAGAGCGATTCAGAGCGACGTCGCCGACGTCGAGACCAATGTCGTCGTCGAGGTTGAAGATGAAAAAGAGCGTGAGGTCAATCTGACACAGCTAGCAATCGCCAACACCAAGGAGGAGAAGGTTTTGAGGAAGCTTTTTTGTTTTTTTTTTCGTTTTAAGTGTTGAAATTGTTTTGAAATGCTTGCCATGACGTTATTTTTTTAACATGAGCGATTCAATTTTTTAAAAAAATTCTTAGTCGAAAAATAGGCTAGAACGACCTCCTTTTTTTGATGATTGAAAAATAAATGAAGGTCAGGAAAAAAAGATTAATAAATAATAGAGCTGAAAATGTTGAAGATTTTTAAAATTTTTGTTTCAATGACAACTTTCTGATTTTTTTAAAATTTTTTTCAAATTTCAAATCAGGGTTTTTTTAGAAAAAAAGTTTTGTTTTTATAAAAAGTTTTTGCACCATCAAGGTGCTACTTTTTGTTGTTGAAATAGTCTTGCCGAGTCATAGTTTTGTCACTTTGACCTTTTTCACTTCGGTTTTTTTTTTTAATACGTTTGCCTGTTTTGAGGCTGCTTTTTTTCAATCTTGAAAAAAATTTAAAACTTCTTTTTTTATAGTATAATTTCATAGTGTATTTTCTATAATCCATTCTTCACGATTTGAAGCAGTCAGACTTATAACCAAAAGACTTTGCTGAGAAAAGAGAGGGCGCAGAGAAGCCAGACATTCTCAAGTTCTTTCTGACATTCACTCTTCTTTTTTTCAGGACGCTGAAACGCGCGGATTCGAAAAATACCAGTTCAATGGGTATTTGAGCGATAAAATCGGAGAGCGGCGAAAAATTCCAGACTCGAGAAATTCAAGGTGAGTTCTCGAAAAAATTTTCGTTTTTTTCTGTAGAATCACTGAGAAAAAAGTTCAGATGCCCTCAAACGTTTGGGCAAAATCTTCCGACGGCTTCCATCATCGTTTGTTATTTCAACGAATCGCCGTCGGTGAGTCCAATTTTTCTCAAATAAACAAATTTTGACTCGAGTTTCTGTGTTCTTGATGGTTTTTTTTTCTTTTCAAGGTCCTCATTCGAATGGTCAACTCGATTCTGAGCAGAACTCCGTCTCCATTAATTCGAGAAATCCTGCTCGTTGATGATTCCAGCGAATGGCGTTCGTGTTTTTTTCTTTTGAAAAAACATTGCTGCACTTTTATCTTTCTCATTTGTTGGAATTTTGAGACAATGACGTCTATACTTGGGAACGCCAAACTGGTCCCTATAGGGGTTAAAAGAGAACGGCCCCCGAAAGGCACAGAAAAATGGCTATTTGATACATTTAGGTGGTCCTTATAGGGGCTTTAAAGGCTGACCCTGAAGCCTCTAAAACTTAAATGATCCCTATAGAGGTTTATTATTTTTTTTCAAAATTTTGAAATTTAAAAAGACGTTTTTTTCTAAAAGAGTCCATAACAATAATCGAATATCTTGTCCTCCATTTGACCCCTTTTGCAAGCTTGAGAGCTCCCTATAAGGGGAAGAGAAATGGTCCCTGGAGGGGAACCTACAGTGACTACTCTGGCGTTTCTAAGTTGGCGACTTTGCCGTTTTTATTATAAAAGTCGGTTTTCTTTCACAGGTCTAACTGAAATCAAGTTTGAATTTTCATAGCCAGACTTTCATCTTATAAATTTTTGGCGGTTTACTTTTTTACTGGTTTACATTATGCTTCAGTATTGTAAGAAACTTAGTGAAGTCCAAAAAATGTTCATTTAATGATAATAATCTAATAATTCAGCAATTTTTTTCAGCTGATGCAACTGAGGCGGCGAAAAAGTACCAAGAACTTCACCGAAAATGGAACGTGGTCAAGTTTTTGAAGACCGACGTCAACGAAGGGCTGATTAGGGCCAAGATTTTCGGAGCCAAAAAAGCGGTTGGCGATGTCTTGGTGAGTTTTAGCTGGTTGCCTTTCAAAATGAAAAATGTATGGTGTTTCAAAAAAAAAGATTTACAGGTGTTCCTAGACAGTCATTGCGAAGTGAATCAAGACTGGCTTCAGCCTCTTCTCGAGCAAATCGCAGAGAAACGGGAAAGGTACAGTTTGAAAAGATGAATTTTTCGTTTAAAAAGAATTTTTAGAGTTGTATGCCCAATTATCGACATAATCGATGCGATGTCAATGAAATACGTCGAGTCGCCAGTTTGTAAAGGCGGCGTCAACTGGGCCATGACTTTCAAGGTTTCTCAAACTAGCTACTCTAAAAAAACCTTTCGAAAAAATTAATAATTGGATTACAGTGGGACTATCCGCCTCGGTCGTACTTCCAAGACCCGCAAAACTTTGTTCGTCCTTTGAAGTTTGTATTTTTCACTTATTTTACGGAGATTGACCCCGATTTCTTGATAAAAAGGTGTAATTCCAGGTCAGCAACGATGGCTGGCGGACTTTTTGCGATCGACCGCAAATATTTCTTCGAAATCGGCTCTTATGATGAAGGAATGGAAGTCTGGGGAGCAGAAAACGTCGAAATTTCGTTCAGGGTTCGGTTATTTGTTTGGAATTTCTTTTATTTTTGGCTTTTTTGCAGATTTGGAACTGTGGAGGAGAACTTCTTATCATTCCTTGCAGTAGGGTCGGCCATATTTTCAGGTGAAGAGGGGTTTTTTGAATATCATAACGGAGAACTTGACTTGAAATTTTGGAAATTTCTTGATGATTTTCTGATTTTTCATGCCGTGTTCAAAGTAATTTCCGCGAAATGCAAATTGTCTCTGACCCTCCAAAATTTAGTTATCTTTCTCTTTCTCTGACGGCTATTTTGAATTTCGCGGAATCACTTTGAACACGGCATCAATTTCAGACAACGAAGGCCGTATGGGCTTTCCAGCGATTCGATGCGCAAAAATTCCGTCAGACTTGCTCGAGTTTGGCTCGACGATTATATTGTAAGTTTTTCTTGAAAAGTTCATGATAACTTGAGTTTTTTTCAGGAAGAATTCTGGAAGGTCCGACCGGCCTATCGCAATTACACAGAATACGGAGATATTTCTAAGAGACTGAAGCTTCGAGAAGAGCTTCAGTGCAAGTCTTTCCAGTGGTACCTCGAAAATATCTACCCGGAACTTCTGCCCAACAATTCGCCAACGGAATTCTTAGCACAGCCGTCTTCACAAGGCGTCAAGTACCATGTGAGATTGAACTCGATTTATTTTTTCTCTTTGGAGAAAACTTTCAAAATGCCCCAACTGTTTTAAAAAATTTTGAAATTTTTACTGAAAAAATAATTTGGAATGTAACCGATTCACGTCCATCTTGGGACGCAAAGAGACGGGTCTTGTCTGTGTTCTCCACCAACCAGGCACTGTCTCTTTTCTTATCGTGTCAGGACCCTTTTTTTGATGGCTCGAGCTAGTCATGAATCAGATATTTCTTTTCCTTTTTCTTGAGTTTGCGGCTTGATTTTTAGAAAAATTTATGTCAATGACTTTTCTAGGAAACGAATATCTCAACATCATTTTAATTATAGATCCAACTGGAAAACGAAACTCTGTGCCTTTCCGCAGAATCGAACGGCGGGCGGATAGCGGGCGTTGTTGAGATGCGCCGGTGCTTGAGAGACGCTAGAGAACAAATTTGGCGCTGGACTTCTACGGTAAAATTGAGAACAGTTTGTCCAAAAAGGCTATACATTGGTGTTTAAGGGAGAACTCCGGCCGATGGGCTCTTCGACACTTTGCCTTGACTCTTTTAGCGGAGCGAAATTGATGAGGTGTCATAATCAGGGCGCTCATCAGAAGTGGGCCATCACGGTGAGTTCCTTGAGACAAACGTGAGAAGTAAATCGATTCCCTTTTATTTTCAGAAAGATGGAAAGCTTTTCAATGCATCTTCCGGCAAATGTATCAATGCGACAAACGAGCTGAATGAACACGCAAATCTCGCTTTTTGTTCCTTGGCCAAAACTTTCACATTACTTCCGATCTAACCTTAATATTCTCATTTTCGTGCTTCTAAACTAACCGGTCTCTTTTTCTTCGTCAAAGCCCCAAACTCGATAATTTATTACATTATTCAAATTATTCATCTTCTTCTAATTTTATTGTTGTCGATTTTTTTTTTCATGATCTCACGGATGCCGCAATTCACTCGGTTTCATTTCTAATTGGCCTTAGTTCTCCTATTCATATCACTTTTTAAAAAAAGTTAATACTGAATGGGTATAAACGAGTGATAATCATTTTACATGTTCGGATTTTTTTAATAAAAATTTTATGGTTTTTTTAATCGAATTTAAATTTATTTATAGACAGGGCATTTGAGAAAAAAAAGAAAAGAGATACAAGCTTCAAAAAGATTGACGAAACACAATTAAAAAAGGAGGAGAGGGAGAGCCACGCCCACACACGTCGAACGCGTCATGTGGGCGTGCAATGGCGCGAAATTTGGTTGCGATGGCGTCTTCTCAAAACATTGATTTCGCGATAAACATTTTTTTAATTCAAAAATCTTTTTAGTATTTAAATTTTTTTGTTAGCGTTGTCTATCGCTTTTTAGAAACCTTTATACGCTTGCATCAACCCAGTTGTTTATAAGTTCAACCGTGTGTTGTTAATAAATATGTTTTTTTCTGAAACATTCATCCATCTCATTCAAAGTATACCTTCAACACAGTTTTGGCATTTTTCGCCTTTCTGCTTTCTTCTTCTGCATCACTTAGGTTTTGAATATATATCACTATTATTTTGTTTCTCATTAGTTTTTTTAGTCGTTACGTACATATACTTTTCAAACGGCAGGACTATGAAAAAAATTCCAATGCAGCGAGCGTGTTTTTTTGAATAATTTTTCACATTGTTGCCATTGACGACGCCCAGCATCATTAATTCTTCAGAGTCTTATCATTGCTATAAGAACTCTTTTTCCAAAGTTGAATATGTATATACTTTTTTGTACCCTAACTTTTTCGTAGCTCTCGTAAAACAGCAAAAAAGTTTTAGATTTCTTTTTCGTTTTTTCTTATTTCTGATCCAAAACCATTGAAACTCTGAGAAAATGAATCAAAAACTATGTTTGGCTGCTGCGTAATGTCTTTTTCTTGGTTGCATATTTCAGTTGCTAATGAAATGACTGAGTTCGTTGATTAATTTTTTAAAATCTCTTCTCTCTTTTATCGACAAATTTCAAATTATTATATTATCTTCGAAGTAAATGAGAATTTTTCTCAGGCAGTTTGTATAGCGATCATGTCTCGAGCTGGTCGTGGTAACACCGAGGCGTATGCACAAGAGTTGAACAGAAAACGGGCAGCTCTTCGGAATGACGAAGAAGAAGATCAGCCTGTAGGAAACGGGAATAAAGCCGCGTTCGGAGTCGGCGGCAGTTATGATACTGTACGTAGAAAATTAAGATGTGTAGCACATTTTTACATTTTCAGGACGTCTATGGCGGGAGTACGCGTGGTAATCGAAACGATAATTACCTAGAATCGATCGGAACCGGCGAAGAAGATGACGTCGACGAAGATTCAGTGCCCACGGGTCCAAAAAAGACGAGTGATTTCAATGCGCCTCACAAGTTTATTCAGGAAGTCGCCAACATGGCTGAGGTAATAAATATCATGAGTTTTAAGATTTGCTAAGAATATCATTCAGAATGAAGATCCTTTTGCTGAAACTCGCACAAAAACGATCGCTGAAAGGCAGTCGAAATACCATGAGCGTGCTCGGCAAAGGCAGATTTCGCCAGAAAGAATCGACGCTTTCGGTATAATCAGACTTGTTTTTTGAAAATTATCATGTTTCTTTTAGTTGATCAAACTCCGGACATGAGAAACCGCGGTTACGCGGAAATCATGAAGGAGCAGCGCTACCAAGAAGAACGCGGAAAAGTTGGTTTCTGACATATTTTCGATCAGTAACTTGAGACTTTAGGTGGAGCGCGAGTTGGCAGATCGGGCCAAGTCGGGTGACCTCCAGGTGTCTCAGCCAGATAAGAAGAAAGGGCGCTGGGACGATTCGGCCAAAAAAGAAGAGGTAAAGAGAATACAGCTCATTTTTCATTATCATTTATATCAGACGCATTTTTTTCTAGTCCATCTGTTTCCCATTTATTCAGTACATCCCGAGGACTATTTCATAAAATAAAGAATAATTTTAAGAGTTAGAACTAATATTGCTAGCTACTTTTTGAAAATTTCTGAATAGGGTTTCGACGAATATTATGGTGTTGTCTGAGAATTTTCTGGTTGATTGAGTTGAAAATTATTCGCAGTTCGAATCACAAAAGTGTAAGTCGATATAGATGATGACTTAAGAGTACTATATTCAGTAGCATATTTATGATTGAGTTAAATGAGACATGAGCGATTGTAGCACTGGCACAGTGATATCAAGATTTCGACTTTCAATGAAAATTGACCGAGTTCAAAAATTTTTAGTAGTTGAAGTTAATTTCTAAATTTATTCAGAAAGAGTTTTCAATCTAACTATTATTTTAATTGTCTAGCTTCCGAGGCTGAATTAACCCGGAAGCTATAATTTCCCGATTCCAGGCTCTTGGAGCTGGTTCGGCAACTCCTTCGCAGACGACAGCCGGTTCGGCGCCTCGAAAACGTCTGGGCGTGACGAGCATCAGCGCCGACGCAGCAACTCCGCACGTCAATCGCTGGGACGAAACTCCAGTTCACGGTAGCGGAGTCGCCGACGCGACACCTTCGGCAGATCGGTTCGATTCAACTTGATAATATCTTCTGAAAGATGAATTTCAGATGGGCTTCAACTCCGGCCGCGATGACTCCGAGAAGGAACAGATGGGACGAAACGCCCAAGGACAGTGTCAGAGACGGCGGAATGACTCCAGGTTGGGGCATGGAAACTCCGGCCCACGGAGCTCATGACGATGTTAAGGTTTGTTGAGATTTCCAGTTGAATCGGAGAGAAATTAGTAAAGTTAATAAATTCCAACAGTTTGATTTATCATGTTTCTAGGTGGAAGACACTCCTTCGGCTTCGAAAAGACGTTCTCGATGGGACCTGACTCCGTCTCAGACCCCAGCTCCTGGATCTGCGACTCCATTGCAAGCCGGAGGACAGACTCCTTCTTTCACTCCTTCCGGAGCGGTGATCCATCTAGGAATCTTCAAAAATAATCTTTTGTTTTGAGATGGGCGCCATGACTCCTGGCGGAGCGACCCCGATCGGCACAGCCGCCATGTCGATGAAGACACCGGCCGTGCCGATCATTCCGATGACCCCCGAACAAATGCAAATCTACCGGTGGGAGAAGGAGATCGATGACCGTAATCGGCCTCTTTCCGATGAGGAGCTCGACTCGCTCTTCCCACCTGGTTACAAGGTGTGTTCTGTTTCAAAAGCTTGAAAAAATAAATAAATAATGCTGGGAAAATCCGAAATTTTCGAAGGCGATGTCGCGCCCGTAAGGTAAATTCGACAAGTAGAAAGGGAAAATATGAAGTGCACAATTTTCTAAATATCACTGAGAACTAAGGAAAAAACTGTAACCTAGCAAATATTAAAAATATCTTTTTTCCACAAAAAGTTTTTTTAAATTCGTTTCTTCGTCTAACCTTCAAACCTATCATTGAACTCATTTCTTAATTGTTGAAAAAAATAAGGAAACTTGATTTTTGAAAATATTGACAGTACTAAAAAAAATATGGTATTTTTACCTGTGTAAAATATTAAGTAAATTTATCCAAACTTCTCAAAGATCTTTTTTTCTGTAGATTAACAAATTATATCAGTTATAAAGTGATTTATTCAGGTTCTTGTCCCCCCAATCGGATACATCCCTGCCCGAACCCCTTCCCGAAAACTTCTTGCCACTCCGACTCCGATGGGAGGAATGGGAATGGGCGGATTCCACATGCCTGGAACTCCAGAACGTGATGGAATCGGAGAGAAAGGTCCTTAAAAATCTTTAAATATGATGAAAGTTCAACCCAAATAGTTTCCAGGTGTTGGAGGTATTATTGACACGCAGCCGAAAAACGCGGAACTTCCTCCCTTGAAACCGGACGATATGCAGTACTTCGACAAGCTCCTCATGGACGTCGACGAAAGTTGGATTTCGAGCCTTTTCGAAGATAAAAATGATCTTCAGGCACCTTGACGAAGGAAGAGAAGAATGAGCGAGAAATAATGGAGCATTTGCTGAAAATCAAGAACGGAACTCCGCCAATGAGGAAAAATGGCTTGCGAAAGGTTGCGATTTTTTCAGGATTGAAATAGATCGAAAATAATCGTCTTTCATAAGATTTGATTGAATGAATTACCTGTTGAATTTTTTTGACTGAATTTTTTTCCGAATTTCGAAATGATCAAAAATTTTGTTTGTATTTGACATGAATAATAAGTATGAAAGTCTCAAAATCAAGCAAAAAGTAAGCGAAAAAGTCCTATTATTAAGACAGGAAATTTATGAGATCTTATCTACAAAATACATCGAGAATTTTTCAATTCTAAAAAGAAAAATAACGTTGTTACTCATATAATACTTTTGTTTTAGTTGAAGCCTTACAGATCACGGAAAACGCGAGAAAATACGGCGCCGGTCCGCTTTTCAACCAGATTCTTCCACTTCTGATGTCTCCCTCTCTGGAAGACCAAGAACGGCATTTGATGGTGAAGGTAAGAAACTTTCCCGATTTTTGACATGAGAATTGTCGACTGGTGAGCCAGCGCCTCACTCTCGTTTTTGGCGCCTAGCAAGATGCCGTGCGTTTTTAGAGAGCTCTTGCTGGCGTCCCCGCCCCTCTCGTTCTATTTTTGCCTTGACTAGCAGGTATGGTCCCAAATCCGTGAAAATAAACGATTTCCTTGAGTGAACTTCTTTTTAACTTCTTCACCGCGTGGCTCTGGTTCGCCGTGACTCGACAATCGACCCGCGTCTTCTGTTTCTTTTTTTTTGCTTTCAAATATTATAAATAGTTCTTATGGTGGTAGAATTTAATAAAAAGTGAAAAAGGTAAACTTTTGCACATAAGAATCACTTACCTACCACCTCAATTTTTGCCTTTTTTCACATTTTTGTTCAAATGACCATGTCAACTTGTTTTTTTACAGGTTATCGACCGGATTCTGTACAAATTAGACGATTTGGTCCGTCCTTACGTTCACAAAATCCTTGTCGTCATCGAGCCACTGCTCATCGACGAGGATTATTATGCTCGTGTTGAAGGTTTCAACCCGATAATTTCTTTTCAAAGTGCTTATTTCATTTTTAAGGTCGTGAAATCATCTCGAATTTGGCCAAGGCTGCCGGTTTGGCCACCATGATTTCCACCATGAGACCCGATATTGACAATGTCGACGAGTGGGTTTCAAGAAACTAGAAAAAAAAAATCATACTTTTCAGGTACGTCCGAAACACCACTGCCCGTGCTTTTGCCGTCGTCGCCTCGGCCTTGGGTATTCCGGCTCTTTTACCCTTTTTGAAGGCCGTCTGTAAGAGTAAGAAAAGTTGGCAGGCTCGTCACACTGGTTCGTCTCAAAAAATATACCCATTCTCTAAATTTTGAACTGTTAAAGGTATCAAAATCGTCCAGCAAATGGCTATTCTGATGGGTTGCGCCGTTTTGCCCCATCTGAAATCTCTTGTCGAAATCGTCGAAGGCGGTTTGGACGACGAGCAGCAGAAGGTTTGGTTGTGGGAAAATTGGAGAATTGATCTTAGTGCACGCCTTTTTAAGGCGCGCGGTCGTATTCGGGTAGTCTAGATAGGCTTTTCGGTAATAAAATGAAAACTTGTTCATTTTTGTGACGTCCAAAGGCGCAAGATTTGTATAGTTGTGTAATGTATTCTCTTAAATCCTGGACCTAGATTCAAATGAACTTCTTAAGGTTCTTACGTATCTGTAAATAAGTTCTTATTATTTATTGTTATCATTGAAATTGAAGGTACGAACAATCACCGCGTTGTGCTTGGCCGCACTTGCCGAGGCCTCGACTCCTTACGGTATCGAAGCTTTCGATTCAGTTCTCAAGCCTCTGTGGAAGGTTTTTGCCATTTTCACTAGATAAAATTATAACTTATGAGCTTCCAGGGTATCCGAATGCATCGTGGAAAAGGCCTGGCCGCCTTCCTCAAGGCCATCGGCTATCTGATCCCTCTGATGGACGCCGCCTACGCTTCTTCCTACACCCGAGAAGTCATGTTGATCCTCATCCGAGAGTTTGTTTCTCCCGACGAGGAAATGAAGAAAATCGTCTTGAAGGTTCGATTGATTTTCTGATTATGTGGATTTTTTATGTTGAATTAACAACGAAGGTCATTTCACTCTGCGTTTGGGAGTTTCTCGAAATTCGGTCAGGGCACCCCTAGGTGTACCTAATGAAGATCCCGGATTTTTTTAAAATGTGAATTAAGGCTCAGATCCCTAAAAAAAAAAAGTCTCTTTAAACGGATCTTGAAAGTTTTCTTCGACTTCGAGACGTCCTTATTCAAAAAATAGGAAAATCTGCAGTTTGAGACTTCTAGAATCTTCACCCGGTATATTGAGAGTAGTTCTGATCAATTTTCAATAAATTCTTTACCGCAAAGTGAAATGACCTTCTTTGTTAATGCGGCTTCTATTGTAAGAAAAAAGTTGGTGAAGTCTTTCTATATTTCATGAAACATAAATGTGAGAAAATTTTTTTTATAAAACTAACAGTATTTTTGTGTCTTCACGGAAAATTTTTAATTATGGATAAGATAAGTTGAAAATGAAAAATTTTTCAAATTACGAAAACATTTGAGAGGGAAATTCTAGGGCGAGGGTAAACAGGATGCAAAAAAAAAATTTTTTTTCCGGTACAACTTTTTCTTTTTCTTTTTTGAAATTTCTACATTCTTTCTTGCTTTGTGCTTTTTCGACAATTCTTTTCATTCATTTTTGAAGTTTTGAACATATTTAAACCATTTTGTTAACCTTGATTATTTTTCCAGGTCGTCAAACAGTGCTGTGGAACGGATGGTGTGGAAGCTCCTTACATTCGCGACGAGATCTTGCCTAGTTTCTTCAAGGCTTTCTGGAACCAGAGAATGGCCATGGACCGACGTAACTATAGGTATAGTTAGTTTTTCTTCGATTTCCAAAATATAATCATTTTCCAGGCAACTCGTCGATACGACCGTTGAAATTGCCCAAAAAGTTGGCAGCGTCGAAATGATTGCACGAATCGTGGATGACTTGAAGGATGAGAATGAACAATACAGGTATTTAGTTTATTTTATAAAGAGTTTTTGAGTTCGCTTATACACTCACAGCTGGAACTTTCATCATAACCATGATATTTTACAGAAAAATGGTCATGGAGACGATTGAAAACATCGTGGCGCTTCAGGGAGCTACGGAAATTGACGCCCGTCTCGAGGAACAGCTTATCGACGGTTTTCCCCTCATTTTTAGACTAAATTGATGAAAATCCAATTCTTTAGGTCTTCTCTACGCTTTCCAAGAACAGACTCAAGAAGATTCTGTCATGCTCGACGGTTTCGGAACGATTTGCACTGGATTGGGAAGGTTTTTCTTCATTTTTCGTTCGAGAATGAATGTTTCAATTCAGACGAGCCAAGGCTTATCTCCCACAGATTTGCGGTACCATTCTTTGGCGACTGAACAATAAATCGGCCAAAGTTCGTCAGCAGGCTGCTGATTTGGTATTTATTTTTCTTTTTGGTTTATTTTAAAGTAGATGCGTGAAAAGCCGCTTTCTGAATTGAATAAAAGGCTGAATTTTTCAAGAAGGCTATTAATCCAACCATTATCCACTTCCAGATTTCTCGAATCGCTCCCGTCATGCACATGTGCGAAGAGGAGAAACTGATGGGCCATTTGGGTCTTGTTCTTTACGAATATCTCGGAGAAGAGTACCCTGAGGTTTAAATAAAGGAAATATCTATTTTTACATCAATCTCCAGGTTCTTGGCTCAATTTTGGGCGCCTTGAAAGCCATTTGCAACGTCATTGGCATGACTAAAATGACGCCTCCAATCAAGGATCTCTTGCCGAGGTTTCAGCAGAAAAAAACTTCAATTTTTCATTAAATTGTTTCAGATTGACCCCGATTTTGAAAAATCGTCACGAGAAGGTACAAGAAAACTGTATTGATTTGGTCGGAGCGATCGCCGACCGCGGATCGGAATTCGTTTCGGCCAGGGAATGGATGAGAATCTGCTTCGAGCTTCTGGAGCTGCTCAAGGCTCACAAGAAGAGCATCCGAAGAGCCGCCATCAACACCTTCGGTTACATTGCCAAGGTTAGTTGATTGGAAAATCGTGAAGTTGGAAAATTTTGGCATGGTTTACGTCTTAAAGCTGATATATTTCCAGAAATTTGAATTTTTTTTACTGCTCTCTCTGTAAAACAACTAAATCTAGTGTTATCTTGGAAGTTCTAATACGAATTTTTATCAGTTAGAATAGTTTTTTGATCTTAGTCAATGCTAAAATGTTTTCTCTCTGTCATTTTAACTTTTTTGGAAGTTTTCGATCTCAAAAAGGGAAAATTCCCAATCTGGAGGTGTTACAGATTTCAATCACCACTTAAGGCTGAAGAATTTAAAATTTCAATCTGTATGTAACCACTTTTTCAGGCCATCGGTCCGCACGACGTCCTCGCGACTTTGCTGAACAATCTGAAGGTCCAGGAACGTCAACTGCGTGTCTGCACGACGGTCGCCATCGCCATCGTCGCCGAAACTTGCGCTCCTTTCACAGTTCTTCCCGCCATCATGAACGAGTATCGTGTCCCGGAAATCAATGTCCAGAATGGTGTTCTCAAGGCTCTTTCCTTCATGTTCGAGGTCTTGAAAATGTCGAAATTATTTTTCATCAAGTTGCGATTTTCAGTACATTGGTGAGATGGCCAAAGATTACATTTACGCGGTGACTCCCCTCCTGATCGACGCCTTGATGGAGAGAGATCAGGTCCACAGGCAAATCGCCATCGACGCTGTTGCTCATCTTTCGCTGGGTTGGTCTGATTTTCCTTTTTAGGAGGAAAAAATAGAAATTAGTTTGAAAAAATTTCTATCTGCTTACAAAAGACCTCAAAGTCAACCTTTTTTTATTTCCTTTTCTTACAAAAGGTAAATCCTGCTGTTAAACAAAAAAACCTAAAACCTGCTGTTAAAAAGTTTAGTGTTCCAAAGTTTTGATTTTATGAATTATCGGGAGAACTTTTGGTCTGGTATAATCACATTTTAATATTCGATTTAATTTGTGCCTTTAAATCTAGAAGAAATCTTCCATTCCACGATTAGGCTGAAGAAGTTGTTGAACTAAATTTTTTTGACACTTAAATTTTTTTGATTTTTTTCCCCCAGTGAGGAGGTGATCGAATGTTGAAAAAAATGTTTCAATTCACTAAAAATAATGCGTTTTTTTCGTTTTTTTAACAGAAATCAAGTGTGCTTTTTTGATCATAACATCTTGTAAAATACATGTAGAAGTCTCTTAAAAAATTTTTTATAACAAGTTTGATGTTTGAATACGTCATCAGAAAGTCTTTTAGTGTCATTTATTCTACATTTCTGAGAAATCTTTTCAACCTTTTTTTTTTGCAGGTGTTTACGGATTTGGTTGTGAAGACGCTCTGATGCACTTGTTGAACTACGTTTGGCCGAATATGCTCGAAAATTCGCCTCATTTGATCCAAAGATGGGTTTTCGCCTGCGAAGGAATGAGAGTATCTCTTGGACCTCTCAAGGTTGATTTTTCTGTTCAAAAGTTGAATTTATGCCCTTTTTCCAGGTGATGCAGTACTGTTTGCAAGCTTTGTGGCATCCTGCTCGGAAAGTCCGAGAACCTGTCTGGAAGGTTTCTATTTCCTTTCTTTCTGTCACTAAGCTCGAATTTGAAGGTCTTCAACAACTTGATACTCGGCTCTGCAGACGCCTTGGTCGCCGGATATCCACGAATCGAAAATACCGACAAAAACGAATATATCCGTTACGAACTTGACTATACTCTGTAAAACCAAAATTTCTTCCCCTCATTTTTGTTTTCTTTCTTTTTTTAAGATCCTCAGATCTCTCCTTGTTTTCATCTTTCTTTTTCTTTCCGTAATTCATCGCGTCTGTTGTAGATCTTAACTTATTCCGAGACAAAGAAATGGTTTTCCCACCTCGACGAGAAAAAAAAGAAAAGAATTCCTCGTCATTGTTCGTTGTTGGATGTTTTGTTTTATAGATAATAACGCGTTTTACATTGAATGGTTAAATAAATATTTTGTCAAACAATTGTTCGAAGCAGCTTTTTTGAATCGTCACTTGTTGATCTCCAATGTGTTACTTAGCTTCTCTTGAGAAGATAGAGAAAGATTGGAAGTGTTTAGAAAGGACTTAATTTGATGAATATCGAAATTTTTCAAAACTTTGTTGAGTTAATCATTTTTGTTTTTCTAACGCTAGAAATGTTTGATGGAATGTGACTTTTTTTCATGCGTAAAAAAATATTTTTGACACGAGTCGAATCGAAAAAAAATGAAATGTTTTCCTATACATCTAGAAAACAGTCTAGAAGAAAATTTCTTGAAAATTATATTTTGAGAAATAATTCCGATGACATTGTATATCGTTTTAAAAATTTCAAAAAGTTTGAAGGCATCGACTAAGGTAAGTTCAAAAAAGTTTCAAGGCGAAGAGCCGTTTTTTTGTTCTTGGGGTTCAGTAGTTTCCCGTCTATTTGTCGAACAAAAAGCTGTTTTCTGGGGTTTCAACCAATGACAAACGGAGGATGAAGTCTTCGGAAGACAGTTTCGCATCCAGAGCTTCTTTGGAGGCTAGGAAAAAATGCGCCCAAGAAGCCCGAATTCTTTTCACCGACGCTTGCCGGATTTGCAATCGGCCGGTTTGGAGAAATTTTTCGGGAAAATCAATTAAATTTTCGATATTTTAGAAGTGCAGCGCCCGTTCCAAACATGCTGTTGTGTTGGTTTGAAAATTCGAATTAATAGAAAAAAGAGGAATTTCAGCCTAAGAAGTTGGAGGGGATTTTCTTGTGCAGGGAATTCATCTCGATCACTTCGCCACAAGCTTCTTTTGACCTGATTTTGCGTGTCAGCGATGTTTCGACCCTCACTGAAAAGGTGAGATCCATTTTCCAGCCTTTGATAACTGAAAAAATACCTTGGCATACGGTAGGGTTCGAAATGTGCACACACCGAAGACGGTTTTTGGGCGATGTCTTTATTAATAACGAGTTTTTTGTACAAAAAAGGACACAGTTTGAGAAAAATACAACTAGAAAATTCAAAGATACATATTTTGTTTTAACAACTATATTTTTACATCTTAACCAACTAATTCAAGTCTAATTTGAGTAATTCGTTCTTTAGTAAGTGAAAAGTCGTATTTTCTATAATTTTTCATCATTAAATGTCGAAAAAAGCCGTTTTGTTTTATTAAATCGAAAAAATGGTCTATTATGGCCAGCGGAGGCGGCGCAGTGGAAACCGAACATGTCCCTGTAGGTCTGAGCTGGAACACGGGAAAAGTCCCAACAACCTGAAAAAGAAAAGTCTAGAGCTCCTTTTGGAGTTCCTAAAAAAGTGACAGAAGTTTCTCGAAATCTCCTTTTTTCACATTTTTCCGCCTCCCACTTTTTTTTTCATAAAAAAAGGTTTCTTTCATGTCCTTCACGTATGAAATGAAATTTGCATAAAGAATCTGGGATTCTTCCAAGGACCCAATACACTGAACGCCTTTTTGTTTCTTTTTTCAATTAGGAGAAAAGACTTCCTGCCACTATCCTATCCAGTTCAGATCAAGAAGATAATTCACTTATTTTTTTGATTTGAAAGAAGATTTAGAGCTGAAGATTTACTCAGAAATCAGTAAAATTTGAAGATCTATAAAGTTCGAAAAAAAGTAGCTCAAAAATTTTTCTTTTTCTTGGAATCTTTTTTAACATAAATTTATGTTTCAAATCTAAAACTTATCGTAATTGTTAATTTTTTTCGATAGTACGTGAGGCCACAATGAATGGGATGCAATAAAATATTTCCAAATTTTTTTCTTTCAAAGTAAGTTTATTTTTAAAAATTCTATGATCTTCTTTTTCAATGATTTCATTTTTTTCGATCATCACGAGAAAAATTTTTTTCGTTAAATTTATATTCGAGACCTTCACTGTTTCATTTTGAAGTTTCTGATAAAGACCCCAACATTGTTTAGGTAGACAGTAAAAAATATAATAATATTTTTGGAACAAAGGCTGTTTGGCTTACAGGAACCGGTCTTAACGGTTCAACAGTCCCTCGTCGGCGAGACTGGTCTCATCCGGAAGAACTTCAAGAATCAGGAAAAAGTGACGATCACCTACAAGTCCGAGGAGGAGGTGGGGATGTACAAAAAGAAAATTAATAACTTCAAAAAAACATTTTTAAAAAAAGCTGTTCTTTTTGGTGATTTCAGGCTTAGCGAAACCTACTACCTTTCCTCAAAAGACTGTTATAGTTATTTACTGCCATATTCGAAGAATTTTCCAGTCCAAATTTTTAAATTGGTTTTGAAAATTAACTTGAATCCAGAACTATGGTAGAAGTTCAAAGAGTTTCTAGAACTTCAGAAACATGAGAATAGGAACAAAAATAACAATTTGAATCCGGTTGAAAAAGCCAAAAAGCTTTCAAAAAAAGTTTGAACTGAACGAATTTAAAGCGTTACCTCTGCGGATGACTTAACGCCTCCGCCTTCTTTGGAACGTCAAGTTCCGACAAAAGAACTTCGAGAACTTCAAATGAAGTTCTCGAAGTTCTGAGATCGAGAGAATTTAAGGTGAGACTCGACAGTATCCAACTCACCTTCAAGGAACTCTACATGAGTCGAGCCGACATGTGGCGCTACAGAAACAAATTGATCGACACCTGTGCTTATCAGGATATTCAGGTAGGGAATTACCTGAGTAATCCGCCTTTTGAAACGAGGAAGAGACATTCAAATCAAGGAGAGTTCAGGAATATGAGAAGCAAAACGATGGATTAGCATATTCAAAGCTCTTCTTTTGTCTTTTGAGAAAGTTTATCTTCAGCCTGTCAAAAACTAGGAAACGGATCTGAAACGGTTTTTTTCTCATTCATTTCTTCTGAAAGAAAACAAAAATCAAAAATTTCATGATATCTTCATTGTTTTTTCGGTTCTTTTTCAAGTATTACATTTTGAGACAGGAAAATTTGATTCATCAAGGACTTTGCAAGATTTTCGGAAGCTTGTTCAATCAAATTTTTCAGTTGCGACACTTTAATATCAATACGAAGATTTCGGATCTTTGGAAAGGTGGAAATTTGGTCAGAAGTGGATATGTTTCCCCGAAAACGCGTGTCGTATTCCGGTCCAGCTCCAGCACGGTTTTTCATTCAAGTTAAGTCAAGTATCGATTTTTGAGTTCTTCAGGTTTTGATATACGTCCAAATGTGCCTGGAAATGTGGCAACTGGACCCTCAAGGCGACTTGTATTACGAGAAATGTGTCAAAGGTACATGGAACTGAAGAAAAATGATCATTTCTCGGTTTTCAAGGATTTCTGAGCGAACTTTTTGAAAGATGGAAAGCCAACACGTGCTCTCATTACGTTTCTATCATTCTCTGCTCTCGATTCTATGCGGTTTCTCTAGATATAATTTATTTTTTTAAAAATACATGAAAAATAAATTTTTAGATGGAAGGAGTTGATAAAAAAAGGTGAAAAGACTTTTGGCTGGATCTTGTGATCATCGAGGTCGATATTATCAGGTTTTGAATAAACCTCCAAAAAGTACATTGAAACATTTTTTCTAGGATTTTTTCAAGCTTTCTGATCCAAAACGAGCATTACGATGATTGGAGTCATGTTTTGGGAAAGGTCAGTTTGAAAATTCGAAAAAATGAGAAATTTTCGTGTTTTTAGAGGTAGGATTAGGAAAGAGATCAATTTCGGCCTGAAGAGACGCCAGAGAAGAAAAGTAATTATTTTTCTCTGGCGTCTCTTCAGTTTCCGTTGTGTTTTTTCGCTCTAGATATTTATCAAAATTTATAAAAATTTCCGATTTTTTGTTTTTGATAAGTCTTGTAAAGAAGTTCGGTTTCAGATCAGACTTCGGTTCAACAGTCATCAGATGGAAATTGAACAATATTTACGCCAAAGTTTTCCAACTGTAACGTGAGGACTCACGAAATCCATCCGATCCAAGATTTCTCCTGTTCAGTTTCGGAATTTCGAGCGCAGCCGACGGCAATTATTTGCAAGCGTTGAACATGAGCATGAACTCGTTCAGCGTCTATCACAATGATCGACGTTTTGAGACCACCGGCCAACAGGTCTGCCTTCCTTTTTTCTTGTTTTTGTCCTTGGTGTAAGCTCTGTCAGTTCATTTCAACACCGGGAAACGGAAAAAGCTCCTTAGAAGGTTCTTTCAAAGAAAGAGCTTCTGAGGGTCCTCATTATAAACTTTGTAAAAGGAACATCAAAATGATAATTTAATCCGAAAAAGTCGGAAATTTTTCTACGAAGGAAACGGAAAGTTCATCGTTGAAAAGTTTGCTAAATTTCAATTCGAACCATCTTGTTTTTGTATAAGTCTATCTATATTTTGAATGTCAAATTGAATGACTTCACTCGAAAACGCTCTCTGATTGGTTTATCACGTCATTAAAGGCGGAGCTTGAGCGCCCGACTTGACGTTCAAAATCTGAACAGACTGTGGTTGTCTTTTTTTAAGATTCTATCCGTTGCAATTTCAAGACGATAAAATCCTAAATTCTTCAGATCATTTTCGTGACTCCTGGAAACGGTGTTCTGCACGTGGATCGGGACCTCGTCAGTCTGACGAAGCAACGTCTGATCGACATGGGAATCTCCTTGGATATGGTCCCTTCCAGCCGATTTCCCCCGGACTTACCAAGACCCCTAGGTGTGTCTCGGAGAACAGCCTCTGCACGCGGTCCCTCTCTTCGTGTTCCACCCCATCATCGGCCATGGCGACGAATGCGACTACTTCATTCCCCACTGGATGAACTATTCCTATTACAAAATGGAGCGTCGCAGTGCAATATCCGTCCAATTTCGGCCGAGAATTCAGCTTCCCAGCGATGTTTTGGTGGGATTTTTTGAAGCTATAGGTGGCATTTTTTTTCGGTTCGACTTGGATTTTCAAAGCTCGAAACACAATTTTTGCTTTGTATTAGCGAATTTTCTCAGCAGTAGCCTTGCAGTCGTTCCAACTGCGACCAAAAATTTTGATTCAAAATGATAGATTTATTAAAAAAATAAAATGAAAAAAACAAATAGTTGAACAATTGCTTCACAATAATTGAAAACATTTTATGAATATTCAGGTTTTTTTTTTTTTCATTTGCCACAGCTCGAAAAATCGGACTTCCCTCTATTTTTTTACAACATTTCCATAATAAACTTCATTTAGCCTTGCCGGTGAGAGAAAAGAGAACGCAGAAATAACAGACCTTTTCAAATGGCGAAAAACGAAGTATATTTTCAAATTTCCTCGAAATTGTGTATTCGTAAGAATCCTAGTGAGAAAAATTTAAAAATTACCCCAGGTAATAAAAAAAAATTTCTTGACCCACTGATATTTTGCAATTTTCCCCAACTATATTTTCTGTACCGGTAGAAGTTTTTTTCAGTCGGCTCAAAAAGGCATGAACATGGAACAACGAATGATTCCACTCAACGAGATCGAAGAATACGACAAAAAGAAGTACGACAGGGTGATCGGACCGGCGATGAATCCGTCCAGAGTCACGGATCCAAAAGCGGAGCCGGCGCTGAGTCGCGTCGACGCCATGCGAAAAGAGCTCAACTTGCCTTTCAATGGACCCATGTTCTCCTCTTTGTACTCCAATGATGGAATCGCACCTTATCAGAGGGTGAGTGAGAGTTGAAGATTTGAAAGATAGAAGGATATCCAGCAATAAAAGAAACCTCGAGTATGGTCCGAAAAGTAACCTAGTAGATACAGCCGTTCTAAATTATATGAGTTAAGATTATTGAGTGCCTTCTCAGGCTGATTTTATAATAAAGAAGTTCATAAGACGACTTTTCCAAAAAAGCTTGGAAACCCGGTGAAAATACGTTACATCGCAAAGTTAAGAGAACGATTTTTCTATCTTCTTATTATTGTTATGTTTGTCAGTTTTCTCCAAAATATTTACAATCTATTGGATAAAGTTCCTCAAGTCACTGCAATCAGAATTCATTCGAAAATAGAAGAGTTAATTTGAAATTTATTATCATTTTAATGCTGGAAGCTTAGAGTAAGGTTTTTAATAGATCAATGTAATCTAGCGCTTGTTTAAAAAAAATCATAATTGGGAACGAAATTTGACGAATAATGAGAAAAACCTGCGCTTTAAAATGTTATAGTCAGTGTGCCACGATTTGAAATTTTACATTCCGCTGTTCCGCTGCGTGCGTTCACGAAGCGTCTTTCGAATCTAGGCAACGTTTTCAATTGATTATTATTGCTGTGAGAGCACATGAAAGTAGAGTACCTTAATGAAAGTAAAAAAAAAAATTAGAGCACGACCAAGGTTCGCAAAGGCGCGCAGCGGCACAGCGGAATGTCGTTTGGTGAAAATTTTTTTTTTCTTTATCTTCAAAGACTCTTTTCTTATTATTCTGCTATTTTTCTATCTTTTTTTCTTAAATTTTTGATACGCCCATAGCTTTTTCACAATTTTTTTGGTTTTTCTCCGAGCTACAGAACCCTGCGATGCTGGCGGTCTGTCTCTGTACATGCGCCTTTAACATAACGGAATGTTTGGTATCAAAAATAAAAGCGCATTCGCGGTCTATTTTAAGACTCGAAACGGCGTTATGTTATTGTTCTACTGTGCTCAGGAATATATTCACTATAATAATTGTATAACATCATATTCTCAATATTTCAACCGACTTGCTAAAAATAAATGCACAGAGACAGGTCGCGCGCTTCGAAAGGGTTCTGTAGCTCAGAGGAAAAAAATCTGGTAACAAGATGGCGCGGAAGGAACTATAAGAGGGAACTTTCCAGTCGGTTTCGGCGCGAGTTGGATCTTTGGACAACAGTGGCAGTGGGTTCAGATCCAGTTCTAGGATCAGCGGCTCTCTGGAACAAGCTCGTTCGTCTTTCTTCCTCGTCGTCTTCATCATCAAAAGCTTGCTTTCAGAATCACTGCAGAGTTCCACGTCGCGTAACGTCAACAAGAATCGGCGTGGAACCGTCGACGTGACTTCTTCTTCTTCCCAGAATCCAACGATCATTGGACAAAGCCTCCAATTGATAAATCCGTTCAGGCCGGAGGATTTTTATGTCAGAATCACGGCGAATCGACGGAGGTGGATCCATGTGTTCCCTGTCGATGAAAAGGCAAGACTTTGGGACATTTTAAGGGAATTTAAAACATTGAATTTTAATCTATACTCTCACCACGACCATATTTTTTCTTTATAAATAACTCCAAAAAGTTTTTATTTTTTTTTTTGCAGTCAATAATTCAGTCAGTTGTCACTCAAAAGGTCGATAGAAGTTCAAAATGAACGAATGAAGCTTTAGGGAAGAGCAAAACTTGCTCATCACTACGTCGCCGGAGAAAGTATCGTCCATGTACGAGTCGGAGAAGAGCCGCCGCCGACCAAGACTTCCGCCATTCCGATCCAACCCATCGGAGCCTCTTTAGGTTGATTCGGCTTGGAAATCATCGAAATTCAGATAGATTTCCAGCTCAATCCATCATAAATGCAGAGTCACCAAATCGGAGGGCCGAATCGCCGATCGTCAATTTCATTGCCGCTCATTCGAGCCCGTGCGACCTCAAACCATTGACGGTATTGAATTATTACTTTTCGAAGTTTTGGCAGTAGGAAACAGCAAAAAAGATTCAGTACCTTAGTTTAATAAAACAAAGAAACGAAGAATAATGACAGCAGGAAGCTTTGAATTTCAAAAAATGATAATCATCGATCTGACAACGATAGAAAAATGAGACACTTTTTCCTCAAATTCCATTTTCGAAGATTCTAACCCTCTTAAGTTCTCGAGTATCAAAGGTCGTGTCGTCCTAGCGTTTTTTATTAGATAAATCTTTTTCAGAATGAAGTGAACTTCACTCAAATTCGGAACTTTCTTTCAAAAACTTTTATAAAACATGCAAAAAAAAAAAACGGAACCTGGTTTCCAGATGCAAGAAGTGATTGAAAGGACGAGTTCGCGCGAAAATGTGATGCAGGAAGAGCTAGAAAGTGAACGGTACAAGAAAAAGACGGTTTGGGCCTGGGGCAGCACCGGAGAGGAGAAATGGAACCGAGATCTGGAGATCGGGACCGATTGGAAGTCTCTTGTTAGGTCCTGAGTTCTTTCTGTGTTTCGCCTCTGACGAGTCAGATTCTTGAGTAAAAGATGAGAGAAAATTTGAAGGAACTATAGAAATGGTCAGAAAACTAGAAGACAGACTTTTTGAAATTTTCTGGCCGTATCAAAATGACTGTAAGCGTTGCGGTTGCGCTGCGGCTCCGGCGAGTAACTTCGAGTTTTTTAATTTCTGTCAGTGCTGACGATTTTGAAATTTTCAGTTTGGCAAAAAAAAACCGCTTCGCAACCGTTTCGCATTGAGCCATTCCTCATGCAGACTCCGGCGATATTCCCATACTTTTCCCAGACAGCCAGAGATATTTTTTCATCGAAATCGGCTATAATGGTTTTTTTTTCTGTCGAAAATTGCTCTGGAACCTTCTCAAAAACATTTACAGTTTTCCAACTTTTTCAAATCTTCAGCTGTTTTCCTTTTAAGATTTACAGCTGTTTTTGTATTCCATCCCGGGCCTATTTTCAAAAAGATCATTTCCAGATCAGCCCTGCTCCCAATAACTACGGACTTTTTCCCAGACAGCCAGAGTATGGACCGGGAATATATGGTCACAGAACACCAGATCTCTGTTGAGGATGACATTGCGGATATGGTAGAAATCCCCTCGAAAAACGATATTCTATCTTACTTTTTCAAAGGAAATCCTGGCCTCTTTTGGCGGTCGAACTCCTCAATTGGCTCGATACGTCTATGAGCAGTTGATTTGTCAGAGACTGCAGCGGGGATTCCAGATCGTCCTTCTGGACAGACAGCTCGTTCATGTTTCACTTCTGTTTCTTGATGAAGCTCAGAACGAAAAGTTCAGGAGTCTATAAGGAAGTCGGTGCAGTTGAACAAAAGAGACGAGGAGGAAAAAGCCGAGTGCGTCTTGTCGTTCAGCAAGGTAAGATCATGAGGATCGAGAAAATAAAAAAGATCTGAAAATGTCATATTTAAAATTTAGATTTTTGATAATGGTAGCACTTAAAATTCAGAAAAAAAAACTCATTGGGGAGAACGTTTGGCCTCACGGAATGAGTATTTCTATGTTTTCAAACTTTATTAGTTACTGCTGAAACGTAGTTCAAACTATCAAAAAAACTTTAATTAAGCTTACGTTTTTTTATTACCTAATTTTTTTAATTCACTTGGAAATTTGCAATTTTGAAAAATATTTGTGAATGCGGAATTAAGAATTTAATATTATTGTGATTGAATAAACGTATTTTTGAAACGTAAGTCAGTCCATCAACGATTTTTCAAGAAAAAAACATTTTTTTAATGTCAAATAATTACTGGAAGTTGTATTTAATTAAATGAAAAAAATTTTCAATGCATCTCGGGAAGTCTGAGAGCATAGTAGCTCTGAGATATTGATGGGATGAATTAGATATTTTTTTGATTTTTGCCTGATCGAATTTTTTTATCATCTTACATTTTTTTAATTTCTTTTTTTGTTAATTAATGAATAGTTTTTTTATATTTTCTACAGGTGAAAAAAATTTCATTAATCGCTCTGACTTGCTGGAGAGAGGTTGAAGATTTTACGAAAAAAACTTTGATAGCTTACAAAAATTAGCATTACAAAAGAGAACTTTTTTAGTTGAGGAACCAATCAGAAGCGTTTAAAAAAAAGTCAAATTTTTTTTAATCAAAAATAGCTGATTGAATGACTTGCAGTTCTACCACCGCATCGTCCTGTACGCCAAGGACATTTTCGTGACGATGTTCCAGCCGAAGCCGAAGAAGCAGCAGTCGATGGCGCTCCGGGGTCTGGCCCCGGTCTACCAGTCGCAGATGGACTGGCCGATGATGTCGACGACCCATCCGGACTGGATGATCCGTCCCTCGCAGCACGGCTCCACCCTCTTCCCGACCCCTTCGGCCAACGCCTACGACGACGAGCTCAACTCTTGTCATTTCAACACTCTCTACACCTACTTCTTCCAGGTTTCAGCATTTGCGTTGGAATATAATTGAAAATTCAGGCTGCTCAGAAGAATTATTGTTTTTGTTCATTTCTAAGTACTTGATTTATATTGAAACGGTCTCCGGGGGTGTGCAATAAAGGGAAAAATTATTTTCCGTCATTTTCCTGGAAATACTTAGAACGCCGGAGTGGTTCCTAAAGAAAAAAAATTTTAAAAGTTTTGGTGGTCCTTATAGGGGAGGCCGAGTGGTCACTAGAGGGGTCTTCCAAGGGCTTCTGAGGTTGCACCTATAGGGAAAACTTCGAAGTTCCCAAGGAGAGAAGGCCTTAAGCTCACTACTAACTCATTATTTTCGTCTTTCTCTGTTTGTAAAAAGATTCAGATAAGGAAGAACAGATTCAAGGGTAAAAGACCAATCGAAGTCATTTTCGAGTTTCAGGAAAATCGCGAAAAATACTTTAATAAAGAAATAAAAAATAAAAACACTTCATTGCACACAGCCTCTGGCTTGTCTGTGCTCTCTTGTTCTCTCACATGGCAAGTCCTTTTTGGGTAGGCTTATGATGTTTCATAATGTTCTCAAAAACGTCTTAAGAGTCTAGAAATCACTTCCCCCTAGTGGCTAATTTCCCAAAACCATCTTCGGAGATGTGAGATTACAAAATACTGTTTGCAGGTCTAATTTTGTGCCAAAGGCATAATTTGAATATTAATATCTGTAAATCTGGACCTTTGCAAATTTCAAAAAGTCGATTAATTGATCATTAAGGATTTTCTGGGAGATATTTAAAAAAAATCAACCCCTCACGAAAATAACCTTTCTTGTAGCGACTAGTCTTCTTTCCGACCGTTTAGGTGAGATACAAGGAGGCGCAAACATGGTTTCAAGTCATTTCGACGAATGTATAAGAATTTTAATCATGTCAAAACGGATAGACTGATTTTTCCAAAATTCTTTTCTTAACTTTTAACCAAAGTTTTTGTTGAGGTCCCGGATGCGGAAGGTTATGAGAAAAGCAGGACGAGGTTCGTTCAATTAAAGATGAAGGGACTAGAAATTTTCCCTTCAGACTGAAGCACCATAACTTGGACAAGTTGAACTGGAGTTTGATGGATATCAATTTGAAGTATCGGAATCAGTCGCTTATGTTCTGCGACGAGATGAAATGCTTTTCGGCCAGGTGGGATTGAAAGGAACTTTGAAAGAGTGCTTAGAAAAACCGATTTTTAAATTTTTAAGTGAGAAATTTTTTTTTAGTACTTTTTTGGACGGTACTGTACCTGATTGATTCAGGTACATGCTCGTGTCCCAAGAAGCCAAAGCCGAATGTCTACGAGCCGGAGGAAAACCCAAGGAAAAGCTTCCTTGCGGACTCGACGCCGACGAAGCTTATTTGGAATCGTTCCAGAAGCTTCTGATGCACATGAACCGTCTTTTCTATCCCGGAAACAGCGTTCATTCTCCCATTTCGCCGCTTCAAAACCAGCCTTTCTCTCCGCCGGCAAAAATCCCCATGGATGATCTCCCTGTATCTCATTTATTCAATACCATGAAAGTCGTTGCTTTTTTGAGGTTCTGAGCAAGTTCCAAGGAACCAATCTCGTAGGTCTCTCGACCGGCGACAGCGGATCTCCCGCCAAATATCCTCCCAAGATGTTCACCTCCTACGATTTCGTCAATTGGCTCGATAGTGAGATTTTCTTCACTTGCTCGAAAATTCGGCAAAGTTGGGGGAAAATAAATCCTATGAAAAACGTGACCAAAAAAAATTTTTTCTTGCAACTAATCTTTTTTTTACCATAGCGCGCATCTGTGCTACAAGAACCGCCTCCTATCTTGGCCGATTTCAATTCAAAGTTTTTCCAAGCTTATTTTTTTCTCAAATTTTTAGCTTAAACAAAAAGTTTTGAATCAATTTCTTTCTTTTTTTGTTTCTGAGGATAGAAACTCGGTTTTTTTACCCATATAGAAACTGTTTTTAGGTGAAAGTTTAAAAAAATTCAGTTATTCTAAATTTTCATCTTTTTCTTTCAAAGAGAAGAAAAAAATTGAAAAATTAGAACTTTCCTGACTTTTTGAGTTTTTATTTTCAAAAGAAGAAGCGTTGTTCTCAAAGAATTCAAAAATAAAAAATCTTACTATTTATTTTTTGAATATTCTCCACTTTTCTTTTCCTTTAGTGGAAAGTTAAGTTACATTTTGAAAGTTTACTTTTTTCCAGCAAACGTAGATGGAGTGACGTCACGAGTCTCTGCGCTGGCCTACGCCAATCATTTTCTCAAATCCGACCTCATTCGCATTGTTCGATTTGGTAATATTATCCTAAAAATCAACCAAAATCATAAATTTCCAGCCGAAAAGTGCGACGACGCAGATTCTTGTCCTTCTGACGATAACGAATCTCCAACGGTGTTTTACGGGTTCCAGTTGTGTTATATTGTCGACAAATCTAAGCCAAACAAAGCTGAATTTTCAAAGTTTCCATGAATATACATTTTTTTAATATATTTTTTTGTTTGAAGGTTCATGAGCGTCGAGTTTGTTGGAGAGGGTTGCAAATCCGCGAATGAATGCACCTTTGTGGAAAGGAATGTCGATATAGATTTTCCGACCGATCGAGAAGCTTATCCTTTGGGCGAATGGGGAAGGGTAGGCGCTAACTTTTTTTTTGTTGTAAATTTAGGCTTCAAAAATGTTTCTTAGGAGTTTTTTTATTAACTATTTCAATGAGAGAAAGAAAAAGCGGCTTCGAAAAAAAGACTGTTTCATTTCCATTTAAAGAGCACAATTTTCATCCCATATTTGTTCCGTTTCTCCTATAAGCATATTTTCTCGGGCATGGGTAACACGAAACGGACGTGTCGCGGCATTTCTAGTTACCACTTGAATAGTTTTAAAACTCTTAAGTGATCCCTAGAAATGCTCAGAATGCTCCGGCTTTCGTTACCGACTTGGAAGAAATAACCCAGGACAAGAAATTATATTACGCTCCATGGATAAAATCCGCGAAATTTTAGTTTGAAATTTTTTCGTTATATAATCCTTATTTGGCCAAGACTTTATTTTTTGATATTCGGCATAATTTTCCAGATAATAACCTTATTAAAAGCTTTCGCATAAGGTTTCCATGCAGCTCAGTAAATAGATTATTTTCGGCCAATAATAACTTATTAGGCTCTTATTTATATAATGTGATTTTATCTTTCCAGAAGCTTCATTCTGTTATTTTAGTCTCGTTTTTTATACCCGAAAATAAATTAAAGATTTTCCCAGGTCGTATATGAAGGTTCCTTCGCGGAATGTAAAGCTTTCGAGTTCAACGTCAAATGGTTCATGGCGACTGGCCAAACCGTGGCTGAAAACATTGCCAGTTGGTATTCCAAGGTTCGTCAATAAAGGTGGAAATACTTAATACCCACAGAAAATCAAAAAAGTCCAACAAAAAATCAAAAGTTTGAAGAATTTTCAAAGCTTCCCTCTCTATTTTTTTTAAAATCTATTGAAGAGGTTTTTGTTAGAACTCTGAGTTAAAATTATTTTCTAGGCTCTCAAGCTCAAATTTTCGCTGTTCGCCGTGCCTGAAGATCCGTTCGCTCTCGCACAAGACACTCTTTCGAATCCTCTGAGGTGTCCAATCAGAATCAACGTTTGCGAGAACGTTTTGAACAAGGATACGGTCTAAAACTTCTGATAATCTGATATATTCCAATAGGAAGCCGCCGCTTTGCAATATATGCTTCTGACGTTGGATTTCATCGAAATGGGCTGTCACTCCCATTCGAGCGATCATCCGACTATCAGTTCTCGTATGGCTAAATCCATTTTTGAAGATTCAATAGAAGTTTTAAGCCTCGAGCAAAACGAACGCGTACATTCACAAGGCGGGCGGAATGTTTGTGCTTCTCGTGACGAATAAAGAAGAACCGCCTTTCTTTTTTTGGGCCTGGAACTTCATGCTCAGCAACAAATATCGGGGGTCAGTTCAACTAGAAACTTCCCTAAATTCAAGGAATTAGATTTTTTTTACTTTGCTTCAAAACAAAAAATAGGTGATAATCGTAGAAAAGTGTTTAAAAAAATGAAAAACGAAAAAAATCAGAGAATTTTTTCGATTCATTTCATTGGGAATGAGATGATCAAAAAAAACACGCACAATTTCTTTGGTTTTCATTCTCCAGTAACCTCAAGCTGAAATTTTCTAATGACTCTCCTGATACATTTCTAACATTCGCTTTTTAGTCAATGTACGGAGGAGTTTTTGGATGCTCAGTTGTCGGCTTTTCGAAGCGCTTGCAACGATGCCGACCGTCTCAGGGATTTCCAAACCAAAGTTTTAGAGAGTCGGTCTGGAAAGCCGACCAAAGGAAAGTAATTTATCTAATTGTAGTTGTATATTTGAACTGTATATATATTGCCTGATTCTTGTTGGAAATGAACATTTGCTCCTTAATTTTTTTTTTCGAAATTGTAGCGTCATTTTCGCGCAGGGTATTTCAAAAATCTTCAAAAGAAATGTTGAAAAAGGCGTAAATTTAGCTTGAAATGAAGTATGGACAACTCGTGATGGGGCCTGCAGGCAGTGGAAAGGTTAAAAAAAAGTTATCCGGAAAAAAAGAGTAAAAAGGTTTTCAGTCGACTTACTGCTCTGTAATCTCGAATCATTGCCAGACGATCGGAAGACAAGTGAGAATGGTGAACCTCGATCCGGCCGCCGAGGCTTTCAATTATCCAACTGTTCTTGGTTTTTTCATATTCGAGATAATTTTGGAGAGTTAGGAATTCCAGATGTTCGAGAACTGATCAGTGTAAATGATGTCCAGGAAGACGAAGAATTGGTTCTTGGACCCAATGGCGCTTTGGTTTTTTGTATGGAGTGGGTTTTTTTGATTTTTGAACGATTTTTCCAAGCTTAAGTCTTAATAAAAATTTTTTTGAAATTGGAACAATAAAAATTTTTTTTTAGTTTTTTTGAGGAGCGATCGAAAGATCAACACAGACTTATAAGGGCGGGGGACGTTTTTTTGAGTGGCTATAAGAAAAAGATTTTTTTGCACCTCTGAACCACTAATTTCTTGATTTTCTGCAAAATCTCGAAAAAATATCCGAGATTTAGATGTTTAGAAAATCAATGCTACAAAAATCTCAAGAAAAGACTTTGGCCAAACTGTAAAAACGAGCAAAATAACTGCTGAAAAGATATTTTTTAAGCCGCTTTTGAGGTTTTTTTTTGAATCGTTTTCAGAACTTGAATTAGCCAATGATGGCTATAATATTTAATATATTATTTTTTTATCCGAAATTAGCAAATTTAATTTAGGTACTTGGTCAAGAACCTGACATGGCTACGAGATGAACTCGACCCGGCTGAAGACGATTATTTCATTTTCGATTGTCCCGGCCAAATCGAATTGTACAGTCATTTGCCGGTCATGCGTCAGATTGTCGACGCTTTGAGGTAGACGAAAAATTAAAAATTTTTTTAAAAAGACCAGAAAATATAGATTTCTTTAAATAACTTCTTTTGAAAAAATATGAAGGTTTTATGAGCTTTTTTGAATTTTTGAGACGCTTGAATACATCTAAATAATTTTGCATCCGAACTTTTCCGAAATTATGCCGTGTCTAAAATAATGCAGCGAAATTCAAAACAGTCGTCAGAGAAAGGAAAAGATAACTAAAATTTGGAGAGTCAGAGATAGTTTGGAATTTCTTAGAAAGTACTTTGAACACGGCGTTATCCAGTTTTTTTTTTTTGGTCAAAATCTGATTTTCTTCAGATCTTGGGATTTCAATATATGTTCAGTCTTCCTCATTGATACACATTTTGTTCTGGAAGCTGAAAAGTGAGCTTTTAAGCTTTCCTAACCCTTGAAATATTTTTATTTCTAAGATTTATCGCCGGAGCTCTGACAGCCCTTTCTGCGATGGTAGCCATAGAATCGCCTGCCGTCAATGTTTTGACCAAAATGGACCTTTTGTCGGAGAGAAATAAGCAGTTGGTCGACGATTTCCTCGAAACCGACACTCGAAGCATCGTCGAAATGGGTTCCGAGGCGGCTCAGTGGAACGAAAGACACAGGGCGCTCACTCGAACCATTGCACAGGTACTTGAAATCTCACGAAAATAAGAAAAATATTCTTTTCCATCAAATTAAGCCGTTCTTTAATTTAAATTGTTTCGCATTCGGATACGAATCAAAAAAGGCTTTAGTGAGGTCTTATAAACCTTTGTCGTAACATTTTTCTCATTTATATCTGGAAATATGATACAATTTCTAGCCTGGAGAGTTTAAATAACCTCGAAACTTTTTTCAATTTTTCCTGGCTGGGTCAGCTCAACGATGTTAAAAAGGATAATCCTGACACTCGAAAAAAGTCATTTATAGTTTCTGATTCATTTTGAAGATCCTTGAAGATGAGGTTGGAAAAGTTTAATTATTTTGAACGAACGCTACGAAACAGTGATAATATTTTTTTATTCACTAGTTAAGTTACTGTCAATTAAACATATTGAATTAAGAATTTATGAGGAAGTTTTTATCAGGTTCTGGAAGACTATTCGATCGTCAAGTTTATCCCTTTGAATTGCGAAGAAGAGGAAAGTATTGATCAACTGTTACTTACCATTGACACGACAATTCAGTATGGCGAGGACCTTGAGGTTCAGTTTTCTATGAAAAAAAAGAGAAAAAAAAAGTTTTTCAGACGAAAGACCGATACCCCGATGAAATGGATCCCGATGAGTAATCTTCCAAAAAATATTTTTGTGCATATTACATTTTGTTATCACTTATTGTTATCTTTTCCTTTTTTTCTCGGAATAAATTACTTTGTTCTTTGAATTTTGAAAAATTTACATCTAGGTGCTTAATTTTTGCACTATCGTATTTAATTTCTTCCAATTCTGCACTGGGGTTTTTTTGAGGGCAAAATGATCGGGATCTTAGAGAGAAGAGTAGTTTTTTCTCGAAATTCTTGGCTTTTACAGTTTAAAAAATCACATCAATGATTTTTGAACCAACTTTGAATGCAAAAAATTAGCCGTTTGAAAGTTTTACAAAGAAATTTTTCTCCACCTCCCAGTGAACTCGAGTTTTTTTTAAGTAATCGTGAGTTTGAAAATTTTCAAGATGAGCGAAGCCGCGGAGGAAGCGGAATCCGCGGTCGATAAAGAGACTGAAGAGGATCTTCCCAATGATGAGCCCATGGATCTGAGTCAACCTTCCATAAAAACTGAGCCCGACCCGGAAACGGCCGTCGAAGTGAAGCCATTGCTTCTGGAGGACGACGAAGCGAGCAACGACACGATCAGATCGCAGGAAACCCAGAGCTCTCATGAAACTCTCTCCTCGGTTTTTCTCATCAGAATTATTTTTGAATAATTTTTCTGGGTCAGACAAGTTCGATCAACGGCGAGGAGGCTGAAATCAAGAAAGAAGTTCTGGAAGAAGATTTCGTCGAGGTCAAACAGGATGGGATCACTGAGGAAACAGCCAAGGAGAACGGTATATAATTCTTGGAAAGGAAATTTTTTTGAATCAACATTTTTTTCTTTTTTTATATTCTTTTGAAAATAATTCTAAATGAGAATATGACCTGAAAATGAGGTTTTATAAGCTGTTTCTAAAGCTATTTTTGAAAGTTTTTGAGGAGCTCTGCAAAAAGCCGCTCAAATTTGAATAAAAATCGATTCCTTCAGTATGAATCGCTCCTGTTTTTCTGAAAAACCTATTAAATTTCCACGAAATAATTTCTGAGCCCAAACATGGATTTTTTAAGTTTTCCGCACTTCATTTGAGCCGAAGGTCTTTTCAGAGGTACTCAAGGTGGCGCCGCCAAGAAAGAAGCGCGCCCCAGTCCGGAATTCGATCATTTGTCAATTTCTCGAGGCGGTTGAAGACCCAGTACCGGTACCTACATTGAAAGAAAAAAAAAGAAGCGTAGAAAATAATTTCCAGTGCAAGCAAAGAGCAATTCTCGGCTTCAAATTTTGTATCCGGCATATTTTGCGCGATCCCACGGCGCCTTACATTCAGTGTGAACATCATCGGAAACCGAAAAGTAGGATTTTTTTTGAAAAAATATCAAACGGAACATTTTTTCAGACAAAAAAGACCTGGCTACGAGATGTACGAATGCGATTCGAGTGAATCCAGACGTCGACCAAGAAAAGTTCTGCAGCACTCATTTGATCATGAATGGATTGAAGGTGAAAATTGGGTATCGAGAGTTTTGGAACAGATTTTTTGAAATAATTATTATTTTCTGACAGAGAAGGGTTTTTTTTTAATATACGGTAGATCTTGCAGGCGTTCATTCAGAGGTATTCTGATCCAAAATTATAAAAATATTTTACAATTTCGATTTTAACCGGGGTAAGGCGCTGACAAATGCTAGAAGATTTCTTTTTTTCTTCATGAAAAAAAAATGCTCTACTGAAAAGAGAAATGCTTTTTTAATTTAAGAAGAAATTTTTTTCAAGTTTTATCGAAAAATGCTCATGAAAAATCACCCAGTCTTTCCATTTTCCAGGAAGCCAAAAGGAAAAACTCGGTGGTCGTTCCTGCTGACACTCAATCTGATTCACGAGTGCCTTCACCGAGTTCGAGCAACGATTCTCAGCCGAGTTCTCGAGCGCCGTCACCCGTACCGAAGGAGCCTGAGTCGATAGAGACTCAAGAGCCGAAGGAAACGAAAGAATCGAAAGAGCTCAAAGAGCCCAAAGAACCGAAGATCGTTGCTGCTCCTTCTGCGAGGGAGCTCGACCTCGAGGAGGACGCCCTGCCGCCCATCACCATTCCGCCGCTGACGCTCAAGCCAGTGACTCCGGTCGCAGAGGCTGTGCCGCCGAAGCCGCTCTCTTCCAGTACGTTCATTACAGTTTATAATTATTATCGATATCTTATTCTTAATTCCTGCTTGAAGTCCGTTTTCAACCTACCTCTAAACGTTCATGGTACGAACTCTTCTTGTCATCAAAAAAGGTATGAAACGGTCAGAACTTCAGCAAAGTTTCGAATAATTTCACTCTCAAATTTTTGACGACGTAGATGAAGAACATCTGTCCAATAAATATAATCGATTATGTCTGTTTTATTTTTTGAAAACAAAATCTTCACGCTAGTGGTTCCGACTGTTGGTTTTCGGATCCTTATTTTGAAAAAAAGAATACCAAGACTATGAGCTTCAGCAATAAACTTGAGTCTTTAAAAGAGTTTCAGCCAAGTTTGGCCGTTTTTGTTCAAAGTTATGCAAAAGAAATTCTAAAGATATCCATTCCCAGAAGAAATGGCTGCAACTCCTTTCCTACGGAAAGAGATCATGAGACGACTACATCGTCTCCACCAAAGAAGACTACCGATCAACCCGAAGACCAGAATGCCGCTCAGCATCCGGGAGAAACAGGCGATTGTGATGCGTGGCCTGCAGCACATGATCCGTCTGAGGCCGTCTGCCCTCGCCTCCAGACTTCGCAAAAAGTCCAATGTGAATATCAAGAAGAACTTCTCGTGGACCTTATTTCCTTCCAGGTCTGCGTCTCTCCACAAATCCTGACTTATTGGAGAAAATACGTGGCCAGAAGGATGAGGATGATCCAAAATGCGCGGATGCCCTTCAAACGGATACTCACACAGCCCCTCTTGGCCCAGAAAATCGCCAAGGCGGGCGTCGCCAGGAGTTTGGTCCAGAGACATGTACTCTATCATCTGCGGAATAAGGTGAGGTTCAAGGTAAGGCTCCAAGAAACTTTCTAAAAAGTTCAATTGAAAAAAAAAAACAGAACCGAAAAATAGCCTTCAAAAAGTCTTTTGAGCCTGTTTTCTCGATTAAAAAAATTTTTTTTTTTTGGGTTGCTTTTTCCATGAAATTAATAGGATTGAGAATGTTAAAATCAATTTTAAATTAATAGAAATTTGAAGCGGTTATCTTAAAAATTCTAGAGTTTTCAGCCACTGGCATCTTTTGCACCGCCTCTGCCATCTGGACCCAAAAAAGTCCCCACAGGATTTCCAGCCACCGTAATTCAATGTACACTCTCAGAAAATAGAAAACTTTCGAGGTTCAGAACGTGATCAAACTGAATCAGAAGCAGCAGCCGCGGAAAATGGTCGGACAATACAGAGCGATTCCAGCTGTCGACGAGATTTGTCTGACTATGGAAGATCTGGATTATGACAAAACCGACATGTTTCCTTTCGGTTTGAAAGAAATCGTTGGATTTCGGAAGAGAAATGTTCATTTCAGGCCTCGAACCGTCTGATGATGAAGATCCTTTCGAAGATCCAGTTCTGCAGCCGTCCGTCTCGATAGACGTCAAACAAGAGGAAATCAAAATGGAGGTGTTCATGGCGAGAAGGCAACTGAGGATGGAGAGGAAGTTTTTGGTCAAAGAGGTTTTCTTTCCCGTTTTGACGAAAAAAAGATAACGAAGATGCATTAGGCACCCCTGAATGCTCCTTTGATGTTTGCCGCGAAGAAATACCCGATGTCAGTCGGAGCCGCTCTTGTCCAGAGAAATTCCTTCGAGCCCCCCTTGCCGTTCAAGAGGCCTCCATGTGGCCTCAGAAGATGTTACTTTCTGGGCCCCAACAATACGAGGTGATTCGGATTGAAATCATTCGACACTTCAATAAGAAGAGATAAACTTTGGCACAAAGTCGCAATTTTTTTTTTGACAGATTTTGCCTAGAAAAATAGTTATTTAATTTTTTTTTCCTATATGAAATGATAATGAAAAGAATAAGTAAACTTAGAAAACTTTTAGTTGTCCTTAAGCATTTCTTATTATTGGTTATTGCCATTTCAGAATAGAAGTTTGTCAATGCAACTTTCAGAATTTGAAAAAATGATCTACGAAACCGTAAAACCATTCTCAAAAAAAAAAAAATTTTGATATTAGTATCAGATGCGTTTTTGCACCAAAAATCTTGGTATTTTTCTCTAGGTGTGACCGGACGTGTCTTCCCGATGCGAATCACTGCGTCGAGCACATTCTCATCAACGTCGATCAGAAACTGTTCTCATATTGTATGCAATCAGGATGTCGTCGGCCAGTGAACGCCATCGACTATATTTTATGGGATGGAAAATGCGAAAGGCACAGAAAGTCTCGAGAGGAGAAATATGGTATCTATCTAGAGCTGATCAGCTTTTGAAAACGCTTTTCCAGGTGAGTTCCCGGTCTATGACGACGACGCGAGCAATATGGACGTGAAGTTGGACGGCTACTGGGGTCGAGATGGAGTGGAAGAAGACGACAGCGACGAGGACGAAGAAGAAGGAGACGAGCTTGGAGACGTCGAAGACAATGATGAAGACGAAGAGGACGAAGAGTTGAGCGATGAAGCTGGTGGTAGCGAAGAAGAGAGATCCGAAGGCAGCGACGTCGACGACGAGCAAGAGGTGGACTTGAGAAGAAGTCCGCAATTTCAAAATGTCAAATTTAGGACGAAGAAGATATGGAAGGGCATGAAGGAGACGAAGACCTTGATGAAGAGGAAGAGGTCGAAGAAGAAGATGAAGAGGAAGAAGAAGCTGAGAAAGTGGAGGACGAGGATTCCGACAACGGCGACCCGCCAATATGACCCTATGTTTATATCCCAATTTATCGTTTTTACGGTTTTAAAAAGATCTCACTAATATTTGAAGCTTTACTTTTTCTTGTTGAATGGTTCTTGTCAAATAATCAGTGGAAAGTTAGTATTTATGAATTTATGAAAGTTAATTTAACACCCGTGTTGAACGCGTATCGCAATAAAGGCGTGAGTATCTCTCAGCTGCACATCGGACAGACGTGTAAGCTTTCGTGGAGTAGAAGGTCGCAATCGAAGCAGAAGAACGAGGTGCATTTCAAGCATTGGTAGGCCTCCGACTCTAGGAATTGCTCACAGGCCGCGCATTCTCTATAAAAAAAATTTGAAAAGGAAAATTTTTATTTTTTAGCTGCGATCTTCGTGTAATTTTAAAATTACTTCCTATTATTGATTTTTAAAACTGACATTATTAAATTTCATTCAAGTTTTTTCTCTTTTTTTTCCCCGATTTTACTAAATCAGTTCTAAAAGCTTTTTAATGCTCAATAGAAAATCGTTCTTGAAACAATTTTCACACTCCCTATCCTGTCTTTTTCCTTTCTTGATCTCAATGCCTTTCATTTATCTTTCTAATTTGAGGCAAAATTTTAAAAAAGGAAAGAGGTTTTCCTGAATAATTCAATTCTTCGAAAGTAACCCACTCATTGGACACCGCGACGTGCTGGAAAGGAGTCAGAGGCAAGAGATGTCTGAAGGCCCTGGCGAGCTGAGGCGCGGCGACCAGCGTCAGCCGACAAACCGGGCATTCTGAAGGCAGCGAGCAATGCCGGACGCCGCACTGCTCGCAGATGAAGCCTCGGTCAGAGAGTGGACCCGATTCGGAATGGCTGTAGAAGAATATGAGGACGTGTGCAAGGAGTACGGAATCACCATATGCAGAATGACCGCGCGGTGATCTTCTGGTGAGGAGGGAAGCCGACTCGGATCGCATTGCATTCGGCGGATCTTATTGTTGTCGGAGGGACGGTGTGCTTGGCGAACAGCGTGAACATGTGGTCGCCGTCCAGCGCCACTGAGAAGTCGCCTGAAGAACGAAAAATGCTGTGACGTCATTTTCAGATGCTTCAAGTCCAAGGACGGGTGAACACTTTACAAGGAAGGCAATTTTACTCTGAAGTTTGAAATACTATAAAAATTGGCTTGAAACTCTCAAAAAACTACATTAAACAGGAAAAAAAAAATTAATTTCAACTACAAGTCGCATGGAAAAATATTCAAGGTTAGCTGTCAGTTAATGAATAACCTTTGGTCATTTGAGCGAGCTGTTTGCACACGAACATCTCTGCTGCAAGGCCAATCACTGAAGATCGAATGTTCAGAGATTTCAGCACCTAAATACAAATTTTGATTTCAATTCCTTCAAACTGTATGCCCATCAGAGGCGAGCTACTAACCTCGATAGTGGTGAAAATATTTCCTGGATCAATTGTAGTAAGACTTCCCATAATGACAATAATCTCCCGAGATACATGACCAGGCAAGTCCCTGAAAATCTTTTCATTATCAAAATTGTCTCAATATTGCTCCACCGAAGATTTGAACAAGCCAATTGCAAAGAGTTTTGCAGAGAAAAGTCACCACCGCAGAACATTTCGTTCAAAGTCCCCAAAGAATCTTTCAAATTTCGAATATTACCTGAAATATTACTTTGAAAGCAGAAAAATATGATTTCCTACCTGTTAAAGCTGCAAGACGTTCTGCTTTCTTGTCTTTGCAGGTGATGAATCCAATTTGCGCGATAGGGTTCTGCTCGAAAAACTTTTCCAAAAACGCCAGTAGAACCTGTCTTTTCTTAATCAATTCTCAAGTTTCAGAAGCCTCAGTACCTTCAAAGTAGCTGCAAATCTTGAGGGCGGCATAGCCTTATTTGTCATAAATCGAGAACAGTCTATGACAATCATCACATGACGCATCTAAACCGATTTCCCGTCTTTTTGTTGCTTGAGCCTGAGTCAAAACTCACAATTCCTAACCGAATTTTCGTTGGTTTTGCAACACCTCGCAATTTTTTCTTCGAATCGGCAACATAACGTGCAATAGATTTTTCAATGGATCCTCCTTCATCTTCTACCAGCACTTCTCCGATATTCAAACCTTGAAAAATTAAATTAAAAAAAGGTTTCAAATTTTTGCGAGAAGCAACCTTCGGCGTACCCGGTTTCCCAAGTGTAACCTTTCTGCTCGTCGTCGTCCATTATCTTCAAAAAAAAAGCTTCTTGAAAATATTGAGAGTCTTTCTTAACACGGAAAAAGTTTTAAATCAGAATTCCCTAATTTGCAACTTAAATGCTGAAAAAGTACTACAACAAGTATTTTTGCTACACTTTTTTCCAAAAAAAAATATAGTAACTTTCACATTATCGAGGAAAAAAAAGAGAAAAAAAGAATTTGAATGAATATATTCAAATATTAATATTTAAAGTTTCAAATTTTGAAATTAAAAAAAAGAAAATATATATCTTACTTGCGAGGATAGTTCGCCCCATATAACAACTACGTTGCTTTCGGCCCCTAGAGTGCTTCAAATCTTCATTTTATTTATAATAATTTTTTTGCTCCTTTTTTTCAGTTGAAGAAGCTCAGTGTTATGCTGTAAACGATTTTGATTGTGAGAGAATTATATGGATAGTTCAGGGAGAGCGAGAATTTCACTTCTCACGCAAAAAACCGCAAATGGTTTCATTATTTTCAGATAGTTTATGTCTGAGGGAGTGGACCCCTTGCAGCGCGCGACATCAAGTTCCGTCAACAAAGTAGGTCTTTTTGAAAGTTTTCAGAATATAACTATCTATTGCAGATAGATCTCTTGTCGAAAGAAGATGTCGTAAAGTTCGCAAAGAAGCAAGTTACTCACATAGGGGAACTCAAATCAAGGAATGCGACGTTAGAAAATAACTTGGTTCGTTTTTCAAAGTTGAATTGTTTTTTCTACTTATATTTTTCAGAAGAATGCACGTGCGGAGGTATCTACCGCGAACGAGGAAATAGAATTGTTGAGAACTGTCAATGAAAAACTAACACAGGACTTGGCCGCCAGAAGCACTGATCCAGTAAGCAGCTTTTCTTTTGAATAATAATTAGTTTTTTTCGTTTTTCAAAACCATACGGTCACGCAAAGACTTTAGTGTCCTTTTAGTAAAATAATAATCTGTTTTTTTTATCACATTTAGATATTATTTTTTAATGAAAGTTGGATAGAATTTAGGATTTCGAACAGAATAAAGGCGAAACAGAAGAGAAATTGGCGAGAGAAAGCACAGCCAATGCCGAAGTGCTGGGCTTAGAAATAAAAGATTTGGAATCAAAGGTCAGTCTACTCTTGTTCATGATACTCCAACTTCGTTGTCAGGTAGACCATTTGAACCGAGCTCTGAGAGAAAAAATCGAAGCCGTCGTAAGAGCGCAAGAAGTTATAGCCGAAAGCGACAACACCATCATAGAACTGAGGTTTTTATTTTATACTTTGCAGAATAGTTTTGAAACCATTTTTACTGTACTATTTTGTTTGAGAGGTCTGATTAATTATTTAACTTTGATATATGCGACTGAACATCATTGCTTTAGCGAAAAGCACATATTTGGTCTTTTCAGACGTTCGAAAACAAAGGCAGAGACAGAGCGTGAAGAATTTGAGAAACGCTGTGCACGGTTCACAGAAGAATTAAACGGTGAGAGAAATTTCAATTAACTATTCCATGTTTTTTGTCGTCAGAGTTTTGTAATTTCTTTTCATCGTTTTTTTTTGGAAATTCGGGAAATTTCGAGTTCCATTCTTTAATTTTCAGAAGAGAGAAAACTCACCAAAGATCTCACTTCCCGACTAGAAACGGCGGAAAATAAACGTGTTGTGTCACAGGAAAAGCGAGACACCGAAACGATAGCTCTCGCTAGGAGATTGGCCGAAAGCGAACAAAGAACTCGCACGTTCGTGCTTTTTTGTCTTTTTCACCTGTTAATTATCAACTTTGCAGTCTGGAAGATGTTGTCGAGGCTTTGAGAGAAGACAACTTGAAGTTGACCGCAGATTATCACGATTCGAAGGCTCGAATCGCTCACATCGAGTCCGACTACAACTCTTATAAGGTTTCTTTTATTTCGTTTTGGAACAGCTACGATTTTTCTGTTCTGTTGTGAATCGCGTAATTTTAATAATTTCAGAGCAAAGTCACCTTTATCCTCGAACAGAACGAGAATCAACAAAAAGAAAAAAATGAAGCGGAAAAAACGAATGTTGAAGAGTTGCGCAAACTGCAAGAGGACCTCAACCAGGCCCAAGCAGAAATCTTGAAAATGAAGTTGGGTTTATCGATTCATTCTCATGGAATTGTGTTTTTTGAGAAGCAAGGAAGAGTCCGCGACGGAGGAACTTTTGAACGTGAAATCCCGTTTTGAACAACTCACTCAGAAAATTCAAGATTTGCAGCAGGATAACTTACAAATGAGGACGGCTCATATGGACGAGTTAGTGAACTTTTCTTTTCTTATTCCGAATAACTGAGTTAAAGTCTTTCTAAATGTTTAAACGTTTGTAAAAGTTAAAGTTTATTCATATTCACAAGTGAGAAAGGTGGCGAAACTTAGAAGGACAAAGTTAGATGTTTAAAAAAGGGTTGAAGTGATTTTTCTGAGAACTTTTTGAATATAGGCTGTTCTAGTAAAAATTGAATTTTCGATCATTTAATAGGGGCTTCTGGTTTTTTATTCTTTTTTTTTTCTGCGTACTCGGACCTCGGCAACGCAAACCTTTTTTTTTGAACATCTGAGAATTGAAGATCCTTGGTTAACTTTGATGAATTCCATCTTCTTGTAGCATAATTCGCATTCAACAAAGTTCTGCTGACGCTGTCCAGAAGGCTGACCGAGAAAGATGCGATGCGCTCTCCAAACTCGAAGACGTCAATAATCAACTCAAACTTCTTGCTTCAGCAAAACAAAAAGTATATTTTTCTGATCTTCTTCCTGAATTTTTTTTTTGCAGTTGGAGCTGCATTCGACATCAGAAGTTGAGAGAGAAAAAGCCTCGGCAGCGTCAGTTGCGAAAAAGGTATCCTTCTGTTATTTTAAAACGAATTCATGTTCCAAACAGTTGGAAGAAGCTTTATCGCGAGTTTCGCTGCTGGAAGAGGAAATCCTCGCTGCGAAGCAAACGACAAAAGGACACGTCCAGCAGAAACTCGTGGTCGCCGTCAGTCCTCTGGAACAAATTGGGAAAATTGGCGCCTTGAAATCGACAATGGCAGGTCCAGTGACATCTTCGGTCTCTGTCGCCAGTGAACCAACTCAGGTTTTGAGAGTTCTTCCAATTTATTCGGAAGGAAAATTATTAGACTCTCTTTCAAACTATTGTTCAGGGGGATGTGTCTCTTGAAAAGGTCTTGTTTGGCGATGATGACGACGATTTCAATACAAATTCAGGTACGAGGTTAAACTCATTCAGTTTACAAAAAACCCGCTTCTATAGGGCCCGAAAAAAGGGTCCCTATAGGGGCTTAGGGTCTGACCCCTTAGCCCCTAAAAATCAAGTGACCCCTCCTTTCTTGAGTTTTTCGCGTGGAAATGCTTTCTCTCATGGAGATTAGAACAATAATCGACTAGCATGGTTTCTATAGCGGCCAAATTATTTTCTTATGTTTTTTCATGCAAAAATTGAAAAATTTACAGACATCGGAAGAGACGATTCAGTCGAATGGCAAAGAGAGAAGATGCAAGAAGAAATCGAAAATCTGAAGCATTCGAGCGCACACATGAGAGAATTGCTCAACGATCTGGAGACTTCGAATAGATGTCTTCTGGAACAGGTCTGCTGATGAAACTTATTGGAAAAAAAAAATCGAATTCCAGAATGACTTTTTGAAAAACGAAATAAGAAGAGCAGAACGAGAAGAAGAAAGGAAGAACGAGCTGTCGGACAGCAGAAATATGGAATACTTGAAAAATGTGTTTGTAAATTTCCTGACGCCTCGAGAACGGCTCGACGGCGAACACGAGCAGCTCATCGTCGTCCTAGAAAGAATATTGCACCTTTCCCCCGTAGAAGCGAATGTCGTCAGGACGGCCGCCGGTGTGCTCAGCCACGACGAGAGAAGTCCGACGACTTCGGCAAACGCGACATGGGGATCTTACTTTACGGGCTGGACCAGCAATTAATAACACTTATTGATCTTTCTTCTCAATTGGTTTTTAAGGCTTTTCTCATTATAATAAATCTTTATTTGTTCTTTCCACGTGTTTGCGTTGCTCATTTTCATCAAGGTTGATAAGAAGTCTGAGTTTTTCAGTTTCCCAAGAAGTTCTACTTTTTCATCACATTTTATTCGAAAAGAAATTGATTAAAATACTCTGAAATTTGATAGAGTGGGTAATTTCATATTTCAATAGGGCGAACTTTATGAAATAAAGATTTGATTTTTAAAAAAAGATGAAAAAAACGAAGATTTTTTTGAAAAAGTATTTCACGGTTTTTATCCAATCAAAAAGAGGCTCACGAATCAGAGTCATATTTTTTTTACTTAATAATTTTTTTTATTGACAGATCAGCGTGAACCCTAACGAGTTCACTTGGATCTAGAATTTGAGAAAATACATTATACAGTTATACATCATTTGAGTCGTGGAGGAATAGACAAGAAGATCTCGTGCAATGGTAGATTGACCAGTAAATTTTTTTAAAGACTTGGAGTGGCGGCTGAATTGAAATTTGGAAGTTAGTACTTATGATAAATTTAAATTTTTAAATGAAATTAAGAAGTGTATTTTAATGAAATTCAATCGAACTTTTCGGAAAAACTTGAGGAAAAAGTTTGGGTGCGCAGAATTGCTCCGTTGCTAATTATACTGTTGCCACTGGCCCCTAGAGCGATCTAAAAACTTCTTTCAAATTTCAAAAAAATATTTTTTTCAGAAAAGTTTTTTTCTTTTGCACGTTCATAAAGATGTTTTATAAATCAGTTTTTTTCTCTCGCAATTTAGGTAAAACTAAATTAAACTTCTTATGGTAAAAGTTTGATATTTCGTGTTTAATTTTTCTTTTATTTTCTACAATTAACATCTTTCAAACGACCTCTTTGAAGTAATATTTCGATGAAAAAGAAAATTTAAAGTCTTTTGATAATCTCCTTCAAACTTTCTCAGTCTGTCGTCATAAACGTTTTTTTTACTCCTGTGACATTTCATTTATTGTAAAGCTATAATTTTACAGCGTTTCATCATATTTATGTTGTTCAGATGCAATGTTACTTAGTGCCGGCCGTCGCATAGTGTTTATTCAAAGAAGACTTCTTACCAATCAGCAGAAATTTTTACCAAACCGGGAAAGGATTATCTATAAAACAAGAGGGGAGGCTGTCAGAGACTTCTTCAAAGTATCTGGATTCAATTTATCATGGCAGCTTCTTCTAGCGGTTGTCATAGTGTCAGTTTACCCTTTCATCTTAAAATTTATTATTCATTCCAGTGAATTCGGCTTTCCGACGCCCGATATCGTTTATGATATTAAACGCGTGATCTCCCCAGATTTCGATTTGTACTGCAGATCGGGAAACCTTGTTGATTTCCAATTAGACTTTGAAAATAGGTTACGAGCGGTGAAAAAGGAAGAAGTTCGGAGTTTTGAGCAATCAGATAATGCGAAAAACCCAGCCGCTAAGTTTGGCGGCATTATTTAGTCATAATCAGTCTTTCACTCAGATTGTTATATAGGAGTTATTACTGTTGTTGATCTTTTTTGTTGCTAGATGTTCAGATAAAAAGTTTGGCATTTCATTCTTTCTTAGTTTTTTTTGTCGGTAATCTGCCGTTGATTTTTCTGATTCTAAATGTGATTAATGATATTTCTATTTTTAAAGTCTAGAAAACTGGAAATGTCAAACGAGAAAAACGAAACATCGAATGGATCAAAGGCGAAAAAGGTTTTTAATAATATCGAAAACTTGTTCACTAATTGATATTTAAATTTAAGAACGCTCCTGCGACGAATACAGTGGCGAATGTGAACGATTTGGCGCCTGTAAAGCCTCTTGGGAAACCGACAGAAGGCGAGGTCAAGCCTCTCGGAGCGCCTATCAAAACGCCTCAGAAAACGGTAAGAGATCTGTTTTAGAAATTTTCCAAGTTTTTTTTTCAGGGTACTGGGGTCCGTCGCCCGAAATATGCTCAAAACCTGGTTATTGAAAAATTATGTTTTATTCTTTTTAAGTAGAATCGTTTAGAAGAAGATTGACTTCACTGAGGATCCTGTGATGGGAGATCAATTCGAGGCTTTCGGCACTCCTGAGAAATCTTTGAACGATGATTCTCCAGCAAAAGCCCACAATAATAACAATAACAACAACAAAAAACCACGTTATTACCAAAATCGTCGGTTTTATAAAAAACCGGCCGTTCGTAAAGAGCTTCCAATTCCTGAAGTGGTGAGATCGAAATTTTTGAGACTCAAAACAAAAAAAAACTTTCAGCTGGCGATTCCCGACGAAGTTGAATGCCAAGAATACCAAGTCTCCGATGAAAATATTGTATGTTACAACGGCCAAAGCCATTTTCTCAGTAGTCTTTTTTCGGTAATGGTTATGAATTGGTCATTAAATGTACTATTTTTTCAGTCTCCGATATCGATTGACGGACATGAGTACACGTCGGTCGAACATTATTACCAAGCTTGTAAGCTGTTTACTCTTGCCGGACAAGACGTTGCAGCGCAAACAAAAACTGTCTTTTTTTTCATAATTTTCAAAGTTTTATCCAAGTTTTTAGGCGAAAACTCCATTTGAAGTGAAAAAGCTAGCTAAACGATTGCTTCAAAACGCTGTTCAAAGTGAAAAGGTACTCTTCATTCTTTTTTCTTACTTTTATTTCGTTTCTCTACAGATTGATGAGTGGAAGCGGACTGAGGCGTTTACGGTGTTGAAACATGCTACCTATCAGAAGTTCGCTCAGAATCAAGAGTTGAAAGATAAACTTCTTGAAACTGGAAACAAAATTCTGGTTCATTCCTATGGAGGGTAACAGAAATATGTTCGAAAAATGGTACGTTTATTGCTTCAGAGACACCCATTTTGCTGCTGGAGAAGATCAAAAAGGCGTCAGTGAATGGGTGAAGAAGAATGAAGGAACGACGATCAAGGTTATTTGAATAAAAAAACAGATATACATAAAAAGAAAGGTTCCAGGTTCCACGAAAAGCTACAGCTGACGACGTGAAATATTTCCCACTGATCGGTAGAGGAAAGAATGTTCTCGGTTTCATCACAATGCAGGTTTGAGAATTCCTTTAATTTCCTTTCCAAAATGAAGTTTTGAGGTTCGCGAAGACCTTTTGGCCATTTCCGAGGAGAAAGAATAATTATTTTCCAAAGAACTTCTTCAATCTCAAGATGTGATCCCCTTTCCGTTGATTTCTTCAATTTTTTGAGAAACATAATTTATTGGCAAGACACACTCTTGTGTATTTCCATTGCTGGTATTTGAACCTTTTCTAAATCTTGTTGATGTTGTTGCTAACCTGTCGAATCGAATCTTTGCACATTGTTTTTTTGTTTTTTTATTTAATAATTATCAAATTTTTTTAATAAATTTTTTTATTCACATGATTTGTTACAAATTGTTTTTCACTTTGGTAAGACAGTTTTTTTGCTGTGAATTATATGCCTTTTTTTATTTCTTTTTCAGTTTGTGAGGTTAAAAAGTTAATGCTTCTAGTTGAAAAATTGTCCTTCCATCTTTTTCACATTTATAATTTTTTTACTATTCAGCGCCAAAGTTTAGAAATAATTAATTCACGTATTAAAAAAATCAAGTATTTTTCTGTCAAACTCCAAGTGAAATTGGAATTTTTTTCCAATAAAAAAACTGTCTATAGTACTGAATTTCATCAAAAAACTATCTCTGAACTTTTTTAAAGTAAGATTTTATAAGAGTTCATTATTTTCTCGTTGTCAATATGTTTATGAATTTTTCCAGAAAGAAATAACCCGATTGCCACGAAAAATGGACCATCACAAAACAAAGTAAGAAACGAAAGAAGAAAAAATATAAAACTTGGGAATCTGCAGCAGGAAACGGCCGAACAATGAGCGAGTGTCGGCCAGCGAAATCAAGCTGTTCATCTGCTTCATCTGCGGCGAGCAGTACACGAACGCCCCCGAGTACCAACGTCATCTCCTCATTCCGCATCAAGCTTTCGCCCTCTGCTACCAGATGTACAACTCTCAGATGGTTTGAGATCATTTTCCAGTTCTCATTTTGATCTAATTCTTCATAAGCACAGTTTTTGAGTCTCGGGCCCCTTTTCCAAAAATTATGATTATAATTTAAGAAGCTTTTAGCGAAACCTTTTCAGCTCCTTCTGAGGGTCCTCAAAAGACATTTTTCTTTTCGCCTATGATGGTATATTTCTGTGAAGGTCCCAAAGACCTGAAAGAGAAGTGAGAACTTCCCAAAAAATTGACTAAAGCTATCTCCTACTCAACTTTGCCAGTGTTTATTTTCACGTTTCAGTCGATTTTTTCTGGATATTTCGTTCAAAAAACTTGTTCTATTGAACTCTTTTACACACAAAAGAAATTTTGAAAAAGAAAGTAGTATTTGTTGAGCTGTAGAGGGGCAAAAGGCATTTTTTGAGATATTTGAGAGGATTTCTGATTTTTGAGATAAAAAAGTGTTTAACAAAGATAAAAAGTATGTATATTGCCGAGATAATGATATTTTCAACATTGAGGAAATTTTTTGAACGCAAGCTGCCAAAAACATTAAATCGAAAAATGTAAAGTTTAAAAACCGATGTATTTCAGAAAAGTAAAAGAAAGAGTCGATCTGTCGGCGAAACGAAGAAAACTGTAGAAAAGGTGCCGAAGACCGAAAAATTGCAAAAGACAAGTTCTCACCGGGAAGAAGAAACAAAAAGAAAGAGTTAGTTGAGAATTTGAAAAGAAGATAGAATTTTTGAGTTTTTCGAAGGTTCATTAACAGCGAAAATGTCGACGGAATCGGCTCCTGCTCGAGTTTCTCACGCCGAAAATTCTCCCCGTATCTCCTCGTCCGATAATAGTTCTGGTGATAAATCATTGTATGTTAACTTAGGAGAACTATTTTCAGCTTCTTCTCCAAGTGTTCAGAACAGATCCCACACTGGAAACGTCTGCCGGATCTGTGCCTTGAGATTCCCGAAATTCAGTTCCTTAGTGCGGCATTGTCAGCTTTTTTCTACTTTTTTTTTCCTGAGAGTGTATTTTTTAGTGGTTTCCAATCACCACGTGACTATCTCCAACATCTTCATGCACTTGTTCAAAGGAAACGATCACTTGGTTCGGAAAACGAGCCCGGCCGGTTCGGAATGTCCTCCGTGTAGCTTGAGATTCGTCAATAAGACAGAGTTGGTCTTTTTTGAATATAAAGAGTTTTGACTGAATTTAAAATAATTAGGAATGTTGAGAATTTTCCCACCAAAAAAGAGAGTTTAAAAAACGACATTCCTTCAAAATCTCAGTGGGTTATAGTCCTCCAAAGCTTTCGAAAAATCAAAGTTTTGCTTGAGAGACCGTAATTTTTAGTCAAAATTAACTGTTTTCAGCCGCGAGCTTTTTTCAACTCTCCAAAATGCTCAAAAAAAATCATGAACCTTGAACTCGTTGATAACGATATTTTGGATGATAAATTCGAAATTTGTTTACATTCTACCCCGATTTGTAATCATTTGATTGTCATCATGTTTTAATTTTTCAGATACTACGAACATTTATTAGCCAAACACGTGCCTGACATTTTCTTCACTCTCCTCGAAAAGTTTCATTTTAAAAGTTCACTAGAGCTATTCAGTTTTTCAGGTACACAACAATCGATAGTGTGAAGCCGGAAGTATTTTTCAAATCGCAACAAGGCGAAGAATTCGTCGAGACTTTCAAAATGCATATCAGCGAAATGACATAATCTTTCTTTGGATCTTGTGCCTTTTTTCATAAAATATCTTCACTTTCTGTTTTTCTTTGGTCTTTCTTGTTTGATCAACTTGATACCTTACATAATCTTTCTATGGTCTTTCACTAGAATGATTGAAGATTCTTCGCTCATTTTTCAGAACGGTCTCTTCCATGTCAAAGACCTTTGGTAAAATATGTGTCCAATTTTATTTGTTACCTGAATTTTTGAGGGAAGGAAGATATCGGCGTTACGAAGTTAGGAAAAGTCGACGATCCCAAAAAAGTCACCAAGGAAGAATGGAAGAAGGTTTTACCCAAGGACGCTTTTGAGGTTCTGAGGGAGTCCGGTTAGTCGAAACTCTGAAGAAATTTAAGGGACTTTCGATTGTTAAGGAACGGAACCAGCTGGATCCGGAGCTTTCGACAAACATTTCGAAAAAGGCCGCTACGTGTGCTTGTGCTGTGGCGCCGAACTCTTCAAGTCTGATAGGAACTCAATCTTCGAGAAAAATGACTTGAGTTCAGCTCGGACTCAAAGTATTGGTCGGGTTGTGGCTGGCCGGCGTTTTCCAAGTCGGTTGGAGAAGACATGAACATCGTCAGAATCAAGGACAACTCCTATGGAATGGAACGGACCGAAGTCCGGTGTAAAAAGGTGTGTCCCATTGAAAGGTTGATGGAAAATGGGCTGAGGGAACGTGGTTTAGAAAAAGACTTGCTGAGATTAACACCAAAAGTTAAAATCCTCACTTCTCTTATTAGTTCAGTTTTTTTACTTATAATTTTTTTCCATGAACATCAATTTCAGATCTTTGAGAACATTTTTTCTAAAAGTTTCAGACCTTCGTAGAAGTTCTTTTTAAACTTATTTTTGGTAGGTATTGGGAAGTAAATTTGATGTTTGAGTGTAATTTAGCTTTCCTAAGGTCGGAACGTAGATAATCTCAACGCGCTCTAGAAAAAAGTTTTGTGGATTTTATTAAACTTCGTGTTTTTTTTATCACTTTTTAACTCAATTTTAAGAAGGAATACAGGATCATCAACAAAGAAAAAAATATGGAAGATGAGAAAAATTTCACAATTTCTGAAATATTCATTTTTTTAGCAGGGACGATACACTTGTAGAGTTGATATGATTGAAGTTCTAGAAAATAACTTTATGTTCAATTTTTCTCATCTACCAAACAGAAATAAAAGAGAAAAGTAGGTTGATTTGATGATAAATTAGAGGAAAATCTTATTTTTTTGACGTTCAATGAGGGCATTGCCGGAACTGGTTATGAACATGAACGGGGGAAAATAAAAAGGGGATGAATTATGAAAGTCGTTAACAGGCTTGTTTCTCATCCATCTGAAATATTATTTCAAGATTCTTTTGGAAACCTGTAACTTTAGTGTGTTCACAACAGCTTTCTTATTTTTTTTAAGACTCATCGGCGAAAATAATTTCTTAGGGTTGATGGAAAAAAACGATTGTGTGAACGATAACGTCTTGAATTGTCTGTCGATTTCATGGATCAGAGCTGTAGGAGAAGGTTCTCAGTCATTTCCTTGATCTCCTTGACGTTCCTGGATGACGCTGATGAAGATGTTGTTTAGTGCGACGCCCATCTCGGCCATGTTTTTGACGACGGACCCAAGGAAACCGGCGAACGCTACTGCATCAACAGCGTCTGCATGGCTTTCGAGCCGAAAACCGAATAAACAGCAATTTTTCCCCATGAGTCACGGTCTCGAACGAAACTTCTTCACTTAACTGCTACTAATACATTGTAACGATAATAAACTGTGAATAGTGATGGCTGTACAATAGAAGGACAGGTTGCGCAAGTTCACGACCCCAATTAGAGAAGGAAACTCGGTTCAGATGTTCTTTTCTTCCCCCTTCCGAAATTGCAATAAGTCGACGAGTTTTGGAATGCGCGGGATAAGTTTTTACTGTGGCTGGGGGCGACCTAGTGATAATGCACCAGGGCCTGGTATCACCAGCCGGCCTTGACATGGTTTCCTGAGTCTGTTCGCCGACGACCTGCAAATCCATCAACGGCCGCTCTTCACAACTTTTGTTTCAGATTGTTTCCGTTACTCGATCCCCGCTTTACTTTTTATGTTCTGTGGCTAGCTAGAGTCCTCATTTCTTGATAGTCCTAGAAGTAAATGAGCTATTCGTCTCATAATTTGATTCTTTTTTCTTTTTGAGGAGATTATTCAGCAATTTTTTCGGCAAGAGATAATGAAGAATTTTCAAAAAAATCTCCAAAAACTGATGAGAACTTAGGTTATTAAAATATTCCTTGTCAAGCTTTTTCAAAATGTTTAGTTGATATTTTCGTAAGACTTTTTAATTCACTATGGGAGAAGATTCTATCTTCTTGATCCGAATTGAAATGGTAGAAGTTTGGAAAGTGAGTCAAAAAATGGGATTCATGATTCTTTCTATAACAAATGGAGCCTCTGAAATTTTTGTAGCTGTCAAAACTACAATTGATTTATTTTTTTCGTCGCATATCAGTTAATTTCAGACTTTTTCTCTTATTGTTTTTTTCAAAACTATTTTTCTCCGAACACGGTGAAATTTGTCCAGGAGTCAAAAATTTTTCTCCTGAGCACCTAAATATTTTTTTGGCAATTCTTGAATGATTATTTTATGAAAAAAAGATTAGCTGACAGCTTTTTCAGATGTTTTTAGAAAACAATTTTCTCATTGAAACTTTCGCCATAAATTTAATGAGTGAAAACTATGAAGAAAACAGTTTAATAAACTTTTTACCGGAATCATGAAAATAATTTTTCAAATTTAAAATCTTCCATAAAAAAAAGGATTAAGCATGAACTTTGCTCTCCAGCTTTCTCCCTTGAACCTGAGACGTCTTCATTTGGAGTCAAGGGCGGACCTCCCGAAGCAGATCTGCCTGTTCGTCACTCTCCAGGGGTTGCGCTGGAGGCAAAACTGGATATCGGATCCTCCTCCCACAGCACTTTTTACTTTCAAACTCTATTTTCGATTGGAATCGTATTCGCGCGGCCGCGCCCCTCAGGCTATCCGTTCGTCTTCAAGTCATTTAAACGTTCTTTTTTTTCCCTTTTCATTTTTTGGAATTTCTTGTCATCCGTTAACCTCATTTTTGACTCGATTAGGACTTCTCAAGTTGCCTAATTTCGGTTTTTTTATCTTCAGAGGTTCTTTTTTTCGAATGGTTGAGGAAATCGTTCATTTTGAAAATTGCAATTTTTCCAGTAACTTAAATGTTTTGGTTTTTCCTTCTTTCTCTCAAAATTAAGAAAAAAATTTGATTTGACAAGTTCCTTTTTCGAATTTCTTGAATGTGTCAACAAAAAAAAATGCTTGTCAAGATGCTTGGACTTGACATAAATTCTTTCCTTTTTACTTAATTCCAATAAGTGAAAAACGAATGACTTTTCTCTCACTTACTTTGGGTTTTCAGACTATTTGCAGAGAAAAACCCAATTCAAACTAGTTTGATCAATTATTTTGGCGAAGATAAAAGCAATTAGCAATAAATTTGCTTCTGTAGTCTCTGGAGGTGTTCACCCAAAAGACATCAAACAGGTAAACCGTTTATCCCAACCAATTTTTTTTCCTTACGAGTTTCGCCGACATTTTCAATCTTCTTCTTTTATTCTTTTTAATGAGAAAGTTAAGGATTGATCCCAGATATATTGCAACTTTTGATTGAACCGGTTTTCTCCACTTTCAAGATTGAAACCAACGATAACTTTGAATTGGGAACCCAGGCGTGAAATCGCTTCAAAGCTGTAAAAGCTGAATTCGGAAGAAAAACGGCTTTTTCCGATCCACAAACTATGGTTTTTTTAAACTCAAAACTCAAGCTATTAAATTCTAAAAGGGTGTAACCAGTTAAAATTAGGAAAAGGGATTTTTCATCAGCTAACTGCTGCAGCTCTGAAATTAATATACAGCTTCTCAGTGTGTCAAAAAAAATAACGTCATTTTACTTTTAGGTTTGGAGTTTGGCCAAAAAATATTTGACCAGAATATTTCTAAACGTATTTCAGAAATTCTAGAAGATCTCAACCTACACAACTTTCTGGTCCTCCAGAAAGGACAACTCGAACTCAAAGAAAACCCTAAAAATCCGCTGAAGAGACCATTTTGGGGCTTTGAGTCCTTATTTCTCGAAAATTAGGAAGTTGTGCAGGTTTAGACTTCCTGGATCTTTACCAAGGAGTATTATGGCCAGTTTTTGAGGAATTCCCAACCGCAAATTGAAATGACCTCCCTTGTGAGGAAGATCAATCTACATTTTTGAGCTTTCAAATATTCAATGTTTCCATTTATTACGAATACTCTACCAACAGAAGAAAAGAGCTTTTGAGGATAGGATCCGTCTAGGTTTTCAAATGTCCAATTTGAGAATTTTAGCTCTAGAACCGGTGCAAGCCTTTGTTCTGAACAAACCAACAGCAGGGAAGAATTTTTGACGAGCTCGAAGATTAATTGGCAGCTTGTCAGTCTTGTCAGGGATCCCAGACAAGGCCAATCTAGGTTAGCGTGTTGTTTCTGTCGTCGCCGTGCCCCGGTATTACTCGATCCAGCCCCCCGACCTTTTTCTTTCCTTTTTCCGCCGCCGACGCCAGCCGCCTCCGATTCCGTTTCTCTCTTGAAATATGTACTTACCTACTTTCAGATTTCACCCCCACTGAAGTGGCTGCTTAAGGCTTTTCGCGCATTTCGACACATTTCTTGTCCTTCAAGGTTCGTCTAATTATTCCGTTTTTCCTCACTTTTTCCTGCGCTGTTTCAATTACGTCTAAGATTACAGAGAAAAAAAAAGATTGCCGTTTTTTGTTCCAAATGATCTGTTAAATGATTGTGATTTTAAGGATAATTTTTTGAGATGAAGATCTCAAAACTTATGATTTTATTTCTTACGTCATTAAATAAACTCTTTAAAAATAAATTTTTCGAAATTTTTCCAATTTTTTTACAAGTCTCAAAAAAATCTACTTTCAAACTGTCATCTTCCTGAATATAAAAAAAGTAAAAAAATCAAAGTTTTCATCTAATCTCTACTGAAGATATTTTGCAGATATTTCTTATGTATTTTTCTCTTTTTATCTATAGGAAAAATCTATTTTTCACTTTTCGTATCTGTTTTTCTTAGTAAAAGTGATATTTTTCAAACTCGGATTCTAATTTTCAAAGAAAATATTTGATGAAAAGCTTCCAAATGAATCTACCTATGCACATTTTTTTAACCAAAAAGAAATTATTCTCATTTTATTTGTTAGGATAAAGTCAAATAAAAAAACGTGGCTAGAACTTATAAAAAAAGTTTTTTTAAATAAAATCTTGGTGATGTCAAAAAAACATAAGATTGAAAGCCGTACTCTTTTTGTGTAAAGGCTCTCATTTATTTAGTGTCGAGTCGAACCTGATTTTTCCATCCATAAAAAAACAGCAATATGACACCGGCATTCAGATGAGGTGGCGGGGGACCGTGCTCCTGCTTCTGGCGGCGCTGACGTCGCTGGCGCAGTCCCAATGCCCAGCCAACACGTTCACCTGCGCCGACGGCTCCTGCATCCCGTCGGATTGGCGAGGCGACGGCGAGAAGGACTGCGAGGACGGCTCCGACGAGACCGGCGGCGCCACCGCGGAACTTCCTTTCGATGAAGTCGTCCTCTCCACTCCTGCAACTGCCGGTTTCTCACTTCTTTCATTTGCCAAGGATTCAAATAGTTCAGTTGCGAAATTTTTGAAGATTTCACCAGTCTAAAATATTTTAAGAGCCGATTAGGAGTTTTTTCAAAGATTCTGATTTTTTTCAATCGTTTTTTTGAAGTTATTGATTTTAACGACGACCTAGATATTTTTCGCATTTTATGTTTATAACTTAAATTTCTTACCGGGTTTTTTTCACTGGTTTATTTATTTATTCGAGGTTATTCAGATATAGGTGGGGTTTGTGAAAACGAGACATTTGTACCTTCTGAAGATAAATTTGATAAAAAGGGAACTTTTTTTTTGTTTGAGACTGGAGGTTTTCATAAAATTATTTTTTGTAAGCACAAAGTTTCATCTAAAAAAAATTTTAAAAAAGGTTATCAGTTGCCTTTTTTCAATGTTATTCTAGAAGTTCCGCCATAATTCCATTATTTTCGCGGTTATTGCCGTTAGTCGAGTCGAAGGATTGATCCAACCGTTCTGTTTCTCGCAGCTAACCCCGACGCCCGCAAATGTATTCTTCTTTTCGCATTATACCTAACCAAAACCGCCCGATCGCCCCCCGCGCGCGCGAGAGTCGTATAGTCGGCTTCCAGCGGATTTTTCCGTTTCCTCCGGCTAAATGCAAATGGGCTGGATCTTCGGTCTGACTGTTTGCACGTTGTTTCTAACCGGAAAAAGCTGACAAAAAATGGAATGTTGTATGAAGAAATGTAAGAGTGTATCTCCTGACTCATCGCGGGTCAATAGGTTAATCACAAGTACTTTTTGTGAAGCGAAATTTAAAATCTGCATAATCTGGTTTTGAAGGAAGTTTTCAATGGGAAAATTATCTTTTTTTTCGTTTTTGAAAGTTCCCTCGATAAGCTCCGATAAGCTCTAGTGTCCCGAATGTTTCATCAATCGAGAAAACTCGAAAAAAAAAAATTTTTTTTAAAAAGAAATTATCTCTCGACTTGATGTAGGTATCCGAAATTATTGCTTCAGCATTGTTTCAAACCTGCAGGTTCTGATTTTGAATGAACTCTTTAACGGAAAAGTCATCTAAGTTATCTTAGTAGTTTTTTTTCAATTTAGCTCCATAGGCTTCTCTGTATATGTAGTCTGTTCGGCACAACTTGAAAAGGTCTGATTTCTCTGCGCCCTCTTCTTCTCTCGACGGAGTTCTCGTTGTGACTTGCTATTTTCATTTTTTCTGACCTCGCCGATGAGGGAAACGAAAGACGCAGACAGGCAGAAAGTTTTGAGTCGCGGCGGCTTTTTCCTATAAAGGATGTTTTTCCAACAGGGAAACTTGAAAAAAAATTCCTTTTTTGTGTAAAAAAATTTTGTCTTCCTTGAAAAAAAGATCCTATAAATCTCAATCTGTCTAACTTTCTAGTTTTTGAGAAATGACGTCTCAAAGAAAGGATACCTTAAAAAAGGGCTTTTTCGAGGCTTTGAGCCCTTATTTCTAGAAAAATAAGAAGTGGGAAGGTTGAGACTTTCATACCCTTAACACGATACATCGAGGAGTGTTATGGACAAATTTCAGAAAATTCAGAGAGAAATTACCTTCCTTATTGGATCTCTTTCGAAAAGCTTTATTTCAGAATCGCCGTCTTCTGAAGAGGAAACGACGACGACGACAGCTACCGCGACCGACGACGGAGACTGCAAATACGTCGACCAGCAGAAGATCGACGGCTGTTCCGAAAGAACTATTTCCTTCCTTCACGACATCGAACAGCTCTCGATGCGCAACTCCAGCCTCCTTTGGCATGAGCAGTTGTGAGTTCGAATTCAGATACTATCTGTATAGAAAACCTTGAATCATGAATTCTCGTTTAATAATATTATTTATTTTCGGGCTCTTCCTTGAGTACATCCCCCTTTGTTCAATTCATTCAAGTAGAAACTTTTCTCGACATTTCTCAAGCTTGTGAACAATGCTAGTTGAAACTTCAGAACTTTCAAACTCATGTTGAAACTGTAAACCTTTGATTTTCTTGTGTTTTCACTCATTTTGATAGTATTTTTTGTAGTTTCGTGACTTAAGCTTGACTTTTCTGAAGCCATGGTTAGAGATCTCAAATCTGTGGGAAAATCTTCAAACGAGGGCTTTCTTATTCCAGAATCTCTGTTTTTTCACGGACTCGTTCATTTCCAACGAACACTGTAGCGTTTTTCCTTTTCTGGACGACCTTCCGTCGAATATCACAAGAGGAAAGTTGCAGACAGGCGCAGATCGAACGCGGCTGCAACCTGACCAACGAGTATGCCGACTGCGTCCGGGGCACGTCTTCCGAAACGTGCATGCCCGATGAAGGCGTCAGGTCTTGGCGCGAGGTACAGATTCTGTTTTTTCGACGAGGCTTCTAATTTTATTCATGGGCCTTCGGAGAGAAAAGTTCAACGAAACTCAGAAATCGAAAAAGTCGTTGGCAGCTTTTTGGCTAAAATTTGAGTCGTGTTTTTAATCATCAAATCATTTATTTTGTTGTTTTAGTCTGATGTAATCGACTAGGCGGTGAACAAGAACTTTAAAAGCTATAACGAACAACCGCCTTTGGCGAACTATAAGTCCAAACGTGTAGTCGAAAGAGTTGAAAGCATGGTCTTACGGTCCTTCGCCTCGTCCTTCTGCGCGTAGTCCATCCAGTTGCGCCTTGACGAGCTCAGAATGTAGTGGATGGTGTAGCTGGAGCCCGGAGACCGTGTTCTAGGTGGAAGCCTCAGAATGAGAGCGACCACTTCGAATGAAGATTTTACACGGAATAAAAAAATTGATTTATGTAAATTTTGCGAACCTCGAATTTTTTGACCTTCTTCAAGAACGTTTATTGCTTTTTTTGAAGCTATTATTCATTCACTCAATACATTTTATTTTTGTAAAAGTTATATTGAGTATCCAAAAAAAAAAACTCATTGATTTTTGAAGTTCACTCGATGGTTTTCTTTTTGTTTCAGTCGTAGCCAGAATCGCCTAGTTTTTAGAAAGAAAAAAGCTTTTTAGCTGCACTAACGACCGTCTTTGGCGAACTGGAAGTCCAAATGCGAAGTTTAAAGCATATTCTTACGATCTCCTTTTTTTTTTTCCTGGCATTAGTTCAACCAGAACCGCCATAAAAGATGTTTGACATCAGTTTGGGGATCGTGGAACTTCACGTAAAACTTTAAAAAAAAAACAAGACCTGCCATTTCAATGAAACTCTTATCGGATATGATTTTATTAAATTTTCAATTTTTTTTGGAAGTTAGTAGTAATTTCATATTCTCGATCGATTTTGATACTCAAAAAAATTAATCTTTGAGAGTTTTTTTACACAAAAATACTTCCTTTTTGAGTCATAATATTTTACAAAAAAGTTCAGAAAGCTTAGTCATAAGCAAGTCTGAAAAAACACGTCATTATTCCAAACAATGGCGTCATTTAACAGCTGACACACATATTTCGTGTGCGGAACCAGACTTCCCGCAGGTTTTCGCGTTCCGATTGACCTCACCGTTTTTGGTGGCCACTGATTCAGCCGCTCTTTTTTGGGCCGATAAAATTGGGCGTTGTCGGCTGGTTTTTTGGATAATTTCTTTTACAAAGGATTAGGGCGACTTTTTGGGGAACGGACGATTAAAAAATAAGTTTATGATATGCCAGAAAAGTTTTGGAGCCTTTGTTTGAGCGTGGCTTTCAAAAAAAGCAAAAAAAGTTTATTATATCAAACTAATTCAAAAGAAGTAAAGAAAACTCCAAGTTTTTGCAAAAAAGTTTTTCTTTTGATTTTCTATATTTTTTTCTTCTTGAAATTCCCTTAATTGGGTTCGTTTATTAACATTTTATTGAAGTCTGCGAAGGCACGGGATCTTTAAAAATAAAACTAGACTTTGAAAAAAAAGCTTTCAAAAACGATAATTTAAGTTTTTATTGACTCATGGCTCGTTATTAAATGAAAAATTTCAGATAATACACATTTTTTGTTGAAAATCAAGCCTCTGAACGGCAATAGTTTTTTTTCAAACGTTCTTGGGTTAACCCACATTTTCCATTGTTCAAAACCAAAATAACACTGAAAAAAGAGCATTTTTGGCGGTTGGTGTGAATGAGAGGCATTGGAAGGCAGCCAACCAGAAAGAATTAGGGCATGACCGGCAATCTTGGCGCCGTTGTCAACACTTCCGAACGGATATTATCAGACGATCGGATCTTGTTGATCGTTTTGAATCGTTTTGAATCGAGTAAACCGTTTCGTTCGACGGTGGAACGGGGTGAAATTGAACGAATGAATAAATAAATAAACAGGAAGAGAGATTCGGTTCCAGGTGGAGATGTTCGTCTGTCAGCTGCTTCTGCCAACCGCCAGGGAACATTCCAAGTGCTTCAACTCTCTCAAGGCCTCTCCTTGTGCTAATCGGTTCGTTCCGACCTTTTTCCATAGATGTAAATCGAGAGAAGAGCGGAATAACAATGAATTTTCGAATGAACTGGAAGAGAAAAATGGCTGGAAATGTCTCAAAAGACCAATTTTCAGTTGTTCTAGGGGCTCCGAGACTTTCCATCATACTCAAAGAAAGGGAATTATCAGATATGTAGAACACCAATAACGTAATAAAACTTCATATTAATCTTATTTTTCGAAATTTTGAAAGCGCTATACGATTTTTTCAGGTCCAACCAAAAGTCCTCAACCCTGTGCCGATTGATCAACTCGGCGCGCAGCGATGTCGAATGCCTCCAATCGACAAAGCCAGCGGATTGTTCCGAAGAAGCGTTGGAGATGTTGGCGCCGATCCACGAAGAAGCCGTGCACGTCGTCGAAGCCATCAGATGCCAAGTGACATCGATATCTGTTGTTCCGATGACCTTGAAGGCTTTCAGGGTGAGCCGGAAGCGCCTCAAGTCGTCGACGACACCGCCGAGGCCTCCACGGAGACGACCACCGTTGAAGGAGCAGAAGATGAAGACAAGCCGGTAGTTCACTTTTTCAGAACTTAAGAAAGACCGGAAAAGTTCAGGAGCTCACGATCAACATGGCCGACGCCGTCAACTCTCTCTACTACATCTACGACATTTGCTCTTCTAACTATTCTGGAAACGCCTTCGCCAGCATCGCCGGTGCGATTTGCGCCAGGCAGGACGATATCGCGAAACACTCTGATTGTTACCAGAAGACGTTGGAGAAGGAGAAATGCGCCGTTCGGGTGGGTTTCTGAAGAATTAATGAAGCTGTGAAGTTCAGAAAAATGTCCGAAAAGCTTATTTTGAGCGCATGAAAAGCTAAGATTGAAGTTTTAAATTTCTTTAGAACGCTTCGACGTCCTGCGAAGCTCTCTCCACGTTCAACAACAACCTCGACTGCGCCATCGTCACGATGAACGACGAATGCTCCGTCGATGCTCAGAATCTGGTCGTCGAGCTGCAAGAAGACATCAACGACATCATCATCAAGCAGAAGTGCTTCGACGACGCCGCCGAGGAGAAGGAAGCCGCCAAGTCTGGAGGCGACGACAAAGACTTCAAGTTGAACCCGACTCTGCCCAAGTGCAAGGAGGAGCAGGTTCCGACTCTGCTCCGGCTTGCAAAAATAAAAAGGTTTCCAGGAGAACGCCGCACTTGGATGTTTGGTCGAGCTGGTCGAGATCAACAAGAAGCTGTCCCAATTCCACAACCTCAACTTCTTGCTTGAAGTATACCTTTGATAAATGAGTTGAGGAGACATCGAATTTTCAGCTGGCCAGTCCAAATTCCACAGTTGTCGATGGCGTCTGTGAGCTGTTCGGAAAGTACGAACAGTGTCTTCAGACCAGCGTTTTCAGCGCAGGACAAAGATGCTCCTTCGCCTCGCCTTTGAACTCCTTGGCCAGGTGAATATTGGCAGCTTCTTAATTTCCATCTATTTTTTAAAACTTTTTTGAGCCAGAAAAATAAGAGTTTTTTTCAGAATTGGCCTGGCTCCGATCTGCTCCCTCGATTCGAGGCCGATGCTCTCCCGTCACAGAAGTTGCCTCAAGGATTTGGCCGACCAGACCACCAAGTCAACCGATTGTCAATCTGGACTCGCCGAACTTTCTGGATCCGTCCAGATGATGCTCCAAGTGAGAATTTTTAATGATCTTCTAGGAAAATACCAACAAAAAAAACCAGCAAATTTGAAACTTCTTCTCATTACCATGATTCCACTAACTGCAAAGAAAATTATTCTTTCTTAACATGAACGGGAAAACTCTAGGGATCACTAAAGAGGTTCCTTAAAGACTACTTGGAAAGGACACTAGAATGACCATTAAAACCACCTCTATAAAAGCCACTTTTTTCCCTTTTTAGTGGCCACTATATTAGTTTTTCGTGATCTAGTCGTACCACTTAGACTTCTAAAGAGGCCTCAAAATTTAAGCCACTTAATAGACCACTAATTCGACTTCTTGAAACGTCAAAGTCCTAAAGTGGCCACTCGAACTTTCCCAGTGTGTTTCGTGAAAAATGACATTATTGCACAAACCGCCTTGCATTTTTTTTTTAAGTCTTTCATAAAAATATTCTTTCTGACTGATTATCATTTTCTCGCTTCAAATTTCAGCTTGACTATCCCCTTCTCCTAGGAACTTCCATTGATAAAGCCTCTTCACTAATATATATTTATCAGGGAATCCACGGCGAAGCCCTTCTCTGCAAATCCTTCTACGTGATTCGTGAAGCGTTCTCTTGCGGCGAACGCGCGATCCAAGAGAAATGCGGGACCGACGCGCTCAACGACCTCCTGCTGCTCAAGACCAAGGTTCGGAGGCCGAAGTTGGACTCGAACAGTGGAGGCTTAAGATGACGGCTCTCGGAGAAGAGGAGGGATGCCCGCGGGAGAAGCCGGCCAATCTCGAGGAGATCATCGCCCGTCCCGTCGTCCGACAGCCCGTCACTCTTCCGCCGAGGTTTTTTTCTTTCGAATACTTTACGTTTTCTGAAGCAAATAGTCAGATTTTTTCAATTAGGGAGGTTTAAGTTCGTATAGGGAATTTTTTTTAATTAACAGATGCACCCAATAATTTTTCACTGAACCTTGTTTTGTCAACGGTATACCGTATACTAATAAACAACACTTATAAATAACGTATTCAATTTATTTCATTTAAAAATATCCTTCCAACAGTTCCTGTATAAAAATATGTTTCATAACATTTCTATATTGAGTTTATTATTGTTTATTTTTTTGGTTTTTTTGATCGCCCGTGTGTTTTTGAAAAGAAAAAAACTAGCTCTTCCCTGAAATTAACGAACAATATGAAAAAACATTTTATTTTCGTTTTTTATTTTGAGTCCTGACTAAAAGCCGATGTTTATAGATTTTTCAAGATTTATTTTATCCAAACCTCTTTTTCAGAGACGCTGTCGACCGAGCTCCAACAGCTCACGGCCTCAGACCTACTCCAGCTCCCCCTGTACCGATCCCAGCTCCAACCCCAGCTGTCAACAAGGCTTGCACCGCCGAACAGCAAAATTTGTGAGATTTCCAGAACAAATCATGATAAAACTCGAAATTTGCAGATTCGAGGATTGCGTCCGACCTTTGACGGCTTTCCAGCCCCATCCTCTGTCAGTTATTGCGGTCCCTCGCGATATCGATCAGGCTTGCGAGGCTTTTGCCACCTTCAAGGTTCAAAAAGGAGAAAATTATGAAGAAACTTGGTACTTTGTAGAAATGCACAGCGGAGAATGAATGCCATCCTCTCTGGGCCAAAGGAATGGGAGCCATGTTCGAGTACGCCTGCAATGAAGCTTCTGCTCAGTTCAAGGAGGTTGAGAGATGAATTTTCCATGAAATCTGATCAACTTCTTGTTTTGAGGTCCGAAAATGCATCCGAGAAACGGCGGCCAAGGAAAATGTCAAGACCTGCGTCTCGGAATTTTCTCGCGGAGCTCCAACTCACGCCTGTCTTTCCTCCAACAAACTCCTCACCTGTGCTATCTCTGAACTTCAGGTTACCTTTCTATTTGGATAACTTGCTAGAAAACCAACGCTCATCTGAATTTAGTGAATAAACCTATTCATTTCATCCTTTTTTTCCAGACGAGCTGCGGTTCTGACGCCGTCAACTGGGTTTCTTCGTACGTCACCAGATTCGCCACAGCGATCGATCCTCGGTGCAAGATTGCCAGCCAGTTGCCAGGTGAATCAAAAAGAATGGTTCAGATTGGAAAATTAATCAGAAAGACATTTTCATCCAGAAGGTTATTGCAATTTTGCCACATAGAAAATCTGACTAAATCGAAGAAAATTGTATCTGCAGTCGGAAGAGTGGTCGGAGTCGGTTGCTCTCCGGAAGAAGAAGCCATCATCGACCACTGTGCGGCGCCGCTCAACGACATCGGCCAGCGCGTCGAGGACCTCTTCGCCGGCGGAATGCAATCCCTCATCAAGAACATCAACTCGCTGGCTCCTGTCTTTGCCGGCGGCTGCAACTTGACCGGTTTCACAATTCTCAGAACTTTTTCTCAATTTAATCATTTCCAGAAGAGTTTAAAACCTGTGCTCAGTTCATCTTGTCTGGCCGAACTCCATGCGTAGTTTCATCTTGCTTCATCGAAGCCGGAAAGGCCATCTGCGACAAGCCAGATCCCACCAAGGCCATCGACGACAATCTGAGCTGCTTCTTTGGACAGGTTCGAGAAGACCTCTCGAGAAAGTTCAATGAGACATTCAGATCCAAGAGCCTAACTTTGCCAAGTGTGTTCGAGGAACTCTCTCCACCGTCAAGCAGTTCACCCTGTCCAACATCCGAAATGTTCTGCCCAAGTTCATCGACTGCACTGAAGACATCGTCCGCGCCAAGTGCGGCGAGTCTCCGATCCAAGTCCTTCGCGCCATGAGCTCTCCCGACCTTTGCGTCGTTGGAAAGGCCGCCTCCGGCATGACTACTCGACTGCCTCCACAGCAAGTCCAGCCCAAGGTAAAAATAAGCTTTCAACTTTTTCTTTTATTGGGGCTTGCAACTAATTTTACACAGCAGATAGCTTTTTGGAAAAGAATAAAAAAATATACCAAAACAACCTTTTTGCTCTCAAAAAGGTCTATTGCAAGACTCTTGAGATCCATTAGAGCTTTTTTCGAGTAACTAAGTTTCTAACTATTAATTCCAGCTCGCGGTTTGCGACGAAGAAACAAAGAAGTCGTACGAAGTCTGCACAAAGAGCTTCTTCGAGAAGTTCGGAGCCACGCCTTCGACCTTGCTCAAGTCCATGTCGGATTCGATGGTCTGCACGGAAGCCAAGGAGCTCTCCGCGTGTTCCAGCGCTGCTAGACTCTGCTCCGCCACCCATGAATCGGCGTTTGTCAAGACTGTCTCCATGAATTGTGAAAAGGAGGCCGAGGAACGGCAAAGACATGGAGAATGCGTCGCGTCGGCCGCGGCCTCAGCTGTAAGTTTCGAGACTTGGAACTGACAAATGAAGAATCTGATGCAGGAATGTCCGACCATCACGACTACTCCTAATTGTGAGACTGTCAAGCAGACGATCCAGTGCTTCTCGGCTGAGGTATGGCTTTTCTGTAAAAGGAACACAACTAAAATTCTTTCTGGCTTATATTTTTGATTTTCTATGAACTATCGCATTGACTGTAAGATCAACTTCAGATAATCACAAACTGCGGTCAAGAAGCTTTGACCTTCGCAACCACAGTCGTCGACACCTACGCCAAGCTTCTCGATGCTTCTTGCTCTGTAAATTGTTTTTCCATTCTCATTTTTATCCTCTTTCTGAAGATTCCAATGCCCGAGGTCACTTCTTCCGAACCAAGTGAAGCCTCGACTGAGGCGACGACGACGACGACCTCATCAGAAGTGCCGACGACGACGTCGACGTCTTCTGAAATGGAGTGTGGAGAGGACGGACTCGTGGAATATCTTCAATGCGAATCTCTTCTCGACCAATACGCCTTTCGACCGATTTCCATCATTGGGTGTGTATTGAAGTTTGGGAAAAAATTTGATGGTCGCATTTGGAATGGCCTATCACGGTAGACGTGCCCTAAACCGACTTGGTGCCTTCAAATAAAATTAATCTGCGACCTCTCGTGATCCAGCTCTGACTTGAGCCTGATTAGACTTTCTCTCAGCGGTTAAGATAGATTTTTAGCCAAAACGAGTTTTTCGACTTTTATTAAAATGCCTACACCTTCTGTTGACAAACTTTTGACCCTTCTCATTCAACAATTTCAAATTTCAGCAATGCTTCCCAATGGGACGAGTTCTGCAGTATGTTCAACGCGACCTATCGGCCCTGTATTTCTGCCCTCAAGTGCAAGTTTGAACCAGCTGCTCCAGCTCAGGTCCAACTTCTCGACTCCATTTGCAACAGGTTCATTATCTTTCGCAAGCCTATTCAGAAAGGAATTTCAGAGTGGTGACCCTCCGAGACCAGAAGAAGTTTGCGCCATGTCTTTCTGACCTGACGCGTTCCCAGGACGGCCTCAGGTGCATGGGCCACCTGGCCGACGTCGACAATTTGTCCAAGACCGCTTCTGCTGAAATGTGCACTGGGTATGGATGAATTGAAAAGCCATTCGATCTGAATTTTGAATATTTTCAGTCTGAATGAAGTGATGAAATGTGCGGCTGAGCCGATCGAGAAGAAATGCGGATTTGACGCTCTTCTCCACGTTTTTGATCTTCACACTCAATGGGCCACGCTTTACAACGCTACCTGTGTTTTGGAGTCGCCTCAGCCAAAGGTAAATCCCTAAATAGGGCGCAGGCCAAGCCTGCGCCTAAACCAGAAGTTTCTGATGAAAAGAAATATTGAACCCTATCGGATTTATTTTTTGTAAGGCTTCAAAGGAAACTCATGAACCGGAAAAATGGCTTGAATGTTGACTCTGGGTTAAGTCTCATTTAGAAAAAGAAAGCGGGCGTTTGGATAATTCGTCTTTCGTGCTTCAAGACTTCAATTAAGGTCGATTTAAAAAAAAAAAAACACACATCTTCACTTTTTCAAAAAGGCTTCAGGGTTGGAAGAGGTTGTGAAAAACGAGATACAGAATTGAGAAGCTTGACCCTGAGATAAACGTTTTTTTTTTCAATAAACAAACTTTCAAGGTTCTTACCTTTTACTGAACCTCAGCCAATAACCCAACGCTGTACTTCAAAAATTGATTGTTTCATTTTAAAGTTATCACTTTCAGGAGATCACAAACGAGGTCGAGCCGTCTCGAGACACGAAACCCGTCGTTGTACAAAAGGACGAGACGACGCCGCCGCCGACGACGACGACAGAATTGTCGAATCGCATCGACGAGAATCTCGACGCAGCCCCGGCGACGTCGCCTCCAGTCGCCGTCGCTTCCAGAACCTCGCTTTTGTCAATTCTTCCGGTTCTTGCCCTTCTCCTCGTCTTATAGACATTCCTTCCACAACTTTAACTTTGCCCAACTTTGCCAAATGATCTTTAATCTCATCAAATGTGTGCTTCATGTCAGAAAACCCAGAAATGCTCAACGCAGAGCCCCCAGTTAATTATATACTTCTTCCTTATCATATTTCCTTGCACGAATTTGTGCCTCCCCAACAACCCAACGTGTACATTTGCTACAATAGCAGGTATCTATTGAGAGCAAAGAAAAACTCTCGTTTTTTTTCGTCTTTTCGTAGTTGTTATCAGATAAAATATAAAACTTTATTTACAATATGGCCTAATTTTCAATGACATTCACGACGTTTTTCGGAAAAATACCGGCAGGCAGGGTTTTGAACGCTTCAAGCTTTCCTTTGTAGTAATATTCGTCTACCTGGAAAGGGAAAATGTTTTATCGAAAACAAGAAAGGAAGCTCACGGTTTCGGAGATGATGATATTGTCGCCGCGGGTGACGTACAGATGCTTCGGGTCATCAGAATGGTAGTCGGCGATAGCTACCGCCATTTTCGGTTTCAGCGCCGTCGAAAGGTTCGCCAATCCAGGGCTTTTCTTTGGAGAACCTGCAATCAACCATTGAGGAGCGGTAGTTAGGATATGACTTCACAAAAAAAGGCCAAATTTCTGAACTATGTAAAATCTTACTTAAAAACTTCAGAGTGGTCCCTATAGGAAGTTTTGTTTAGAGGCTACTATAGTGGAAATTCCAGGCGATTTTTGTTATGAACTCTATGAGGAGAAGCATTTCCATGCGAAAAACTCGATAAGTGAGCATTATTTGAACGAAAAACAGAAACACTTGAACTTCAGGGACTCAATGGTCAGGCGCTAAAGCTCTCTGAGGACCATCTAAACTTTACCCCTCTAGGGGACGATTTTGACCTCTATAGGGGCTGTTTTTTTTCTAAAGTCTAAAGGAACCCCTCTGGCGCCTCTAGAAAAGTCAAAAATTATCATCCGTTTTCAAATATTTGAGAAAATCTGATGATACTGACTATTTGGAGAAAGAAGGAACGTCACAGGGACAAGTCCTCGTCGTCCATTCAATTCGCCCATAATCCAGTCACAATCCACTTTTTCGACCACCTCTATTACGTCTCCTAAAAATATTATTTTTCTTGTTTCCAAAGAATTTAGAAACCTTGATTGAATTGCAAGTCACTGGCGACCCCAGAATAATAGTCGTAGGCGGCGGTGACATTTTCTCTTTTGGTTCGAGTTGGAGCCGAATTAGCTGGAGCTGGAGCAGAAACTGGGGCTGGAGCGGAGCCGTCAAGACTGACGAAGTTGGCGGGGAAGATTCCTTTCTGACCGTAGAGCTCTCCTTCCAACCAGTCGGCGTTGACTCTGGACGTCACCAAAATCCGATCGTTCACTCGGAACTGGAACAAAAAACCGATGAAAGAGATCAATTTACATTTGAAAAGCACCCTCAAATCTCCTGGAGTCGCGGAATCGTAGTCGTACAAGGCCGTAGAATAAGTGCCACTGGAAGGAGACGCGAAGGAAGAAGACGTCGACTTTGGGACCGATTCGGCGGGAAGAGGAACTTCGACTTGAAGGTAGGACTGAGGGACGATCCCGTGCTTTCCAGTTGTCGTGTTCATGCCTGGAAAGGTATTTTCTTTTTTGCAAAAACAAGTTTTTTTTTTGAAAGTGAATAGGATTGCCAGAGTGGTCCTTATGGAGGCTGGTGCCCCTAACTAAAACCATTATAACTACCACTTCCGCAAGTTTAGTGGAACTGTGCGGAAAGATAAAGCGGTCCCTAAAGGGAAACCTTCAAGGTTCCTCAGGTTGCCCCTATAGGGACCACTCTGGAGCTCTTAAGTACACGACGTTACAATATAAAATATCGAATTACAGAATCGAATAAAAATCTAGAAATTCTACTCCCTGAGAATGTAATAAAAATGATCCATTTTGTGTCAAAATCAAGCTTTTTTTTGAAATCTTCTCAATAGAGACTAGGCCCCTTCTCACCGTATATCCACTGATCGTCGACGTGCCGCTTCAGAAGGACGACTTCCCCGGGATTACACGTCAACTCGTCGATGTGCGCTCCAACGAACGCGTATTTCACCGTCGCGTGTGGATCGTGGGCCGAAACGGCTGGCGTTGATCTCGTAACTGGGTTCAGTTGGAAAATTTAGAGGAAACGTGGACTTACCGCTGTTATAGGGAGGTGCTGGAGTCCAAGAACTTGTAGAAGAAGAAGAGGAATGAGATGGTGGCGGAAGTCGGGGCTGTTGGGATTGTGAGCCTAAGAATCTTCAGTTTATACGCTGAATCTTTCACAACATCAGAAGAAGAAACAATTTCGAAATAGACCCACTGGAAGTATGAACGTAAAGAGAAGTCGATGGAGCGGCCGTAGTGGAAGGGTTCGGAGCTGGGGGAGCGCCAAAGTTCAAGTTTTCCAACTTGGAAATGATGGACTGATGAGAACTGGCGACTTTTCCAGAAGAAGAAGAGGCCGCGCTGACCGATGCCGAGCCATTCCGATGTGGCGGCGGCGGCGGTCGGTTAGCGTCGTAGACCGCCGAAGCCGCTGAGAATTTGTTCTCCGCCGAAGGATTGCTCACGGCCGTCAGCACGGCGTTCCTCGCTTCTTTGTTCTCGGCGACATTTTTGGCCGTAGCTCGGACATAGGGATTCTTGGCGGCCGCGACGACCGCTTGTCGTACTTCCGGCTTCTTGGCCGCTTCGAAAAGGGCCTTGGCTGCGGATACAGAAAATCCTTTGTTCTCTAAACATAAGTTTTTTTGCTTTTTTTTCTGGCTCTCAATGTTCTTTTTTTAAATCAAGATTGAAGTTTTTTTCTGATTTCAATTGACTGATAAACTCCTAACAGATGTTTTTTTAAAGATTGCTCAACAAAAGTCAGAGAAGAAAGTCAATCAAAATATGAAAAAAAGAGAAAAAAATAGTTTTTTCCATGACCAAAAAAACATAATTTTTTTACTGGTTTTTTCCTAGGGTTTCTCACATTCAAAAACGTTATTTTTAAATAATTTTTTTGCGTTTTTTTATTTCCGTAGCATGTAAAGTAAGATGTTATTACAAATTGTGAGCAGAAAAAGATTAAAAATTTTTTTGAGTGAATGATTTTCTTCAAAAAGGTAACATGAATTTTTTTCATTTCGACGAGGATTCGCATATTAATTACAACGACGCTACTGATTACGGCGCTTTTTTTAAACACCAAAACTATTCTCAAATTTTTTTGTTGAGAATTTTTTTAGATCTATAATCATTTTTCAAACTTTGGCAAATTTCTTTTTCAATTGAACTTTTTTTCTCTGAAATTTGAAAAAAAGGGTGCCAAATTCACTGATAAAACTTGTTTACACAAAAAAATTATTCATGTTCAAAAAAACTTTCAACGAAATTTTTTTAATAAAAACTTCAACTGACCTTTTCTAGAAGATGACATTTTCAATGATTGCGAAGAACAGAAATAAAAAAAACAACTAAAAAAAAAAGAAAGAAACGGGAAAAAGGCTGAACCACCGCTACATGTATTGATCCGCCTCAGAAAGACGACAAAACATTCACGCGCTCGAATTTTCTCTTTATTTGCCCTTTTTTGCACCCCTATTCTGATTGAAACGTTCGAATAATCGAATTCTTCTAAATGAATTTTTCAATTGAAATTCTAACCGTCGTTTCCATTTTGTCCTGGTTTTGCCGGCTTCGGTGGTGGAACTGGGCCGGCGGACATTTCAAGACGAAATTATATAGCCCCAAGAGTTTTTTTCTGAAGTTTTCAAATTTAGTGCTTTAATCGAACCCCGAATAAAAAAAAAGTTCTTAATTTTTAGAGAACTTTCAATCCAAAAAAGAAGCTATTGAGTAACACAAACTCAATTAATCATTTCACAACACAATCCCGAGGGTAAATAGACAGAAAACAAAGTGAGAATTCTCGCAAAGAGCCGCCTGGTTTGATAAAACGTCATAAAATGATAGATGCGAGAGACAGGACCGTTGGAAAGTCGAATGCGGGCACTTCTGCCCTCGTTTGTTTGCTCTTTTCGCTCCTTCCAGTAACTATAAGCTACAACAAGAGGTGACTCACTCAGAAATATATTTTATTGAACACTTTTTGCTCTTTCAATTGACTTGTAAAAAAAGTTCTTAACTGTTTTTTTAGAAAAAAATTCAACAATCTCGTAAGCTAGAATTTATTGAAATCAGTTCTTACAAATTTCATATTTTCTGATCATTCTAACTTTTTCTTTCAAAAAGTGCTGATCAATAATGATCAACTTCTCTTGCAAGTTTGCATAAACAAGAAAACTTATTTTAAAGCGATAAAATACGGTAAGATTTTCCTGAAACCGTTACGGTAACACGCCGCGAAGGGCAACGTCTGCATTCACCATTATCGATCGTCGGCGTTTCTGTGCCGCTTTTTTTTCTTTCGCAACTCATTTATCTCTCTTTTCGAAGTTTTGCGTTTTTTGTTATTTTTGAACATAAGATGTGTCATTTAAATATAAGCTTCTTGTTTTCAATTTGAGATTTTTGATTAAAAAAAAATTAATGTTAAGTGATAAATTACGTTAAGATATCTTAAAAATATTTTTACTTTAACTATTCAGATTTCAAACATTTTTTTAACGCTGATTTGTTGCTCTTGTTAGAATTCATTCGTCGTCATAAATTTTATCCACTCTTCGCGCGCGTTTCGTATATAACGTGACCTTCATTATTTTCACATTGCAGTGAAAACTATGTCTGGATTGATAGACGAGGACGAGCTTCTCAACGATTCAGATTTTCAACACCACGACGTCATGGTGCGATTTTTTAAAACTGTTTCTCTGCTATAAAATTATTTTTGAGAAAGTCCTGGACGAGGAGATTCTTCTGGGGGTCAACTCAACTGGCGTGACATTGATCAGCGAGGAAAATGGTGATATTAAAGTAGGCGAAGTAAGTCCCGTGGTCTTCCGATTTGGTATTATTTTTGTTTAATTTTCTTTGTTTTACTTCCCGCCTTTCACTTTTTTTTTTGAGAACTGTGGTCTACTAGGGTACACTGTCTATAAGCTTTATAGAAAACTTCTCACAAATTTGTTTTTATTTCACAATATTATCCATGTTAGTATTTCTATTCAAATATCCATTTCCCCCACACAAAAGGTCTGTTTGGTTCAGATATCAGTTGGTTTATTTGCGAGAACGTGGATTTTTTAAATATTCACTTTGAATTCCACTTTTTCGCGAAAAAAAATCGCTTTTATCTGAATGTTCAGGCTGAAATTAGGTTTATTTGAATCAAAAAAAAAGCTCCTATCAATTCCTTCAATAAAACTGGTCACTGCGGTTATTTTTCTCTCGTTTTAGTCGAAATCGTCAGCTCGTTCGATGTTTGAATCCTCAACAGTCAATCTTTTTTTCTTGAGAGAAGTCTCAGTTTCTTTTTTTTCACTTTGCTCTACCAAACAAGGTTTAGATCATCTAACTCATATTTGTTACATATATCCATTCCCCTGCGCATTTTCATTCCATTGGCTCTAATAATTTATATGATTTTTCGTCCCCTTCATCGACCCCACCTACTTCTTTTCAGGCGTTTCAAATGATATCCGGCAGATCTGTGTTTATGATATTGCTTTTATTGAAATTATATAACGGGTCGAAATTGATCTCGAGGTGTAAATGTATGCGTGTTCACGAGCATATTGCATTGTCGACGTGTGTCTCAATAAAAAAACTTCATGAAAAAAGTAGCAAGTTTGCGGTTGATGATCCTTCGAAATGTACTCCGATGAAGCCCGAAGATCTGGTTTCTACTTCATATAAATCAGTTCATTCGAAGAGAGAATTTTAGAAACTAAACTTGAACGTGTTAATATTCCGAGTTGATTCAGCCAAACTCTTTTGAGTGTGTCAAAAAGATTTCTCGTTGAGGAGTGCTTCGAGAGGGAAAGTCCTCTGCCAGAGGCATGAAGAATCGAAATTTGTGACGGTCCCTATTCATTTGTTTTTACATCTGTGAGGTTGAGAGAGAACCCTCGATTCAAAAAAAAAAATCCATAGAAGCAGCAGTTCAATGTTGACATCATTCGTTCGCCATTTCTAGTCTGCGCAAAGCTTTTGCTGATGTTTTTGAAGACGCAGCAGTATTTAAAACCCAATAAACGCTTAATTTCATTGTCGCAATATTTTCAATACTAGCAAAAGCTTTCCTAAAAAAAAATCCTCAAAAATGAATCTAGAATAGGGAGGATACCACAAATGCATCAGTTTTAGGAACTTTCAAACTTGTGATTTCTTTAGGGCTTGCATGTTTATTCAGTGGCTGGAATGTTCAACAAAATTATAAAACCTCTTTAAGGTAAATATTTTTTTAGAGCATCCCGAAAGCTGGAGTAGATGAGAGTTTTGAAAAAGAAGAGTTGGACTACGACGAAGACGAAGATGAGGAGAAGCAGGAGAGAACTTCGCGTTTCACCTCGGAGCGTCGACCTGAGAAGAAAGTACGGAGAAGCTCTCTCAAATGAAACTAACTCATCTTTCGGGCGATTTAGACGGAAGTTGAGATCAAAACCGTGCCGGGGACCGTGATCACGAGCATCGGAACGACTCGTGTCGGAAATAATTGGAGCGGTGGCTCCTCCAATGTAAGATCCAGTCACACTGAAGGAGTTCTGAAGGAAATCTTGGCTTCTCAGAACTTCAACCGTCGGCCGAACGACGGACCTCGGCCTCTGACGAACACCTTCGTTCCCCCGCCCTTTCCGGTCTATTCGAACGGACCTCACTCCAAAGTCCTCGTCAACCCCAACTTCTGTCCGGCGCCACAGCCAATGGGTTTCATCAAATCTTTGCTTGGATGTTGACATCTTCATCAATTTTAGTTTCGCTGAGGATGGACGGCGCTCCGCCGCAAGTTTTCGGCGCTCCCTTTGCTCAGAATCCTATGATGGCCGCCTCTTCGATGGGACCGATCGTACCTCGTCTACCCAGCGGAATTCCTTTGATATCTGGTTCAGAAACATTTAAATTAGAAGAAAACAACGAATTTTTAAGGACTCCCCTCGAATCATGGAATGGCCGGTTTCGGACCGTCTGTCCATGAGAGAATGCAAGGCGGCGGAGGAATCTCCCAAATCGGTTACGGAATGTCGAGCGGCGGCAATTGGGATCGCGCTGTCGAGGACTTTCTGATGCAGGCCTCGACGTCTTCTGGAAGGACACGACGTCGGAGTTCTTCTTATTCCGGAGATTCCAGCTACTCTGAAAGTTATAGGTTTAGAATATTCATATCGGGATGGTCACCTGGGTTTTCTATTTCAGCTCCGGGTCAAGAAGTCGATCTCGATCGCCGCGGCGCCGGAGACCTCAGCCCAGCGAAAAGTCTCGTGCTGCTCCCAGAAGACGTGACGACGGCGACCGACGTCGTCCGAGGGAACAGAGACGCGAAAATCCCCGCAGAGACGATGCCAAGCGAAGACAGAATAATGAGCAGGTTCGTTCAGAGAGTTGTATAAAGATTGAAAGATTAGATTTTGAAAAATGGCTTCAGGATCTTCCTCCAAAGTTTTCTGTACACTCTCCACCCCTTTCCTTACAAAAGTGTAAAATTGATAAGAATCGAACGTAGTTCATAAAAAGTTAGAAACCTTGTGACCCTTCAAACAAAATAATTAACACCTGGATCTTGATAGCTCAGTGGTTTCAGCTTTCCGGGAGAATGAAGTTTTCATGTTTTGAAAGATGTTCATATATCAAAAGCTATCTAAATTGACATTTCGATCGATAAAAAAAAAGTCATTTTTTTACTTCTGCCCACAAGATATTATAAAAAAGAAAAATAGTATCCATAAATTCAAAACGTTTTTTTTTCTTGGAAAATGAAGTTATATTCAGATTTTGAAAATAGATTCAACCATTTTTTTTGTCAAAACAATGGGTTTTTTTTTTCGCCGTTGGAAAAGTAGAATTAATTATGGCATCTCAAAGAATAGCGCACCTGAAGCCCAGGAAAGCTTGAAAAAACTGAAATCGACGTGAAACTTAGTACCTAGCAAAATTTTTCGCATTTAATGAAAGATAAAAACGTGTTTTTCTTCGAAATTCCAAAAGCAGGATTGGAAAGAGCTTTGCAGATTTCGATGGAGTGCGCGAAAGCGATAGGCCTGAGCAAAGATTATCTGATGAAGGTCGACGAGCAGAAGAAGAAACGCGACGAGATCCTACGCCGGAAAGAGCAACGACGCTACGGAGCCGACGAACAGCCGCAGAACTCGACGGGCTCCTCAAAGCAGACTACTGTAGGTGTACGGTAGAATTCGCTGTAATCTCCCTTTCGTAGCAACCGCAACAGCAGCAGAGCGCCACTTCAACACGGGAATCTCGCAGCGAAACGGCCAAAATCGAACGAGAAAGGAAGACCAAGGCGTATCTGGCCGTGAATGTGAACAACGTCAAGCAATTGCCGACGGCCAAACTTCGAGTCGAGACTTTGGCCAAAGAACTTGGAGCTATCAGGGTAAAATTTAAATACAAGTTGTTAGAAATATATGAAAAGATAGTTTCATTCTTTTCGAGCTCATTTTTTTTTTTAAACTAAAAGCTGAGAAAAATCGCTAACCTAATGTTTGCTCTATGGATAAATTCAAAAAAAAATAATAAAATATATGTCATAAATTAATATTTAAATTTTTAAGTTTTTGGAAAATTAAATTTTTTTACAGTAGTTTCTGTGTTTGATCAGCCATCACAAAGAAAAAAAACTCTTTCCCGATTTTTCAAATTTTCTAGGAATTTTCTGAAGAATCGCTTCTAGTATGAAAATTCTCCTTGAACTCACTCTTTTTTCAATTTCAATGATGTTTTCTTTATCCTTAACTATTTTCCTGTTTTCCAGAAATGTTGGCAATCCTCAGACGATACAGTATCCGTGATTTTCCTAGAGCACGACAAGGCGAAAGACTTCATGCTCAAGTATAATAAGTGAGTTTTCAACAGATCAGGTTCCTAATTAATCATCCAACTTTTCAGCAAAGTTTTATCGGGTCTCCGCGTGAGCGTCGCCCTCGAGAAAAAGTATCTCAACCTTAGCGAAATGAGCTAATAATTATTTTTTATCGTTCTTTGTTCATTTGTCAAAATAAATTGTAATTGATAACTGACAATGTTGATATCGATTGTATTATCATGTGATATATGAGTTTCCCATCTTTTGCCAGCATTTTTGTACTTTATCACTCATTTGACAAGGAATAAAATGAATTAATAAATAAAGATTTTATTTTTAATTGATGAACTAATAACAAAAACATTTTAATATTTCGGTCGTTTGTAGTCGCCGCTGAAAATTTTGAAATTAGGCATCGAAAATAAAATAAAAGGACGAACCCGTCGTCGCCGCCAGCTTTTCGCTTGTCCATGATTTTATTGATCTTCTCCAGCTCCCGATCAATCTTTTTGCTTTCGTTTGCTTGAGTTTTGCGCGTTTTACGACCGTCGCCGGTCTTGAGCCCGTATTGATAGGCGGCTTTTGGTAGAGCTTCACGAGATCCCTGAAAAAGTTATTGATGATATACGCTGAATACATCTTTTGAGATTCTCAAATGTTATAATTCGAACATTGGCAGTTTAGAACTAACTATTCCTATCATGATTTCCACTTCCTTCAGAAAACTTCAAAATTTTAAACCATTACTAATGAAAAAGTCCGTGACGCTACTTCACTAAACGATTATTATTTTCCGAATATCTGATTCTCATTTTTAGAGACGTAAAAGAAAGGGTTTTATTCTAAGTTTGGATATACGACCAGAGATGCACCTCGAGCTCACTAATAAGGTATGAAGTAAGTCTTGTAGTGGTCACTCAAGAGTTCTATACAAAAAAAGTACTAAAAGGAGAACGAAAACTTGTACAGAAACAGTACAGTAAAAAGCATGAAAAATACTTAGTTAACATTACCAAAACATTCGAAGATTTCTAAATCCGGTAAAAATTTTTCCTCTAAAAACATCCTCAAGAAAATCCCAAGAAGGCGGATTTTTTATAAAGTAATGGGAGTATTCTGCTTTCTCTGAAGGCGTATCAGAAGGTATCCATTATGTGGTCAGACTTTTCCCATACAGCTTCACCTTCTACTCACCTTCCAGGCTCCAAAATTTTCAGTTTTCACCTTCCGAGAACTTCCCAACTACTTCTGAGCACCTTTCAAAGGCCTTCAAGCTTTACCTTGCAACCTCCTTCCGGCTACCTTCCCTAGATTTTCCTGGTAACCCTGCTCACCTGATACTTTTCATAATCGGCTTCATTTTCGAAGTCGAATCGATTGACAGGTCCCTTGCGCTGTCCCATGTCCATCTTGGTGAAGTCTTCCTCGTCAGAATCCCAATTTCCGGCGAGTTCGGCCATTCCTCCCGGGTAACACTCGTCATAACCGCCACTTTCGGCGTCCTTCCGTCTTTTCTCCATTTTCTCCTCGAGACGTTTCTCCTTTTCCTTTTCTTCCTGCTCCTTCTTCAGTTTCTCGATCTCTCGTTCCTTTTCGCGTTGACGTCGTTCCTTCTCCGGATCACGATCTCTTCTGAACAGTTAACAATAACTTTTTCTCTTTTTGAAGAAAAAAAATATCTAAACTTTTTGATTAAAAAACGCGCCCCTACTGATCCTTTTTTTCATATATTACTCTAAAAACCCTTATTTTTTTACAAGTGATAAGAAACTTTGAACCTTTTTTTGGAGTTCGTAGATTTTTTTCAGAGCTCTCCATTTTATTCAAAAAAACACAAACTGACACCTATAATTTTTTCAAAAAAAAATTCTTTAGTTTTGCTTAGGCTTGTTCATTTTTTCCATGAAAAACGAGCTATATCCAAAAATTTCCTTGAAAATCTCACTTTGTTTAAAAAACGATAAAAAAGAGTATTTTAAATGAAAACATCGTCTATTTTACAACCTCATCTGAAGCTCACATACTCACAAAATATCGATATCAGCCTACCTGTCGCGATCTTTGTCCCTGCGATGGTCGCGTCCGTAGTCGTCGCGACCCCTGCGATCGCGGTCGCGATCTCTGTCGCGGTCTTCTCTGTCAAAGTAGTTGCGATCGGTGTAGGACCTGCCCTTGTCCTTGTCGCGGCGATCCCTGTCACGATCCCTGCAGATTTTTTTTCAGATAGAAAATATTGTAAATATTAAAATGAGAACCATAAGATAGCCGTAAGGAAAAAGTTTCAAGCTCAATGCATTTAAATGAATTTATGTCGATATGAGTGGAACTATTAACATTAGCTGCACCTAGACTCTTTAGCAATTATAGGTCGAAAAAAAGTTCATTAAAAAAATTGAAGAGAAACCTGTCGCGTTCCCTGCGGGGCACGTACTCCTCCTCGTTGTCGTAGATGCTCTCGCCTTTGGCGCCATTAGAAGCCGCCGCGGCGGCGGCCGCGTTCTCTTCGGCCTTCGCAGCCTCGGCTTCGCCTCTTTTTTTCTTCTTGTTGTCGGTCCGAAGGTAGGCAAGAACCTGCAAACAATAATATTACCAAAACTCTTTCCTTTTAATATAGAAAAATCGAAACGTATTGGTAATAGTGAATAGATATCGGTAAGGATAATGAAAAACTCAAAAATCATAAAAAACTGACTTGAGTGAGCTTGGAGATCAACAAATTGTTCGCATTGATCGTTGTGAGTGATTCTGCAGGCGGGCAATCGTGCAAAGATCTGAAAAACTTCCTTATTTGAAGTCATCAAAAAAATGCCAATTACTTTTTGGAAGAATAATCAGCTAATTATAAGGGAATTCCGGGAATACAATGTTCAATTTAATGAAAAATTACCGTTGAAAGAAGGTTGAAACTGAAAAATTATAAAGGCGCCTTTCATTATTTTCCAAATGTGACCTCTTCTAAAAAAGGCAGAGAAAGGCAAAATAACGAAAAAAAAATTTTTTTAAGTTAAGCGATTCGACAATAAACACTCAAACATTTATTTCAATAAAACTCCATTATGCCTAAAAGATATTCTCTGGCAGTAGAAAGAAAAGGAAAGTTCAACGTAGTTTTTTTTCATGAAAAATAAACACAGACCTAAGAAGAGTTGTCGGAATATCGGCGTCCTCGTCTTCCAACTCGACGACATAGGCCATTCTTCCTTTGGCGAAAAGTTCATTCCGGACAGGAAGTTCGTTTTTGAACATCATCCTGTGCATCGCTCTGACCATTCTGTTCTCCGACAGAGGTTGGCCCACGTCGACCGCGTTGGCCGGCTGCTTTTCCGACGTCGGACCTTCTTCCTGAGAAGAAGAAAAACGGTGAAAATGAAATAATATATTTTTTCTATCCAACAAGAATGGAATCTCAGATGAAAGCTTGAAGCAGTATAACCTATCAACATTCCATGAAAACGTTTGAAACTATATTATCCCTTTGAACTAGGGTAAAAAAAGTTTCCAAGCTTTTTCGAGGTTCTGAAAATAACAAAATCTCAAAAAAACGTACAGAAAAAGGCATTCAAAAAAAAAAATTTTTTTTGTAAGAACGTGAAAAATTTATCCCCATTGGGAATAAAAAATGGGGAAATTAGAAAACTCCTTCGAAAAGAAAGTTATGAAGAAGTTTGGATTGAGAAAAGACGGAGTATCACAAAAGAAACGTTTTTTTCAAAGTTTTGAAGAAATTCGTCGCTTAATGAAACGCACCAATTATGAAAATTCATTATTTTGAAATTATTTGGAAGCCGAAAAACTCACGAAAGCCTTCTCGATATCTTCGTCTTCTTCCTCGTTCGTTTTGACGATTTCACTCCGAACTTTGTTCAAGAGAGAATAATCGAGACCTTTTACCAAGTGAGTGTGTTCCATGTCACCTCCCAAGTATTTCGATTCCTAGAAAATCCATTTCGAAATGATTCTTTTATTTGAATTTACGAACCAAAATGGCCTGTTTCCTCAAATCGGCCTTGTCAACCATGCCTCGCGCATCGCCGGGAATGGCTCGATAGGCCGCCGCCAACTTGCTCGATTCATCTTCTACCTAGATTTCTTCGATTGAAGTTTTTCTTCTCGTTATTCATACTTCGCCGCCAGTTTTCCGGCGCTCGGCCGCTCTGTCGCGATAATTCTTCAGAATCTCTTTCAAATTTGAGTCATCCTCGTCGACTTCTTCAGCTTCCTGGAATCGAAATTTGATGAAGATTAAATTTTCACCTTCATCCAAACCTTTTTAGGCTTCGGAGCCACAGTTTTGTTCTTTTTCGGTAGGTATTTCTGTTTTTGCTTGTGTCTGAACGAAGCCGAACTCGCAGTTGAAGTTGGTTCCCGAGCTGGAGTTTCAGCTGGTCCCGATCTTCGGACAGTAGAGAGCAACTTGCGGAAATCTTCATTCCGCAAATTTCTAAAAAGAGAAAAATTAGACAAATTTAAATATTAATTTCTTACTGCGTCTCCGCCATATTTTTGGACCGTTAGCCAATCAATCCGTTCAATAAAACGATTTCGATAGATCCTGCAAATAATTTTTATACATATCGTAACTGAAAAAAAAACGCGAGAACGTAGAACGAAAAGAGATTGCAACGTGAAAAAATATCGTTAAAATTATCAAATTTTGGCAAGAAAAAGATCTGAGACACGGGTAACGCGTATCGGAAAGTCTTGTAACTCAAGGGAACACTAAAAAGGCATTAACACAACTCAAGTGATAACTAAAAGGCTTGAAAACGTCCATTTTACCAGGCGTTACCCGTTTCTGCGGATATGGGAATTTGAGAGGGTGCGGTAGAGCGCACATTGCAAGAAAGGCGAAATGAGAGTTCTGGTCAAATTTGAAAGGATGGAAAAAAGCAAAATATACAGAAAGTAACGATTTTAGAAAAAATAGAATATTGCCGAAACTCCTGAAGTTTCATCTTTTAGGAAAACGACACCATTGCATTTTATTAAAAGCAACGATGTGGTAATAAAAACGCGCCATGACGACCAGCGGCACGAAAGACTTCAATTCGACTGAAAAAGAAATGATTTTCAAGCCTTTGTAACAAATAAACCTTCATAATCCCTGATTTTTGCCTCGCTTAAAAACAAGATAAAAGTATCTTTTGAGTCGACCCAGCACTGAAAACGATTATCAAGACTTCTGAGTAACTAATTAAACCTTGAAGTTTGAAAAGTGAATAGCTGAGCGATTAAACTCGACTTTGGAGAAGATCATGCCGAGAAGGACGAAGACAGAAGCCGAGAACCGTGACAAGATCAACGGAAGGCAACCCTCCGACTTCCATTCCAAGTACAAACTTTTGACGTTCTAGAAAAACTATCAGAAGTTGCGCTCGAATTAAATCTCACGTTTGCGTCCGAAAAGGACCAAATCGAAAATTTCGAAGCACTGAGAGCGGTTCGACAGAGCAGACACGTCGATTCGAAGACAATCTTCCTCGCAATGAATGGCTTGAGCATCAGAAGAGCCCTTGCAGGTGAACATGTCGCAAAAAGCCCAAAACCGCATCACTAGCTTCTTTTTTCTCGTTGTGAGGGACCAACCGTGTCATCGATAAGGGTAGCGGAATGAAGCAGAACGGGCGACGTGAAGAGAGAACTGCGGACACAGCCGTCCTCTTTCTTTGGGGAGAACACGAAAATCTACGTACATCTCCTTCATTTCTCCGAAGCCAATACAACCTTTACCTTTTGATCGATCAATTCTTTCCGAGACATTCGCAAGAAGTCGGCGTTGCCAAGAAGTACAATAGAAAAAGCATACCTACTGGGAACGCCATCTGGTAAATTCTAAAAAAAAATAATAACTTAATTTCTGACAAAAATAACCTGATGAAAAGAATCTCTGGCCGTTTCTACACTATTTGATTGCTCTCAAGACTTCTATATAATTAAGTTCGACGCTCTTTTGCCAAGGCGAACCATCGGCATCGATGTCGATACTGAGTTGCGACTCCCTAGGTTGAATTATCCTTCTTCAAAAAAAAAATTATTACCGAACAGTCCGTCGGAGCTTTGTCGCATTAATGCGCTCCAGAAAAATCCGTATCAATTTCCCATCATTTTTCGGCCCCTCAATATTGATAAATTAGAGCTTGAAATGGAACGATTTCCAATTACAGGCCGTGCAGGTGAATGGAAATGTCTTAAATTAGCCCAAATGGCTTCTTTTTGGAGCTGTGTAAAGAAGGATTCGCAGAGAAAAAGTTCCTAGAAAGAAGAATTCAGTTAAATATGAACAGATCGAACGAACATGACTGTCGATTCTACGAGCAAACTTGTTGCAATCAAAATGCCTCCCCTTAAAGTTGAGACATATTAAATATCTCTGAAACGGAAAAGTTAGTTTTGAAATGAAAAATTGGCAAACCTCAGAGTTTCCGGATTTACTGCACATCGGCTTAAAATCATAAAAATCCATGAAAAAAGATAAAATCCATAGGAGAAATTCCCTAGTTTCTTCGTTGTAACAAGTGTAGTGCTGAAGAAAGACAAATGAAGGAACTTCCCGAAGAAAAATACCTTCAAAACGAAATTTCCGCCTTGATTCAGTAGTGAGAGAGCGACATTTGCTTCAGCTTTCAACAGAGGAAGAGTCTCACTTTCTTGTCTTCCGGGATCGTCCTGATCTCATTTTTCTCATTTCGAACTATTCCAAGATATATACCCGTGTGTAGGAACTCCCATCCGCTGTGATCAAGTCGAAAGTTCCAATTTTTTCTTTCAACTCTTGTAAATATTGCCCGTCGAACTGAAATCGACCAGTTCAACCGAAAAAAAAAAGATTTTCACCTTAAAAATATCGCCATCATCTTCGGGTCCAAAAACCCAGTTCTGCAAATTTCCTATCATCAACGAATCATTGAGAAACATGTCCGAGGCCTTGTTTCCTTCGTGGTAAGGGTTCAACCTTGAAATCGGAACTTTTATTAGTATTTTGGAGTTCACCAACGTGTTCGCGTTCCACTTCCAGTGCACATGAGGCTGATGGCTGCAGAAGTGAAGATCCAGGGCCGCTATGAAATGGCCTGGCCCTTCACAAATGTGAAACGATCTCAAAAACATTTATTCGAAATTAAATATAGAATATCAAACTTGAACGAGTTCTTGGTATTATTAGTGAGACTCGGGTAACGGGCCAGAATCTCTAGGAACTTGCAAAACGCTTGACTTGTCCATTCGCAGTTATAGTAGCGTCTGGAAAATCACTGATTTTTCAATAGTAAAACTGATTTATCGCTACCTCATAACCTTCGGAGCCCTCGACAAGCCGTGAGTGTTGCGCGTATTCTGCCGCCATTCGACTTTACCCTCGCTCGTAGAACAAACTTCGTGTACTCTTTCCTACAAAATCAGAAAATGCGCATTATGAGAAACAGAGAATTTAGTTCATGAATACGTACTGAAAAACCGAAAATTTTAAACCTGATAGTCTAGAAGCGAAGACTTCAACTTCCTAAAGTCTTTACTTACAGCATCAGGCTTCTCTTCAGTTGAATCTTCAATGGAACGGAAATGGAACTGAAAAGAAAAGTGAGAAAAAACATCGCAATCACTTCTCGCACCTCTTTTATTGAAGAGCACACTTCGAACATTATTGGATCATTGGGGAAAGAGCTGAAAGAATTAATTTTTTTAATACAATTTTTATAGATAAGATTCATTGTTGAAACTTTTTAAAAAAAGGTTAAACTGGAAGAGGGCCGAAATTGAATTACCATTGACGCTTGCGAGCCGGTCTGGCTGCTCCAATTGCACACTGAAAAGGCACAAACACTTCTAGATTGATCAACCACTGGCTCAGAAACGTCCGAAAGTCTTGCAAGTTACCTGAAGGGGTTTTCTGGGTTTTTGAGACGAGGAGATTGAAATACGCGCCAAGTGAAAAAAACGCATTGGAGGTCTCTCTTAAATGACCGGCAAGTTCGCTCCACGCAACCGCGTTACTGTAACTCGGGTTTTTTCCTTTTTGATTATTATTAATCATTTCTCCCATCATTTTTATTCAATTGATTAGAAAGGGTGTGAGAAATGGCCTTGTGAAATGTAGAAACAATAATTAACCATGATTTATTGTACCATGTTTTTCGAAGGTTAATTCGGCGTCCGGTTTTCAACAGAAAGCAGAGAAAAATCTTTCATAAAGGAGGAATTATTTCTCAGCTGAATATAGTTTTCAATGTCCAATCTCTTTTTTGACTGCTTTATTAGCCTTGTAGTGCCTTCAACACAGTTTTCTCCTTGAATTGCTACCAACAGCTTCCAGTAAAGTCTCAAAAGTTCAGAGGACCTTTTATGGTAAGAGAAGTCATCTAGAAGGCAGGAAGGAGTCCCTTGCTCGGCCATTACTCTTCCATCCTGGAGAGAAACGGAAGGACTGAGGGGGCTGGTGCAGGCTACTGAAAAATTCATTAACCTGTGCGGCCGGAGCCTCTGCCTCGCCTCTCGGCGCACATTATCCCTCGACCCATCGATTCGTCTACTGTATCTCCAGCATGCGTTTGCCCACCTAAGCATGTTATTCGACAAACACGGCTCCTATTTCGTCCCTAACAGAGATCCAAGACAAAAGGCGTCATACCAATATTCAAATTTCAAGTTTATTTTGCAAAATTCAGTAAAGAAAAAATCAGACCCTGGAATGCGACGGCACGATCGACGGGAACATCGAAGAAAGTACCGGGGAAACATAAAAATCAGGATAAACAAGAGATAAACATTTGGCGAAGTTGAGTGAAAAATAAATAAAGTCAACATATTTGGTACGAATCGTGAAGGGACTCCTGTTTTTTTCGGAATCCGAAGTCGAATGCATGAAAATTTTCGCATGGAACGCTTGAATTTTGAACCGTTTCCTATTAAAGTTTGCGTATGAGTTAAAGAAAAACCATATTTTCATGCAAACAGCCCATGAAACAAAAAAGTTATTGGGATCCTATGAAAATTATACAAAAATGTGAGCCGTAGAATGAATTAGGATTGCTAGTGAGATCAGTGAGTGAAGATAAATTCTAGCTATTTCGGCCAACATGAGAATTGCAATATGAAACACGTTCAGACGAGATCAATGATGCTCAAATGAGAAAAATCAGTCAAAGTAGCCTGGAATCGCGCCAAAAGGGCTGCATTTCGTCGGCGCCGGCATTATCCTCTGAGTCATGGCGGCGGTGCTGCGTCCGCGGAACTGTGACCGGAAATCTCTGGAAAACAAGAACAAGTGTAAGATTTAAACAGGGTTCTAGGAAGAAGTATATAAGAGATCTGTGATTTTTCTGATGCGGAAATGAATCCGAAACCAGTTTTACAACTAGAAAATTTTGATGGATACTGTAGAAGCTCTCAGTGATTAAACTTTTCAAGAGTAATGAAATTTAAGAAAAATAAGGTAATCTAAAAAAACAGCGAGAATCACCGCGAAAGATTATCAGAGAAACATTTTTCAAAAATTGGAAAGATAAGAAAATCTTGGGCAACATTTCTTTTTTCGAAAAATTTCGAAACTTTTTTTCTGGATAACTTTCCAAAAAATCTAGTTTTAATGCTCCCTTAAAAGGCGTTTTTGTAGAATCCAGAAAAAAAGTAAATTTCTCAAAAATTTTTCAAAAAAACCTTATTCCAAAAGATAAGTTTTTCTTTAAAAACCTCATACGTAGTTTTAAAAAAAGATTGTGAAAATTTAAAAAAATTTATGAAACTTCTATCTAAACTACAACATCAGGAGCTTCGGCAAGGCTCTCAAAAAGCTTAAACTTTTTCAGTAAAAAGAAAAGTCTCGGAAGGCTCGACAGAGAAGCCTCGCCGAAAATGGTCAGGCCAACTGAAGTGAACCCGGCGTGTTTTCAGGCGGGCCTTGTGAATAAATGCTGCTCGTATTATTTATTTATCTAATGCCCAATGAATGAGAGGAGGCTGAATTTCCGAGCGGCCAAGTACCTTTTCTGCTTTTGTCGTTGGTTGCAGAACCAAACTCGGACCACGTTTTTCTTCAGGTCCAGTCGGTCGGCAATCGCGGCGATCCGTTCTCCGGAAGGTCGCGGCTGTTGCCTGAACATTATCAGTTTCAGACTTGCTTCAATTTCTTCGAATTCGGTTTTGAAAGTATTTGAAAATTTTGAAAGAAGCTTCAATTTGAACAGGAATAAAAAAAGTAAAAAAACCACAAGGAAGATTTTTTTCTGATACAATTACTCAGAAATAAAGATGACATCGAAGCATTTTTTTAAAATTAACTCTTCTTAAAGTAAAACTGAAGCCCTGTCTAATAAACGAAAAATAATTTAAAATCTTTTTTTATCTTTTCTATACTCAACTGATTTTTCTTAATAAAAAAACTTCGACTCATTTTTTTGCAATTTTTTTCTCCGAGCCTAAGAATCCTTTTGAAGCGATCGATCAAATTTCATCCACTAATTTCAAAGTCATTTTACTTCGAACTCACTTGAAATAATCTTCGAGAAGCCGCTTTTCAGGCGCCGCGATGCTGGTCCTCTTGCGTTTTTTGTCTGTGTTCGGCAAGATTCCGGACATTTCCCCGCAAGCGTCTTTTTGTTTCGTCGCTTCTTCAGCCTAAATATGATTTTTCCTAAAATCTCTGAAGTTTTCCTTTTTTCAACCTTTTCAAGCCATGAATGGAGTATGGGCTTCAGGGCGACCATGTTATTGTGGGAAAGGGTAAGGGATTCGAATCTTAAAATTGGAAATTGAAAATATCTATAAGAAGAAAAACAACCTGCAAATGGTAGATTGACTGAGGGACCCGACGCCAGGCATTTTCAGGTGGGCGAGGGCTTTTCCGACGTCAGCCTAGAAGCAAAATATTGAAGAAAAATGTGATAAATGATTTGGAAAAATCAAAAAGTTGAATAAAAAGCCTCAATTTCATATTCAAATCAGAAAATAATTCAAATAAAAACCTGAGTGACGCCGAGCTTGATTCGCCGCTGTTTGAAGTGTTCAGCGAACCGTTCCAACTCTCGCGGGTCTGTTTCCAGTTCTTAATTCGGTTTAGGATAGCTTTTTCATGATTTCGAATAATCGATTTTTCAAATCTTTCCAAGTTTAAAGTTATCGTTAAAAAAAGTAAAAAGCTCATAAATTCTTTAAAAAAACAATTTCTTATGTTTCTTTGAAAATCTGAGGCAGTCGCCGTGATTCACAATTATATATCGCGACAAATTTGATGACACAAAATATTAAAATTGAGCCACATTCTTCTAAAACATCAAAATTTTTTTGAGTATTTTAAAATAAAGCAACTTTTTTTTGTTGTATAGCAACCTAACTTTTTTTCTCAAAAAGCTGTAAATTTCGAAAATTCAAAAAAAGTCGTGAATGAATCTTTTTCTCTTGCACTTTCGTACTTTTGACGTTTATTTCTTAATTTTCCAGCGAAGTAATATATTTACTGATTTTTTTCTCACGTTTATTATCCTACTATCAGCTTCTCAAGGGTCTTATATGTTTCATAATAAACATTAAAATAATAAATCCTGAATTTTCCAATTATATAAAGGGTAAAATTTATATATTTTTCAATGAGGTCCTGTTCCCATTTTTTCCTTGGTTTGTATAATATTTATTTAAAAGTCCTTTTTTATAATGAGAAGGAAGATTCACCAGCAGTGGGAGCGGCCAGCGGATACCGCGCAACTTGCGTCGGCGCAGTGATAGCGGAGGCGGCGAAGGAGTGCGACATGGGGTACTGCGTGAATTGTGGCGGGGCTCCGTAACTTTGCATCGCCATTACCTACAAAATTGCGACTATAAATAGAATCTCTGAAAGGAAGTCTACTTGTTGAAGTGGCGTCATCTGTTCTTGACTCTGTTCAGAAGACGTGGGGATCAAGGAAGTGGCGTCAAAGGGTTCTGAAGAAGAAGGAAGGCCTTGGTAGATGTTGGCCGTGTCGTGGCCCGTCATGAAGTAGTTGCTGAACATCTTCGTTTTTTTTTCAGTTTTGGAGGCTGAGAGGAAGAAAAGCGGAAAAATGAGAAATTCTGAAAGTTTTTCAAAAATATAAAATGAAAAGCGTCTTATAAAACTATCCTCTTAAAAAAAACTGAGAAAGTTTCGAAAAATGAAAAATGAAACGCGTTTCATAAAAAGTCTTTCTGCGTGAAACGTTCTATCCTCAATTTTCTTTACACTTTTCTAAGTGGAAAAAAATCATAGAAGAATTTTTCTCTGAAACATTACAGCGGATCCTTGGAATCTTTTTAGGCAAAAAAACACAGAACCTTATCGACCAATTTGAAGTTCCATTCACAAAAAAGTACAAGGCTGATTTTAGTGAGAAACCAGAAAATTTTGAAGAGTCAAAATAAAACAATAAAAGCGTTTCCGAAATGAAACTGGCTTGTTTTACGTCATTTAGAGTTGAGGAAAATATTCGTTAGTTTTTCTCTCCGTTGTTAGAAGCTGCTCTTCAGATTTTCATTCAAAAAAAAAAGAAGCTGGAAAACTTAATTAAAATTTTTTCTTTGAAAAGGTTAAAAAATAATTTTTCTTTGAAAAGGTTAAAAATATTTTTTTCGAAGCATCAATATCTGGGCTCAGATGTCACTGAAAAATTTTTCAGAACTCCTATCATTTAACAAGATCAAGCCTGAACCTCAGTAAACAAAAAATCGAAGCAGAAGTTCAAAAAATATCCTCATCGACTTTCAAGAGCTCGAATATCGACGTTGGACTCTTTGGGATATATTTTCTAAAGAGCTTTTTTTTCCAAATTTATGTCAGATCAAAGTTAAAAATGCCTAAAAGACTATTCAAAGCAAGGCGCTAGAAATATTATCAAAATCTTTCCAGAGACCTCAAATTTCGAATATATCTGCCCTAAAACTTCAGATTTTTACTCTTAGCCACCTCAAACATGCACAAGCCTCAGAGAAAAATTAGAAAGAGGAGTAAAAAAAAATTATCAAAACTTTTCTAGATCTCGAAGCTTAAAAAGACTTTTGCAACAATCATTCCTTTATCAATCCCAACCTGAACATGTCGTGCGGCCGCATCAGAGGGTTGGTCAGATGGACGCTCTTGACGTCGATGTCGGCCAAGGCGGCCTGGGCGGCGCGGGCGTGCAACAACGGATCATCGAAGGACCCGAACAGGCTGTTGTTGAACTGAAACTCCGAAATGACTAAAGATCTGGGGGAAAAGGGGTGTTTCAAGTCTAGTTCAAGTCGCCTACTTCTTTTCCACCTGCCACTATCAGAATGGATTCCTATTAACGTCATTCGCGGGTCTGGATCCTCGATTTACGCATTTTCGTGATATTTTTGTCGCGTGGGAGTTTTTCAAGAGACGTTTTTTACTCATTCTGCTGGTCTGTTGATCTTGTACCGATGCATGCCGGAATATTTTATTTGCGAGGTGACGCCACTTCATCTTGTCCGACATGTTTCTCGAGAGAGAAGACCCACTTAAGAAATTAATTTATATGGATCGCAGAAGTTCAACTTTCTTAAAGTTCCAACTCGTTAAGGTTCTCATAGCCTTAAATAAATTATTAAGAACTTCTCCTACCTCTAAAACTACCTACAGCCAAAATGTGAAAGTTCTTTTTTGAATTGAAAAGCTTGAAAAGCTGAAAATCAAGGGTTAAACTAACAAAAAAAAATGAAGAACCAAATCTCTCAAAAATATATGTAAAAGAGCGAAATAACTTGAGAGAACTATTCTTATTACGACTTTTTTGAAGATGGGAAGAGAGTTAAGCAAAAAAGCAGAAAAATACCAAAAACTGACAAAAATTCCGAATCAAAACTTTTCGATGACAAGCCGATAAAAACAGTTCAAAGTTGAAAATTTGCCATCCCATTTTATATCCGAACTAGTTTCAAAAAATGCAAAGCTTATTCTTGTAAAATTTCGAAGCTGGAACAACTTCGGGACAGGAAAATAACTGTTGATGCCAAAGCTCAGAAAAGACAAGTTTTGAAGCCATAATGCGAAATTGAGATGTTATATAAACTATTTCAAAATATTAGCTGTGCTAGGAAAAAAAACCGAGTTATCCACTGCTAAAATAATATCAAGGAGACTGGAAACTATTGTTTAACCCTTTAATTACAGTTGAGCCAAGATACAGCTTCTCATCAAGCTTCTTCAAACGAGAAAAAGAACTTCATCGCTAATTAAAGATGACGAATAAATACCGAAAGCAACATCGAGAGTAGGAAATGGCCTAATCATGAACACGCCGCTGCCCCCGAAACGATATTAAATTTTTCATGGCGGCTTCTTCGCTTCTTAAATTATTCTCATTGGGGAGGGGGGCGCGTGTGTGGCCGCATGAGTAAATCATTGTTGGCGTTTGTCGGCTATGAATATTCTAAGGGTTGTCGTCGACATGTTCGCCGTTGAATTCCTAAAATAATCGGGAGCGAAATGCGTCGGCGAGGGGACAGGTGAAAAAATGGGGACAGATTTGGAGCGAACGGAAGGAAGAAAAGGAGATGGAGAAACGAACCGGCTGCATTTTGGAGGCGGAATAGGCGGTGGCGGTGCCAGAAGCGGAGGAAGACGTCGTGGCGAGGGCGTTCAGCGACGGATAGAGCCGCTGGGAGGTCTGCATCGGCGGCGGCGGCTGGTCGGATGGCGAATGTGTGCCCCGACGACCTCTGAGCAGCCTACCGTAAGCCTCGGCGCGCGAGATGCTCCCGCCACGCCCACCTCTCGCCAATCACGGCTCCGACTCCTTCCTGATGTCCTCTCTGTTGCCTAATACGGCCAGAACGTCGGGATCTCCTGGAATTACGACGCAATTGTCGTCGCTTAGAGGGCTATTCATTTCAAATGAAATATTTAACAACTCGCTCCTATTCGTGACTCGCCAAAATTGGTGAGCCGTTTTGGGTTTTTTCGAGAAGAACAGCTCTGCATGAAGTTCGAAAGGATCAAGAGGATACAAGAGCACAAAAATGTGAAAGAAATTGAGAATATCTTGATGGAAAGTACAGAGCTTGAAACTATGAAGCCTTGAGGTCTGTTAGAATGATCCTTGATGGAATGTATACTGACAGGAAATAACGGTGAAAATGGTTTTTTCTTGCCAGTTCACAGGAAAAAAACTATTAAATTGATTCACAGTTTTTTTATTTTTCTACTACCGGCAATTATTCCTGAAATTAAACGAACAATCCATTCACAAAACGAAAGCTTATTGAAAACTACAACAAGAAATCAATTAAAAGAGTAATAATTTGGAAATGGAAGTGAAAATCAGGACAGACACTTTTTTTGGCGCATTTAGAGTGCAGTGGGCTTTGTTCGGTGCATTTTTCATAGGCCTATTATTAATTATAGATCGCGTGAATGTTAGACTGCATTTCAAATGATTCTTGCGTACGGAAAAAGGTGTTCGCTCAAAAATATTCTCACTTCAAGTACAAAAAAACAAATTGAAGAGATAGAAAATAGGAAAATGGATCTTCTAGTTCCGTAAATTTTCTGCCTAATTTTGGAACTTTTCTACTAAAGACAAAATTTCAAAAAAATATCCAGTGAAATTTTGACAGATCCGTTTTTAATCAGTCGAAAGCGAGGTAATTTCTACCAGTCGTTCGCAAAAACAGTAACTCGAAAAAAATTTATTTCAAATGAATGAAAGCTGGAAAACTGTCAAAAAATCTAAATGCAAAAAAAATATTTATATTGTAATGGTAATGTTTAATGTTGTAAAGGATGCTATGTTTAACACCGTCCACCGCCTTAATGAAGATTTAGAAAAGGTTTCGTTTTTTTTACAAGGCTGAACTTCTTCGCATTTTTTATTGACTTGAAGTATTAATAATCTTCTTTAAACGGATCTTTTATGTATTTTGCATGCTCTGACATTCTTCTTCAGTTTACACTCCGACCACCTTCCTAATGAGCTTCAGCTACTTCTGAACAAACATTGAAGCCAAAGTAACGGTATCGGCAGCTGCCATCAAGGTGAGTGCAGGTGTCGACCGCGTTAATCCTCGTGTAACTTGTACCCTGCCCATTTCCTAATCGGTCACGTTTGCTCTCGCACCGGATTACTGTAGCACCAAGAAGAAAAAAGGAAGAAGCAGCAGAAGAAAAGGAAAAGAAGAAGAAGCCAGCCACCGTAGGGGCTTTTTTTCACGTTCTCCGTGGCGAGTCGATATAGCCACGAGCTCCGCAGACCCCATACATTAATAATAAGACGATGGCACTCGGGGCCGTGCGAAATCCGCGGAGCTCTCGTCCGTCGACTGTCTGTCAGCTGCGGACTTTTCTCACGACCCTCCCCAGATCGCCCGATTTCCCTACTGTAGGCTTCAAGAGTGCAAACAAAATTTCCATGATGTTCTTTTTCAACAAAATATCATGTTTTCAAATATGGATTTGATTTAGAGCTCATTGAAGTCTTGGAAACGTGTGAGCAACTCGGTTTATTATAAACACCTGATTTTAATTTTTAATAGAACTTATTCATCAAGATGGAACTGTAGAGTTCATAGTCTGCTCGAAGTTCCTAGCATGCGTTGAGAAAAAGAACGAAAATAATTGCATGAGAAGTTTTTAGAAGTGCAGATGCAATGCAGAATTTGATATAACCCAGAAAAAAGTTCTTCATCCAGATACTTTTATAAAAGTTTGGTGAAAAAAATTTTTTTTTACTCTGAAAAAATCGACGCAATTTTTTTTGGACCAACTATTTACACTGTCAATTTTTTTCAAAATCACAAACTTGGATTTTTTGAAAAACTAAGAAGTCCTGCTGTCAAACACGTTTTTGACGGCTAGCCGGGTTAGAACGAAAAATTTATTCAAAGGCATCTAAATTTTTTGCACTTTCTCGTTGATCGTCTTAAAAGAAAATGCAGCCCTGTCTTCAGCCGCCGGTAAATGAACTATGAGCTAGCTTGGAAACAGAAATTATTCGCTAAAAATTGAATTTTGTGTCTATTTACTGGAGGAAATACGCAAAACGTCTTAAAATTCGGTTGAACTCCTAAAAAGGAATTCAATTTTACCATACGGTTTGCAATCCACTGAAAATTGGCCAGGATACTATTTTTGGGATTTTGAGCCTTCATTTTTCCAGAACTAGGAAGCTGTGCAGGTTGAGACTTCCAGGATCTTTTTCTGGTACTTCAAGGAGTGTTCTGGCCAATTTTCAAGTAATCCCCAAACGCAAAGAAAAAAGATCTCCTTTTTGAGAAAACGGTCTGTCAGCTGCTTTCTGAGGTGGACGCCAAGTTTTGGAAAGAAGCTGCCAGCCAGATGGCAGAGACCCACGGTCGGCTGCCTTCCCACGCGACGCGTCATCAGCTCTCCGATTAATTGCGTCGTCTCCATATTTGGCAGTGCACTTGTTGACTGTTAACTGCAGCCCGGGCCTCTCTCCTTATTACATGGGCCGAAATTGAATTCCGAAGTAATCTTCATGGTTCTTGGGCCTATAAAGTTGCCGGAAACATCTCAATGAGACTACATACTCTCTTACCGGAAAAATTTCAATGAGCGAAAAAAGATCCGAATAACTAAGAACCGTAATTTATACCTTTTGAACTTCGTTATTTTGAACCAGAGCCTTGAAAATGTTGCTGGAAACGTCTCAATAAGGTTATTCCAGGAAAACGTTCAGAAGAGGTCAGAATATCGGAGAGCCGTCTCTCATAAAGGTTGAGAAACCATGAAAGATGATTTTCCAAAATTAAATACAAACGATGAAGCTAAGAAAGATGATCTCAACTCTAGCAAAAAACCAAAAATTATTAAAAATTATGAAAAAAAAAGTTCAAGTTCCTTCAAAAAAAACATCAAGCTGGAAAAGTGTTATAACGAAAACATTTTCGACAATTCCGAAGGTCCAAAAAATTATTGGTGGCTCCTCTTTAAAAATTTAATTTTGAAACCTCCGATCAAGTCCGAAAATTTGATTCATCGCTCACCAAAAAGCAAGGAGGTCCTCGAAAAGCTCATTTAATTGAAACTCTCGAAACTGAAGCAATTGACCGAAGCGATCCGTCACTACCGTCCTATTGAGTCATATTCGATGAGGGGAAATCTCTTGTTTTGATTGTAATTGGCTCTTCGGAGGCATCTATCATCGGACAAAGGAGATCATACAGGACATTTCTGGTTGTTGCCTTTGTGTCCGCGCCGACAACGCATCCATCAGCCGTCGAAAACATTTTTCGGGAAGGAAACCGCGGAATGTCACGCGATGCTCGTTTCGGCTCTAAACGGCCGTCTCCGCCGCGAGTCGTTCCCAGTCGGTCCGCCACGCAACACGCCGTCACAGCTGTTATCGTCAGAACCGCCTAATTGCGTGGATACCGTTTCGAGCTCCCTTTTTATGGGGACGGCGACAAAAGGCTTGATTGAGTGATTTCGGTACGGTTGGGCTTGAATTCTTGTGAAGCCGCCGATTTAACGATGGCTTGTGGCAGTCAAAGTGATTTTTGAGCTAGGAACATAATCTCGAGGTGAGGGTTCCTTGAAGAGTACGAGCATTCTGTAGGGAAACACACCACAAAGAGAACGGCTTTCTTTATAATTCCATTGAAACCAGAATTTCTGACAGTGGCAAAAAGAGTGAGGCTTCAAAAAATGTTGCAAAAATAGATGATTGGACAAAAACTTCAAGTTTGTCTATTCATCCGCTAATGATGCTCATGGTGGCTCATTTTCAACGTTAAACGTGAAAATAGAAAGAAAAAAATGAGACTTTACCAATTGGAATTAAGCTTGAGCACTTTTTTCTTTAAATAAACGCTGAATACGGTTTCTTCATCTCTTGCCTGATTCGACGTTTAATAATTGGAAAAAGGTCATTTTAGTGAAGTTTCAGTTTTCTGAAAAATATCTCAAGCATTTTCTGGAGGTCCAGATAGGGGATCTTCCTTCAGATCATCAAAAAAAAAAAATAATTATTTTCATGGAAATTTTAAGATCCATACAAAAAGTATCTTTCCTTAGTGATACTCATCTCTAACCTAGCGGTGAATGGATTATAACTAATATTTATTTATTTCCAGTCCTAATCTCTCAATCTGACTTCCGAGCCGACATTGCGGTAAAAAAATGATTAATCGGTGTTAATCGGGGCCGTTAATCCAAATAAGACCGAAGCTTCTTTGCCGGAAATCGGGCGACTCCGACAGGTGCTCGCGGAGCTTGTTCGTCGGAGCGCGAATTCACAAAGAGCCATCTGCATGATAATTGCAGCCAGCCGATGTACTGCTCTCGCCTCTATTATCTCACTTTTTTCCGCCTCGGATGGCCCCACCTCAGCTAGGTGTTTTGTCTATGGGACTTTTATTGCCGGCAGAAATTTTGATTTTGGGATAATGGGCCCAGAAGGAAATTCACAAAAAACTTCAAAAACTTAAAAACTTATTCAAGAAAAGCTTGAAAGACAACAAAGAGACAGGAAAATAGTATAGCCTACAAAAGTTTTTTGAATATTCTCGGGCAAAGTCGGAATGGTGGATAATGGCTGCTAAAAGGGAGAGGCTCAAAAAATGCCGCAGAAAGGCAGCAAAAAGGCAGCGAAAGGCAGCACAGAGACTCCCTTTATCGAGCCTTCCATTTTTCTGGGATTTTAAAGGCTCGAGAAATGGTGGAGAAAGGACGAGGCAGCAAAAATGGTGCATAAGGGCTGAAAAATGGAGCAAAAAGGCAGCAAAAAGAGAGCCTTCATCACCCTAAAAGGAACATTTCTATGGTCCTTTATGGACCCTCGGAGGGTCCTTCCGACTTTGCCTGTGTTATCATAAGTCTTCAGTTACAAAAATCAGAACGCTTTCTGTAAAAGATCATTTTCTTATCTTCACTGAAAGTCTGAAATGGGTGTTCAAGACGCACCCGCTCTAAACGACTTTCGCGGGATATCAGGTGAATTTATCTCAAAATGCTGGGCTTAAAATCCGTTTTAGGCCGAAATTGTTTTCCATGGACCTTCTATAATTGCAAAATCGGTAATTCTGATGAAACTTGTGGCGTTTTCATCGGACAAAACGAAAATTGCTTCGAAACGCAAAAAAAAAGATCCAAAACAAAACTTAGTACTTTTTTGGAGCAAATTTGGCTAGCCGATGAACACGATTTTTCGTTTTGAAGCATGTTCCGTTTCTCCGATGAACACACGTCATTGGAAAAATAGTTTAAAAAGAGAAAACAGTAGACAAAAAAAAAGTTAATAAGCTTCTACAGTAACCTGTGACAATCCAGCAGCGAGTTTTTTTTTCAAATTTTACAGAGCCCAAAAGTCCAACAAAAGATTTGTTTTGCCGCAAATGTCAAGCGTGAAAAGTTGAGGATTACTGTAGCGGATGCGCCGCAGGGCAAACAATCCGTTTTTGGCCAAAAAAGGGTTTTTCCGCTTCAAGTCGAGTTCGTAGTTACACGAAAGGCAAAAAAGAATAGAAAAGAAAAGAATCAAGTTTTCCGCAAATGAAGGGAAATTAGCATCTTGAGCCAGCCGGTCCGATTATTCAAATGATGAGAAAAAAGTTTGTTTGCTGGTTTGAATGATCCTTAGGAGCTGATAATATGTAAATAGATAGTATTTAGAATTTATTTTTTACCAACCGATGGGAGCTCTCGCAAAATGAGATAGAGTAACAAAAAGAAGAAAATATATCTCCGAAGGAGGAATATTCTCAGAAACGGCTTTGACTATCTGAATGTAAGTCTTCCAAAAATCTAACCTGCGCGCATTTTCCCCCGAAGCTAATCACACTAATGAGAAAAGACAGAGTAAAATAAAAAAAGTAAAAGGAGCAGAAAGTTCCAAGAAGCATTCTTCATTATATAACAATTTGACTTTGCTTGCAATTAGTTTTTATAATCCAAAAAAAAGGCGTTCAGATTCGGTGAAGTATATAAAATTTTAGACTCAAAATGGTCACAGGAAAAAAAAATGAGCGGGAGAGTAAAAAATATTGAATTAAGACTAAAACTTCATGATTCACTTTCTCAGGCCTAGTATGCAAATCTTTTTACATTGAATTACAATGTACGTTCTCAAGAGATCGCGTAAAGGAAGACAGTAGTTTGAATGTACAACGAAAAAGATTTTTTTAAGAGATTAAGCCAGTCAACTTTGTCAATTAAGTTAGTTTTTTTACGCATTATTTTGCTCTTTTTTAGAAAAGTCATAAAAATAAATGAATGAAATGAAATAAAACTGACGTCGCTGGCCGCTGGTGAAATCTACATGCCCGGCGTCTTTTTTTCAATCTTGGACATCGAATCGTTGTTGCTAATTCAAGACCTCAATTCTGAAGATTATAAATTTAACATAATTATGAACTTTCTCACATTTTTCGAAGCAGAAAGGTACAGCGCAAAAGTATTCTCATCATCAATTGAAGAAATTAAAATTTTAAAAAAATTGCAAAATTTGAAATTAGCGCCGAAAAAGATTAGCCTCGCAGCGAACTTCAGCAAAGTTTTTTCCGTCTTAATTTTTTTTTCGGTTTTTTTTTCCTTTTTTTGTTCTTATTTTTATAAATTCGTTTTATTGTACCTTTATTTAGTGGTACCAGCTTTTCACTGCTGTTCATTGTGCTTTTTCTCGTTGTTTTTTTATTCACTTGGTACCTACAGCCATTTGACTAGTGCGCCCTTTTGTTCTTTTTGATATAAAATTTTTTTTAATAAAATATCTATTCTACATTCGCGAGTTGCAGAAAGGATGAATGTTCGAGGTTTATGTCGCCGTTCGAGTCGTAAAAGCAGCGAAAAGCGCCGTGACTGTACCAAGTGTGGAACGGCTCGGCATACATTTCGATGGTTTTCGTTTGGATGCTGAACTTCCCACAAAGTACGCAAAACTTCTCCTACTTTGTGTTTGAAGTTGAGTTACTTTATTTGTCCGGTTTCGCACCTTGGAAAAGCTCTTTAACGGCAGAAAAAAGAGAGGTAAATTAGAGCAGGAAAGGTTAGAAAAGTGTTAAATAAGAAAGTTTTTCTATCCCTTCTTAAACCAATTTTTCAGCGATAATCTTGGGATCCAATCCATCATATAGGGGATGGGACAGTTTTTAAAAGAATTTTCAAGAGGTTAAAAGTCGATAGTTCGAAACAAAAGTATCGACCAGTCGAAAATAAGCAATAGAGAAATTATATTTTTTTCTCATCTTTAATGGGTTGTATGAACGTTTCTCTATCTACTTTTTTTCAAACCGGGCAAACGCATATTTGAAAAGAAGAAATGTAATAAAAACTAAAAAGACTGGAAACTGTAAGTTTAAAATTTCTGAATCAGTTTTCAGTTCAAATTTTATCTTTTTACAGCATGGGATCAATTTTATGTACATAAGTTGAAAGGAAAAAATAAATCTAGCTCAAACTCGAGTCGAAAAATATAGTTTTACATATAATTTTTTTTTCGGCTAACTGTTTCATTGAAATAACCGATAAGGTGGTCAAGAAAAATCAATCGAGTCGCCCTTGTTTCCTTATCAATTTAATTGATTCTCAACTATTTTTCCCTTTTTTTGGCCTCCACGCCTATTTTGGGTACATTTTTTCTCGACTGCGCGCTTGTATGAATGCCATTCCCAAGTCCACTTTTTTGTGTTCTTTCAATGTCGGCGTCTCCTGAGAAAGGTGTTTTTTTACCCGCTTTGAACCGTCTAGCATCGATTTCCAGTGTTCTTTTCCCGTTCTCTTGGAATTTCGCTTTGATATATTTTCGAATAAATTGTAAATTTTGGAGGAATATCGTCTGATCTTTTTCACATTGAAACTCAGTTTTTCCCACGCAAAGATTCTCTTATGATTGTTTATTTTTACACTTAACAGCTCGAAATGATTTTTTTTTTCTTCGAAAGTTTGAAATGAGTAGAATTTCTGTTTCATATAATGTTACTCCTTTTTTTCTATTTGTTTTTTTAATTATCTTTTTTTCTTTTTATTATTTTTGAAGCGTTTTTTTACGCAAAAAAATATGTCTGAGGAGCTAACGGAATACTTTAGTTTGAGGTTCAAAGAGCCTCAGAATTTTTTTGCTCCCACGTTATTTCTTGCTATTTTTTTGAAAATTGGAATGAGAATTTTTTTGAATTGAATGGGAGCACGGAAGACTTACCGGACTTACCTATTTCCAAAAAAAAAAACTGGAGCCGAAATGGCGCAGATTGAGTCCTGATTATTTTCACCCCATTTTTTAAGAATATTTATTTGAAATGTTAATAGTTTCGAGGTTCAGCGGATATACCTTAATTTATACCCTTATTAGAACTGTCTGTTTGGAAAAAGTTGCGGAAAAAGAAAAGAAGGGGCTCCGGGAGCAGAAAAGACAAAAGTGAAGAGCCGCCGGAGCACTCCGTTGTAAAGATCAATCGATTCTTGCGGGTTGTTCCCCCGTTCAACTGCAAATCATCTTCATTTTCTCACGCTTTATTGTCTATCAAATGGGATTCCAACAATAACTTTAGTCCTCTTTGTCCTTTTCTTTTTTTTTCTGCGGGAATTCTCCCTAGAGAAACTTCCTACCACTTATTCCAATTTTCTGGAATTTTCTAAGATCTAAAAGTTTTTTCAAAACGAAAATTCTCTATTTTGCCAAGTATATAATGCGTTGAACTGACCACCGCCCTTCTTTTGGTTAGGCAATTTGCAGGAAACCAGTTAAATTCACGAACCTAACTAGACCGTGAAGTGAAGGTCGGCCAATACATTTCCAATAGCAAGTTCAAACTAATTCAGTACTCAAAGAACGGTCCTCACTTTTATTTATTCTTTTTTTTTTCGACTATGAAATTCTGATTTTTGATATTATCATTTTCTTTTTTTTTTTGGATAGGTCTTCCGGAATTAGTGTATCAGTTTTTTCAAGGCTAATTCTCGCTAATTTTTCCAGATGTAATAAAATGGTTTCTGGGAACTTGACTCAAAAATATGAAAAAATATAACATTAGACTGGACACCTGAAAAAGTTTCGTTTTTAAGTTTAGTTCTAAGCTGAGAAGCCTGGGAAAATAATACCAAATAAAGTTTTCAACTCTGCGAGTATTGACCCTTCTGATAGTCATGAAGAGATTTCATTCTAAAAAAAAATGATGCTGAGGAGTTTGCAGTGAAGTGACAGGAGACCTATAATCGAACTGCAATATTGACATTTTCATTTTCCGAGAAGAATATTTTTTCCTAAAAGTACAGTTCAAGAGGACCTTACCAAACGCCCCCCGCGTGTATTTACGGAAGCGCAGCCCTCCTATAAATTTCGATCCTCTTTAGTTCAGCAAAAGGTTCCATTTAAAGCAAAAGTCCAGCCGAAAGCCCATTGCAAAAAGGAAAATGCGTCGGTGGTGATGGAAAAAGGGAGTGTTTGCAGTGGTTGTGGCTGTGCAAAGATGCGGCACTTGTATCAGGCCCGACGGTCCTCCCGCTCAACAGTTTTTCGCTCGTTTTTGCGCTCTTGTATGCTCATCCCCATGTTCACGGCGATTATGGTCGAAACACGTGTTTGTGTACTTATTCCTGTGTCGGCTTTTTATGCACTGAAGCACTTGGAACAGCTGATTTTTAGTTTTATGTGAGCTTGAGCTTGCAAAAAGTCCGGTAGGTCTTCTGCAAACCGGCAAAAAGTGTAGGAAGCTTCTAGAGGGTGCATGAAGTTTTTTTGAGTTCATATTTTCTTGCTCTCGTAGATTTTTGCTGCTCTTTCTTTTTCGTCGAAGTAATTGAAACCGTAAATAGCTTTTGATAATGAAATCATCGAAGAAAGATAGAGCAGACAAGCGAGACAGTTTCAAATCGGGTGCAAGATAAAGCTCCCTTTTTCAGTTTTTCTTTCGCAACTTCATTTTCCCAATTTTTATTAATTTTTTTGGATTGAGATATTTAGATTTTCGCCCATTTTCCTAGACAGTTTCCATCAACAAAAAAACTAAAAAAAAATTCTGCTCGATTTTTTTAAATTTCTATGTTATCTGAAAACTCCTTTTTTTCATTTTTTTCAATTTACTAGGGAATGGTCTCGGCTCACAGTAGGACTTCTGAATAAGACTAGGCTCACTAAGTTTTTTTAAAAGCAGATTTCCATCTTAGTTAGCAGAACCGGAAATGCGCTTTTACCAGAGCGCGATCTCGAAAAAATGTGGTTCGAATCAAATAATTTCGCGTTCTCAGATTTTGCTGTGAAATTTAAACGAGAAACCTCAATTCTTCTTCTTCTTCTTCCTCATCGTCTAAACTAGAATTGTAGGATTGTAATTACAATAAGTCACATAAAATTTCGCCTCACTCTGTTTAATAATAGTCCTACCGATGTTTTCCCTTGCTTTCAAAGCAATCAATCAATTTGAAGCTCATAAACACATGTTCTTATTTCTTCTGGCAAAATATCGCCTCGAGTGGCCAGCCAAGATCTCGTCGGCCAGTGTTTTACCGACATTTGGCGGGTCTATACGCTAATCTATTTTGACATTATCATCGTTCATCCCATCGCTCATCGCCATCCCAATGCCCCGTTCAGTACGATCCGCTTTTTTTCTTTTTATTGAGACTTTCGATTACAAAAAATTCAGTTTTAGAAAGATGAAACTACGTTCAAAGAAAGTGTCCTTCTTGGTTTCTAAAAAAATATAAACTCTTTTTTTTGTGCTTTTTCTTTTCCTTTTCTTAAGCTTCACCGATCGTATTTTTTTTATATTCCTTCGTTTGCACCGATTTAATATAATGACCGATTTCTACATTAGCTGATTTCTGCAATATCTCTTTAAAAAAAAAAGAATCACGTCTTCTTCATTTTTAAAATTTTTCATTGTATGTCTTTTTGGAACTCCTCTATTGGCTATTTTTCCTTGTTTTTATTCGCTCCACCATCATCAAACTTGCTTTTAGTATTCTATTCCATTTTTTCAATGAAAATTCCAATATTCAACTTTTGATTTCAAAAATCAGAATTAGGAAAAAGACCTTTTTTTGAGTCTAATGATGATATTCCAGGCATGCTCGAGTCGGCTCACCATCAGGTCCAGCAGAGGTCAGTCAAAATTTTCAGTAGTAAAAATTGAAGCTGGTTTTTCGTTGAAGGGTTTTTTTTAGTTTCAAGATGTAGTTCGAAAAAGTTTTTCTCTTTTCTCGGAATTTTTTTCTTTTTCCTATTTGTTTGTACCTCTCGAACCAATTCGATAAAATAGATATCAGTGATAATCAGTGAACTAGCTCCGTTCAGTACGAAAGATATATTACTTATCTATCTTTGTGTGTGACGGCTAGGGATTTTTGATGTCGACGTTTCCCATTACCGAAATTTCTCAAATCCCTTTGGTTAAGTCGCGGAGGGGATCGAACTTGGCACCCTGTAAATCGCAGACAAGCATACAACCTGTTGCGGCCCACCAAAAAAAAAAAACGTTGAAAATTAACAATGAATGGGTTTTGAGGAGCCTTCCGGGTTATGCGCTCGAACATCCGGCGTCAAAGATCCGCGCCGCACTCCACCGCCACGTCGATGGCCGCCTTCTTTCAGGTTTTTTTCTTTTTATTTAGGAAAAAAAGTCCTGTTGGAAGTTATAATTTTCGTAGAAGTAGAATGATAGAAAATGATAAAAATCAGTCAAAAAGGCTCCAGAGTCACAGTCACACTGCTTGAGACTTGAATCACTAACTTTATTAGACTGTTGCTTCTTTTCTGTTTATTCATAATTCTTCATGTTTTAAGAAACAGATCCAAAAGTTCTTGTCGATTTATTTTATCTGAAATTGAACATTTTGTGTTTTTACATCTAACTTCTCAAGCCTTGAACTTCTCTCTATTGAAAAATGACTTTTATTGGTTCAAAAATTCTAGCTATTGAAGTTTAGGCTTGTAAAACTCGGAGAATTTGAAAACTTCAGAGTATTCTCGAGCTGGAGAGCATTATTCTCATTGCTCTCGTTGGAATTTTTTTCTCAGTTTTGTTAATCAATTTGAAATGTGAGATTTAAGATTCCATAAGCTGGGTTAGTGGTCTGACTTTTGGGATTTTTTTTGCAGAACTTTGATCTTTTTTTCGTTTCGAAAAAGCTTGGTCATTCTCAACCCATTTTTAAGGTTGCGGCGGCGACCTGGAAGTCGTGCACCCGCTGGAGCTGGAACGATCCCAGCACACCGGGCTCCCAGTCAGAGTCGCTTCCATCGGCGTCTTCGGCTCCTCCGACGTCGTCAAGGGCATCGTCAAGGTCGAAGGGACCAGTCAGTCGGACTTTCCCCTCCTTGGATCGTTTTCCGTTTGAGAACACGTCGTCGTGCACGGAGACAGTCTTTTGGCGGTGGTGCAGGACTTGGAGATGGTGGAGAGTTCCTCGTTGTCCGGTGGCAGGCTGCTCGAGCTCCCCGGCAGGATTGTCACTGTCATCGCCGAGAAGCATTCCAAGTCGGAGGTTCGTTTTGTTATCATCTTCTGTAAAGACTTTCGGAGCTTTCCTTAATCGATTTACGGAAGAAATCAAATTTTTTCAAAATTATTTTTGCTTTTCAAAGGTATATGACGAGAAAAAAAGTTTTAAAGTTTTTTTTTTGCTTTTCCACCTGACCATTTGACTCATCTCTGAAGTTTTTTGTTTTGATAATTGCAAATTTCCAGTTGCTGATTTGCATCCTCCTGGACAACGGACTCTACCACTATTCGTTCTGCGCACAAACTTCACAGCACTTTCAATGTGTACAGGCCTTCAAGTGCACGTTAGCCCTCCAGAAGCCCTTCCGAAGATCATGAAGAGAATCTTCAGAAGGCAAATAACGAGCGGGCTTCTGTGGCGAGACGGCGGTCTTCTCCACGTCGCCTACTACGACGGATTCGTCCGCGTTGGCATCATCCATGAAGAGTACGACGATATGCTCCTTGTCAAGGTATTGATCAACGTCTTCTTCTCACTCTGATGGCGAAATCTTCAGAAAATCTCAGCCAACAAGAACAACCTGCTGGTTCTTGTGAACGTCGTAACGGAAGAGCTGGAGCGGATCGAGAAGATCGAAGCTCAGGAGAAAGCGCGACGGGTCGAGATGACGGACAAGTCCAAGGAGATCATGGACAAGATCGGCGCCACCGAGGAGCTCGACGAGGCCAACAACACCTATTCCGACTTCTCTCAACTCAAAGTCTCCTTCAAAAATCATTCGGTGAGTTGATGATCGATCAAAAGATCCTTGAAAATAAAAATAAAGCAGTACCTAAAAGCTTAATAAAAAGAAGTAGTATGCAAGGTACTCTCTGCTCTGAAAAAAATCTCTCTTTTTTTAAAAATTTTTTTCGATCAAGTTTTTGCACAAAAAGTTTTAAATCTTTTTATTTTTTTAACCACATACTTTTCGCTATACTTGCTATGGAATTTCGCAAAGAAAAAAAAATCATATCAACCGCTGAATGTTTTTAGAAAAACTTCAAAGAGGGTTCAATTGCTCAAAAAGCGGTGAGAATAATCGCGTCATCGAAAAAAATGTTGCCTCTGGAGATTTTTCATAGTTTTTCTCATTCTCAACGATGATTATGTGAGAGGCACAGCTCCTTTTTCTTAATTTTGATCTCCTCCCTTATTTCACAACCATATTTTATGAAAGAAACCTTTCAGATTCGTTGCGAGCGGGTCTCGCAACGACTTTTCTGTCTTCGCAAACTTCTCGTAGTGATCAACGAGGCGATGGAAGCGGAACACTTCCTCGAATCTTCCATTCGTGCGTTGGAAGACGAACTAGAAAAGCTGGATTCGCTGAGGATCCTCTGCGAGGAATGCGCCGAGACCAACAACGAGGAGCTCATGAGCAAGAGCTGGATCGCCTTGGAACAGCGGTCTTTCTGAAATGTCTGAGACAGATTTTATTTTCGCTTTCAGACAATTCGCAGTCCAAGACTTGTTGAAAAAGGCGAGCCAAAGCAACGCCGCTCGACACACCGCCGAGTGGGAGAAGAATGTGAGATTTTCGTGGAAAACTCAGATAATCTTTTTTTTTATTTTCACTTAGTTATAATAGTTTATTTGTTCTATTTTTCAAGATAAAACTATTTATAAATAATGACCAAGAGAATGGAGTTTTGAGGTATCAGAAAATGTTGTACAGTTAACCAGAAGGATTTTTTTCATGAAAATCTTGGATCGGAATATTTATTCAGTTCATACTGAAAGGATCAATAAAGGATGTAAACATTAAATTACGGAAATTATATTTCAGATCGACTCAATTATCGAGCAGTTGAACGGCCGAGCCGATTCTCCAAAAGACATGAGACTCACAATTTCGCAGAATATTTTTGAACATCGTGGTGATAAAAAGGTTTTTTTTTTAAATTTCAGGCGTTCTTTTCAACTGTAGGCTTCTAAGAAACGGTAGAGTGTTGACATCAAAATGGAGAAAATTTAAAACTGAGCTTTGAAATTTTTGCTTTTTTGTTATACGTGATTTTTCGGACATTAATCGGTTTTGTCATTGCTCACCAATTTTTATTTTTCGAAAATATTCAGGACATCTTCACACACTTTGTCCTTGATACAAACGCCAGAGAACTGACGCTCTACTGCCTGTCCGGATTGACGACCCTCGCCGTTTATCCGAGAAAGGGGAAAAGGTTTTTTTCTATCTTACAGACGTAGATAATTTTTTTTGTGTGAAGAATGAAAGTTTTTTGGTTTTTTTTGAAAATTTTTTTCTGAAATACTCTTAACGGTCAAAAAAGCGAAAATTTCTTTAAGTTACGGTAAGTCGAAACTTTGTTTTACAGATATGAAGGTTAGCTTTATTTTTTTGAAGCCCTGGCTCAATTTTTTTTTTGAGTGGAATGGCCAGGGATATGGTTCAACAAAAAAAAAAACAGATTTTTTCCTCTTTCTAATTTTAAAAAAACTTGATTTACCTCGGACTTCAGTAACGCACCCTGAACGTTTCTGAGCTTTTGTAGTGAACTCTCAAAGTTCTGATTTTTTAAAAGTGATCTCTAGGAGGCTCAGGAACGTCCGGCGTCCGTCCGGTTCGTGCTACTGAAATATTGCAAAAATAGGCGAAATCTTCCTCACCCCCGGCTCGAAAAATCGACCGCCAATAATCAATTAAAAGTTTTTCTGAACGTTTTGTAGCTTCACTTATTTCCTCAATACTTGTTCGTGTTTCTTCTCATCGTTCCCAATTCCAAGAATCGCCTCGATAAGCCTGGACGCTTCTTACGCGACGAAGCTGACGGCGGCCTGTTCGATGCTCTCCGTTGAAGGCGTCTACGTGGCCGACGACGTCAACGTCTTCCCCATCTACTTCTACCGGTTAGTCGGGAATATATTTATCGTGAATTACTTTTCTGTTTCAATGTGATCTTCAGAAAACGTTCGTCCAAAGGGTTCGTGTCTTGTCGGTCTTCCTATGTGTTTGTTTCGTCTTTTCTTGTCCAAGACTGATAACGTTTTTTTGTGTTTTTTTCAATTTCGAAATCTTTTCACTAATGAACTTTTCTGCATGTTTTTGTTGACTCCTTATTCTCTGCCAGCTTTTCAAAAGGTTTTCCAGTTTTTTCGTTAACAGGTTTCCATCTGGAAGTTTTTTTTTGCTCCAAATTTTTGAAAAGCTAGTAGTGAAATAACTATGAGTTTTCTTTACTCTGCCAATAATTATGAATTTTCCAGTGAAAAACGGTATCTCGACGCGGGAAATCCGTTGCAAGTTCCTGCCTTCGATCATATAACTTCTCTTCTCGTTGAATGTGATGGAATGGTTGGTTTTTATGACAGTTACCCGAAAACTTCTGTGGTAGGAAGTCCTAGGTATAAGTTGCTACGGGTATTGAGGAAGAACACGTCGAAAATGTATGGAAAACGTTCAAAATTTGACTTTCTCTGGATCCTTAAGCAAATGGCATGAATGCCTCTATTATAAGCAACCAAGAAAGTAACTTTCCTGTTCAAAACCCCAAGAAATCTGTTTCTGAGCGATGTCTTCAAATATAAAAAAGAGTTTTCAGGTCCTTGGAAGCGTAACCGGCGGCCTTTTGCACATATCATTCGACTACGCCTCCAAATATGAACATTTCATTGTGGCCAGGTTTTTTTCAGCTAAGCTCAACTGATAAACTCTAAAAAGTTGTTCAGTAGTGTCCTGGCCCAGCCACTTTCCAACGGACCAATGGAATGTGTGAAAATTCTGCCGGCCGGTGATACAACTCTCGTTTTGCACTCGACTCCAACGGAAGTCGTCGTTTCGGAACGAGACCACAGTGCGTTGTTTGAAAAAAAATAGCAGCCTTCAAAAACTGACACACTTTTTTGAAAGTTTCGTTTTTTCTGCGCCAGTAAAATTCTTTCTTGAGCTATCTCGCGCTCTCTTTTTTTTCTATTATCTTGTTCATTTTTTCAGAATGCTCTTTTGAAAATCAGTCAATTCTTCAATTTTTTTTCGCGGAAAATAAGATCAAACTACTTCGATCAATAAAAGGCCTATTACTCCTCAAAAATTATTGAAAGCTTATGAACAGATTGAAAGATCGTCCACAAAACAAGAATTTTGCAGCGGACCGATGGCACCGCGTGACGAGCCACACTGGTGGAGCTCACAGCATAGTCACCACTCCGTTTTGTCTCCAACAACGAGGCGCTTTTGCTGTCGTTGCCAGCAAAACCTACGTCCGAATCAAGGCGCTCCAATACGCCGAAGGTTCTTTTTTGTTGCTTTTTTGGTTTTCCCTGCGATGACAAACGCAAAGATGAATAATATTGGGTTTAAAAAAGTTTTGAGCACTAATTTTTTCTCAAAAATTCTTGGGCAAGTACATCCTACCTCAATAAGTTCAGGAGAAGGTGTTGACCGGATATTTTGAGTAAAATTAATACAACGTTTTCCGTATTTCCAAAAAAAAAAAAAAATTTACCAGGGGACGTTTTTTTCACCCCAAAAAAACATTTCTCGCAATAGATCTTGTTTTTCTAAAAAACGTTCCCTAGGGAGCCGAAATCAAATCTTTTTTTTGTAATTTTTGTTGAATAAAAAAAGTCAGACTATCTGGGTCATAGTGAGAGAAAGACAGTTTTTTTATAATAATTTTTTTACATTTTTGCGCCTAGATGTAGTGGCTGTAACATGTTTCAATTAGTTTTTTTTGCAAGAGGCAAATTTTCGAGTCGCCCTCCGCCGTCAATTTTTGATTTCGAAACGGTTACAATACAGTCTCAATCTATTGCTCAAACGGACTGTAAAGTCTAAAAGCCAGTGACGCATCATTTCATCATCACAGACATCCATTAGAGCGAACCAAAACATAAAAGCCCGTCTGCCATCTTTCCTTTCCACCCACACAAAAGAAAAAAAAATGTCTGGAAAAGAAATGTTGTTCCTACAAATTGGTCCAGTGGATTTTTTTTTAATTCTGATTTTTCCCGTTCTGTGTACAACGAGAAAAAAAAATTAGAGAAAAAGTTCACAGAAATAGCCTAAATTTCGACCAGTAGCATTGGAATTGGCTTCAAAAAAGGCATTTTAATGTTCCGATAAAACTTTTGATGTCTATCTCCATAAATGTTGGTTAAAAGCAAATTTAAATTGTTCTTTTAAGTCCGACTTTTTATAAGATTACTCGTGAAGCTTTCGATTAGAGTTTTTGACGTCAGAACAGTGATAACCAAGCAAACAGATATTAAAAATAATTCATAATTGCTCTCTTATTTCCAAAAAGAAGTTGATTATTTGTTGAAAGTTTCACAAAAGTTTGGGTGACTCAGTTTTTTCGATCCACCTCGCAGTTTTGGTAGATCAAGTCACGAAGCTTCAAAGACTTTTGTGGTGGAAAAGTGGGAAGATCGAGATGTTGTGCTGGGGAGAACTCGCATTGATCATGGCAGCTGTCCCGAGGGCAAAAACTCTGCGTCAGTGCTTCGACTTTTTATACGCAGTTTTTGCGGTTTTGTAACCATGCAGCTGTTTTTTGCGACCCCAACACGATGTTTCTCGACATTTCCTCTTCTTGGAATGTTCGACTTTTTTTGCGGCCAACTGTTCCGATGATGTATCCGGTCACGGGATTTGACAGTTGGTTTCTTCGTGTTGCCCGGTCAAATCTTCAAAAGACCATGATCTCTTGAGGTCTGAAGCAACTGCGAAAATCGAAAAATATTATGTATAAAGTATAGGGCAGACAGACTCAAGCATATAAGTTTTGATAGCTGATCGAAAGAATCATAACCAAAATATGGCATGAAAAAGATGAAAAGAATCTGATCTTTTCCTCTTCGTTCAGCTCTTATTGTCGCCTATCACATTTCAGAAACGCTGATTGGGCTTCACGATCTAGGAGAATCTCGTGTCGAAGACGAGTCTGGAACCCAAGTCGAGGTTTTTGACCTGCCAAAAGTTTTATGAGAGGAAAATCATTCTCCAGGTCCTGAATGTAAGTCTGGACCCTTCGATGGAATTCCGACAACTTCCCTGCAAACTCCGTTACGCTGTAGGCTTTTCCGACAAAGCCATTAGGTCGGTTGGAAAAAAAACAAATGGAAGAAAATATCTATGTCAGAACTTATGTTGCTCTGCTCACGGGCCATCACGAATTCGTCGTCGCCGAGAAATTCATCGCACAAATCGAACCACTCTACAGTGTTCAGCAGGTTGCGAGGGGAAAATATATCTGGTTCAAAAATAACTTTGAGATGGTCTGTTTTCACGGACGTCCCATGGGCTGCTATGCGACCTGCTCGAAAACGTTGCAAGTTTGGAACGATTTGGACAGACATCAGCAGAAAAAGTTGAAAAGCGAGAGGATGCAGCTAGTTAAGGTACATATGGAGTTTCAATAAAAATTCTATTTCTTCAAAATAGGAAAAGCTTTTCCAGGATATTTTTAAACCATCCTTTGCTACTTGAAAATATTGTTTCTCTCAGCGCCCTCCTCATCTTTAGGCGACCCTCTCATTTTACAGCGCTGTTTTCATGTTTCGCTGACCTCGCCGGTGAGGGAACAGAGAGGCGCAGAAACGCGAAAATTTTCACGTCGCGGCCAACGGACTTGAGTAGTTTTATTTTTTCTATAAGTGGTTAAAATCCAAATACGGCAAAAAATATGATTTATAGCTTTGCGCTTGACTAAAGAATGTTCTCGCACGCGAGTAGTTTTGTTTTGCCGAATGAAATCGATTTTTTTTTTCAGTTGAACTCAGCTGTGAGCTCAATCGAAAGAGCCGAAGCGGGCTCCTGTTATCTGCTCGTCGGATTCCAGGACGACCGAGTTTCGGTCTTCGAAGAAAAACCACGAGGAAGTGGAACGATTGAACTTCTTGGCAACGTCGAACCTTGGCATCAAGGATTGGGCGATCGAGCCGTTCAGTGTACGTTTTGACATCTCTAGCGGATGAGAGAAAAGTGTGATTCTAGTAGGCCATCCCTCCTGACTTGGAAGGCGATGTGAGTAGATTGGCAAGGGCGAAGCGCTGCGTTTGCGACTCATTTTTTGCGTTTTACGTGGATATATCCCGCCAAACGGCCGCTTCGCACACGCAACGCTTCACCCTTGCCAAATCACCAATATCGCTTCACAAGTCGGAGAGGACTGGAAGAATTTCATTTTGCCGCCCGTTCCACTGGTCATTAAAAAGATCTTTTTGAGTTGATTGATCCTTCAAATCCTGTCAGAATCTAGGGGTTGATTGCGTATAAAAATGTACCATTTCTCTTGCATTTTTCAAGGACTTTTTCCATTTCTAGGATCTTGAACCATAGGTCTCAAAAAAATTTCTGAATGAAGCGGTTTCAGGCCTGCGCACCCGAACGACGTCTTCTTCCATCGGAGATCGACTTTTCATTCATTCTCTAACCCCATCTTCAATCATCCTTCACACAGTTCTCATCGCTTCTTCTAAAATTATTCATGTAATGATTTTTAATGAAATGAAATGTTAACCATGAGAAGCTTTTCAGCAACAGTTTGTCATGGCGGTTGAACATTCAATGTGCTCTGCGCGTGGCTTCGAACTTCTCCCATTCAAGTAACATTTTGTCTTTTTTTTTTGGATCAATATTGTTTTCAGGCATTTCGAATTTGTGGTCTTTGGTAACGGCGCATCCGTGGAAAGACTGTCAAATGAACAGAAGAAAATTATAGACGAGTTCAGGGATTTCGAATTTTGAATTAATGTTTTTTTTTTGGCTTTTTTTCCTTCTTTTTCCTCTTCTCTAGTAGTTTCGGTTTTTTTTATAAATTCCAAAATTCTAACCACGTGCCATAATTTTCAAGTTCCCAATGAGCTGAAATCGGCCTTCAAGAAAATTCTACTTTTTTGCGTTTTTATTTATTCTTTTTGACATTTGACCGGGTATTTTTGGGTTCACACGCGTAATGTCACATATTTCCTTCACTTTCATTGTTTCTGTTTTTGTGCCTTACTAAGAGAAACGCAGTGATTTTTTCTGAATGTCCTTCGAAATCAGAGTTTAGTTATACGGTGCCTAAAGTTTATAAAGATTTATATGAAACCGGTTTTTGTGTATTTTCGGAGTGAATGGAGGCGTGGCGTCCCAAGCAGGATGAAAGGGTGGAAACGCGCCGACGTTGCAAACGCAGTTTGGCTCGCAAGTCCGCCTCATAATAACTGCGCATCATCTTTTAACCGCTACAGATACGAAGCTGATTTATTTTTTGACGAAAATCTCACTTTGTTGCAGCTTCTATAATTGTTTCTCTATTTTTTTTTTTCTATTTCAATATTCCTTTTTGCTTTTACTACTATTTTTTCATGGACAGATGAAAAAAAAAATTTCTAACGATTTCTATACTTTTATTCGTCAAACTGACTCTTTGCAAACCCACAAAAATGACCATTTATTGAAAAAATTGTCGAAAAAGAAAAAAAAAAGAATGCTCGTGTTTGACCTCGAGTTCCCCGTCAAAAAGCTGCGTCGCACACGCAACGCTTCACCTTTTTCAATCAACCCATCTCGCAATTTAAGTCGGGCAGGATTCACTATATAAATCTGCCCTCTACGCATTCGACAAGCTGAAGTTTGGCCTAATACGAATAGAAGATACTTCCATAAAACCTACACTATGATTTGAAATGGTCAGAAAATTCCGCTTTGAATTTTAGGTCAACAAAAAACTTCAAAACCCAAAAAGAATGAATTCTTTTGAATCACCGACTCTTCGTCATTTTCAATTTCAAAAAAGAGATTTCAGCCTCGAATTGCAAATCGTCCCGTTTGGAAGGAGATGGTCTTGTAGAATTTCTCTTTATTTATTTATATATTTATTTCACTCAAACACGAAAATACAGAGTTGTTTGATGTCGTTATATGAGCAAATTCAAAGATTTCCACGGACAAGAATCGGCTCTCTCGTTGTGAATCGACTGAAAGGGCGAGAAACGCGTTAGGTTGAATGACCGTGACGTTTTCCCTAGTATGAGCAATTTGAAGGAAGGTTCTCGTGATGGCGGCACATCAACAGTTGCTGTTTGTTTTGAAACAAAGGAGAACCAAGAGCCATGTGGCGGTCGGGGATGGTACAAAAAAAGTTGTATGATTTCTAAGCCTCTCCTCTCCCTGATACTATTTCGCGTTACGCCTTCTTCTGCCGCCAGACGGTCCAGTCGGATCCTGGCACACTCGTCGCTCCGTTTTCTGCCCTTCCTTTTTCACAGATTTTTTGAATTTCAAGCCACTATACAGTGACTTCCTTTTCTTTTTAGTTTCGTTTTCAACCTTTGTCCTAAATCACAAGCCGGAGAATTAATTTTATTTGATCCCCAAGCATATGACTCAAAGTGGAGCGTCGGTATCCAATAATATGTCATATGCCTTTAATTGACTGTCAAACGGTATATTTGAAAATGAACATAAGTTCCTATTTTCGAAGAAAAAATTATTCAAAATTGGAGAAAAAAAAGTTTGAGCTAGCGCCAGGCTTGTGCGAGGGCCGGCCCGTCACCCTACCGGCCCCCGGGCATTTCCCAAGCTCGGCCCGGCCTGGCCTTAGTATGGCCTCGAGCAAAAATGGCCAGCCCGGCCCAAAAAGCTAAAAGTTTCTTCATGTTGAATTTTTTGCTTTTTTAACGAGAAAAGTGGGGTTTTTGCTTATTTTTCATCATTGAGTTATTAGAACCTATGAATCATAGTCTATGATTCAACATGTAAAAATAATTTTTCGGTGAAGTTTTTTTTTAATGAAACAAAAGATTTTTTTCAAAGCCCGGCCTGGCCCAAGCCCGCGCAGGCTTTTTTTTTAAATTAAGACCCAAACCCCGGGCAAGGCCGGCACGGGCCGCCCGGCGTGACTCACAAAGGCTCCCGCCAAAAGGGCGCTTCGCAGTAAAGTTGCTCTATGGACAACAGGCATCGCAATCTTTCGGTTTTTTTTTTTTTTCGTTTCTTTCAAATATTTTATTTCAATTTTTTTCTGTTGTCACTAAACTTTTTTTCACTGTAAAAAGTTTCTGTCAATGTATAATTTGCAAATTTTGATCGCGAAATGCTTCTCTGGTGCAAAATGATAATTTGATAGAGCTTTCGATTAATAAATCTTTATTTTGAATGTTTTGTTATTAATAGCGAAATATTAACGGGAAACTACCCATAAGAAATCGCTTTAGGCTGTGGGGAATTCCACTTGTGAAATCAGAATCGTAAATTTATTACTCTTTTTGTTCTCCCTGAGGTTATTTCATTTCTGTTAATATTTATTTTTATCATGATAGTCAACTAGTTGTTCCTATTATAATTCTATAATTTCATCTTTAATTTTTTTAAATGAAGTTCAAGTTCAAAACTCAGAATTTTCTATCATAATCTCATTTAATGAAATCGTATATTGCATGCCTATGAAGAGTAAACAGTTTTTCGAAACAATGAGAATAGAAAAAGGAGAAAAAAATTCATAGGGAAAACTTCAATGCGAACTGATGAAAATTCCCCGCAAGCCGTTTTGGTCTCTGAGTAACTGCCGGAAAGGACTGTGGGCAGCTACCGGAAAGCGGCGCGGCAATTACTCTCATAGTCATACGGAGATTACCCGCTGGTCGCATCGTTTCTTCCGCGACAAAGACGTTGAAAACTTAGTGTTCAGTGCGCTCGTCCTGTCCACTCGAGTGGTCACCATGCCTTCCCTTCCGCGCTCACATTCACTATCTGCATACACGGATGGTGTAAACAATTTATGCGACGACAAGTTTAACCCTGAAAGTAAAAATGCACTTTTTTGAATTTCTTAAAATATATTTTATCCACTTTGCGTTAGCTTGGGTGAAGATTACCACATAAACTTTTTAGAACCGTCATAAAGAGTCATTAAATCTTGTCTCAAACTAGCGCTGAATGGAATATGATCATTTTGAATTAATTGAACTTCTTTTAGACATTGATGAGGATTGACGCGAGCATTACAAGGAATATAACCGATGTTTTTTCACTGCTACGTTCTAACGCTCAACAAAGCCGTTTCCAACTTCACAGCGGAGATGATAACTCGATGATAGCTTACCGAGGAGGTAAAGAAGGTCAGTAATTTGGAGTTATTCTCATGTTCCACCATTTTACCTTTCGAAAAAATAAATCAAAATTTGCTTTTTTTTTATTGATCACTCCTGTGCTTTTCAAAGTATAAAATTCAAAATTATCATTTTTCACGACCAAAAAATCTGAAAATCGTGTAACTCCTTCCAAGTTTTTCCACACTATAAAAAAGTTGTTTTCATTTGAAAAAAAAATGATGAACTTCTTCAAAAAAGCTGTTTTTTGAAAAACTTTCAAATTATCACCCTTCTTTATCATTTCGCTTGGTTGTGGCATTTGAATTTGCCATGCTAGAAGAATCAGTTGGGTCAGAGGGTTTTTTTAATGTTTTTTTCAATTTTTTTAAAAAAATTATTTAGTTTATTTTTAGTGAATTTCAAGATGTTAAAGGCTGAAGAGTACACAATTCTCCATAATATGAAAAATTTTTCAAGTCTGTTTTTTTCAAAAAAATCGACATTATAGACGCGTGGGACTAATTATTAGATGAACTATTTTTAAAACACATTATATAGTCAATGTTTCCCGACTTGAGAGGCGAAGGAGGCGGGACGCGTAGCGTGTGCGTTCGCGGTTATTGGCACGAGTTAAATTCAATTGTCGCCGACTGTTTGAAAAGCTCTTTTTCAATGTTTTCTACTATTTTTGATGCACACCTGAACATAGTCAATAAATAATTGAAAAATAAATGAAAAGAGCGATAAACGAGCTCTAAATAGCTGGTGGTGGTTGAATTGAACTCGTGCCAAGAACCGCACACGCTACGCGTCCCGCCCCCTGCCCCGCCTCCTTCGCCTTTCAAGTCGGGAAACATTGACTATAAACAATAAACCATGAAGAAAAACTTTTGATTTGATTATCTCCGGCGGAAAAGACAGCCTCGAGTCTGTTAGGAATCACCTTACTCAGAGCTGCTGATGGGGTTTCCCATTGTAGACCCGCCCCGCTGAAAAGTTGAAATGAAGTATGAGGGAAAAAATCCGCACAGAAACGTTTTTTTTTTTCGTAATTCTTTTTGTTTTCGAATACTCATACCTGCGACCAGAGGTGGAGGATTGGGATGGCAGCCCTTGGCTTGGCGGCCAAGCCAAGCCATTGGGCCAAGCGATAGAAATGATTCATTGGGTTACTATTGAAAAAGTCATTTCTGCTTTTGGGCGTTTATGGCTTGGCAGGCAGGGCGGCCAGTGGGCAGCCATCCTCCACCTCTGCCTCCGACTATCTATCACTGAAGTTGGACCCATATCTGCGATGCTCGCCTCATACACTTCTTTCGTTAGACACAAAAATGCTTCTATAGACGAGAAATTCGATTCTTCTCATGACCCAGGTTAATGCTGCCGCATGCGCCTTTAATACTCTTTGTTGTTCACGCTCATATATCTCCGTCCCCTAATTTTAGTTTTGCAATTTCTACCACTAGCAAAAACGCCGTGCCGCGAACATCACTTTAGAGAGCATGCAAAACTTGAAGAAACCAGACTCGTACTCCTTGTTTTACTCTGTCTGAAGACCTGGCTTACCGTTTTTCTTCTGAGTTTGTACACTTTTTTTGTGCAAACGGTATCGAAACCGGTTCCGCACTAAAAACGTGTGAAAGACGAGGGAGGCAGAGAAATGGGCGGGACGCGCAGCGTGCGCGTCTGCGGCTCTTGGCACGAGTTCAATTCAACCGCCATCAGTTATTTAGAGCTCGTTTATCGTTTTTTTCATTTTTTTTTCAATCATTTATTGTTTTTTTTTGGGGCGCGCCTTAGCGCAACAGGTTGTGTGCCTGTCTACGGTCCACAGGGTCACAAGTTCGATCCCCGCCCCGACCCAACCAAGGGGTTTAAGAAATGTTGGTAGTGGGAAACCACGACTTCAAAATCCCCAGCCGTCACACACAAGGACGGATATGTCACTGGAGCCAGTCCACTGATTATCATCAGGATAGGACCTCGGCTAATCGACTTGGGGCGCCGACGCCGCTCAAGCGGTACAAAGGCGTAAGAAGAAGATTTATTGATTTTTTTTCCAGTTGTGCATTAAAAATATATGAAAAGATACAAAAGAGAGGTGACCGGCCTTTTTTAATAGTCGGTGATGCTTTAATTGAAACTTGTGCCAAACACACTTCTCCGCCTTCCTCTCCTTTCATGTCGGGAAGAATTGAATATAACGCAGCTATGGTTTTTTAACATTTCTGCGATCGCGGGGATCGAACTCGTGACCATTTTGACGGTAGTCAGGCACACCACCTGTTGCGCTATGCCGCGCTGCCCAAATTATCGATTAATGGCGATATTAGAATGAAGATTCTGTGTTTTTTTTTTCTTTGAATAAAAAATAGGTCAGTTTTGAAAATTTTAACGCAAATGTAATTTTTTTTTTCTTGCAAAATAATGTTTAATAGGATTTGAGAACCTTTTTTGTTTTAAGCTATAAAAATAGAGGAATTAGGGAAATTTTACTTTTCCAAACTATAGAAATTGTAAAAAAAAATAGCCATTGTAAAAACCTTCCAAATTGACCGACCTTTCCAGCATTTCCTATTCCAATAAGAGTTCAAGATTTTCAGAGGAAAAAATGAGTCTGATCGACTTAGAAGATGCTGGAAGTCGTACTCAAATAGAGCAGCCGTACTGGATTCATACGGTAGACGAGGTTGATTTTGAGTTCGAAAGGTCTTTTTTTTTCAAATTAGCTTTCTTCTAACATTCCTTTGACTTATTTAGAGTGCGTGCAAGAATGGAAGAACTCTCTGCGCGTCAAAGAAAAAGACTATCTCGTCCGAACATGGGCGACGACTTGTTCGATAACGAACAGAAAGAGATGCAGCAGAGCATCGAGCAGATAACTCAGATGCTGGCTCACTGCCAGAGGATGATAAGGTCAGCTTTCGAAATATATTCCCACTTTTTTCAACTTCAGAATGCTTTCCACGCAGACAGTGAGAGGAGAAAAAGTTTCAGAACGCAAAATAAGGAATAACGCGGCTCAAACTTTGAACTTGACTCTATCGCAATTAACTAATAGCTTTCGGTCGGAACAAGTCAAGCACTTAAGAGACGTCGAGGTGCTTTTTCAAATGTTGAGCTCTTTTTATCACAATTTACAGCATCGTTCTCGAAATGTGACCAACTATCTTGTCACTCACGACACCGATTGCGATGAAACCAATTGGAATGATCTCTTAGAAGCCTCCACTTCCGCCGAGTACACCATGGACGAGTTGCAGTTGTTCATGAGCAACGACAAAGAAGTCCGCGAGCGCGAAAAGAAAGTCAAAAGAAAATAATAAATGACATATTCAAGAGCTTTTTCTAGGTTCTTACTGTCAACGCATCCATTGGAGAGCTCAACACAATTTTCAAGGAAGTGTCGAATATGATAATTGATCAGGGAACTATGATAGACAGGTGATATAGTTAGCATAAAACATCTTTTCATGGCGGCCTGCCGTATTGAGGTAGTTTAGAAAGTTTTTTTAGGCTATAAATTGAAATTTTATAAAAGAAGTGGCTTATCTTGTTACCTTGAAAGATAGGTTTTGAACAAAATGCACAACAGAAATTTTTTTTAAATTTTTTCGGCTTCGATACTGACGGCGCAATAACCGGCCGCCTTACAAGGAAGGTTATTTTACTCTCCGGCTAGGAATTGAAAAAAAAAATTGATCATAAAAACTTGATGTACCAGATGAAGTTCCTGAAAGTCTCAACCTGCACAATTCTCCACTTTTTAAAAAAAAAAAGTCATCAAGAAATGTCCTGGCCAATTTTCAAGGAAGTTTTAACCGTGAAGTAAATGGACCTTCCTTGTTAGCACTGTCATGCGTGAAAACAGTGGGAATATTAGGATCGACTTCAATGTCGAGCAGTCGTCGGTCCGGGTGAGCCGAGCCGTCGATGACGTCAACAAGGCGGAGCGACATCAACGGCAAGATAGAAAAATGCATTGTATCTGTTTATTGACGGTAGCTATAATATTCGTTTTAATTCTTTTGATAGCTACGAAGATTTGAAAATCGAGCGAGTTTTGTCACATTACATGTTGTGTGGAAAAAAGAACCCTTGTCAAGACAAATCATTCCTATAAACTTTTCTCTCTGCCTTTTTTTTCACCTTTTTGCGCTCCATGGTTTGAATCCAACCAATATTTTCTTTTATGTATTATTAAAAATGTACTTTTCTATTGAGACAACAAACGCCCTACTATTTGAAACAATTATTATCATCTTTTTTTGAGCGCGTTTGGTGTCTCAAAGTATACACATATAATAACCTTTTTCAATACAGTCTGACTTTTTTTCTCATTCATGCGAAATGAATGAAATCGACAGAGTACAGCTGAAGAAGCTGCAAGTAGCTCAGCTCAATTACGATTATCTGCATTCAAACAGGTTTCCCTTTGAAATTTTTCTTTAGTCTTTGGATAGTTTTAAATTATAGTTGTGTAAAAAAATTATTTCAAAGCCGTCATTTTCTATCTCATAGTTTCATTGTTTCGAAACCCTCCAAACAAATTGTATTCATTGATTGAAAAAAAAAAATGAGAAATTTTTAAAAACTTTTTCCAATTTTTTCTGTTCAGTTTTCGAAATGATGAACATCGCGAGGGCACTTTCTATTGTATATTTCATTTTGGGAATTTTCAGTACTAATCATGACACCATGATGGGCGCCATCTCGGAGCTTGTCGACAACTCCCGAGATGCAGGAGCAACAAAGCTTATTATTGACCAAGGTGAGCTCTTTTTAGGTTTGGAAACAGCTTATATTGCAGGTGACGATCAAATTTCGTTTTTGGACAATGGCTGCGGCATGTCAAAGTCGGAGGTATCAATCGAAATTTCAAAAGAATTCTCTTTGGAAATGAAAGAGTCGATAATTTTGCGCTCGTGGTTTAGCCGCTCCCATGATTTTCCGCTCTCAAATGATTTTAGTTTCCAAATTTGTTAGAAATTCTATGAGTCCTAGAAGAGTTTTTATCGGAATTTTTTGGAAAACTTTTTCGAACTGACTTTTTTCAATTCTCCTCCGAATCAACCGACATTATTTATTGCGAATTTTTTATAGAAGAGAAAAAAGTTAGCAAATTTCTAGAAGTCAAGGATTTTTCTATTAATTTAGGAGTTAGAAGCGGTTTTAAACTAGACAGCGGAAAATGAGAAGCGAAAAAACATGGGTGCGGTTTGGGAGCGGAAAAATTGTCGGTATCACAAATATGAAAAACTTTCAAAAAAATTGAAAAAAAGTACTATTAAAATGAAGAAATTGTATTAAGAAAAAAAGATTAACTTTTTCGAACCTTGGAAATATAATTTTGGATTTAACAAAGCCCGAATTTTTGCAGGCGGGAGCCATCATGGTATTCGGAAAGAGCGACAAGCTTGGAAAAGAAAATATGATCGGTCGATACGGAAATGGATTGAAATCGTGAGTGAGACTCCGAAATGGTCATTTGAACTCAAATTCTCAAGGGGAGCTATGCATCTGGCCAATGATTTCATTTTGCTCACGAAGAAGGACGGCATTTGCACTGTCCTCCTGGTTTCTCGCACTTTCTTGGAGAAGCACCATTTCGGAGAGGTAAAATGAATGTTCGAGACGAACTTTTTTCCTGGGAAACTGTTAGATATTTTCCGAAAAAAAATTTCAGTTTTTTCAAGGCTCTGCACATAGCCACACTCGGAGAAAAGGCTCCATAGAAATTTTTCCTTTAGGGTGATAAAGACTTTTTTCTGCTTTTTTGTTCCATTTAATCGGCTTTTATTCTTTATTTTTCCACCATTTCTTGAGCCTCTAAAATCCGAGAAAAACGGAAGACTCGATAAAGGTACCCTCTTGTCTGCCTTTCTGCTGCCTTTTTTGAGCCTCTCCTTTTTACCGGTCATTATCCACCATTCCGACCTTTCCCGAGCAGTTCTCTATTATTTCTCATCAGTAGCCTAAGCTCTGATGAATATAACCTATTTTTTAAAAGCTTCAATAAAATTAAATTTGAGTTTGAATGGAAGATTTCTAAAAATTTCAAGAATTTTCTTTCTCGCCTTGAAAACTTTATTAAGTGGAATTCCTGAGAGAAAGTTTGAACGGCAAAAAAATGATCTCCCCTTCCAGGTGTATTTTCCGCTCCCCTCATTCACCTCAAAAGACTTCGAACCAGTTTTCTGCGATCGCATCGAAGAAGAACGAGTTTTATCTTTTTTAATTCAAAAAAGTTTACAATCAAGTTTTCCAGTTTGATTTCGAGATGAAGTTGATCATGCAATATTCCCCGTTCAAAACCATCAAAGAACTTTTGAATAAGTTCAATAAGATCCAAGGTGACCACGGTACTCTCATTATCCTTTATGGGCTCAGGTGGGGAAGATTACTGAATAAAATTGCGAAAATTCTTACAGAAAAAGTTGCGTTGGTTCCCGGGACCTGATCCCAGACATGAAGAATCATGATTTGGTTCTGGAGACTGATGATCCGTACGTGATTTTTCAATTTTCATTGTATTTCATTTTCCTTCTTGAAAACTGTCCCATTCCAGGCCTTCTGTGAAGAACTCCTTGAGATGCTTGCTCTCCATCTTGTACCTGAACCCGACGATGCAGGTATCCAATCTGAAATAACCTGCTTCAAAAAATAACCGCTTCAGATTTATCTCCTCGGCAAAAAAGTGGAAACTGTGAAGCTGCTGGCTCGTCTCTGCAACCTCTACGAGTACACCCATTGGTCCAAGAGTTTGAAGTCGTCCGCTGAAGAGGAGTTGCAAAACTGCGAGAAACGCTTGGCAAGAGGTTCCCAACTATCTCCGCGGATTCTGATCAGTTTCGAGTTTTTAGCCAAGGCTCTGATGAGTTTGGCGCAAACTAAAGTCGGCGAACTCAATAGATCATTCCAACCCCAACAGTTCTTGTTGGACAAAAAACTGAAGATGAAAATGAACTTTCTGGAGGAAGAACGTCTGGAAGCCGCCAAAATCGTCGATGAGTGGCAAGTCAAACAGAGAGACGCCCAAAAAGTGAGCGTTTCCTCATGTGCCCCTACGAAACTCACACTGCCCATTTTTGACGACCTTAAAAATGACGGCAATCAAACAATACATTTTTTTTTTCAATGAATTTCGAGTTTTCTCAAAAATCTCTAAAGAGTTTAACTTTCATAGGGCATGTTAGATCTTTAAAATTTTTTTGTCATTTTGAACGTAAACGAACGTTAAATTTTTTTCTAATGTTTTTTTAATATTAAAAAAAGTTTTTTTGAACTGGGAAAAATTTTTTTAAGCGCCTCTATAGTAGTAGAATTAGTGGCCACTTAAATGAAAAAATTTAGTTTCTTCTTCAAGAGTCTAAATGGTACTACTAGACCACTTAAAATGACTGTATTGGCCACTAAGACGTAAAAGAATGGCTTCTATAAAGGTGGTTTTAGTGGCCACTTTAGGGTTATTTCCAAGTAATCCTTGAGAAAACTCTTAAGTGGCCACTAGAGTTTTTTCCCAGAACTTCGCAAATTACGATCATGTTCAAGCTAGTAGTTAAAAATCATGGGAGAGGATGAAATTTGAGCACAAAACAGCCAAAAATTTACGCGATTCACGGCTGGTTTAGGCCAGCGATTTGTTTTGGGCAGTTTCAATTTTGGGCAGGTTCACTTTTAAAAAATTGCTTTTAAGAAAGAATATCTTTCGAAAAGTAGAGACTTAGACGTCGCTAGACTTTTTTTCACGTGCCTCAAGTCGGTGGTAAATTGGCTATAGTTGGTTCCATAAAATTTGAGGGAAACTTGGAAATATCCTCTTCTTTTAGTTATCACAAGTTCACTGCTTTTCTCATCCGATTAATTTTGATTTTCGATCTAAAAACGCTCTAGATTTCTTGGTTGCAGAATATCCAAAGTCCGAAGCCAGTGACTATTTTCGTCGGTGTGAACTTGCATAACAGGTACGGGTTTTCTCGCGATTTTTTTTTCTAATCAATGGAACTTTTTAAGAAGAGATTACGGTAACGTGTTCTACAACAACGGCAGGCTGATTAGCGCCTTCGGCAACGATCAGAAAGAAAAGCAGAAAGACGAGTAAAGTTGCTTTTTTGTTTCCATTCTCCACTTCACGTCTTCCAGTAAACCCGTGGGCGTCGTGGCGGTCGTCGACATACCGTACTCTATCGTTGCACCAAACATCAGCAAACAATCGTTCTCATCCATCCCGTAAATTTTTCCTTTTCTTTTTTTCTTTTTTTTGATTATACATCAATGAGATAGTACCTCAAGCATTGCGGTTGCGAATCGAATTTGACAACTTGACTTTAGTTTCTCTTGTTCCAAAACTAAAAAGGTTTATAGATAATTCATGGCTCGCTCGAGTTATCGAAAAAAGGGTCTTGACACGAAAAATAAAAATACAATGCTTGATTGGTAGCCACGCCCTTCGTAACAAGCTAGCCTCAAACATTAGAAATGAAGAAAAAAAACCCTTTCCGAAATCGTTTCGGTCTGTCATCGCGATTAATGTTTCTTATCTCGAACAAATAATTTCAACTTGTTTTTTTGAAAAAAAGTAGACAGTATTTTTTTCGAAAATGAATAGAGAAGCCTTGATTTTTTTAAATGTTGAATGTATTTTTAATTTGTAATCATTTTTTTCACGCAATAGATCTCTTGTTCGAGTTAGGACACTTCAAAAGCTCAAAATAGCGCTTTTTTTTCATTTTTTGCCAATTTTGAAGCTTTAAATAAAAAAATCAAAAAAACAAGATTTATTGCGGGAGATCTACCTCTTTCTCTGAGATCATGAGATACATTTAGGCAAAGTTTCATCAAAAGATTAACCGAGGGCTAAAAACTCTTGCCAGTAAGACATAAAGGAATAATCCGACGTTGCAAACATGTTTGATTTTCAGCATGAAAGTATAACCATTCGATCCGTCTCATTGAGATACGTAAGAATATCATAAAATTATTTGGCTAAGGAAAACATGTTAGTTGAATTGAATCAGCGTCGAAAAATGCAGCGAAATTTTTGAAATTTTCGGAGTTTTTTTCTGGCTTTTGCGCACCATGAAGTTATTTCTTCTTACTAGTGCCAAATAATTTTATGATATTCGTACGTATCTCAATGAGACGGATCGAATGGTTATACTTTTATGCTGAAAATCAAACATGTTGGTAACGTCGGATTTTACCGACATAAAATATGTTTTGTTTTGTTTCAGAGAGTTAAAAAGTTTGGAGAAAACGATGAACCTACACATCGAGGACTATTGCCGACAGACAGATTTTGACAACTTTGACTGGTTTGATTTTTTGATTTTCTTTTTCAAATACTTGTTCAGGGAAGGTTTCGGGTATACGCGGGACCGCTTGCGTGAACCGAAAAAGGAATTAGCCCACAAACGCGAGTCGTTCACTGGATACTTGACTCAGTGTGGTGAGGATACTTTTCTCATTCCATTTTTCAACATTTTCAACTTCAAATATCTTTTTTGGGACATTGTTCAAAACCTTCCAGCAAAAGATTATACATTGCAGACCACTGTTTCAAATGGCGAATCCTCAGAGAAAACCCCGGCCCGGAATTCTGGATCTGCTCCGGCCCGTTCAACTGCCGCATGGAAGAAAAACCAGTCCCAGTTGGTTTCTATTCATTTTAATCCATCTGAAGTTCCTCTCGCCTTTTAAAAAACCTATCTGTTGCAGTAATTGAAGGATTTGCATATTTGATTTTAGCCAACACACGAATCTGAACTTTTTAAGTAGCTCACAAGGAAGGCCATTTCATTTTGTGGCTAAGAATTTCCTAAAAAAAAACTTCCAGAACGCTCCGTGATATAACAGAAGAAGATTCCGAAAATCTTTTCCTGCAAAACTTTCTCGTTTTTGAGAAAGCCCCCTTAAAGTCAAAAAACACCCTCAAAGCCCGTAAAAATTGTTATTTTACGGCTTATTTCTCGAAAACTAGAAAATAGTACAGGCTAAGACTTTCCAAATCTTCTTATAGTACATCCAGATGTGTTCTGACCGAGTTTCAGGAAGCTCCCGATCGCAAAGTGGAATGATCTTCCTTGTTGGTCCCTTTCTTATTTCATTCTTATAAAAGGCTCAGTTGAGCAAAAAAGAGCCGAACTGCAAAATGTCCAACGGTTAGAAACAATTTTCAGGCAAAGAAGGCCCAGCTCAACAAAACACCTGCCAGAAGAAGGGCCGCTCCGCCGCCAACGCGTCAGCCTGAGCCGGAAGTACCAGAAGAACTATTTTGAGATTATTTACTCATAACGTTCTCAGCCGGTTGAAGAGATTCGTCACAACAGACGTCGACAGCCTCGCGAATCGTACGCAGGACGTCCTATCGAGGAACAGCTCAAAGTTTTTTCTGTATCGCAAAAGCGCGCTCCTGAGGTAAGTTCTGGTCCTATTTGTCGTCTTTTTCGGTTTTCAAAGGTTTAGTCGAATAGAAAAACCTTGCTGGATTTTGTGAAAGAGTAGAAGCCTTGAAAGACTCGAAATTAAAAGACTCTACCCCGGACGAAGTTGAAAATTACATTTGGAGGCTTTCTAAATATGTTCCTGAAAAGTTGGAAAAAGGTCCTTTTACGTTGTCTTTTGCGTTATTTTTTCCGTTCTTATGTATCATCTTCCTTTTTATCCGCCCTTTTTTGAGTCTTTATGTTCTATAAAGATGAAAGACCCTTTTTTTCTAATATGTTGCTCTTATTTTCTGATTTTTTTTTACTTTCGCTACCATTTTCTGAGTTTTGGCTGAGTCGGCAATCCGCAAGAATTAGAGAAATTGTAAAATATTTCCTATATGTTCAACTTTTTTTTTCTCCAAATCCCAACAATGTGACTATTGCAAGAAAAAAACTTTTGAAGAAACTTCAATTCTGGCAAATTTCAAGTTCTTTGTTGCTTAAACCATCGTTGAATGTTGAACAAAGCTTCACGATGTTATGATTTAAAAGTTATCTCTTTTTGTCTCTATTTATATTTTTGTGTTGAACGAAAGTTTCAGTTGTAGGATTTCTCTTCGATAACCAGATCTCAAAAGCTTTTCTCAAAAAAAGACCTTTAAGGGTTCCCTTAAGATTTTTTCATTCCATTTTGCGTAAACATTTTGGGAGACGAAACTGGATTACAGCAAGAGAATGACATCATCATGCTCTCGGACGATGACGAACCTCCAAGGGTGCAAAGAAAGAAAAAGCGACAGAATCACCTCGTTCGTCCGGAAGTTTTCCAGTCTCCACAAGAAATGGTTCTTTTTTATTTCGTTTAGATTTATTTTTAGATTAAGGAATTTCACTGTAGGTTTTATTGAAACTTTTTAAGTTTGTATGAAAAGGTAAAATCACATAAGAAATATTCCCAGGGCACAAGCGGAGTAATCGCTCCTCGAAATCCTTTTTAAGTGATAATTAGATAAATTGAAGTGATCCCTCAAGCGAACTTTTTTTGTTTGCGTCGAAAGTGATTCCGCGAAATTCAAAATAGCGTTAATGAGTTAAAACGAAGTAGTAGCAATAATCGCCTACAAGTTAGAATATCTACATAATTGAAACTTTTTGATATAATCTGTTCAGATCTTGAATGTAAAGCAGCTAATGATCCTTTAATAAGGCTGCATTTTTGACTTCTTTTTCTATCTTTTAGATCGAAAAAGAACAAAAATCGTCCCGCGCGGTAAAACATCGACGCGAAAAATTAACGTCTCAGCAGGGGCGGAGTCAGCTAATTGACATTTAAAGTCTGAACAGACTATAGCTGCTTTAAATTTGAAATCTAGACTGTATAAAAAAAGTTCATTTTTTAAAGTTTTTCAGAAAGTTTTGGGGAGCAGCTCTCAAGAGGAAAATCAGGATCAAGACGAACTTGAAGTTCATGAAGAAGATCCCTTGGTTTGTCTTCAATCCAAATGTGATAATCTGAAATTTTCTCCAGGGGGACGGCGAACGGGATGACGAACTACACACGTATCAAGACTATTCCGGCAAGTTCGAAACAGAAACAGATCCCGACAGTATGTTTTTATTCAACTTTAACACAAGTTCTCAGTTCTGTAAGTAGATGAACTACAGCCAATCATTGGTACAACAATTTCAAGTTTCCGTTTTGAGGGTTGAAGTTATTGCCACAGTTGCTAGACATAGTTTGTAAACTTCTAGGGAAGTTACTGTGAGGCTCCTCCACCTTACAGGGTTAAGACAGGTCTTTTAGTGAAAAATTCCAAATTTTTTTCCCTAGTTGACGGATCGGCTTCAAATTTTTTTTTATAACACAGAGGACGGTATATTAAAGCTTTGATATAGTCGAAAAAGTTTTCTTCTACTTAGAAAAAAAATTATTTTTCTCGAAAGTCGTTGATTTTTTTTTTCCTTTTTTGGGCGGTTGGGACTCCAAACATAGCATAATTGTATTTAATAAATCGAAGCTCTAGGCCTTTCGAAGCTCTAGCCATTTTCAAGTTTTTGAGGGGCGCATTTGGTCGCCTGCTCTTTGAAGTTTTTGAATACATTTTGAAGCATTTTCTGAGAACTTTCAGACGGAATGGGCGGTGCGAATTACATTGCAGCGATGAATCATTACATGGTAAACGAATATTGCAGCGAAAATTGTGATGAAGTTGTTTTCCAGGGACAGGCCCACCAGCATTGCAATTCCCTCCGGGCGATCTACCGTAAATTGGCGATGGAAGTCAGTTCATGTCCCTTTTCCGTATTTCCTCTGTTTTTCAGGGTCTTACTGAATTCGAAGATTTCGTCCACCTTGATGACAAAGATCTCGCCAACTACGACAATGCGGCGAAAATAACAGAAGGGATCGACAAACTGACGCAAAGGGTTCACAGTCTCGCTTTGATGGAATATCTAGGACTACAGGATCTCCAAATTGATTAGGAGAATTTCGATATAAAATGAGCTTTGGAAGTGAAGCTTTTTAGCAGGGTACATACATGGAATAGACAGTCAAAACGTAATTTTCGCTCTATTCAAGTTTTTGAATCTTTCATGACGTGCATTTTCGAAAAAAAAAAAAGTATATTAAAGTTGCGGATCGCTGAAAAGAGTCAATGTATACAACGAGAAACGTCAAAATTTGTTTTTTAAAGTTTTCTTTCGTTTTTTAAACGTTTGTCACGAATCGAAGCAGTCTGACTTGTCTGCGTCCTCTTCTCTCTCTCCAGACAGGACACGTTTTTTTTTTGGCAAATTTTGGACCTAAAACGATTTTTCCTGACTATTCCATGTATGTGCGCCACTCATTTTATCAGAACTTTTTGCGCCTAAATTTGCTCCATTCTGGAAATTCCATCGATTTTAAATGTAGAAAACCGATCCATTACTAATCGTTAACAGTCTATCCATTATTAGTCAATTAAACGTTGCTTCACCTTCTCGGCGTGCTCTATCGCACTTTGTCCTAACAAGTTCCAACACTTCAAAGAAGTTACTTTGCTGGCTAATGGGAATTTGAAGAGTTTTTTTATCGGATTCAAAAAATGTCGCCGACCAAAAATGTCTTGTAGGAATTTTTTTTTTCTCGGCACAGTATTGTTTTAACTTTGAAATTTCCGACAAAGAGCTGTTCATATAAATCTTCTGAAGACCCGTTCATCTCAGCTCCTAACTATTGGGTCTAGTCGTTATTTTTCTTTTCTCTGACTTACTCTTTTCTCTGATTAACACTTCTCAAGTGTGTTGATAGATTTAGATTTAGATTGTTCGTATAACGGACGGTACAGTTTGAGGGAGAATTATTCTCGACACGATTTCTGACTCACACATTTTTTTCGTTTGACTTTTTGTCAAAAAATGAGATTTCTTGATATTTTTTCAACTTACCAAAATGATAAAAATTTATATTCTAAAGGGTCAACGCTGAAAAAAATACTAGCTACAGTTCAAAAGTAACGATTTTCGAATTTTTTTTTTCTGAAGTTATCAATTTTGTCAGAACAAAAAAAAAAAATCAAAAATAGAATTCGAAGGATTTAAAAAATGAAGGAAGAAGAATTAATTCAGGAGCTGGGATGAACTAATTGGCCTTCAAGGGGAAAGTGCGTTGGAGCGCGCCTTGAGGGGTTACTGAAATTAAATTTGAGCCAAATTATTTCCGGTGGATTGGAATGGCAACAGAGAAGAACACGAAACCAAATCAAAACTAGTTTTTCGCACATTTTAAAATTTTTTTAGGTTTCACACATCTATTGAAAAAAATCAAAAAAAGGTTCAAGGAAAAAATTTCTTAATTTAAATTTTTCTTTATCACCTTACTAAAAAAAGTATCTACAATATTAAATTTTTTTGATGCCGTTTCATAAGTTCGAAATTCGATAAGGTCAACGTTTCTGCCAGCTTTTTTTTCAATATAATAAATCAATAAATAAGTTTGATAGACTATTTTTGAATTGTGGAAAATCAAAAAAAAAAGTTTACGACGTATTTTGCTGATTTCTGCTTTTCTAGGACTTGATAAAATGCTTTTGGAAATTTTTTGAGTTGTGTGTCTGCGTATCTCTGACTATGAGTTTAAAAAAAAATTGATTTCTTGACAAGTAAGATTGTTTTAGAAGAAGAACTGCACCACGGGCCTCCGTCGACTGTTGAAACTTCTGAACAAAAGAGTTTTCTATATTTTCAGTGGATCTGAAAACTTGGGAGGATTTTAGGGATGGATCGAAGTCAGGGAACAGTTGGATGGTTTCGACGAGGATCTTTTGGAAGGATTTGAACTCGAAAATGAGTTTCGCGTTTTTTGGGAACGTATTCATTTGCAGGTACATTTTCTTGGTTGAAGGGTCAGTAAAATTGAAGTTTTAGTCAAAAAATGAGGGCAACAATACAGGTCTCAAAGCGAAACCTGGTATACTATTTTCTGGCAGAAAGAAAACTGGCATTAAAATTCTATCATTTTGATTCAATATAATTTTTCAGCCCCTCGCGGAGGCTAAGAGACACGACGCCCGCCCTTTGTGGACGCTTCCCATGAATAATTTGAGACAAGTTTCGGACAATCTCGTCAAATTCGTTCAGCTTTTCATCGAGGCTCACAAGGACAATCCAGAGATGCATGTTGTAAGATCCAAGCTCCTTCACCCTATTTTTCAGCTTCAGCATTAATTGATAAAAGATGACATTACATTTTCAGAGAGCAGCCGACGTGACTCCAGACAACGTGGCTCATTTAATGATGATGGCGATGAGCGCAGTCAACGGATATCTTCTGTGATCAACGACTTCAGATAGCCTCTCACTTTTTAAAAAATTTCACTTTACTTTTCTTGTTATCTTTTTCTTGTTTTCGAGTTCCTAAGTTGAATATCATCGAAAGATTGTAATTTTTGAAATAATCTTTTTTTTTAACTTTTTCTTAACCTGTCTTTGCATTCCGTTCTTAATTTTTTAATCTGTTTTTCCGTCTCGAAAATCCTCAAATTTTCTTGAGGGATGGACTCGAGGATTATGTTTCAAGTTTTACCTTACTTAATTTTCTGTAAATGCGGTTCCCATAATGTTTTTTTTTTCATTCAATAATTTCTTGCCGGTCGATATGAGAATTTTCCATGGATTGTTCGGAAAATCTCGCTGAGCTTTCAGACCCGCCAAACCTTGGAGCGAAATTTCGCGAGGTCAAAAAATATTTTTCTCGGTTTTTTTAACTGTAACAGGTAAACAGTTTTTTTAGAATTGAAGCGATTATCAAGGATACATTCTTTGCGTTTTATAAGATACAGAAAATGTTTTCGACAATATATGTTCAAACGCCAAATTTGTCTTTTTTTGTAGTCAGTACCTGTTTGGCCATGAATCTCTTTTTAACATAACTTTGCTAGTTTATAATTTTTTTTTTCCAGCAATTTTGAATGTTGCTCCTTCGTGAACTTGAACTTTCTACGATCAAACTTTTTCGCTGTTGTTGTTATAAATAATGTTCAAGCGTTTCGTCTACATTTTGCGTTTTTCTGTCTTCTTTCAGTTAACTTGTTATTTTGAAAATTCTCAGAAAAAAAAGGAACTAGAGTTATTGAGCAAATTTTGTTATTGATTCGATATTTGCCCGCAGAGCGTGGGATTTTTTCCTTAAGAATTGCTCAATTTCTCTTTTCGAAGTAGTTTTATGTTCTTCTTTTTCTTGTTCTTTTTAAAATTTCGCTCTTCCAAAATGAATAGAGGGAGCCTGAAACGAATTAACTACACTCTATTTTCCTCCATTAAGAATAACAGGAAAAACTCGTTTCCCCTTAAATCTTTCATTTCTACTAATCGAAAACCGGAAAGTTCAAGGCTAACAGTTGTTTCTTTCTCCTGGTCAAATAAAAAGTTTGTCTCGATTTTTTTAAAATTATTTTTTTCTTTCGGAAATTGAGCGCTGAATAGAGTGTGTGAAGAATTCTGCAACAGAAATTTCCAAATCCTCTCCGCCTAGGCCTTTCAAATCCTTTCAACTGTATGAAACGGAAATGCGTGGGTTGATGAGTTCAACTCTTTCAATTTTTTTGGAATAAAAAAGTTGATTTTTTTTAAATTTTTCCCATTTGACCATATTCAAATTGTTCCGTAATCTCATCAAATAATCATCCATCAGTGAAAGCTGCTCAGAAAAAAAAATCGAAAAAAGAAAAAAAAAAATGAAAAAACAGAAAAACAAATCGAAGTTTGATGAAGGTTTCTGCTGAAAAAGTTATAATTGAGGTTCTTCTTTCAGGTGCTCGTTTTTCTTATACTTTTGCAAGGCACGCTTTTTCTGCCGCTTTTTTCTTCATCAAGGAACTAACATCCGCGTTTTTATTCTTTAAAAAAATGCAGAAAGAAACGCTAATTTTGTGCAAGAGCGCGCCACTGAGCATCTCTTGTTGATTTACTAGCGGCAACTAACAAATTAAGGGCACTCATTTCCTTTCATCTCATTTTTTGTTTCATGGTTTCACTGCATTCCATTCAAACTAAGGACTACGTACTTTTTTTTCTTGAACTTTTTTTGCAAAAGAGAACAATCGAAAGCGACGGAGAATTCGAAGCCGATTGTGATCTCCTGTACCCAGACGCGGGGCCAAATCCTCCAACGTGTGTTCTCTTTCGCTCCTCAGTCGGACCTCGGAAATCAACCTCGTGGCCTCACTTCATCGATTCATTTTGTTTCCGAGACTTTTTCAACACTCTCCCCCTCACATTTTCTTGCTTTATTTAATTGCACATTGGCTGCCTTGGCGTAGTAACTGTGTTCTGTGTAGTCTAGCCATGAGTGTAGGCACCAACTTTCTTTCGTATTGACATGTCCCGCGTAGTCAACGATAACGAATGCTTTTTGGCGTCGCTCGTCTTGTTAGCGTACTTCGTTTTTATTATGATTTCTGCTTGAGTCGTTGTTTTTATCTCATTCAATTAATTACGCGTTTGCCTAATATTTCGAAATGTTTTCTGCTTTTAAAGCGCTTCTTTCTGAGGACTTTTGACATTTTCAATTCACATTTTGTGGCCAAAGGGAAACTTTTTTTTCATTCATTCACGCACAAATGAGGGCTTACGTAACAGCTGCTTTGAAATTTCTTGAGGGGGGAGTGGAAAATTTTTTTTCTAGGTGATAATTTACATCTGTTTTGAGCTGATATAAAATTATTTGATGAATTTTCTGATTCATCAGTAGTTTTACTTGATTTGAGCAGGTTTTCGATGCAAATATTTTTTTTTCGATTCTCTTCTCTCAAGCCTTCAAAAAGCCGTTAAAAAAATTTTTTTAAAAAAATTGGGAAATTAATGTTTTGCTTTTTTTAAACCCGTTTCATCGATTTATTCTCAATTATAAATTCAGGTCCAAAAAAATGCAAAAAAATCAAGAAAAAAATTCAGAAATTCATTTCTTATTTGATTATTAACAGACAATTTTAGAAAAGGATCCATTTTTTTTTCATTTTGCTTCCTTATTTCATTTACGGCGTACAACTTCGAATTTAGCGAAAAAAAAAGAAGACGAAATTTCAAAATGTTCTTATCAAAACCGGTACCAACCTTTTTATCTCTAATTTTTCACGTTTTCGAATGGAGTGTTCAATGGTTGAAACTTTGGAACGATTCGAACGGCCTGAACTTTTTCATTTTTTTCTTTCTTTTCTTTATTTAACATGTCTGGGAGACTTTATTTACTTTTCGGCTGCCTTCCTCCATTCTACTTACCTTTTCCTTCCCAGTTCTCAAAAACTATCTAGTTCAATTTAGAGATCAAAACTGCCGTTCTCTTTCTGTTATTTTGCGTTTTGACTTCCTGCGCGGGCCAAGATTCGTTCATTGAAACGGGCATATTCCCATTTTGCTCTTCACGTTTTTATCAGTCTGACCTTGATTATTTTTGAGCGCTCTTTCTTCTCTTTCAAGTCGATAATCGATTGCATCACGCGAAAATTTACTTTTCTGTTTTGTCCTTTTGCCTTTGATAGGATTTAAAAAAATAAGAAAGTTTGAGATGCTTTTTCATATTATATTATATACTAGACTTAGATTTTTGAAACAAAAAAATTTGATTTCTATTTTTCCTAAATAATCTTCAGGGAGGTTTATTTTTTAAAGACGAAAACTTTCAAAGGAAGTTCCAGACGCTAAAATAAGAAGCAAGCACGTAAATAATCTCTTTTTTTAACATATTTTTAGACGCTCCACCATAACATGAAAAAAATTATTGAATTTAGTTCTATTTTTTGCCCAGGGAGTCTTATATATTGGCCTGCATTGAGTGAGCTCAAGAGAGTTTGAAAAAAAAAATTGTTTTTCATTTTCAATGTGAAAGATAATTTCTAAATTTCATTTTCACTCATTATACATTTTTTTCCGGCTTTGTCTTGTTAAAATTGATACGATTCTCCGATCTTTTGCAGGATGTTAGCGACCATATGGTCAGGGCTCGACACGAGCGACATCGTCGTTCTGACGCTTCTTCTCATGGGCGCCGTCGCCTTTCTCATCTCCAAAATTTTCGGCGCCTCTAATCAATCAAAGTTCGTGGATTTTTTTGTCCTCTTTCATGATTTTGAAGTCTTTTTTTAAATGAGACTCTAAAGTTTTTGTTTAATTAGCTTTGCCAGAAGGACTTCGAGGTATTGAAAGTCACGGCGAAATGTGATTCTTTGAGGGAAAGAGGGAATAATTACTCGGGTCGAAGAAGAAGTATTGAATTGAGCCTTATGCTTCAATTAAACCTTGGGAGAAAAAATTGAAAAATGATATAATAATTATTCAGTAACCCGGCAGTGAAAATGGAATCTTTAAAAAAAAAAGTTCGAAAAAGAGAAAAATTCGTAAAATACTGAACAAAACTACACCTTTAAACGGCTCATTGCTGTTTTTTTGATGTTTAAATTTCTCCTTTTTTTGAAAATTGGTTCTGTCAGAGATCTTTTGATCCCTCGAACTTTATTGTTAATCGTATTGAATGAATGATGAAAATGAATGAATCTCTCTGTGAAGCTAAACTAAACTTATTAGGCATCAAAAAATTCAACCGCGGCTCAAGTTTATGAAAAAAGCTCCCTCGAGGAAAAATTTGACAATCAAGATTTTAAAAATAATAATTTCCAGCCGATACACGCCAAAGGTAGCGACAGTCGCCCCAACGTTAAAACCGACGCACAACCAGTCGTTCATCGACAGAATGTTGAATGAAAATCGCCAGGTCTTGATCATGTACGGCTCGCAAACCGGAACTGCCGAGGAGATGTCCGGAAGATTGGCCAAGGATCTCTCTAGGTTCAGAAAATATTCAATTTAGGGAATAAATGATTCTGATCGCAGGTATTCGAAGAAGGCTGTCGTCGTGGATCCCGAAGACATCGAGGTCGACGATTTGGCCAGGCTCAAAGGTTAATCTGTTCGAAATAACTTTTCTTCCTCAAAAAAATTCCTGCGATGATCAAAAAGGCAATGGACATTCTGAAAATCTTTGTGATCTTCGTTTTTTACGACAAAGGGTACTGTAGGTGAAAATCTGCATTTAGCGTGCGCACTTTGCGTGTTTGCAAACTTTGAGTCACCGCGTTTTTCATTTCACACGCCAAATGCGGACTTTTGCATACAGTACCCTTTGGTAAAGGAAAAAAATGGCTCTTCTCGTAGCATCTGTTTTCAGGTTTTTTTCAAATTTTGTCCGTTTTTTTGAAACTCCAGGACATAGTCCATCCACCGCTAACAGTAGTTTTCAAGGATCAGCTGATGATCAAGAATGAAAAATAGTATTCATATGATGAGTAGTACGAAAACAAAAGGACAAAGTTCCATTACCTGATTGCTAAACTAATGTTTGGTCAAAGTAGTCATAAGTGGTTTGATCAAATGATTCGCTACGGAAGAGATGAAAACAGTCCTTATCGTCTGGTTTTAATGACGACGTTTTGTAGTTTGTTTTGACGGTTTTGAAGGTTACGGCGAATAATTTTTTTACTCGAATTGAAAACAAAACGCTCAATAAGTTTAAAGTTTCACGGGCAAAAAGAAAATCGAAAAATTTATGAAAAAAATATTGAATTTTGTTTTTTTTGCGAGGAGCACAGTAACGTAAGACCGAAAATCTATATTGAATTCAGAAAAAAAGTTTTTGCACAGAAGATAGAGAAAAGCTTTTTTTTTCTCTGAAGTGATAACCTAGGTGCTTTAGATATTGATAAATCCAAAGAAGAAGCAGAAAAAAATAAATTATTTTGAAGTGCAATAAGACAGTTCCTTACAAGAAAGGTCATTTCCCTTTACGGCTGGGAATTTCCTGAAAATTGGCCAGAACACTTATTGGTATAGCAAAGAAAGTTTCTAAAAGTCTCAATCTTTGATAAATCCTGTTTTTTGAGGAAGGACCTTTCATAGTTTAAAAAAAAACCTCAAAATCTTTCGAAATAGGCCATTTTTGGGGTTTTGAACCTTCTTTCTCGAAAACTAGAAAGTTGTGCAGGTTTCAGAATTTTTTTCTGGCCAATTTCGGGGGGTTTCCTAACCGCAAAATGAAACGCGAAAAATGACCTTCTTGACTCCAAGCAAATTTGAAACCCTGCGTTCATTTTTTTTCCTTGTAAGCAAGCCTGCTCGAAAATCGCAACTATTTCCTGAAACATATTATTGTCGCGCTCTTTCCGCATCAATCAAGAAGTTTAAGACGTGCCGGACGCGTTGCTGGTGCTGTGTCTGGCGACGTACGGCGAGGGCGACCCGACGGATAACGCGATAACGCTCATCGACTACCTGAAGGGCGGCGACGCCGACCTGACCGGCGTCCGATTTGCCGTTGGTTTTTGGATTCGTTGGTCGAATTCGTTGCGTCACGCGACGACGTACTCTAACCGCCTAATTTGAACTAAGATAGGGCCAGAAAACAGCGGAGTACCTTCAGAAATCGGAAAGATTAGACTTCTTCGGGGTCGTCAGGAGATTTAAGGAAAAAGGACGTCCTTTGAACTGAATTTTTTAGAATATCTAGTTATAATCTCTGAAAAAAATTTCCCTTGGAACTTGAGGTTTTTTTTTGGATTGCCTGAAAAATCAAATTCTATTCTGAAAATCGTTAAATCCACAACAAAATTTTTCAAGTAAATGAGCTGCAAAACATTTTTTTTTCAAATTATTTAAAAAAGAGATTTTAGATCTGTCAGTTTTGCAAAAGAATTAGAGGGTATTGAGATTTTTAAGATTTTTATAAGGAATTTTTTAAAATTTGAAAAGTTCAATTGAAATCAAATTTTTTTAAATTTTTGACACAGTTCTACGTGGAATTATCTTCCTTGTCAGTTTCACTTCATAATTTTTTTTCAAATTTTTATGCTTATCAAAATGCCGAACTTCACCTTTTCTAGGTATTCGGACTTGGCAACAAAACCTATGAACATTTCAATGCGGTCGGAAAACAAATGGACGCGCAATTGGAGAAACTCGGCGCCAAGCGAATCTTCCCCCTTGGTCTTGGAGACGATGACGCCAATCTGGAAGAAGATTTCATGAGGTTCCGTCAAAAATTGACTTTCCAATAAAGTATTCTTTTGAAGATGGCGAGAAGCCTTTTTGCCCAAACTCGCCGAAGAGTTCAGCTGGGAACTGAATACGGAGGCCGAAACTATGCGACAGTATCGTCTGGAGCCCGTAGAGCCCGGAAAGGCTCTTTTCAAGGTGATTTATTAGGATTAGAGATGAAATATGTAAACTCCTAACGTTTGAAAATTGGTACTTTTCTAAATTGATCTTAAAACTCGGGAATTTTTTTTATTTGTTCAAATTTATGCTCTTTATACCCACGCAAAATTGAACAAGTAAGATTTTAATTTTTGAAAAAAAGTTTCTTTATCTAAATAAAAAGATGACTCAAGGAAGTTGACAACAGTAGGAAGCTGGAAAGTTGGCATTTTCCTAATTCCAATCGTGCCCTAGCACCCGAAAAGGTCGAATTCCTTAGGGTCACTGGAACTCTTCACTTGTAAACAACTAGAGATAAGATTTTAAGGTCGTTTTAAGGTTTTGTGTTCTTTCCATTTTTAACTCACAAAAAACATCAGAAATCATGTCATAGAAATAACCTGTATGATTTATAATCAGAATTTCTTAACTTGTTTCTTTTTTTTCATCTCATCTCATTTTTCTATTCGGACTTTCTCAATTCTTCCTTTCAGGGAGAGTTTGGAAGACTCGGTGCATTCGAAAGACCGAGACCGCCGTACGACGTGAAGAATCCCTACCTGGCCAAAGTGACGGTCAATCGCGAATTGCACACCGTTGGCAAGAGCGACCGAAGCTGTCGTCACATCGAATTCAGCGTCGAAGGTTCAGTTTTCTTTCTTTAATAACTTCGCTGTTTCGGCTTTGATGTAGATAAGAAATCGGTCTATGCTTTATAATCAAGTTTATCTAGTTAAGATTTGTAGGAAAAAAATTGATTAATACGTAGAAGACTTTCACGCCTGGTTCGCATCTCCTCCTTATTTTTGGCTTTTGAGAAATTTGAGTGCTTGAACGTCTAAACAAACGGAAGCAATTTTACGTTTTTCATTTTTTTTAAACCCAAAGGAAGTCGCATGATAATTTTTTTTCTTTTATTTTGTACTTGTCCTTTTTTTTTTTAAAGTCGCGGCGCGTCTTTTGGTCCGAAATTCCAGCTCGAACTCTTTTTTTTCAGATGGTTTTCTGTATTTTTTGTGATATGTTAATTTCAGGTATACGAATTATAAGAATAAGCCTGTATTTTTCGTTATTTTTTTCCACACTTAAGGCCGTTTTTTTCCCGCCAAAAGTTGAGTCGTAATCGTAACAAGTCACTAAAGTAGATTCGCGTCTATCTATTATCCAATCAATACAAACTGACTATAGAAAAAAACGATTTCTTATCATAAAAATTAATCCAAATCGTCTTTTTTCACCTTTTTAAATTGAAAACTTTGCAGGATCGCGGATCCGATACGACGCCGGCGACCATCTGGCCGTCTTCCCGACCAACGACGCCGACCTGGTCAACGCCGTCGTCAATATCCTGGAGTTCGATCCCGACGTCCCTTTCCGACTGATCAACACCGACGAGGACGCCTCCAAGAGACATCCGTTCCCCTGTCCGACCACCTACAGAACCGCCCTCACCCATTACGTCGACATCTGTGCGCCCGTCAAGAGTCACGTCCTCAAGGTTTTTATAGTCGATATCCCATTCTTGAATCTTAAGGTATTTTTGTTTGAAAGGGGCTTTTTTGGCTGCAATTCAAAATTTATCACGAGAGTGGAATTCTTAACGTTTTTATAGGCGATTGAATTGTATAATTTAAATTTATATATATAAAATTTATATTGAATGCAAATCCAAGTCCTTTTTCTGAGTTAATTGGAAGATGTTGATTGAAATTAATTAGTTCCGTGGACAGGAAACATGGGCGAATTTCGATAATATGACGTCTTGACGCCGAATAAGATTTGAAATACTTGTCGCAGCACCCCGGCGTTTCAATCCGTGAAAAATATTTCATTAAAGACAGATTACTCAGTTTATGAGAGGCCAGATAAGAAACTGAAAGGTCCTGACAACATTTTTTGTGCGATATCCATTTAGAAAAGCTTTTCTTAGCATTAAAAAACCTAGATCAATTTTTTTTTATTTCTGTCGTTTTCTAGGCTATCAGCGACTACAGTACCGATGAAAATGAGAAGCAACATTTGACCCTTCTTTCGACTGCCACTGAGGATGGACTGGTAAGGGAATGCTTTAAAAACAATGAAAATGAATTTCCGATAAACAGCAAACTGTCAAAATTAAAATTTCTTTACTTTATCTACCTTTATAAATTTGATAAAAAAATTTGGTAGACAGATCGCTAAATAAATAATTCAAAAAAATCTGAAACTTTTTTTAGGGAATCTGTGGGTTTTATTAAATTTTTCAAAAAAATAATAACAAAAATGACACTTTTCGGTGAATTTTTCTGTAATTAGTTTTCTATGAAGCTATCGAAGTTTTGAGCTTGCAAAAATCGATTAGAAAAACCATTGAGATTAATATTCCAGAAAGAATATGCCAAGTACATTGTGAAAGAACGTCGATCGATTGTCGATGTCCTGCGAGATCATCCGACCTGCAAACCTCCGATCGAATATCTTCTCGAGCTGTTGCCGCGACTTCAAGTAGAACTCTCTCAAAATCTCATCCAAATGAGTTTTGCAGGCCCGGTACTACAGTATCGCTTCTTCGCCCCGCGTGAACGAGGAAAACATCGCGATCTGCGCGATCGTCACCAAATACAGCATTGGAGATCGGCAGATCAAAGGAGTCTGCACGAATTATCTGCTCGCCAGGGTAAATTATTTGGATGATTTGGTTCGGAAAGTCTTGGCTGAGTCTTTCTGTATTCACAGACTCAAAACATTTGATTTTGAAAAAGACTCAAAAAAATTTTTTTTTGCTCTTATACGGAAATTTCAGTTGAATATCTCTACTATAACATCATGATGCTGGAAAAAGAAAAAGCTTGTAAAACTACAGTACTTAAAAGTTCAAAATGTTCTCCAGCTTCTTCAATATCTTCAAATAAAGTAGTTTGTTAAAAAAACTTTGAAAGTCGCCTAATTTTTTTCCAAAAAAAATTATTGTATACGGTTGCTCAAGATCAAATCCTTTCAAAAAAAATTTATGGCTGAAATCGGATAAGTTTTTTTAAAGTAGTCACTTAAAAAAATCTACCTTTCAAGCATAAAATTGAGCGGTTTTTTCAAAAAAAAAAAAAAATTCGAAAAGGCGTCAAATATCTGACACTTGAAGAAGACAAAAATGGTGTGCGGATCTATATTCTTACCTTCCAGAAATTCGAAAAACGTTGTTCATCCCTTTAGGGACTTCTTTGACGTTTGTCATTTGAATCCTAGTTCTAGGTCCACCTCAAACCTTTTTCATTACTTCTGTTAAGGACGTCGAGGCGACGGCTCCAGTCTTTGTGAGAAAGTCGACCATGCGTCTGCCCCATCGCCTGACGACGGCCGTCATCATGATCGGACCCGGAACGGGTTTCGCGCCGTTCCGTGGCTTCCTGCAGGACCGTCAATACCACAAGAAAGGCGGTAGGACCTCCTCGGCTTCTCCAGCATTACTCATTCTCCAGGCAAGGACGTCGGCGAGATGCACCTGTACTACGGCTGCCGGCATCCGGAGCACGACTACATCTACGAGGAGGAGATCAAGGAGTACCAGGCGGAGGGCGTCCTGACCCACTTGGAGTGCGCCTTTTCCCGGGTGCAGACCGACAAGGTCTACGTCCAGAACAAGCTCTGGGACACGAGGGAACGCGTCTGGGCCGCCATTCAGGACGGGGCTCACGTCTACGTCTGCGGGTTGGTTTTCGGAGATTCTCGATATTAGATATTAGATTAACTTTGAACTTTTGATGGAACTTTTCTGAAGAACTCATACCAGAAAATAAAGAAAATTTCTCGCAATCTCTGGTTTTCGAGTTAGAAGCTTCAAACCTCTCGAATAACGCCTTTTTTCATTATGTTGTGTAATTGTTAATGGTCTAAGGAATACATTTTGGTATGGCTATGAAGAAAATAAATTGGGTGAAACAGTTATAGCTTATATGATGTACATATTTTCTTACAATCCATTTTTCGCTAGATGACTTATGAACGCTATAATAGAGTCACAAATGCGACTTTCTGTTGGTTTCGTTTGGTGAAAAATTGGAAAACGGAAAAATTCTTGCTTCGGTAAACAAATTTAGCAAAAATTTGACTTTCTTGTTTTGAAGCTGCTTTCTTGTAAAAAATTTTTGAACAAATGTACGAAGAAAACCGGTCAACCAAAATCCTAATTTTTTTCATTCAACATCGAGAAAATGAAACTTCAGTGACATGGCATTGAGTGGTTTTTTTTTCGATATCAAGCGATCCAAAAAATTTCTTTCAGTGATGCTCGAAACATGGCGCGCGACGTGATGAACACTCTGCAGCGGATCTTCCGCGAAGTCGGCGGCAAGTCTGAACCTGATGCTCAGACTTTCTTCAAGGAGATGGAGAAGTCGAAGCGCTACCAGGCCGATGTCTGGTCATAAGCCTCTCCATCCACTTTTACCCGCATTTTTCCACAATTTTATCAGTTTCTTTCATCCAAATACGACCCTAATTTTGGCATTAACCACCTTTCCTGTGATAATTTGAAGCATGCTTCTAAAAGAAATTAGGACGTTCTCCTAACATTTTTTCAATTTTTTTCTTGAGATAATTACAATTATTATCTGTTGCTTACATATATTATTCAGAATTTTAGTCTTTGTGATATTGCATTGTTCGAGAAAATTGGAGCGAAACCGGGTATCCAACCATTCGATTGTTGTTTTCATTGTAAAGCAATTTTAAACATAAACCTTTCAGACCCTTTTTTTATTCATTGAAATTTTAAAATTTTGAAATTATCCGCCGCTGAGTGGTGGGATGACTGCAATCTCACTGGAACTCGTCAGGGTCAAATCCTCGTTTTTGATCGACATATCTCAAAAATTCAAACTAAATTGTTCTAATAGAAAAAACTCTCAAAAAAAAAAAAATTACTTGGAATGGCTCGAAACATAGCAAAGCGAAAAAAAAACTGAAGAAAGATAGTGAAAAATCTTTGTCTGATATTTTCCAATGCTTCCTTGGGAAATCCACAGTGTCTTTCAGTGGTTCCTTCAAGGGCCCCTCTAGGGACCAATCCACCAACCACTTAAGGAACCACTTGGGCTTTAGGGGCAAGGGGTCAGACACTAAAACCTTCCTAGAGATTAACAGAGTCGACCCATATAGTGAGCTCTTATTCGACCCCTACAGAATTTGTACGCCTTCAAGAAATCGCGTCGAGCCATTCCAAATGCGACCATTCTCCCACCTTTGATCAACAGCTAAAATACACGCCTTCTCTATGCTTTGAAGTTCGGGAACGACCTCAAAATCCGAAAATATAAGAAAATTTTTTAAAATTCCTCACCTCTTGGAAAATCAACTCTTTCAATTTTTCGTACTTTACGTTTTTGGGCAAGGAAGTCTGGAAATCAATTTTTTTTTTTCAATTTTGTGAATAAAAGAACCTTTTTACAGTCGCATTCGGCGAGTTCTCTGGCTTTTCCGAAGAACAGAACATTGACTTTCACGTTGTTTTCCATCTTTTGCAGGTGACAAAGTTTTTGAAAGAAAATTAATAAAGGTAGAACTTGCAATCCGCAATATTTCGAACGAATCAAAGTGACAAAATAAGCGATGAAATGTTCATGTACAAAAAGGACAACCGGGGGGAGATCTTCGCAACTTACTCATATTCAAAAGAGGTCATATACGGTAATAAACTGAACAAATCCAATACATAGAACAAGATTATTGTTATACATAAAGAGCTATAAAAGTGAATGAAATCAAATAAGAGACCGTTTCGCACCCGTTTCCAGGGAATTGGGAAGGATATCTGGTCTGCGGGATTCGATCAGACTGACGACGTCGGCGCGCAACGCACCCCGTTTCAGTCCGCAAATGTTCGCCGGGCCTTCCAGCCAATTCAGAATATACTGTAGTTTGGCGGCGCCACCTGCAATCGCTCGGAAATCTTTCGAATTGTCCTTTTTCGAAGCTTTACCGTTTGTTAATAGCTGCTCCACGTAGACGAGTAGGGTACTCTTAAAGTCTTTCGAGCTTTGGAACGCCTGAAAATGCATTCTTTGAGTAAATCAAGCTGAAATAAGCGTTTGAAATCTCAATTGTTTTCAAATTGAACAAAGAAATGAACAAAATTTAAATTTTCTACTGCTCTTTGGAGTGAAACGAATAAGGTTTCTTTTCTTGAACTTAAAAATCAAGAGTTAAAAAAATTTTCAGAAAAAACCGACCTCAGCGCTTTGGAGCAATTGTTCCAGCCGAGTTTCGTTGATCACTTTGGAAATCGTCGGGGGAACATTGGCCAAAATTGTGGGTCTTAACGAAAATAATTCGAATTGAAGAAGATTCTGGACAGTTCCTACTTGGGCATTCGTTTCAAGACCCGACTCATCTGTCCGTCGCCGAGTTGACTTTCTGCGTCAGCCTCGTGAAGCCGCGAAAGTTGCGACCGACATTCAACCAATTGCCTCAAGAATAAGATTGTTCAAGGATAGGGATAAAAATGAGGAATAATGAGAACGTTTTTGATGAAAATTTTAGCACAGCATCTTCAAAAAGGAGCAAATTTATGATAAAAAAAGTTCAGCTTTCCAATTTTAAAAATTCGATTTGCTGATGAAAATACCTTCAAACTATGCTTCATTAACGAACAAATAATCAAGATATGAGTTTTAAGGTCATAGAAAAATCAGGAATATTTTTAAGGAAGAAGAACCTAAACTGTCAAGTGAAATGACCTTCTTTTTCAGGGATTCCAGCCTTTTCAATGGACTTATAGGCCACATGAAGAATGACTCAGATAAATGAGTTTTGAAATATTATTAGCATTCTCATGAAAATTTGCTCCAAAGACAATGTCTACGAAATATGAATTTGGTCTTTTTTAGTCTCTCGGTTCTCCATAACGTAAACCGGGGAGCCCCGAACGTTTCTGAGCATTTTAAGTAACCACTTAAAGGTTCTGAAGCCGCTGAATCGCCACTAATATGCTCCTCCGGGCTGTGTTACTGAGGTACGTGCTACTTTACAACAATTATAATTTTGTCCAATGAAAATTTCTCGATCAAACATTTTGAGCTGACTTTTAGGAACCCTGGGACAAGAATTTTGCTGCTTACCAGCACTGAAGCTTAGTGGAGAAGGTGTAGGTGGAGCCGGAGGAAAACGAGATCAATGGAATTCCACGTTCACTTATCGCAAGAGAGTTGACATTCGCGTCTGAGAAAAAAAAAAAATTAAACTTGAACTTCATCAAATGAAAGCCCTACCAACACTTCCAGAAGTGACACACTCGAAAATCGCCTGTTTCGTCACGACCGCGCACATTTCTTGGAGGTTCCTTGAAAAAAGAGGGTTATTGAGGTAATGAAGGTAAGGCAGGTGAAATGAGGTATGATGAAGCTGAGAAAAAAAAAATCGTGACTACTATAGTCAATGTTTCTCGACTTGAGAGGCGAGGGAGGCGGGGCAGAGGGCGGGACGCGCAGCGTGTGCGTACGCGGTTCTTGGCGCCACTTCAATTCAATCACCTCCGACTATTTAAAAAGCTCGATAACCGCTCTTTTTGTATCTATTCTACTGTTTTTTGATGCAAAAATGAAAATAATCAATAAATAGTATAATAAGGAGTGAAAAGAGCGATAAATAAGCTCTCTGAATGCACGCTGGCGGTTGAATTGAACTCGGGCCAAGAACCGCGTACGCACACGCTACGCGTCCCGCCCCCTGCCCCGCCTCCCTCGCCTTTCAAGTCTGGAAAAATTGACTATACCTTAAAGATAAAATAAGTTGATGATGGTTTTTCAACCTCGATTCTGGAAACCGTTTATTTTCTAAACAATTGTCTCCGGATTTAGAGACACTTCCAGTACAACGTGAAACAAAAGGCCAAAAGCCCCGATTTCCAAGCTCACCAAGTACTGAGCTTGCCCATTTGTGTCAGGACGAAAACACAATGTTCATTCAGCCCGATCCGAACAGGCAACGAGTCCAACTGCAGACAACACCGGGAAGAGCTCGTCTGCGTGCAGAAGATGCGGAGACATCGGTCGCCGCAGCCGAGGACGCACCAGAGTCTAAAAGAAGATCGGGAGTCATCAGAAGACGTTGCGGGTCCAGTTACTTGTTGGCGGCGACGATCAACACCGGCGACGCAACAACCACCGCCCACTCGACCGTGTCTTCGGCGGACTCGTCGGACTGTGCTCGTTTCAGACTCACTCGGGTCGCTTCGACGCCGGCGCATCTCCACTTGTTGTTGACGTCTATCAAACGACTCAGCTTCTGAAGTATTATTCATGGACTTTCATGATATTTTCCATGTTTCACTAGAAAGGATCACGAAAATCCCTAAGTTATAGAATACTTTTGAAACCGACATCGTGAGGTAGCGGCTCGACGAACGACGTCTTCTGCTCGGGCGGATCCAAGACGGTTGCTCCTTCGATGACTTGAACTCGTGTCGTTTCGACAGGGCGCATTTGGGGCTTCTGTAAACGTTTTTCTTCGGTTTTCCGTCTTCTCGAAGGTTCTGAACACCTTGAACATGGTGCTGGTGATGATCTGTGGCGCAGAAGTGCTCGGCGCGTTTCTGGTCGCCGTCGTCGCTTCCGAATCGTCGGAATCGCTGCTTTCCGAGCTTTCCTCCGTGCTGTCTTCGCTTTCCACTTTTTTCCGTTTTGCCGTGGTTCCTTCGGCTTTTCTGGAATGAAAATAATAATAAAACTGAAGGATAAATCAATTTCCGGTGAAAAAAATGGTCCCGACTTCAAACTTGACTAACTTTTTTCCCATTTTTATATTCCAATGATTGAGAAGAAAATAACTGACTCGAGGGGAACTCTCTTGGGTACAGTTGGAACAGTTATCGCCGTCTTGACCACTTTCGGAGGTGCCCTAAAAACAGGTTTTTCAGAAAGAAGCTTGATTTTTCGGACGTTTCAGTGTTGGCCGGCGCACTCGGAGCGGCTTCATCGACATCTCCTCTAGTCGTTCCGAGGAAAACCGGCTGTATTCGTCGTTTTCCGTCTTTGACTTGCTGGAAGCCAGCATTACACGACGTTTCATTTATTGTTGAGCCGAAACCTCGACTTGCTGTTTCCTCTCATCCATGAGCTTCTTTTCGATCGCTTTGACCGCCGGATTGATCGTTTTCACAGCCGTCGCCGCGCTTTTGGAAGCTGCCAAATTCTGTAAAAATGAAAAGATTCGTCTAAACTCCGGTAAACGCGCTGAATCAACCAGGCTTCAAAAGTCGAAATCGAAAAAAATAAATAAAAATCGTGGAAAGTCCATGAAAGGAGTGTTCTTTGATTTTTTATTAAATTCAAAAGCATATGAATCAAATCAATGAAACAAAAAGGAAATTCCTACAAACTCTGTAGCGCAAATGTGAGTTTCAACTCGAATTTTTCCGATTTTTCATCTTTTTACTTCGTGCGTTTAAATTAGCCGGATTTTTGAAAATTATCGTCAAAATTGCCTTTAAATTCCATCCAAGTTTTCAAAGCCTTTTTTTTTAGAAAAGTTTCAGCCGAATTTTCCCGTTTTTTGCTTTTTGATAAAAGACCTTTTTGCTGGAGACCAAGTCCTGTGGAGTCTCCACGAAAGAAGAGTTGAAGGATCTGTCGTGGAGCGAATCTTCTCCATTTCCATCTTCCTCCGCCTCATCTCTATACTGAAGCGGTCTGGTTCGGTACAGCTTTTCGCAAGTTTCAGCCTGAAACTTCCTGATTCCTTCCTGATCTTTTATTATCTTCTGTACCATCGCCGCATTGGACAAGACGGCGCCGAGATTTTTCTCGCTGAACGACATGAAAACGACGGATCCGTCTTGAGAGCAGACGCCCAGGTTCAGGCCTTTCCAGCTCATGTCCATCACGGAATGCTTGAAAAGTCGATGGAAGACCAGGACTGGTCGGATGATCTGAAAATGAATTTTCGAACGTTTTCGAAACTTCTGCCGATACTTCTCACATTCTATTTTTAAAAAAAAACACTAAAGCCTCTCGACACTTCTCGATTGTCTCTGTCTCTCTGTTCCCTCACCAGCAATATTAGAGAAAAATGAAAATAGCACGGCAAGAAGAGAGGGTCGCCGAGAGACCAGGAGAGCGCAGAGAAGTCCTACTGTTTCAATTCGGGGAAAAAAAACTATGGCCCGTCGGCTTGAAAGTTTTTCAGTGTCTGCGTCTATCTGATCCCTCACCAGCAAGGTCAGAGAATTAAGAAAATAGCACATAAATATGAGAGCGTTGTCGAGAGCCAAGGAGGGTGCAGAGAAGTCGTTTCAAGTCGCAAAAAAACGGGCTTAGGGCCACATCTTTTTTCTAGTTAAGCTTAAAAGTTTTTCTGATCATTAAGAACTTTTCAAAAGATCATAGGACTCCTCTACCATAGGGGATGCTTCAAGCTTCCTGCAACTTTTTTGGACGATTCTGAGGCATGCAGTGATCCCTTAAGTGGTTTTAGCCTCTTTAATTGTTCCCTTGAGAAGCCGGTATCGCCAACGCTATCAGGATGGTTCAAAATCAGAAAAGTCGTTCAAGAAAAAAACTCTCACAAACTTCAGTCAAATCAGAAAATTCGTATTCAAAATAAAAATGGCCAACCCCGGGGATGAGCCAGACGCTGACAGACTTGTCTCTCGACCCGATGGCGAGACAAGTGACCGTCTTCATCTTCCCTTTGACATTCGTGTAGGAAAGTAGTCTAGGTAGTACTCGGACACAAGTGGTTGCCTTGAAAAATATTTAAATCAGGTTTTGAACAAATAATATATGTAACCTTCCGATGACCAACAAAATCCCTGGAATACTCCCAAGTCTGCCGGTCGAAAATTTGAGCTGTAGGGCCCTGGAAAAAGAATAGGTAGAACTCGATGTTAAAAAAAATGCGATTTCTTATCGAGCACAAAACCCAAGACTCTGTTACAGTCTGTGTGCCAAGACGGAATTTCACCGAACGACATTCCGCTGTTCCGCTGCGTCGCGAAGCGTCTTTGCGAGTCTCGGTCTCGCTTTGAATTGGTTCTCATTTCTGATAGACGGACTGTTCCACTAAGTACACGTGCTGGTCGAGTTTTTAAAAAAAAAATTAAAAATTAAAGGCGCGACGGAGCACGCAGAGAAATAGCGGAATGTCGTTCGGTGAAATTCCAAGATGTGGTACACAGAATATGAGATAAAAAATTTAAAAAAATTTAAGCGATAGTGTTTCCGAAGCTCTTAGTTACCCGTCAGCTCGATAAGAAGAAAAGCCGAGAAAAGTTGTAAAAAAATTTCTTTTTTTCACAACTTTTAAAAAGCTCGTTTTTCATGGACCTTTTTTGTTGAATTTCAGTTTTTTGTTTCCCTAAACCACAGCAAACATCAGATTTCTACAAATTCCAAAATTTAGATGTATTCAAAAACTATCCTGAAAAATAAAAAAAGGGTAGAACTTTTTTTGAAGCTTCTAAATTATTTTTTAAATTTTGAATATTGAATATTGTGTTTCAAGGTCGAGTGTTTCAATAACTTCAAAGACAAACTTCATTATTAGTGGCGGTCGGGGCGAAAAGATATTGACCGTCCGCAGACCAGTCCATTCGCGAAAACATGGTAGTTTGGCTACTCTGAACAAATTACAGATTTTAGGAGTCAAAAATGGGGAAATCTACTTCTTCGAAAGGTTTCCGGATGGTCGTATCGCAAAACCAATTATCCGTTTTCCAGAGTCTCAAGGATTTGTCCGAAGAAATGGAGGCGAGGTACTTGCCGATCGGATCCCACGAGATGCCTTTCACGGCGCCTTCTTGTTGCAAAACTGTCACTTTTTCTGGAAAACGAGCCAAATTTTGGGAATTTTTATATCTGTATATAAGGTAAGTGTTTAAATAATTTTTCTTTTTCTGAATTATTTTAAAGAGTTCTTAGAAACGCCTGAGTGGTCCCTTTAAGTGCTAGGGGGAAAAGAGCCCCTACACGAAGCGAAAAATTGCCCCTATGAGGTTAAAATTCAAGTAGTCCCTATGGGAGTTCGGGTCTAACCCCTGAGCCCTTAAAACTTCCCCCTATAGGGACCGCTCTGGAGTTCCTAAGCCAGTGCTAATTTTTTTTTAAGCCAGTGCTAATTTTAATTCACGGTGTGTCTTCCACTTTGATTATATGCTTTTCAGATTCAAAAAAATTGAATAAATACAAAGAATCTGGAAATGAGGATAAACCATGAAGTTTGGAAGCATTCCAGATGAAAATTCGGCTGTCAATTGATGAACTGGCCAAGTATTTCCTGTCGAGTGACCACTCCACGCATAAAACCTGCAAATTTCACTTTTTTTTTCTTTTGAATAAAGCCTTTCCTGTTCAAGTCTTGCCCAAAAAAGCATATCATTGGGATTCGTCTCTTTTTTTCAAAATGAAGATGAAATTAAAATGCTTCCAGCTTTTTCGTGAGTAACCTTTCTTCGAGAACTGATACGGGAATGAGGTTTAAAGCCCTAAATTCGGAAATGTCTTGCTATGGTTAAATTTTTATAAATTCAACCATAACAAAACGTTGAAGGGGACATCTTTGACTCCGTAAATTCATCAACCAGATTTGATTTTCATGTTTCTGGACAGCGCGATTGTAAGTCCTTTTCCATCCAAGCTTCAAAATTTTATGTTTCCGAACTTTCAATATTTTATTTTTATTTCACAGTTTAAAATTCATTGTAATCTTACCATGGTTAGGGCAACATATTTACTTTTTGGCTTGAAAAAGGCATTTAAGGTGCTTTTTTGGCGCCAGTTCAAGTTGTCTAATTTTTTGATTTTGCTGAGGGTTTCGTATTGAAATATTTTCAAATGAAATCCTCAAAGTCAATTGATTGTCAAATTATTTTCTTTGGCATTTTATGAGATAAATGAAGATAATTATCACGAAAGATTTTGACTGATCTGATAATTTTTTTAAATTGGCGCCAAAACGCATCGCAATCGGTTTGCACGTAAACTACAGCCAGCCGTTTCAAGTCAAGAAAAATGGATAATATCAGCGAAATATTGCACGAAAAAATAATTTTTTTTTTTTGAAGTGAAACTCACGAAATTAAAAAGATTTCTTTCTTTCTATATTTTTCTGTTTTTTACTAAATTCTAAAATTTTCGATCAACCTCCATAGTATGGCCTCTCAGTATGGCGCACTCCTTGTATCTTTCCGAATTGCTGCCGCCGGCGCTGGTGATCGATCCGACGGACTGAACTCGACCAGCTCAAAATGGAAAACTTCCTTTTTCTATTCTATCTGAGATACTACCGTATTCATATACAACGACATTATTGTCATCAGAAGCGCAGGCGAGTCTTTTTCCGTCCGGCGACCATCGAACACAGTTCACTCCGGCTGGAAGTAAAAATTATGGCGTTTTCATTTTCAAAAAGAACCTCGATAATGTAATTCGGACGTTTTTGAGCTATTTAGTGAGCACTTAAAAGTGCTGACATCGCTAAAGGGACCACTCCGGATGCTTAGAAACGTCCAGATGCCACTAATGGGACCACTAGAAATGCTACGAAACGACCGAAGGTCATTAAAAATGACCACTAGAAACATCTAGTAACCTCCGGCCGCCTCTAAAGGGACCACTAGAAATTCTCAGAAACCTCCGGGGCTAGTCCGGTTTGGATCCGAGTCGTTACAAAACTAGCTCCAAAACAAAAATTTCACTGTTTCGGAGCAAATTTCGGTGCCAATAAACCCAACTTCTCGTTTTTCCCGTTACTCGACTAGGCCCGAGAATAGATAATTTTCAAAAACCTATTTGGGGCTTTTCAAAGAAACAAGGCAGAGTTCAAAGAATAAGATTTTTTACATCTTTTTTCTAAGGTTTTGTCGGATTTAAGGCTTTAAACACTCCAACAAGCACTTTTGGAGAAATATTCGAATAACCATTGTCATTTTCTCAAAAAAAACTCAGAAACTAACAGTTGTGTCGAATAGTGCACAGAGACTTTGGCAGGTTCCCGGGATCGTTGGAGAGAACGGCTGCCAGGTTCCATACTATGACAACTCCGGCCCCTCCGGTCTGGAAAACGGCGAAAACTGAGAGGTTTTTCACAGACAAACTTCCAAAATCACTATCAAATTCTTCATTCCGCAATGAAATCAAAAGCACATGACAGCAGTTAGATTTAAAATTTTGATTATTTGATCTTCAAAAAAGTTTAAGAAACGCGAATACTTCGAACAAGGTGAAAATACACGTTTTGAAAAAAAAGATCTTATACCAAATTGGAGCAGAATTGTTCAAAATTCGCTTCAAGACCTTCGTTTTTTTTGCTGTCTTTTTGCAGTTTTGTGGAAAAAGAGTAAAAAAGCTAGATTTTTTCCCTGCTGTGCTCAATAAACGTAACCGTCTTGCGCGGAAAACCAATTATTTAATTAACATAGAAAAAAACCTATCATAGCCGTTAAATTAGACTGGCATTTTGAGGACGACAATTTCAAAAAAAGTCGTTGAACTCACATCTCCCTGACCGCAAGTCGCAAATTTATCATTGGTCGGATGGCAATCAATCGAATAAATAGCACCTCCTGGAAAAATTCGGAAAAAAAAACTTTTTTTTTCTGAAATTGAGGCTCACCGTCGTGGTTGACCCACGCTGGGATGCGCAATTGCATAGCCTATCTTTGCCTAATCGTTTTCCTTCAAAAATTTCTCTTATTCATTCAAAACACTCCTAGACGTGTAAAAAAAGCCATTCCAGGCAGAAGCTGACCATCCTCAGAAAAATGAACATAAGATAAAACAAGATTCGAAACTCAGAACTCGTGAAAACATACAAAGCTCCATGTTGGGTAAAACTTTTTTATGTGCATTCAATAAAATCCAAATCGTTCGCCAGGAATCCTAATATATCATCTCGTTGCAATTTATACATCATGAATGAAAAGAAAATCGGCTGGAAACGAAGATTCGAAAGGAATAATTTTGGAAAAAGGCCAAGTCCGATTTTCCTTTTTCTTCTTTCAAATATACTTTTCTTATTATAAACACACATAATGATCGTTATGCACAAGGAAATTTGGGGAGAGTTAATACAAAAAAGTACACTTTTCCTATTTACATCCTCTTAATCTGGAGATGTTATCAAGCGCTCAGCGAAAGAATTAAAAGGATATCCGGGGGATTAAAAAAATATATAGTAAGTAAGGTTAGAGAGAGTAAAACAGCGCATGCATTATATAGAAGCGGGACTGAATCCGAGGTTTGTTACAAAAATAGTACAGAAAAAGAAGCAATTAAAATTGATTAATTACAATTAGTTTGGAAGGAAAAACCACACCAATTCCCGAAAACCGCCAGCGGTGGAAGAAAAGGAGAGGAGAAATTATTAAGTTTTGGATGGGGAGAAAAGTAGAAAAAGGCAAAAAATTGAGTCCCAGCTCAGATATTAAAGTAAGACACGCTGCATAATTACATTAGAAATCGACGAAAATCGGTTATTTTCCAATTATATACATACAAGTGGGCGTCGACTAGAGGCGTTAAAAAATATGTACGGGGGAGATAAAAAGCAATACATCGTTCGTTTCTGTAGATTAAGTAAGGCACCATTAAATCGCACGAAACTACGTATTTGGGAGGTTTTGAGCGTTAGGTACCGTGTTTCAACTACGAAAAGAGGAAGGCATTTCAAGGAGGAAACCCATGGATGCCCTGGAGTATTGCAATGTGGAGCCACACGATGAGTACACACATAATCGAGAAGAAGTGAAAGAGAAGCAATGACAATACAAAAAATGGAAGAAATGGTTTCGAGATTCGTTAATGAGATTTTTTGGATTTATTGGGAGCCGGCTCAGCTGCTGCCGCTCGTGTTCGTCGACTGGCTCATGCTCCGGTCGCGAAACTGCCGGATCGGCGCTTGTTTCATCATGATGCACTTGTGGAGCAGAAACTCCTAGAAGTTGTACTATTTTCAAAGTAGTTTAGATCAAAGTTTTCAAAAGTTGGAGAGATTTTACCGAGATCTAAAAAAATTTGTGGAATCGTTTTTTTTTTTGTTCAGCACCAAAACATTTTGACTTTTTTATTTTTTTGAATATCTGTTTTTATTCTACTTATCTTTTCTTTTTCTCATTTCTTCTTTTGGACAACTCTTTTAAAGATATATTCTTTCTTTCTAATTCTGAAAGTCGCTGAAAAAAATAATAAAATTAAAAAAACCGGTTTTCAAAAAAAGTTTCGATCTTATTAAAAAAATTCTTTTTTCTGAAATTTAGTTTATAAGTATTTTTCAACTTAAGTTTTTTTACATAATCATTTTCCATATCAAAAAAATAATTTTTTTCTTTTTAAAACTGTAAAGAAGTTCTTCAAACGAAATGTCTCAAAAGGGTACCCCGAACTGGCCGGCCATTTCATTGTCCATCTCGTAGGTCTCCTCGTAGCCATAGTGCGACAGGAAATCCGATCGGATGTACCGACTGGTGAAGACGCCCCGGGAATGCAGCATGCAGCTGCGAATATAGGCGAACACTGCAAAGAAGTCATTTGAAATTCATAAAAATGTTCTGGACTGAAAAATTATTTTTAGATTTGCTCGTAGTTTTTTCGGGGTATTATAAAACATTACTGAAACAGAAAAAACTGCCTTTTTCAACTAGAGACTCTTTAAATATTACTTTTCTTTCTAATATTCAAAAATCGTAGGAGGTTCAAAAAGCCTTATGAAGAAGTTGGATAACTTTTCAGCGACTTTGAAAATCCCGATAAATTAAGAAGTGATGAAAATAGTTGCAGCCCACTCGGAGCAAATGATTTTTTTGATTTAAAAGGTAAGAAAGACGGACTGGCCGCATCGACGCCTTGGGCCAAGTTGTGGTCGGTTTCGAAGGGATCCGCGACACACATCGTGAACTTGGCCCACTTGTCCGGCTTCATCATGATCCGCGTCGTGTCCATTTGCACAACCTTCAAAGAAATTTCAGATTGATCCACTGGGAGAGCTTGACGAACGTGCTGAGTGAAGTCAAAGTAAGACGAGTAGTAGTCGAGGAACCCGACGAACAGATCGAGGACACTCGCGCGGCATTTCTTGCTCTGCTTTCCCTCAAACTGCATATTCAAATTTTTCAAGTTGTTCAAGACGTTTGGTCTCAACCTTTTTCCTAAGAAATTATGTTTGGCTTGTTTTTGAAGCCATTTTTCCTTTGTAGATTTAACTTATAAAAATATTTTTTTGAAAAATCTATAGTCTCAGTCAGAAAGAAAAAAAGGCTGTCTTTAATCGAAAAACCTTTAGAAACATCCAAAATTTTCGTTTTTTCTTTCATGGCAAAGATTTTTCTTTTCAAACTCAGGAAAGTTATAAAGGGAACTTCTATTAGTTTTCGCCTTATTGTACTCTTATTGTTTTCGTAGCTCTTGCAACAAAATATAAGAAACCCGTACATCAACAAATTTCCAATAGAAGACGTTGTAGCCATGGACGTAGGCGTTTTCGTTCTTCTGATGAGGAACCTAAATTCAGAAAATTTTCATGGCGAAAAAAAAAATAGAGGTGCTACTTCAAAAAAAAACATGAACCCGGAATGGTTTTAAATGAATGTAGTTTTAATTTTCTTTTCATTTTTAAAAGTGTCCCAAGAAGACAAATAAAATCGAAACCTCCTGAAGACAAGGCACAACTGGGACAGGCTCAACTTGCTGGAGATAGTGGATGAGCATGACGATCCAGGCGTACGAGGACAGGGATCCCTTGGAGGCCTCGCCGATTCCGCAGCGCTTGGCCCACTTCAAATCATTTTTTTCTTTTCTCATAAAATCCAAAAAAGAGATCAGAGACCAACAGCAACTAGTTGGGAATGAAAAATGGAAAAAGATTTTTTAAAAAAAAGCAGACATTCAAGTATATCTTTGGGACTACAGAAAAAGAAAAAAATAACCCATTTTAACAAACAAACTAAAAAAAATCCCAATACTAGGTCTCATTACAAAAAAAAACTTGCCAAGGTACCTAAATTTCCGAAAAATTCTCAAATTACCACACCTCAGTCTTCTCACTACTTTCTTTTTAATGAATTTATAAATTCAGCTAAAAAAATACAATAAAAAACGGACAGCCTTGATCCAAACGCCCAGAACGGGCAGCCGTTCAGGATCCCACTTGCAGTACTGTTGGAGCAACGACGTGTTGTGCAGAGCCAAGTCGTTCTTGTAACTGATGCTGAAAATGGTCGATTTCGATGATTTGCAGGCGAACGAGTACTGACTCAGCCTCCATGTCCATGTCGCTGCTTCTGAAGCGAACGATGGGCACTTTGGCGTTCACGTAACGTTCATCGACCGCCTGGAAAGTTTAAAATGAAATAAAATTCTCAATTGGATGAAAACACTGAGTTTTTCAAAAGAAAATAAAGTTCAAAATGAAAGAAGAGAAATACATCTTACAAAAATTATTTCTTATGAAAAAAATGAATAGGACCCAAAATTTCCTATTAATTTCTCTGCTTTTTTAAAAGTCACAACAAAGATTTTCAAACAAGCAAGCCTTCCCATCTTTCTAGTCAAAAATCAAAGAGTGAATTCGTAAAATTTTTACCAAATATAATGATCAGTTGAAACTGAAACTTCCATAAGCGCAAAAAATCCTCAGATCATTGAGAGAAAAAAAGTTCAACATAAATCTATAAAATGTTCCAAAACTTTTAACCGAGATCTAGCTTGCGGATAACTAATGTATGAAATTCAGAAAAATTTTTTTCAGTTTAACAACGACTTCAGTTTAAAATTTCCTATTGAAAAAATCCCAAAACTCACCTTTGGAAAATCGACCAAAGCCTTGGCAACGGCGCGCATCACCTGGTCAGAGTTCATAGCCTACAAAGCTTTCAAAATAGTCTCCAATCATGAAAATCGAAAAAAAACCCAAGGCGGCGGAGCCGGGTAAAACGACAGACTCATGTCGACATCGCACATACGCGTGCCGAAACCATTTCTCGATGAGCCATAGATCTGCAAAAATTGGAAATTTTCGATAATATTTCGAAAATTCAAGACGGTCAAGGTTTCTCTAGATATAGTATAATAATTGAACCTCTTTATTTTTTTCAAAAAAATCTCTAAATATTTTTTTGAGTTTAAACTGGTGGTTTTTTTATAAACCTGAAGTTCTCAGAATTTCAAAAAAATCGCGTAGCCAGTGAGTCTAGTTTTTTTCTCCTAATGAGAAATTTCGTTACTTACTTGCCTCCTAGAAAACTGAGAATAAAATATAGAAATAAATTCCGAAAAATTGGGGGAAAAAAATTTGATATTCTATTTACCCCGGGCATTTTTTTCCTTATATTCAACATTATCTCAACTTTCGACGTCTCCTTTTTTCCCATTTTTCTCTCGTTGTGTCAAAATTTTCTCTATTTATTCCGGTTTGCTGTTCTCTAGAGGAATGTTTAAAAAATCTCGCGAACTTTGTAAAAATAAAAATTTTTGTCCGTAGAGCACAACTGTGTTCCAGTGACTTATCCTTCAAGTTAAAAATTGGATCAGCTTTTATAACTTTTTGAATATCAACAGAACCCACATCAAGGACGACACGACAGCCGAAACAAGCGCTGAGATGAACCTGAAGCTCTAGAGCGAACCGATGAACCAGGTCGAGTTGTTCAATTTCGATTGAATTTTTCACTGAATTCCTCAGAATTATTCATGATTTTCCTAGGGAAAGACGCACGCCAATAGACTTGAATGGCCGTCGTGAGGTCTTTCCGATCTGTGGCTGGCAGCCCAACGTAAGGATGCAGCGCGTCAAACATGTAGCTGGAAATTCGAGTTTTTCTTTGTTTTTTCCCTTGTCCCTTACGTGAGAGTTACGTGCTTGAGAGCGTGACCACTGCGGTAATCGTTTTTCATTGCCACCAATGGTAGACCTGAAAAAAAAAGATGGTAAAAAACCATTTTTCAACATTCTTTCGCCGTTTTGGAATTAATTTAAGCGATTTCAGAATCAGAACGGTTTTTTTTTAATTTTTTCGCGAAATTGGAATTTCGTGATTCGTTTGAAAACCGAGTCTTACAACGATAGATTGCGATAGGGTGTCTTTTAGGCGCGAACTCAAATTTTTCGAAAAAAAAACGTGTTCAAATGACTTCAAAATCTGAGTTTCAGGTGTAAAACCCAGTATAACGTTGCAGGAGAAATTTTTCAAACGGTTCCCGAAACTCCAATTTCGCGAAATTCCCGAAATCATTTTTAAAAAATAACACGTCAACTTTGAAATCGCCTATATAACTTTGAACACGGCATTTAACACCCCTCCTATATACGACATGTCAGAATATTTTTGGAATCCTTTTTTAAAAATAAAAATTGCTATCGAAGGGGTCAGAGCAGGTGAAAAAACGACTAAGTATTTTTTTCAATACTTTTCAACAAAAAGCCCTAAACTTTTTCAAACTGAAATAGAGATTCGAACAAAGATCGTGAAGAAGAATGTAGTGTGACATGAGAAAAAAACACCTGATTGAGATGAAACTTTAACGCTCGCGACAGGTGAATTTTTCGTATATTTTTCCATCCTTTTTTTGTAAAAAGATAAATTTGAGGAACAAAAGCAAATTTTTTTGACATGAAGTTGTAGATTCTCCTCCAGTTTCTGCATCACTTATTCAAGAATATTTTTTTGAACTTCATATTTTTTTCTGGCTAAATTAACCTATATTTTTTTTTATTTCAACGAAACCCACACAAAGTAGGAAAGTTGTTTTTTTTTTCCAGAAGGAACCAAGTTTCAAAAAAAATTCTCCGCCTTATTTCATAATTATGTCTTCGCAAGACTATATAAAATGAATGCAAAATAGGCAAAAAAAAAGGCTGCAAAGTTTGCAAAATACAGCAAGACCTTTCAGTAAATAATAAATTTATAGAGAATTTTAAAAAGAATCCTTCTGCTCTCATTTCAAAGCGTATCCATTTCCCGCTCCTGTTATCGTAAAAAAAAAAACAAAAATCAAGATTCTGAAATCCAAATAAGACGTTATTTTTCTTCATGGTTACATGAACTGAATGAAAAATGAGAAAAACTTGCAAAATACTGCAAAGTTTTTCAGTAAATTAGAAATTTATAGAGAATTCGAATTTCGAATGCCTTTTCCTTCTATCATTTCAAAGCACTTCCGCTTATGTTCTTTTTCAATGAAGAAACAAGTCGTGAAAAAAAATCGCGATTCTGAAAAAGAACTGACAATAGGCGGCTGCAGGCCTGAGATGTGGCGGTCTTCTGGTGATCGCCAGGTTCCCAAAGCAATCGAGCAGCACCCGTTCAGGCAAGCAGCCGTTCAGTTTGGCCTGAGCGACCTCGCAGGGCAGCATCTGAAACAGCTCCGCTCAGTCTGAGAAACTCCCGAAACACACACACGGAAAACGAACGAAAGAACCAAGATCATTATCAACCGATAACGGAGACGAAAATGGCGCGTTCTCCGAGTTTCGACGAAACTCGGCGGAACGAGTTTTCCAGAAACTGCTTGGATGGCAAAAAAACCAACTACACAACAACTAATTCGCTGATTTCTCAGTTGATAATTCTCTTCTCTAGTCGGTTCCGGGACAATCAAAGCCAAAATAGACATTCTCGCCGAGTTTTGAGTGACTTTCTGGGCAAATATCAAGATTTACTAGTGAATATTTAGTTTTTACAGCATTTTTCAATCTTTTAACTTTTATGAATTAATTTTAAACCGAAAAAATTGAAAAAAAGTCCTAACTTCGAAGTAGTAAAAAAATAAAAAGATTTTTCCTATTTCTCAATTGGTATCCTCAAAACTACTATAAAATGTCAGTTTTTTTAAAAAAAACTTTCATCTTAATAAAGGAACAGAGTGATCAAATTAATAAAATTCTAATTTTTTTCGAACATCTACCGGTACAAAAAAATAACTATATTTTTCCCGAAAAAAACCTCTTATTACTTGGTAAAAAAAATTAAATGTTTTTTTCTATCTTTCAGAAATTTGAACCGATCTATAAAACTTCAGCTCCGAAAAATTAAATCTTGAGAATATTTTTTTAAAAAAACTATATCATTTCAGAAAAACAATGAAATCGGCCCAAAAACTAACGTTAAAGCTCAAAAATAAAACATAAAAAGCCCTAAATCTAATATATATTTTATCAAAAATTAGATCTTTATTGCTACGATCATATGGACGATCTCGGCGAAAACTATTTTGGCGCAAACTCTACAACCTAGTTACTAAAAAAACTTGAGAATAAGCGCTAAATAAATGTAGAAAGTAAAGAAATAATAAGAAGAAGAATCATATAAGAAAAATATAAACTCATCGGTACAATAGAAAAATCTTAGAAGTTTCAAAAGTAATTAATTGGATTTTAACGTCGAAAACTACTAAAAAAAAAAGTTGCGGGAAATCGCTGCGGTCCTTTTGTTCGTGAGTTGCAAGCGCCGCATGCAGCTGTTCGGAAAACGGCGCGAATTTCAAAAAATTTGTTGACGCGCTGCTGCGGCGGCTCATCAACCTGGCACAAGGATGCACCATTGCGAATTCGTATATTTGTCGATCTCACGGTTGTTTTTGAAAAGTTGTCCTGGCCAAAATAAGATAATTGAAAATAGATGGTCCTATTGTTGACTGCCAGGCGCTTTTCATTATTCAAAACAAAAATGACGGACTACACTCTTTTCATTTTTCGACTGATCTGAGAAAACACGAATTTGATCAAGTTATTCAGGGGGCCAAAGTTGTTGGAAACAAGAAGGAAGGAATACGCGAAACGCGGAATAAACGACTTAAAAATGAAAAAAAAGGTTCAATCCCTCGTGGAATTTTCCATAGAATCTATTTCGTTTTTCATAGTCTGGAATATGAAAAAAGTCGATTTTTCAATGATTTTTCATAAAGATTCTGAATCATGGTGTATAAAATGATAAAAGCACGAAAATTAAACGTCAAAAGCAGCTTTTTGCAAGTTTCATTCTGAAAACGCTAAAAAATAATCTTGCGAGAACTTTCCAAGCTTCTTGGTGAAATTTCGCCGAAAATTCTGAAAAAAAAACATTACAACGTAAATCAAAAATAGCGAAATGATGACAATTCCACGGAGAACTTACGTGACGGTTTCACGCACCGAAAGAAGAAGGATTCTTCTTTTTTTTTCCAATGGAAAACTTGTTGGAAACACGAAGGAAAAGGAGACGTTGCTGGGAAATAATGGGAAAACGCCTGCATTTGGCGGCGTCCACATCTTTTTCTCGCTACGGATTTTTTGACCTGGCTCTGTTTTTTGATCTTCCTGCACCTTGTGGTATTGGTTTGGAGTGTGAGTCTGGATTCGTCGACTTTTGAGAAAGAAATTGATTATATTAGGAAAAAATACAAAATGATCTTGGAAATATAATTTGTTTTCTGGCTTACAGGTGCTAGGAAATTGGAAGAAATACTTCAAAAAACTAAAATTGAGTTAGAAAAAAGGCAACAGGAGAAGAAAAAGAGGATTTACAAGCGCTTATTTTTTTCTAATGCAATATGAACAACAAAAAAAAAGAAAAAAGTCTAAAAAATTTTTATTTTCGCTTAAAAAGACTCATACTCACTCGTTTACAAAAAGGTTAATATAAGATTCAAACTATTTCTTCAAAATTTCTAACTACAACACTGAACGCTGTTCAATTTGATGCCGATCTGAAGGCGAATTTAATTTAAAAGATGACTTCTAGTTTCGCCGCATAAAGATTTTATTTCTGCATATTAGAGAAAGTTAGACCTTTTGGGGGACAAAAAAAACAAGGGGGAAATGGGTGAATAGATAACAAGCCAAATAAGTGGACAATCCTCCAAGAACATCTACACAAAATACATATAGGGGGATTGAAATGGTTATTGCTATCAGAGTGCGAGAAAAAAGACCAGAACTGAGATGAAGCACACACGTTTCGAAACAAAAGGCACAAACAATGGTTTTTTTTTTCATCGAGGTTCGACGCGTTTTTCGTATCGCCTCGGCCGACCCCAGTTGCTTCTCGAAGGGTCTTCTGGAAAATCGAGGGTGATTTTCGATTTAGAACGTTCTGGGGAAACCTCCGTTCTGCTGTCGGGGCTGGACAAACTTCTTTTTCGGCTGGTGGTTGCGTCTCGCCGCGTCCCTTGAAAAAATGCTGATGAAGCTAAGTCGCATTTATATAAATAAAATTTTCGCGAAAGAAGTTCACGACTTTAAAGCGTGAGAGGGCGCAGATAAATGAGAGAAATTCATTTCGCTTCGAAATTAGTCAAAAAGAGCATTGAAAATTTTAATTTCAACGAAACCTAAATTGTGAATTTCGACTTACTGCGTCCACTGCACGTTGAGCCATCTAATGCGACCAGATTTTTCTGTTATATTTTTCTTATTTTTCTTTTACCTTTTATCATGATAAAATTCTGTGATTATTGAGGTTATAATTTCTTCACTAAGGTACCTTTTTAGATCTCGGTTGAAAATTTGAAGAATCTTTGCCTACTTGAGGAGCTCCTGACTTTAGAAGAACTTTTTCAAGCTAAAACGCTTCAAAATTCGCAAAAAAAAATGTGAAAAGGCGTTATTTGAAAATATTGAAGCGTTATAACAAGGAAAAACATCTATCGCAAAAAAAATTTTTCCTTTTTCTGAAATCCAAAGGGGAAAATATTTCAGCCTAGTTTAATCAAAAGTTCAGCCGAGGATTGAAAAGCGTTCCCTTATCAGGAAAAAAAAAGAAGAACGAACTTTGATGGACAGTTCTCCACGTAGTGTCCGATCCGACGACAGAACCTGCACGCCCTCTCGCTTGGGGCCTGTCCCTGGGAGCAGTACCGGAATAAACTCGACTGGAAGATCTCTCATCGGGTCAGACTTGCTTTTTCTCAAACCATGTATTTCTCCTGTGTACATTGCGAGAATCTCCGATGTACTTCGGCGTCCATGAAAGTGTGTCGGGAGCAGATGATCGTCTTCTGGATGAAAGCCCACACTGAAAGTCATCAAATGTCAAAGTGGAATGTTCGGATTCACTGACTTTTCCTCAAGATTCCGCCTCCCAAGTTGTGGGAAAAGTCGAAAGGATCCTCGATACAAAGCAACCTCGGCCACTCTTTTTCGATTTTCGTCAGCGGGTTGCGACGGCGGATTTGGATCACCTCAAAATTTTGAAGTTACTGGCGAGTCCAAAGTAATTTCGTGAATTTTGATACTACCGTCAGAGAATGAAAAGAATAACATAAATTGGAAAGTCAGAGATATTTTCGAATTTCGCAAAATAACTTTGAACAGGGCGAGAACTTTGTGCCTTCTTTCATAGAAAAAAAAAATGATATCAGGGCGCAGGAAAACTGCGGACATAACTAAAAAAAAAATGGCAAAAAAAGATCTTGAGCTAATGCGCTTTATAGCTCACTAGTCCTGTTCGTGATTTCGATTTCGCGAAATGCCAAATCAAAAATTTGAAACAGGAGCATTTCAACGATTTAAAGTCAATTTTTCAACGAGAGAAAAATTCAAAGAGAGATCAACACCAATTTTTTTTTCTGGAGAACAACTACTTTTTTTAAAAATCCAAACAGGTGAAAAAGTTATGATTTCAGCACCTCATTCCAAACTTGGATTTTTAAATTAACAATGGAGCGAAAATTCGAAGAAACCAGAACCTTGTATCGCTATTTCTACATCTACCGTTAGAAATATTTTTTCTAGAGTTTCTTCCAAGTATCTGAAACGAGGAAGGCAAAGTTACACACCAAGTTATCGTAGTCGTAACGAGAATAATAATCCAAAAATCCGATGAAAAGCTCGCCAACGCTCTGCTTGTTCTCAGACGCGTATCCAGTCTGAAAAAAAGCTGCCTCTAAAACTTCTTCTCCCGTTTGAAACCATCTCATCGAGTTCATGGTAGTACGTATCCCAGTTGTCGACCAGACGTTGTTCATAGGACAAGTCGAGATAGTCCTAAAATGTCGCAAATTTCAAATTTTTAGAAGTATTTCGGTTGAACATACTTCTTGAAGTCGTGGAACAACAGGCGGAGACAGGTTTTGGAGGTAGTGGATGAGAAGAACAATATAGGAGTACGAGGACAGGGATCCTTTCGCCGCGTCCCCGATATCGCATTCCTTCGCCCACTAAAATCATTTTTTGCAAAAAAAAAGCGAAAGAGCAATAATCATTTTGTTACAAAGAGGATCAGCCCTATTTATTGTTTAAAAAAAGTCTAGTTCAAATTTCTCAGGAAACAGAAAAAGCTCTATTAAAAACAGGCAGACGACATCTGAAGTATAGGAAAATTTGAAAATTTACAGAATCAATTTGATTATATTACTCTTAAAATTGTACCTAAACTGAAAAAAATGCCATTTCGTATTTTTTTAAACCCCATACTTTAAAGACGTTTCTATTTTTATATAATCCGTTTAATGAGTTTGAACTAAATTATACTTTTAACTGAGCAGAAAAAAAAAATTTTTTCGACCGTGACGCCCTAAGTTTGACTCAAATCTTTAGTTTTTTGAAATAAAACAAAAATGCTAGTGAGTTATATTTTTGTGCTATACACTTTTTTTTTTCTATCAATTATTTTTTTTTATTGAATCACTGTCCAAAAAGAGCAATAAAAGTCACCTTTTTGACGAACAATCCCAGTTTCGCGACTCTGTTGTCCTTCGAAGAGATACAGTACCGCCGTAACATTTGTGTGTTGTAGAGGGCGAGGACATTGTAGTAGCTTATACTGAATGAGTCGAGAAATGATTGATTTTGCGTCCAAATGGGCAAACTCTGTGTCAATGTAGAAGTTTCTGTCGATGTTCAATTTGAACTTGACGATCGGAACTTTGGCCGTGGTGATGGGGAGGATATGTCTGACATAGGCGCATTGGGACAAAGCTTCCGCGATTTTCTTGATCACATCGACCGCCGCTTTCCCCTGAACATATCGGGATACGGGTTGAGAGCAAAAATCCCTCTTAAAATTAGAAATGCAAAAACTTTTGAAACAAACTTTAGAAAATTGTTATCCATCTTTGCCTTTGAACTTTTGAATATTCATATCACTAAGAAACATAACACTCAAAGTGGAAAGAATAAACAGGATTTCACCAAAATTTTATATGAGGGAAACGTTTACCGGTTAACAAGCCATCCAAAGCGAATTTTATTTTCACATTTTTTTTTCCAGATCAGAACAGTTCTGTTGGAATCTGTGAATCAACTTCTCCACCTAGTTCTTTTCAAAATAGAGAACCTCTGGAGGAGTGTCGCTTCCATAACGCATACAGACGTCAATATCGGAACCTTTCACGCCAAAACCATTTTTGAATGAGCCGAAGACCTGGAAAAAAGAATATTTCCGTCCCCTAACTTCTTGTCTTATAGTGGAATGTCCAAGCTTGGAAAATTTTCCACAATCAGGGAAAAATTGAGGAAAAATCCTCACATCCAACCGGATCGATTCATCGTTTTGCCAATTCCTCAGGTACAACTGAAGTTTTTCGACGGCTTTCTCAACTTTGGTCACGTCGTAACTCGAAATGTGGAAGTTTTCTGAGGAAATACAACTATTTACGCTCTTAAGGAAAAAGATACCGTAGTAGTTATCGATCGTTTCGTCCAACCATGAAATTTCCGCCTCGTTACGTAACGTTACAACGTTGGAAATCTCGGGGACCTATGAATTTAAATTTTTTTAAAGTAAATTTGAATAGTTAAAAAAAATCCTATGAAGTGAGAGAAAAACTGTAGGAACCAAAATATGGAGCTCAATCTTTCTGAAACCCTTCTTTTTTTTTTTTTTCCTACTGAAATCCCACCATAGTGTCACAAATAACAGTCATGACAACTCCTGAAGATTTCGAAGAGATCAAACTAAATACAAAAAGCTGTGGTTAAAAAAAGCATGTTTTTTTAATTCGAAAGGAACTGTATTACTTGTTTTTTTTTTCGTTATTCCTCGAGCTTAAACTTGATTTTCTCAAAGAAACTTCACCGAAATTTACTTTCATGTAGGGACAAGCGTTTCGTCCATGCGGGCTATCACAAACCGTGCATCGAACTTCGAGCTCCTAAAAAAAGAAACTTAAAAAAGTCAATTTTTCACTTTCAAACATAGCCTCCATTCAAATCAGAATTGTTCGTGAAGGTGTAGTCGAAATTCCGTTTTTCAGTGAAAACCTAGAAAAAAAGGATCTTGAACGAATTTATGATAGAATAATAACCCGCTTGGCGTCCTTCTCATTATAGTTGTACCTGATATGCAACTCTTCCTGACAGTATCGTGAATCTTCTTCCTTCAAAAAATCTCATAGTCTTATTGAAGAAGATTGAGAGAAAACTGACGACTGCTTCTTTAACAGGAACTTCAGGAATCTTCGGATCGTTTGAGCAAGAAGGAATTTCGTGCAGATTGAGGTCTTGGAACGGAACGAACAGTGAGTTGACCATCTAGAGGAGAGTACAATAATTAACATGAAAAATTGATCTATTCAGCTTGGGAAGTTTTCATAGAAAAAAAAGAATGAATATAAACTGAAAAAAATGTTTATTCCGTGTTCAAAAATACTTTCGGTGATTTTTGAAATTGACTTCGTGAAAAACGCAGAATTGGGATCCCAAAAGCCGTTAAAAATTAGGTACTACGAGCGTGGAACTTCAAATTTTAGAATTAGTAGGGCATTTTTTTCAAACAAAGTTTCTCTTTTTTTAATTTTATTGATTTGAGGACCAATTTTTTTCAATGGCTCCGAAATTCCATTGCGCATTTCGAAAGATAATTTCAAACCAAACAAAAGTCAAATTTAAAAATCGCCGAATTTACGTTGAACACGGCATTAAAAAAACTAAAAAAATATAATCAAAGAAAAAAAGTTCGCAAAATTATTTCCACTACAAAGCGCTTGGAATATTTTTTTACATGTTCTTAAATTTTTTTGAAAATAAAAACGAACTAACAGGAACTATTTCAACAAAAAAAACTAAAGTTTTTCCGGAAGGCCCAGTTTTTTTCTGTAAATTCATTGAAAAAAACGTCAAAGTTCTTCGAAAATTTCTGGATTTTTTTAAAAACTGATAATTATGAAACGAACAGCCGTTGAAGTCGATATTCCCGAGAAATCCTCTTCGCTGGCAAAATTTTGAGAATGTTCTTCAAGTTTCTCAAAGCCGTTCTGAAAATGGAAATTACCCAGATTTTCGCAAAAAGGGTAGGGATAAACCTTGTAGGAACTCAGATCCTTGACAGATTCCCAGCTTGGAGAAGAATGCTTGAGCAATTTGAAAGAGATCGGAGATTTCTCAATCTTTTCCCGTACTGCCTGAACAAATTTCGAGATTTGAAATACAGAAGAAAAGAACAAAGAGGTTTTTGAAAGCAATTCTCAAAAGGTTGAAGAATTCAATTTCCGATTTCCTATTTACATTGAACTTTTTGAAGGAAATTTATTAAAAAAATTTTGTCAATTTTTATAACCAATTTTTTTCTCAAGTTAAATAATATGTTTACACAAAAAATCTTCAAAATTTAAATTTTAAAAAAGCTGAAATCGGAGAAATCATAATTTTAAAAGAATGAATAACCTTGATATTCCGTTCTTTCTGATGCGCAAAAAGACGAATAAGGATTGTCCAGCAGCCGTTTCACACGCAAGAACGTCTTCCGGCTGTATTTTTCCAGAAAAAAATGCTCGTCGATCTCAACATCCGATGGGGTCAAATCGGTGAGGAGGATTCCATCGAACTCCAGGTACTCCTGATATTTTTTTAATATAAAAAAATTTTTTTGTCAAAGCGAAATTTTGAACTTTTCGGTACATAAATATCCCATTTTTTTGTTTTGAAAAACCCTTTAAAAAGCCTTCTTTTTCGATGAAGAAACTGTTATCTTTTTTTCGAAAAAAATCTTTCAATCTTAATAAAAAAATCATTCCATTTTTTTCGAAGAACTAAAAAAACTCGTTTTAACCTTTTTTTGAAACTAGGGTACAACATTTTTGATAAATGAAAAACTTTCTTTTTAATTAAATTTCTTTCAACTTTCAACTGTAAACCCAAAAAAATCCTTCTTATCAATAAAAATCTTATCTTCCCTGAAAATGAGAGAAATCTCTCTTTCCTAATAATTATCTTGATGAAAAATCCAGTTTACCAGAAGCTCCCTCTCGAGTTGACCAATGTCTTCTTCTTCGGCCAGTTCATCTGCAGCTTTGGTGTACTCTTCTTCCTGAAAAAACTGAAATTATCCGAAAATTCCTCCAAAAAACATGCCGTGATGTTCGCATTTTCCGAGAAAGAAAGTGTTTCCAGTTCAGGTTCCGGCTCTCGGATTTTCTCCGGTTCCAGAACTTCCTCCAGAACTTGGAAACCATCCGGTTCGGGGACTCTTCTCGGTTGTTGGACATTTTCCAGTTCTTGTATTTTGGCTTGACCGAACCGATGAGAGAAAGAAGGCTTCTCAACGACTTTCTCGTCGCTGACCGAGCCTTTCAATTTCTTTTTTTGGTCCAAAAATTCCTTTCTCTGAAAATTTCCTTGTGTTTTTAAAATAAATTTAGCAGAGAAATTGATTTTTTTTTTTACGATTTCGAGTACCAAAATAGTCTTTAAGATATAGATAATACCACAGTTTTTGAATAATTTTTTTGAAAAGTTAAAGAAAAAAGATTCTACAGCCATAAAAAAGTTTAAAGTTACCTTTTGATAGAACGCGATGCTCAACGAAGGCCCATTCTCGTCGCGAGGGATCGCCAAATAGACAAAAGTCGCGAAAAAGCAGTTGAAGAAATAGTTCATGAAGTTTTTCAAGACGCAGAAAACGTTCTCAACACGGAAAGGGTCTGGGAAACGAGATGATTGAGAAGTTCATTTCGACCGAACACACCGGAAACAGTGAGGCCTTTGCGGTTCACGCTTCTGGGATCTTTCTCCTCGCTATACAGAATCTTAAAAGAGACGCAACGTTGAAGGTAAAAAAGAAGTCTTCGAACCTGCACGGCCGTATTTTTATGTTTCATCGAAAAGTACTCGAAAAACTTCAGGTACAGGAGCCCGCTGAGCCACTCTTTGTTCAAATCGAACTTTTGGCTCTAAAAATGAACTTTTTTGTAGATAAAGATTATATACTATCAATCCTTGGAACCTCAACATTTCAATTAAAATAAATTGTTATTTTTCGAGTTTTGTATACAACTGAAAAATTATGAACCTGATTGAACCCGTAATTTTGAAAGAACTACACACTTCTTGTCAAAACAAAAAATTGATGCTAAAAAAGAATGATACTTTTCCGAAAGCTGAAAAAATAGCATCTATCATTTTTATACCAAATTTTCAATAACTCACGATCTCGTCATAATCTTTGGCATAAATTTGGCGAATACGGTTTTTCCGCTCGTGTAGTGACTCGTTTTCCACAGGCTCCAAAGCCTCATTTCCCACCATCTAAAATAATTATCTTTTCTTTAAAAAAAGAACGAATTTCTGCTAACTTCATGCAAATAAGGGAGCATATTCTGTTTCTGCAGGAAATGGATACAAATCAGGTCGTATCCGTACAAATTCATTCCGTACTGCTCCGTGTTTACCAGGTTCAAGGTCTGGAAAATGAAAATATATTCATTGATAGTCTCAATGATAATTAATTTTGTTTATTTTTCCAGATGTTCTCATTTCGCTTCAAAAAAAACATAATCGCACTTTGAAAGACTCGACGCGATCGTGAGCGCCAAACCTGAAGCTACTTGCGCCGAACATTTACAAGCTTACAAGGAATCTTTGAAAGTTCAACAGAAACGCTTCAAGTAATTTCAAGTACTGACCACGCTTTTCAAGTGTGTGAATAGTCAAAAATTAGAAAATCTAGTTTGAACTTCAACGAAAAACCTTGGCCCAAGCTCGAATCGATCGCAAAAAAAGAGCGACTGCCGGTCTCAAAGACACATAAGTGTGGATCAAAGTCGATGTGCAAACTGGCGAAATCGCTCGCCACACTAACTTAACTTCTCGTCCCTCAAAATGGTCATTTCAAAAATGATTCATCAAGACAGTTTACTTTGTAGGTGAACTTGATGGCTTTGAACTGGTAGAAGTTGGTGGAAGAGGCGTCGGAAATTTTCGAATTTTCGTTTTCTGCAAAATTGAGTCGCTCGTCAACAATTGGAATCGTTGCACACACGTTCTTGCTCGATTTTCCGCAGAACGAGTTCCATTTTCTCGGCGACTTTCGACAGATCGACGTCCTCGGAGTTGAAAGAAATGTTGATGTCGCTGTCGTCGTCGCAGCATTCGTACAGAACCGATCCGAAGAGCGTCAACTTGACCGATCCCATGTCGACGGAGGGGAACACCCCGTTTTCCAGCCAATTTATTATCTCCACAGCGTCCGCCAGCACAATTTTTGGATTGATCTGAATGATTACTTTTTCGGTTTTGAATCTTAATCCGTAGGACACCTTATATTGCAAGAGATCATTGAAAGCTTGACTTATAGCCGTGATTTGCTTCCCTGAAGGCGGTTTCAGAATGGAAATCAGTTTGGAGCGTTCCTTCAGGATCTGAAGCCAACATGGATGATGGAAATTGAGAGAAGCTTGACCTCTTCGGCATCTTTGTGGGCGTTCGACTCGAGGTGTTCTCGGACACTTTCGATAGTTCTGAGAAGGGCCTCGCAGAGGCTGCAAAAGTACAACTGATCGCTCTCCGCAGGCTGAACAAAAGCAATAACATGAGGAGAATGAGGATGGAAACATTGATGGACTGGGTGATGTAGTTGGATTGCAGGTATTCCAGGGAAGAGTTGTGAACACCGACCCGTCCTTTGTGATTCCCTTGAAATTATATTTTGATTGGGCTTGTACTTTTTTATTTCAAGGCGAAGTCCAAACGACCTCGAAAAGAAGAGCCTTTTTGATTTTCTAAAAAGGTGTCAAAAAAAATTTCCGAAAACCCTTTTTTTTTTTCTCCTTCTTTCCTCCTTGACAGTTTTTTAAATATCTTTCAAATACCCACCTCTCGCCTCGTCCAGTTGATTAAAGCATTCGGTAATCGCGGCCCGGATCCATTTGTCCTTGCTTCTCGCCGAAATCAAGGCGCAAGCCATCAGATTCGGAAACGGGAGAAGCGGCTTTTGGAAAGTAACCACGATGTGAATCGCATTGATTTTGGCGATATTTTTGATGGCGAGCTGAATTTTGAGCAGTGGAAACTCGTTGACAGGACTGTCGACTCACGTTGTAGGTGTTTTCGATTTGAATACTTTCACACGGAGCGACGGGATAATCGGACAAACTGTATTGCAGCAAGCTGGAGAACTTCTCCTGCGTCTGAAGGGCCTTTTCCTTTGAGAATCCCCAAGAACCTCACCAGTCCCATTGCTGATGGCGCCCTTCTCGCGTGACCATTGGTGGGACCGTAATATTCCTCCCTGAAGAAAAAACTGAGATAAGAGGGGAATCTAGAAGCGATAACCTTTGCCTCTCATTCGCCATCCGAAGCTTTTCATTCGGTGGCGGCACCGTTGAGAGCTGTGGCTTCGGATAAGGCGACGGATTTGGATTTTTCAGGACTTCATAGACGGGCTCCGCTGTGGTTTCTGGCCTCCTTCTGCGATTTCTCGACTTTTTCTTCCTTTCGGATGGTTGCCCATCGCTCTCCGTCATCGCTGTTTGTTCATTGAAAATAATTTCGCGAAGCGTGGGAGGTAGATGAGTTCGTCGACTCGTTAAATAACATGAAGAAATGAGAGATGGGAAAATTTTTATGTACAGAAAAAAAAATCATTCATCAGCGATCTCCTCCTCTTCATTCGGCATTTTGACAATCATTTCGGTTAAATGACGATGTTGCTCGCTGTTGAACTGGAAATGATCGGATTTATTATTTCCCTAACTTTTCCGAACTAAGAATGAAAAAAAAACCGACTTGTGCGTCGCGGCGATGCTCAAAAACAGTGGTCAGGAAGGTTTCGACGGTCGGCGTGACTTCCACGGACCACAGATGCTCGTTCCATTTGACTGGCGCTTTCGGAATATGACAGGGAAACATCAAAGCCATCTGAGACTCTTTGTGAAACTTTTTTATAATCGAAAGCCACAAAAATGAAGAGAAACTGCGCGGAAAACAACCGGTTGTTCAAAAAAAAAAAGTGATAGAAGATCATCCATAAGAATGTTTAATAACAAAAAATAACAGCACATTGTACAAAAAACAGAAGTTACTGAAGCCATAGGACCATCCTAAACTGCCTTATCGTTTTCCAATTTTATCAATTTTCCAACCAAAGGGTATTTCCTCTCAAAAAGTTTATGCCACTTGATCAGTTCTTCCTGAGAGAAAGAAAATTGATTAACACAAAAAAACGAAAAAACCTTGTCGACTGTCGATGGAGTCGGATCGGCAAGGTTTTCGAGGCATTCCAACAAATTTTTATCATCCTGGTACATTTTACGTGACTTTGTCAGGTCGTAAACCTGGTTATAGATGAAAATTATCAGTTAAAAATTTCCTTTCTTGCCTTCCTGTCGATAGCCACAAGAAGATTATCAGGGTTAGCCTGGTTAAACTTTTTCAATTCTTCAAGTGTGAAATCTTGCATAGGTACAGGGTCGCCCTAGAAACAAAAAAAAATGGATTAAAGAACGTTTCACTGTATTAATGTTACCTCGGAAGGTTTCGGCTTATCTATATAGTGTTTCTTGGTCCAAAAGAACTTGTAGATAAGAAAAAGTCCCAGTAAGATAAGAAGGATGTCCACTTCCGTCAATGAATAAGCATAGTTCACAGCGATGACCATCTGTAAGCCTTGGCAATCATAAATAATCATAAAGACTAATCAGCCCGCTGTTGAATGAAAAACTGAGAGCCTACAAATTGATAAAGCCAAAAAAATTTTTTGTTAGTATACCTGATCAATTCACTTAAGATTTGAATTTGAGAGAAAAATCTTTTTAAAAAAACAGAGCTTAATGTTGCTTTTTGATTTTCAGAGAAAAAAACTGAGAAAAAAACCCCCCAGAAAATTATGCAAAAAAATTTAATAAAAAAATAGGGGACAAAATTTCAAATCTGCCGCACGGACCCGCAAATGGCCCTTCAAGCGGCTACTCGAGGGAATCTATTTACAAAAAGCGTTTCACGCAGGAAGTTTTTTTGCAAGTGCACCATAAAACTCGAAAAAAAAATGTGTTTCTTTTTTTGTTTATTTTTTTGTTATCGAATTCAATAATTCAACAAATCCCCTCAAGATTTTTAATTTGAGATAGAAAACTTTTTAGAAACAGAAATTAATTTTTTTCGAATTTCAGAAAAATAAATTCAGAAAGAAGCCAGAAAATGATGCAAAAAAATTAAATAAAAATTAGGAAAGAAAGAAAAAGATATTTCAAATTTACCGCATGGACCCACAGCCCGCAAACGGCCCCTAAAGCGGCTACTCGAGGGATTTTATTTACAAATGCTTTTCACGCAGGAAGTTTTTTTGCAAGTGTCCCGTAAAATCTGAAAAAAATTTGTTTTTTTCTGTTTATTTTTTTGCTATCGATTTTAAATTTTTTTTAATAATGTAATGGTTTTTTTAAAAAAATTTTTTTATACTGTTCTTATTCGAATTAAAAAAATGAAAAAAATGCCTATATTTTTCTGAAATTTATTCGTTTTAAACTTTGCAATATCCTCGAATCCATGCGCACTCAAACTTAGTCACATTTTAAAAAAACTCTCTTTAACAATAATAAGTGTATTTTTTTGTTATTTATTCTGTTTTCTGATAACTTTTTTTTGCAGTTTGAACTCATAAAATGGCCGCAGCTTATATTGAGCCACGAGTGTTTCGAAGAAATGATCCGGGGACACGACGAGAGGTTTCTATTTTCCTCATTTCGTATTTCAGCTCGCATGTATTCAGGATTGGGATAAATGGCCTTCTATGGCTTTCGATGAAATGGAATCATCCTTGAACGTTCAACAATACATTCAACAGAAAATAAAAGAGGACCCAGTTAATATTGACGGTATTCTGACGTCGCCGTCAGATCAAGACGAAGGCGTGTGGAAATACGAACACTTGCGGCAGTTTTGCATTGAGCTGAATGGCCTCGCTCTTCTACTACAAGTTTTTTTTAAATTTTTTACTGTCAGGGTGTAAGTTTTTTTTTTAGGAAGAATGCGTACCTGAAACGTGTGCACAAATGACAGCCACTGAACAATGGATTTTCCTGTGTGCAGCTCACAAAAATCCGAAAGAGGTTTTATTCTCAAAAAGCTCTTTTTTATTTCATTTCCAATTGATAGTGCCCCGCGATCGATTACACTCGACATACGTTGGATGGTGCCGCGACATTGCTCAACAGCAACAAATATTTCCCCAGCAGAATTAACATTAAAGTTTCTATTTATTTTTTATCCCTTTTTTAAAATATGAATTTCAGGAGTCGTCTATTTCCAAATTAGGCTCCGTGGCTCGTCGTGTCTATCGAATCTTTTCTCACGCTTATTATCACCATAAGAAATTATTCGACGATTTTGAAGCCCAAACTCATTTGTGCAAAAGGTTAGTTCTCATAAATCATGTCAAATACTCCCATTAATCTTTAGATTCACCGCCTACGTCTCCAAGTACAACTTGATGGCCCCAGAGCATCTGATCGTCCCAATTGGTCAACAGCAACAAGCATAACCAATTTTCCAATTCTTTCGAAAACCATCATTTTGTATAACTTTTTCAATCACAGTTCCCTTTCTTCTTCTCGAATTCGATACCAATCATATAGATAAAACACGACTTGTGCAATATTTTCATTATGAATGAATAGCTTTTCTCACTGGAATGGAAATAAATGTAAAGTTCCCCGATTCGAATTTTTATTTTCTATATTTGTTCAATTTTCTAAGTGTGATACTTTGATAATCATGGAAATTACTATAATTTTCCCTAAAAACTATTCAAAATTTTGATTCGAAAATCCTTGCTCTGGTATTTGGAGACGCAGACATTGAAATGACCTAGAATTACATTTAGAACGACTCTCCGCCTCGAAATCTTCGGGCTTCTTCAAATTTCAGTTGCAAGGGTTTTTGAAATGCGTTCAGAAAAAAATTCCTTCGTTTTCTCAAAATTTGTAAAGTAGTTTCTTTTTGCCTTTTCCTTGATTTTTTTTTTCATAAAGCTGAAGAAAAGAAGTACACTGCAGCGGCATATTGATAAAAATAGTAAAGAAATCTATGATCAGAATGGAGCCTATGGAGATAGACGGCGATTATGTGGAAGAGACGGCATTTGAACTGCTGCAAAGGCTTGGATTCGGTTCTGTGCGATTTGGAACCGAACTGGAATCTCTGAACGAAATCGTGCAGTTGGTTCCTGGACAAGTTTACGAAATGAATGGCGATGTCTGTTCGGGAAAAACTCAGGTTCCAGGCTTTTGAAGGCTTATAGTTTTGTGTTTGTTCAGATTTGTTATTCAATCGTTTCAAAACTTTTGAAGGAAGATGATGAGGCGAACGTTATGTGGATTAGTTCGCTCCCATTCAGAACCGATCATTTCATGAAACATGCTGGCGAAGTTTGAATATCTCCTTGAAAATTTCTAGGATTTTTAAAGGCGCAGAGTGGGTTTTCTCCTCTAGAACATGATTAAATCTTTCTGATCCTATGAACACCCTAGCAAGAATTCTGAACAACCTAGAAATCTTAAAACTATAGCCCATCACGCGCCAGTTTGTCACGATTTTGTTTCCTGCCGAAAAATACCAAATCGGATCAATTTTACCATTCTTTGCTTCAAGACCTTTGTTTTTGCAGTTTTGTAGAGCCTAATCTGGGCTTACAGTAGCTTTTTTTGCTGTTGAACGTTAAAGTCTCTCGCGCGGAGCCTGTATAACTTTCTCGGGTTTCTCAGGAAAACAACGAGCGGCTTCTCCAAGCGACGGTAGATGATTATAACCAACTGCGGGATTTTTTGTTCAAACTTGAGGTTATGAAGGGAAAATAGAAAATATTTACGCGTCGAGAATTTTCAGAGAGATTTGAAAGGCACATCGGTACGTTTGATTATCATCGACAGTGTGTCTTGTATGATGCACGACACTGTATGGACAGATCACGATGAAAGTCAGAATTTCTGAACTGTCTTTGAAAAATCACGAAGTTTGAGGACACCGTTGTCAATCTATTATCATCGAGAAACTCAAGAGATTGTCGCGATATGAAGTGGCTATCCTCATGACGAGCCATATCGTATGTTTTTCTGAAAGAAAAAAAAAATTTTTTTTATTGTTTTACTGAGGCGTTCGAAGGCGCAGAAATCTAAAAAAAATAGCTCTTTTTCTCGAAATTTTTTGAAATCTGTCTTTCCTTCAAAAAAAGTTAACTAGAACTTTTGAACTTATTTCATTTCGAAAAATTTGCAATTAACTTGAAAAAACATCGAAATTTCTTGCCCTTTCCAATGGAACACTAGAGAAGCGCTAAGTGGTTACTCGAGGGGTTCTGATGCCCCTTAAGTGTTCTCAGAAAATACTTTCTTTTCGGTGTTTCTCTATTATCTCAGCTCCTATACACTGTGAATATATCCGAATTAGTTGAAAAGTTCATAAAATTTGCAGTCAGCCTGTAGTTAAATCTCTGTTGAATGGTGAGAGTGTGAAATAATTGACTTAACAAAACAGTGAGCAACATTGAAAGGCTTGAACCTCTGAAAGAAAACGTTTTCAATGGAAAATTTTTTAATTTTTCTAAATTTTGAAAACTTGCAATATAAAGCTTATGAGAAATGTTGAAGATATTAGATATGACCAATTCATTGTATAGTCTAGTTTAAAAAAAACTTTCATTTGAAACGTCCCTAGAAGAAAAAAAAAAAAAAGAAGTGTTCTATTTGTAGACCTATTGGGATGGAGCTCCGAGGCCGTCGCTCGGCAAGTTTTGGGTTACTTCGTTCCCAATGGAAAACCGATTTTTCGTCGAAGCGTTGGCGGATGGCCGCACGAGGTCCCTGAGTACAATGAGAGTATGTTCCGAGGACAATCATCGACAAGGAAATCCTATTTCTGGCCGTTTTCCAGGAAGACGAAACAGTTGACATTGCCAAATTCTGCATTAGAGATGGCGTGCTGGCGGAGATCGATCAGCTCTAAATATTTGTTTCAGTGAGGGAGGAGGTTCGTTTTTTGTTGGGGTTTGATGAGAATATTATACTTCCTTTTATTCAAATTCTATGGAGGTCTTGTTTTGAAACCGAAAGTTTTGAGATTTGCTTGATACTGAGTTAGTTGGTTAGCTTGCGTTATCATACACTGGATCATCTATTTTCCTTCATAGTTTGAAAAAAAAAGAAATATTCATGAAAAGTTTTTTGATAGATGTGGAAAACTAAACATCAAGTGAAAATTTCATGATTGAAACCTTTTGACAAGTTTGAAAAGAGGTTTTAGATGAATTAGACTTCCTCAAGCAAATGAAGTTTTTGGATCTTTCCCTTTGATTAAGCTTGAAAAATACTTTTTTCAGTCGTTCAGACAAAAAGTATAGATGGTAGAGGTTAATTCAATGCGTGCGAACGAATGAACCCAGAGGGAAAGCGAACGTAATTTTTAAATTAAATTTTTCCTACGGATCCAGCTTTTAATTTAATTTATTTTAATCGAAAACTTTTGTTTCACATTTTTTTGTGATTTTTCTGCTTAAAATAGTGAAATCACAAATAAACATTATTTCTTTTTTTCGCGGTTTTTCTAACCTTTGGGCTCAAACGGAAAGGTTAGAAGATTCAAAAAAGACAAAGGATAAAGGTAGAATTCAAATTAGGCTTGCGTGGTAGAACGGAGTCCTCAAGAGAAAGTTCATCTCTGAAAATTTTTCGAAATTCCTCTTCATTTTCTTAAAATAGAGGTTTTTGGAAGCTTCAATCTGGAACATTTGCTATTTTTTAAACTGAAATTTTTCACAAAACCCCTTTAACGGGCGCTGGATGGTTTTCTGTGACTTTGAGAAGTCTTTTCATAAAAAAAACGTTCGAGCATTTTGAGATCCTGGGATCTTTTTCTAATGCATCAAAGAGCACCTGAGCAAATTTTCAGGGGTGCAAAAAAGAATGAACTTCCTAGTCAGAGCGAAAAAAAAACTTCCTACGCCGGAATAATCCCAAATTTAATTAGCGGACCAGGAATCCGGTTCTGAATAGCATTAATTAGAAGAACCAGTACCTCTTTCGTCATTTTGTTTATGGGAGATTTGGTTCGCCCCAACACTTCTTCACGAGACCCAATTAGTTGTGTTTCTCCTCGATTTGTTCTTTCATCGTCTGTCCGGAGACGTCTTATCGCTAGAACAGGTGTCTGTTTACCAAGGCATCAGTTCATCGAGTGAAGATAGGTACAAAAGAAAGAGAAGAAATGTTTTTTTTTGTTTCCTCTCGTTTTGCCGCATTTGGCCGGAGCACGGAAAGGGAAGCGTGTGCGAGAGGGATGGCACGAGAGAGGACCGCCGTGAGAGACGCAGACAGACGACGGCGCTCTCAGCTGAGGGCTGTCCTCGGGCGTTCCTCTCGCGCTTACACCCCGTGACTGGTCAGGTCAGACACCAATCAAAGTCGCTTCCTTCGGTTCAGAACCTCTGGCTGACTTTTTTTCTGGTTTTTCCTGGTCACTAGCCATGTGAAAGTGTTTGGTGCTGGTCCGCCTGCCTGGTTTCGATTTAATTTTTGGGGTTTGTTCGTTTGGTTTTGTGTAGTGAGATTTCGGAATCTTCCAAGAAATCTTGTCCACCGGTCCCTGTAATCCTGGAAGAAAGCCAGATTACAGATTAACTAAAAGTATTTTGAAGATAAATACTGTGTTCAGGATCAAGATTAATGAAAATTGTCTTCTCTAGCTAAAAACGGCCTAATCAAAGTATCAAACATGAGATTCACTAAAATTTTCAGAATTTTAGAAAGCGGCATCATAAGATTTAGTCTTCTTTTTCTTACTTAATCCCGCGAATTTCATTTTCTTTTTTCCTAGCCGGTGTGATGTGAGATTGTGTTTTATGGGCCGCCTGGTTGGCTCGAATTTAATTGCTAGGTTTTTTTTCCCGCTCCGGTTCTATCTATTGAGACCAACGCCAGATTATCTCTTCAATCTATCAGCTTGGGTTGAACGTCAGTGACATAACAAGCATTAGGTGAACGGAATCCAATGGAATTTCGCTCCGAAGAAATATCTTGTATTTTTAATTTCTCATGTTTCCATAACGAATTGAGATTCGAAAAAAGTTTCTATACGAAATTTGGTTTTTAGATGAACTGAGACTGAAAGATTGCATTTGCACTAGTTCCGGTCGGTTCGCAATCTTTGACTGGGTAGAATTAGTTATTTTTGCCATCAGACATGTGCAATATGGCCTTTTCCCCGGCGGATACACTTGAGGTTAAGCCGATCATGCTCTTTGGATTTTCACGAAAAAGAAAACGATGTAAATATGACGTCTCGGGCTCATCCTTCACATGACTTGGTTCGAAGAACAGACTAAATGAAAAAAGTTTGGCTGATTGGGGACTCTTTTGCGGAGGAAGCCCATTTTTTCTTCTTAAAATAAAATTTCTGAACTTTCCTTAATTTGAATCGTTGTTCAATCTTTGATCGTTTAGTGTGAGGAAAGTACAAAATTCTGTAGCTAGCCTTGTTCTTTATGTTTATAAATTATTAGGCTTCCTTGTTTACGATTCAGAGTTCCGAAAGGTGCGTAGGAAATGTAGTCTTTGGTTGCACTGGAGGAAAATGAATGAGTTCTCTCGCGCTTTCTATTTATACATAAGATCTTTTCCCTGAAAGGTTTTTTTCCTCTCAGAGTGCGTGTTAGCTCAAAACCAAATAGTTAACCGTTTTGAGTTTTTTTTTGCTGATCAAAGTTCATGGTACTCATATTCATAACGATCGCTGGTCCTTGGGTGTTTTTATTAAGGTTCAGTGATTTAGAAATGTATCATCTTCAGCATTTGTTTCGAATTTTTATAGAAAATGCTCTTAGTAGTTACAAACTTGCAGATTGATTAGATTAGGCTGAAAAAAATCCTTACTGGAGTATGTGAAAATACAGAAGTCTTTTATGATCTGAAACTACTTGAAAAAAGATTCTTTCCCATTCGTCTATGCTCCATTAATAAAAAGTTTCTAGCAGACTACATGGAGTAAAAAAAAACTTGAAAGACTTTTTTCAAAGAGCCTGGCACTGTGAAGTGCGCTTGAAATTTTGAAGCCACTTCACACCGACTCTGTTTACAAAAAGGAGAAAAAAAAATACGGAAGTGGCATTTTTTGTCAAAATATCGCATTCCATCTTGCTCTCCTGTTTCAAAATAATCCATTTTTTCTGAGAAACTACAGAAAAAACATTCTTTTCAGTCTTATATGGGAAAATATTTATGTTGAATAAGCTGTTTTTTAAGCTCACCTAAGCTTGTTAGTTCCATATATGCTGTCCATGAATAATATATACTTTATTCTCGTGCCAGTCCGTTCGCTTTGTGATTTCCCTTGTTGTTCCGAAGCCGTGACTTTGTGTGAAAATAGCAGGAGAATATGTTCTAATTTTAGCCCTAGGAGGAAGTTTTCAATGAGGTAGACGTGGTAGATTTCGATTTTCTTTGTTAGTTTGAAATTTATACTTTTATTGCTTTCAAATACCTCCTAGTCAACCTTATTCTTTCGCTTTTTCGAATTTGATAAGGAAAAGTTTGTTTTTTCGTACACAAGAGTACTTTTCGAGGACGAATCACAACTTGGAGCCGAAAAATCTTGCGAAAAAAGGCGGAGATTTGTTGGGCTTTAGGATTTTATTTGTTTATGAGCGAGGAATAGCCAAATTGATGCCTTCACGTTTTGAATAACTGAACCAAACAGAAAGCTTTTGAAAATTGGCGTTTTTGACTTTTACTGGTGTGCTCCATGGATAATTGAGTATGGTAAAGCGTGGAAATGTTTCAAATCTTGTGGTTTCAATTTTGAGAACAGACTATATTTTTGAAAGTAGAACATCTGTTCCATTGATCTGATGTCAGATGATATAACAGAAAAAAAAAAAGTTTGTTTTCGACCTTTGTTCGCCGTGTTTGTTTATTCGGCACGCATTCCCATATAGGCTCAACCTCAGCTGATTTCAGTTCAGTGAACGAAAAAAAAAAGATTTTTCATCCTTGGAGCGAAAAAAGGCTCGAAAGACGTCTTGTGGTGAGTTACATGACCGCATAAAGTGCAACACGAGGACTCCATTTCCATTTCTTTTCCCGCCCGCTTGTTTCTAGACTTCCATCATCATTCTTTGCCCTCATCTCGCTAATCTTCCCTTTTTCCCCCTGTAATGCCCTTTCTACACTTTTTGAAAGTCACGAGCGATCTGGAAGGGCGAAAAGGAAGATTGGATTGAAAGTACTTCGCTTTTTTGCAGTTTATATAAAATGTAAAAAAATAGGAAAAGTTTACTGTTTTATAGTTCTATTCACTTGGAGAAGTTTCTAATTTTGCTCCGTTCCGTCAAAAAAAATGTAAACATTTTTTTCATTTCCATTTCTTTCACTGGTGTTTTTAGAAGCGTGGGAAAGTAATAAAAAAATGTCAAAAATATAAAAAAATTCCGCCTTTAAATATCACTCGAATGGTTCTGTGTTGAAATTCACTTCAAAAAAAGTATTGAGAAGCCTGGGAAATCTTAAAGATTTATAAAAAAATTTCAAAGTCTTTGAAAAAGATTTCAAAAAGCGCAGAAATTTGAATTTTTTTATTCAAAACGTTTCAATCGAACTTTTCGGAAAAGTTCTAAATTTTTTTCTCTATGTTTTCTATAATCTTGTTTTTAATAAAATTGAAAACAATTTGTAAACTTTAACTATTCTTTTTTTCGTCTCTGATCGGATAAATTTTAAATATCCTTTAATTTAGCTTCTGATTTCCAGGGATGAACCAAAGAATTCGAGAGCGTTTGTAAGCCATTTTCTATGGAGGTAGTTTTGAAAGCCGCATTTTTATAGTCCTTGTTGGTGGTTCAGACAGAAAGGCGCTCTTCGGCGACGAATCGCCGGGCCAAACGGCTGCCTCAACAGGCGAAAACCCATCCAATCGTTCAAGCCAAACAGAATCAGGTTGGTTTGTGAGGAAGCGGACCCAAGGTAAAAATACAAGTCAACATGGTTTTTGTTTGAAATCAGAAATAATCTCTAAAAAGCTGGAATATTTTCCTACTGATTAAATAATTTCATGTTGTGGGTATTACTTCTTTTTTTGACGGTTCGACTAGCTTTCAGAAAACTTTTTACTCTAAATGACTCCATAGAAAAATGCTCTCAAAAAATGGTCCCTATAGGGGTTTTGGCGTCAGGCCTTTTAGTCCCCAAAGTTCAAGTGATCCCTCTAGGGGTCTTTCAATTTTTGTTCATGTTCGAAAATGTAAAAGATGAACATGATCAATTTGTCTTATGTTAATATTTTCATTCAAAAAACGCTTAATTGTACAGTTATTTCGCATGAAATTGCTTCTTCTTATAGTTTTCATAACAGTAATCGACTGGCATGCCTCTATAAGGACCACTCTGGAGTTCTCATATAGAAAATTCTCTCAAGTTTTCAATTTTGGGTGAAAAGTTGAGGTTTATACTTTTAGTCTAATTTCTTTCCATTCAACTCCTCTTGAACTTGACTTCCGCCGATTAACATTAAGAACTCGTTGAGAGTTTCAATACGTCTTACCCGAAAAAAGATCTCGGCAACACTTCTCGGAATTTGCTTTGTGTGAAGAAAAAAGGGCGACCTTGAAGCCTATACGGCCATTGTTCCTGGGGATTTCTTGTCATTTTCTCCTTCAGATGTACCTCATCACTACCCTCGTCTCTTCAAATGATCAGGCTCCCATTAATAGAAAACTGCCCAACGAGTTGATTTTGAGGTTTTTGAAGATTTCGGGAAAATTATATTTTCTGGGATTTTCAGAATTTTTTCGTTCCTTGATGTGAAATCGTTGTGCCGCTGCGCACAAACCTGCCGTGCGTGGAATGTTCTAGCGCTGGACGGATCCAACTGGCAAAGAGTTGACTTGTTCACCTTCCAGAGGGATGTCAAGGTAAAGGGTGTTCAAATAGGTGCATGTAAAAATAGGCGCGAAAGTAGCAAATATTCAGAAGAAAGTTGGGAAGCATGAGCCGCATTAGGCTATTGCGTCGAGAGGAGTTGCGCTCCAAGGCAAACATTTTCTGAGTTTTGTAATTACTCGGGCCACCCTTGCTGTAACTACTATAGTGATCACTAGAAATGCCCCGACACTCCCGATTTTTTTCGATTTATTTCTATAATTTTTATAAGAGTAGCATGTGTTACAAAAAAATGAATCTGTAAAATTAAAAAAAAAATTGAGCTTTATTGAAAAACGTTTTTTTACCCAATTTTCTTACAAAATTAAAAAAAAGGTGATCAGGAATATTTCTGGAAATTTCATTTTTCTCGTTTCATTGAAACTTTTTGGGGGTCTCGATCTTTTGACAGTTAGTTTTTTTCACTATTTGTTTCGTCGATCTTCTTGTCCCTTTTTTCATCTTTTTTTTTTGATTTAGTTGAAAAAGAGTCACTTCTAAAAGTGACCTGATAAGAATTTCAAAAAAAAAAGCGAGCTGATAAGAATTTACTTCAAATGAAGTTTTTCGCGGGGCCATCAATTATGACTTATCAAGGTAAAAATCCCGTTGTCGCTATTTTCCGCGCTATTTCTTACCGGCTAATAGTTCACGTATCCTTGGAAGAATCGATGAATTTAATATTCGTTTTTTCCAGGCCGCCGTCATCGAGAATTTATCTCGTCGTTGCGGCGGCTTCCTCAAAGAACTTTCCCTGAAAGGCTGTGAGAACGTCCATGACTCGGCTTTGCGGACTTTCACCGCAAAATGTTCAAATATAGAGTTTTTGAGTTTGTATCGCTGCAAAAGGGTGACCGATGCGTGAGTTTGAGAAATTTGAATTAACAATTTCGGAATTTTCTTTCAGTTCCTGTGAGAATCTTGGCAGGCATTGCCATAAACTGCAGCATCTGAACCTCGAGAACTGTTCGGCCATTACGGATCGCGCTCTCAAATATATTAGGTGAGCAAAAAAAGAAATGCTCCGATTTGACTGTCTGTCCTGTCTGCGCCTCTTTTCTCTCACCGTAAAGGTTACAGAAACATGAAAATAACACGTAAAAGTGAGAGACCGCTTCAAGTGATTGCAAAAGATCAATATACCGCTGGGAATATCTAGCATTCATAGATTTTTAGTTCGTAGCGAAAAAGTTTATAAAAAAAATTAAATTGAAGTTAGACACCTTACAAACTAATGCAACAACAGGGATCAGTTATATTCCTATAAAAAAACATTTTTTTAGAGAATTTTTCGAATTTCAAAAAAAAGGTTAGTCTCAAATTATTGGTTAATGATACCATGAGACCTGATTCAAAGGTTTTGAGGGGATTAAAAATAGACCTCAATTTCTAAACTCTTGGTCATGAATTATTGAACCATTGAACTTACATTATTTACTACAATTTTTTTATTTGATATAAAAACAAATAATGCATGAAAGAAATTTGTTAAAACTATATCGTCAAGTAGAGGAAAAATGTATATGAAAAAAATGGAAGTATTTCAATATAAGAACTTCAATGGAAATCTGTTTTTCTCTTCCAGTGACGGCTGTAAAAACCTGCGGTACTTGAACATCAGCTGGTGCGACGCGATACAGGACAAAGGAGTCCAAAACATTCTCATCAATTGTATTCAACTGCACACATTGGTCTTGCGCGGCTGCGAAGGGGTCCGTTTTCCGAAAAATAGTTGATTCGTCGCTGGCTCCAGTCAAAATAACGATGAACTAGAAATAAAACTAGCTTAGGAGCTACAAAGTGGCAAATTAAGGGACCTTTAAGGTTCACCTCTAGGGACCACATTACCTCTCTTCATAGAGGCCATTAGAGCTTAAAAAAGTGGCCCTTTTGGGGTTTTTAGTTGGGTGCCCCTAGAGTTAACAGGTCAACCGATTATTGTTAGGAGAAGCTTTTTCAGGTGAAAAGTCAATAAATTAAGGTTATTCGGATCAAAATTTCAACAGGGGGAATGAGCAAGTTTTTTTGTTTAAATTTCGAACCTGAACAAAAAGTTAGAAGACGCTATAGGGACCACTTCAGCTTTTGGCGCTTATAGTGGTTATTCTTTCTCTTAACCCCTATAGGGATTACTCTGACGTTCTGAGAACAGCAATCTCCGAGAAGGTCTTTGAACGATCAAATGAAAATATTTAAGCAACTTTTGAATTTTTGTACTCAGCTCTATAAATTTTGCAATCATCAAAGAACAAAATGAGATTTCTGTCCTTCCTCTTCTAGGTAACTCGAAAAGTTTTCGAAAAAGTTTGAAAGATCTAGGGAATTTTAAGAGCCAGAGATAAATGAAAAACTCCATTTTATAGCCAATTTCACCATTTTTCAGCTAACGGAACGTTTATTTGCACCCGTCGAAAAGCATATGGGTAACTTGAAGAATTTGAACATGCTCTCGTGTTTTGTGAGTTCTTCTTCGAGGGATATATCCAATAAAAAGCGTTTTAGGTAAATGACGATACGGTATCTAATATTGCAAATGGATGTGAAGGCCTGGAGTACCTCTGCCTGTCCAATTGTACCCATATCTCGGATCGATCTCTCCAGCTTTTGGCTTCTAAATGTCATGAATTAACGTGAGTCGATTTTTTGAAATTGTATTTTTCAAGCTAGGAAAAAATTAAAACTTACCAGTAGGGTATAGAAGTCAAAACTCTCAAAAAATTGCTCATTTTCTCCTTCAAATTCAGTTTTTTTCCAAGCAATACATAAAGCAAGTTGTGTGTCAAGTTCTCATCAGAAAAAAACCTTTTTCTTGGCTAAAAAAAGGACAAAAAAATATTGGTTTTTTTGGCTTGTATCAGCTTCAATTTTTAAAATTTTTTTAGAGTTTTTTTCGAGTCATATGTCGCTTCTCTATTGAGAAAAAAATACGGCAGACACCTCGAATTTAAAAAAATAAATTTGAAGGAAAAAAATAGTTTATAATACTAGTTTCTTGAGTTTTTCCGTGTACGCTTTGACGGAGAAAAAAAGTTTTTCAAGCTCGATTTTCTGATTTTCAAATAGATGATACGCTTTTTTTAAACGTTTTTTTCTAGTATTGTAAGAGAAGTAGAGCAAACTCTAAAAAAAAACGGTCAAACCCTTGAAAAAAGCCTTTTTTGTGTAAAGTGACATTAGTCCCAGTACGTCTGAGCTAGAGTTCAGCAATATTTCAAATATTTCAACTTTTCGATGCCCTCTTTAGGGGAAATCATCAAACATGAAAAGAAGTTATTTTAATCTTTCCATGTTTCCAGGGACCTCGAACTGTCCGGCTGCCAGCTTTTATCAGACAACGGCTTTCACCCAACTGACGAAAGGCTGCAAAAAGCTGCAGCGGATCGACATGGAGGACTGCTCTCTCATAACCGATGTCACCATCCAGGCGCTTTCCACCAACTGTTCGACCCTTCGCGAACTGGTTTCCATAGCCGCGGCCTTTTCGGCGATTTCCGAAGCGTTTTCAGAGTCTATCGCACTGCGACCTGATCACCGACGAGGCCGTCCTCAGCCTTTGCACCAAGAACAAAGAACATCTCCAGGTGATTTCTGGCTGTTTTCCAGGATTAGCGAGTCGTTTGCAGGTGCTGGAACTGGACAACTGCTCGTTGCTGACCGACACGACCCTCTCGCATCTCCGACACGCCCGCGTTCTCAAGAGAATTGACCTTTACGACTGTCAAAATATCTCCAAGGAGGCCATTCAACGATTTAGGGTAAACGAATGGAGATTTTGAAAATGTTAATCGAAAATCTTCTTGCTTAGTTTTGGAACAGCTTTCTCTGCATTTTAGAAAAGCCATTCTTGGAAAGGCCAAAGTGGCCCCTATGGAGGCAAGCTTAGGGGCCCTTGAAGGCTCCCTCTAGAGACCACCTTTCTTCCACCTATAGGGTTCACTAAAGCTTGCAAAAGTGGCCTCTTTAGTGGAAAATGCTGGTCAACGATTGTTTTGAGTCTATAAGAAGAAACATTTTCATGCGAGAATCTCAACAAGCTGCCGTTTTTGAATGAAAATATGAACAGAGCATTAATTGATCAATTTTCATTAAAAACGTCTCTTAATTTTGACAATTTCCCTGTAAGGGACCACTCTGACGCTGCTAAGTTGGTTAGAATCCACTGTTGAAGTTTGAGGGGCACCTTTTTTTCCGTGCCATAATAAAATGTTAAGACTGAAGATTTTTTGTATTAATTTAATCTGTTCAAAATTTTTTTCACAGTATGACGTCACGCAAGTTCATAATACGGTGAATCAAGTAATCTTGAAATAAATGAAGGTCGTTACCGAAATCTCATGTTATTCTCCTAAAAAGTCTCCTTTTTCATGAAAAAACTCACGAAAGAGATTGATCTTCCTGAAGTTTTTCCTATTTTCCCCAAACTTCAGCATCACCGTCCCCACGTCGAGATCCATGCCTACTTCGCTCCAGCGACGCCGCCGGCCAGCCACGCGGGCAACCGTGTAGGTAATGGTTACCTGTTACCTGCAAAAGCTCATTAATAACTCTTTCCAGGTATCTGTCGGTGCTGTGTGATCTTATGACTGAACATCTGTGCCTTATTCTACGCTCTCTTCCGCAAATTTCCAACGACTCTGACTCTCACTGAAACAGATTGAAATGATCGCTGATTTTCTCCATTTTTCGCGCATTTGTGCTCACCTCATCCCACAAGTTTATATGTAAATAGGGAACGCTTCTACTTAACCTTTGGCCTTTTTTTGGGAGAGCCTCGGTTTAAGGCACCCGGGAGCTTGATGTCGAGCTCCCGACTTTTCATATTCTGTACATATTTTGACGAACTCGCGGATATTCCCCTCCACACATTGTATTCGGATACAGGTCAAACTGCTGAATGACGTTGTGTTCTTTTTTTCTCCTGTAACTTTTCTTATTTATTGATAAACATTCTTCTCATGTTAATGAACCGATTTTTGTTTGTCGGAATTCTGTGAATACTTGTGTGATGTTTGGTTGCGTGAAGAAGGTCGACTTGTAGTTTGATTCATTAATTTTCTAATTTTGGTTGAGAGAAAAATTATTTTGTACAGGAGGATTTCGGAAAGTTTGTTTTTTGGGAAGGGAACTTCTATTCGGAATTAGAATTGGGACTGAAAAGCTTTATTTTGAACAATGATGTTTTTTAAATGGGAGTTCCTTAATAGAAATTCAAAAGTCATCGATTTTTTTGAATCAAAAGCTACAAAATGGCACCGAAAAAATTAATATTCATTTTTTTGTTGAGGTAGATTTTGAAGCTTTATCGAGTTGAGCCCAATTTTCAAATTTTGAGCTTAACTCCTGAAAATGATCGAAGTAAATCCGCGAAGTTCAAAATTATCTCTGACTCTCCAAAATCCAGTTATCTTTCCACTCTCTGACGGCTATTTTGAATTTCGCGGAATCACTTTGAACATCAAGTTGGTTTTTCCTTTCTTTTCAATTTCTGGAAAGTCACGTTCCCATGTTCAAAACACTGTTTTATGCCCTAATAAGGCCCACGTCAAGTTCGTAAGAATTTATGGACCGTATGTAAATTAATGCCTTTTTTCCAGTTTCAAAAGATGTCCTTCGTTCCAATGGGCCATGTTGATTATGAAGAAGAGGACGATGGCTGGGGAGTCGTTCAGGGCGATGTTTTTTATTTCTTAGTGTATTTGAAGGGCTTTATTAATATTTGAAGAAAGACTTGCTGAACGCATTCGACGAGTTGGATGCCGCTCTTTACGTCCAACCAGAAAAGGAATTGCCGCCGATTGAAACGAGTAATTTTGACAAGAATACCCCGGCGGAACTTGTCATTCATGTGGGTTTTGTATTGGTGGTAGTTTTTAGTGTTTTCGCAAAATTTTAGTAGATATTACAGAAAAAAAAGACTTTCAATATTCCGGAGAGGGTAGAAGATGATATAATATATTTTTAAAACTTTTGAAATGTTTTTTGAGACGCATATTAACAGTCATAAATAGACCCTAGAAAAATTGATCGAAATTCTTCGAAATTTTTATAATTTTTCGAAACTTTACTTTTTCGCACTTTTTTAAAAGCTTCAACCGCCATCGAATGGCTCAAACGCGTTCATCGCGTTAAAAAAAGAGTCCGCGGTTTACTTGATTTTTTTGATTATTTTTTTGATAAATCTACTTTTTCTAAAATTCTCATAGCAGTTCTAAAGGGCATTTATTTCGAACCCTGCTGTTTTGGAGCAACTTAAAGTGTTAACCCATTCCACGTGAGACCATCACGTTTTCCAAACTGAATTATATTGATTTTTAAAATATCTTCGTAATACTTCAACAGTTCAGCACGACGATGACCACGACCACCATGACGGCCATCCAAAGCGAATTTTCAATCCGGCTCTTCAAGTCCAAAGGAACACCTTCGCCCAAAACGCGTTGCTCAACTTCGCCAGGACGGTCGGCCCCGTCAACAAGGCACAGTTGTCCGCGTTTTGTAATACAATTGATCATTTTAACAGCTCTGTATAATGGGATGTGGAGAAATGTCGTTGGAACGCTTTTTGTGCCCCCGGATGACGGAAATATCGGCGAGGAATGTCTTATCGGTGGATATCGACGAGAGAACCTTGGCCGTCGGGAATTTCCAAATTGAAAGTTTGGAAATCTTCTTTTTAAATGTTATTCTAGACAGATTGATCAATGAGAATCCGGTTACATTTTACAGGTTTCCTATGTAGGAAAATTGCCATTTTTTTAAAGAATAACTCCTGATTACTTATTTTTTTGGGTTTTCTTTGACTTCATTGAACTTTGCGTTCATTCAAAAAAAAACATTTAACTCCAAGAAAATAAGTTTCTATTGCTTACAAGAGAAACTCTAGTGGCCATTTGAGATTTTTGTACAAGAGAACACTGAAGTGGTCACTAAAACCAGCTATATGGAATCCAATAATAATGGCTACTATAGTAGTTTTCAGTGCTCTGTTATTACCATTTAGGCTTCCAAAAAACCACTGAATTTCAGCCTCTTAAGTGGCCACTAAAACGTAAAAACCCTAAAAGCGCTACTAAAAATTTCGCCAGTATGTTGACAGTTTTTTGTTCATTTTTCTTTCAAGCGATTTTTCTAAATGTGGTCTTTCTTGCCGTCACTTTAATAATTTCGATCTCTCCTTTCCAACTGAATTCTCACTTTTTAGCCATTCCCAATGCGCCCGCGGTGTCAAGAATCCGGGCAAAAGGAATTTTTCAAACCTCCAAAAAAGTTCAGAATATTCTAGCTTCCTTCTTTGAAATTTTTCATTTTCCCTGAGATTTGACTTAAAATTTCCTTCTTTCCCAATTTCCTCATCTCTCTTAATGGGACCAGACAGGTGCAAAATGCTTCCTATTTTTGGTTCCAAGTTATTTTTGCGGCTAATCAGGACAAGTGCTTTTTTCAGACAGACACTTACCGAGAATGACTCTTTCATCAAGAAACAGCTCGGACTTCCGGTCTTGTATCAAGTCTTTTCAGGTCTTTCAACAAGATTGCGTCCGGTGAAAATTAATATTTTCCAGGAAATATCATTTATGAAGACGCCCGTTTTGCTGACGCAGACTGTATCATTTCGCTTGAAGTGTAATGATTCCTAGTTGAAAGATTTATTCGAGTTCGACTTTTAGAATTGAACACATGACTCTGGAGGAAGTTCAACGATTTGTCAGCGTTGTTCTGGGATTATTGCGACCGAAAATGTTCCTTTTATCTACACCGAATCATAGTTATAACCAGGTTCTTTCTTTTTCGGATTGAAGAAAATGGATATGGGGAATTAATCAGTGGTATAAAGTTTAGTCGATTCACGGCTAGCTTGGGACGGTAAGGAGCGTGGCCTGTCTGCGCTCTCCACCAACCACGCACTATATCTTTTCTCATCGTGTCAGGACCCATTTTTTGATGGCTCAAGCCAGCCCTGAGTCAGCTAATGAAACTTCTTTCAACATCCCTTATAAAGACTTCAAAGTTTCGCATTATTTTATATAACAACTCTCAGCTCTTGATCCTTTAAAAATCTCAGATTTTCTAAAAAAAACTATGACTTGCTTTAAAATTGAAGGCTTTCCAAGAACGTCCCGGGCGTTTTTCGACACGATGATCACAAATTCGAGTTCACCATGCAACAATTTCATGAATGGTAACAATAAATCAAGAAAAGGTCTTCCATTCTCAAGAATTTCAGGATCAGAGCTGTAAATGCGGATTTTCCACAATATCGGGTTGATGGACCTCATTACGTGGGGAAGTTGAGAGGTGAAATATAAAATATAAAAGGAAAGACAGTATGTGAGAAAAAAGTAGTTCTGAAAGAAAAAAGATACAGAAAAATCAAGGTTTCAAGTTTTGAAGGTTGAGGTAGGTTGTGAAAGTGGCCTCTTTAGGGTTTTGACGTTTTAATAGCTATTACAGTAGTCAAATTAGTGGCCACTTAAGTGCCAAACATTTTTTTGTCTCTTTAGAAGTCTAAATAGTACTACTAGGCCACTAAAACTTGAAGTGTCCTTTCTACGACGAATCTCTTAAGTAGCCATTAAAATTTTTTTACAAGAAACTATTACTAAACGTTTCACATGCTCCTTCGTGAAAACTTAAATTTTGAAAAACTCTATTTGAAAATTCATTTTGTTTCAATCTTCTCATTTGTTGGATTGGCTAACTTTTGATTGATTCACAGGTTCTTTTTTTTTTGTTTTTCCTAAATTTTGATCCAACCATTTTTACCTTTTTTTAAAAATAAACCTTGATTTATCTCTATGAGTCTTTTTTCACACCTTTTTCGACGTCTTTGATAGAGTTTCAATTTATTTTCACTTTTTTTTCGGAAGCTCGCAGTGGAACTAGGAAAACATTCGGAAACAATGTACCTCATTATGAATGAAATCACGATGGAATTTTTTCAAGGTTTCGAAAACCTGAGAGGGGCGACGCAGTTCGTCGCCTTCGTGCAGATTTCTCCGGAGCTCATCCTGGCTCGTCCCCTGGGAACCTCCTTCATGATGGTCTGCAACAAAAAAAGGCGAAACAAAGTGTTCGGAGGGCCGTTTATCTTCAGGTGCAACAACTGGCCGCTCTAACCGGGTTCCACGGAGTCCAGAAACGCGTCGTCCGGCAGGCCTTCACCGAATGGCTCGAACACAACGAGCTCCTCGAGGCCGCCTTGAAAAAGGTGGACATGTGCTCAATTAGACGTTCCGAAATTGCTTTAAACAAGGTTGCTCTGTGCAGCGAGCCTCCTAATGGCTTTTTGAATGGCCAATCTTATTTGTCTCACTGACACAGCTTTGACAAATGAATAACTTGACTGGATTTATCATTGAAATACTTTTCGGGTTTTTTGAAGTGATAAGGTGATAGCCGTTCGAAGTGGGATCAGCAAAGCCGTATCCAGTTCATTTTTGATATCGGGCTTTTTTTTGAGTACATCCTTTCGTTTTTGAGAATTTATGACAAAATAGCTTATTTCAACGGGTTTTAAGGATTCTTCTTGTTTTAGGTGGACTTCCTCAAAAACTAGAAGATTTTGCAGGCTGTGACTTTTAGCATTTGATCCGGTACATCAAGGAGCGCTATGGAAAATTCTCAAATACTCTTAAATTTGTTTTGGTCACACTCAAAAACCCTAATTCTTTTATTCACCTAACAAAAATAAGTATCATTCGACTTGGAAAATGGAGAAAAAATTTAGATTTTTCTTTGGGATTTTGCTACCGTAACCTTGAAAAAGGGCGGAGCCAGTCAAAATCTAAGAGAAAATTTTCAGTACTACTTTGATTATTCCAATATTATCTCAGAAAACACAATCTGAAATTTCGTTTTATCGTTTTTCAAGCCGTTAATCATTAAATATTTGATATTTATCTAAAAGTTTTGAGAGAAGGAACCTTCAAAAACCAAGATGATCTTCATGAGTGATCATCTAATGATCACCGAGATTGCAGGACAACTCGTCGAGTCACTGGGAGATCGACGTGGCGAAGATCCTCCGACACGCGCACGCTCCCATTTCATTTGTTGTAAAGATCGAGCCGCGCGCCGCTGCGTTCGTTTATTTTTTCTCCTGAATTTTCAGCTGTTTATAAGCTCTAAGAACCGCCCATCGGCTTGCAGGGACACGATCCGTCTTCTGTGTGGTCTCGACACGATCCTCATCGAACCCGTCGCCAATCCCAACGCCGTCATAATCCCTGGCTACTACACCAAACAAAGATTGCTCGCTACTCTCACCAATTCCAAAGCTTTCTGATTCTTTTTTTTTATTTAAATTCGTTTTCTGAAACTTTACAGCCTACATTTTTTTTTCGATTATTTTAAGGCAATATTTTATCATTTTCTATCTATTCTTCATTTTTTAGCTGAAGATTCATATTAATTAAAGGGGAAGTTCATTTTGAGCTTTGTTTCATCTTCATTTTTTTGTTTTTTTCATCATGTTTTTTTAATTTGATGATTTTTATTAGATTTTCATATTTCCCGAAAATCATGCAAAATTTTTCCAATCATGGGTAATTTTTAAAAAAACTTGTTAAGGTTACTGTAGCTTTTTCCCCACTATTCACGTTTTAAGGATTTTTTTTGATAATAACGGAAATTTTAAATTTTGAAGAAAACTAATTTTGAAAAGGGGTTAGTTTGATTTTTTTTTAATAGTCGAGGAAACTTTCAGAAAAAAAATTTTTCTTCGCAGTTGGGTTGACCTTTTTCCTGACTGATAGTATTTTTTTTTTGTACTGCACGCGTTTTTCAACTCTTCTTTCCAGTTATTCGAAAAAATGTTCTTCGTAAAAATGGCTTATTTCACAAGAAAGAGAAAAATGCAATGTTTTGTTTGGATTTTTTCTTTAGTTTATGGCTTGTTGTTTAGAAAGAAATATGTGCGGACGGGAGAAATCCAATGTCGTTTTTCATGGGAGGCACAGATTTTCAGGTTCGCTAGGCCGGATTTTTATTTTTCGGGCTTCCTTTTTGGGTTAATCCTAGTTCAAAATTGGGTGAAGCATTATAATAGACTTGGCTAGGGTTTTCCTTTATTTCAAAACTTTTGTTTCTCTTGGAGATTCTGATTTTTTTTCTTCACTGTATTTTTTACTTGTTCTTTGGTTTTCATTTTCGATTAATACTTTTTTCATCACAGGGTCGTTTCATGACGCTTTATTTGCCGATTCGTACTTTTTCCAAAGCAATCGCTTTATTGCACCTGTTCCTCTTTATTTCTTTCTTTTTTTTTCGCTTCCAGACTCATTGCCAAAGTTGTATTTGGTTCGAAAAGTCTCAGATAAATAGTTGCAACAGGAAAAGATAAAGCGAGGGAATGATCGAAGGGGTGGGATCACTTGGCAAAACAAAAGGAAGAGAAAAAGAAACACACGCTCGAGTGAAGAAAAACCGCTCGAGGCGTTTTGACAGCTGACGTTGCGATGTTCGGCCATTCTTCAAAATGTATTCTACTCATTTTTTCGTTCCTCCATTTTGCACATTATTATAGTCCTTTTGAAAATTTAGGCCTTTTTATGATTTTCCTTGAAGTTTTTCTTGAACTTTTGATCTTTTGAACTTCCCAAAAAGCTTGAGAAAAAAAAAACTTGTTGAAAGAATTTCACGATTGTTTTTGGGTCATTTTTCCTTCTCAAGAATGCGAATTGAACCGAAAACAGCAATGATACGAATTTTCGCCGGTTTGAACTTCATTTCGCAATAAAAGTTCAAAAAACGAGGATCATGAGATTTTATATAAAAAAAGTTATTTTTTAAAGTTTGAGTTGAAAATAAAAGTTGAAAGATTGAAATGTAGCTATCCAAAACGCTGACTTCAATTGGGTTCACGTGGAATTTGATTATCCATGGAGCACACGCTTCAATTTGTTGCGGCTCTTTTTTTAGGTCATTTTTTTCGCGGCTATTTTCCTCTCGTTCCGTGTGACGAGAATTAAATTTGTTTGAAAATAAAGAGATAACGGTTTTGAAAGCAGCAAAGTTTAGAAGAATATCTCCAGGATTGTAAAGTTTTGTAGTTCATTCAAAGATGGACGGTGTCTCTTTTTCTGAAAAGTAGTTAATTTCCAATTCAAGATTAGTTTAACCTTAATCCTCGACCCTATTGAGGTAGAGATCCAGATTTTTTTATCGGAAAAATCTCGAAAGTACAGCGGAAAAACGGCCGGACGGTGGCGCGCTTAATTTTTTTTGAACATAGCCGGCAGCTACTATGACAAGGACATAAAAAGGCCTTTTAATTGGCGCCGTTTAATCCCAGATTTGCCTAACTTTGCCCTAGGCGGACCTAAACTTGTCCTAGCTGAGCCTAATTTTTTTTTCCCGGAAAGCTTGAGTCCGTCCCAAGAGAGCCTAAGTTTCTCCCAGGAGAGCCTAAATTTGCCCTAGGCGATCCCAAGCTTGTCCCGGCCAAGCTTAATTTGGTCCGGGATGAGCCAAAATTTGCCCCAACTGAGCCAAAATTTTTCCCAGGAGAGCCTAAATTTGCCCTAGACAAGCGCGAATCTCTCCCAGCTAACCTGACCATTTCCTGGACTAGCGCAAATATATTGTGAACATATTAGATCTTCTTTTTCTTTCTATTTTCCCGAATATTTTCGCGTGCCATCTTTCACGTCTTCTGGACCCGCCTTCGCCCTTTTTTCCACCGCCCACTTTCGTGACCCTTTCAAAAGCGTTTTGCCGTCGTCATTTTGCGGCCTTTGAATGACCGTCCTTTGCTACTTCCTTCCCTCAACTTTTATAGTTATTTGCTTTTCAGAATGCCTGGAAAGGAAAATTTGTTCTGGGACGCGCTGATGGAGTACAAGCTCGAGAAGAAGTTCTTCAAGAAGAAACGAGCAAAGTTGCCGAATGCGAAGGAACTCGCCGTCAAGTACGAAACTTCTGCGGCCGATGTGGAGAAGGTGAGCTGGAATAGAAGAGTTTAAAGGGTCTGATCAGAACTTTCTGGACGCCGTTTTCCACGATCCAAGAGCAGCTAACTAAACTTTAAAAAATGACTTGATTTTCTGTAACGTTATTTTTTCTTGGAGATATCGCTAGAAAACCTTTTTTCCTTTTGCACTGAAATTTAACCTGAACCGGTGCAGAATCAAAGTTCATTAGCACCAAATGTGCAGATTACTCTAGAAATTTTAAAGTTTTTTTCTGCATTTTACACTTCACGATCATTTCGGGAAATTCCCAGCTTTCAAACAAAAAAGTCTTCTAAATATCGGCTTAAAAATATCTTCCTAAACCCATAATTTCTACCAGGTCTTCGCGATATTCCAAATGATGGACGACGACGGCTCCGGCACGATCTCGTCCGCCGAAGTGAGTATGGCTCAATTTTTGATGAGACTTATTCTAAGCGTCGCATTCCAGATCGCCAACATGCTCTGTGGCCTCGGCATCGACGTCTCCCCGAAGGTCGTTCAGGCCGTCATGAGGAATTCGGATAAGAGTGGCGACGGGGAGATCGACTTCGAGGAGTTTCTAGCCGTTGTCGCCGCCAAGAGCAAGGTAGGATTTATTATTTTTGAGATCATTGGCTTATTTCCAAAATCTTCTTCTTGGAATCAGCTTGAAAGACTTTGAAACATAGTTTTAAACGGAGAATCTCCAAACTTCTGAATGAAAAAGAAAAACGAATAAAAATGAAAAAAAGTAACTTTTTTTTTGCTTGTTTATAATTTTTGACGGTCTTCTGCTGCCTCTTCAAACCTTTTGATGTTTTAGAAGTTTTCTTAAACCTCTTCGAGAAAGTTTATGAAGAAAGAGGATTTTCTGAAAATCGAAAAAGCAACAACTAGACTATTCTTCTGAGGCGATTCCAGAAGAGATGGCTGGATTTTTGAAAAATGAGTTATTTTTGGTGTGTTGACTTAGGAAATTCAGGCTTAAAACGTGATATTTCCATTCATAATTTCACTTTTAGTTAAAAAAAAACTTTCAAAAAACAAGAAAAAAAGTGATTCTTCGATAGTTATCGAAAAGCTTCGAAACTTTGAGATACGAGGCTTAAAAATGTCTATTTTGAAACACGGTTTCTATAAGTCAAACTTTTTCAATAAACTATTTGAAAACTTGAAAATACATCAACGTTTATTCAGTATGAACTTTCAAAATTACCAAGCAATTAATCGGAAATTGACTTCAGCCGAAGCAAGAAACGGAGGTGGAAGTGACGGCGGGAAGGAGTTTGCCGACGGAGGAGAGGTTTCCCCCGGTAATCCCTCGGAACGAACCGCCGCCGAGGGTCGAGTCGGCCGACGTCCATTGCAAGCAGCCCTGGTGCAACGACGTCGCCAAGGTCGGTCCTGGGAAGCTGATTTGCGACGTCAGGAAGTGATGTTTCAGGCCGGCGAGAAGACGTCCGACGACTTCATCACACTCTGTCAGACCGTTTGATTTCACTTCTTGAGGTAAGACTAACTTATTTTTGGTTCTTCCTCTTTTCCTGATTGTCTGCGCTCTCTTTTCTCTCGTGGCGAGACGTAAGAGAGCGCAGACAAGCCAGATTCCTCCAAAGTTAGGGTTTCTTTCAATGTCTTTCAAAAATCCTTGGCGTTTTCAAGGGTCTAGTAAATTTGAAATTTTAAATTCAAGGTCTCCCTTAAGGGTTTTTGAGTATGTTTTAGTGATAATCTGAACTTTTTTTCTATTTACTAAACACTAATTAAACACCATAAGAAAAAAGAAATTTTAAAAAGTATTGGAGACCTTTTTTTGATCAAGAAATGTTTAAAAAGTTTAAAAAGTATATAGAAATATTTCATATAACTCTATACTATTTCAAGAACCTGCAATTTAAAAAAAACGAAAAGTTTGCAATCTTAAAGTTTTCTAAAATTTTAGCCACTTTGCTGTTCGAGAAAATTCCTGTTCTTGCAACTTTTGCAAACCCAGAAAAGTTCTTTTGGACTTTGTCCGGCTTGAAAAAAGGACTTTGGCCAGAAATCTGACACCTCGACGCAACTTCCAACTTGTGACTTTTTACGTAGATTATTCGCAAATAGATGTTTCCAGTGTGCTCTCTTAATTTTTGATTCTCCGGGGAGTTCACAAAAAAGTCATAACTTTTCGCGATGTTCAGCACCATTAAAATGGAAGCTCGATAGGACTATCGGTCAGAATTACGCCATAAAACTCGACAAGACAAACTTTATCTTGATGTTCATATTCTAGAATGCACCATTCTTCAGTTTTTGCAAGAAAAAAAAAGCCGAAAACAAAAATCGAAATCAAATTTTAAAAAGTGTTTGACTCCGGAAGCGAAAAAGATGATTAAATTTCCAAAACCAGGAATCTCCGAACAAAATTTGATTCTGGGACAATGAAATTCTTCGTTTGACGGAATGATTTAGTTAAAAAGAGGCATCCGTAAAAATTAGATTTTTTTTTCCGTTTTGCAAAAGAAGAAAATTCCAGCACTTCCTCATCGTCAAAGACAACCGGACGACGACTCCAATCAATCATATTTATTTTTTGTTTTTGTCTACTTCCAAGAATTACACAATCATTTCTTTTTTCGAGAAAAGATTAGCGTAGAACAGGTTTTTGTTTGCTTGTAATAATTCGAAATCCGGTGAGAGAACAAAAAATTCATTCTGAACAAGTATTATCAACCAAAAAGGTCACTTTCAATGTCTAGGTGAATGTGTAGCATGTGTCTTTTGAGACTTCAAAAGAGATAAATTATAGTTCATTCACAAAATCTTGTTTTTTAAAAGCGCATCGCTTTTTAGGAATCCTGTCTGTGCTCCTTTAAAACCCGACAAGTTCTTGTGAATAGACTATGAAAATGGCGAAGGATCTCTTTGATATTTATTACTGGTCTCGTTGTATGGACCTTATTGTACTAAATGGGCGAATAAAGATTTTATCGAACTGTGATTTTGAAAAGTTGTGAAAGAAAAACTACATTTGAATTTTGGCTTGAAAAAAAAAACTGCTTTTTATTTTTCGAAAAGAAGGATTTACAGTTAAAATTTTTTTGAGTAAAGATATCCACATTTCTTTCAAAATTTCTTAACAAATTCCGTTCCGATCGAAACATTGTGGCCGCATTTGGAATGGATTAAAGCGTGGTGGTTGCGTTGCGACTTGAAATTAGAATGATGTTTCAATAATTTTTTTATGTTTTCTCGCGCAAGTCGTTTCGGGTCGGAGTGTTCCAGGAAGAAACCGTTCTGCTTCGTCAAGTCAATCTACTTGAATCCATGAGCTTCCTATTTTGATCGGATTGACTTCGACCTTAATATTTTAAACGAACTCTGTTGTCCAAAAATCTATTTTATTTTTCATCGAACTGAGATATCATCCCAAACGCTGTAACCAAACTCCGAAGAGCCAATGACCAAGAAAGGACCTTTGGCCAATGTTTCTGTGTCTAGTTTGAACTTGAAGGTCTCCTTGTGGAACTTGACGACGACCTGTCGATGCTTCAGAATCAGCTGGAAGTTGTAGAAGGTGTCGGGTTGGGGAACGAAGCCCAAGTCGAAGGAGCCGACTGGCTTCCGGTTGACTGAAAAAGGGGGAAGTTTTTACTCGAGTTCCTGGATGAGAGTCCCTAAAGGGAGAGGGCTAATCGAATGTGACGCAGGCTCTCGAGAGCGTTTTGAGTTCAAGTGGTTCGTTGTTTCAGATCTGGTTATCCTCGGCTTGTACCTACGCAGCGAAAGGAGCACGAGGTTGACCTTTTACAAGGGTGTCGGAAGTTTTCAGAAAAAAAGCTTGGTTTTTGAGGCTTTTTTCAAAATGACGATTTCATTCTGGAAAATTGAGGTTTTCTCAATCTAAATGGAGAAAAGGCTTCATCAAACCTTCCTTTATTTCTGAAAAGATCCAGAGAAAAATTTATGGTATAATTACAGTTTTTGCTTTTGTCCTTGTTTAGCCAATGGAAAATTTTCTTGAGTCTATAATTTATTTTTGACAAGATCTCCCGGAATTTAGTGCTCATCCTTCCACAAAAAAACAAAATAATCTTTAGCGTCTACTATTTTTTTGAATCTATGGAATATTCGATTTATTCATTTTTTTCGAGCTTTATGACGAGAAGGTTCAAAAAAATATTGGAAAAAAAGTTTCACTACGGAAGTTAGAACATTAAAAAAACTTTTTCAAATTTATCTCCTAATAAAAAGTTTCTAAAACCGATTCAGACTTGTTTTTATCTGATTTTTCTGAATTCAAAGTCCTCCGAGTACAAAAAATCAAACTTTTTCTTGCTCAATCGAAAACCTTTCAAATTTATTCAGAAAAACCCAAAATCTAATTTATCCTTCCAATCCAATCCAAACGTTTCAAAGCGCATCCACTTGAAAAAAAGCGGCTAGACATATTCACGCAAACCTCGAGAATCTCCATATTTAGCGTTCAAAGCGCAGGGCAACAAAAAAAACTAGCCGAGGTGCGAAAAAACGTGGCCGCGGCCTTTCTGGAATTCAATTTCGGCGAAGATTCCCGAGCAGTTCAAACGTGGGAAGTCACATCCTGAACGAAATCGAAAAAAGAATTGGTAGACGTCTCAAAAATCAGAAAAGAAGAAACCTCCGCAGTCACTGCGAACTCCTAGGAAAGGTCTCAGAGCGGTGGAGCCCCTCGGTATCCCGATTTTCGTCTTGATTGAATGTCGAGCGTTTTTGAACCTAAAAAAACAAAAAGTTTATCGGAAAACCTCAATCAGTCAGCCGAATAAATAAATCTTTCTTTGATTTTTTGGGAAAGAAAAATAAAATTTTTCAAAAATATTTTGAAATTCTCTTGCAAAAAAATTTCTTTCAATTCATCCACCTCTAGCTAGTCACTCAGACATTTTTTTCAAAAATTTAAAGAACTACTGGAAGAGTCATCTATGCTATCTTCAAGGGAATTCTCTAAAAGTTTCAGTTTACGTTGGATTCAATTAATTTTTTTTTTCGAATTTATGTTAAATTTTTTGTACTTTGTGACAAGAAGAAACGAATGAAACTCTCAATTTTTAAAATTTCACAGAAATAATTGGTCTCGTGAGTCTGAAGGATATCACCAATCTTTGAAAAAGATATAATAGTATTTGGAAAGAGACTCCTATAACAAATCTAACGAAAATTTCACCCAGAAACTTCGAGTAATTCAAGGGAAATCGTAATGTTAATAATTGAACTTTAAAGTTTCTGCTGAAAAGCAATTCAATTTCCTGAATTTGTCAGAGAATTCAAACTTCGTGATCATAATCGATTTTTGTTATGTTGAGATCTCGAAACGGAGAAGTTGTTTCCATTGACGTTAAGACCAACTCACTCCATGACAGCGAAGGGAGACTCAACCTCGCCTAGACACCAACAAATCGGTTGTTTCAGAACTTTCTGGACGGCGACGCCGTTTTCCACGACCCAAGAGCCTTTCTGAGGAATCCAATAACGTGGCTCCTCGCCTTTTGTGTAATCTGAAGCCAAGGTTCAGCTCCAGGAAAGATCAGCTCAAATTTTTAAGCCAAAATTTGATCATCAGGAAAAAAAACTGCGGCGGAACGGGTCATACAGGCCATTTTCCATTTCTCTCTCTGTTATCTCAATTTTTTTCAATTTTTTTGTAGGCTCAAAGTTCCAATCTGAGTTTTAGCATTTTATAAACCTTCAAAATCGTCGTAGTAGTGATCAGGAACGTTTTCAAACTTGATGACATGTTCTTCGGGTACATACGACGGAAGAGACGTCAGAACACCGATCGAATCTTTTTCGAGTTCGAATTCAACTATCCCATCAAGAACCTTCAATCAAGACTGTTTTTCTCTTGAAGGAAGCTTCTTCTCTGCGACTTGAAAAGTTTGGGTGCTGAGTGGTCCCTACAGGGGTTAAGGGAAAAAGGCAGCCCCCATAGGGAAGACATTTCAAGTCGCAATAAAAATTTCAATAGATCCTCACTTTTATTTTCTTTGATGGCTCGTAATTGATCGAAAGGTGAAGATGTTTCAGGCAAGAAAACATTCCTTGAAGTTTGAAGCGGACAATTTGCGAAGGCGAAACTATGAACGGATCCGGATTGGAATACTCACAGAGGGACTTCTCATAGCTCTGAAATATTTTTTCAAGTTGAAAAAAAACACAATAAGAAGACACTTTTGAAACGAAACCCATGATTTATTCAAGACAATTTCCATGTTCCGTCCTTTTTAAATCACTAGAAGTACTTGAGGAGCGTTCCCACGTGAATTTTTCTCACTTAAAATCTAAGAACTTCCGCCTTTTTGAAGTTCCTCAGGCTTATTCATTGTTTTGGGACCCACTCAAAAGTCCAATAGAAGGAAAAAAATAACTGAAAAATCAGTAATTCAGTCTCGGAAAAGAAAAAGAATCAAACTTGTTAGATTAAGACTTTTTGCAGTTTTTTGAATGTAGAAAGTTTTTTTTCAAGAAAGAAAATTGATCGTTTTTTTTCAGTTCACAGTAGATTGTTTAAACAAGGGTTTTTAAAGGAGCATAGCTCGATTTCATAAATAACATCAAGGCAAAAAAAACTGCTTTTTTGGCAATATTTTTGGTCGGGAAAAAGACTATAAGAAGCAGACTTAACTAATTATAACAATAAAGAAATACCCTCGTATTTACTCAATATTTCACGCCAGGAACTATTCATGTTGAGTTGATTGCTTCGAAATTTAGATTATATAGCTGATTCCCGGCTGGTTTGAGCCATCGAAAAATGGGTCCTGACACGATAAATAAGAAATAACTCCTGGTTGGTGGAGAGCGCAGCCAGGCCACGCCCCTACCGTCCCAAGCTATCCGTGAAGCAACTTTTTTTTTGAAAAATAACCTACCATTGTCTCGAAAACAACTGTGAGGCTTTTTCCATCAGAATATCCAACATAAGTGCCGCCGCCTTCAAGTTTTCCACTGCCGCCGCCGTGTCTCAACATTTTCCAACCTCTTTTTACGTTTCCAGTTACGTACTCTGAACAAGAGTTTGAAAAGAAAAAAGCATCCAATGGGATGGAATTACGGAGCGCTGCAAATGAAGCTTCGGTGCGAAATTCTGAAGAAGTCAGGTAGGAAAGGCCGCATCTCCACCATGGCAGATGTCGGTAGAAAGCTGACATCAAGTGCCACACCAACATTCTGAACAATCTTCTGTCAGTTTTGATCTCTTTCACACTCTATTATCCCTTCCTTGGTCGCAAATGGAATGGCTCAAAGCGTTGCGGTCAGAACCTTTGAAACTTTATTCAGTCTTCAGAGAAGGTACTCTGCTGAATCATGGAATAATTGAAGAGTTGTTCGTCGGTTTGCGAAACTGTCGTTGATCAAACGTAGACGGCGCGTAGAGCATCTCGTCTTTCTCGTGATAGTAGTAGACGACTTTCGAGCGTTTCCGACGATCACTGCTTCTCCATGTAGGAACGGTACGGCGCCCAGCTTGTCCAGGGCTGACGGGCGTCGGATTAAATCTCAGACGAGAGCGGAAATGAAGACCGACCACTCGGGTGGTAGAAATGAGATAAATAAAAATTCTGCGGTCAGAACCGAGGGTATTCTATCCAAGTAGGGTTCGCAAACGAGTTATATCATATATTTTTATGTTAAAAAAACTCTATTGGATTGTTTTTCCTGCAAACATAGGCTGCCAGTCCTGAACATTTTTAATTAATTTTTACAAAATGTGAGCTTTTTTTAACGTCTAAAAAAACCTTTGCTTAATAAGGAGCGAGTAAAAGAGGATAGGCTTGAAGTTTAAAAAGAAACAAGGAAGACGAAAAACTTTTTTCTCAATTAAAAGTTTTAGGTTTTTAGTTGGATAGCCGGGATAGAAGAAGAGTAGATTTTGCAAAATAAAAAAAAACGGTAAGGACGTTTTTTGGGGAAAAAACCATCAAATCAAGTATATATTGAATCATAGCCCAACTAGTTTGAACTATTTTTGAAAACCATTAAAAAAATTACATAAATATCTTGAAAACTCAAAAAAACTCAAGCCATTACATGTGCGACCATGGACTTTCAAGCGATAGAAAGTCAACTATAACACACCCAGTGATGTTTCCGTGAACATAGTTCCAGTTCATCACTCTCGCCATACAATTATGACCATTCTCCAGATTGGAAGTACTGAAATCCTCGCTGGCCCACAAAGTTTTGCCACTCTTTTGCACTTTTCCGGGAATTTTGCCGCCAGGGTAATGAGCTCTCAAAAATGGATAGTATATTTGAGAAAATTGTGAGTCTTTTACCCGATAATATCATAATCATTGATGAATTTCGGGTCGAGCAGTCTGTCATACTGTTCGTTCATTTGAAAACCTTCTCCGGCCACAATTTTTACTTTTTCAAATCCATTATCGTCCATTGTTTCTCGCAATGACTGGAAAAGAAGTGAAAAATCACATTTTTAAAAATAGAACAGACTTTTACTTCTGGAAAAGGAATAGACTTTTAGTACTGGTTACAAAATTGCCAGAGTGAGTTGTTTTTTCAAGATCTGTTTCGTCTCCACTGGCTGTAGTAGCCAGTTCAAAATTTTTGACAATAACCCAACTGCCTACCGTAACCCGACTAAGGTAAGAGGGAATGACTTTAAAAATTATGTCTGCAATCCTAAGGTCTAATGATAACTTTGGGTGAAACTACATCGAAATAAAAAATGTTTTTCTGTAACCACTTTTTTTCAGAATGTTTTTAAAACTACGGAAGTAAGAAGATTGACCGACCCTATAGTAAGACTCGCTGAAATTCCGCTCGTTCCAGCCGCCGACACAGTAAATTTCCACATTGAGCTCGAATCGAGCGATGCGAAGCCATTCCACAACGTATCTGACACATTTGAAAATTAAAAGACGGACTGTTCGAGAAAATTAACTATGTAATCAAACGTCAAACGCTGATCAAGATAAAAACTAACAAAGCCGTTAAATTTTCGTTGTCATAAGGTGTACGGCCAAGCCAATGTGGAAATGACCAAGGTAAAACGCAAATCGGTAGGTCTGGATTCACCTGAACATGAGAAAAAGTCGCTTTTCATAGGAAAATCAACAGAACTATCATCGAAAAAAAAGAAATATATATAAAGTTTGGTTAAGAAAATTATCAAAATTAAGCCTGAGAATCAGTTTTTTTTTCGGGGTATGAAGTTTTCTGCAGGAAAAATCAATGATGAAACGCGGTAAAGCGAGTCGGAGCTCTTCTAGGGATCACTTTAGCGGTGTCAGCGCTCTTAAGAGATCCCTAGAAATGATCCGACACGTCCGGGCGTGTTCGTTTCACTCAACAGAGGTCCGCGATTTCACCTTGGTAACCCAAACTTATTCGAAAATAATGAACTCAAACATTTCGTCTTTTTAAATAATCACAGCGGAGAATCAAAGTGATAATCAAAAAATCATGAAACAAACCAATCGAGCCTCTCGAATGAGCTGAAACTCGTAGGACCTCGCCGAAGGAATTTCGTCTCTCTCGCTCCAATGAGAAGCCTCGGTACCTTCTGTACTTTGGTCGTCTCCTCCCATTTCTACCTGATCAGATTCAAGTTTGATAAATATAGCTAATTCAAGGTTGGCTTGAGCTATTCAGAAAAGGGTCCTGACACGATTTAAAAGAAAAAACGAAATATCATATGGTTGGTGGAGATCGCATTCAGTGCTTTAAAAAATAATGAACTAATTTCGGAAAAATTTCTGACAAGCGAGCGGAGAACTGTTTTCATTGCCATTTTGGGGCCATGCAAGACTTCTGCGCCTTTGAACTTGCATGGAAGAAAATTTAACCAAACCAAAGAAAATCCGCACCTTCAGCATCTGGAGCCCGTGTTCCTTCTAAAATCGCAATTATTTTCAAAACAAACAAAAATATTTACATTAAACAATATTTCCATGATTCTTTGCCGCTCGCTAGCTGAACGCAAGTAAGTGTACATTAATTTAGAAGTCGCCTAAAAATTTAATTATAAAAGTTCTGGAAAAACTCGGACGGACTCCCCCGCCACTGACGGCTCCGTATCCGTCGAAAAACTGTCCGACTGCTTCGGAATCAATAATGTAGACATTTTCCTTTATTCTTGTTACTGAAATACAATACTACAGATGAAAATATATGATTATAGTCCTCACCATTTGAATATTGGCGCCAACAAACGAAAACAACGAAACCAGTCAGGAAGAACCACCGCATGGCGTTCCGAACTTCCTTATCATATCATTTTTTGTTGACACTCTCTTATCAGAACAATTTATTGGGAAACTCAAAATACAGGCTTGTATACAAGTATATACATTTTAATATGCTTCAAATGATCTTCTTCGACCGCGTTCGGACCAATTTTTGAGCAGAAATCTCAGTTTTAACCTTAAAATTCATTTATTGTTGGGAAGAAAAGTGTAAATGTATACCTTGGACGAAATTTTTCGTATTTTGACAATTTCTTGTCTTTCCGTTTCTTCTTCGACCTTGTCTACCTTCGTCTAAAAATGAATTTTCAGAGCAGGTCCAAAATGAAGATATTTCCCATATTTTCCTAAATGCAGTCAATTCATGGAGAAATGTTTAAAATAAGAGCGACGTGACAACTATAAAAGTTAAACTCTGGTTTTTTTCGGTTTATCTTTAGGAGAGAAATGTGCCGAATCATCGTTGTACCTTTTGAAAATATTATAGTAAAATATTTTTTCCCCGGTTTACGACATTCTAGAATTTTGAAAAGGAAAAACAAGCTCCAAGTAGTAGATTAATGTTTTTTTTACCCATTTTTATTCGAAAATTCAAGCTCTTTGGAAAATCTTTTTTATCAAATCAAAATACAAAAACAAGAGATAGGCATTGGTAAAGATTCACCACTAAACATTTTTCTCTACACTTGCACCTGTCTTATTTTAAATTCAATTTTTCCACTGTTAACATAGAGCACACGGATTTTTTGCGCTTACCTTGGTTTTGGAGGAAGGACAAATGTCGTTGCAAAGACAGGAACTACACTTCGGACCCACTGGAAGACATACAGTTTGGCCGAAACCGACGAGCAAGTGGTTGATATTCTGCCAATCTTCTCTGAATTTGAATAATCAACAAAAATAAATTTCCGGAAAAAAAAATAACAGACTGAAACCTTACCTTGGAATCATTTTCTGCAGCTCAAGACGCGTCTTCTCTGGAGTGGAAGTCGTGAACCAACCTTTAAAAATTATAATTCACAATTTTTTTGAACAAACTAACCAAGACGATTGGAAATCCTGTGAACGTGCGTATCCACGGCGATTCCTTCGTTTTTCTGCCACGCAATTTGCAAAACGAGGTGCGCCATTTTCGGTCCGACCCCAGGAAGTCCGCAAAGACCTGAGAAAGAGTTGGGAAAATTCTTAAAACTTTAATTTCTGAAAAACCTTCGACAGAATCTGGCACGTCTCCATCGTACTTCTCATTGAGAACTGCGGCCGTTTTTTGAATGTAGACAGCTTTTTTCTAGAACTTTTTGTTGTTTCAGGGTTTGGTTTAGCCTATTTCGCGCCAGCTTATCACGATTTTGGTTCTTTTCCGGCTACAGAACCCTTCTGTTTGAAACGCGATATCACCATTATATTAAAGGCGCATGCACAGAAACAGGCCGCGCGCATCGTAAAGAAGCTTCCAGATGGGTTCTTTGGCTCGGAGAAAAATAAAAACGTGACAAGTTGGCGCGGAACCGGCTATATCGTTGTAATTCATTAATGACTTTTCAAAGTTCTCGATGCGAAAAACCGTTTCAAACTTTATTTCAGGTCATGCGAGAGCTTTGCACCTTTGAACTCACTAAAAGAAATCACCTTATAAAAGCCGACAGGACAAAGAATCTTCTCCAACTCGTCGGTAGGGATATTTATCATATCATCGATAGAACACCCATGTTCTTTCAGACGCTATTTCAAATTCATATTTCTGCTTTGAAGTACGAAAAAACCGCCATTGCAGAAGCTGTAACTTCGTCTCGAGTCTGACTGGAGAGCATAAGGGCCAACAAGATTTGGAATCTGTGGACCTGAACATTTATTTAAATAATTTTGTTTCCAGATAAAAACCTTAGGAGACGCGAGAGGATCTGCAAGTCGATGACAGCCCATAGTATCAACTGGAGCGTTTCCATCTTTCCTCATTATTTTGATTCTTTCGATGTGAAGCTTCCAAATATCTTCAATATCTCTGACCTTTGGGGTCAGCAAGCGCTTCATTATCTGAAATGATCCTCTTTCTCAGAAATTGGAGCCGTAATGATTGATGAAACATGAGAAAAACACGTGCGACATATTTCTTTCAGACTATGAAAATAAATATAATAAAAATTGGATGATCTGCGCGCAGAAAGATAATGTGAAGGACCGTAGGACGATACTTTCAACACTTTCGATTCCACATTTGGACTTTTATAATTTGTAAAGGCGGTTGTTCACAATTGCTTAAAAAGTTCTTATTCACCGCCTGGTCGATTAAATATTTGACTAAGCCTCCGGTATTTGTACAACTTGCCTCATAACATTAAACGATAAAAACCGCGAACAAAAAACTTTAGAGCCTGAAAATTAAAAACTTTGAACTTTAAAGAATTTTTTAGTGTCTCCACTATCTCTACCTTTCACGTCATATGACCCAGAATTTTATTCAGAACAAAAATTTTATTCTCTGCAAAAAAAAAACGTGACCCCCTGGCAAGGTCATTTTCTTAATATCAAAGAAAAAACGTGAACCACATGAAAACTTGTCATTTCTTCTAGTATGACCTGTTTTCAAATATCGTTCTTGCTTTCCTACAGTCGTCTAGCTTCTGGATTTAACGTAAAGATGAGTTTTAAACTTCCATAAAACTTCTTATTTCCAAAATAAGTTTCTGAGTTGTAAGCGCTAGTAGATTAGGCCCGTGGGACTCCCGGAGTGCCGATCCTCTTTGCTTGCAAATTGGATACGCAAAGTCACGCCGAAGCCCATTCCGGTGGCCGAAGCACAAACTGTTGGCAGCGCGATGCTGACAAAGCGATGATGGGACCCCCACGGAAAATGCCGTCACGGCCTTCGGCGTCTAGGATACTTAGTTCTGACAAGGCCGAGCGGAGCTCTAACGCACCGCTTAGTTAGTTCTTCTGACTGCATAAAGCTTCCCTAACTTACTCACGACTTTACATAGCTAATAAGCCAAAAAATTGCGATTCGAGTAATTCAATCGACTTGCTTTTTTGAATGTTGAAATTATTTCAGAAAGCTCTCAACAAAAGTTTTCTGATCAGTCGATGGAGATTCGACAGCAACTTCAAATGAAGCAGTTTGATATCTAAGAAAATTTTTTTTCAAATTCATTTTCCTTCAGAAAGAACGTCCGGAGCATCAGATTGAAAATTGGAAACAAAAAAGCGTAATGGAAGATATCGATTGCTACTACTGGAACAATTGAATTGAGGTTTCGAAAGATTTATTTTCGAAAAATTTTATAATGAGCAAAAAAAGGCATGACCTTATTAACACTGAATTAAAGCCACAAAAATCTTGATCCGATATCATAGGCAAAGTCGGAAAGGGTGGAAAAAAGATCTATAGAAATGTTCCTTTAAAGGGTGACACAGGCTCATTTTTTTGCTTTCTTTTTTTGCACCACCCATAACAGACGCTCAAAGGGCCCGTTAAGGGTCCTTCCGACTTTGCCTATAAATATATATAAACATTAAAAAAATTTGGTTGTTAGTAGTAGGTTTCGCGCCAAACTCGACGGTTTTTATTTAGTTTCCACAAATTACAATCACAATAAATCATCGATTATTATTCGAGGCCGCAGACAGTCTGGCGGCGGAAAAAATAATTTAACTTGAAAAGCAAATATTTTTTGATTCAACTTCTGTATTTATATCCTCTTTTCCGCATTTAAAAGTCTTTTAGCTTTGAAAATTCAGTTAACCGCGATGTCAAGAAATCCGTCAATCAAAGTCGCAAAAACGTCTTCAAATCCATGGCGGACGGAGTTTGATCAACTCCGATGCCGGCTAAACAATACCAGGTACCAGCCCGATGCTCTTAAAAGCAGCTAAGGGTTTTTTTTCTGTGTTAAATTGCAAAGGAGAAAAGAAAAAAAGTAAATTTTCAATGGTTGAAATCGCTCCTCACTCTGACCGCTATTTTGAATTTCGCGGAATCACTTCGAAAAGGGCATGAAAAACTCGCAAAGAAGAAAAAAATCGAACACTGGTAACTCGAAACGGACGTTTCGGGGCATTTCTAGTGACTACTTTAGTAGCGTCAGCATTCTTGAGTGTCCCCTAGAAATGCTCATAAAGGTCCGGAGCACGTCCGTTTGGCGTTATCAATGTACAAGAAGATGGAAGAAAAAAAATAATAAATCAAAGACGTGTGAAAAGAGCACCCCAATGATGTCATTTCACTTGTCAATTCACGTGAGGCAAGCTGTACGTACAAATACCGGAGGCTTATATTACTTAAACAAAAAAAAAATGGATATTGATCGATTCATTGAAACAAAAACATAAATTATCTGCGAAAAAAAGTGAAAAAAAAACCAATCAAGCACTGAGGTCGCCGAGAGCGCGCTCAAGATGCGAAAGAAGACCGTGTTTTCGACTATATCCTAAGCGCCGGTACACTAAGAATAACTGACGAGATAAACGCGAGGTCGGTGGCGGTACATTGACGAACTCGCAAACATCTCGCTTTTTTCTAGGCGCGATCCCGCATTTCTCTCGGCGCGACCTCGCATTTTTCTTGGCGCCATCTCGCATTTATCTCGCATTTCGGAAATTTTCAAATTGCGAGAGAAATGCGAGCTCGCGCCTAGAAAAATGCGAGCTCGCGCCCAGAAAAATGCGAGACCGGCGCGAGAAAAAAAGCGAGATGTTTGCGAGCTCGTCAATGTACCGCCAGTGTCTCGCGTTTATCTGGGCAGTTATTCTTAGTGTATAATTATCACCCATTATATGTGAACACTTCGCAATAGGGCGCACTTGGCTTTACGCATATTTCGCGGAAATCCGAATCCTTTCTCACCTCGTTTTTTCTGAGTTGTTCATTTGTTTTTATGATTTATAAATAAATTACAGGGTGGGGAATACTTACTGGGACGAAAGGAAAGGGGCTACCGTTCGCGTAAAAGATTCCCAAAATCGAAAAAATTTTCAATGGGACCGTGTAGTCATCATCAGAATTGTACGGGAACCGGCCCGTCAGTCTATTGGCCCCCGGCCATTTTCTAAGCACGGTTTGGTCTTGGAAGGCGTAAAGTAAAGAAGAACGGGCTCAAATTTTGTTCAAGTGGAATATCAAGCTTTTTTTACAACAGAAGTCGAATTTTTGCTGGTTAATTCACTCACAGTCCAACATAAACTATGATTTGACAACATTTAACAGCGCAGTTTAGAAAAATTTTCGAAGCCTGGCCCAAGCCTGCGCAAACCTTTTCTCAAAAATGAAGCCCTAAGTTCGGGGGCACGTCCTGACCCACAAACCTGTTCATCGTTAATAATAACTGCCGAAATGAAGACAATATTGCTGGCGGTATATTGACTAACTCGCAAAAATCGCTCTGTCATCGCGCGAGTCTCGGACTTTGGAAGTTTTCAGTGCGTGAGAAAACGCGAGACCTGCTCGAGGACATCGTTTTTACTTTGATACTATGATGGACCTTCGCTGATGTGCTCAGTGCTGACCATACTTCCTCAATATGTTTCTGTTTCTTGCCGCGATCATCTTATTTCGACCAGGGCGGCTGAGCACATTGCGAGTTCGTCAAATGTACCGTCAGAGCGAATTTCTTTCGCGCCAGACTCGGCAGTTATCTTTAGTGGCACAAAATACTAGAAAAAATTTCAAAAAATCTTTGTAGCTTATGCTACAGAGATTTTTCAACAGTTTACCTAGTTTCAAGCACATAAAACGGGGTCTCGCTTTTTTGACTGTTATCAAATTTACTCCAAATTTTGTGTGAAAATTCAGTGTAATGTTTTTCGAGCCATTTTGAGGCTCCCTGCTCAAAACTTGTAGCAAAATTGATCTCGATTATCTACGTGCCGCAGAAATTCGTTTGCTACGACATCTTCTATCTGAAGCACGTGCCACATAAGATTTTTCATTTTAAAAAACATGAAGTGGATTCCGCACCCTGTAATTTATTTATAAATCATATGAAAAAAACTCAGAAAAAAAGCGAGGTGAGATAGAAATATTTCGGATTTCCACGAAATAGGCGCAAAAATCAAGTGCGCCCTATTGCGAAGTGTTCACATATAATGGGTGATAATTACCGGCGCTTCTATATCCTTTCTTGTTTTTCTCATCAAAAATATACTTTGAAGTTTACTTGCTTCCCTTCTATAACACTTTTCGGCAATAATGTTCACTTTTTGAAGATTTAATTTATTTTAATGCGTTTGAACGGTTGAAAGAAACCTCCAAAAACTTGAACAGTTAATGCCGTGTTCAAAGTGATTCCGCGAAGTGCAAAACACCCGTTAGAGAAAGGAAAAGATGACTATATTTTGGAGAGTCTAAGACTATTTTGCATTTCGCGGAGATTAATTTGAACACGGCATAAAATTTATCAGGTTAAAAAAAAGAGCTAAAACGGAGTAACTAACTTCGTAAAAAACTGGCTTATAGTCCTCATACGATCTCTTAAGAAGTTGCTTAAGGGGGAATAGACCTCCTGAGCAGTCTCTTGAGTGGTTTGCGATAGAGCGCTCTTGCAGGAAAAGGTAATTGCAGTGTTTTTTTTTTTTGCCGAAAGAACTTTAATATATAACTTCTCTTGTTGTTCACTTCTGTTCATTTTGTTCCGATTCAGGTTCTCTGTATACCGATATTAAAAAACTAATAACGATCAAATTATGGGCTCTAGTATTTGCTTCCTAGCACTCAAACATTTTTGTCAGGGTATGATGGGTTAATTCGGTTTTTCTGTAATTCTTTGACAATTCTGTTGTTTAGATAAAATGAAATAAATCATTCTTTAAGAGTAAGCGTTCTTTCACGCCTTTCTGCTGAAAGACCAGCGTGAGCCGCCAGATTAAAGTGCCCACGCGAGAGTGTAATAGTTGTGAGAAGATTCTCGATCAGCCCTTCCAACACTACTATTTCTTTATTCCTCTTGTTTGATTCGTCATTATTTTTGTCATAAACGTATTGAAGAATGACCCAAACTTCGGACTCGCGGAAAAAGATCGAGCAGGAGGAGACGGTGATTCGGCAAGTTGGGGTTTTGTTTGAGCAAGTGCTCAGCCGGCCGCCGCCGAACAACGTCGTCGAGCTCTGGAAGGAGCACTTGGCGATCCGCGAGAAGCTGGACAAAATCGCCGAGTTGCAGTCGCAGCTCAGTGATACGAATGTCCTCCTTTCTAAGCCTCGGTTGGATAAATCTTCATTTCGACTTGTATTTTCGAAGTTTCAGAAGCCCGGAAAGCATTGAGAAACTTTTGAAATGGGCTGATCATATGGGAATTGTTAGGAAAAACGTCGAAATCAAAGAAAGCGACGATTTTGGACTCGAACTGAGGGCGTCAGCGTGGGTTTTTCTTTGAAATTTTACTGTGGGAAACGATTTTTTCATTTGAGGTGTTAACTTGTTTTTTCGTAGTCATTCCCGTTTTCCAAGAAAATGAGCAGATCTCAAAGCCACGAGAGTTTTTTGAAACTTGTTTTCATTTTTTTTTTCTAGACGTTAAGGTAGATACATAATGAATATTCAAAATAAGTGGGAAAATAAAGTTTTTTCTTTTTTGTAACTCCTGAAAAATTAAGCTAGAAGCGTCTCACGAAGAAAGCTTACTAATAAAAAATCCATAATTTTATCAAATTCTTGTTAATTTCTTTAAAAAAAGCTTCAATTTCTGGCATATGTTTTACTTTAGTGATAAAATAAAAAGTAAAATTTGCGACCCAATATTTCACTCCCTCACTGAATAGCAATAAAATTGAAGGAAATTTCCAGAGAAATCAAAAAAGACGACGCGGTCATCCAAGTTCCTCGAAACGCGATCCTCAGTTTGGACTTGGCCCGAAAAACCGCCATGTTGAAGTGAAAAGAATCAAAGTTTCAACCAGTAAAGATTGTTCAAGGAAAGCCTTCGAAAAAGACCCGATAGTTCGAGGAATGGGCAATGTCGGGCTGGCCCTTTTCCTCTGCGGGCAGTTCTTGAACGGCGAAAACTCCAAATGGTCAACATACATTTCTGTTTTACCTACCACTCTTACTACTCCTCTGTTCTACGATCGCGATCAGTTATTGGTAATTTTTGATTTGCTCTGTAAAAATCATTTTTTTCGGACACCTTGATATTAAAAAAAGAAAAAAAATATAATCGGATATTTGATTCAAATTTCGATCAAGTTCCTGACTCAAAAAAAATTTTTAATTTAGGAACGAGGGTAATATTGCTATTGCAATAGCAAACCAAAAAATGCGAGAAGATATTTTAATTTTCTGAGATGTGATCTTATACCTCTACAAAAATTGAAAAAAAAATTTTTTATCAATTCCGTCAAGTATGTCAAAATTGAGAAAATTTTTTTTTATTAATTGTGCTTTTTTTTTCAAAATTTACAAGTCCGCTTTTTTTCGTATGTATCTTGGTTTTTTTTTTACAGTACTCTGCCATTAATTTTATTGTCAAGTTGGTTCTCAGGCTGAACAGTAGGTTTAGGTTTTAAACTGTGTTTTTTTCTTAAAGAAAAACTTTTTTTTCATTTTTTGTGATTTTTATATTAAAATATTGAAAAATTTATTTTATTTTTTCCAGCAACTGAAGCCTTCACCACTTTTCGAAGAAGCTCTCATGTTCTACAGAACCATTACGCGACAATTTTCCTACTTTCTAGTGTCAGTCGCCAAAAATCGGGTCTTCGAAAACGTGAGAAAGGTAAGACATTTTTGGATTTTTAAGGTTCAAGAATTTTTTCAGACGAAAACGGAACACGCGAACATGGACCCACCGGTTCTGTACAATACTCCATTCACAGTCTCCAACTTCACCCTCAATCTTTACTTGTTAGTTTACTGTTTCTACCTGGGTTTGTTTGAAAAGTGAAGGAGAAGCAATTTAATCCGCATATTTTGAATATTCAAGTCTGTCGATCAAAAATTGTTTCGCGACGCTCTGAGCGAGGAAAAAAGTTGATTATGGTGGATCTAGAAATATTCGAAAGATAAAAATCATGTAATTAACTTTATTTAAGCTACTACCGTTTAGAAAAATCAAAAAACAGCAGTTTCTCTAGTCTTTTGTGAAACTTTTCAGAGTTTTTTGAAGTCAATAGTGCTCTTTAAGTATAATTTTTGTTTTTTATTTGTTTTTTAAAATACACTTAGCTAAGTCTTAGCATTTCTTTATCAACTTTTCTCTAATGATAATAGTTTTTACTTCAAAATCTCGAGTTTCGCAAGTCTCTTCCTTTGCAATCCTGCTTTGAGCCATTCCAAGTGCGACCATAATGCTTTAAATTTAAGAAAATTTTAAGAAGGTCTTAATAAAACTATCGAACTTAACAAATTTGAGATGGGCTGTCGGAATTGTGACAACTCGCGTAAATATGATCCCTAGCGAGAGTGAGACGACGGAGAAGAATGAACGGATCATGGTTCTAAATGACTTTTTTAGAGTTTAAAATGAAGTTATTTTTTTTAGGTTCCTGCCTTGATTCCCGTTTTCGACATGGCCAACCATGATTTCGATGCTTTGGCTTCAGACGATGCCGTTTGTTTCTCCGTCGAAGACGATCTTGCCATGGTTTTGTTTTTTATTTTATCATCAACTGATTTTATTAAATTAGTTAATCGATAAGAAGTTAAGGGCACTTATAAGGAAACTGTATAATACAAAAAAGGTTAATCCAGCTGTTTCGAAATCTCTTTTCAGGCACTTATTGTAGAATGAATTTCTTTGTGTTTTTTTCATTTTGAAATTTATCATGCGGGTCTATTTTGAAAAAAATAATCAAGGATAATCAGTGGACTGGCTCTAGTGACATATCCGTCCTTGTGTGTGACGCCTGGGGGTTTTTTGAAGTCATGGTTTCCCACTACCAACATTTCTTGAACCCCTTGGTTGGGTCGGGGCAAAAATCGAACTTGTGACCCTGTGGACCGTAGGCAGGCACACAACCTGTTGCCCTACGGCGCACCCCGCTAAACATCTTTTAAAAGAACAGGAACTTTCGATTTAAAAACATTGAGTTCAGCTGGTGAGTGCTAAAGACGTGAAGAAGGGCGACTCGGTCTCGATGTTCTACGGTCGCCGTAGCAACGGAGATCATCTCCTCCATAACGGCTTTGTTCCCAGAGGCGAGAATCCCAGCGACTATTACAAGTTGAAAATCGGTAGAACCATTTGGAGAGATAAAATGAGTAATACTTGTTCATTTGAGGGATCCCGAAGACGGACAAGGCTCTCAACGCCAAACAGGCGCTCATTTCGGCGTTCGCTCCGAGCAATTGGATGCAGTCAAATATCTTCCATTTCGACTTGATTAATGTCCGTTTTACCGCTTCATTGCGTCCATAAACAGAAAAGGCGGTAATTAGAACAGAGAAAAGGAATTTGTTTAGTAGAGGGGTTTTTTTTTTCAAATTTGTTCACTTTTTAAGGTGTCTTAGAAGCTATAGTGGTCCCTATCCACGATTTAAAAAAATTTGATTGAATAGAGAAAAAAGAACAATCAAAAATTCGCTGAAAAAACTCACCGTTGATTAAAAGTTTGAAAAATCTGATAGCTGACCATTTTCAGAATCCGGAACACCCGTTCCCAGAGGAACTTGAAAAGTTCGCTCAGGTCTTCACATTGGATGACCCGAATGCAAAGGTCATCATTATTATTTCGACTTCTGGAAAATTAGATTTTTCAGTTTGAACTAACCACTGAGCAAAGAAAAAAGGCCTTGGAGTTCCTGAAAACCCGCTTTTCTTTGTTGGAAAGTTCGTACGGGAAAGAAGAGCTCAGCGTGGATCTGCCTGGAATTCCCGGCGATATCGCGCGGCTCAAAGCCTCGGAGCGCGAAATTCTCCGCAACTCCAGGTTTCTTTCAATTTTCGTTGTGTTCATGGCTTTTTCCAATTTTCAGGATATACTGCGAGAATCTCTTAAGCAAGCTGTCATAATTCTCTTAAACCGATAATCAATGAACCCGTGCTTTCATCCGTTATTAGTGCTTTATTTACCCGTCTGTGTGAGCCCAAGGTGCCATATATTGCATGAAATTTCACAAGTATAGAAAAAAGTTTCATTCCCACGTTGAACAGAAAAATTGAGCCAATCCGCATTCGAAGTTGTAAGAAGAAAAAAACCCGTGCGCGAGAATGAGGCTAATCGTTTTTTGGCAATCATTTGCTGGAAGACCCTTGGAGAATTACGCGACACTTTCGCGTTGCACGCCATCTTGTCGTTTGCGCCATGTCCACGTGTGATGGTCGTTCCAGGAATCGTCTGGAAACAGTGAAATTCAGAGAAAAGAAATAAAAAGGTTTGGTAGAAAGTTGAGGATCTTTAAGTATGGTTCAGAATATTTCTCAATTGAAGTATTATGGGAAAAATTGGACTGAAAAAGAAACTTCAAAAGGTTTTTTGAAATAACAAGTTCATATAGCTATATAGAAAAGGTGGTTCTGAGCCTAGAACCATCAGAAGCTAGATATATCCAGGAGAAGAGAGACGCATCTCGTCTAAATTTTTTAAAACTTATCCTAAATTTTTTTCTGATGACTTTTAAGCAATGAATAAACTGAACATATAGTTAGGCTCAAAATAGTTCATCATGTGCGCTCCATGGCAAACACAAAAATTTATTGCCGTGAATTTAATCTAGAATATATTTTTCAACGTGTTTCTCTCGGAAGAGTATAACTGTAGATGACCTAAAAATTAGAAAATAATATTTTACACCAATTTATCAGAAACCATTTGCATTTCAACTTTTTCCACAGAGCACACTTAACCTAGAAAAATTTTAACCACTTTTCTCCCGGTTTTTTTTTAGTTTTTCATATGATATTTCCCAAAGTCACACCTCGAGAAACAACCCTCGCGAGATTATGATCAGAAGTGGAATCAACGAGAGCGTGCCGAGCAAATCGAAACCTTCCACCCGTCGATTCAGGCGCATTGTTCACCTAAATTGTTCCCTTTTTTGAAAAATAATAGTTTTCTGAACCGAAACGACAGGTGTCGGTGAGATGAACACACTGATTTCCGAGCCACGATAAGAAACGCTGGTTTTGGTGTTGTCGTCGTAAGAAGGAGATCCGGAAGTCGGGGTCCTTTTGTTTTCTTGCGAGTATTCGTCGTAGGAGTATGCGGAGCCTGAAAGATTCAAAACTCATGCTGGTCGGGTGCACCCGTATTTATCTCGTGTTTCTTGAGGCTATTTGTGTCTGAGTCGGGCTAAAAGGGGGGAAAACGGGTGCAAGAAAAATCAATGACCCAGCTGTGTTTATTTCAAAATCCTTGGATCCAACTTCACTGAAATGGTGCCACAGCTGTTGTAGAAAATTACGAAAGTTCGAAAACTGTGCTTTTACGGGTTTAACCCGGGTACACCCGGTAAGAGCCCGTGTCAGCACGGCTGGGCTCCCCTCCAAAGCATGAGAGAATGATCTATTGATTTTGAAAAGACTCTTACTAGTTAGAGTTATCGATTTTATTTTTTGAAGAAGTGTGTCACAAAAAAACCAGGAAACTATAAAGTTCTATCATGTTTAGAAAGCTTCGATGAGGAATCTCCGAGGTTGAATAATATTTTTTAAGAGATGCTTTTTGAATGTCTGATTTTTGGCAAGGCTACGAAAGTTTATTCAAAAAAAATGAACGGTTCTGAAAAAAATAAGCCTAAAAAAATTTTTGGTTATCTTTCGCGGAGTGATCGTGCTCCATGGACAAAATTATTGATCTTTCTTTTTTTAACACTGTGAAGTAGAAAGTTGTATTGTAATTTCTTTAAAAAAATTTATTATTTTCTAATGATTTAAGACTCGTTTTTTTAGAGTACCTAAACACCCACCTAATGTAGATCTGGTCGGCTCGGCACTGCTGCTCAGCCAGACCCACTCGTTGGTATCTTCGTCTCGACCGGCCGAAGAAGACGTCGAGGAAAGTCTCGAGATCAGCGGCGCTACTAATTGCTCGTATCTAGAAGGGAAATTCCGATTTTCCCTCATTTTCCCGGATTCTCACCCCTTGAAAGCGCTGTACTTTCGAAGAAGTCGGTAGAAAACGAAAATAACTAGAAATCCAATCAAAACGAAGAGCATAAACTTGTTCGAAGAAAAGTCAGGGTTGGTAAGGGAAACGGTTGAAGTTTCTTAATTCAATTTTTCTTTTCTTGTAAGTTTATGAATTGGAGGAACCTGTCCTGATTGGAATCGAGGAAGCGATGTTCATAGTAACAAGAGAAACAGAATGGGCGAACGGAGTCGGGAAACTTTGAGCGCATTCTTCGGCTCCGGAAAGGGAAATCTCCACAGAACACTCGGCAGATCTTCCTTCAATCGCTGAAAAAAACTTTAATTCGATTGATTTTTAAATTAATTTTAAGTTTAGAGGGCATTTCAGGACTTTTTTCTAGCTTTATTCTAGAAAAGGATTCATGTAATGCCGAAAAATCAAATTATCAGAAAAAGGTGTATGAAATTTAAATTTAAAACAGAACCTTTTTTTCATTTATCAGTATTTAATACCCTTTTTTTATTGCCTGGGTTTGAATATATTCTAAATTTTTCCTTAAATTTCAAAAAAAGTCCATCGGTACTCTTACAATTTATATAATTAAGCCAACAAAAAAAGTCCACTTTTATAAAACATACAGTTTCTTTTCTAAATTATCCATTTAACCTCCACTATTCGCATAATTTCAAACTAGTGGGGTTCTGAAATGTCCCAGCTGAAAACTCACCAATAAGTTCAACTCCTTTGCCGTTGGCGTTCGCCACAGCGAGAGCCCTATCGTTAGAGACGGCCTGGACGATGACACTGTCATTTGGAACGTCGTCAAGACGTTCAATCGAGCCGTCCGAGTAGCTCAGCGTCGATTGCAGGGAGCAGTGCTGAGATTCGAATGATTTTCTGTCACGACCTCTTACAATGAATGTTAAAACAGTCTGTTTTTGAGAACTAGAACTATACATCGGCTGGATCCCAGCCCCTGAGGTAGGCCGTACGTTGGGACGGGGGGAGTAGACCGCACCCTGAGGTTGAATCCAGCTGACGTATGAATAGAAGATAAAGCCTCTAGATTTTTTTTTGTTTCTCGGTCGTTTTATAGCTCCTCAAAGTTCGCCATTCCAGTGAAGAAATAGTGACCATGTTCCAAAAAAAGATTTTTCGATTCCTTTTGTGGGACAATAACGATCTAGAAATTGTACAGCATCCTACTTTTAAACTGTAGCCAAAGAAATTGGAAACGTCTTTTTTTTCGAAAATTTTAGAAACTTGTGGCACTTATGTTTCAGTACGCATTCATTACCCCGCTTGAAAACAGACTACTCGATACTTTCTTGCCATTTTATCCACCTGATAGAGCCTAGTGAGATTCCGATCGATGAGGACGCTGACGTTGTAGAAAGAAGCCGTGAAGGGAACGGCGGCCACGTCGACGTCGATATCACAGACGGCGTGGGTCGAGAATCCAACGATACTCGCTTCTTCCGCGACGACGACGAAATCTTCACTCGCCAGTTCTTTTGCATTGCTGGCTCGTCGGAGAACAACTCTAATAAATTGCCAATTGAATAAGAAATTCTTTACTTCATGGAAAACACAGAAGGTGGTGGTATCATTTTCCAGAAAAAGAGAAACTTCAGACCTGCTACCTGGCTAGAGAGGTCACAGAATCGGTCCCAACGCTGGCGGAAATCTTTTGTAATAACTTCTTTCCAGAAAATTTCTTTCGAAAACTTTTTTTCAAGTTTTACCCATGGGACAGGATCCTCCAAAAAATCAGCTCGATCGGAGACGTTGAAATTTTGAATTTTTGAGGTCCATAACTTTATTCACAGACCTCCTCAGGGGTTTGGGAAACCATACTGATCAAATTTAAAAAATACTCTTAAAAAATTGGTTTAACCCAGAAGTCCTACTGCGAGTGGAGACCATTCCCAGGTTAGATGAATCATGATACCTGAAAGACGCCGAAAATCTTTTTTTCGTCCATTGACATATTCAAACTTCGAGAACTCGATTAGGAAGCCAAAATTGCACTCTTTTTCAACTTCCGATACCACCACCCTTCGCTCTTCAATCTTTAGGTCTAACTTTGAATTTCCGAAAGACTCTCCAGAAAGGAGCACCTTCCCATCCACGAATCGGAGTGTGGCTACGGATTTGTTGGCGATGTGAAGTCTGAATCAATCTTTCTCCATGAGATCTACAGAGTCCGACAGACGAGTTGATGGAGATGGCGGTGACGTCAAGGAGCATGTGTCTGTGTGTGGAGAGATAGTGTTGCTCGCCGTTTCTCTCGTCGACGACCCACATCGAAGCGAGAACTTTGAGCTTTTTCTGCTGGAACCGCTGTCCGCAGGAGAACTGCTTGGCCGTCCGCCGGAGTTTCGACGTCCGGAGTTCTTTCCAAGTCGCCGTTCGCCACTGTTTGACGCCGTGGATCACTGCGTCGCTCATCCAGATCTGTTGATTTTATTTTTTTTTTCGAGCAAATCTATATCTTCGGAACTTGGTAGCGCAAGCTGGACGTGACTTAAACGTTTCTGAGCATTTCTAGTGACCACTTTAGCGTCGTCAGTCCTCTTAAGTGAATTCTTGAAATGCTCAAAACGTCCGGTTTGCGCTACAAAGGTCCGAATCTTCAAAAAAAAAAAATCGTTGAAATGAGAGGTTTTTTAGTGATTCAAATCCGAAAAAAGGTTGAAAACAACTAAAACAGATTCCAGAGGGCTCCAAAAGGATCCTGTGAGGCTATGAAAAAGGATCCTCAACAGACTATCTCCAACTATTTTCGGCCTTTTTGTCGGAACGTTTTCAGCTCCTTCAGAGGGTCCTCGAAATAACTTACCCATGTTACAAAGATCGAAAGCTCATAAATTTGGATTTATCAGATAACCAAAATCTCACTGTGATAGGAATCCTCGGAAACCAGACTCTGAAGCTGAAAGCCGAGGTCCAGCGATAATAATGAACGTAGATGGCGACAGAAGTGCCTCCAGAAACTTCGGATCCATCGACATAGACCTGATGATTGATAAAGAACTGATTATAATGAGTCTGCGAACAGTAGTGCAAGTAGGGCTGGTTTTGAGCAAGTTCGACTGGCTGGAGATGCAATGGCTCTCCGCAGTGATGTCCCGGACGCCGCCGCCGAAAGAAACGGCGAAAACTCGCATATTCACCGAGACTTGCTCTCCAGAAATCACAGCCGTGTTGACTATCTGATTTCTCTGAGAAATTGGATGTTTTGGTCAATATTCTGATTTGGAAAGTACTTTTGGGACCAAAGCGATGGTCCATGTTTCGTCAGGAACTACCGCGAATTTGGTCGCAACCTTGTGGTCCTCGTTGTCCTGAAATCGAAGTTTTTAAAGGAGAAAAACTGGAAAAACCAAAAAAAAATGTTTTCATTGGAAAATCAAATTTGCTCTGTAGGAGCTTCCTACTCTCCTATTTGTTTTAAACGAGTCGGGATCGAAAAAATGTTGCAACAAGAGCAAAGTACAAATAGATATTTAATGTTTCAGAAATGACTGATCAAAAAGTGTTGTATCAAGAACAAAACCCTATGAATGCGAAGTAAAAAAATGCAGAAAAAATCATGTTCTCAATTAGTTCTCTATTTCAAAGCAAAAATAAAACTTTTTTCCAAACAATTTGGTGTTCGAGACAGCTGAAAGATTGCTTGAAACGAAAAAGAGACAGTTTTTAGTCTACTGTCGTCCGTTTTGTGTAAATACTGAATTTTAGTACTGGCCACAAAATTTGAAATTGATATTTTGATCACAACTTCTCTGAAATTGGCCCTAGTTTCTTGAAATTTTTTGGACGGCTTATTATTAGCTGTGAAATAACTCAAAAGCGGATGAAAATGAATTTTTTTTTCAATTAAGACTACAGTTGTGAGCAAACGCCGAAGCTGTGAAAACAGAAATTTTGCTTTCGATATTGGAAAATCTATGAGCTCCAGAAACGCCGACAAGACGCCCCAGTGCGACCAGACGAGCAAAGATGAAAAAGAGTAAAACTTAGAAAATAAGTAAAAAAAAAAACTAGTGCGAATATTAAGAAAAAGGAGTCTTTTTGGACAATGTGATCCCATTCGTAGGGTGCCCCAGGGCAACCCGTCTCAGAAGCAGCTCTGGTGAATTCGAATCGAACCTTTTCCGACGCCGTGGGCGACATTCTGACGTGCCAATGCAGCACGACGTCGTCGTGAATCACTTGCGTCGGCTTCATTTGGAGCAGCAACGAAATCACTCGGCCTTCCCATCTGGGGACAATTTCGGTTCTTTGAGTTAACTTTATTGGAAACTTTGTAGCGTTAGTCAGTGGAGTGCAGAGGAAAGACGTGTAGAAAAGGGGTCGGAGGGCCGAAGTGACTCGGATCGACCAATCGGAAGAAGCTGGGAAGACGTTGTGGACCGAGAGCCGTGAGTCTATCCATAACCTGGACCGATTGTTTATTTAATTTCAAACCTTTTTTTTTCTTTTTTATATCTTTCTGAAGTTTTCAAAGTGTTGCCCGAACTGTTGTGAATTTTTCGAGACTTGATGACGCCAGCTTTACTAAACTGCGGAACTTCAGAGTGGTCCATGTAGGGGCATCCTTAGAAGGCCTTAAAGGCTCCCCTCTGGGCCACTTCTAAAGGGGCGACTACAGCTTGCAAAAACGGCCTCTATAGGGGCTTTTGTTAGTGGCCCCTGTAGGCGACCTGCTAGTCGTTTATTGTTAAAGAAGAAGCAGCTCCATACGGAAAACTCAATAAAATTAGCTTTATTTGAATAAAAAAATATTTAAAGAGAATAGTCTTTTTGTAATTAAAACCTGAAACAAAAACTAGAAAACCCCATAGTGACTACTTAAGCTTTACTGGGCTTACGGGTTCGACCAAAAAAATCCATATGGAGGCAACTCTGGTTTCCCAAAGAAAAGAGTTTTTTTCGGCAAATAATACTGTTTTGATTTTTATACTGTTTATATTCTAACCTGTGAAAAAGAAGACAAATTTCAATTTACTTATACATGTACTTCTATTTACTGTGAAAATCTATTGTATGTCATATCCGGTGAAGTCACTCGTGAGGGTGACATAAAACCGGTTCTTAAACTTATTTTTTCTTTTCACTTTGTGGATGAGTAAATTATTATTATTAAAGAGCTCACCGTATCTCCACAGGTTGAGGAGTTTCCACGATGCTGAAGTTGACGAACAACGAATGGAGGGAGTTGTCGGTGAACGTCAAGTTCGAGCTGGTCACCAGGGTCACGTTGCTGAACAAACTCAAGTTAGAAACTATTATGAAAGGTCTAAGTTCACAACAGCGGCTGAGTGGCTAATGGCCTTGACTGCGGTTGTCTGATGAGCGGGTTCAGGACAACCGGAACTTGTCCGGAGAAGTCCAGAGCGTCTTCACAAGTTTCCCCGATGGAGTAGGAGGCAACTACAGTCTGAAATCCTTTGATGAACGTTTTTTTTCGATTGAAAAAAGTTTGAGCAAAAACTTTGTCAACTTTAAAACTTTTTTTGACTTTTTTCGTCGTATTTTTTTCCCTAAACTTCTTAACTTACAATAAAACAGCAATCCCTCCGCAATATACTCTAAATAAGAAAGAAAACGAGTGGACGGATTCCATTAAAAAGATTTCGGACGAACGTTGTTTTCGTAGGTGAACCAGGCGAAAGGGACTCGAATCCGCATGACGCAGCTCTCGTTGCCGTCGCTTTTCAACTCACATCGTGACGACTCCTCTGAGATCCCTTCTTTCTTTCTTTTTTTGGTTCGAATCGAGAGTGAAACCGGAAGTTGCCGCCGATGCGGAGAGCTTCGCGTGGACGCAGAGACTCGGCGGCGTGTGTTTGGCGAAGGAGCCGTCCAGAGCCGCGACGACGTCCACGTGCGGTCGTTCCTGTGAACTTTCTTTCTTACAAGGAAGGTCCTTTTTCTTTGCCTTAGGGGGTTTCTTGAATTCTGCTGAGACTAATTTTTGATGTAGAAGACAACTTTCTAGTTTTCGAAGAAGGACAGCTCAAAGTCAAAGAAAGCCGCTAAATGAGGCCCTTGTTTCTGGAAAACTAAGAATTTATACACGTTGAGACTCTCAGAATTTCCCGTTGGCTCGTCAGGAAAAGTCAATTTTGAGAACACCAATGACTTGTTTTGTTTAGAAAAAAGAAAGTGGAGAATTGAATAAAAGTTCTTCAGGACCTCTTCAGTACAGATCAGTTGAGACTGAATTTACAACTCTTATCGTTTTGAAAATATGACGTTTTAAAATGATCATTCAGTACTGAAGCTCTTCTTTTTCTGCTAAAAAAGTCAAGAAAAAGTCGTTGAGACATTTTCAAAAACTCTTTTCTGGCCTTGTTGGACTTGTCTCCTGCAGCAGAAGTTAGTGCAGTCCTCAACCCTCCATCAAAAAAATGAAAATACGAAAAAACACGTATTCTCTGACATTTGAGCTTTCTAGAGGTCCGAAAATCGGTTACTCGTGTCAAGTGACAATCTAGCTTTACTTTCTCGGATATTTCAGGTATAAAATTTCAAAATCAAACACGCTGAGTTCAAAATTCACAATGGTATAGTTTTACATGAAAAAAGATCGCTTTTTTGAAGTAAAATATGTTTTTGAACATACTATGAAACTATTTTACAAAAAAGACTCAAAAAATCATGAATTTTTCCACTTTTTTTTGTAGCGGCTCACCATAATGATTATCATTCCAAAAAAACCCCTCTCTTACGAAAAAAATTCAATAATTGCAATGCAATTTTTAAAAGAACCAATAATTAATGAAGAATGAATAGAAAAAAAATTCTCGTTCTTTTTTCTTGATTAGCTTCATAGGTCTCCCTTCTTTTCACAGCAGCCATGAATGCCCCCAATAAAGAATGATATATATTTACTGCTCCCCACAATGGGAACTAAAAAGGCCTTCAGATATTTTGAGGCTCTTTACGATTGTCAAGAAATGTCATTTTCGCTGAAATGAGAAAAGAATTTCAAGCAGATCTGCTACTAAATGCAAGAGCAGAATAAAAGATCAGATGAGAAATTGGACAATTAAGTAAATGAAAGAGAAAAAAAAGTGAAAATAAATTTTAGTAATGAGGAAAGTTATACATGCATTCTTTAACTTTAATGTTTTTTTGAAATATAGAAATTTTTGATAGCGTTGTAATGTATTTAATCGGTCCTTTTGCTTCATTTTTCTTTGACCTCCGAAAAAAATTTTAAAAACAGCAAATAGTCAAAAACCCATGCTTGAAACTTTGTGAAAGGTTTTATGTAGGGTCCGCAAGCCATTTCTTCAAAACGATCCAAAAAATATGTTTTTCACATTGTTCGATAGAAGAGACTGTCCATTTTCATAATCCGTTTAGTTTTTTGAAAAAAGCTCCACTAAGAAAAAAGTTATGGCCAAAAAACGAGCGCGCGCGGCGTACAACTGGAGGCAAAATCTCACGGTTTACCCGCTGCCGCACGCTTTCTTTTTAAATGTTTTTACGCATTTCTGAACCGTTTTCGAATTGGTTTTCTGTTTTGAGAGGTTGTCCGAGCTGAGCCTCATGTTTTGGTATGAATCTTTTGTACAATCCTCATAAGAATTTTTGACAAAATATCAAAAAACTACTTAGAAAAAAGGGCAGAAGGAATTTTTAGCTTATTTTTCGTTTTTCTAATCTGAAAAATTATTATCATTCGATTTGGAAGAAAGAAAAAATGAAAAATAATGTTATTTCGAAATAAAACAGGAAAAAGTGCAATTTGACGCCGAAAAACGGCTCCTGCAACATTTAAAATGGCGCATCGGTGTGTTTGACGCAAACACAGCTACGAATGCTTGCACGAATTCTTCCAAAATTTCAAAAAAAATTGCCATTTTTTCGAGGCAGACGAAAAAAAGGAGGTTTTTGGTAAAACTCAAATATAATTTGATTCGCTGTCCCAATAATTATTTTCATTCTGAATTTTTATTTTTGAACACATTGTGAGTTTTTTTAAATCAAATAAAAAGTATACCATGTCGCTGAAACTTTTTTCGCATTTCAGCTTCAAAGTTTGGTGTCACTTTACAAGCTTCGATTTTTTTTTCGCGTCGTTAGATTTTTTTAAATTTTTTTATTCAAAAAAAATAAAGAAAGTGTTAATGTATAACATACTTAAAATTTAGAAGCGTTCCTCACTTGGTTTTTCTGAAACGCGACGATTTTTGTGAAACTTGTCAGTTTTTTTCGTGTTAAATCTTACTTTTTTTCGCTTATTTTTTTGAAAAAAATACATAGTTTAAAAAGTTTTTTTCAGTCTTGTAGAGCGTTGTCGATTACATAGTTTAACAGAAACAGTTTATTTTTAAAGTGGGACTTTAGTTAGTATAAACGCCTCAAAACCGTTTCTGCAACAAAAAAATCGTCATTTTGGTGGCGTGAAGGGGCAAGGCTTTGCGCCTCCTAGTTTTATGAATATTTAACCCTCATTCTCCAATATTTGAATAACACCAACCTAAAAAGCCGTTCCTAAACTTTCTTGCGAAGCTGAATTTGATTTTTAATTCCACTTTAAAAATATTTTTCCGGCCCGAAAGAATTTCGCTTCGATCGAATAATTTGGAAAGTAGACTAACCACGTCGACGTCGCGTTTGGCGAGGAAGACGCGGACGGAGCATCGGACAGGAAGTTTCGGAATGACGCGACTCGAATGCTCTCTGTCGCCGGCCCGTACCGAAACACGCATTTCTCGCGATATTGGGCAGTCATCCTAGAAAAAAATAAACAAACCTCACTAACAGCGATGAAGGGAACTAAACATTTTAAAACGACATATTTCCTGAGAAACGAATAGAAACGAGAAAAAAGCATTTTAAATCAATTTGTAATGGTAATATTGACAGTTTTTTATTTATTTCTTTATTGTCAGAACAACGCAAATAATTAAGATACAGATAGAAAGGAAATAATATAACATTGGACAGACAACAAAGCTAAGAAGGTCATATGGTGCCCTAACGAGCAGCATGGCGACCGTTCGCAAAAGAGAAGAACAAAAAAAATGATAAACTATAAAAGACGATTGGGGATGTTGATAATAAGTTCGCTAACAGCTATCCTAGATAATTCATCTTTTAAAGTTTTGGGGTGGCACGAAAAATTTAATTTGGTTATTAATATGTTCCAAAGAGTTATATGACGCGAAAAGAAGTTATCTGATAATGAACCCCTAGTTTGTAACCGAAGTGGATGTCTACCTAGCCGAGAGAAGGCAATAAAGTTGTCAATTGATGGAAAATGATCAATTTTTAAAACAATTTTATGGAGAGAGAAAATATCAAGAAGAAGACGACGTTGAAAAAGAGAGAGTTTCTTCACTCTCACACAAGTTTATTTCATACATATGCAGACCTAAAAGACAGTTCTCTCCTTTTTTTTTGGAGAGACAGAGAAAGTGATTGATTTTTGGTCAAGATCTCTTCAAAAAGAAGCTTCGAAAGGAAATGTTTATAAGTGTCCTCAAAGCCCAAAAAACCCTTCTTTTTCAGAGAAGTATAGGAAAGGCAATGTTTAGAGACTCAACTTCCTTCAAAAGGCAATGTTTAGAGACTCGACTTCCTTCAGGCCTAAAAGCTTTCTTTTTGAACGAGGACGCGTTTATACAACCCTAATGTTTATGTTGGCAAAAAAGTGTCTTTTTGGAGAAAATGACTGGTTTATGTAATACTAACTTGGAAAAAAAAGAATAAGCCAGACAAAAAAGTAAACTGAGAAAGCCTTATATTTTTCCGAGCTTTTTCTAAATATTAAAAACCTGGAGAAATAATAGAATAACATGAGGAAAAAAACTTTAGCGAATTTTTCAATAGAGAAACAGTTTTTTTGAACAGGCAATGTCCATTTTATTAAAGATATACTCTGAAAGATGGTTTTCACTGGATATGGAAATTTTTCGAATGGAACTTTTTTTGAATCAAAAAAAGGACTGCGAAATTACAAAAAAACACATCAAAAAAATGTAAGAGAGATGCTGAGGGCACAAAAAATTATAAAAAGATGAAACATTAGAAATTGAGATATTTCCTTTAAAATAGGTTCAAACTTTGAAAAATGAAAAAAAAAAACTAGTACTGATTTTTAAAAAAAATGGTTCGAAATTTTGAAGGTAAGAGAAAAACTATTACAAAAACAATAAAAAGAGGACGTTCAACGTTGAAAGTTTAGACTTTCACAGAATTCAAAACAACTTATTCCCCCAAATAATTGAAAAATGACTCACCGGAACGAAAATGGTTGAAAAATTGGTTTTTTGATGCGGGTGGACGAGTAAAAATCCATCGGAGGGCGGTGATATCCCGACGTGAAACGCTGAAAAATGGAAATTTGAGCTCGAAAAAAAAAAACAGCTTTGCGCGGTTTTTGAATGCGTTTCTCGTATGATAATTATGTATTTATGCGTTTTCTTGTAGGAAATGAAGTACTCCCGTAAGCAAATCTATTTGAATTCTGTATAAGATTAGACTTGACTGAAACTATCCGAGGCTTTTTTTTGGATTGATTATAAATGATTTTTAGATCTCTAACGATTTTATTTTGATTCAAAATTAATAGAAAAAACGCTAGGAAGTATTACATCTTGAGGTCGTATGAAATAAAGCCGAAAATTATTTTCCGCGGTTTTCCCGCAACTCGAACTTACTTGAATTAGTATTTTTTGCATCGAATTCCGTTTTTCCCTGGTAAATCTTTTTATAAAACCTCATGGAACGTCGAAATTAATGAATTTATAGTGTATTACAGACCCTCCATACTTTCCAAAAATGGCGGGAACTTTTTTAAAACTTCATTGCTTACAGCATTCGGAGGAAAAGCGGAGAGGTACTTGTTTGAAGGTAAATTGACCAGTGATTCTCGGAATCTTTCAACAAATCGAAACGCCTGGGGGTTTAATTATAAATTTTTCGTCCTCATTTAGTTCTTTTTAAAACCAATCAACTATTTTCCAGATTAAAAAATGAACCTGATAGGCTGGTGAGGCCGAGCAGCGGCAACAAGGGAATCATCGCCGCCCGGAATTTCACATCTCGCGGCGTTTTGGACGGCCAAAAATGCGGCGGTCAGAGCCCTCGAGGCGGCGCATCGATTCGGAGGCTGCCACACCCCCAAACTTGGCTTCTTCAATTGTTAAATGCTCCCGCGTGATCCGCCCGTCGAGTTCATGGTACTCTAAAACTAATTGCTTTTTTCTTTTTTTGGCGAAACTTGTTGATGGGTCCGTCGCTTTACTTTGAGAAGATGAGCGTCAAAGTTCGAGAAAAACCTTCTGAAGTTTGAGGAGAAAGTTAATTTCCGCCTAGACTTAGATCATTCAAATGATACAAAAGTAGCGAAGAATGGAAAGGGAAACATTTTCTTGATATCATGAAAAAGCTGAAAATGAAAGAGCTGGGGAGAAAAACAATTTCGATTTTCCTGCAACCTTAGCTTCGATAATCTCGTAATGCAACCTAGAAATTCAAAATAACAGAGCGAAATTGCATTTTTCAATCGCAAATGAGAATTATTCAAGTCTGAATAAATTTAAATTTCAAAACATAAGTCCATTTTTTTCAATAATATATTTTTCCCTTTTTTTATCGAAAAACTTGTAGACGTATTTTTTTATCGGTCTTTTTGTCTCTTCGAAGAAAACCTTCGTTCATAATAAAAAAATAAACTGAGTTATTCAAAATTGTCTCACTCAATTTTCAAACAAACTGTTGAGTTCTTGGTACTCGGGAACTAATTGGTTTTTTTTTTCGGAAAAGGAGTGGATGGGTGGCTTTATTTAGGGAAAAAGAGTTTCAAAGTCCAAGTAAATAAGAGAAAAACGATCATTCTCTTTCTCAGGGCTGTAAAATGAAACTAATTACCGCTTCAAAAATAGAATTACGTTGAAAAGTCTTCAAATATCAGCTCAAACACACCTACCCCGCATCTAAATGTTTCACGAGCCACTTGTTGAAATTCTATGGCTAATTTCTAGATTTCCATTTATCTCACCAAAAAATTTTTCTTTTACCAAACTAATCAAAATGAAAAAATTTCGAGCTTCGCAGGTCTGAAATCTTATCTTCAAAAGGTGAAAAATACGGAAAAGCAGATTCTGTGGAGCTGTGAAAAATATTTTCAGCCTCATTTAAATCTAAAATAAAATTGAGGGTGAGTTTCCAAACTATTTTTTTCCGGGAAAAGCAGAATGATCTGGGAGTTGTAGGTAGATTGAAATCGGGCGGAAGAGAACTCTTAAAACTAGCCAAACTATGCGTTTACCCATTTTTAATGCCATGTTCGAAGTAATTTCGCGGAATAAAAAAAAAAAAAATTTCTTCACGTTTGGTTCTTAAAAAGTTGAGTCGTGGTGTAGCATGCACTTTCAAAATAAAAATTCGCGTACTCTGAGATGACGGCTATGAAGATTTGCGAACATGGTCTGCTGTCTGCTCTGCCCTCGGAAATCGTACCATCCTGGGGGAACGCCCCGCCGCTTAAAATCTACACAGTTGCACACAGACGCGAAAACGCAGATAATACGTTTCTTACGCGCATTCGGTTAAAGAACAATTTTCTTTAAAATTTTAAAAAGTGAGATTTGAAATTTATAATTATAATCCCACTTTTTTTTTACAAACTTTCTCAGAAACTTATAAATTTGTAATTTTTTAAACGGTTTTTCACTCTATTTATATAAGGATTATAAGACCCGCGGCAGATTTTGAAATTACGTCTTTCTGTTTCGTGTTCTGTTCTTCCATTCTCACCTGAACTTTGAAGATCTCCACTTTGGCAACAGTCAAACAGGACATCATGTCGCGGTCGCCAAAGGGGCAGAGAACGTATTTCGAGTGATAGCGAGGCGATAAGCAATCGATGGCGGAGCGGCACATGATGGCGTCGACGTCGCACTCGCCGCTCGTCCCTTACTTCACGGACTACGAAGATGCCGTCTCCAGCGAAGCTGAGCTTGAGCGACTTCGCGACACTCTTCGTTCGCACATCGCCTCGAGCAAGTTGGTTTTTTTTTTCAATAAATTTGTGATAAATGAAAAGTTTTGAAAGTCATCACTTTCTGATTTCAGACAGGGTTGAAAAATTGAAGTTTATTGAAGGTATTTTAGATTGTACTTGATTGAAATCGCAATAAATCTTTGACGCTCTACATTATTTACATTGCGTCATTGCCGACCAAAAAAACTGATAAGAAATCAGGCAATTTTCAAAAGCAACAAATTTCAAACACCCTTATTACTTTTTTTATCACTACGTAGTAAAAAAAATTCCCAGGGTTTTTTTTTTCAAAATTAAATATTCTAGTGAATCTCGCCGTCGACGAATCGCTGCTCGGCTAGAGCCGCCACGGCCCAGAACTTCTCCAAAACCTCAAACTTCGAGCAGCGAAAATTCAAGCATCGAGAAGCTTCCCCCACCTCGATGTTAGCTTTCTAATTTTCTTTTGTTCTACATTTTTCTGTACACTCTTTCATCCGAACAATCAAAGGAAAAAGTAATTTATAGCATCGAGGATCAAAAGAAATGGCAACTCGAGACATTCCCGAGCGACCGAAGAAAGAAGTGCCAGCGGAAGTGAACACGGAGACTGGCGCTATTTGAACTACGCGGTTCGGCCTCAAAATCTGATCGTTGCGGGACCATTTTATGTGTTTCAGTTCCAGGAAATGGCCTACTATCCACTGTTGGTCCATCTAAACGAACAGCTCACGGCCATCACGAGACAACTCAACGACGTGGAAAAGACCAACGCGATGCAACTTCGAGTTATAATGCATCTTTTGAATCGACTCGCCAAGGTTAGAAGTGTTTTTTGAATTAGTATTAGAAAAAAAGGAAAAATTTTTTTTTGAACAGCGATTTCAAAATAAACATGTCTACTCGTAAGTCCGAAAAGAGAATTTGAAAAAAAAAATTTTGAAACGGTAGGCCGATTTTTAACCTAGTGGTCGCACTTGGAATGGGTCAAAGAGTCGCGGTTTCATTTCACTTACAGAAATCTTGATCTTAATAATGTCCTCGCGCGAAAGTCGTTTTGAGTCGAGCGCATTTTCAAGCAACCGCTTCGCGTCGAGCCATCCATTCCACCTGCGACCACGTTTTTTAGGATGAGAAAATTTGAGTACCTGTTACTTGAAAATGAAAACTTTCGATTGAAAAGAAACAACCGCTGTTTTTTAAAGGGTTAGAATTGGAAAAAAAAACATTGAAAGTTTTCTCTTTTTGATAGGAAAAAGCGCTTATGAGAAAGTTTTTCTTTCCCGGTCCAAGGGTAATGATTCGGAATATATCGGGCTCAATGGTTCTCGAAATTCAGATGGGAAAAGGTAAAAGATCAAAAAACTCTTTCATGCAAGTTTTACATTCTTATTGGCAATTTTTGATCGCTTTTTCTAGTCTTCTTACCAAAATTACTCGAAGAAGAAGCCAACTTTCTGAAAATCAACTCAGAAAAAAAGTTGTTTGACTCCAGTCTAGCCTGTTTTTCTTGCTCTGTACTTTGCTTGTTATCAAGTGATGAAAACTGACCCTCTCAAAAAATTGCCTTTTTTTCCTGCTTATCAGTGGAATTTCAGCCGCAAAGGTCGTTTCTCAGCTACTTTACCGCGTTTTTCCGGTCGTTCCCATTTGTGATTTTTGCCTTGTCGTGGCCCTACTTTGCTCAGTCGCTTTACCGGTGGTATCTCAGGTAAATTGAGTGATTCACTTATTTTCCAAGCATTTTACTTTCAGGAGACGTCAAACTTTGGCTCTCGCCTTCATGAAGTATCTCTGAACGTTTGGTCGATTGTTTCCCTGCATAAATTTATGGTTTTCAATAGAATAAAATAAAATTCAACAGAAATGGACGCAGTATATACAAATAATGAGGAAGAATTATGATTAAGAATGAAATTTTAAAGTTTTGGGATGGTGGAAGCAACGGAGGCGAAGGGAAGTCTCATCAGTTCTTCGATCGAAAGAGATCCGTCGCCGTTCAAATCCACGAGCTTTGAAGGCTCTCATCGTTTCTTGGCGGTTCTAAAAACTTTCATTTTTTTCAAGATTTAATCAACAACTATGACTTGATTTTTCAATCAAAAATTCGAATTTTCAACCCAGTCAGAAGAATTTCCAACATAAAGTAGGTAAGTATATGAGTCCATGTCGGAATCCTTGGTGCTTTTTTTGAAGAAGCCTAGAAAATTAGTTTTTTTTCTCAATTCAAGCGAGGAACAAGTTGAGAATCTCCTTTTTAAGAGAAATTAAGTTTAAAAAAAGGTTCAAATTTCTATACTTGAGAAGCAAATCTTCAAGTTTATCTAAAAGGGACATTGATTTCCGAGAACAGAAAAGTGAGATAATTCATTTTCCGTCATTCACAGTCTACCTATATGTTTCAAATAATAGGTTCATATTTGATCCAAATCCACATCGCTACATTGAAAATCAAAAATTCTCAACTTGTTGGCAGTGTGGGAAATCGAAAAACAGCCGCGCCTTTTTATCGCCTTCCTACCAAGCAAAGAAAACTGTTGCTGATCAAACTATCCTACGTCAGTATGAAATCGACAAGGTGAAACATGTTCTCCTTGTCCTTTACTGCCGCAGACAAGCTTTCCTACGACTTTACATTGGAACATTCAAACAGCTTGTCGCAAACTTTGCGCAAGGTGAATCATAAAAGAAGTAGGGAACCTGTCGGACTGGCGACTTGTTGGCAAAGGAAAGCAATTCGCTTTCGTCGACGCGATTGTCGCCGTTGGTGTCCATGAAGGACAAAAGCCGCAGGGCAGCTTCTCGGTCTTGGTCGGCCTGGAATGGCCAAGATTCAGTACACAAAGGGTTTTGGAGTAGTGAAAGACCTTTGGCTTTTGTTGCTGACCACCGAGTTGCGATTTGAACTCCTCGTAGGTCAATTGGCCGTCTTCGTTGATGTCGGCCATTGAGAGGAGACCGTCAATGATTCTGGAAAGAGAGACTCGAAAAACAAAACTTTGATTCTGGAGCAAGAAACTTCGAAAAAAGACTCTACTTCTTTTTTTAAAATGATGATTGATATTTTGAATAAGTTTGGTTTTGAAGATTCATGAATCGAAAGAAGGCAATTGACGATTTTTGAAGAAAATTGGGGGTTTTTTATTTAATGAAAAACTTTTGAGCAAGAGCCAAGTAGAAAATTTTGTTTGCCTTCGATCCATTTTTACCTGCCATCGCTTTCGGTTCTGGAAAGTTGGACCTCAGTCTTGTCGACGACGCCGTCGTCGTTCTTGTCCATTTTCTGAGTTATTCATACTATTTAACTGAATTTTTTTGCTAAAAAATTTTCTCTGTCCAGTCTTTCAATAGCAATCTCCTTCCAAAACCAGGAATTTCCCCTGCAAATCTTCCCTTTCCTACTCTTTTCCAGTCTGAATCTCGCCGAAGTCTACATTTTTCAAGTGTTTGTCGAATAGACTCTACCTTGAAGAACTGGTAGGCAAGATCGACGGGCTGTCTTCCCAAATCGTAGACCAATGGAACGAATTCGGAAATGTCCAGGACTCCGTCGCGATCTTGGTCAAATCGTGCCATCATTTCTGGAATCGGATCATTTTTTTCAATTCTAGGATGGGAAATGAACCTTTTCCATCTCTTCTTCCAGATTTCCTGAGGAAAGCTGAAAGTTCAGCTTCATCAACGACATTGTTGTTGTTGGAGTCGACCAGTTCGAATGAGGCTTGAAAATTTTGAACCGTTATTTGAGAAAAATTTTTAAAAAGGTAAAAATTGGTGGAGAAATAATTTTCTGGAGCTTGATGAAGTTATAAAAAAAGTTATATTAAAAAAAATCAGTTTTTGAACGCTCAATTTTCTCTGAAATAAAGAAATTTAAAAAATCCATGGCACGCGAAACCGCAAGGCGGTAGGATGAAGGTTCGACTCCCATGTGCCATCGGAGATTTTTTTGCCATTTTTTTCACGTAATCGGTTTTTACAATCGCACTGAATCAAAAAAATCGTAAATTAAATAGTCCATAATTCCTTCTGAAATTTTTTTAAAGTTTTTGCTTCTTTTTCAAATAATCCTCATCAGTCATCAAGAAGGTCTAGCTCCATTGGCCAATCAACAAATCAAAGAGTTAGCAAAAAATATTTTTAAAAAACCGTCCCCTGGTGTTTTTATTCGCTATACCCTTCCAGCCAGGTTCTATAAAAATGGTATTGTTGATTTGGATGCTACTTCGAGAAAGTGGAACTCATTATTTCCGATGGCAAACTGCAACTTTTTGCAGACTGTGTGCAAACTTGTCAGTACTGGCCGGTGAGTTGCGAATTTCTTAAAACTGTTTGCCCGAGGGAGCTGAAACTTGAGAACAAAGTTCAAATACGAAGTTTTGCAAACACCTTCTAAAACCTAGAGAAAAAAAAGAGAGCCAAGCTCTTCTGGATCGAATAAATGATCGGAAAACTGACAATCCTGAGCGAGAGCGAAAGCTGAGAGCAGAACGAGGGCGAGAAAACGACTCGTCGTCATGGCGGATGATGTGCGGCGGAAAGAGGAAGAAGGGGAGAAGCTGTTGCGTCAGACCGCCGACGGGTTCTGCGGATTTCGCGGGACCGGATCGCAGTGATACCGTCGCTTGTTGCATCTTCTCCGACGCCCATTTTCGATGGCAGACCGTGTTTTCTTTGGCCGATTTGGTGCCGTTCCTCTTCATGGGGATCAAGGTGACGCCGAATTACGTTTTTCTCGCCTTCAGTGAACACGTTTTCTTTTTTTTTCCTTGGAAATTGCCGTGGGAATAGCAAACAAATATGGATATTTAAAGACACAGAAGCTGGAATGTTACAACGGTCATTCTGATGGAAGACGCAAGGTTCTGATGAAGCAAAAAAGATCGAAATGAGTCTCCGACAAACTTTTTGGAGCACAAGCCAAATATCGTTTAAACTCAGAACTACTTGTTTAAGAGATGATGCGTTGAAAAAACGCGATACATATCTATTCGAAGAAAAACTTCCAAAGAACCGAAAAAGCTAAAATAAAACTTGATACGACAAACTTTGAAAGTCTTGAAAATTTTAAATTATTGATATCTGAAAAAGAAACATATCGAAGCAGTTTAAAAATTTAAAAGCGTATATCTTTGGTTTAAACAAAAAAAGAGAAGGAAAACATTTTAACAAGTCATTATTTTTTTCCTTTAATTTTAAATCATCTTTTTTCCTATCCACTTTGGAAAAATATCTTCAAATTCGAGAAACAATCCTTAGTCAAAAAGAGCAATATTTCCTTGAAAAAACAGCCGTAAATGGAATTTCAGCCTGCCACAGTACTTTTCTCAATGGAGCACACTTTAGAATTGCTCATTTTTGCTTTTGAAGTTGAAATTTTTTTTCATTTTGTATTTTTTTCTCATTTTTATCTTCCTTCCAGCCTTTTCTCATTTTTAATTTTGTAGGTTTATGACATAGAAGTAGTCAATATGCCACCTCGTCCGGAAGTGGAAGAGAACTGCTTTACTCCTAGGAGCTATCAAGTCAGTTTTTGACTTTCCTTCGCGGGGTAAAAAAAGCAAATTTTCAGATTGAATTGCTTGACAAAGCTTGCAAAAAGAATGTGATTGTACAACTAGGCACAGGCTCCGGCAAAACTTTCATCGCAGTGCTGCTTTTGAAGGAGTATGCCGTTCAGATGGTCGCTCCTTTGAGCAACGGCGGGAAGAGATCGTTTTTCATTGTAGACAAAGGTTTTAGGAGGAATTCGGTCTGAAGAAAATCATGTTTTGCAGTGAACCTGGTAGATCAGCAAGCTCAACATATTGAAAGGCACACGGCCTTCCGCGTGGGCCGACTCCACGGAAGTTGCAACCAGAATGTGTGGTCCGACAGGAAGAATTTCCAGGATTTCCTCAAGACTCATCATGTTTGTCTTCGAAGTTCAGTACAGTGAACTCTTCTGACCTCAGGTTATCGTGATCACCGCCCAAATCTTCTGCGATCTCATATCTCACGCGTTTCTGTCGTTCGAGACCGTCTGCGTGATGATAGTCGACGAATGTCATCATGTTTTCGGCTCGAAACACGCCTATCGGCTCATTATGAACCGATACCGCGAGCTGATGGATGGTTCTACTTGTTTCAAAACGAATTTGAAGAAAATTTCCAGCTGGGAATTCTCAACTTCCTCGAGTTCTCGGGTTGACCGCCAGTTTGATCAAGGATAAAACAACGCCGAACGAATTGGAAACACACTTGTCGAAGTTGGAGAAGATCATGTGTTGTTCTATAGAAACGGCATCGGATCTTGTGTCCGTAAGTGTTCACTTGATTATATATTCTGTTTAAAATTCATGGTGTGGTGTTACTGGGAAAAGATTAGTGGCCACTTTAGGGTTTCGACGTTTCAGTGGCCACTTAAATGACTAAAGCGACCTTTTTACAAGTATTAGAGGTACTACTAGCAAACTTGAAGCTTCTATAGTGGCCACTAAGAAATAAAATTAATGGCTTTTAGAGAGGTAGTTTCAGTGGCCACTTCAGTGTCCTCTCCAAGTAGTCCTTGAGAAACTTTTTAAATGGCCACTAAGAACTTTTGTCAACAGGAAACATTTCTATGAAGCCTTTTTCGACTTCTTCCGACTTTGCCTATTAAACATAAACCGACTTTTTTCGAGTTTTGATCCGTTTTGAGTCTTTTTTTAAAGAGAACTTCTGCGCCTTTAAACATCGCTGAAAGCATTGCTAACTAAGAAAAACGCCTTTCAGCTCTCGAAATATGGAGCGAAGCCCCGGGAGTGCATCACCGCCTGCAGAGACTTCAACTTCTCTTCTCGTACCACCAAATTCGTTCAGAGCGTTCTGGTAAGGAAAAAGCCTTCAATATCATACGACGGTAAACATTTTGAAGCACGACGCGCAAAGGTTCTTCGACACGACCAACGAGATCAACGTCCATTTGGATATGGATCCGAGGAGTAAGATCCGCGATGGTTTGAGAAAACCGCTGGATGTTCTGCGACAACTCGGCCCCTGGGCTGCTTTCAAGGTTTGCAGTAAAAAAAGAGATAGTTTTCGTAAATTTATGGTTTTTCCAAACCACTTGAAAAACAAAGATACTGTTTGAAGTTTTTTTGAAATTTCAAACAGTATCTTTTTTTAAGCTTGTCAATAGTGAATATTTTTTTGCTGTGCTAGGAAAAATCAAAGCTTAGATATTTTTTTAATGCTTTTTCTTACTTCTTTTCCTTCATCAATTTTGCAAATTTTCCACTTTTTTTCCCGCATTTTTTTGGCTCAGCTATTTATTTATAGTTAGTTCACTATAGCTTCGAATTTTTCGAAGATTTGATTTTTGGCTGATTGAGTGAAAATTATCATATTTTAAATAGTTGAGCCATTTTTTTTTCTTTTTTTCTCTTATTGTCTTTTATTAAAGCGAAATTTATCCGTTTAAAACATTTTTTTGAGTTTTCATTGTTCTTTCACAAACTATTTTGCTTGAATGTTTCTTCTGATACTAAAAAGTTTCCCTAATTTAACTAATATTCCAAACGAGTTACTGCTATTAATCATCTTTCAAAGGTATGCCAACTCTTCGAAAAGAACTTGGGCAAGACTCTGAAGCAAGAAATGTTGCCGGATAAAACCGTCAAATTCCTGAAACTCGCGAGAACTTCCCTGAAAACGGCTTGTCGATTGTTGGAACAGGAGGTATATCGAAACTTTTTAAATAGAAATGAAAATGTTCTTGAAGATCTGTCACATCAAAAATCCAGAGCAGCTACGGCCATTTGTTCCTCACAAGTTCATACGACTTTATGAGGTTTTTTGACAAAGTTTCTTTTGGAAAATACTTCTTCCAGATGCTCAAAGTTTTCTCACCAGAGTTCCAAAAAACGCACTTGGGCAAGGAAACGCCGGAACCTCTCTGCGCGATTGTTTTTGTCGACCAGCGATATGTCGCCTATGCTCTGAACGTTGAGATTACACTCTTCATATGTTGGAGATGATCTTTTTCAAGGTTCTACTGAAACAACTGAGAAATTGGGACCCGCAAATGAGATATCTTTCCTGTGATTATGTCGTCGGCGCTAGTGGCAACGCCATGGCTTCGGGAGATGCCGAATTCTACAAAAAACAGGGAGAAGTAACTCTTCCATCAGTTCGAGTTCGAATAAGCTCTCTGTAGACTCTGAGGCGGTTCCACCGAGGCGATTTGAATCTTCTCGTGGCGACGAACGTTCTGGAAGAAGGCGTCGACGTCAAGCAGTGTAACCTCGTCGTCAAGTTCGACAGACCCTTGGAAATGCGGTCTTATGTCCAGGTGGGAGAAGAAAGATGATTTTTACGGGAAATATACATTGGTAGACCTTTTTTGAAGTCATTACTACCTCGTGGGGCTCTGAACTTTTTTTTAAATGTTGTCAGCAATGCTTTTCTGAGACTGAAGCTCACTTCAACATCTAACTTTTTTTTTTTCTAAAGTCCCTCTTGAAATTTCTGTCATCCTTTTGGACTGATTGAATTTTTTATCCGCCCACGTATGGTTGAAGGTGTAAGAATTCAGATCAAATATGTTGCTATTAAGATTTTCAAAATTTCAAATAATCAATGAAATATTCAAGGAAAAAAATACTTTCTTAAGAAATCTATTCAATCTTTTTTTCTATTTTTTTAAATAAATTTTTTTGGTATAGGTTGTTTTTCCTGTTTCTTCAAAAATATTGAATGATTTTTTTGTTTCTCAAATTTCGGTTTTCGCAATTTTTCTGTTCAGATTAATCTTGAACTTCTAAGAAAAGACGAAGTTTTTTGAAGAAGTTTTTTGTCTTGTTTCTCACACTTTTTTTTCTTTTTTGTAGTTAAGAAAGATAGAAGAAACAAGAAAAAGACACCTACATTTTATTGGAAGGGCCGTAATATTTTGCGTGTGAAACATATTTTTTTCAAATTTTTTGAATTTTTTTCGAAAAAAACGAAGATTCGGTACATTATATGAGATCCTGGTATCTATTGGTTCAAAAAAACCCGTTTTTCTCGTTTATTTGCGACTTTTTCTTATCACCAATAGCAAACTTGGAGTTTAAAGTTGACGTTTTTATTTTAAATTTTTATACGCCATTCCACAATCTGCACGTAAAATAAAATAAAGAAGACATCAAAAAATCGTATAGATCGCGGAAACGCCTGGAGATGTCTGAAAAGACGATGCTAAGTATCAAAAAAGAAAAATTCCAGTCACGAGGTCGAGCAAGACGTGCCGGAGCTCGATACGTCGTTCTGGTGCCGGAGGACGACTTGGAAGAGTGTTCCAAAGATTTCAAAGACTTTAACCTTATCGAGAAGGTCTAGAACATTTCTGAGACGGAACCTTGAAGAAATCTGGGGTTTCAGCTGCTGCTCCGTCGATACCAAAGCGTTCACAACCCCGTGGAGGAGGCCGTCCCAGACGACGTCGACAATTTGGTTCCTCCCTACGTTGTTCCTGAGACCAAGGCTTCTGTGAAGCTCAGCAACGCCATTCAGCTTGTTAACAGGTGATTTAAAAGCTCAAAATAAAATGAAAAAGTGTCTATTTTTAAATGTTTTTAAGCTTGAAAATCTTTCATTTGCAGTCAAATAAAAAAAATCTTTTAGTATCCGCGAAAACCGTCTTGATCTTGTTGTAAAAAAAATTTTTAATTGAAAAAAATTGTACATTATTTTTTTAAAAAAATGAAGGAAAGGAAGACACATGAGTCATTTTTGTCATATTTTTTTGTTTTTGTTCAATTTTTTTAATTTTTCGGGACCTTTTTTGTCTTGATTATTTATCCTCTTTACCTTCAAATTTCTAGGCTCAAACGATAAATAAGAAAAACAAGTTTTGTTTTCCAGGTACTGCAGCAAACTTCCATCGGACATTTTCACGCAACTCGTGCCCCACAACAAGATCATTCCGGTGCAATCCGAAGGTAGAACGACCTACCTGGCCGAACTTCTGCTGCCCATCAACTCGCCGATCAAACAATCCATCTGTCTCCAGACGCCCATGTCCACCAAGAAACTCGCCCAGATGGCAGTCGCCTTGGAGGTTTTTTTCAGATTGGTCCCTTAGAAGTGAGCTTTGGATCTATTGGGTTCCTATTTCATTCCTTAGCTATGGTTTTATGACTTCTTCTGTGCATTCATATTGGTGACAGATCATATCTACTTCATATTTTAAAATTTATCGCTTATTCTCAATCAACAACTTTGAAAAGATAAGTAAAAATGGAAAAAAAGTAGTGTTTCTAGTTCCTTTTTACAGTCCGTTCCCTTTTTTTCATAACATATTAGGCCAACCATCGCTTAAATAAGAGAAATAGTTTGAAGAAAATTTTGCCACCTCCGAAAACATATTTGAGTCACTTTAATTTAGAATTAGTTTTTCCAGGTAAATTGTTAGATACTCTTCAACTCGTGCAATAGATTTGCTCATGATTCTGAGTTTTTCCAGGCATGCCGACAGCTCCATCGACAGGGCGAACTCGACGACAATCTTCTCCCAAAAGGACGGGAAACCATCGCCAAACTGATGCAGGAGATCGACGAGGAGCCCGACGAGTACGCCCCGGGGCTTTCCGCCAAAGTCGGATCGGCCAAGCGGAAGCAGCTCTACGATAAGAAGGTCCAATAGACGAGCGATTTAAAAGGAACTATGTATTCAAAAATCAACCCTGAAGAGCTCACTTTGATTGCACAGTATACAGAGCTTTTTTTGCGCTCTTCGCTTAAAGACCAATTTTCTGAAGTTATACGGTACTTTTGGTCAGAAAAAAGGGATAAGCTGGCGATGAAGTCTTTTAGGAAGCATCACACATAAGTTGATTCTTGAAAGAATAGATATAAAAACTTAATTTAAAGCTGAACTTTCTTCATGGACTTGGGTTGATGGCTGAACTGATATTTGGAAGTTACTTTGTTCCAAGATATTTTTTTTTTGAAGAAAACCTATCAGGAAACTGACCTTCAAAAGGTCGTCGGAGTGTATTTGGCCTTGAATTTTTGGGAAATTTGGTTGATTTGAGGTGGCGCGAGCTCTGAACGAAGCTCTGCCACAGGCCGGAAAACCCTGCTACATCTACGTCTTCGACATGGAAAGGGTCAAGGAGGCCGCGGCCTTCACCAATCCGAAAAGAAGGAAATTCGCCAATCCCGGCGATTATGACTATCTTTTCGGCATCGTCAGCTCGGTTCTTCTGCCCAAGGTATCAGGAATGGAAAATTTTTTTTAAGTGCTTTCATTTTTTTTCAGTGGTTAGTGTCGGTTAGCTTGAAAAAAAGCGTTTCTAGTGGTGTCGGAAAAGTTTTTCGAGCTCCTCTTTCCTTTAAATTTAGATTTTTTACCAGTTTCCCAGCTCTTCTGTGGTTTTCTGTAGAGAACCTGAGCGTTGAAAAAAAATGATGAAAAGCCCATTTTTCACTGATAATCCAAAAAAAGTTTACAAAACAAGGTTTTTATTTTTTTTTTTTCTTGAAAGGTATAATGCGTTTTTCTCAGCAGTCAGCTCAATGAAATCCCGATTTTTTTTTCGAAAAGTTTGAGCTATTTCCAAAAGGAAAGTTCCAGTTACGAGCATTTTTCTTTTGAGAAAACGAAAAAGTGTCTCTGCCCGTCTTTCAGATAATTTTCATCTAGAAAGGTGATTTTGAGGTCCCTCCGTTCCCGATTTTCCTCCGCCAAGGTGACATGCGAGTTCACTTGACTTTGGCCCCAGATCAGGTCGTTTTGGATGTGGAGACTTTGGAAAATCTCACACAGTTCCACGATTATATTTTCACTCGAGTTTTGCAACTCTGCAAGGTTTAGAAGAAAAAATCATTCAATTGTAAGAAAATCTTCAGATTGATCTGATTTTCGAGTTGTGCGGCTCAACTCCCTGCAACTGCCTCGTTGTCCCGCTAAACCGGGGTTTTTCTCGATTTTGGCTCAATCCCATGCTGATTCATCTGATTTCAGTATTGGAAGGACCTAATGTGAAATTCAACATCAACATGAAATACGTGCAAGACGTCGTCTGCAATCGAGGGAAGATGCCCCGAATTCCGGACGACGAAGCCCGGAGAAACTTCAAATTCCGAGAGGAAAACTTCAAAGACGCTATAGTGATGCCTTGGTACAGGAACGTCGATCATCCCGTCTTTTATTATGTCGCGGAGGTGATCTCCTCGAAAAAATATAAAGATAGAGATAAATTGTGTAGGTTCTGCATGGAATGTCGCCGTCGTCCAGGTTTCCCGACGAGAATTACTCGTCTTTCAACGAATATTTCATCAAAAAATACGCCATCGAGATTTATGACCAGCAGCAGTGTTTGCTCGACGTCGATTTCACTTCTGTGTAAGTTTTTGGGAGATCTTTGAATGAAGCTAAAATGCTTATGACAGAAAAAATATCTTGAAAAAATGTCGGAACAACTGAGAAATGTGTATTGTGAATGAAAAGAGATGATAAAAAGGCTTATTTATACCAAATCATGTGCCGAAATGTTATTTATTTCTTTTCAATTGTGAGGAAATTGTTCCTGAAGCCGCGTTCAGAGTAACTTTGCGAAATTCAAAAAAATCCATCAATTTTTAAAATTTAGTGTTTTTTTTTCACCCTCTGATGTCTATTTTGAATTTTGCTGAGCCATTTTGAACACGGTTTGTTTGGTTCACTCAAAAAGGTTTGAAAAAAATTGCAATTGGAAAAATCTGCATGTTTTGTAGAATTTGTTTGTGATATAATGGAATCAGGGGTTTTAGAGATTTTGTAGTGGAAATTTCGTACGTTTTCAGCGATTCCTCTGTCTAGAAAAACATTTTTCTTTCTAAAAACTTGGGAGACTAATATCTTCCAAAAAAAAAGCTTATGGCCATATTTTTCAAAGCAAAAATCAAGTCGCTTATGTTAAATTTGGAGGTTTTCTTTGAAATTTTCGTCGTCAGCACCACACAAAATAGGTGTAGATTGAGTGTTTTAGAGTCAATCTATCTCAGCTAAAGCACGTTAATTTTCCCATTTTCCAATCTGATCTTTTTTTTTTGAAAAGTATGTAGATCTCTTGTCTAGACAATTTTCTTCTCCAACTATGCGAAGAAAAAATGACCTGATTCAGACGATTGAACCTGCTGCACCCAAGAGTGACGGCGATGAAAAAGTTGGCGAGAGAAGCCGCGTCGGCGTCGGCGTCGCCTTCAGATGCCTCCGTCAACGAGAATATTCCGAACCCCCAACGACAGATTCTGGTCCCGGAACTCATGGACGTGCATCCGATCTCGGCGACTCTTTGGAACTTGATATCCTCTCTTCCCAGCGTCTTTTACAGGTCTTTTAGATATGGTTATCCCGGCTTGAAAGACAATTCTTGAAGCAGCTTGAGTGGTCCCTATAGGGGCAACCTGAGAAGTCCTTGAAGTTCCCCCTCTAGGGACCGCTTTAGCTCCCTATAGGGGGCCCTCTGGCGCTCCTAAGCATGGGCAGATTCGAAAAAAAGAGAAAAGCATAAAAAAAGTTGACTGGCGCTTCATTTCGAGTTACAAAAACCGCGTCGCGTACGCAACACGTCACTCATGCCAATCTACTCGAATCGCCTTTCAAGTCGACAAAAATTCAATATAATCTTGAAAATTCCTAAAAACATGTTTGAAGACTCAACAATCTTCTACTTGCTGACGAGCTGAGAGAGCGCATTTTGGTCAACGCCTTTGGGAAGAAAATCGTTTGAATTCATTCAATTTCCAAAAGAAAATGTTTTGAAATACAGGAGGAAGTGAAAGTGGAAGATGATCTGGAATGGGGATCTCTGACCTATCCGGCAACCTACGAGGAAAGACAGTCGTTGATCGTCAACCAGATCCAGAAGATGAACAAGAAGACGTCGTTTTCCTACGACAACAATGACCCGATCCCTGAAAATGTCCGACTTTCTTTGTCTTCTCCCTCCGAATCTTCTATTTTTTCAGTCGTTCGAAATTGGTGTTTGGGATCCGTCGGACGCTGAGAAAATGGGCCTCACGTTCACTTTGAGGAATGAAAATGTGCCGCTCGATCCGGACGATGAGATGGTTCGATTTTGAACTTTATTCGGGATCTCACTTTTTATTGTTGAAAATTGACTTGTAAGTACGTGGTTTTTATTTTTTTCAATTAGTTTTGGTGTTTTTATCGCTGGGACTCCAGAGTGACCTCGAAAACCTTAGAAAAACCACGAAGTTCCTCCTTTTAGTGCCATTATTTTTGTCAATTTTTGTTATCAGGAAGCATGGAAGCTTTTTCCGACGAATTTGAAAGGATTTTTGAGAAAAGGTCTTTCAGAATATTTTTTTCATGTTGAATGGAATAATTTCTTTTTTCAGTTGTAGTTACATCTTTTTGCAGATTTGAAGATGAAAAATCTTCAAAAAAGGTCATTGTTAAGGAAAATCATGTTTCGATAGCGAAGAATTGTGAATTTTTGGAAATTCAAGCTTTTTCTACTTTTTCAAACTCGCCCTTCTTTTTTTAGTTATGAATCTATGAATCAAAAAGAAAAAAAGTTTTTTTCAGATTGGACTGATGCCTACGGGCGATTTGACGACTTCTGGAGACTTGTCAGATGAAGAAGACGACATGCACGACCTGATCATGTTTGATTACAAGAATCAGTTGGAAAATCGTGTCGGTTGGTTTTTTTAAAAGGTTTTTTAGAAAGTCATTCAATTCCAAGTTTCATCTGAATTTTTTCAAAAGTTCAGTTTTGATTTGATTCCGCATCTCATGAAATTCCAGAAGTGAGTCCTGACTTTGCCACACCTCGAGCCGACATTGAAGTATGTGGTTGGGGAGACCCGATCGATGAGGCTGCAGATTCGCCTTTCGTCAGTGTTTTCCCAAAAAATCTCTAAAATTGCACAGATTTTCAGCAAATAATTGATATGACCCAAGGCCAATCGACTGGAGTCAACTTCAAGGCGTTGGTCGAAGACGTCGGAAGAGTTTTCGCCCCGGTGACGTCACAAAATGATTCTGGCAGTACGACAGTACCTCCACCGCCGATACTTCTGGAGCAGACCAAGAGAAACGCCGAAGTCCGTTTTTTAGGCCTTTTTGAAGCTCAGCTCTGATTTTTGGGCTTGAGCTCACAAAAAAAGTTTAAAAAAACTCTCTTACAAAATGTTTTGACTCATTTTTTTAAAAAAATTTTTTTCAAGTTCTTAATTTTTTTCATTTTTCATTTTTTTCAATTGATGGCAACTTTTTGACACTTCAGAAGCAGGCCAAAAAAATTCCGAAATTGATTTTTGCCTCTGAAAGTTCAGCTCAGAAATTAGAGCTTGGGAGCTTGTGCTTACAGAAAAAAATAAGACTTGGAAAAAAAGTTGAAGGAGAATTTTTCATAAATCGGTTTTTTTGGCATTTTTCTACGAAAAATTATCGAATATAATTTATTTTTATTTTTGCCGATAATGGCTTATTTTTTTGACTTTCTTCAATTACTTCGAACTTACAGTTTTTCCTTAATGGTTTGCTTATAAAACGAAATAAAATCAATGAGAAAGGAACACAGAGGAAAAAAAAAGCATAAGCTGTACTTTTATTCCGAGAGGTCTAGGATTTCGTTTTCAGGCACGAAAACTGCTTGAAAACGAATCAACGGAAGAGCGGGAAAAGTCGAGAAGAACTGAAGAAGTGATCGACCTCGACGAGTTCGACGAAGACGACGACGCCGAATCCGAAGACTTCGTCAAAGTGGAACCTGCGTCGGACGATGAGTTCGAACTGCTCGACAAGGGCGAGAAAAGGAAAAAGGAGTTGGACGAGGCCGTCGTCGCCGCAGAAGCGCCCCACAAGGCAAGATTTTATTGTCGATTTCGTCTTTTCGTGGACTTCTTAGCCTTGGCTTCCAGTTTAAACATCAGCCATTCTTTTAATGATGTAAAAAATCAGCAGCTCTGCTTCCAAAAACCTTCTTTTGCTTGCCTCCAAAATTTGGAAATGATAACTTCACACGTTTCATGTCACGTCTGAGAGAAGGAGTTCAGACTTGCGGAGTTTCTGCTCCCAACCCCAACTGCCGATTCTCCTTCGACAAGGAGTCTCCGCATTCCGTCGCGATGCAGAAGAGAATCGGGAAAACGAACATGACGGTCGCTTCGGAGATTTCCCACGGCAGCGAGAATCTCGGCTACGGAGTCTCGCCTTGTCTTCTGCTCACCGCCCTCACTACCTCTAATGCTAGTGATGGTGGGTTTTTTTTTTCAGATTATTTGAACAGGAAAAACAGTAAAATAGAAAAGACCACTCTAATCTTTAGTGGAAGAAAAGCAGTATAAAAAGTTTGAGCCTTTAATTTTTAAGCATAGTATGTATAGAGATACAAACCTACTGGTTATTATATTTTTTTAAATTCTTTAAATGTTACGAATCGAATATTTAGATTCGAACTACAAGTTCCATTATTTTTTTACAATAGGCTTATTAGAGACCATATATAGAAGAAAAAGAAGTCCGTCAATTTTTTTTCCGAGTTTTTTTTTTATTATCAAAGTGTAAGCAATCATTCGATTTTCGTATGACAAATGAATCAGAAATGTGACTTTTTTCAAGTCATTTTCATCAATCAACTGCTCAGGCAAGTCCATTCTGACACGTGAGTAAAAAAAAAATCTAAATTTCATTTCTCATTTTATCCCTTTGGCCTTCAAAATTAACTCCAATTCTATTTATCGTGTCTTTGAACGGTAAAAAATTTGTAGGAATCAGTCTGGAACGGCTGGAAACAATCGGCGACTCGTTCTTGAAATACGCCGTCACGGATTATCTTTTCCATCATCATTTTGATCAACATGAAGGAAAACTTTCGTTTGCTCGTAGTAAAGAAGTTTGTAGGATTGTTTTTGACGGACTTATGGTTAATTTCAAGGTTTCCAACTGCAATTTGTACCGTCTGGGAAAGAAACTCGGAATTCCGCAGTTGATCGTCGGCGCTAAGTTCGAGCCGCATGAGACTTGGCTTCCTCCTTGGTAGGCTTTCTTCTTCTTCATATCTCAAGCCTATTTGATTCTTCCAGCTATGTTCCGGTCGGTCATTTCAAAGCGCCCAACTCGGCGGACGCCGAGGAGAAAGATCGGGAAATCGAAGAACTTTTGGCCGGCCGCCAAGTCGAAGAAAAGCCGACGAAGGCCACTGGATGGGACGAAGCCAGCAAAGATATCAAATCGACGACGGATGGCGTTGAGACTATCAACTTCCCGAAGGTGGGAAATTTTACGTGATAGTCTATTTTTCTGACTTCAATTCATTGTAGTAACTTTTGCTGTCGCTTTTTGAAAAAAATTGAAACAAATAAGTTGTGATATTTTATTTGTTTAATGAAGTATTGCTTCCAGCAACACGCCACCGCGGGACCAACCGAAGAAATTTCTCCCTTGCCATACAATTTGTTGACCCAGCAGAACATTTCCGACAAGTCCATTGCTGACGCCATGGAAGCTCTCATCGGAGCGCATTTGCTCGCTTTGGGACCTAAATTCACGCTACAGGTACTAGGATAATTATTTTAATTGAAAGTTGAGTCGAGAATCTAGTGGTCAGGCTAGAAATGCAGGCGAAGAGGGGGGTTCCGAAGAGACGCAGATTTATTTTCTCTAATACCTCTCTGGTTTCCGTGATCTCTCGCTAAAAATGCAATTGGTAGCCTAATTTTTTATGAGTCTCGAAGAGTGATATTACTAGCAGAAGACGTTAGAACTTGAGAGAGACTATTCAAAAAAATGCCTTGTTCATAGTAACTTCCGCGTTATTCAAAATTATCTCTGACAATCCAAAAATTGGTTATCTTTCTCACTCTCTGACTGCTATTTTGGATTTCGCGGAATTACTTTGAAAACACCATAACGGATGTGAATTAAAACGCGCCTTTCAGTTTTCCAGCTTTCAAGACTTTTTTCTAACGACGCAAAAGAGAAATTCCAGTTTCCAGTCACCTTTTCGATGTCTATATAATTTTCAAGGTCATGAAATGGATGGGTCTGAAAGTTCTGACGGAAAAAGCCGCGATAACATCGCCGTTGCTGCGGTTCCTCGACACGCCGGAGGACCCAGAACTGTCGACCAAGTCGCTGAACAGCCTCTGGATGCAGTTCCAGTTCAATGAGCTCGAGAAGAATATCGGGTACTCGAAAAAGAACTTAAGGGTCAATCAGAGAGGACTTTTCCAGGTATCACTTCAAAGACAAGGCCTTTCCTCGTTCAGGCTTTTACCCATGCCAGTTACTACAGCAACCGGGTCACCGGATGCTATCAGGTAGAGCTTTTAAAAGGAAAATACGTGTGAAAAATTAGCTAGGAGGGTTGATTTATCGCTTATTCGAGCCTGTTTTCATAGGAAAAGTCAAATGTTTCTTAAAAGTTTTGTTTGAAAACAAAGTTCCCTTTCACCTGATAAGTTTCAGAAAAAAATTTATTTTAAAAATATTTTACAAAAAAATTGAGACTTGTAAGACTATTATTGAAGAAAACTAGAATGCCAAAACTTTGGAAATTAATTAACATAAGGGCTTGGATGATATTAGAAAAAAATATAACATTTATTTTTTTCGCTTTAAAAAGCTTTATTCTAAATTTTTTTAGTAGCTCTATCTTCAATAAGGGTAAATTTTTGAATATTTTTTTATTCTTGACTAACGTGAAAACAGACTTGTAAAAAAAGTGATTTAATAATCTAAGACCTCTCTGAAAAAGGGATCTGTGCTTGTGATTTTCTCTTTTCCAAACTGATTCGAATAACAAAATCTGTTCCGATTTCAACTTCACAGCTCCTTCAAAAATTTTAAAACCCTTCTGGACAACGGAATGAATTGTTGGTCAGCATCCCTAGAGGGCTACTTTGAAAAAAATCATTAATAAATTTCAATATACTTACTCGTGTCCTTTTTTATCAACTGTGATGAATTTGTTATATACTCTTTTTCAGTGAAATCACTCGTGAGGGTGACCCAAAACCGATTCTTAACCAGCTATATTACAAAAAAACAATGCTTTTCAAAAATATTTTTTTAAAAAAAGTTCTATTATTTTTCTTCCCAGAGACTGGAATTCCTCGGCGACGCCGTACTCGACTACATGATCACCCGATATTTGTTCGAAGACACCCGTCAGTACAGTCCCGGGGTCCTGACTGACCTCAGATCCGCCCTCGTCAACAACACCATTTTCGCGAGTCTGGCTGTCAAATACGGCTTCCAGAAGGTCCGCGTCCATCGATTCTTTCGGCCACGAAAATATTTCCAGCATTTCATGGCCATGTGCCCCGGACTGCACTACATGGTCGAGAAGTTTGTCAAACTTTGCTCGGAGAGAAATTTCCTGGAAGCTAATTTCAACTCGGAGGTACTGGGTTTCCAGAAAGTTGTTTCTGCGAAAGTATAAAGTTCAAGTACAACATAAGTTTATACTCAATGGTTCGGAAACATATCAGAAATTTGGAAAAGGTTCGACTTTTTATGTAGTTTTCTAGAAAGAAAACCCCATTTGAACAATGCTGGTAAGGTACAAAAAAAAATGATACACCTTAAATTGATGGTATTTGATTAGAAAATAGGCGATGAGCAGAAAAGGTTTGGAAAATAAGGGTTCTTAATACTTTGTCGCCATCACGTTTATTGTAGGTATCTCATAATCTGGTGGCCCTTTCAACCAGGTTTCTTATTTGAAAGTAATTTCCTAACCTCTCGCTCATTTTTACAGAATTTCAAGAGGTGGCATTAAAAGATCCATCATCAAAATTTATGTACTTTTTAATATTTTTGTCACTGGTTTTGATCGACCTTGATAATGAACAGGATATTAATGATAAACCTTTAAAAGTAAGGGACATGCATGACCCCTTTTCAAAAGTCGTTTTAATTGCTAAACTGAAACTTGATACTAATTTAAGACTCATTGAGTTCTTCTTTTTTCACGTCTAGTTTAGAAGAACCTTTTTGAATTTTATGCTGACAACCTTCTGAAAATGAAATTTCAGATGTACATGGCGACAACGGAGGAGGAGATCGACGAAGGCCAAGAAGAAGACGTCGAAGTTCCCAAGGCGATGAGCGACATCTTCGAGAGCATCGCTGGGGCCATTTATTTGGTTTGACAAGAACCCGAACCTGATCTTCCAACAAAAGATCTTTCAGGACAGCGGAAGAGATCTGGACGTCGTTTGGAGGGTCATCTACAACCTGATGAAAGACACGATCGAAGAATGCTGCGAAAATCCGCCGCGATCTCCGATTCGAGAGCTGATGGAGCTCCAGTCGAGCAAGGCTAGATTCAGGTTCAGTTTCAAGTCTTCTGTGCGGTCGTTTTCAAGAATTCGATCAGTTATTTGACGAAGGAAGGTTTTTTCAGCAAGTTGGAAAGAATCATTGAAACGGGAAAAGTTCGTGTGACGGTGGACGTCGGCAATAACATGAGGTTCACGGGTATGGGCAGGAACTACCGGATCGCCAAGACGACTGCGGCAAAACGGGCACTGAGGTAAAATAATCGGCTATCTAGCCAGGAGAAAAAACATGAAAAGATAGTCGAGTATGAATGAGCTTGAGCGGTATCAACAGAAATTGAAAAAAAAAGCAAAATTTGAACATGTCATGGAGCGCGCATTCACAACCACTTTTTGCTGAAAAAAAATTTTTTTCCGCTCATCTTCTCTAATTTTTCCACGGCATTTTTATCACTCATTTCGCAGCAAAAAAAAATCTGTCTTGAAAAGTAAACTTTAAATATTCGCATGTACGCTTCAATGATTCAATAAAATTAGTTATTGTGTTCTTGAACTCATCAACTTCTTTTTTTCCTTTGTGAGAGCTCATCTGATTCCGATCTATACTTTCAGAGATGTACAGAAGTAGCTACCAAGTCTTAGGAAAATAAATCTTGAAAAAAACCTTTCTTACAAATATTTCTCTATAAACTTTCAGGTATACTTTTTCAATATTTTTGTCAGTGGAGCGCAATTTTTCTGAATTACATCGTTTTCTCAAAAAAATTCTGGAATTTTTTTATTTATGGATAACGAGTTACAAGAGTCTCTCATATACAAGTACCAAATCAATAGTTCAATTTTTAAATTTATATTTTTAATGAAATCGATTTCCTTGAAGTGACCAAAAAAATGCTTGAAATTTAAGACTTTCAATTGTAAATTTTCGCGAGTTTAGATTCTTGCTGCTCTTTTTTTCTGGGTGTTCTCATAGCTACCTACCTTTTTTTCTTTATTATATACCAAATTTTTGATTAATGACTGTTTGAAAAAAGTTCGGATTTGCATAAAAAGGAGTTCAGTTTGCAATCTTCTTCCCTGAAATTCCAAAAATCATCTATATTTTTCCTCACTTTCTGTTCAAAGCAGTGGTCCAAAAAGGTTTTCTTCCAGATACTTGAAGACTCTCGAAGAGCAAAAACGGAAGGCGAACCTAGTACAAGAAGGAGTCTAATTAGTTTTAAATGTTTAAAATTACGTGTATTTTTATTTATTTTTTTCGAACCGGTACAATAATTTTATTGCTTTCAATGTGTGTATATGATTGTTTCGTGTGAATAAACCCTTCAAAGTGGTTTCTTTTCTTGTTTTCTTGTGGAGGCCGTGTGAACTTTTCACTTGCATAATACAGAGATAAGAACTCGTGAGAAGGAGGTTGATCATATAATATAGGCTGGACCAGTTTCCGGTCCCCCTTTTTTTATTCTTTTATTGTATTTCCGCTTTTCTCGTATTTTTCGCCGACGCCGTGACCTCGTTGTGTAACAACGTCGGCTTCTGCCTTCTCATTTCATTTTTTTTCTCTTTTTCCTCTCGTTTTATGGCTGTCACTTGGTTGCGTGTGACCATACATGTTGCCTTGTTTTTGTCCCTTTTCTGTAGATGTCCTTCTCCGATTGCACACTTCAATCATTTTTCGCTCGTCGTGTTTTTGTCTCCTTCTGTTGAAAATTAAAACGGTTTTTTGTACTATTAAGGCTTTGTCAGGAAAAAAATTGGATGGTTCTGAAAGATAATATCATTTTTTTTTTTTTAAAAAAATCTGTTTCGTTCTGAAAAGTTTCAGAACAAAGTCAAACCAGTGTTTCTTTAAGTTTTTTTTTTTCAAGTTAAAAATCTACTTGAACTCTCATTTTTTTTTTCTAGTTGTAACGATAGTCGGTGAGTCAAAATCTAGATTATTTTTTTCACATGATTAAATATGAGAGATCTTTTTGAAGCAAAAGGTTTTTTTCCAAAAAGTAGCGTTTTTTTAATGTTTGAAGTTCATATCAAAGTTTTTTTCCAGGAAAGATTTACAGAGTAGATACTCTTTCCCAATCTCATTTTAATCACATAATTTCATCCTCTTAATGTTACATGAATAATTTCTACATTCGCTCCTTCAAATACCTGGTATCTTTTGTATATCACTTTCATAATATACTGTTCTGGAGTTTTTTTTAAAACTTTTCAAATGTTTTTACAAGTTTTCTATTCAAGAGGTAAGAAAAAGCGACGGACAATAAAAATTCTACGAATAAATATGTCTTGAAACAGCGATTTTCCTTATCACCTCTTTACAACCTCAAAGTCCATTATAATTTTCGAATTCGAATCCTGACTTTCCTAATCGTTACAAGACCGTTTTCATCAAAATTCACTTATTTTTGGAAATACGTGGAGAGCTGGATTTTTTTCCTTGTTCACGAAAAGCTTCTCCTGAATTTTTTGGATTTATTCTTACTATTTTTTCGTGAGTTTTTATTCTTAAGAGAAAATTGATTTGAAAAGGTTTTTTTGGCCTAAAAATCTCTGTTCTTTCAGAATTTTAAGTGCTTGCCTACAACTTGGGCGCTACGAAAAGAGCTTGTTTTTCATTTTCCTTTTTTTTTTTGAATAACTTCTGATTTTAGAAAAATCAGAATGAATGTTCAATGCATTTTAACTGTTTCCTGTCATTAGCACCACAACTTGTTCAAATCGCCCCTTTTTCATTGATTATCCCGATCTAATCGGTGATCATCAGAGCGTTGCCGAGGCGGAACGGTTTCCACGAAATGCAGCTCTCGATAGGTTTTGCATGTTTGAGCAAACACGCACAAATCTCAGATGTTTGTTCTCTTCGTATCCGCTTCGGTTTGAAGCCCAACTCAATTCATTTACCTTGTCGTTTTCTACCTTTTTATAACCCAAGAATTTCATTGATTTCTTCTCTGGAAAACCTCTCTCGATCATTATTTTCCGGTCATTGGGCGAAAACTTTCGACGCTTTCGAGCTTGAAATCCAAACGTGTAGTTGATCAAGTTGAAAGCATGGTCTGAAGGTCCTTCTATCTTTCAATGAGCTGAAGGAAGATTCCGAAAGTCTCAACCTGCACAAATTCCTATTTTAGAAAGGCAGAAGTCTCAAAATTAAATCTTAGTCAAAACTTTCAAAAAATCCATTCAGAACGACTGGAAGTCTCAATCCATAAGCAGAGCCAGAAAGGGTGGAAAAAGAAATGTTCCTTTTAGGGTGATGGAGGCTTCCTTTTTGCGCCATTTTCTCGGCCCTTATGCACCATTTTGCTGCCTCTCCCTTTCTCCACCATTTCTCGAGCCTTTAAAATCCCAGAAAAAGGAAGGCTCTAAAAAGTGGCTCTCTTCACGCCTTTTTGCGGTCTTTTTTGAGCCTCTTCTGTTTAGCGGCTATTATCCACCCTTCTGACTTTGCCCGAGTGCAAAAGTTTTTAGCTAACGCGTACGACGCTTCAAAATTAATTTTTTCGGGCAAAAATTTCAAAAATTCCCGTACGTCGAAATGAAAGTATGTTGAATTTTTGAGCAAAACTAAATTTGTTTGAAAATCATTTTTAACCCGTTCAAAGTGCTAATTTCCTGCGAACTGGGCTGAAAGACCATATTTTCTTTTTTCCGTTTTGATTTGATTTTCACTGAAATCTAGTGTTGGCTCATGGAAAAGATTCGAAATTCATGAGGTTTTGACTCTTTTTTTTCGAATACATATTGGAGGGCTATGAATTGATTCTTTTTTCTTTTTTTTCGGACATTTTCTCGTCCGAAAAGTCTTTTTTTTTTGTTGCTTTTTTAGTAAATTGGGGAAATCCAGCTTGTTTCCGATCAAAAGCCGCGAAGTTGTTTTTTTCAAAAATGATTGCTTTTTGTATTCAACGTTTGATCTTTTCAGCATAGAATTATTTTTTGTTGGTTCAAAAAGCCAACCGAATGTCGTGTTCAAAGTAATTTCCGCGAAATGCAAAATGATCTCTAACTCTCCAAAATTTAGTTATATTTTTCTTTCTCTGGCGGCGATTTTGGATTTCGCGAAATCACTTTGAACACGGCAGAAGTTTCACAATCTCATTATTCATCGTATTATCGGCGAAAAAAAAAACATTTTTTCCCAACAACAGTCATAATCTTATCGGACACGTGAAAGCTTTTGTCTGACTTCAAAATAGTTTCTTTCATTTTTTTTTCCATCTTTTAACATTTATTCAAAGGTTTCTATAATTATTCTATAATTTTCGCGATATATAATAGTTCCTTGGATCCTAAAGAGAATTTTCCTTTTATTTTTAGCTTTTTCCTTTCGAAAAAAATTTTCTGTGTAGTTTTGAGAGAAATCTAACTTTTTATTGGGAAGAATTCGATTTTTCTTAGCTTTCTATTTTCGTGGCGTTTCCCGAAAAAATTAACTTTGTTCAGCGATTTTTTTTATTGCAACGGACTTGCATCTAATTGGAGCACGTTTGTTATTTTGAAATAATATTTGAGCGGCTCAAACTTCATCTTCTTCTTTTTTTTCTTCAAGCTTTAAGTAGTTTTTTCATTACATTTTGTACTTTCGGATCTAAAATTCCAAATAAAGTATGAATTTTCGAAAATCGGGCCTTTTCAGCGCATCTGTTTCTCATTGAAGCTCATTCTCTCTTTGCTGAGTTTTTTTGCGGCTTAATCTTTTCTCAAATTCCTTACAAGTTTCGGTCAGCATTTATTTTATTTTGAGGGTGTTAGGTCCAATAAACAATGCTTGAGAGAAATTGAAGTGTTTCCACGACTTTGCACTTTTTTCGAAATTTTTTGATGATAGTAAAATTTTTGCTTGTAGAACTTTTCCCATTGGAACACGCTTGATTTTTTTATTTCAACGAATAAATATAATATTTAATATTTAAAATATTTTTTTAGGAACGCCTAAATGGTCCCTAGAGGGGTGAGAGAAACAAATGCCCCATATAGGGTACAAAATAGTAACCCCCTTAAAGGGGTAAAAGCTGGGTGGTCTCTATAGGGATTTAAGGTATGAGCTTCAAGTTCCTAAAGCTTAAAGGACCCCTTTAGGGGTCTTTTATTTTTTTCTTTCTGTAGATTCAAAAATTGAAAAAAACTTCTTCAATAAAACGTGATTGGATAAACTTCTGTTGATTCAAAAAAAAAACACTTGTTTTTTCATTGTTTTCGCATGGAAAAGCTTCTCCTCCTGAAGCTACAATGAAACATCACGATAAGTGTTTTTTTAAGGGGCCACTTTTGCAAGCTGCAGTGACCCCTATAGGGGGAGGAATGGTGGTCTCTAGAGGGGAACTTTCAAGGGTGTCTAAAGTTGGCCCTAAAGGGACCACTCTGGCGTTCCTGAGCTTTTTTTTTAACTTAGTGAGAGTTCTTGAATGTTGTTTAGGACCCAAAGTTAAGTTCCATTAAACATCGTTTGAGAAAAGTTGAAGTATTCCCACGATGGAGCAACATTTCCGGAGGATGATTGACGACGGTACATTTTCTACTGGTTCCTCCTCCCCTCCCCCCGCTCACTTTCTTCGGCAAACGACTCGAAGGAAGTGGCTCCTCACTTTTTTTTCCTTCGATGCCACGTGGGGATTTCCTCGAGCCTCGTTTCTTTACTCTCGGCTCTCCGTGAAACCCGATCCCGACGTCATTCCTCTTCTTTTCTCGCGTTTTTTTCCCTCCTCCTTCTTTGCCCATTTTTTTTCAGATGTTCATTTATTTCGATCTCTCTCCCTCTTCCACTTGCTCCCACCCCCTTTTTTCTGGTTTTCCTCATATTTTTTGTTTTTCGATTCCGCCAAAGCTCTGGGATCTGGAGGCTCGAGAGAAAAAGTCTGATGGATTATGAGTCGCCCCAGAACAGATAACGTCCTCCAGCTGCCAAATGAGATCCTGCTCCGGGTAATTTTGTATTTATTATAATTTTACTTTTTTTCAGAATTTTTTTGAATTTTTTTCTCCAGATAACGCTCAAAACTTGCGACTTTTCAAGTTTCTCATTTTTTAAAACTACAATCTTTTGGACTCCTCTGATGACTGAAGTTTCGTTTCAAATCAATTTTTACTCGAAAAAAGTTTCTAGTTTTCTAAAACCAAAAAAGCTTATACTTATACCTGGCTACTATACTTTGAAAATGTTTTTCATAAAGAATTTTTTTAATTCATTGTTAGGCTTCTTCCTCATCGATAAATGTTTTTTTCAAACAATAAATCTTGAAAACTTCAAAAAAATGGCGCAAACTGTTTCCTGGTGCCTTATCAGGTCAAAAACTCGAAAATTTGTACTTTTCTATCGAAATTTCTCTTCTCGTTTTTCCTCTTCACAAAAAAGATGTACCAAAAAAAAAGCGAAAATTTTCAGCTTATTCACTATTTTCACCAAAATACCCATCTTATTTCTCTCAAAAATGGTTCATTCGAATTCAAATTTCCTTGGAAAGAATTTTCATCAGAAAATGAGGGCAATTTGTTGGATAGGAGCCAATAAATTGCTGCCAATGTTTATACAATTTGACCAAAGAACGATTTTCAACGCGAGAATTTCCGTATCTTCATTGAAAAACAAAAAAACCTTCATTTGTAACACGGCTGTTTTTTTTTCTTGGCAACCCGAAAACAAGTTCCAGACAGAAACTAATTCATTGTTCTGATTGTACTGTTTGTTTTCTTGGTCAAACGGCCGTTGAATTCTTCGGAATGTACTAATTCGAATCGAGGTTTTCCAGTTTTCCTTATTTCGAGTAGGAAAAAAAAACATTCCCCACAACACAACACAATAACGTTTGAATTGCGCCGCCACTCGTGATTTTTTTTTTCGTCTTTTTATTTTCACCGCGACACGCGAATGACTTGGGTGTAAACTTTTCTTTTCGGATTCAAGCAAAACACCAAATTTAATTTCTTTTTCTTTTCTAAGAACTTTATGGAAAGTTAGACTAATAAATATCATCACAAGTACTTCTCACACTGTTCAGTTCAGAAATTCTGGCTCAATTTTGGCGTTCTAGTTGATATTGTCAAGTTTTGGAAAAAGGAAAACGATAAAGAGAAATAACAAGAATTCAAAATCCATGAAAAACACATATTAAAAAAATGTTTTTCTGATATATCGTAAGTCAAAATTTTCAGATTACCCAAGATCTTCCGAGTCGGGACGTCTTCTTTGGCGTGGCACGAACGAATCGACGTCTTCGGGATCTTGTACAGAACAATTTGAACTCTCTTCCTCTGTAAGCTTGTTTAGAGTCGAAAAGAATCGCTATGACCACTTGTTATCACTTCACCTAGACTTTGAATACAACTGGAAAATTATCTGACTTCTAGAATAAGCTTTTTTGAACGTTTTTTGATATAAATATAATGGCAATCTTTGCCTAGTCCTGAAAGTACTGAAAGTAATTGAAGTCATGAAATCGGGAAGAAACACGCAGCTTCTTTTACCTTTGAAAGTTCCTTATCAAGGCCAATCAACTGCTGCATGAAATTAAATGGTTTTCATCGTTAATTTCAGTAAAATTAACTTTTTTTTTTCAAGAAATTCATGCCGGAGCTCTGATAAAAGTGGCAAATGCATTATATTTTCAATTTTTCAAAATTGAACTTCGGCTCCGATTTGAAAAAAAGTCGATACATATTCAGTTATTCTATAACCAACATCCTAATGTTTTTCTTGGTTATTTTCGATTATTCTTGAAACACAAACATCACCAAAATTTCGAAAAGCCCGACCGATCACTTTCCGTCGACTGATTCTTCACCACATTTTTCAAAGTAGACTTACTCAAAGATAAATTTTCCATTTCGGAATAACTTGGAGAGTTTCTCAGATTCGAAGCCCATTGCCATGTCCACGTGGTCGACTCGGCTCCCGGTCAGCCGTACCGTCATGACGGCACAGATCCCATCATCTCCTATTCCTTCACCATTTATGATCCCGCTTTGAAAGGTTTTTCAAATCACGCCGAACGGCGAGAAAATATTTTCTAGTATGTTATCACGATTTCGACCTAATTTCGTTCACGACACATGTTGAAAGTTGCTTACCTAATTTAGCTGTTTTGGAGGACCTTTCGGATAGCTCTAAATAGTTCATTTTCTAGACTATGGCCAGAAACAGCGGCTCTGCCTTCGAGGAAACAACATCAAATTCCGTGAGCTTCATGTGAATCACGTCACTCCGACGGCCATGTACGCCGAATTGGAAAAGGGCCTTTGCGACGCCCGTCTTTCTCCCGACATCGCCTTCACTGTAAACAGAAAAACTCCTAATTATTGCTTCGTTTTGAACTTTTGAAGCTCCTCTCCTACATGCGAGTCACGGCGATGCGGTTCCAAGTTCGCAAACTGTGCAAAGAGGAATCGAAAAGGCTGAAAGACGATTTCTTCGCCGACTGCGTCGAGTTCTGCGAGCGTCGCTGCACCAAAGTTCAGATCAAGTTGGTTTTTAACAATTTCTAAGAGAAAAAAAAATTATAGGTTTCAGTTCCTTCACATCTAGCTTGAGATAAATTTACTGCATAGACGCTAGTTTTTTTTTTTCATATAACTCTCTAGCCCTTGTTCAATCTCTATTAAATATTGAACCAAGCCAGACACCCCATTCCAAAGTTCAGATCAAATCGGAAATGTATCAGAAGGATCATGAGAACAGTTCAACGTAGTTAACCGCTAGCCTGAGGAAAATTAGATACTTGGGAATTATCTTACTTTTACACACTATTTCTATTTTAACCTCAGTTGGAGCATGAGCAATCATTTTCTTCCAGCCAACGAAGTTATTAAATGCAAGACGAATTACAGTGTATTGATGTAAATGATTTTTTAGAGGTTTTTATTTATTTTTTTAAAAGTACATCGAGTTTTCACCTATTTCAAGGGGAGGAAGTCTGAAAAAAATACTGATAAATAAATTTAATTAAAAAAAAGGGTTTTCAAGCTTAATTTTCATGGTTTTTCGGATGAACTAATATCATCCATCCGATTAAATCTCTTTCAGATCCTTGCTTCTGTGCTCGAAAAGCCTCCTCTTCCCCTGGACGCTGGACAAGATGTCCATCCGACGTCTGACCGGGCTCCGATCCCTTCGCGTGCTCATCCTCGAGAACATGACCACCTTGAATCCTCTTCTCCCTCTTCTTTCGGACTTACTGTCTTCCCTGAGAGGCCTCCAACTGCGGCTCGATCAACGGCATCGCATGGACGTCGATCGCGTCACCTGGGCTCCGATTGACGGTTCATCTCCGAGTTTCTTTTCTTAAAAGTGTTCATTCATTTAGCCATGCTCCTGGACGCCTTGGCCAAGGCCGCCGTGAGAAATGTCGATTTTTCGGCTTATTCCGACGTCGCCGACTTTGTTTCCACTATCACGGCCGCTCAGATGGTCACCTTCATTTTGGTGAGTTTTCTCGGGTTGCAGGGAGATTTCTGAATGATATTAGGTTTCCTAGATGTAGTTTTTTACGGTGATTCTGAATCTGTGCTCAAAAATTGCCTTCGAGGTCTATGAAAAAAGTAAGAGACTGTAAAAACCGAAAAGGTTGAGATCTCCGTTTGAGCTAATTTTTTGAAGGTATAGAGTTATTGTGTTAGAAGAAACTAAGGAACATGGATTTTTAAAGAATTGGCGAACAACGGCACGTCCTTGGATGATAAAATCGATCGCCTTCAACTCGATGGTCACTATCGGAGAGTTCAGATCAAGTGTGAACCATATAAATGCGTGAGTCTCATTTATTTTCTAAAGGTTTTGTTAAAAACTGAAGTTCCAAGTGGTCTTAGATGTGGAGCTCGAGGAAGAAATTTTAAAACCTTGTGTGAATTTTTTTCTCGATTTCGAAAGCATTTTTCGCAAGTGGAATGGTTCAAACGGAAAGCGTTGCGGTTTCCACTGATTTTCTACTGGTCAAACTTGATCTCATTTTTCATTTTTTCATTCATTTCAAGTGTTTATTCGCCATTCCGCAATCAGCACGACAAATACAAAAAAATAAAACATCAAAACAATCAAATAAATCTAACAGCTGATCTGTGGAAACGGCTGGAGGAAAAAGATTGTCTGAGTAGACGGTGCTAACCCCCATTTGGTATTTAAGTTTGTTCTTTGTATTTTTAATAAGTTAGAATTTTTCTAGATTTTAGTAGGATCTAATGATTTTAAAAACGATGTGTTTGATTCGAACCATGAGGTGAGCATAATCTGAAACTTGCCGATTTCGTATTCAATGATAATTTCTCTCTCCAGTTGGTTCCAAATGGGTATGACTCTATGATTTAGGAAGCGTTGTTTGATCAATTCATTCATTCTCTACTGTTTTTTTTTGATGATTGTTTCCTTCCCGACAAATTCTAAGTACTACTATTGATAGATTGATTTTTTAGAAACGACGAGATTGTCGACGTTCCCTACTGCAGATTCAGAAGTTTCCATGTCCGGAGTCCGAAAGTCGCTCTGGAACTCGCTTGTTATGCCAACGGGGTTTCTCATTTTATATTTTATTTCCCATTTTCATTTCCCCAACTTTCAGAACACGACGCAGTGGCTCGTTCGTGCTGGATATATCGAAAAATCTCCCTGAAATCTCTCCAAATTGTGTAAAAATTTGCTAGTATTACTGTAGATACTGTAGTCATAAATTTTAGTGCTACTCATCAATTATTCCCCGGCTCTTTCATATCCCAGGAAAAATGACTGGTTTCCGCTCTTTCTCCATGCATTTATCAGCATGACCTCACATTCTCCTTTTTTAGTCATTCGTCAGCTTTTTCCCTTGACGGGTTCTTGTCTTTTTTTTGAGAAATGAACATTTTGTCACGCATTTTTTTTCGAGTGTGAACAAGAGAAAAAGAAGAAGGGGTCTGGAGAAGAATAATTTGAAAATATACTTTCAGAAAGCTGAATGAATGGATCAAGCTTGACTTTAAATTTCAAATCTGAACAAACTATCCAAATGCCCTCTCGGGACCACTTGAGATTTAGGGGCTGAAGGTTTAGGCTCTAAATGGGCTAACTATGTTTTGCGCTTTTGTCGGGTACTTTTTGTCCTCTGAGGGAACTTTCCCCTTAAACATCTATAGGGACCTTCTAAGAATAAGAAGCCAGGATCGCTGCCGCGACGCTCTAAGACATCCCAAGTGCGACCAAAGTTATTTTATTTCACGCTTTTTTCCCATTGGACCGCTCTTTGAACTCATTAACTCCTTTTTAGGTTCTTTTTTCCGTGAGTAAGCCTCGCTTTGAAAAAAAAACTTTATAATAGAGCAGATATGTACAGACAGGCGCAGACTCGTGTCCACTGGGTACCCATAAATTGGAGCAGAAAACAATGAAGAAAGTTAGAATTTTCGGCAGTGGTAGGCTTGATTGACTCTTCGAAGGTCGCTGGTCGAAAAATCAGAAGCTCGGCCCATGATTCGAGTGAAGTGCTTGTTCTGGAAATCAGGGGTTTATTTATAAGCTTCGCTGAAAAATTCACAAGGTTTTCAAACTGTCAAAATGCTTTTTTAAATGAAAACTTTTGCGCTCCGTAGCTGAAATCGACTTGAAAACATGAGGCAAAAGCGCTGAAAAAGAAGGAAAACCCTTTTTTGAACCTATTTTATACTTTACAATGTCTTATTTAGTTTAAAAAAAAAAGAAAAAAATTTAAAAAATGTTAAATAACTAAAAAAAAAAACTCCAGAGTAATCCCCATAGGAACAACATTAAAAACTTAGAACCTTAGGAATGAGGATTATTTTTAAAAAAAATCTTGGCTACAATTTTTGGTAGGACACTGTAAGACTGCCTGTCTCACTTTCCCAAATTTCAAGTTTTTGAAAAAGAAAATCTCAAAGTTTAACACAACCTCCAAAAGCCGTCCGAATGAGCCCTTATTTCTCGTAAACTAGGAAGTTGGGAAGTTTTAGACTCCCAGGATCTTTTTCTATTAAAATAATGAGTATTCTGGCCGATTTCTAGGAAATTTCCAACCGCAAAGTAAAAGAACCTTCCTTGAATTTACAGACCCCAATAAAAAAAAGATTTTCATTGGAATCCTATCAACCTCACCTTGGCTTCGATCGTATTTTTCCCGTTCTTGCTTCCCTCGTTGCTCTCGTAGTGCATGATGGAAAGGTAGTCGTAGTTCTCCCCGTAGTAGGAAAGACCCAAGTTGGACAATTTGTCAAAGTCCGTGTTGGCTCCTGGAAATTCATTTCTCGTGAAAAAGTTTTTCGATTTCCATTTGAGACCTGGAATAACGTTTTGCCACATAATTGTGACGTAGTGGTCACGGTCGTCACGTTGATGTTCGTGGATGAAGCCTGAAATTATCAATGTTATGTCAAAATTTAAAAAAAATTTAAAAAAGCCCCCTATACTTTATAGATGATTCACGGCTGGCTTGCGCCATTGAGAAAGTCCTGACACGATAATGAAAGAGATAGTTCATGGTTGGTGGAGAGCGCAGGCAAGCCACGCCCCTTCCGCGCCGTGAATGGGTTATATATAAATTACAAGTCCCCTTGAAGTTACTGTTAAGGCCAAACAGTTGTAATTTAAAATTTATCTTATTTTTTTGAGCTTGAAATGAGAAGTTTCTACTTGGAAACGACTTCAAAAATCAAACGGAAAAAAATAGGTTCAATTTTTTTATAATCAATAAATCAAAGGTCGAATAGCCAATACACAATGAAAGAAAATATAACTAATTAGAAAAAATATTTATCAAATATAGCAATAGTAGAAAAGAAAAAAATTCACGTGCTAATTATCGTGAAGGTCGTATTTCACAAAAGGAGAGTATGACCTAATTTTCCAAAAAACTACCGTCCTAACTTTCGAAGGGGCCCGTATAATTAGGGGGAGCAAAGCCCCGCCCCTTCACGCCACCAAAATGACGATTTTTTTGTTGCAAAAACGGTTTTGAGGCGTTTATACTAGCTAAAGTTCCACTTTAAAAATAAACTGTCTCTGTTAATCTATGTAATCGACAACGCTCTACAGGGCTGAAAAAAACTTTTTAAACTATGTAGTTTTTCAAAAAAATAAGCGAAAAAAAGTAAGATTTAACACGAAAAAAACGGACAAGTTTCACAAAATCGTCGCGTTTCTGAAAACCAAGTGAGGAACGCTTCCGAATTTTGAGTATGTTATACATTAAAACTTTCTTTATTTTTTTGAATAAAAAAATTTTTAAAAAAATCTAACGACGCGAAAAAAATCGAAGCTTGTAAAGTGACACCAAACTTTGAAGCTGAAATGCGAAAAAAATTTCAGCGACATGGTATACTTTTTTTATTTGATTTAAAAAAACTCACAATGTGCTCACAAACAAAAAAATTCAAAAATGAAAAATAATTATTGGGACAGTGAATCAAATTATATTTGGATTTTACCAAAAACCTCCTTTTTTTCGCCTGCCTCGTTGACGAATGAGAGAATAGGATCGCGTCTATACTTTTTGTTTATGTTATTAAGCGTTCAAAAACTCTATCAATGAAAAAAATTATGAAAAAAATCAAACGACGCGAAAAAAATAACGGCTTTGAAAAACCTCGAAAAAAATGGCAATTTTTTTGAAATTTTTGGAAGAATTCGTGCAAGCGTTCGTAGCTGTGTTTGCGTCAAACACACCGATGCGCACTTTTAAATGTCGCAGGAGCCGTTTTTTTGGAGTCAAATTACACATTTTTCCTGTTTTATTTCGAAATAACATTATTTTTTTCATTTTTTTCTTTTTTTCCAAACCAAATGATAATAATTTTTTTCTGATTAGAAAAAAAGAAAAAAATAAGCTGAAAATTCCTTCTGACCCTTTTTTTCTAAGTAGTTTTTTTGATATTTTATCAAAAAAATTCTTATGAGGATTGTACAAAAGATTTATGCCAAAACGTTAAGCTCAGTTCGGACAGCCTCTCAGAACAAAAAACCGATTCGAAAACGGTTCAGAAATGCGCAAAAACATTTAAAAAGAAAGCGTGCGGCAGCGGGTAAACCGTGAGATTTTGCCTCCAGTTGAACGCCGCGCGCGCTAGTTTTTTGGCCATAACTTTTTTCTTAGTGGAGCTTTTTTCTAAAACTGAACGGATTATGAAAATGGACAGTCTCCTCTATCGGACAGTGTAAAAAGCATATTTTTTGGATCGTTTTGAAGAAATGGCTTGCGGACCCTACGTATAATACTCCGAATCGAATTTTAAAAAATTTTTAATGAAGCTGGTAGTTTAAAGATGTGACACTTTGGATAATAATACAGTTTATCATTTTTCCAGAAAGGTCAATGTTAAAAGTAAACTCGAATCAATGAAAAAAATAATCAATCTCGATTTGTTCGAAAAGCCTCACCAATAACGTGCATCAATTCGTGAATAATCGTGGCGTAGTCGATACATTCATCGGCCAATGAAACTTGCTGTCTGCCTCCAACTCGAGAAAAGTCGGCGTAGCAACTGAAAAAATAAATTATCAAATTATTATCGTCAGTGATACCTAAATGTTGGAGAGTTGGAGAAATTTCTGAGTTTCGCGGAATTGATTCAAAAACGGCATTACAAGCTAAAAGCGTGAAGAAATGAAGAAGAGTTTTTAAACTTCATAATAAATCAAGACAACTTCGAAAGAAAAGAACATTTTTTCTGACTTTACAAAAAAAGAAAAATTAAGAAATAAAATATTTTTTTACAAAGACGTTATTCTGATAAAATACAGAACCCTCAGTGAAGTACAAACTGATAAAAAGGTCCATTAAAAATAATAATAAAAAAACTGTACCCATCAAGCTTTGAAATGACGACGTAGTCCTTGTCGGTCAACGTCTTCGGAACGAATTGGATGCACGTCTTCTGGGCGTAGGCCTGGAACGCCTTGGCCAGAACGGCTCTCTGGGCGTCGGCTGAAAGATTCCGATAAAAAGAGCTCAGAAAGTACTGTAGGTTACTGTAAGCAGCTGAGAGGACGTACGGTACTCGTCCGTTCGGCCATTTGTCCTTCTCCGATGCCACGGCAACGCCTGACCGCTTCAGTCTCTAAAATCACAAAGAGGATTTTTAAAAAAAGCTTTGAAAAAATTCATCCAAAGAATGAAAAAAAATACTTTCGAGATAATCGTTGAAGCAAATGAAAATGAGTAGAAAAATCAGAAATCTCACCTATCGAACAGATTAAACTTCAAATGATAGCAAGGAAAGTAACTTTTCAACGCGATTTTTCTAAACTTTTTTTCTCGAAAATGAAAGTTGATCTTGAGACTCTTGGAGCGGTTCCAAAGAGTCTTAAAGATCGAATAAAGCGGCGGAGAAAAAAGAAAAGAAAGCCAAAACAAACAAAAAAGGTGGCGAGATTGGAAAGGGGTTGGTCAAGGAGGAAAAGGAACCTGGGCCGAGATCCTCATGTCGTTGCTGAGCGACCTCGTCGAACGTCTCAAGGTCGTCGGCACGAGATCGGCGTTGGCGAAGTCGCGCGCCGTCAAGAACGTGAAGTCGTTCCGAACCGGCGGCCGCCAGAAGAACTGCGGGTTCTGGGCCAAGACTCCACATGCCAGTAGGAGTAGTGTCAAGGTTCGAAGCATGACGGCACGTGGAATGGCTGCGGAGGAACGGAACGAGGAAAGGTCGGAGTTGCCGCCCTCCTCGGGGCTCTACGTGAAATACGTGTGTATGTTCTTCTGTTTGTGTGTGCGATGGAGTCTTCCTCGCCGTCGGAACCGGAAAACGACGGACCGGAAAGTTTTCCGACGGCATTCTTCCTCGTTGCCACGGCCGCCGCCGTCTACTCGATTGAACTCGATCTTACCTCCGTGATCAAGCAAACAAAGTGGGCAAAAAACGAGAGATTCGAGTTACCCCTCGGTTTTTCACGCTTCTTCTTGCAAGTTTTGGAAAACTCTGATTTTATTAAGTGAAAAAATCATCCTAATTTCTTATTTGGAAAATCGAGCTTTATATCAATTTGCAAAACTTGTAACTCGTCAGATTGAAGAGTACACTGAAGTTAAATACCACGATAATTTGATCAAAAAAATAAGCTTCAAAACATTTCAAAAATAGGTAATGAGTGATTTTTTTTACTCCTTTTCTGGGAATTTGAACTTTTAGATTCAAAAAGATTTTTCCGCGCTCTTTGAAAAAACAATTTGTTTTTTGGCTTTTGAACAGTTGGGCTTCTTTTTCGCAGAAAAGTCGCTCCATGGATAAGCTCTGAGTATTCTCGATTTACAAAATAAAAAAAGATATTAAAGTATAAAAAAATTGATCAGTGGTTGTTCTTCTACTTTTTCTGAAAAAAAGACGATTTTTCCAGTGTAGATTATTTTTTTATTAATGTTTTCTGACGTTTTTCTTTTTCGGCTCTGCAGAGTATTGAAAAAATTCCCTTCAATAATGGATCCACTAAAATCAAATTAATTCAATCAAATAAGCTGCCAATAATTAATTAACCGAAAAAAAATTCAATCAATAAATTGCAAGAAAAAAATGGAGAATATTCAAAGTTTTAGTGATATCACCATGATTCAGAACCATGTTACACCTGCAACACTGTTCAGGAAGCTCAAAAACCTCGGCGAAAATGCTCAGTTGTGACCCAGCGACCACACTCGACGAAGAGGACGAGCGATGAAGAGATTAGATAAAAGGGACCCAGTGGGAGTCGAGGCCGCGACTCCGGGGCTCCGTTCGGAAAGATGACGTCGTGGGGCTTCTGGATGACCTTCTTGGCGACGACGATCCGTGCCTCGTTGGCGCGTACGGAATGCGTCATGGCCGTAGGTCGACTTCGGTGTCCGCAGCATCCGGATCTCGTCGTCGGAGTTCAAATCGACCTCATCGATGAAGACAGTCTGTTTTTTCCGTGTTCCGAGGTTTCGCGCAGATATTTCTCTGATTCTCCAAAATTCAGTGGTTTTTCCATCTCTTGCATTTTTTGGAGCATGTCATCATTTTCTAGTTCTTTTTTAAGAAATTCTATACTTCACCGTAGGTTTGAATAACTATCTTCCTTTTTTTGAATAAGTTTGAAAAATTTTTCATGGAAGATGAAATTTAAGAGTTATGACTTTTTTTAAAAAAATATTTCAATTTTTAAAATTGAAACATGATGAAAAAATTCTTAACATACTAAAACAAGCCAAAAATTAATTTTTCCGAAATCCACATCTATGGATGGAGAGTAAAATACTTTTTATTTTTTTCTTTAAAATTGTTTTTTTCTGGACACTACTCTGAGATAAAAAAATTCCAATTCGAGCTTATTTTAAAACTGAAAAAAATGTTTAGCTAAAAAAATTGGGGCGGAAACTTTTTTTCTGACTTTTTAAAAAAATCGTGCAAAAAAACTAACTTTTTCAGCTCTTCCTCTGGAAATCGACGACATCATGGGAAGAACCTGGTCATCTTCAAACGGAACTTTTTCAAGGTACGAAAAAAATGATCAAATCTAAATATACATATTGGAAAAAGATGAAATTTTATCGTGTGTCTGAAAAAAATAGAAAGAATTTTTTTCAAAAAAACTATATAAGAAAAAAATCGTGCTGAAAAAAAATTTTTTTGCTATTTTTTTGTACATCATTTTTTTCGGTATCCGAACAAATAAAACGAATCAAAATCGAGAGTTCTACGCATTTTAAAGCCACCTGGTCTTAAAAACATTAAGAGTTTCAAAAAAAAAAACGTCTCCATTATTGTTCTCACATTGAAAATGTGTTATCCTCAAATGAACAACTTTTGTGAAAATGAGGAAACAGAGAGCTGATTTATTCCGTTTCAGTGACTGGTTGCGGCTCGGATTTTGGGCCGTTAAACACGCCGGATCCCTATCTTCTCATCGATCATTCCTGTCCACATCGACGGACCAACAAGTCCGCTTCTACTCAGGTTTTTTCTTGAAATGAAATGCAAAACAAAAAAAAAATTTAAGGTCGATGTTCTGCCGATTTTTCTTCCGCACATTGTCAATCTCGGAAATATCTATCTCGATCGATACATTGACGATGACGAAAACGAATAAATAATTTTTATGAATGGATTAGAATTCGCAAATGTCTTGCTTATTTAAAATCAAATAAGGTTAAGTCGTGAAGAAACGCTGAATCTATATAAAAAACAAAATAAATAAAACCAAAACTGTACAAAAATTGGAAATCTTTTTTAAAAAACTTTCACAAAAAACTGAACATTCTGGGAAAATTTTAGTAGATTCTTTGAGGTTTTGACCTTTTAGTGACCACTTCAGGGGCAAAAATGAGTGGCCTGGTCTGAATGGTACTACTGGACCACTAAAAGTTTTAGTGGCCCTGTCAAAACCCTAAAGTGACCACTAATAATTTTCCAACATGGTACAACTCATAATCAGCTGCAAAAATCGAAAAGCAGTTAAAATTTTCCTTTTAAAAAGTTTTACTACTGATAAATGAACTTTTTTCATCAGCAATGGTCAAAAGCAACTCTGAATCAGGCAAAGTTGACCCGCAGCCGGCTGGAAAAGCCATCAATCCATCGCGTGTCATTACAACCCGACGGCCAATCAGCGGCTGATCCGAGCCATTAATCCTTCGCACCGGACCAACATGCGGCTTTTCCTCGTCCTCGTCCTGCTCGACCTCGTCGTCGGCCAGTGCATCGACGGAGGATCTACTCACGCCATCGGCGACAAATGGATCCGCAACGACAACTTCCTCGTCACGTGTCGCGACGGCGAGATCAAGGTTTGATCATCATCATGTTCTTGGTCGAAATGAAAGGATGGAAAACTAGTTTATAAGTAATTTACACTCTGTTTTTGGAGATTTGAAAAACAAGGCCGCCTAGAAACTTCGCAAGAGAGCTAAATTTAAAGTTTTTTTATTCAATCTCAATTTTAATGTAATGAATTAAGGGAAAAATGTTAAGTCGCCATCAAGTCTACATTTATAAGAAAAGGAAAAATTGAATAAACCCTCCAAAATGTCACAATTTTGCGTCATTTTATTGTTCAAAACCTTTCACTTATCTCATATTATAGAATAGATAGATATGTAAGCTCATCAAACTGTGAAACACTCTAGTGGCCATTTAAGAGGTTCCTCTAGGACCACTTGGAGAGGGCACTAAAGTGCCAACTAAGCGACCTCTATGATAGCCACTATTTTGCGTCTCAGTGGCCAGTATAGTAGTTTTTGTGGTCTAAAAGTACCACTTACACTTCTAAAGTCGCCACTAATTCGACTATTACAGTGGCTAACGAAACGTCAAAACCCCAAAGTGGTTATTAAAAAATTTCGCAGAATTTTAAAGCTCAAAAAAATAAAGTTTTTTTATTGCTTTGGAGCAGGAATTCTGCGAAAAAGATGATATTTATTCAATTTACTATTAACCTATAGTCTATAGATGAAAAAAGTCTAGCAGTAAACAAATTTTATATTTACGCAAGTTTTTCTCTAACGAATCGAACAACTTAAAAAAATACAGAAACTTTATGAAATAAACTTGAAACGTATACAGTGTGTAATCTTCTGAAATGTCATTTTAATCTTCATTCGCTTTTTTCACTTTCAAGATTAAAATTAAAGTATTTGCTGTAAATTTGACCTCTCTTTCACCGCAAGTCGAGATTCAGAATTAACGCCTATTTTTTTCCATTAATAATACTTTCCTACAGACTCTGAAATGCGTCACGGACGGCGGTACTCTAATCGACGTCGGAACTCGGACTTTTGTCGAAAATGGGGTTGAATATTCTTGTGTCGACGAAGGAAATCAAGCTGAGAGTGAGTTGGAAATCAAGTAACTGAAACTGAACTATTTTCTTCGAAAATTCAGTGGAAAAGCAGGTAAATGTGAACACCTGCGGCGATTTTTCTGACGCCAGCGACGACCTTTACAAGGATCAATTTGTCATTTGCTGTATTTCCAGGAGATTCAAAGGCAAGCTTTCCATCGAAATTTCGTCTAAAGAGTTCAATTTCCAGGCTGTATCGATGGAAATGGAGACCTTGTGAAAACTGGACACTTTCTCATTGGAAATCGCTCTTTGAAGTTTTGCAAAATTCATAAAGGAGCAATGACCGCTAGGATTGAGCCGAAAGGTTGGAAAACCCTTCAAAACTGAACAGAAGGAAATTTTGAGGTTGTTTCAATGGAACAGAAAGCGATGACATTGACGATGAGGATCTACACATAAAAAAGTACACCGTTTGGCAGGAAGGTCGGTTTTTTTAAAGAAGGATTTTTTTTGAACTATACTTCAGCTTTGTTAGGTTGATAAATTCAACTTTTCCAAATTCTTACAAACTTAAAAATCAAGAAAAAAAAATTGAAGTTCGAGCTTGGAGTTCTTTTTTGGTTTTTTTTCAAAACTCGATTGAGCTTTGTTCAAAGAAGCATGGGAAAAAAAATTGAAGATTCGTGTTTCCTAAAAAAAAAACGTTTTACACTGATTCCAATTTTTCAGCAAATCTATGATTATTTATTCATTTAACTACTAGCTTTTTTTCTCTATTTATCCTCATCTTCACAGAAAAAAAAGGTTTTTCTAAAAAAATTTAGTGATACAATTCTTTCGAATGAAATAATAAAGGCAAATAATGTAACTTAAGAAATTTTTTTCTACTTTTTTTCTAAACTGAAATTCTTTTTCTTATAACTCTAGAAATCTTCATCTTTTTCAGAAAACATAGAATACCGATGCGGGGACGACGGGATCCAGGTTCACCGATGTTTCCCGGAAAATTCGAAACCAGTCTATTTTGGATCGGCTTGGATAGATTCCAAAGGAATTGTGCGTGTGTGTGGGAAAATTCAATAAATATCATATATTTATTTTTATATATTTTTAATGTTTGTTTCGGCTTACTCACTCAACCAATTGCATGTGATGTCCCATGAGTCCCTTGAAGTACTTGACCGTTTTCACCTGAAATATTGGATTTTAGTGTGAATACTCGGGCTAAGGTGGATAATGGCCGCAGAAAGGCATCAAAAAGGGTTCTTTTATCGGGATTTCCAGTTTTTCCAGGATTTAAAAGGCTCAAGAAAAGGTGGAAAAGGAAAAGGCAGCAAAAATGATACTCAAGAGCCAATGAAATGGCGCAAAAAAAAAACAGCAAAAAGGAAACCTTAGTTAACCTAAAAAGAACATTTTTATGGAGCCTTTTTCGATCTCTTCCGACTTTGCCTATGTATGAAAAGGTAATGTCACTTTTAATTCGAGAGTCGCGTCTTCGTCCGCCACAAACATCGCGGTCCTGTGCAATTGCATCGCAGATACAGTACACATGTGGGTGATTCCGCCTTCGATCGCCTGAAATTCAAAGTATTTTTTATCCTTTGAACGATAGAAAGGAAACCTGATGAAGGGCGAGAGCTTTGTGTGCGCCGGTGATCAGAATCATCACCTTGAAAAATTATAATTTATCCTAAAAACTAGGCGTTTTTAAGATGAAATTTTTGATCCCTTTACGGAGCCTGAATGAAATTTTTCGAAACCGAAAATTTTTATGCTTGAACGATCTATTAAAACAAAATATAACTCAGGTGTGAAATTATACATGCATATTGAAAAAAGTAAGGAAAATTAGGCTTGACGAATTTTTTAAAACGAAAAAAATGTTCTAACGGACTACAGAGTTTCCTTCGAAAAATTTTTTTCCTTTTCAATTTCTATCAGTTTTTTTAACTTTAACTTTTTTTCATTAGCGTGTAATTTTTTTCTTGAAAATGTTTTTTTATAGTTATTTATTTTTTTGAAGCTGGTCCGAAGTGACAAAAAAATCCCTGGAAAAAGCTCTCGATCTCAAAATTTTTCTTGAAACTTCTTTGAAAAAATTCAAGCAAGGATTCTTCATCAAAAAAATTTCTTTCCACTCTCTTTTCAGTTTCTTGTAAAAAAAAATTTTTTTCGAACCCTTTATTTTCCCCGAAACAAACTTCTTTCGCATCCATAACCGTCTGAACCCCAACTGTCAATGCTTGGGTCGGCACTTGGGACAAATCCCCGCCGAAAAACCGAGCGTTCGCCTTGGAAATGAATTATTACTTTTAAAAAACTTATAATACACCTGAATAGTATCGGCGTTGAGAGTTTTTATCCTGGTTCTAGAGCTCAAAGAACTTCCCGGCTCATTGAAAGCAATGTGACCATCAGAACCAATGCCTCAAATAAACAAGTCTAAAATTTACTCTTTTGAATTTCTCACCTCCAACAAACAAGTCGATTCCGCCGGCCTCGTTGATCATTTTTTCATAATTTTCGCATTCCAAATCGAAATCGGATGCGTTTCCATTTAAAATATGTACCTAGAATCTACGAAAATAGTATTTATATTTTCTAAAACCAACATTTTTTGGGTCGATATCAATGTGAGAAAAGAAGTTATTGTACATGAAAGAGTGGTAGGATTCTGGGTGATTTTGTGGAAGACCTGATAAAATTATCACAAGATCCTTCCTTTCGAACATACCGACATATTCGTCCATGTTGAAAGTTTTTACATATTTAAACGAAACTCTGCCGTTTCTGTAGTATTCTACCAGCTTTTTATACATTCCTAGTGGCGTCGAACCTTGAAAATAGATAAAAACGTAGAAAAAAAAAAGATTTTCCCCACCTGTTGGTAGTCCCAAGACGTAAAATCGTCCAGGGCCGCATTTATGGCTGTTTATTTTCTTCATAACATAAAGTGCTGCAAATTCAGCCACTTCTTCGGCTTTTTCTTTGATGATCAGCTTCATCCTGAAAAACTGAGTCAATATAGATTGAAACCGTGTTGAGGGCAATAAGCAAAGTGAACAGTGTATGAGCATTCTTATCTAATCAAATAATAGGAACAAGAATATAAGAGATCGGTGGTAGAGATTACAAGATACAAACAAACTTCCCAATTGAAGAGTGTTACGAAATTTCGGAACCAGGTTTTTTTCCATAGCTAATGGCTCCATGAAGCACAGGGAAACTTTAAAAAGCTTCTCTGAAAACTAAATAATAAAAGTAGCATAATTTCAAGGAGGATGAATTCATGAAATCGATGAAAAACTGCGATTGTAAAATGGAAAAAAGAGAATAAATGAATATAGGAAAGTTCGCCTTATTGACATGCGTACTGTAGCGTGGCAACTCAACGAAATTCAAAAAAATTATTCATATTTTTTTGTTGTGTTTTTTCAACTTCATGCTCATTATGTTTCTTTTGTCCCACAGAATTTTTGCAGTTTTCTCAATAGTCAGCTATAACAATCTTCTAACAATGTGCCAATTTTCGTATTGTATCTTCAAAAAACTTTTCTTTGGAAATTTTCCAGATGGATGACTTCTACGAGAAGTACACAGGTTTGCGTTATGCTGCTGAGTCCGTTCCAACAGAAGATCGATTGAAAAATTTTTTCAAAGAGGTTACCTTTGGTTTCAGACTGTTTCGCATAATTTTTTTCAGAATGAAGTCGCGATGAACGATAAAATAAAGCAAGAAGTCCAAAAGCAAAGGTCTGAAATTGAAGAGCACGAAAAGAAGATCAGAGCGAGGGTTCAAGAATATGAAGAGAGAATGATGGGTATGAAGAAGAGGTTAGGATTTGTAAAACTGAAAACAATGTCATGAAAAACGTATACCTTTTTACGTATTTATTTCAGTACTCAACAGCTTAACAACGAGATGAAGAAGATTGAGCAAGAATATGTCAATTTGAATCTAATCAGTAGTGGTAAGTTGAGACTCGGGAAATTTTCGATTAAAAGTTTTTTGAGGCCTCTCTGCGACGGAAGAAATTGAAAGAAGCCAGTCTGAAGTCGCGGATCTTGTAGAGGAGGCGTATTCGGCCAATAGAAATATGCAGGAATTGTCGAGCACTTCAATGGACCAAATTGAAAGGAAAATATCTTGTGAATAGTTACATAGTTATTCCAAAATAACTCTTCGGAATTTAAGTGTTGGAAGCCGCCAAGAGACAAGTCGAAGATGTTGGCAAGAAGTTTGAAAGTGCAGAAGACGACATTTCGGTATACTTAAAACAGAAAATTTGAGAAAATGGCCGATTTCCAGAGTTTTCGGGTAGCCGTTGAGAGTGCGAACGAAATCAAAAGTTTTATTGCGTTGAAGAAAAAAGAGAAGGCTGAACTTTTGGAAGAATTGAAGAGTCATGCAGCGAAGATCGGTTAGATTTCAACTTTGAAAAATCATACTTTTCGGATTTCAGAAAGTTTGAGAAACGAAAATGAGCAAACCTCGATTTGCGTTGAGAATGGGAATACTGAGCTCCAAAAGGTAACAATTTTTATAAAATCAGAGAAGATTATTGTTTTCACAGCATCATGACCAAAGTGCTGAATTCCGGGCTAAGCTGTCGTCTATTCAATGCGAGAGATCAGAGCCGGTCGTTGAGAATCCAGATATTGGAAGATTGGGAGCTTCCCTGAAACAGAACACGGCGGAAATTGTTTGAAACACGCGTCAAAACTGTTTATCGCAGTGTTTAGGAGAAATTGTCGGCGGCGCTCGTTCGAAATGAAGCTTTGGTACTGGAAGTTCGGTCTAATAACGAGGAAACGTTGCGGAAAGGAACGGAAGAAGTTTCCCTCCTGAATGAAAAACTTCGGGAAATTACTGCTCTGAAAGAGGTCTTCAACTTAAATCTTCTGGAATTGAAAAAAAAAATTTAATTTTTAAGATTTCTTTTGTATTTCATCAAAAATTTTTTTCCATCATTTTTTTCCCTTGACAAAAAAATTTTTGCATTCGATTTCTGTAGTTTCACTTCGTTTAGAAACAAGTCTTTTTCTTTCTGACCACTCATTTAAATTAAGAAAAACTGTCATTTGGAAATTAAATTGTTGAGTCAACCCAAAAAAATTATAGCTTTTCTTTTATAATTTATTTTGATTAATTAACAAAAATAATTAATCCAGTTTTCAGGAAAGTCCGTGAAAAAAAATCAAAGAAAATCTGCTCTCCGTGCTAGCCAAGAAGAAGGTTTTTCATCAAAGAAAAGGTTTTTTTTTCAAACTTATTGACATTTTGAACTAAATTTAGCGCGCTCAATTATCCGAGCGAGCCAAGAAAAAGGAGGAATTTTTGATGATAAATAACGAGGTTTGTTTTTCTTTTTTGGAATTTTTTGGTAATTGATGCTCTTTCAGATCTTGGCGCAGCAGTTGGAGTTGAGAAAGAAAAGAAGAAGAGTTGATTGAAGTTGACGCCAGTGGTTTTAAAGAGGTTTCTAGGAAAATTTATAGAATTTTTTCGATTATTTTGACAGTGTTCGTATCTGGAAGCCGAACAAGACGAATTGAAGCTGAAATTGGCGGGTCTCGAAAAAATGGAGAAGAAAAATGAGGTGAAAAAAGTGGACTTATAAGCGAATGTGTTTATTTCTGTAGGATAAAGAGAAAAAACTGCTATCCGCCAATATTGAGCTCCAACATGAGATTGAAAAGTTGCTGGAATCGCTCGCTGTTTTCAGAAAGCAGGTCTGAATTTCCAAAAATTCTTAAAACATCCGTATTTTTCAGGCTGAATCTGAAAAAAGTTTGGGCATTGCTACGGGTTTCCTGAAAGATTGTATGGATGATGTGAACTCGGTTTATATTTTTTCCCCCTTTTTTTGTGATTTTATGATTTCCAGCGTGCGTTGGCTCTCCAACGCCTCTCCACGCGCAAGTCGGTCGACGTCTTTGGTTTCATTCTTTATTTTCGATCTTTTGCTGAAATCCGGACTTTCAGAGCCCAAGGTGACGCCGACCACTCTGGCTTTGGGTTCCGGAGAAAGTATTGTTCATTTCTATCCGGATCACACCAGCACTCCCCTCCCTGCCACTGATAGGTTCACTTCTCACGCTTGGGAAAATTTATAGAATGAGAAAAAAATGATGTAATAAGTTCCAAAAAGACATTTACGCTCTCCAGAATTCAGAAAGGAAAGGGAATTATTCAAAAAAATTTTTTTCTTCACGGCTTATTTTTTTACTTATTTTAAAAGTCAAAAAAATGGAGGTGCATAAAACTGAAATTTTTCAAAAATTTCGACTCAAGAAATTTTTTTGAAAGAAAGTTTTTTTCATGGATATGTGGATATTCATGTTAGACGTCTAAATTCGTTTTTTTTTTAGCACTTTTTCCTTAACTTTTTTTATTCAATTTTTTTCAGTAATTTTTACTAAATCTTTTGTTTTTATCAACCCTAAAATATTTATTCATTTCAATAGTTTGACCAAATAAAAAAATAAAATTCTGAGTTTTTTTTAATTACTTGTAATTTTTTTCTTTTTTCATGTTTATCTTAACGTAATCATGAAAAAGCTTTTTAAAGAAATTCCATAGGAATTTTGAAAATTTAAATTCTAAAAAAACTAGACATTTTGGCTATGGAAAACAGAGAGTTTTTGGACGAATTCATAGTTTTGTTAATTCAAAATTTCTAAAGTTAAAAACTTTTTGATAACTTTTTTTTAAGGCAGAGTAAGAATTTTTTTTTTACATAAAAAGGAAGATGAAATTTAATTCTGAACTTTAGTGATCCCTAGGTTTAAACTTGAAAATTGCTTGCTGTAGGAAAAATGAAGGACCTATCACGGTCTAATTTTCAGTTACTTGGCCAGTTTTCAAGATTTGAATTCAAGTTAGATCAAAAACATCAATTTTTTAGAGGAGATTCTTCGGTGAGAGGCGCCAGAGGAGGCCGAAAGCCACGAGGCCGCGGAAGAGGAAAAGGAAAGAAGTTCTAATAATCGTGTACTATGAATATCTGTGTATTGTGATTGCTTGTGGAAAATTATTTAAAAGTATTGCTAATAAATTGCCTTTTTCCCTTCCTTCTTATTCCTCGTGCCAACGCGCAATTCTGCTCCATCGCTAATTACCTCGACCGTTTTTTGTCGCCGGCTGAATGAGACAAAGTTGTCCTTTTCGCGCTCATATTCGTCTTTCAAACTATTTTCATGTAGATAGGAAAAGCCGACTTCATTTTTCATGAGTGAAGACGATTCTATGACTCCCGAGGAAGCATTGGGATTGAAACTTTGGTTCGATAAGCCCTTTCTTCGAATATAAATAGTTATTTTTCAAGGGAACATGTTAGAGGCCAGAAAAAGCTTGTGTGGGACGAGTTCAAACAGGCTACGACTGCTCCGAACGTCGTTGACTGTATCCAGAGGCTCACCACCGTTCTCAACGACGTTTATCAAGGGGTTCAAGAGGTTCTGACGACATTTCCCCTTATAAATTTTTAAAGTAAATAACTTTTCAAGGTTATCAAAAGCGCGGGACCTTTGAAATCATTGCCTTTCAATGAACGGGACTTGATCTCCGACGCCATTTTCCCTTTTCGGGAACGACAAGCCGTCGCTTTTCTGATCCGACCACTGTTGCTGGCTCATTTCGCTACATGGCGAAGTTCGAATTTTCTCACTTAATTAATCAAAAATTGAACTTTCCCAGGTGTTTATTGTAACGTGGCGGTAGAAGGTCGGGTGCATCCCTGGGATCCGAATGAAGTCGCCCGTCAAAAAATTCCCAGGGAAAAATACACGACGGCCTTTAAGGAGTTACTCAGGTGCATGTGAGTGAATTGGGATTTATTTTATGGAAAAGGGAATTTCTGGAATCCTTGGTTGCAAATTTTCGCTTATTATTTTTTACAAGAATGAGATCGCATTTTCATATTTCTTAACATAAGCTTTTGATGGAAACAAAATTTTTAGTAGAAAAAGTTTCGATTCAATTTCAAAAAAGGGGCTCTTTCTGTTGCCTCAAAATGAGATATCAATCAAAATTTTCAATAATTATTTTTTTGAATTTTGTATTTTTCGCGCTGAAAAACCCGTTTTTTTCCCGGTTTACGGTTTCAAAAATTTTTATTAAAGTTCTCTTAACTCCTCACTTAGTTAATAAAAAAATGATATTTGAAAATAAAAAGCTCTTGCGATTTTCAAACTAAAATGACTTCCTTGTTTAGAACTTTTCAAATTTAATACTTTCAGGCGCGACAAGTGGAATTTCGAGAAGATTCTGGAATGGAACATGGCGGCGCAGATCTGTCAATTGGCTTCGTCGTACATTCACCGGGAGATTTATCTGTCCGTCCATATTGAGAGCAAATGGTTGAAAAAGGTATCCTAATTGGTTTTTTTAGCGAGAAAAATAGAGAAAAAAAGGGTATTTATATGTGAAAAATCGTTTTTTTGAAAAAGGGAGTTAATTTAACACTTTTGTTGGTAATTTTCTTAAAAATAGCCGAAGCTTTCTTTGATGTACCAGGAAAAGATCCTGTAGTCTCAACCTACAAAAAATTTTAGTTTTTGAGAAATAAGGGCTTGAAAATAGCATTTGAACGGATTTTGAGGTGTCTTTTTTCAATAATGAGAAAGTTTTGTAGGTTTTAACTTTCATAAATTTTCTCTGAGACATTTGAGAGTGTTCTTGTCTTTTTAAGGAAAAAAATCACCTTCTGGTAAGGAGTTTTCTGTATTAAATGTGCTTTTGAAGGCGTCGACTAGATTTTTTAAACGAATTAGCAGTTACAAGAGCTCAATAAAGGAATATCAAGACTCAAGTCCCGTTTCCAGATGATTTCGGTGATGCGAAGATGGGCGGCGAGCATTTCCATGCAAAACGCCTACGAAGCCGCTGTCGTTCATATTTACCGCGATATGATTGATTTCCTTATCGGGAAGGTTTCTATCCCATTTTTCCATGTTCTTCTCAAGCTTCCGATTCAGATCTACGATTTGGTTTTCGTGGAATTCCCACGCAGCCATAAGAGCATTGCGACGCTTCGTTATTGCATGCAACAGGCCGATGATTACGGCCGCGCCAGGCTTTCCGACACTCTTGTTGAACACGTCGAGAAGAAACTGTTGTTAACAGGTGCAGGAGTTTTTTTGAAAAGGAATTATAGCTAGAAAGTTTGAATAACATAGGTTATAGAAATCAGTATTCTCTTTCAAAGCTTGGAATTGTGTCCGAAAATGTTTAATAAATGTAGATCTCATAAAACTCGTAGAAAACTTTATTTTTCTTATCACTTTTGGCTTTCAGAAAGTTTTTAAAGTTTTCTAAGATTTTTTCATCCTTAGGGTTTTTTTCTGGTTTTTTTAGAAGACTAGAACAAGATTTTTCTGAAAAAAAAAGTTGCCATAGAAAAGCTTAAATTTTTTTCCTAGAAAAAGAGTCGCTTGATCAAAGGAAATAAGTTTCTTTCATTTTTCTTCAAATAAGATGAAATAGCCCTCTGATTTATAAAGAATAAAGATTTTCTGAATTCGGTTTATGATTTGAAAAGAAAATTTGATAGAAATGAATTTTAAGTTACCTCAATAAAAAAAGAGTTTAATTCTTCCCTCCAACCATTAAAAAAATTAACTTCAGAAAGATATATTAAAATTTGCAGATTATCCCGGTATCGAAAAAAATCTGTCTCTCTCATGCTTTAGAAATTCGAAAGAGTACCTTCACCGTAGCTTAAAAAAATTTCAACTTTTTTGAAAACAGTAATGTATTTTATTTTTCAAGCTGTCGGGACGAAAAAGATTCTGAACGGCTACGCTTCTTGCGTCGAATCTTTGAGGGAACTCGACACGACGTGCGTTGTGATGCATCGCGTCTGCAATGTTATCAAGGAATATCTCAAGTTGGATCTCTTTTCCGAAGCAGTTTTTTTCTGATTTCAGATCAAGAAGCGACACCATTCAACAGATAATCAGCTACATCACCTCGGATAAGAAGGAAGAACTCGAGAAGAACATGGTTTTCAGAGGAAAAAGTTCTGAAAATAGTTTTTTTTTAAGACGAAAAGAAGCGCGATGATGGAAGAGGACGAATTGAAGGATGTGAATAACGAATTTCTACCGGAAAATATGGACACTTCGCTGTGGAATCGGTGGCAACCTGATCCGATCGACGTCCAGCCAGGTTTCTACTGAAAAAATTTTTACTAGATCTCATTGAGTATTCTTTTCTTGATAACCTTGAAAAATTGCTTCAAACATGTGTTTTGCGATCTTGGGAGAGTTCTTTTTTTTTAGGAAATTTGATTGATTGATACTTTGATGAAAACTCATAGCATATTTTTTTAGCTTTCTATCGAAAAAAAATCGATATTTAAAAAATAAATATATTGATTATCAATGTATGGGTTATAGGGTGTTTTCCAGGCCTTTAGATGAACTCAAAAATGTTCATATTTGTAAAATACCTATGAAAATTGTTTACAGTAATTTACCTTTTTGTATTTTTTTGTCATTTTCTAGAGTTTTTTTGAATTTAATGATTTTTCCGTTCAATAGGAGAGTTGATTTTATTTGAGTTTTGAGTTAAGAATCTTCTAAAAACCGCTAAAAACTTTATTGAATTTTTTCTGACCTTTTTATACTCTCTATCCGAGAAAAATCAAAATTAGAAGTTGAAAAATCAGGTCTTCAGGAATAAAATTCTGCACCTCTACCTTCAAATATTAAATAAGGTTCTATGATAGGATCCTATCTTCAAAATAAGATCTCTTTTTCAGCTTGATTAATTCATGAACTTTTCAGGAGACAGTGGCCAAGTGCGACAGGGCGCCGATGTCTTCAACATGCTCGTTTCCGTTTATGGAAGCAAAGAATTGTTCGTGAAAGAGTACAGAACACTTTTGGCCGACCGACTGTCCAATTCCAACTCCAAAGATGTTGGATTTCTTCATTTCAACCTTTTTCTATGCATTTCTTTTCAGCCTCGATTCGAGAAAAGATACCTGGATTTGCTCAAGTTACGGTTTCAATACAGCGAGCTGCAGAACTGTGAAGTTATGCTCAAAGACGTGGAACAGAGCCAAAAAATTGACTGGGCCGTTTCGGTTAAAAATTGTGAGTTCTTGAGAATAACTGAATGGGCTTGAAATAGGCAAATTCGAACACTTAGTTCGAACATTTTGGAACAAGATATTCCAGAAACGGCCTAATTTGCATTTAAATTATTTTTTTTTAAGTTATGCAAATTTAATTTTTTTTTATTGGCAAACTGTTGAGCAATTTATGATAAACCAAATAGCAGAATAAGTTTTTGATTGTGAAACAATTGGGTTATTGTAACAGTAAAGTGATTTTTTTTTTCCAGTCGGCGCCTATCTACGGTTGTATCATTTCTTCTCATTATTGGCCGAAGTTTGATTCCGATAAACAGCCTACTGTAAGTTTATATTTTTCTATTATCCAAATGAAGGTATAATTATGAATAAAATGTCTTTTTTTGTTTTAAAAGGGTCCCTTATTCAGATTTTTGCTGTTTTTCCGTTTACAGAGACCTTCAGATAGCAATTTTTATTTTTTCAGCCTTTACCTGAGCCTTTGGAAAAAGCGATGAATGTTTATTCGGAGACTTATTCTCAAGTCAGAGGGTCCAGAAGTCTCCGGTGGCTTAGAGGAGTCGGGTATTTTATACTTTCCACGAAAGATTTGGAAAAAATGATGATTTCCAGTTGCGTTGATGTTTCTATAGAACTCGATGGCGTGAAAGTCGAAAAAACTGTGCCGAATATGTACGCCACCGTTTTGTACCTGTTTCTCGAGAAAGGTACTGTGGAAAATAAATGCGCGAAAACAATTCCTTTAACATTGAAAACGACATTTTCACCAATCTGAACCCTCAGTTGGATAGATTATGATTGAACGGAACCGATTCTTCCTCTTGACTCTGAAAAACCCTTGATTTTCAAGAAGTTTGGACGGCGACTGAGATCTCTGACAAATTGGGCGTCACAAGTTTCGTCGCGAAACGTCGCCTGGAGTGGTGGGTCAAACAAGGACTTCTTGTTCAGGTAATTGATGCATTTTTGATCGATATATTGGAAAAATAGGCTGAAAGAATAGTTTTATAATAAACCGCTTCAATCAAAAAATTTTCTTAACAAAAAACTTCGAAAAACTGTAAGACAATTTTGCTTACAATAATTCTGATTTGATGCGTCTAGAAAAGCAGTTTTTTCCAGCCAAAGACTCGGGTCCAGACGCTGTGGAAACCATTTTGGCAAATGTCCGAAATTAATTTGTTTTCAAAAATTTTTCTTTTCAAATGGGCGGAGCCAACCAACCACGTTTTCCTGCGGATTGGCTTAAGCTTTTGAACGAGAAAAATTGTTTCACCAAGCGCCCGGAATCTTCGAATTCGGAATAGAATTTTTTTCTAATTTGTAGACCGTTGCCGCTGGGGCGACAAGTGAAGAATGGTCTCTGACACGAAATGCGCCGCTGATGAACAATAATCGAGCAAAATCGCCAGAGTCTTTTGATGAGGTCTTAAAAACTTCAATTATTTTTTTTTTCATCGAACTTTTCAGGACGAGGTCGCAATGGAAGACGCCAACGGAATCGTCGAATCCCTCGAGCAGTACTGGAGTTACACCCAGAAATATATTGTGAGCTTATTACGTTTTTTTAAATATCATAGAAGAATTTTTTTGAAAGAGTTTGAAATAATTGAATTTTTGAATAAAGATGACGTCTTCTCAACAACATTCAAAGTTCATTATGCATAATAATAGTTTCAGAAACAGTAATAAGAAAAAAATCACTAACTTTTTCATTTCTGGATTGAAAAAAATATTTATCGTCTGATTCTCTGTAATTGACTCGCTATTTCTCTCACTCTGTCAAAAATTTGCTCCCTCGATTTTTCGAAATTTTTGGCTGAGGATGGACTTGAACCAAGTAAAAAAAGATATTACTGTTAAATTTATCCAGAAATGCTCTTTTTTGATGGATTTCAATGGATTTAATTTATTTGGAGTTGTAAAAGACCTGTTTCATCTTCTGTGGTACTTCATTGAGGGCGCGTTTGTCAGAATAAAACAAAATTGCTCTGAAACGTTACAAAATGGCTGCTATTAGCGCTATTTCAGAGAAAATTTGGTGTGCCGAAAATTTTTTTTTCTCAGTTGATAACACCGTAAAAATTAAGATTTAAAAAAAGCATCATAGATTTTTCCCTTTTTTTACATAATAAATCTTATTTTCCAGGCGAACCACGCCCAAAACGGAGAGGTGAAGGCTGAACAAATGCACCGTATCTACCGTATGTTCGGCTCTCCTACAGCTCACGGCCCGACTCTCGACCACGTGACGACGTTCCTCCAAAGGAAGGTCCAACTCGGCCTTCTCTCCTACACAAACGGCGCCTATCGTGTCCCCGAAAAATGTGTTTAGGATGTGCTTTACAACGTGTTGTCCCTTTTTAGCGCTCATTGGTTTCTCAATTTACGGGTTTTCTTCTCCCTCTTCTCTGTGCTTCTATTCCCTATAATTTGCCTTTTTCCCAAATTTTCTATGATCTTATCATTGCTTCTCAATATCTGTACAACTATCAATGGCAAATGAACTTTCTAACCTTTTCCTAGTGAGCAAGAAGTATTGAATATAACGAAAAAACAACAGATTCAAAGAATTTCCAAAATCTTCTCAACCAAAAATTGGGCAATCAAAAAGACAGTTATGAAACGTTACACAAAATTATGTTGAAATGGGAAAGACCCCAAAACTGACGATGCGAGATAAAAGCGTGCGGTGTTTGCCGAAAACTTGCGCACGTCATGCTGAGCCGATGTCTCCCTCCCCTCTCCCGAGGGATTCCTTTTTTGTGCGTTCTTTTTTCTTTTCAATTACAAGTTTTTTTCTGTTCTAATTATTTAATTAATTGGAAAATTTTGCTCATTGCAGTGCAGAATAGACTAAAGTTCTTCCTGCTTCTTTAGCAAAAGTTTGCACTGGCAACTTTTCTTAATTTTCAGCTTATTGAGTTTTTGATTTTCATGATCAGATTCGCGTAACTAATGGTTTTAAACATTATGTTTATTTTTTAAAAATTCCTTTCCAAGGCCTCTCTTTCATGTTGAGAAATCGATAGCATAATTTTAATTTTCAGGTCTAGTCCGTTAGGCCCTACACAAAGGGATGACCAAAGTGGGGAGCGGCGTTCATGGTAATTACTTTGACTTGTCATATCAATCAAGTGTCATTTCGTCTGTAGTTTGAAGCTAAAATGATAAATTTAAAGTTTTTTGAAATTAGTCTTTACTTTTTGCAGCGAGGTTTTTGTACAGGAATATGAAAATAATGAGAATGAAAATATTCATCGAGATAATTTCAATTTGCAGCTTCCGACTTAACGGAGGATGAGAAAAACAGCCTTCCAAAGTTAAGAAAAAGAAAAATGCAGCTCATTGATGAGATTGAGCAAATCAAAGATGAGGTACGTGATTTTTTAAAAGTTTTCGGTTCTAAATATTGGTATTTAGCTCAGAGCAGTTGACGCAGAGTTAGAATCGCTTTACTATGTAGACGAAAGTTCCAAGCCGAGGAATAGATTAATGGCGATTGGAAGACGGAAATTCAACCAGGACGCCTGGAAAGGAATCGATTATTTGTCCGAACGCGGTCTCATTTCTCGCGATGCCAAAAATATCGCTCTTTGGTTGTTCAAGGTTGGTGTTGGTTTGATTTTTTTTGAAAATCGTATATTTTTCTAGGGCGAAGGACTTTCTAAAACTTCCATTGGTGAAGTATTAGGAACGCATGGACCGATGGCTCTTGAGGTTGGTTTTAAATATTTTTAGCTCCAATGAACTAGTTCAGAAGAGTTTCAGAAGCAGTGAAATTGAACATAATTTAATTAAGTATGAACGGCGTAATTAAAGATAATCTAATCCAAAATTAAAGATAATTCGATTGAGTAGACGCGGTGTAATTAGAGATGATTCAATTAAAAGTTAAAGACAATTTTATTGAATAATTGGTTTCTTTTTCTAGTTAATATATCAGTCTAAAAATTGTTTTTCTTTCCCAGATTCTCGACGAATTCACCAAGCTCCACAATCTTGCCAATATGTTCATTGTTGACGCTTTAAGGTACGAAATTGAGTTTTGAAAATTTTAAAAAACAGTGTATTTTTTCAGAGTATTCCTCTGGTCATTCCGCCTGCCGGGCGAATCTCAGAAAATTGATAGAATCATGGAAAAGTTCGCTTCCCAGTACGTTCTTCTGAATCCGGACACTTTTCCTGACCCCGACACTTGCTACACGATCGCGTATTCCTGCATCATGCTCAACACACTTTTGTACAATCCTTCGGTCAGAGATCGACCTTCTTTCGATCGATACGTCATGATGAACAAGGTTAATCTCACTTTTAAAGAAAAATATGTTAGAAAATTGAATATTTCGTACTTTTAAACATATTCCGTTTTCGGCAACTTGACATGTTTTGCTTGTCTGCGTCTCTCTGTTCCCTCGCCGGTGGGGTCAGAGAAACATGAAAATACACTTCAATACTAGAGGGTCAACGAGAGAAAAGGAGGGCGCAGAGAAAAACAGCAGTTTCAAGTCGCAGAAAACGGACTTTAACGGAAGATCTGATTTGTGTTTCACTGTGATTTTTTAACTTTATGAGGTAGTTCTGAAATTTATTCGCACTATTTCCACTTTTTCGAATTATAAATTTTCTGATTTTTCCGAATCGATTGAGAACTGTGATTGTACGAATTCTTGGGAATGGAATTTCGGAATATTTTTTTCGAAAATTTCCTTAAAAGTTAACTGTGGAAAATGTCGCAGATCTTGAAAAAAACTATTTCTGAAGTTTTTAAGTTTTTTGGAAGCGAAAATAAATTATATTTTTCTCAATTTTTATGCAAAAAAAAATTTTTAAAAAATCTTTGAATAGGTTTTTTTGTGAAGGGACTGTTTTTTTCTCAACCCCTATAAGAGTCACTCTGACGATCCTGAAAATATGCATTTTTATAGGAATTGGTCGACGCCGGCTCTGTACGGACTTCGACGTTGCAATCAATTTACGACTGCATCAAAAGTTGTCAGTTCAAAATCCCCGACGAAGACGCTTGTGAGTTCTTTTATTCGCATTTTTATTTCGGGAAAACTACTTTGTTTCGCAATTTCTCAATCCGCTGTTCAATTTTTTATTTCATTGCTGTTCCTTAAGAATGAATAAATTGTTTTTAGGCGGAATCGCGGATATACTGTTGCATGCTGAAAGAGAAGGATGGCTCTATAAACAGAGCAGCAGCCAATTCCTCTCCGGTCCGTTGGCCTGGAAGCGCAGATGGTTTTCTATCCGCATTTTAAAGATTCAAAGATAATTATTAAGGTTCGTCCTGAGCGAGACATGTTTGTATTATTTCGAACAAACCACCGACAAGGAGCCCCGAGGCATTATTCCGCTCCAAAATGTCGGAGTTCGGAGGGTGGAAAGCGCCAATCGGCCTCATATGTTCGAGGTATTCTTTGGATTCTCATTCTAAATCTGACAAGGAAGATATTGTTACTTTGTACCTAGCCTGTATAACTTTTTAGCATTCCTTAAAAGTTAAAGTTTGAATAAAATCATCAAAATCTGAGAATAGGTTATTTTTTAACTTCTAGCTATTACTTTGAGACTTTAAAGACTTTTACCTTGAAAATAAAAAGAAATATTCCGCCTAATTTTCAGGAATTTCCGAACTCTATAAAACAAATGATCTTTTTTGCGACAGGAAATCCTTAGAAGATAAAAATCGGGAGAAAAGCCCAGAAACAAATAATCCCACAGTTTCAGTCCCGAGTAAACTGAGAGAAGTATATGACAATTGTAGTTTGAGGAAAAAAATGATTAGAAAATTGGGAAGATCTGTCCAAATTCATGTATATACACGCAAAAAGACAAGCGTGATTTATTAAAAAGCTTTTTACAAATATTTCGTTTCTTGGCGACTTTCCAACTAGAAAAATAACAAGTAGATTTATAAGGCTCAAAAGATCCGGAAAAATTCCTCTAGAGCCTTCAGTTTTTCAATTATTTGAAGTTCAGTGTGCTCCAAAAATAATGAAAATAAGATTCCTGGTTTATCAGATCTACTCGCTGTCCGACGAGCGGATCAAGGCCTGCAAAACGGAGCAGACGGGAAAAATGGTCGAAGGCCGCCACTCGGTTTACCGCGTCTGCGCCGTCAACGCGGAAGACATGCGTTCCTGGATCGACGCCATTTCCGGAGTCGTCACTCAGAATCCGCTCCGTCCGAAGAGCACCCACTAGCTAGCGATAGTTGTCAGAATAGCCGAAGCCTTTCCTGATAGCCTTTTTTCCCCCGGATTTTCAGCTTGTGTCGGATATTGTACAGTATGTTGGGTGTTTGGGACAAGGATACGTCGATTGATTTTGAAAAACTTGAAAACTTCATAATAATCTATTAGGAATCGAAATGAATAATTTTGAAGTTTTTGGATTTTTCTAAGCGAAATTTCAACTGTAAGGGGAAATTTTTGTTGGTTTTTGAACTTCAAATAGTTTCATACTGGCTAGTAATACATTTTTGAATAGTTAGAAAGAAATTTTTAGACGTTAGGAATGATAAATTTTAACTTTGAGCAATTTCCCGTTGGAATATTCTAGATGAATTTTGAAAATTTTGAAAATTACCAAAAAATTCGAAAGCTGAAGTTTCTAAACATTTTCGGAGCATCTCCACGTTTTGAAGATGGAAGAGATAAAAAAAATTTTCCATTTCTTAGCGTGGAATCAGAAAAAAGGCAATATTTTACTACAGCAGAAAACATCTAAAAATGTGCGCTCCATGGATAAATTTCAGGGATTTTTATTTAATAAAATTATCTGTAAATAGTGAAAGGGGGTTGGTGACGGCAATAATAATAATAAAGTTCACATATCTTTTTTTGAAGTTATCTTTGGAGCGCACTTTTTCCCCTGTTTTTCTGAACTTTTTTTAGCCTTTTCTTTTCCAGAAAAATTTCAAGAAAATAAATTTTAGTAACAAGTCCTTTAATAATAAATTAATAAACTTCGGCTCAAATTCTTGACTTTACAACCATTTCAAACACCCAATATTTTTGCCCAAATGTCTATTATCCTATCACTTATCTTTCTTTTTCATTTTCAGTTAGTGCACGACATTTTCTTCTGTGTATGTACTTGTAATTGTTGTGTATCTGCTTTAAACCTTTACCTGTCTAATAAGTCTTTGCTGCTGTCATTGTAATCTTCGAATCGAGAGCAAAAAAAGCGTAAATTTTTGAATTTTTGAAGTTTTTTTGTGGTATTTCATCGGTTCCTTCTGACCGTTGTTATTTTTTTCTTGACGTGATTTCTCGAAAATTGTTTAATCAAAATTTCAGATATGAAATTGACGTTGGATAGTATTCAGTGGCTCAACGAAGTCTCGCCTTATAAAGCGGCTGAAAATAATGAAAAGTCGGATGAGGTGGAAAATGAGGCAGACACACTTTCTTCACTATTAGGTAAGCGAAAAAAATTGTCTAGGCGCACTTAGAATGGTTCAAAAGGCCTCTTTTGAGCTCGCTCCCAAATTTTTCGTACTTTGCGCGCAAGTCGTTTTGAGTCGGGCGCACTTTGGAGCAAACGCGTCGAGCCATTCTACATACGACCAACATTTAGCAAGAAAATATTCAAAGAACCTATTTTTTCAGAATGGTCCTTGAAACCGGATACTGTCGGTTCCTGTACGTCCTGTAAAGTTTCCCTGGATTTCGAAGATCGAAGTTCAGTCATTGAACATTACCAATCCAATTGGCATAAGTAATATATCCCTTTTTTATCAGTATAATGCCAGAAGTAGTTCAGATTCAACGTGAAACGGGTTTCGAGAGGGAACGCCCCAGTTAATGAGGAAGAATTCGAAGATGGAATGCAGGATGACGGGCCAGGTAAATAGGAAAATTATTTTTTAAATGGAATCTTATGATAGGTGAGAAATTGTAGACAACTTGTAGAATATTTAGTCATATATAAAATAATGTTGCAGATAAAAAATGAGCAAAACTCACAGGGAAAATGATCGTAAACATCATTTATGAAAAATAAAGCTTTCACTACTAGGTAACGTTTTTTTAGCATGATGAAACTTTTTCTAAAGTATACTTTAAGAACAGATTTCAAAAAAATCTTTGGAATAGACTTTTTTTTTTCTTATAAAGCTTCAAAGATTGCAAAATACACATATTATGAAAATAAAGCGGTATTTCAAGCTTTTAAAGTTTCCTGAATCGAAAAAAGATATATTGCGAGAATTTTATCTTCCGGAAAGTCCAAGGGGACACTTCAGCAAAGTTCTATAAAAAAAAAATTAACCGGGAGATGACAAATGTTCCGTAGTAAATTTCATTTAGTAAGTGGATGAAAATTTTCGAAAAAATTTTTTCACTGAAAAATGATTACTGTTTCATAATTTTGTTAAGACTGAGAAACTTGGTTATCGTAGTTTAAATGCGTTTTTTCAGAGTTTCAATTCTCAACTAACCACACATACAAACTTTGCGTACCAAGGAAAAACAAATCTTTTAAATTTCTTGCAATTTATACTCGTATTCTGAAGTATTGGTTATTCCGAACTTTAATTCAGTTTTAGTTTTTAAGGATGATTTTTCTACCCATGAAAATTGAAAAAGGCGACTTTTGATGACTTCCTTCTGTTCGATGTATCTTCTACCTTAAGATTTCAGAATCAGCCGAAAAAGAGGAGGACGACGAAGAAATTGAGTTCTGGACCCCCAGTGGCAGGTCCTACTTTAATCAAAATGATAATATTTACTCTGTTCCAAGGTAAACCGTTAAAGTGTTTCATGCAATTGCTATACTTTAGATGTATACTACGAGACGGTGAAAATGACGTCACTACGAATATTTTGAACAGACCTTTGGATTGTGCCATTTTTCTTCTTAGTGCTGGACATTTCGCCGCGGGCATTTTTCATGGGTTCGTTTTCTTTTGAATTGTGTCAGAACTTGAAAACTTGAATACTTTTTGCTTTTCAATGTCTAGGAGCATTTTTCTGTAATACAGCTCCGAAAATTCCTGATTTTGGGGTTTCCTGTGCAATTATTTCTTTAGTTTGCTTACGGTTGAGCCAATGGAATATGAGAAATTCCAAAAAGTATTCAGTTCAAGAGGAAGAAAAATTATCGATTACCTACACTATAAAGAAAAAAAGTTATTAATTATTTAATCACTTTCTTTTTCGCAGCATCGGAATGGAGATGTTCAAAAAAATAGCCTTTTTTTCGGAATTTCAGAGGCTTGTGAGGGCCTCAAACGTCTTTTATTTATTTATTTTTGATTTTTTATACTTTTTTTTCCATTTTCATCATTCTTTTACTTTTTATTTTAATCTTTTCTTCGAAGCCATATTAAGTAAGGATTTTTCTCGCAATATTATTGATTGAGACCCATAGTTTATGAAAAAAATCAATCAAAACAGAAAGACTAATTTAGCGGTCGATTAGTTGCCCACCGCGCCTTCCACCGTTACGTGGCCCGTGCCAAACAAGGCGGAGTCCAATCTCAATATGACAATGCCCATGGAAACGCCAACAGTGCTGGAGCTGCCCTTAGAAGGTCTTATCTTTCCTTTTTTCCTCTTAAAATATTCCCTTTCTAGATACAACGAAGCGAAACTACGTGAGGATATCGTCCAAATTGTGACTGGCTGGAAAAATGTCCTCGAGAAAACTCCGCTCGTTTTCATCCGATGTGCGACTTATCAAAAGGCCATTTTTCACACGAATTCTGATGTCTTGCCCAAGGGAGACAAGAGAATAAGGTTTGAGATTTTGAGAATGTTCAATTTTTAAATCAAGAAATTTTGCCAGGACCTTATTTTTCAGAATTGTTTTTATTGCGAAAAATAGTTTCATTTTTGGAACTCTTGAAGTTGGCTATAAATTTCGTAATGATTTTCTTGGGAAAGGACCATTTCTTCCATTTTTTGGCTGTCCAAGTTAAACATATAAGTTTATAACTTTTTATAAAATCTATGGACTTTTTAGTTTTTTTGATGGTAGTTTTTTAATTAAAAAAAATATTATTTTGGGACAATTTTTTTCGAATTTTTCTGGTTATTATTTTTCCAAGTTACTTTTGTTCTGGATGCCATCACTTCTGAGACAAAATTTCAACTTTTTTCAAACTCTTCGCTGTTCCTAGATTTAATTTCTTTTTGAAAGGGTGATTTGCAGAACGATCCCCTTCGAAACTCGGCGACCGACGCTTGACGAGGTCCAAAGTACTTGGGAAAAGCTGAAAGCCGTTGAGAGTCATGGTACAATTGCGGAGTTCAGAAAAGATATGCGGAATCTTTTCGAAAAGCACAGGTTTGCTTCAATTGATTGACAGCTGACTTCTTTCGGAATTTAAAACTTGTTGATGAAAAAGATGGTTTGAACAGTCTTTTTTTATAAATTATAATATAATTTCTGATTTTTTTGAGAAGCTGACACTCAGAAAAAGTTTCATGAAAATAAGAAGATATGGAATTAATTTTTAGGAGGGTAGAAAAAAACGCTGAATCGAAAGAAAAAAAGACGCCAGAAGAATGGCGTGGTGAGGATATCGAGGAAAAAAAGAGGGCAGAAACAATGAAACTCGCCAGGAACCCAGAAAGGTGAAAAAAATAGTTTTTTTATAGAAATAAGAAGTTTTTTTAAAGGAATTTAAATGAATCTCAGTGGGTTGTGTTGAAAGTTTTTTTAATTTCAGATGAGGGAGACTTTCAGAAAAAGAAATTGGATCATTTGAGCATTTTTCTTGAAGAAACTGATCCATAATAGAAAAGCAATATTCAAAAACCCCCAAAAAATGGTCCAAAAAGCGTTAAAAATATAAAACCCAGAAACTCTTCTACGCATTTTTTTTAAAACCTGTTCTGATTTAGGTAGACCATATTAAAGTTCGGCCGGAGCCAGAAGTACGGGAAGACCCTTGGCCTAAAGTGTCGGATGAATGGAGAAAAAAAGGTACTTTCCAAAGTTATTTTTACATACGGAATAAATTTCAAAAAGGAATAAGGACAGTGTTTTCTTTGCGATTGCATCAAAATTTAAATCAGAAAATATTTCTCAAATAAACTTCAAAAACCATGAAAGGTGATTTTTTTTATAAAAATTAAGTTCAGAAAAAAAATATACAATTTAATCAAGTTTTTTTGAAATGAAGGTGTGATATGAAAAATTTTTTTGAATTGAGAAATTTTGAATTCATGAAACTTTATTGATTTATATAATTTTTTTATTCCAAAGTTACAGCTCTACAATGCCGTAAGAACTGACGATATCCTCGCCGTTCAAAGTTTGCTGGAAGATTCAGAAATTGATAAAGAACAGGTATAGTTTTGAACAAACTTGATAAAACTTTTGTGTATAACATTTTGGGTTTTTTTCTATTTTCACTCATTTTAGGCTCTAGATTTCATCCCAAAAACCCGATTTCCACCTGATGACTTGAGTTATCTTCATGTCGCTTCTTCCAGAGATTCTCCACTAGTTTTGAAGGTTTTCCTGAAAAATGTAGTCTGTTTTTGGCGACTTGAAAGACTTCTCTGTGCCCTCCTCGTCTCTCGGCGACTCTCTCATATTGCCGTGCTGTTTTCATGTTCCTCTGACCTCGCCGGTGAGGGAACAGAGACGCAGACAACCGAAAACTTTCAAGTCGCGACGAACAGACTAATATTTAAAAGAAAACCCTTTTTCGCACAAAGATTTTCAGTACTTCCTTGAAGCGTGTGATTGTGATCCGTGTGTCAAAGAAAAAGACGGGAAACCGCCGTATTCTATGGCCAGCAACAAGGAAATCAAGGATATTTTCATCCAGTTCCGAGTCGCCAACCCGAATAAATACAATTGGTTGAGGTTGATTTTTCAAATAAAAACGAGGAAATGTCAGTTTTTGCAGAAGTCACATCCCTGAGCCGCAAATCCTGTCGGCTGAAGAGGAAGCCAAGTTGGCCGAGAAAAAGAAGGCCAAAAAAGCCAAGCAGAAGGTAAAACTTCAATATCAAAAGTCAGATTTTTTGGAATTTTTCAAGAAAAATTATTTTATTTTTTTGAGCGTCTATGAAGTTTGATGTACTTATATAAGTCATCATTTTAAATGTTACGAAAAAAATTGATTCAAGTTTTAAATGGAAAATCTGAGGCAAATAATCTTATTTGCCCCTGTATGGTACGATTACTTTTTACACTTTTTTTGATCATAAAAGAGAATTTTTTTAAAGAAAAAAATCTTGAATTTTTTTGCAAAAAGCTTTGAAAAATTTTTAAAGTTTTTTTGTGTAAGTTTTTCTTTAATATTTGAATCATGTTTCATTAGCGAATTTTAGAAAAATAATCTTTCTAGCCTAAAGTTCTCACTTTAATGAACCTCTGAAAGTTTTTCCATGAGGTTTTATTTTGAGTTTTGTTTTTTGCAACAAAATAAGCTTCGTTTGAGAGAAGATTCAAAGAAATTTGAAAGAAAAGTTCGATATTTCCCAAAAAACAACGAGCGTTCGTTATGACTCAATTTTGTGAAGGAAAAGCAACGAGCTGAGAAGGAATTGGCGAAAAAAGAAGAAGAAGAACGACAGGAAAAAGCTCGTTGGCTGGCCATGTCGGAGAGGGATCGACGGGGGATCCTCGTCGAAAGGAGATTGGCCGGGCTTCCTTTATTAACCCGGTGTGATCAGGTATCAATGAACAAAACGTCTGAGAGGGTTGAAAAACTAGGTTTTTATCCAGGAGGTTCAGAAAAACGCGTTAAAAGCTCTTTTCTGTTTCAAAAAACACATCAAATTGTTCTTTTTTCTCTTTATACTGTTTTACTTTGATCACCAATCTTCTTCATTGAAAAAATTTTTTTTGAAAACGCAAGACGGAAATGTGAAAAAGGGTCTATGAAACGTTTCGAAGCAAAAAGAATGTACGAAATCCCCTTTTTTTAAATATTAGGAGAAATCTGGGTAAGGGACTTTTTTTGAGCTTCAAGAATTTAGTAAAAGAGAATTATTTAAAAAAAATAATAAAAAGGTTGAAAAAAAGGCATCTAGTTTTTTTACGGAAAATAAATTGTCTCTTCGAAAAAAATAATGATAGTTTTTCTTTCGAATTTATATAATTTCTCTGTCAATTCTCAAAATTTTTCAGTGCGCCACCGTGATTCCCGATAAGCCGTTCCAATATGAAACTTTCAAGTTTTGCTCCCCGCCTTGTGTAAATCAACATCGGGCCGCCGTCAAGTGAAAATAATCAATTTTTTTCTGTTATTTTTTTGTTGTTATTCTACTCAGAGAGTTTGTTTAGTTATTCGCTTCCGGTTGTTACTTTTTCGATTGAACGCGGGTTCTCCCTGAAGCTTTTACAGTATTAAAGAGTTCTATTATTTTTTTCTTCTCTAGCTATCTGATAACAAACGTAAAGTCGTGACATATTTCTCTATAAATTTTTGACAGATTTATACTAGCTACCAGTTTTTTTTTTTGAATTTGTTGAGCTCTCAAAAAATTTTCTGTGAAAGGACATTATTGAAATTAGAAAGATGCGCAGTTGTCGAACACTTTTGTCATCAACTTCTTCGAAAAGCTGGAATCTTTCTTCTTGCGATGCCACGCAGGTTTATTCCACATTTTTTTTCAAGTTAATTATGGATATTTCAGGTATCTTACCTGGGCGAAAGGTGTATCGAAGTGGATGAACAGGACAATGTTCTGAATCCAATTTCGAAAGGTGATGCTCATCGGTCGAGCTCTTGTAGGTTCTATTTCAGTTATGAAGATGAAAAAAACTCGCTTTCAGTGACTTTGCACAGAGCTTTCTCGGTTTTCTGCTTTACGCCGGCGAAAAAACTGATTTTACAGAAGAGGAGCCTCGAAAAGGTTGGTTTCTCCGACGGAAGGAAACTAATCGAAAAGGAAATAAAGTTTTCAGATCACTTTTCCCGGACTTTGGGCCAATACTTGCTGCAGTCATCCTCTTCATAATGAGCGAGAATTGGACGGCGTTTTTGGGGTTAAAAGGTTTATTTTTTTTTTTTTTGTATTTTGGCAATGTTCAGTGGGCGTGGCTGCATGCAACGGCGGCGCGGCTTTATGCAAAAGGGGCGCGATAATGAGAGCCATTTTGTAAATTTACTAAATGAAAAAAATAACTTTTTATAGCCTATTCCGCGCCAGCTTGTCACGTTTCTTTTCGCCAAAAAAAACGTATACCAAATTAGATCACATTTGACCAATTTCGCTTCACGAAATTTGGTTTTTTTTTTTGCAGTTTTGGAGAGTTCCGAGCGAGGCGGTCACGTTTTTGAAGAAAAGCAGAAAAAAATGCTATTCTTAAAAGCTTTCTTAGCAATTCTGCTTTTAAAACAACAAGAAACAAAGGTCTTGAAGCGAAGTTGGTCGAATTTGATCTGGCCTTTTGATGGATCCTTTTAGAAGCGTTTGAATAGGTTTTTAGCGATTCTTATGTTCCAACTTAATCTTTAATCTACTTATCAAGAAGTCTTTCCCCTCAGAGCGGCTGTGCGAAAGTTGAAGCACGAACTGGGGATTGAAGGGATGAAAGAGGAAGAAATGACGGAGGCTGGTCGATTCGTCTACCGGTCGGTGATGAAGGACGGCGAGTGGGGCGAGCACGAGATGGACTACGCCTTGGTCGTTCCCAACGTCGCCTGCGACCGGATTCAGATGAATCCGAACGAGGTCAGCGACGTCTGTGACGTCTCCTACGAAGAACTCATCGATTGGGTCCGCAAAGGTGACTTTTGCTCGATGATCCTTCGTTCAATTTCCATTATTTTTAAACATTTCGTAAACTCTTTGGTACACATCCTGTTACACTACGGTGCGCCAAATTGAAAAGTTTAAAAAAATCTCAAAATGAATGTTTTTTTGATGTAGTTTCGCTTCGGAACAGGGCCCGAATGTGGGAGAACACATTTTTATTATTCAAAAAAATAAGTTTCAAGGCGCTATCCTATTTCAAAAAAAAATATATATAGAAAAGTTTGAACTATTTTTTTAATCTTTTTCGAATGCTTTTTGAAAGCCAGAAAACATTATAAATGCTTATCAAAAAACACATTTCTGCACGAAACTTCTACTTCCGACGTATTGCTTCAATATGTCACTGATAATTGATATTCAGATCCCGACGCGTTCTCTCCCTGGCTTCAGCTCTTCTCCCGCAATCCGAAATTGGCCCTCTGGTGGAAATCCTTGGATAATGTTGCCTCTGTCCGGGATAACACCATTCACTTCCTCTGATCTGACCTTTGCTTTAATTTTGACCACTTCGCCATATCATCATAATAAAATGTTTTTTTTCGGCTTTTTTTGGTCTTTTTTTCTGTTGGTCCGATCCCAACTTTTGTACTTTTTTTCATTTGGTTGTTTTTTTGTTTATCCGGTGATTTTTACACAAAATTTTCTTTTTTGAAAGTTTTTTTCCTTCAAAGAAAGCTTTCAATTTCATGTCATAAGACTTGAAAGATTCAGTAGAACTACGAAACTTTTTTAAAATTTCTTTAATATTCGAAAAATTTGCTACGATTCTCAAAACAATTCAAATTTCGAAATAACACAAAGTTTCAAAAGTAGGGATTTTTTCAATCTTTCAATTTTCCTCTGACATCCAAGCTTGTTGAGAATCCAAGGAGTACATTAAAAGAACTTCAGATGGTGCAGTACCACGTCTCGAGAAGTTCGAGACTCATGGCGTATTGGAGCGCCCTGCCGCGTCGGATGCTCAAGAAGTATCCAGAACAGACCATCTTCTACGCGACCTTCGGCTTGGCGTCCGTCGTGATGGGCGCCTACAAACTCCAGAAGTTCGGAACGGAAGGCGTCAAGCCCTGGTATCGCAGCTACTACGACGTCGTCCGGCCCGACGATCCGGTTCTGAAGACGTGGCGGAAACCGGAAGAATACCCAGCCCCCTACCTTTCCGACAACGTCGATGCGGCACGCGAAATCGCATAGCTTTATTTCTTGATTGTTTCTTGAAGGGTTTTGACCTAAGGTTCGATTTTAGCTAGAACTTTTTGTATAGAATGAATAAATGTTTTGACTTTTTAAAAATTTTTGTTTTCATTTTTTTCTTGGCTGTTAATTTATCAGCTGGAGTATCTTATTTTTCTTGCTTTACCAAGACTTGTGGCTTTTCTATACTTGAAAGTTTGCTCCAACGAACTTGATCCCAATTTTGCTGATTACGCCTTCTGGGCGTTTCGATCCAATCAGGTGGTAGCTCGTTGGAGCACTCTTTCAAGCTCAATTTAATTTCGGCGCATTTTTCTTTATGCTACTTACCGTTTCATTTCAATTTCTTCATTTACGTAGTTTAACTAGGCAAATATTGCACCTAGCATATTCGGAGACAAAATTGCTCCATAACATTATTTCTTTTATTTTTACGATTTTTTTTTTGTTTTGAAAAAAGATAATGGATTTTTGAAACTTTTCATCCTCAAAAAAATACGAAATTGAAGTTTTTCATCCCTAAAGTGAACTTAACTTACGTACTTTTTTTATCTTTGCTAGTTTTTTTTTTTTGGAAATTTTGCCGTTCTCTTTTTTTCTCGAATTTTTTTGGGTTTTATTATAGTTTTGATCCTAAAAGTAATTTCCGAAACTATCAAAAACCAGTTTTCCCAATTAAAAATTTTACAAGTGCCCTTCCATTTCCTTCTTTTTCTTAAACCTTTTGTAACTTGATTGTTTAAGGATGCACTCTTTGTATTCGCGAGCCAACGCGTTGTTCGCCTTCACCTTGTGGGTGATGGCTGCGGTGACGGCCGCCTGTTTCTTGTCCACCGGCTTCGTCGACTACAACAACGCCTCCGTCGAAATAACCTTCAACAACCCCAAAGTGTAAGTTTTTGGTGTTTCATTTACACTTAGCAATCTTTCCAAAGGTGTCCTTTCCATTTTTTTTTTTCGAGGATTTTTGACATTTCTTACCATCTGTGTTTTGCGTGGTTTTTTCTTCTTTACACTCCTTTCATGTTTTTTAGTTGTGATTACATTATAGAAGTTGTATGAAAATCATGAAAACAAGGAATTTATCGAAAAAAACTTTTTTTCCGTTTTTTTTTTCGTTATTCTGGATAAATTAAACAATAACAGTCTTAAGCTTCAAATAGTGGGAACGGAAAAAGTCTGAAAAAGATTTATCAGGAAGCCATTGAAAAATTCGCAAACATTTATGGGGTGTTTCTTGGAAAAATGATTTTTTCAGAAGCCCTAGAGTGTTTATCAAAGCCTCAAACTTGCTCCGAAAAAATAAAAATTTTTGTTTTAGAGAAACGTTGTTGCGTTCCGAAAAAATTAACGAAAAAAATTAAATTTTTTTTTTCCAATAAACACGCCATTAGTTGGGGAAACTTTTCTGCTTCCGCAAAAAAAAACCCAATTTTCTCAGGAGATCCGTCGTGGACTACGCCTCGGAAGACGAGCGCGTCGACCAGGGCATCCTCGATTTTTCGATCAAAGGCGACTTCAGCGACACGTTCAACTGGAACGTCAAGCAGCTGTTCGTCTACCTGGTCGCCGAGTACAAATCCAAGAACAATGTTAGCAATGAAACACGATGTTTCATTCGATTTCATGTGTTTCAGGAACTTAACCAAGTCGTTTTGTGGGATCGGATCATTGAAAGAAGTCGCCGTGTTGTCATCGACGAACGTCAATTGAAGCCCAAGTATTACTTCATGGACGATGGAACGAACCTTTTGAACCATCCCAATGTCACACTCGTCTTGAGGTTGGTTTTGAATTAGGAATGGGGTGAATGATGGAGAAACCAGGTTGAAAAGTCTATAAAGAACCGGAAGATCTATACTTTGACTGTAAAAAAGATTTTAAAAAAAAGCTCTCAAAGTTCGACTTTCTGGAATTTTTTCTTTGGATGACTGTTGAAAAAAATGATTAAAAAAGAAAAGGTTTTTGGAACGTCTCCGACCAAGATATTTCTGAAAAGAAATATAAATTCTATGTTTAAAAAAATTGAAGAAAGTGTACTCATCTTCAAAAAAATTTGTAAAAATCATCGAAGAATCGATAAAATCTTGAAATATTAATATAATTAAGATTTTTTTAGGCGATCAAAAATCTGATCTAGAAAAATGCTTCGAGTCAAGGTGAAAATAAATAATCGAAAGCTTATAAAAAAATCTGCAATTTAAGATTTTTTTCAAATAAAAAAATTATTTGAATTTTTTTAAAATTATGAACTTGGTTATCTGTAAATTATTTTTTTGGAAAAAAACATTTGAATTTTTAAAAAAATAGTTCAAATATTTTTTTCAATTTGAATGATTCATTTTTCATTTATATTGGTCCGTTTTTTTAAGAAGAATGAATCATTTTTTTATCTTGAATAATTTGTTTTGAGATATCTGGAACAATTATTTTTTTCATCTTCAATGATTCTTTTTTTGAGATACAACGTCGTCCCGAACGCCGGATACCTCCGTCTGGCTCAAGCCGAGAACCAAGTCATCGTCAAATTCCCCGGAACCTACACGACTTCCAAAAACTGAAACCAAATCCCACCTCGACATATCCAATTGCTATTTGTTATTTCCTGGAGACATTCTTATTTGTTAATATGGGTTTTCTAACTTATGCTTATTGAATTTTCTGATTTCTTTCATGGGGTATGGACAATTTTCAACTCTATCGCATTTTTGATTTTATTTAATAAAGGTTCTTTCTCTCTTATTTTTGTGTTTGTAAGGGTTTTTTTGACGTGTTTGAAGACATAAAATATCTTTTTCCACTTTTTTTCCTCATTTTTTTAAATTTATTCTCCGATTATGTAGGCGAAAAAAACATTGGCTTTTTTAAGATTTTGAAGAGAAATCTTTTTTTACGTGTTTTTTTACTTTCGAGAAAAATTGTATGTTGATCGAAAAGCCTGGGAAAGACGCTAGAAAGGTTTTAACAAGATTTTGTCGGAATTTCTAAAACTCTAAGGGCTTATTTAAGACTTTTTCTAGTGTTTTTTTGGACTTAAAGAAAATAAGGTTAAAAAAAAGGATTTAGAAAAGTTTGTGAAGAATTGACTTAATGGTACCATGGTTATTGAAAAACTCAGAAAAAAAGGTACTTTTTAAAAAAATTTTTGAAGGAAGTTTTTGGTTCCCTTTTCATTGTTTAAAAAAATTCGGGAAGGATTTTATTTCTTTTTCTTTTTTGTACTATTTATCAAGTTTCTGAATTTAATTTCATTGTTTTCATGTTTTTTTTTCGGTTTCAGTAAGAATGGGCAAGTTTGCGAAGATAAAGAAGATCACGGAAAAGAAAGAGGAAGAGCCAGAAGAAATGAGGTCCGACGAAGGAACGGATACGAGTTCGGATGAGGAATCCAGTGGGGATGAAGCTGTCGAGGTTTTAATCCTAGTGGAAAAACTGATAAATCTTTTTTCCTTGCAGAATGGCACTGAAAAGAAGAAGAGAGCCGAACTGTGGGTAAATCGAGAACGTGTTCTGATTTTGTGTTCCCGCGGAACCGATGTCCGAACCCGGCATTTGCTCAAGGATTTGAAGGTTTCATTGTAAAATTCCTCTGGAAGAAATATATTAGAAAAAGAAATAAAAAAGATCTAAAAAAATTTAGTTCAACGTTTCCAAAAGGATACACGATCGTTAGCATAACAAAAAATAGTCGTTCTTGTATTATAGTGCAGCTGAACGAATCGGTTATTTCAGAACCTTTCTTTAAAGATTTTTCGATTTCTGGAATTTTTGCGACCTCGAGTTACGAAATACTCAGAAATACTGAAAATTTCGGGGTGTGAGCTAGCTGAATTTTGTTAAATCAAGAAACATTGGCGGAATTGAGTACTTTTCTTCTTTTCACTAACTTTCAAAGTTTTCATTTCAGCTGATTTTTGGCCTATGAGTTCAGTCTCAGAAATTTTTTTGATAGAAATGGAATCAGAAAAACAAATGAATTAGAAAAATTTTTTTGAGCCGGGTTTAGAAAACGTGTACTACAAGAGGTACGCATTTTAAAGCAATTTTAAACTTTCAAAATAATTCAAGTGATGAAAAAAATAATTCGGAACATCTTCAAAAAAATAACAAAACATTTTTTTAACCAAGCCCTCATTTTTTTAAAAAAATATTTCAAAGATATTTTTTTAAAATTATTCTTTCATTTTATTAGAAAAAAAATACTCGAGTTCATTTGAAACTTTGTGGATGAAAAGTTTAGTTGGTGACGATAACTTTTTTTAGATTTGGAAAGTTGGTTTCTAGATTTTTTTAGCTCAATTTCATACGAATAAATGAACTTTCATTGAAAAAAATTAAATTAATCAAAGAGATTAAAAAGTAAAAAGAAATTTACAACATCCTTCCAGGAGCTGTTACCGCACGCGAAAGGAGATTCAAAGTTGGATCGGCAAAAGTCTTTGACGGCTTTGAACGAAATCGCTGAGATGAAGAACTGCACGAAAGTCATGTATTTCGAAAGCAAGAAAAAGAAGGTTTCGAAACGAAAATTTAGTTCCAATCCGAAAAAAAGGATGATGTCTTCAGGACACTTTCCTGTGGCTCGCCAACGTTGAAAAAGGTCCCTCGGCCAAATTTCTCGTCCACAATATTCACACTTTGCGGGAATTGAAGCTTTCTGGAAATTGTTTGAAGGTGATTCATTAGACAAAATTGAGGAAAATGAATCATTTCAGGCCTCAAGACCGATTCTCGCGTTTGACGACGCTTTTGATGCGAAACCTCATTTGGCATTGATCAAGACGATGTTGATTCAGGTAAATCGTTGAGATAATGATAGCTTCTTTAAGCTTTTTGGTTTTTTCCTGTCCCAATCTTCCATGTTTCAACTGAATTTTTGAGAGTAAAAAATCTTTTAAAGTATAAACAAACCTCTAATTTATTTTCGGAAAAATCGCAGAATTTTTTTTTTTTTGGTTCAACTAGGCGTATTTCTCGAAATCTTATCAAGGTAGTTTCACAAAAGCTTTTGTTAATTTTTTCTATTTTGGTCATCTATTTTAGAGTTTTCTGTATCCCGGATAGGCCCGTGAGTTCTCTAAATTTTCGGAATAAATCAGGAAATAAATAGCGTTTCCTTTTTCTTGATTTTTTTTTTTTGTGTTCTCTTCTTTTTTCAACACGTTTTTGTGAAAACTCGGAAAGTATCTCAGTCCCTTTTATTTTCTTTCTCTCTTATCATGGTTAGTTTTCACTCTGTAGTTTGTCCATATTTGAATCTATCCAACTGAATCGTTTCCATTGCTTCGTTGAATATAATTAGATATTTTTTTATATTCTCAGACCTTGGGAACGCCAAATCACCATCCACGAAGCCAGCCTTTCGTTGACCACGTCTTCAACTTTTCCGTTGGCGAAGGCGACAAAATTTGGTTCAGAAACTTCCAAATTGTTGATGAAAGTCTTCAGCTTCAGGAAATTGGTGAGAATTTCAATAAAAAAGGAAAAAAAAAAGTTAGGATTAGAAATGAGAAAGATGTAATTTTTTATGGTTTCGAAAAAGCTCCTTTAGAAATTCAATTGGTAGTTTCCCGGATTATTACTTCTTTTTGATTTTTATAAAATATGGAGTTTTTAGGTTTACTTATGTCTTCATTAAAATTGAGTTTTTCATTTCTTTTCAACTTTTTTCAAAGCTTCCAATTTGAGCCTATTTTGTATATATAGTTTTTGTTCGATAATTAAGCGTTCTTTGAGTAAATTCCTGCAAAATTTTAGAGCGTTGCTGATATTTAAGTTGAATTTTGAATCTTCGTAATGCCGTGTTCAATTTGATTCCGCGAAATGCAAAATACCCGTTAGAGAAAGGAAAAGATCACTAGATTTCGGAGAGTCAGAGATCATTTCGCATTTCGCGGAATCAAATTGAACACGGCATAAGAAATCGAGAATTCGAAAAGCCTCTCTGTGTTTTTCTTCTTCGAACGTCTTTTTTTCAATAATTGATCATCAAAAGCTTTGAAATAACTTCAAATGTAGGCCCTCGATTCGTACTCGAAACCGTGCGTGTTTTCGCCGATTCGTTTCAAGGAGCCGTCCTTTACGACAATCCAAATTACGTCAGTCCGAATGTCATCCGACGGCAGATTCGCAATGGAAAGACTGGATATATTGAACGGCAACTTCATCATAAGGTTTGCAATTTGAAGTCTCAAGATTCACGGCTGGTTTGAGACGCTAAGGGGCGTGGCTTGCCTGCGCTCTTTACCAACCGGGCACTGTCTTCTTTTATCGTGTCAGGACCCTTTTTCTGGAAGGTTCAAGCCTGCCGTGAATCAGCTGTAGTGTGTCGGCCGGGACTTAACAGTTTTCGGGAGTCTGCTTTTCTCTGTTCCCTCCTCGGCGAGGTCAGAGAAACATGAAAATAGCTCATGAGCATGAGAGGGTCGCCGAGTGACGGGGAGGGAGCAGAGAAATCAGACTTTTCGAATCGCAAAAAATTGACTATCATATATTTGAAAATTTTCAAGTTGACTTTGAAATAATTGTAGTAATAAAAAGATCAAAAGATTCAGTTTATATGAATTGAGGGCCTGAAAAAAAGAAATCATTAATACGAAGTATGAACTTTATTTGTATTTTTGAAAGAAAAAAGGATTTTTTAGGCTATGGACATCAAGCGGCAAACGGTGAACCAGATTCTGACTGAGAAGGTTTCTGACCCCGTCGGAAAGGTAATTTTCAACCCTTTCTTCAATTTTACTCGTTTATACATGATATCATCTTCAAGGAGTTCAACACGAAAGACGTTGAAATGTCCGAGGCGGCCCAAGCAATCACATCGAAAATCGACAAGCCCAAGAGAAAGAAGAAGAAGTTGGCCAAGAGATCTGAAAAGTACACTCATTCTGTCTGAATCTCTTTTTTATTTGTTACTTCTCCCAATTGTTTCATTGTTGAATTTGTTCCATTGTTACCCGATATATTGTTATAAAATCTTTTTCTTTTCTTTGAAGTTTTGATTTTCATTGAAAGGAAACGTTGCCGTTTAATATTTTTATGATTTTCTTCAATTTGTTCTGTCTTATATGTTTCCAGTTGCTTGTATGTTTCAAGTCACCTTTATATCTTTGAAAAGCTTTTTCGGAGTAATCGAATTCGAACACATTGCGAGTAATAAATGATTAAGGTGATGTCGGGTGAGTATAAACAAAACTGGCCTCCTGAATCCGAAGGCCAGGACGCCTACGTCCGGCTGAACGTCGGCGGCGCCCTTTATCAGACGACGTTGGCCACTTTGAAGAAGCAGGACACGATGCTGAGGGCCATGTTCAGCGGCAGACTTGAGGTTTGGTGGAGTGGAAGAAAGATATTTGATTTCGCTGCTAGTTCACTTTTTCGGGAAGTTATAATTGCTTTAAAAAAAGAAGAGAGAAAAAACATTATAGATTTCCATTAACAGTTAACTGTTTTAAAAGGTTGATGGGGTTTTATTTTGGTACTTTTTTTCCACCCCTTTAAATTCCATAATCCTGGTGAACTCGATAGAATCGATAGAAGATGAAGCTTTTTTTGCCCTTTTTGAGCCCATTTTTGTTTCTTTTTGCGAGTGTGTCGTATAGTGTGTTCCGCACGAGAAGCCGCGAAAAAAAAAGGTCTTGAAGCGAAGATTTGATCATATTCGGTGTACAGTCTTTTTGGCGGAAATGAAAACGTGACAAACTGGAAAGGAACATTTCACTAGATAACATTCTATTGAGACTAAAACTGAAAAAAAAAGATACTCGAAATTTTTTTAATAAGACCAAGAAACATGAAAGTCACATGAAAATTTATTATATTTAACTATACTACAAAATTTGGCTTACCTGAAAAATTCTTTCATCGGGCAGAAGGTTGACTACCAGCTTTTTCCTAGGTTCTAAAAGACGAGAACGGATGGGTTCTCATCGACCGGAATGGCAAGCATTTTGGGGTGCTCCTTGATTATCTGCGCGACGGTTGGGTTCCTCTTCCCGACTGCAAACTCGAAATCCAGCAGATCTTGAATGAAGCTCGGTATTTCCTCATTCAGGTAAATGTTTGAGCCGGAAATATGAGAAAATGATTTCTAGTCAGTGAAGTTTGGTTGAAAAAAAAGCACGTCGTGAAGTTCAAACTCCGCCCCCTAATGGCGTGATAAACCAATCAGAAAGCGAGCCATCCACAGAGTGTTTTCGAATGACGTCATTGTACTTGGCATTCAAAATCTGTACTCTAACTTGAAACAGTCTGACGTGCCTGGGCCCTCCTCTCTCTCACCGAAAGGGTCATAGAAACGTAAAATTAGCACGTAAACTTGAGAGCGTCGCTAAGAGAAGAGATGGCGCAGAGAAATGACTTTTCCAAGTCGGGGCGAATAGAGTATAGAATATAGAAAAAATAACGAAAACTTGAGAGAATAGTCAAAAAATGGGCTGAAAATTAAACAGCTTGGAAAACCCAAGAAAAAATATGGTATTTTAGGGCCTCCAATCAGAATGCGAGTCCTGGCTGGATCTCCACTCCCAAAAGACATCTCGAGCCAAAACTGGCACTTGTTCGATTTTAACAGTAACTTCCAAGGAGGAAGCTGAAGAGATCATTATCCCTTCCTTGAAGGTTTATCATTACTTTTTCCCATGAAAATATGAAGATTCAGCCTTCGATAGTACTTCTCCTCAACCGACACAACAACAAGTTCTCCTACACTATGCAATCCGACGACAATCTTTTGAAGAACCTGGAATTATTCGAGAGACTCGCCCTCAAGTTCCACGATCGGATATTGTTCATCAAAGGTTTCCTGGGGAGATTTCCGAAGAAATTCTGGTTTTCCAGACATGGGAACTCATTCCTCGGAGATTTGCCAATGGCGATTTTATGGCCAATCGGCGCTTCGAGCCGGCGTTTGCTGTACTTCTATTGTGTACGCCACTGACAGGAAACAAACCAAAGTTCGTGTCAAAGACTTAGGAACGAAAGATAGGTCTTTAGAAGGCCGATCGTGAGAAAGGTCAGGAAAAAAATTTTGAAAAATTCCAAAAATAATTTTTTTAAAATTTATAAAATCCACGATCGGCCGATTGTGAGAAAGGTCAGGAAAAAGTTTGAAAAATTCCAAAATAATTTTTTTATTTTTCTAAAATTCACGATCGGCCGATCGTGAGAAAGGTCAGGAAAAAAATTTGAAAAATTGCAAAAATAATTTTTCTTAAAATTCACGATCGGCCGATCGTGAGAAAGGTCAGGAAAAAAATTTGAAAAATTGCAAAATAATTTTTTTCTTAAAATTCACGATCGGCCGATCGTGAGAAAGGTCAGGAAAAAAATTTGAAAAATTGCAAAATAATTTTTTTCTTAAAATTCACGATCGGCCGATTGTGAGAAAGGTCAGGAAAAAAATTTGAAAAATTCCAAAATAATTTTTTTAAAATTTATAAAATCCACGATCGGCCGATTGTGAGAAAGGTCAGGAAAAAAATTTGAAAAAATTCCAAAATAATTTTTTTAATTTATAAAATTCACGATCGGCCGATCGTGAGAAAGGTCAGGAAAAAAATTTGAAAAAAATTGCAAAATAATTTTTTTCTTAAAATTCACGATCGGCCGATCGTGAGAAAGGTCAGGAAAAAAATTTGAAAAAATTCCAAAATAATTTTTTTAAAATTTATAAAATCCACGATCGGCCGATTGTGAGAAAGGTCAGGAAAAAAATTTGAAAAATTGCAAAATAATTTTTTTAATTTATAAAATTCACGATCGGCCGATCGTGAGAAAGGTCAGGAAAAAATTTGAAAAAAAAATTGCAAAATAATTTTTTTTCTTAAAATTCACGATCGGCCGATCGTGAGAAAGGTCAGGAAAAAAATTTGAAAAAAATTGCAAAATAATTTTTTTCTTAAAATTCACGATCGGCCGATCGTGAGAAAGGTCAGGAAAAAAATTTGAAAAATTGCAAAATAATCTTAAAATTCACGATCGGCCGATCGTGAGAAAGGTCAGGAAAAAAATTTGAAAAATTGCAAAATAATTTTTCTTAAAATTCACGATCGGCCGATCGTGAGAAAGGTCAGGAAAAATTTGAAAAAATTGCAAAATAATTTTTTTCTTAAAATTCACGATCGGCCGATCGTGAGAAAGGTCAGGAAAAAAATTTGAAAAATTCCAAAATAATTTTTTTAAAATTTATAAAATCCACGATCGGCCGATCGTGAGAAAGGTCAGGAAAAATTTGAAAAATTGCAAAAATAATTTTTCTTAAAAATTCACGATCGGCCGATCGTGAGAAAGGTCAGGAAAAAAATTTGAAAAATTGCAAAATAATTTTTTTCTTAAAATTCACGATCGGCCGATCGTGAGAAAGGTCAGGAAAAAGTTTGAAAAAAAAATTCCAAAATAATTTTTTAAAATTTATAAAATTCACGATCGGCCGATCGTGAGAAAGGTCAGGAAAAAAATTTGAAAAAAATTGCAAAAATAATTTTTCTAAAATTCACGATCGGCCGATCGTGAGAAAGGTCAGGAAAAAAATTTGAAAAAAATTGCAAAATAATTTTTTTCTTAAAATTCACGATCGGCCGATTGTGAGAAAGGTCAGGAAAAAAATTTGAAAAAAATTCCAAAATAATTTTTTTAAAATTTATAAAATTCACGATCGGCCGATTGTGAGAAAGGTCAGGAAAAAAATTTGAAAAAAATTGCAAAATAATTTTTTTCTTAAAATTCACGATCGGCCGATCGTGAGAAAGGTCAGGAAAAAAGTTTGAAAAAAATTCCAAAATAATTTTTTTAAAATTTATAAAATCCACGATCGGCCGATCGTGAGAAAGGTCAGGAAAAAATTTGAAAAATTGCAAAATAATCTAAAATTCACGATCGGCCGATCGTGAGAAAGGTCAGGAAAAAAATTTGAAAAAAATTGCAAAATAATTTTTTCTTAAAAATTCACGATCGGCCGATCGTGAGAAAGGTCAGGAAAAAAAGTTTGAAAAATTCCAAAATAATTTTTTTAAATTTATAAAAATTCACGATCGGCCGATCGTGAGAAAGGTCAGGAAAAAAATTTGAAAAAAATTGCAAAAATAATTTTTTTAAAATTTATAAAATTCACGATCGGCCGATCGTGAGAAAGGTCAGGAAAAAAATTTGAAAAAAATTGCAAAATAATTTTTTTCTTAAAATTCACGATCGGCCGATCGTGAGAAAGGTCAGGAAAAATTTGAAAAATTGCAAAATAATTTTTTTCTTAAAATTCACGATCGGCCGATCGTGAGAAAGGTCAGGAAAAAATTTGAAAAATTGCAAAATAATCTTAAAATTCACGATCGGCCGATCGTGAGAAAGGTCAGGAAAAAAATTTGAAAAAAATTGCAAAATAATTTTTTTCTTAAAATTCACGATCGGCCGATCGTGAGAAAGGTCAGGAAAAATTTGATTGCAAAAATAATTTTTTTCTTAAAATTCACGATCGGCCGATCGTGAGAAAGGTCAGGAAAAAAATTTGAAAAAAAATTGCAAAATAATCTAAAATTCACGATCGGCCGATCGTGAGAAAGGTCAGGAAAAATTTGAAAAAAATTGCAAAAATAATTTTTTTCTTAAAATTCACGATCGGCCGATCGTGAGAAAGGTCAGGAAAAAAATTTGAAAAAAATTGCAAAATAATTTTTTTCTTAAAATTCACGATCGGCCGATCGTGAGAAAGGTCAGGAAAAATTTGAAAATTGCAAAAATAATTTTTTCTTAAAATTCACGATCGGCCGATCGTGAGAAAGGTCAGGAAAAAAATTTGAAAAAAATTGCAAAATAATTTTTTCTAAAATTCACGATCGGCCGATCGTGAGAAAGGTCAGGAAAAAAATTTGAAAAAATTGCAAAATAATTTTTTTCTTAAAATTCACGATCGGCCGATTGTGAGAAAATTCACATAAAAAAAGCCATAATCGGCCGATGTAATTTTTCATTTTGAAATCACTCCAAAACTTTTTTTAGGTCGAATTCCCCGATTCGAAAAATCTACGACGAGGCCATGTCGATCCTTCGCTATGAAAGCCGGACACTCTGTTCCCGTTGTGGCGATTCGTGTTAAAAAATCCTAACAAAAAAAAACGAAACGAAACCAAAAACGAAAAACTTCAGACCACTGTACAACGAAAAGACCAAAAAGAAAATCTTTCATGATCTCGAGTAGAAAATGTATAAAAATTCATTGTGTCCATAATACATATATGTAGATTCGATGCGCACAACCATTCCATAAATATTTTGACTATTTCGAGTTATATCACAAGTTACTGAAATGATTAGAGAGATACATATCATAAAACATCAGCTTTCGATGGCTTCATCTTCTTCTTTTTCCACTTCTCGCTCCTCTTCTTCTTCTTCGTTCGTTTCTATCATCCTTGGTAAAAAGTCTCGATCCGGCCAAGTGGCGCAGAACAGTTTTCGGCACTGAAAAATGAAGTTATTCAAATTAAATAAAATTACGTAAGGAAAAATTGTATTATTGGCTATTTTGGCTTGATCCTAAGCTTTCCGTTGAATATTAACTTATTTTGGTCTAGTAAAAAAAACAAAGAAAAAAAAGGCCCGGAGTAGATCTGTGTAAAATAGAGACACGCAGGCGTTGCGAAACAAAAAAAACGAGAGACCTTATAATGGTAAGAGCAAGGTCGGAATGGTGGATAATGGCCGCTAAAAGGGAGAGGCTCAGAAAAGGCTACAGAAAGGGAGCAAAGAGAGTCCCTTTATCGACCCTTCCGATTTTTATATGGTATTTTAAAGACTCAGGAAATGATGAAAAAAGGGGGAGAGGCAGCAAAAAACGTGCATAAGGGCCTAGAAAATGCCGCAAAAAGGCAGCAAAAAAGAACCTTTGTTACCCTTAGTATAACTTCCCAGTTACTTATTATATCTAAACTTGGGTTCTTCTAAAGTCATGTACTCTGAACCACATCGGCTGTCAAAAACCTCTTCGATCAAACTGGAGAACTCGAGATCGATGTCCACAGAAGGCGTCGTGATGACGTTTTCGGGCAGGTCCAGACCTTCCGTCACCGAATTTCTCATCTTGAAGCGCATTTGCCAAAGTGGACTGATATCTACTCAGAAAAAATAACTTCATTTTCTTCATTTATTGGTACCTTTCTGCTTGAATAATCGATCGATAAATCCATCAAGATCCTGTTTTTCATCTTCCTTCCCCGTAACATGAACTAATACTGAAAAACCGAGATTTCAACTATTTTTATCTTTTTTTTTCAGCTCACAATATCCCTTAGGCGCTAGACAAGCCTCGAAACCAGCCTCAATTATTCTCGTAGTCGTTCCGTTTCGTAATGAAGAGGCGTTGATCAAAGTTATCTAATCGAAGACTCAAGGATAAATATCGGATTATTCAATTCCTCACAAATTCTTTATCTTCCTGTAGAATGGAGCGATTTGTAATGAATATCCGACGTTGAATTTGGAAGTTTGTGAGGTTCAAAGGAACTGATTTGGGAAGATAAGTTTGTGACATGATCACGTGGTCACAGTTCACACGTTGTCCGTTGGTTATTACTCCGACTATTCTAAAAAAATTGTTTATCAGGTTCAAATAAAGGTCAAGAAATTTATTATATGTTTTATCCTAATCTTAAAAAGCGTCTAATTTATTTTTTTGTGTAGAAGTTTGGCGTTTACTGAAATTTTACTCGCTCAAAAAGGCATGTAGAATGGCTAGGCGCGGCAGGCTGCCTTTTTTTAAAAGCGCACCCGACTCAAAACGACTTACGCTCATTAAAGTGGAAATTTCAGCAAACAGCTTCCAATGAAGCACGTTTTTTTCCATTATTTACCTGTTCTCCTTCTTCACGACGAAATCGATAGGTTTCCCCAAGCAGTAGAGGCTTCCGAAAACGGCAGAAAGTCTACAATAATACTGGGCCATCTCTCCGTTTCCATAAAGCGGGAAAAGAAATGGAGAAGGTCCGAAATGTCCAACTGAATCCATAAAACGGCATACCGCTTCGAGACCCTGAACATTTGGGAAATGACAAGAAATGCGGAGTTTTCCTTTTATTAAATAACTCTGATCTTTGGTTGAAACCGCTGGAAATTAATTTATCGAATAAAACATTGAAAAAACTTTCGAAGTCAAAAAATAAACATTTGTAGAAAAAAGAAGGTATTGCTCATGTTACAAGTGCGCTCTAAGGATAAATTGCAGAAAATCATCAGAAAATGTTCAGTTTTATCTTGAAAACTTCTTTTTTTTTTCAAATTTGAATAACCTTGGCCGTGGTCGGTTGATCTTCGAGTATTCCAATCGTGCTAGTAATATATGAGCGCAGATTTTCCGGCAATTTTTGTGATCGGAGGAATTCGTCGAAAGGCTTGTCCGCAAAGTCTTAAACTGTGAATTTTGACTGGAAGCGGGTGGAAATGAACCTTTGATCGCATTTCGGGCATCTTCAGGAGAGCTGGCCCTCCATTGGGTGCAAAACGTGATGAATTTCATCAAAAACCGTTTGTCCATTGTTCTAAAGCAGAAAAATTCTCAAGAGAAAGTCTGAAGATTATTATAAATTTTTTGAGCTTTTTGTTGTCAAGTATTGTGAAAAAAATATGAATGGAATGTAAAATAACTAGATAAATATTTTCTTATAGATTTAATATCCTTCCAGACTCAAAGTTTGAAAAAAAAAGTCTCTGGCCCGGTTTTCAGTTTTTTTCAGTCGTCACAAATGGAAAAAAATTCTAGACTCCTAATAAACCGCGGAAAATTATTCATTTTGAAGCCAAATTAAGGCTTTCAAAAAAACTTGAACATAGCAAATTCTTGGGTTCAAGAAGAAGAAAATTTGAGCCTAGGTAATTTCAACCATTTATTTTTCCCTTCAGAACTTTTTTAAAAACCCAAACTTGATCAGGCTTGTGCGTCAGGCCGGGCGGCCCGGGCTCCGGACATCACATTTTTGTCATGAAAAAAACTTGATATTCGACTTGAAAAATATTTGAGCTTTTTGGGTCGGGCCGGCCATTGAGGCCTCTCTAAGCCCGGGCCGCGTCTGGGCGGGCTCAAAAAATGGCCGGGAGGCCGTTAGGCTATCTCTGAACTCATCAATCCTCTGAACTGAATGGACTTCGCCATAGAGCAAAATTAACTTTATGATGATATTTTTGAGCTATTCCTTCAGGGCACTATTGATCTACCCTGTCTATTTGAATGAAATCACTCACGACTCTCAAAATTTCCAGTATCTTAAGTTCTTTTTAATCAACTTTTCTCCTTTTCTCTAGACCGACAAGCTTTTCAGAGAGAAAGTAGTAAGCCGAAAATTGTGATACAACCAGAAAAAGACCTAAAACTCACGAGAGGACCTGGCTGGTGAAGATCTCGCCCTTGCTGCAAGGAACCCGATGGAAGGAGATATTTCCGTCGGCTTCTGCGAGGGGACACAGTTGCCGGTCGACGAGTTTGAACTCGGCGTACTTGGAAACTTGGGAATCGCACAGCACTTGCACCATGTCGCCTTTCGCGAGCAGGACCTAGCAAGTAAGATGCCTTTTTTTGTTTTTAAAAATTCTGAATTTCTTAAGAGTTTGTCAAAACACTCTTTGAAGAGGATAATTATAGCTGATTCAAGGCTGACTTGAGCCATCGAAAAATGAGTCCTGACACGATAAGAAATGAGACAGTGCCTGGTTGGTGGAGAGCACAGACAGGCCACGCTTCTTTGCGTCTCAAGGTAGCCGTGAATCGGCTCGTTTGAAAAAACTGAGACCTTCTATAAAAAACGGTCACATTTTTTGAACTTTTAATTCAAAAGAAGGGGCATTCAGACACTCTCATGCTGATGAGGGTAGCTCAGTTGTTTTAATACGGGCTCTCAAAGGGCCTACCCGTATTAAGCCCGTATAAACACAGTCCTGAAACTTCTAACCCTTGTTTTTTTTTACCACAGTTGAGTAATCGTTTTAGCAAAGTTGGGCCACAGATTTCGAAATACAGCTGGTTCATAAATGTTTCTTACTGATGTAAAACGGGCTCTCAACGGGTGTACCCGTATCAAACCCGAATAAGCACAGCCGGTAGAACTTTTGGAATTTTTTCACCATAGTTGGGACACCCCATCTTTGCACAGTTGGGTTTCAGGTTTTCGGAATGAACACAGCTGAGTCATCTTTATCTTCTTGCACCCGTTTTTCTCCCGTTTCAGCCCAAGTGGGATTCGAATAGCCTCAAAAACAGGTTAAATACGGCTACATCCGTTGAGATATCGGATTTACTTTTTATTTGAGCTTTGAAATATCCTGTCAAACCTAAAGTTTGTGGCAAAAATTTCGCTAACCAAGCCAAAAATAGAAAAATATGATCTCTATAAGCGGCTTTTAGTCTATTTAAAGGATATTTCTGAAACTGGAAACTGTTCTCAAAAATTGGTCATATTCTCAATCTCACCTTCGGCAAGACGTCGATGGAAAACCTTCGAGCCGACTTTTTCAAAATCTCCTCGTGGGTTTTTTCTTCTTTTTCTTCTTTTTCTTCCCCTTCAACTGCCTCTTCTTCTTTTCTGATTGAAGTTGAGCTGAAAATTCAGAATTCTTTTCTGAGTTTCTACTTTTTCGAACCAAGCAGGAAGCCATCCATGTTCAACATCCTCAACGAGTTTATTATCCCCCAGTAGGACCAATTCTTCGCCTTCTTCCAAAAACTTCTCAAACGTGGAAACGTCCGCATTTTCTTGAATCGGAGCCTGAAAATGGTATTATTTTTTATTTCAAAGAATGTGAAACAGGAAACCTGGGTATTGACCCATTCATGAACACAATCCAAGTTCAAAGACGTCCAATCGGCGCCGTAAAATGGATTTCTGAAGGAATAAGTTTGAAAATTTTTTTTCGTTGATTGAGATTTTTTTCAATATTTTCAAAACTCAGGCTTTTTACCAGAAATTTTTTTCTATAGCTCGTTGATCTTATTCAGATCTAAAAATATATGAAAAAAAGGAAATTAATGAGACCATCAAATTTTTCAAAAAAATCGTTCGTCAAATAAAAACATATTCAAAGCTTTTCATTAAATCATCATATTCCAGATTATAAAAGTTCAGAAAAACGTGGAAACCTGTCCAAATGAACGACGGAAAGGCCGGATCGGGCACAGGCGGCGGCGAGAATCGCCTCCGGCAATCCTGTACCCAAAACTATGACGTCGACCTTCGACGGCAGCGGCTCGTCCATCCTGTTGGGAGTCATCCATCTTATTTTACAGAAAGGAAAAAAAGAATGAATAAAGCAATGGGAGATGAACCACTTCAATCGCAAAAAAAAGAGACATAATATAAATGTTAATAATATTTATTATATATATAGAGGACTATTTTAATTTACAATTGATGAGAACCCGCGAGAAATACAGTCATCCACGCTTGTACCAGCGATTCGGCTTGAGTCTTTCGTAGAAAAGCATGTAGGCCTGGCAGAGGCCCACCTGCTTGTACGCCACCTGGTTCACCTGAGAAAATGAAAGAGTTATTCTCGTGAGTATGGAAATTTTGTTTTAAGATCCCTGTTTTTCCGTCGGAAATTTCGAGAAATTAAATATCAGAACGAAAAGAAAAATGAAGTTTTCGTTCCCTATGAAGATCACCAAAACTTTTTTTTAAAAAATGAATTTTCTCTAGATTGATGATTTTTCCAACTTCAAGAAAGAAAACTGAAGTTCAACTCGACTCATTCAACTTTCAAAAAATATGACTTTCGCATCACTATAAACATTTTGAATATTATTCAAAACTCATAATTTTTTTTAAATCGAATTAGTTGGGCTCTTAGTTATTCTAAGAGGTTTGTAGAGATTGAGTAAATTTTATAAACCAATTTAGTTGGATCAAAAATAACTTGACTTTGTAAGTCAATAAAAAAAACTTCAAATAATTATGAAATTATTGGAAAGAAATATGAATTTTTGCTTCAATATGTTTTTAGATTCATGATTTTATCAAATCAAAATTATCCTGTTTAAAATAAATTAACAGTTAAAATTTATTCAATATCTAAAAAAATATTGTAGAAAGTCGAAAAAGTCCAATCCAACCACTTCAATTTTTAAAAAAACCTTTTTTTCAGAAAAATTTTGAAAATTACTGAAGTTTTTTTGAAGGAATATCTTATGACTAAAAAATTAAATTTACAACGACTTTTCAGCTCTTTAGGATTTTTTTCAGCATTTTTTTAATTCTCATTGAAACTTTTCTTTAGCCCATTTAACCACTGAAGAAAAAAACCTTTTTCCGAAAAAAAGAATAGTTATAAAAAAACCTTTGCTTACATGTGAGGTTTTGAATTCAGGTTGCATGTGATAAAAAATCTCACAGTGTTCAAATTTTTTTCTTTTTTTTAATATTAGCGATTGAAATAAAAGAGTTTTGAGATAACCTCCCAGAGGAACTTTTAATCATCGACTCCTTAATTTTTGAAGAAAAAAAACGAATAAAAGATGAAATGAATCAAAAATAATTGGCACACTTGATCGAAAAAAAAGAAATCTGGTTGCAAACCTGAGAATCATTAGTGAGGAACCAGTTGAAAGAGTTGGGAGCTGGACCACGACGATAGGTCACGAAATGGCCCGAGAAGGGTCCTCCGCGGTGTTCGCAAACGGCCCGAAGTTGGTAGGTGTGTCGTTCGGCTTCCGCGTGGCCTTCAGTCAACTTGGCGTGACTGCGAAATTTATTTTTTTAAAGAAATTTTCAGGCAAACAAAAAAATTAATCAGGAATCTATTCTTTTAAGTCAAGAAATGAAGAACAGGAAAAGAAAGTAATGTGTCCAATTTTTTTATGGTTTTACTTCAACGTCATTTTTTATCTGAAGACTTTTAAGTTTTTGAAAAAGATTGAAAAGAAAAAAGTAAAAAAAAAAACGAAAAAACTTTTCTTTTTGGCTGAGCGGCACAAACTTTTTTTCCATCAAAGCCAAAAAGTGCGAAAAACCATCTTTGAAATTTTTTTGTACAGTTAAAGTTCTACGTCTACAGTACTTTTTCTTTGAAAAATATTAGAGATTCGAGAAAAAATGTCAAAAATGAGTCTCCTGTTCTCCCTCAAAATTAAAATTGCCTTTTTCATGCTTTACCTGATTTCGAGAAGGTTCTGTATCCCACCTTATCGAAGGAAACCGAGGATCTGAAGATTCCAGCAGGGAACTTGTGACTTTGCCGCGAAGTCCGTCGACAATCTCAGCTCCGCCGAAAACTCTCGCCGAACCGTCCGCCAATTCCCACTTTCTCTGCGATTCCTCATAGGCTTCCTGGAAAAACATGATTTTCCAACTCTCAGTTCTGGAGATCTGCAGAAGCTTGTTCATGTTGAGAAAGACCGTAATTTTGACGGATTTTATCTTTTTTCAGCTTTTTTTCTATTTCTAGTGTAGGTTGTACTTTCTGAAATGCTTTGAAAAAGTTCCTAGTTAAATCTTTTTTTGTGCTAGCTCTACAAACCCTACAGATAATTTTTCCTTTTAAAAAAAGGGATTTTTCTGATTTTTTTGTTCTAATTTTTAATTTTTGACGCTAACGTCTTTACTTATTTTTATTTGACTAAGTCGTGAAAAAAAACTTTGAACCAAAAATTTTTAACCCTAATTTAGAAACTTATATGATTGACTGACCAATCTCGCTTATATTTTTTGAATTCTGGCCAATCCAGTTGAAAATGTATACATTAGAGTTCACCTAAAGAAAAGCTAGCTGTTGAAAAAACATTCTGATTATTCTTGAGCTTCAATTTCAAAATAAAACCCATCAAGAGACTCTCATCCCTAGCTAGCTTGGTTCATCAAAAACCAAAATCAGATATCTCCTTTCTGAATGCTATTAATTCAGTTCTAAAAAAAAACTGAATCAGACTTTTTTTCTGGATTCTGATACCTTTCGCAACCTGAAATCCCTTCTGAAGCAGACTTCCTGAACGGACAAATGTTCACTGAAAGAGACGTGTTCGTTGAGTTTCAAGTGTCCCGAGGGCAGCATTCCGACACGTTCCAGGCGGATCAGGAGCGTCTGGGGCATCTATAAATTCGAAATTCGGGAATTTTCGAAGAAAAATATTAGATTTGAAGTTATCTCATGCTGATGAGGTATATCAACCGTTTTAACAGGAACTTAAAGCGGGCGCACCCGTTGACACCTATATACTATTTTGGGATGTTTAAAAGCTACTTTTTAAGCGGCTCTTCACTTATACTTTCGTTCTTACAAGAAAACTGGGTTTTCTGGAAACTTTTGAAGCTCCTTCTTGGGAATTTTCCGCTAATTTCTGTGCAGTTATTTTTTCACAACTTTTTCCATAGCTAGTTTGTCAAAAATTGTACTAAGAATTGTATCTTTCAAAATGTTCATATACTTCAAAGATTTTCCTATTTTTCACGCCAAAGGCGGTGTTAGTACCGCTCAAAAGTTCGAACAAACCTTGACAATGCCGTGTTTTTTGAGGAAGCCCTTCTGTTTCCGAGAATTCTCCTTGCACTGGTCGCAAGTCGCGTCTCGAATCACCTCAGAGCAAAAGTACCTTCGCAAAATGTGCTCGATATTCGTTGGCTAAAAAAAATAATTCATACTTTTTTTTATGGATTGGTTAAAAATCTAAAGTTGCGCGCAGGCCGGACACAACTACGTACTAAGTTTTGATTTTCTTAATTTTCCCCTGATTTCAAGGGTGGATTCAATATTTTCGGTGAAACTGCTTTTGATCACATTATTCACGATTCAAACCCTTTAAGACAGAAAAGTTAAGAAATAGTCAAAAATTCGACCGCTTCGCAAGCCGCGACGCGCAGCTCTCTGAAAATCTTACCGTGCCCATTTGTGAATTCGGAATGGTCAATGTTAAGGCGCTGAACGACTCGTATTTGATTGTCTAAAAAAGTATTTTTTTAAATAATTTTGAGGTGTTTTGCTTCAAACCCTGTAGTTGCAAGCGCTGTTCATGCATCGGAATTCGGTGGCGGTCAGGCCGATGCAAGGGGCTCGAAGACGGGCGTCTAACCGCGCCGCACCTGCACATCTCTCGAACGAGAGTTGCTGTCGACTCATTGTTTCCTGAAAACCGGATTGGAAAAAAAAGATGAAGAAGACCGGCCAGTTTAAAAGCCAATTGAATGCATGTACCTGACATCCTAACTTATCATAAAAAAATTTTCGGTCTGGATCATTTTTCCCAAGACGAGCTTTTCATTCTTTCCTATAAATTTTTGGTTGAGATATGTCTCAAAGGTTCAAAAATGCCTTTTTCTTAACGGATTTTAAGCTTATTTATCTGCTGAAACAGGAAGCTTTCTGGCAAATTTTCAAAATTCGTTTCTTGCAACAAAAGTGGAGAACTTCAGCTCAGCCGCAACCATGAAAAATTCGCTGGTCAATCAATAATTAAACAAGTTTTCCACGTCTGTTTCTCAAAAACTCAATAGCTTTAGATCCTAGAGAGCTAGTTTCGCTTCAAAATGATATGCGAATAAATGTATTATTAGTTTTAAAAAATTCTCTTTTTTTACAAGAAACCAAGATCGTGTCTTTTTCAAAAAGAATTATTTAAAAAAATATTTCCAGTTGAAAAAAATTTACTTTCATCAAAATGTCTAACTCGACACTAGAAAAGTGATGGAAGAAAAAATTTTAACGAAATCATCTTTCATTTATTTAGACTCTTCAATACTCATTTTCCCTCTACGGTGATGTATGAGAGTCTATTTTTCATTTATTATAATCCAAAAAGTCGTTTTTATATTAACCGAAGTTCAAGATACAAACTCAGAAAAAAAGCGTGTGAACCGGTAGAAAATATTTTGAAACACGGAATATTCTAAAAAGAAGTGTTGAATCTCAAAAAACAATATTTATTAAAAATTATCCAAAAAACTAACCCTTTCTGCCTGAGTACAATCTTCAATGGAGCCGTGTAGCAGATTTCGTCTTCCATTTTTCAGTTCATCTTCCCAAGTTGTGACGAAAACGTTGAAAAGCTCGTACAAATCGTGCTCAACTCCTTAAAAATGTTTTCTTATTTATTCTTATTATTCGGAACAAACCAATTGATATATTCCAGCCATGAGCCGATAAAGCTGTGACGATGTTCCCAGCGGATAAAAACATTTCCGTTCGGCTCATTTAAGCCTAAAATTAATTTATCGAAAGAATGACATTTTTACTACAAACCTATAACAATAGATCTCAAAGCATCGATAAAACCACCCTGCAGCCTGGCTTCTTCCAAATCGAGGTCCGTCAGCCAAGCGACCAGGGACGGACAGCTATAAATTCCAATTACATTCATCCTTATAAAAGAATAAAAACCTTGCCAACGCCTGCAAGAGCGAGTTAGTATAGCATGTATTCCCCAAGTTCAAAAGACCGGGAAGCTTTCTTGACCCTGAAAATTTAGGGTATATTCCCTTGAAACTTTGTAACAGAATACCTGTTCGATCAGAGGTGGACCAGTACAAGTAGAACGCTGCTGTTGCCGCTGCTCCACTCAAAAGAACGCTCCCGATCAGAGTCTTGAAATGAAAAAAAATGATAAGAAAAAAAAAATAAGAAAAAACCTTGTTCATGGAATAGTTATCGTCGTAGACGTCTCCATAAAACATCGCATATGGAGAGAACCCTCAAACCATCAATTCGAAAACTTAATTTGGGAAGAAAATGAGAAACTAAAAGACTAAAAAGAAGGAAATGACCTCAAATAATTTTGATGATCGTTGTGTCGATTTACGAGATACGGCTCACTCCTCCCATAAAACTGCGCTACTGGTGCAAAATTGGGACGCGCCCACAATTCTGCGCCGAGCGCCAAGCGTTCTCTATCTTTTTTTTTGAATCGAAAACCGCCTTCTTCCTTCCTTTCTTCTCATTTTTATCATTCTGTGTTAGCAATAGAAATGTTCGCGTGTCTTGAATTAATTCAAATATCTGAAGAAATCATTCCGATCCTTGTGGCCTTTTGTTATTTTTGATTTTTGTAAAAATACATATTTTTTTCAAAAACAAATGTCTATTGATTTATCGAAGAAATATTTTTTTAGCGTTCAAATTTCATGATTTTTTGTTGCAGAACTTAGAACAGTTCAAGGTTTATTTTTCAGCGTCCTATCGACAAAAATGCCTCCACGGACAAAAAACGTCTACGCAGCGGGGACCTTAATTCTATGTAAGCACAAGGACGTCTTCTATGAAGCGAAAATAAATGACGTGAAGGACGCCGGGGGTCCGGACCCCATTTATGTTGTACATTACCAGGTTTAATTTTGAAATTTAAGTTTTTCTCATTTGGAAAGTTTAGGGCTGGCACAAACGATACGATGAGGAGATTCCACACTCGAAAACAGATGAAATGTTTCGGGAGTCGACCAAGGAGAATATTGTGCAGGCGAAGGTGTGCATCTTGTATTTATGGCAATAATAGTTTTTAAAATTATTTTTTTTCTGAAAATATGCATTTTACTTCTAATTTCGTGCTTTTTCAGGTTGAGCGCGACGCTTTGACGAAGAAGAAGCGCAAGTCACGTGCCGAGGACGATGAGGTATTATATTCTGATTTTTGCGCTATTGTTGATGTGATAATCTTTCCAGTTGCGGAAGAGCGAAACAGGCAGCCGGACGACGTCGCCTAGCGACCGCGCCGGCAGTCATCCGGCCAGCATCGCCAGTGTTAAAGGTACTAATTGCGCTGATAAGGATAAAAGATCAGCAACTTTTTTGATTTCTTTTTATTTTGTTTCTGAAGCTTCCCGAAGAATTTTATTCTCTTTTTTTGCGTGATTTCTCTTGTTTCTTCGTATGTTTTCACGATCTCACTATCTAGTTTTTTTAATAGGACATTAAAAAAAGTGGAAGTTATCGAAAAAAATTATTTTTTTAAGGGGCTTCTTTTAAGGCTCCCTACTGTACAACGTGAAATAAAATTTACACTTGAAAAAAAAGAGGGCCATAATTTCTTTTTAACTAATTTTTATAGGTTCAAGTTTCTCACGCATTAAATGAAAAATCAGAATCTCGCTCTAACTTTCTAGATTTTTAAAATTTTCAGGTACTAGTCTTCTAAATAACAAATCTCTTGAAATTTAAATTAATCTTTTTTTTGTTTAATTGATGCTATATAGTCAAGTTGAAGAGAATTAGTTCAAGTTAAAAATATATAATTTCCGAAAAGGTTTAGGGAAAGCTGTGAAGAGGAAGGCCACAGAGGCGGGTCATTCCAAGGAGCCCAAGCAGTTGGAGGTTCTTTTTTGATTATTGATTGATTTGGCATAAATTTTTTCTCGAAACAGATGGAAATGATGCTTCCAAAGCCACTGCGACACATTCTCGTCGATGATAACGATTTGGTGGCCCGACACAATTTGGCGAAACTTCCGGCCCGACACTCCGTCCGCGACATCGTCAATGATGTATCTTTTAAATTCATCTCAAAATTGAAATTTCGCATTTTTCATCAAAAAATACGGTTATACAATCAATTTTTTCGCACTTCTTTATGAATTAATGACAGAAAAAATTTAAAAAAGAACAGAAAAAAAATTTGGAATTTGGATGCTAAGAAGAAAAGACAGAAAAATGGAGATGCATATTGTCTATAGAACAACTTTACTGCAAAACACGTTTTTGACGGGAATCCCAACTTTTTTTCCCTTTGAAAGCAAAACTCTTCGATTGAAGCCCTTCCGTGTTTATATCCGAATGGTTTACAGTACACGAAGTCGTTGGGACTGTCAGAAGAAAACACGCGAGTCGACGAAGTCGTCGTGGAGTACGACAACGGGACGACGACCGACACTTCTCTGACCTCCTTGGTCTGCTCGGCGTCGGGTCTCGTCGACTACTTCGACGTTTTGTTCGCGTCAGTTTTGTTTTACCAATTTTGGATTGAAAACTGTAGGGATTTCCGTGGTACGGAGTTACTGTTTGTTTTAAATGATGGAATTTTGGATTTTCACTGAGTCGCTGTTATTCCTGGAGAAGGGCTTGAATAACAGAATTCTTGAGTTGAAATAAAATCAGTTTGAATCCTAGGAGGTAGTATTGACAGTTTAGGAGAACTTGAAAGGTGGTTCTGGGGGCTTTCAAAAATGTTTTTTTCAGGTATTCTGGTGACTAACTTGATAATTGTAAATTTTTGTGAATTTTTAGATTAAATTTTTGTGAAATAAAATCTGTAAAAAAATAAAAAAATTTTTTTGAATTAGTAATGTTTAAAATGTTCGTCCTTATGTATGTTGGCCACTGATTTCAAAGAGAGTATAACAAACTTCTTTTTTTCGCTTTTTTCGTACGTAAATTGAGTTATCAACAAGTTAATCACTAAAGTAGTCTAAAAAAAATCATAATCGATAATTTCGCACCACCGAAATCCCAACAAGAAAAAAAGCTTTCATGCTTGAAATGGGGCGCCGGCTTTGAAATGAACCAGTTTTTTGTTGGTGAAGCTTTTTCGAATAGAGATATAAAGCTCTCATTTTGCAGATACCAACTGCTGTACAAGCAAGAACGACTCCAGCTGCAGCGGATCATCGACGAACAGAAGGCGTCGACCGAAGGACCGACCTCGAAGAGAAGACGCAAGGAGCCCGTCTCCACGTCTTCAGGTCCTTCTGAATATCCTTTCGCTCGATTTTTCATATCTAACTCACAATAATATTTTTTCAAAATCTGCCATTACCTCCCCCCACAATAAGCCTTTCTAAATTAAAATCAATGCTACTTTCCTGAAGTTAAACATTGTTTATATTTTTCAAACGTTAGTCCTGGCTAGGGAACGTTTTTTAGCATCCTGTCATTCTACTTATGTTTGGGAATTTTCTTAAAGTAAGTCAGTCTGTTCCTTGAGGTACCAAATGAAGGTCCTGAAAATTTCGACTAGGAAAAATTTTTTTAATCCAAAAACAAGGAGTCAAAGTCTTTAAAAAGCCTATTTTGAGCAATTTTTTTACTGAATACATTTTTAATGATTTTATAAGAAATACAGTTATAGAGAGTTTTATTTATTCGAAAAATTGAGCAGCTAACGCAGTTTGAAAAAAAAAACTTGGAAAATTAATAATTTTCCGGTTTCAAGTTCGAATTTTCTAAAAAAAAACTGAATGGTCTGCTTTTTGAACGAATTCAACTTACCCTAAAAGTGACAATGAGTTTTAGAAGTTACGGAGGACGAGTTCAAGCCGTCGACTGTCTACGGTCTTCCGCATTTGCTGCGACTTCTCACGAGAATGCCCACACTGTTCAAACTGTCCAATTGGAACGACCATCTCATCAAGGTGAATCGACGTAGAAAAGTTGAATAAAAAGTCTGGAATCTGTGAAAAACACAAAAGCCGTTTAATAATAGAGATTTTTTTATTTATTTTTCAATATCTATAATGTCTAAAATGTTCTTAAAAATGTCAACATTATTTTCCGGTCAGTTACTATCGGAAAAAAGAGTCTTGTGAACGTTTTATACAAATAACGAACTATCTGGCTTCAGTTAACCATCTTAACCAGAGTATTAATCAACAAAACTAAATTTGAAAAACGTGGTGAAGAGTTTTTTTCTTTGAAAATAATGTAGAAAAATTTTTCTTCTTAATTTTTTTGAATTCCAAATTTCGCTTTTTTTAAACCTTTTTGTTCTTACTGTGAAAAATAAGTTGGGAGTCAACAGGGCATCTTAAATCGAAGAGTTTTCGCTTAACTCTGTTAAAGTTTTTTCTCACCCTTGTGCCTCATTTTATGCCTAATCTCGCTACGTGTTTTATTGAAGGAAAGTTATCCAGAAATAGTGAATTATTTATAAATAAAATTTTCTCATTGATAGTTTTTTTCTGACCTCAAAAAATAAAATATAACGTAAATCTTGAAACCATTGTTCTTTTTTACACTGCCCTTTTCGGGCTGTTTTTCCAATCGCTCAAAGTTTTTATACGAGATTCTAAAGTAGAACTTGAGCTTTCCATGAATGTCGGAAACGCGTTTCAGATGATGTCGAACACGATCCACGACTTTGTCGTCTTCCTCAACAAGAACCACACCAAGTACCACAACGGGGCGACCGACTACGAGGAAGCCTCCGCCGAGTACATCAAACAACATAATCAACTCTCCTAATCAAATTCCTTCCTCCAACATTTAATCCATGTTGCCAATATTAATAAGCTGTCGTTGCCTTCCTAAATATAAGTTCTAGAGCCTTCTCGTTTCACTTCAACATATAGTTAATTCCACGAAACAACTTGATTAACTTAATATTTTTTTTCTCGTTTTAATATGATCTCTTCTTGGTTATTTCACTCTCTAAACTGCTTCTAATTCATTCAGTGTCTTAATTGGCAGCTTGAAACGATTCTGAAGGCTCATCGAAACATTTTGTCCCTCGTTTGAAGCCTTTTTTCTTATTACGCTTTACCACTCATTCATTTCATTTGTTGTACATTTACATCTTTTGCAATTTTGAAATAAAGAAACGTCCCGAAAGAAGAATTGGAAAGACTTTCAAAAGTTGGGAAAAGACAGAGAAGTTCCAATTTCATTTTTTGATAATAAAGTCAAGTTTTTAGGCTGCAAAACTTTTGATAGTAGTCATTTTTCATTGAGTCCAAAACCCCCTTTTTTTTTCGAAGATAATTGAGAAGAACAATTTGGGAAAGGAAGTGACATGTAGGCCTTTTGTGCTCCGAAAATGATCGGATTTCACGTTTTAGTCAAGCAATTTCCGTCTTTTTTCCGCTACGTCACAACTCACGAATCTGCGCAAGTTTTTGTTCAAGTGAAGAAAAATCTTGTGAAGTCTTAAGAATGGAAATTTTCAGGATGAGCTCAAAGACATGGCGAGTCCTTGAGGAAGTACAATTTCATGATCAGGTTAGGGAAATTCTAATTTTTAAAAAAAATAAAAAAATGAAATTTGCAATTAAACACAATACAGTTAAATTAGAAAAAAATAAAATTAAAGAAAAAAACTTCAAAATTTTAATAAAATTTCACTTCAAAATGAAATTTAGTGAATGAGATCCCTGATTGGCTGGTCGCGCCCACAATTATTCAATTCAAAAAAAGCGCAATTGGTCTTTTTTTCAATAGTCAGTAATTGAAATAACACAATGGAACAAAGCCTTCATGTTTATTTTTTTCATTTCTCAATTTGAAGTTATCAGAATTTGTTCACCACGGGCTCTCTACAAGGACAAGTTATTGTAGGACAGCCGATATTGCGTTTCTTGATGAAGAAAGAAAAACAAGAAAAAAAAATCTCAAAAAAAAATTGATTAAAATTCTGGCCCTTAAAAAATTCCGATAGGCTTTTCAGCGCGCTACTCCAGTCTAGCTAGCAAACCTTTGAAGAGCCCAAATTTCGATGAAAAATGGGACAATTGGTTCTATCTAGTTGATGAACTGTTTTTGAGCATAACTCTTATCTTTCTAACTTTTTCCTTCCCTAAATGGATTATCAGATTTTGGAAGCCGCACATTCGAACATCCCCAACCCTGAGGAAAAATAAGTTGTTAAATATTTGAAGCTTAACCTGGCTCAGCAACTTTCAAAGGGTTCAAATCCCGAGGAAACTTGGGAAAATCCACTGTTACAGTAACTTATGACTCCAAATGCCGGTGAATGAACTATATTGAAGAATCCCTTTTTGGCTTGTTGAATTTTTCTCTTTCTGAATGGATTATCATATTTTTGGAGCCTTATCTTGCTCAACTTTCAAAAAGTACATCTCCTGATGAAAACTTGAGCTCGGAGACTTTCAAATGGCCCAAATCCAGATGGAAATAAGAAAAATCCCTCCACAATTCTTGGCTTTACCTCGTTGGTGAACCGATCTTTGGCATCACTGTTGTTTTCCAGTCTTTTTTCTGCCTGAGTTAGATAATAAGATTTTTGGAGCCGCAACTTTTGAAGAGCACTCATCCCGATCAAGCTCTGAAACTTTAAAAGGGCCCAAATCCCGATGAAAATAGAGAATCCGATTTTTCTATAACTCATGGCTGAAGTAGGTCGAAGCTTCACTGCTGTCTTCCTGTTTTTTTTTCCATTCTGTATGAATTGAATTCTCAGGTTTTTGGAGCTTACCATGACTCTGAAACTTTTGAAGAGGCTCAGATCCCTTTTGAAAATGGGAAAGTCCTTTTTTTGTGAAACACTCTTTTTGTAAGCTTGGCGGTAGATGAACCATCAGTCTTCCTGTTTTTTTCTTAAATGGATTATCAGATTTCTGGAGCCCGGCAACTTTCAAAGAGCACACTCCAGCGGAAAACATGGGCTGCTAAGCTCGCTAATCACGTTAGAAAGTGGGCGTGAAGGGATCGCCGTCGGGAAACTGGTCCGAACGCCCCCCAATTGGGTCATCTCCGTTATCTCTACTCGCAATTCTCTTTTCCAAAGAAAGACAAAGCACACAAATCGTCGCCAACTTTTTTCTCCTTGCCTTCGAAATCTCGTCCAGGTTGCCCCCCGTGACATCATCACCAGGCTCATTTTGTAGGCCGCCGGCGCCGCCCCAATTTTCTCACTCTTTTTTGTCGCATATACTTCTTGCTCCCGAGACAAGGTCTTTCTCATTCAGTTCCTCCTTTTCCGGTCCTGATGCGGCTCTTCCTGGCCGTTTTTCTCGCCTGCTCGGCTATCACTTCAAGTCTGCCCATTCCGACGAATCTCGGTGCGGTTTTCTATGATTTTGATATGGTTTGTGAGAGTTGAGCCATGAAAACGAGCCTTACTAGGAAGGACTATGACTAGCCTCTGAAATCGTTCGAATTTTTGATCTTGGCTTGATGGACGTCCTGAAATTTCCAATTTTTCAAAAAAATTGAGTTTTCAAGATTCCATAAGAGCTATTTAAGCGGCGTTTGTTGTTTTTTTTTCAATATTTTTATTTTTTCATCAAGAGAGTTTAAGCTTAAGTTTAAGTTTAAGCAATTTTCTGGAAAATTCCACAAAAAAAAATTTGAAATAGCCATCCCAGTTCAAAAAAGGAGTAAAATATAGCCCCAGAATTAAAAAAAACTCCCATTTTTCGTGTACTTTTTGAGTTGTGCTCCATTGACAAATTTAAAAAGTCCAAATAATATTGAAAGGTTTCTGGGTTAAACTTTTCATATGATTCCTATCAAGTTTTTTTGAATTTGATTTTTCATGAAAAAAAGTGTCGAAGTTTTTCTTTTTCTGGTTTCGAAAATTCCATTCTTTTTTTTGTTGGTTTTTCCTTTCTTAGTCCGGAAGTTCTATTTTTAAAGAAATTTGCGACCTTTTTGAACCCACAAGAACTCTTGAAATTTGATCATAGAAACATTTCGAAGAACGTTTTTTTGTTTTATTCAAATTCCGGACCTTCAAAACCAGGCGTTCGTTGAGCTTCCAATGGAAATTTCATAGGGTTTCTCTTACTATTTCACTTTCATGTTAATCATATCATTACCGGCAATAATTGAGGTATGGAAAAGTCCAGAAATCCAACAAATAACCTTTTTTTCATGGTGCAATCCCATAATTTCATTTAAATTGCTGTTTGTAAAAGTCTGCAAACTTTGGTTAATTCTCACTTTTTTCTATCGGTGGTATGAAAAAAAGACCAACGAAAATTCAAACGGCGACTTTTCCGATTTTTTCATATCGCTAGGGAACTTTCCGACGGCCACTTTTCCGACGAAACTTTTTCCGACTTTTTTTCTCGATAAACTCTTCGTTTTACATATTCCTATATAAAGTAGGTAATTTGTTCATAATTAAAACACAAAGAAATAAGAAAAATGTTAATAGATGTTGTATAAACCGAAAAATATAAGGGAAAAAAGTCGGAAAGGGATCCGTCGGAAAGGTGGCCGTCGGAAAGTTCCCTAGCGAAATGAAAAAATCGGAAAAGTCGCCGTTTGAATTTTCGCTGGTGTTTTTTTCATACCTCCTTTCTATCAGACGTTCAAAATATTCTAATTGAAAGTATTCTTTTCATGATTCATAAAATAAGAGCTTCCATGCTCAATGAACAGGGAATTAGAGAATTGAAAATAGTTCTATGAAAGAAGGAAAAAACTGGAAACAAAGTTCAGAGTAGGGCTTTGTTTCCCACAAGTTTGTAGGCGAAAACAGTGACGTTGGCGGTCGAGAAGTTCCGCTACAAGTTTCCGGAAAAAGCTGTCATTTTGTAGGTGTACAGCTCAACATTTTGAGCTATATGTCATTTCTCAGAACTGACGAGGATTGTTTGGAGTTCAGAAATTGTAGTCCGAGCGAAAATTCACCGTTTCTCGCAATTCTAGCTCGTAATTATAAAAAAAGATTGGCTGAAAAAAAACTGGATGATTTTTTGAATTATTTTAGGAAGTTTGAAAATAAAGCGTTTAGAATCGATTTTCGAAAAAAAATTTTATTTTTACACCGCGCAAGCTTGTAAACAACGAAAATTGAGAATCTAGGAAGATTTTGATCAAATTTGAATTTTAAAAAATCTTTTCAAGCTCTACAAGCATTTTCTAGTGGAAGAGGTGTTACCAGCCAATCAAGAACATATCAAAGCGTGCTTCTAGTATCACTTAAGAGAACACTTTAGTCTCTTAAAATTTTTTACTTGAAAGCTCGATCCCATATTGTTTGAGTACACGAATTTTCCAAGTTTTCCTATAATTTTTCAAAATAATTGCGAAAAAAGTGCCTCAAAGCTCTTAATTTATGAAACCTATTTGAACAAGAAAGCTTTGGAATTCGAATTTTATGAATAAAATAAATTTTTTTACAATGAAAGTTTGAAAAAAATTACCAGAACTTTTGATAAATAATCGAAAAAAAGTGTCTCAAAACGGAGAAACTTTGGAATCTAAAGTTTATATTTTTTTAAAGAAAAAGCTTATTTATTCAGAAAAATAGGCAAGCCTGAGAAAAAGCCGGAATTTTTTCAGAAGAGCCGTCTTCCAACGAACCCTCGACAAATGAGCCTTCGACGCTTTCCTTGCCACGAGAGCCGAAAGGCCGCATCGACGCCATGATCGACGCCAACGCCGACGGCGAACTCGACGTCGACGAGGTCAAGTACGCCGCCTTCGTCCATCACGGCTTGTCTTCTTCCGTCGTTGACGCCATGTTCAAGCAGGTATGGACCGCAGAAAATGGATACTCCGAAAAATGTAAACTTCTCGAGCCAGTTTTTTGATAGATCCGAAAGATCATTGCGTTGGGGCTAAAAAAAAATCACATTTGAGCTTTTCCAACCATTTTGAGTTCAGATAAAGTTTCCGGGGCCCCCTACCAAACCTACTAGGAAAGAGCTAACTTTATTTAGGTTTTATTATTCTTCTAAAAATCTCTCTAGACTCCTTACTCAACATTTTCTTGATTAGTAAATAATAATCTTATTAGACTTTTCTTGTTCCCTTAATCTCTTGGAGATTTTAACTAAACATTTTTGTTATTAAAATTTCCGTCGTTGACGCCATGTTCAAGCAGGTTTGGACCGATAAAAATGGAATCTTCAAGAAATTTAAGTATTTCGAGTCAGTTTTTCAGATAGCTTTTTCATTTCAATTTTTTTGAAAAAAATATTAAAATATCTGATATTAAAAAGGTATGAAAAAAGCCTTCAAAATTATTCTAGAATTTTTTTCTGAAAGACCTGAAAAGTTTTCGAATCAATGTTCATCTTCTATGCTTTAAGATCCATTTTTCTTTAATTTTTCTTCGGTAGACCCCGAAAATGAGTAGTAGTCATTATTTTGCGCTTTTTTGGTTTTTTCCTTTCCTTTTCCAATATCTATCATTAAAAGTATAATAATTTTCAAAATTTCCATGCCGTATAATTAAAAGTTGAAAATATGTTTTTTCTGAAGAATTCTTCAAGTTTTTAACAATATATTTACATAATTTTCTATGATAAGTTTATTTTCGATGACATTTTTTTTTCGCTCTTCAAAGTCAGTTTTCTGCTTAATCTCCAAGCTTTTTTGCTATCCATTTCTTGTCTCATTCCATTCAACTTTTACTTGTTCGCGTTTCGCGGCCCCTTTTCGGCTTTCCGAAAGGCTTCTGATTTATCACCCCATAGTTCTTATCATGAAGCGACAAAGTTAGAAAAAAAAGATCGGTTTATCATTGTCTCAAGCCATTTTTAGTAGGTTTTGAGCAAAATGGACAGTATCTGCAATTTCCTGCTTTTTTTTCCATTGGTTGGCAAAAATTTAAACTTCGGAGAATAGATAGTACGTGAAACGCAATGAAGGAGTAAAATTGGGTTTTAAGCAACGTTGAAACGGTTTTGTCAGGATCAGCAAGAAAAAAGTTTTTTCGCTACGAACTGGTCGCATTTGGAATGGCTCACCGCGTTGCGGTTTCAGCTAGAAATTTAGAAAATGTACCTGAAGCAATTCTCCATGTGACCAATCAATTTATTTGAAATCATTATGATTTTCGATTGAAAAAACAGCCCCGTAGAATCTTACTCAAAATTTTCTTCAACTACAATTTTTGTCTCTTTTTTCGAAAAAACCTTTCTTCCTACTGTATCTTGAGCTTTCCATGTGTCTCGCGTCACTGATGAATCAACTTTCAAAAAAAAAAAGTTCCCAGTGGGAATCCCCACTTTTTTCATTCCAAAGACCAAGTTCGAGTGAGAAGGGCGCGTGATTTGTTCCCACGGAGGCCGTGGGGAAGTGAGCGGCTCCTGGAATAATTTGAGACTTTTTGAGAAGACCCAATTAAAAAATAATTGGAAAAGGCTCTCAGGTCGACGCCAACAACGACGGGCTTCTGAATGGACGAGAGTTTGAGAATATCCGGGGTCTCGTCTTGGAAAAAGCCGAAAATGCGGCCCTTCGGTACCTGCAGGTTTAGTAGAAAAGTGTTGAAGCAATTATTTTTTGGAGAAATGAAATAAAAAGCAATTTTTGAGGTTATGTCCAATTCATGAGTTCTTTCCGAAGCAAGAAAGTTGGATTATATAAAAAATTCTTTAAAAGGAGCTTTTCGGACCTCGTTAACGTTAACGTTAAACGGTCCGGACGTTTATGAGCCTTCCTAATGACCCCTTAAGCGGCTTCAACACCTTTTAGTGATCCCTTGAAGGTTTCAGAAACGTCTGGGACGTGCCCGATTAGCGTTACTCAAGACTGAGTAGATATTAAAGTAATAATTGACTTTTAGGCCAAAATTACCGAAATATTTGCACATTCAGAACTTTTCTCCTTCAACTATGCCTTTTTTCTATCGATCAAGTTTTATATTTTCAATTCTTATAATTCTTAAAATTTTCTGTCATTGAGAGGAGCGAAAATTATTTTTCTAAATTTTTTTCCCCCAAAAATCGAGGTTTCGACTGAAATCGATCTTATATTAGGACCCAGTCTGAGGATGAATTTCAATGAAAAAAGATTTTTAGGGATTGAAAAGTTGGTATTGAAACAGCAATCTCAGATTTTTTGTATGCAGGCGTTCCCGTATTGCCTTTGGTCCGTCGAAAAAAATTCAAAAGCTTATGTTTTTTGAAAATATGCCAAAAATGTCTCGGTTTAATGACAACCTATTAAAATTGATCTCAATTTTGATTTTTCAATGCGGCCTTTCATATTACGGTAGTTTGAAAACGTCTTTTTGTTATGAGATTTCGAAAAAAAAGTTTTAGAAGTTTTAGGATTTTTTTTCAACCTCCGAAAGTTAAAAAAAGAATTTCTTAACTTCAAGAAGTTTCAAAATGTTCCTTTTTCAATTTCCAGAAGTTTTGAGAAAGTTGAAAGTTGTAGAACGTAGACACGGACCGGGACGGAGAGCTGTCCCTTCGCGAGGCGCAGACCTACCTCCTCAGGGAGTACGGCATCGGGACGCGCGACGTCGAGAGAATCTGGCTTCTCGTGACGCCGACCGTCCACGACCATCTCAACGCCACAATGTTCAGTCGACTCCGGAGACGGGTCCGCGGCATGACCATCAGACTGGCTCGGCAGATCATGAAGGTGATTCGGGAAGGGGATTCTTTTTCCCTGTTCACTTTTGTAAAGATCGGCAATATTTTAGTGCTCAAAAATCAAAAAGATCACTAGAAATTTAATATTTTTTTCAATATTTGAAGGTTTGGTTCAGAAAATAAGGGTTTCAAGTCAATTATTTGAAAGTTTGTTTTGAGCAAGTTGAGGTCGAAATTCATTATTCGAAAGTTTAGTTTTGAAAAGAGTTTTTTGAAGTTCAATTAAAAGAAATCGAGTTTTGATTTTTCAAGATCTTAAGACTTAAAAATTGAACTAAAAGGGAAAAAAATGGGAATAATTTTTCGTTTTCTGGAGTCAAGAGACATCAAAGAATTTCTGAAAATTTATTTTTCAAATTGACATCGGAAATTGTCTCAACCACCTTGGAGGAAGTGTGGACCATATAGTGAGAATAGAAAGTTCGAAAAAATTGATTGTGCTTAAGATAATATTAATAGAATATAAATAGAATATAAATACAAATTCTGAAACACAAACGTCATGACGCAAATTTTTTAAGAAGAGATTTTTTTTTTCTCATGACGATGGCCATGAAAAAGTCTAGAAATATATTTCATTGTGGGAAACTTCCTGAAACTAATTTAGAGGTCTCAAAAAAGACCGAGCCTGAGTGACAGTTGGCCAGAAGACTTAAAAAAAAAGATCCTTTGAAAAAATGCGAATTCTTTCATCAAGTAGTTTGTTTAAGGGGTTTTCAAAGGAATTTGGGAGATAAAAACGAGGTTTTAGGTGGGAGATGTAAAAACCACGCACTATCTGTTATTTTATCGTGTCAGGACCATTTTTTAGATGGCTCGAGACAGCCTCAAAGTGGATATACTGAAAAATTTTTCGGTGGCCACTTTAGGGTTTTGACGTTTAGTGGCCACTATAGTAGTCAAATTAGTGGCCACTTAAGAGGTCTAAGTGCTACTACTAGACCACTAAAAATTTTAGTGGCCACTTTAGGGATCAATTGATCAACATAACTGGTCCAATCTGTTTGTTTAAAAATTATCAGAGTTACTGGAAGGAATACTGGATGAAAAATATTGAAGTGACCACTAAATAGAGAAACTTATAGTGGCCACTAAAACGGAAAATAGTGGCCACTATAGAGGTGGGTTTAGTGGTCCCTTTAGTGTCCTCTCGCCTCTATAGTGCCCACTAAACATTTTCCCAGAGTGATCAAGATTCGACTTGCAGTCGGCCGACAGCAACGGCGACGGTCACATCTCCGTGGAAGAAGCCCAGGCGGTGGCCTTCGAACAGGAAGGAATCGGGGCCGGAGACGTCGCTCAGATGGTGATGAGCGTCGACGAGAACGGCGACGGCGAACTCAACGCCCCGGAATTCGCCGACTTCGAGCGGATCGTCAGGGCCAGGGCCGTCGAGAACAGCAAGTTCGTTCAAAAATCATGAATTTTATATTCTTTTTGGTTGATACGAAGGAATGATCTGTTTGATGAAGGTTGAGTTTAGAAAAGTATTTGAAACAGTAAAGTATGGGAAAAATTATTTTAAGTTATTGGCTTGCGAAAAATGAAGAGTTAACTTTTTAACTACAAATGTATAATTTTCCTTTCACTTTTACACCGAATTTCTTTTGGATTGTCAAAATTAGAAAATGTGTTTTTAAGAGCTTTTTTTGCTTTTCCTAATGAAAATACTGTATTCAGTTCAGTTCCACTTACAAGGGATTTTCTGAAAATTAGTCAGAACGCTCCTTGATGTACCAGAAGACGATTCTGATAGTTTTAACCTGCCCAACTTCCACTTTTTTGAGAAAAGACGCTTCAAAGTCAAAGAAAACCCTCAAAATATATTAAAAGGGGCTATTTTAGGGGTTCAGGTCTTTATTTCTCTGCAGGTTGTGATTTTCAAAATCTTCATCTGGTACAACAAGGATTGTTCTGGCTTATTCTCAAGAAATCCCCAAACGCAATGGAAAATGACCTTCCTTGTTAGGAACTCCAGAGTGGCCCCTATAGGGGAAACTTGAGGGGCTTTTTTTCCCCAAACCCCTATAGGGACCACTTTGTCGTTCCTGAGAATGTCAGTGATAACAACTATAAATTTCTTTTGATCAAAAAGTTTTTCAGAAAAGCGATGCGCGTCGTGGATTCTGACGGGAGTGGTACCGTGACGCTGGAAGAAGCCAAAAATATTGCTTTCGAACATTACGGTTTCAATGAAGAGGTTTATTAATCTTCATCTTCTGGTAGATCTCTCAACTTCAGACATTGGCTCCATTCTTCGCCCAAGCCGACGAAGACGAAGACGGACAGTTGGATTCCGTCGAATTCGCCGGTTTCCGTTCCGTTATTCGGGCCAGATCCGTCAAGGATGCTGTCCAGAGGATGAAGGTTCATGATTTTCTGAAATTAGTGAAATTCAGTTAGAAACCGGTTTTTCCTGTTTCACATTCATTGTTAAAGTTCGAACAAATATTTTGAGATTAATACTTCCAACTAATTTTTTTCTTCAGAAATACAAGAATGAAAATATTCATGATTACTTTTCTTGTGATAATTCAGAGGAGAAAGTATTTTAACTAAAAAAAAACTTATTATAAACGTTTTCTGTGATTTTATTAGGAATTCATTCAGTTAGAGGGATTAAAATGTTTTATGATTTTTTATCTCTGACTCTCCAAAATTTAATCATATCTTCTCACTCTCTGACCACATCTGTTTGGCACACTGTAGGTTCAAATTGTGCATACACCAATCGCGGTTTTTGGGCGATAACATCGTTAATAACGAGTTTTTTGTGAACGAATTTGAAGAAACGCAAGTAGAACATTCAATGATACAAATCAAGTTTTTGCAAACGCTAGCAAGCCTTAAAAATGGCCTAATTTGGGGTATGCATCTTTAGTAAGTGAAAAAAATTTTTTTCTGTAATTTTTCATCTTTTATTGTCGGAAATAGCCATGTTCATTTTATTGAACAGAAAAAATGATCGAAAATGGTCTAGTATGGTCGCCGGAGACGGCGCAGTGCAAACCGGACGGGTCCCTGTAGGTCTGAACTGCTGTGTGACGGCTGTTTTAAATTTCGCGGCATTACTTTGAAAACAGCGTCACTTCTCTGTTTCTGAGATGTTTTTTAAGAAAACAAAAGTTCCAATTTCCAATTCAATAGTATCAGCAGCTCCTTTCTAGGAGATCGACTTGGACGGCGACGGACTCGTCTCGCTGCAGGAGGCCGTCGAGGCGACCAAAGCCGAAGACGATATGGACACCCAGGAAATCCTTGCTCTGTTCAACATTGCTGATCAGGTTCGTTTCTATCCCGGAAAGCCTTTTACCAGTTTTTTTTAAAAATAGGAACGCCCGAGTGATCCCTATAGGGACAAAGTTTGCAGCTCTTGAAGGTTCCCCTCTAGGGACCACGTTGAAGCTTGCAAAAGTGGTCACTCTAGGGGAGCATGCTAGTCCTTTATTTTTTATGAACTTGAATAGATTGATTTTTGTTAAATACGTATTTTAAGTTTTCAAATGTAAACAAAAACTCGATAGTCATCCATAGAGACCTCCTAAATTTTACCCCTCTAGGGAGCACTTTCTCGGACCCTTTTTAGAGGGAATTTCACGAGCTTGTAAGATTTACTGGGAGGAAATCAAGTGGTTACTTAAGAGGTTGTTCCAAATTTATTTATTTCACTCAAACACAAAAATACAGAGTATTAGAAAAGGAAGAATTTGAGTAAAAGGGAACCCGATATAAAAACGCCCTAACGAGCGATTTACCGGGATGGGGCTTGTTAGAAATTTCTTCTTGGGGTTATAGCTCTCTGATTAGCTTATTACGGTGTATGGGGCGGAGCTTGAGAGATGAATTTGTATTAAAAAATTTGAGATTGCATAAAATATTTGTGTCTCTTGATTCGAATAATTAAACTTGATATTGATGTCCAAGAAGTTTTCTAGTTGATAAGAATTTCAAAATTAGAGAAACCCTTCAGAACAAGAGCGGCCGTCTGGACAAGGTCGAACTCGCCGACTTCAACCGTCTCGTCAGACTGAGCTCGATCAAGTTCGCGACGGACCACTTCAAGGAGTTCGACCTGGACCGCGACGGCGCCGTCACCTTCGGCGAGATCAGTCTTCTCATCGAACAGAAGTACGGCATCTCGACTGACGTCATCCAGAGCTTCTTCAACGACATCGATGCCGACGCGTCCGGAGACCTGACTCCTGCGGAAATTGTCGACTTCCGGTCGGTTTCTCATCTTTGAAGCCTTCCAAAATACTCTTTCAGACACCTCATCCGACGACTCGTCGCCAAAAAGAAGGACGAAAAGGTGCTTTAAAACTTGTTTTCTTCTCATTTCATTAACACGGCGCTTGTATATTTACTTTTTTCTAATAATAATAAAGAGGTGAACTTTTTGCTTGGTAATTGGTCTGGTTGGGGGAAAAAGGCTATTTTTTGGTTAGAAACTGATAATTGAGCGAGTAACTTTCGATCAATTTTCGGAAGTTTTTTTTTTTGTATGCGTTACTTTTTTTTGTTTTAGTTTATGTATAATCACTGATAAAAACGAAAAAAAAAATTCAAAAAAATAAAAAGAAACTTTTTTTGGCGTGAGATATGGAGTTTTGTCTGCAGATTTTTGCGCAATGTTCTGCGGGCAGTACATTTTATCTGACGTCATTTTTTCAGAATTTAAAAATTGCATAATTTTTTCTAAATTCGCTTCCTGTTGATTAGAGTATACCATCCGGAAGTCTGATTTTTTTCAAAGCACTAAAATTTTTGGCGTTGTGAAATAACCGCCGAAATGTTCAACAAAAATTTGTTTCGCCTAGTTTTCACACAGTTTTTTTTTGCATGCTTTGCTTATACTTATAACCTCACTGCACAACTCAAACACCTTGAAGTGACCCCTATAGGGCAGAACTCCTCACTAAACCCTTATTTTGTGCAACCTCTCACAGTGTCTGAGAACCTTCACTTTCAGCAGAATGAAATGACGTCACAAGAGGCCACTAACATCACCGAACTTCCCACGAGCACGACCTCACTCGCACCTCCACCCACACTGCTCACCACTTCTCCCGAAATGCACGAAGACACGCAGAAGCCGTCGACGACGATGACGTCATCGACGCACGCACCCACCGCACCCAGCAGCAGCAGCACGACCACAGCCACCACGACGCCTTCTGAACTCGGCGAGGACGGCATCGCCAACGACGTCATCGCTCAGGATATCGTCACCGTGAAGATGGTACCAACGACTAAGGTAGTCTTGAAGAGTTGGCAGATGACGTGAAGATTCTTTAGGCTACTGAGAAGCCGACGACGTCGACTACAACGACTACAACGACGACGACGAGAAGGCCGAGGACCACGACGACAGCGCCGACAGAAGAAGAAGAAGAAGTTGTGGAAGAAGTGGAAGAGGAAGAAACGACGACGGTCGCTCCGAAGAGGCATTCGAAGCCCATGAAGACGTCAACGACGACGACAGAAGCCCCGGTGGAGAAGATCGTCGAGATCGTCTATGAAGACGCCGGTGAGAACAAGATGACGTTTCGGTTTCAAACCGACTATTCAATGAAAATGAGTTTCCTCTTGCTAATAAATAGACATAATTTTCGGCACCTCGGAACTATTTGGTCGCATTTTTCAAATAAGTCTTGAAAATAATTCAAATGACGAAAAATTCGGTCAGATTAACCTCATTTCATTGTTAGAATATTATGCTTACGTGTGTCTTCAATTTTTTTAATTTTTTTAATTTATAGGATAATTTTTTTATACTTTGAAAAAAAGGGGCATTAGAAATTCGAAATCGGGTACAAACTTTGATGGAAAAATTGGAAAAGAAAGATGACTCTACAGTTTCAAAAGTTTTATTTAGGTAATCCTCCTCTTGTGAGAAGATCGCAATTTGGTTGGTATGAAAAAAAACACCAGCGAAAATTCAAACGGCGATTTTTTCATATCGCTAGGGAACTTTCCGTAGAATCTTTTTCCGACTTTTTTTCCCTCATATTTTTCGGTTTATAAAATATCTATAAAATTTTTTTTTCCTATTTCTTTGTGTTTTAATTATGCACCAACTATCTATTTTATAAAGGAACATTTAAAACGAAGATTTTATCGAGAAAAAAGTCGGAAAAAGATTCGTCGGAAAAGTGGCCGTCGGAAAGTTCCCTAGCGATATGAAAAAATCGGAAAAGTCGCCGTTTAAATTTTCGCTGGTCTTTTTTTCATACCACCGCAATTTCCAAAACGCAGAATGCGGAACTCTAAAAATTTCATGTTTCGAAGTGGATTACGAAATGAATCTTTCTTCACTTCAATTAATCTGAAAGGTTCAATTTTTTGGAAACAGAAGAAAGGTTATAATATTTTGTGACAGAGATTAAGAGAAAACAAGAAATTTGAATAATTTTCCATAAGTTCCAGACGGAAAACGACACTCAGCCCCGTCGAAAAACCAAGGCGACGTCTCCTACGAGGAGGTCGTCGAGTACGTCGACGCCAACTGACCAACAAGAAAAGCCATCACAGCATTTATTTCCAAAATTACGGTTATCAACAATTGTACAGATTTGAATGTCTTTCACATGCGCTCGAGTGTCTTACTGAATGAATACATGAAAAAAAGGTTGAAGTAGGTCTTTTTTGACAACCCGGACGAAAAGAAGCACTCGGGAATTTGGAGACCCGCGAGATTTGACTCAAGCTCAAATGGTTCAACGCGGCAGCTGCGGCGCCCGTGCTGCGGAGAAGGAACGCCGTTGCGACGGCTTTTCGATGCTTCCGCCGACTTCTCTTCTGAAATCACCGTTCGGAAAAGTGCAATGGAAACAGAAACTGTGACTTCTAATTTTATTCAACTTTTGAAACGGAAAAGTGGTGAGTTAGGAAGCAGTTTCTTATCAGAAAATCGATCAAGGAAAACAACTGGATGGTTCTTCTTTTCTGAGTTTAAAATATCATTACTGAACCGCAAGACCTAATTTTTTCGAGGCTGGTAATCTCAAAGGGTCTTTCGATTTATATTCGATTTCTAAAGAAGCTTAACAAACTCAACGTTATTTCATTCGACTTGGCGTCAAGAAATCGGAAGATTCTGCTCACAGAAGCGGAGATATGAGAAGCATTTTTAAATGAAAAAAAAATTAGGCGTCAAATAAAGAGCATAGCCCGCAGTTCGGTGTTGGTTCATTTCTCACCAATATGCGGAAAAAGCATTTTATCTCACGCCAAAATTCTTGGACTTGCGGTCCAAAAAGATTAAAAAGGCACTTAAAATGAACCTTGAAACTAAAACTTTAAAATTAACACGCGTTCTCTGAGAAAGTCGATGAATTTAAAGCAAAATAAAAAAAAAGTTTTTTTGATTTGCCTCAAAATGTGATCACGGTTCACACACGTGCTTCTGATTATTTAGCACCAGGTTCCAGGTGGCTCCGCCCCTTTTAAAAGATACTGTAGACAATAAGCTGAAAAAAATTAATTTTTTTCCTGTTGAGAATTTTCATTCAAAAATGTTTGGAAATGTAAGAAAACACTATTTTGAGTATTTTTTCAGTTGCAACTTTTTTTCTAACTCGACTTCTTCGGGGAGAAAAAAATCGAAATTTCCTCAAAAACAGCGATTTTTTCAGTTTTTGAGCCATAACTAGAGTAAGAACCCCCCTATGGTACGTTAAGAAATGGCGAAAAAAGCTGTTTAATCAACTTTTTCGAAAAATAAAAACACCTTATGACAATCAATAATGTCAATTACTCTTTAAAAAACAACTATTGATGAAACTGACTAGAAAGAAAAAAGAGAGACTTAATAAACCTGACTATAATCTGGAAGATGCATTAAAACGCTTCTTAGGTCAAAAAAATGCATTTTTCCAAAACTTTTTTTCATTTGAGTTGTTCTGTAAATGAATGAAAAACATGAATAAGTGTCTGTATAAACGTTGCAACACAAAAAAAGCCAGAATCGTATTACAAGAACTTCTAAAAGCTTCAGAAACCTCAATTTCAGGGAAAAAGTGTATGGATAGAGTCGATTGAAAAGGTAAAAAACTGTCAGTTACTGTATTTTAGCGAAAAAATAATTTTTGAGAATCATCGACATTATTGAATGTCATAAGGTGTTTTTATTTCTCGAAAAAGTTGATTAAACAGCTTTTTTCGCCATTTCTTAACCCCGATTTCATTTGCTTAGGTGTTCAAAAAAATTCAAACATTTGCTGGGTTTCCCTAAAATCTTTTTGAACGGTTTTCCAGGTTACTTCAGCAATTTAGAGCAGGTAAGAACGGTGAAAACGAAGATAAGCGTGCGAAGCCTCAAATTTGAATAAAACTACATATTTCTTGCCGAAAAGACTCCGATTCATGTTGAAAAGTGATGTAGGTCTCACTGAAAAAGTTTTTTGTTAGAATGGAAACAAAAAAAGTTGTTTTCCGAGCCTGTATGAAAATTCCATTTTTGGGGTCGTCACCTTCAGGCGATCGGAGGTCAACTGGGCCACCCCAGAGATTTTTACCGGACTAATTTTTTCTTATCCAGAAAGACCTACTCTTCCATATACCAAAAGATAATTACCACATTCGGGGGTTCCTACAGAAAAAACTACCTGAAAACGGAAAAAATCGAAAATCGACGAAAGTCCGAAAATTCGAAAAGTCTCGAGAAATTCGGAATAAAATTTTCTTTGAGCACCAAAATGACGGAGAACATGAACGTGAGTGTTATCTTTTGTTTCAAAACAAAAAAAGAGAAAGAAGCCGTCAAATTAGGAGAAAAATGATTTTTTGAATTTTGAGCCGAATCGAGTTGATCACCTTCGGTCGAATGGAGGTCAACTATCCCACCCCAGGGATTTGTTGTAGAACTACTTTTTCTTGAAGAAGAAGACCCCTAGTTTCATAATCAGAAATAAAAGTCGTACCATAGGGGGGTTCTTACTCTAGTTATGGCTCAAAAACTGAAAAAATCGCTGTTTTTGAGGAAATTTCGATTTTTTTCTCCCCGAAGAAGTCGAGTTAGAAAAAAAGTTGCAACTGAAAAAATACTCAAAAATAGTGTTTTTCTTACATTTCCAAACATTTTTTTGAATGAAAAATTCTCAACAGGAAAAAAAATTAATTTTTTTAGCTTATTGTCTACAGTATCTTTTTAAAAAGGGGCGGAGCCACCTGGAACCTGGTGCTAAATAATCAGAAGCACGTGTGTGAACCGTGATCACATTTTGAGGCAAATTTAAAAAAATTTTTATTTTTGTTTTGCTTTTTTTATTACTGAAAAGTCATCGATTTTTCTCAGAGAACGTGTGTTAAGTCCTAACAAAAAAAACGTGGTACCAAAATAATGGAAACTAGTTATATTACTTTACTGCGAAGAATATCAAACTTAATCGATAAAATCTTCGATTTTTCATTGATTCGTTTTCAAAAAAGTCAAAAGAAGTTTCTATTATTTCTATATCTCTTTCATTAAGAAGAAAGAACTCCAAACTGACGTCCGAGTGAAGATCTCATGAGGATAAGTGACGGAGACGGAGGAGCTGACGAGGCCGGTTCCCGGGGCGAAGATCCGGTGCGGACTGCACGGCGACGTCAGCGGCGACGTCGACGACTGCGAAGCTCTGCGTCGCTGTTGCGCAGTCGCCATCGCTTCGCGGAGTCGGATTTGTCGCAGCTGAACACGTTTAGAAGTCGTCGATTTCGCAAGGTGATTACAAATGGACCCAGTTCGAAACTTCGCTGAGGCTATTTCTAGATTCTAGCCAAAGATAAGCATTTTTCGATTTTTGAGCACGTGAGAAAACTTGAATTTCGTCTCAAAAAAATTTTCAAAAAAAAAAGAGAAAGTAATTTTTGTTATCATTTTACTATCATCTATGATCCGAGATAAGCTCAATCAAAACGCCTTTTTGAGGATTTTTTTACTGATCGTGCAAATTTTCCTGTTTTTAAATCTGCACAAAGAGCCAAGTCTGATAGATTATCTGGTCAGGATACCTGTCCGCTAAGATGAGCAACAGTCTGGTTGCGGTCGTTCAACTCGTCGCTGAGCTGTCGAATCCGGTCATTCTGGATGCCGATCTGCTCCTGGAGCTTTTCGATCGTCGCTGTGACCTTCTTTTCGATATTCCGAGTGTAGGCCTCTTTTTCAAGAAGTTGCTGAAAATAGTATTGAAAATATTGGGTCAGAACAAGTTTTAAAAATCGGTTGGAGCTGAAAATTTTCATAAGGGGTTGAACAGTCAGAACAAAAAAAGCATTAAATTATAAAATTTTTTTAGAAAAAAAACTCATAGAAAAGTTAAAAAAAGCGAAAGCGCCCCGAACGCTTGCAAAATTCCAGGGATCACTTAAGAGGACTGACGCCGCTAAAGTGGCCCCTAGAATTTCTCAGAAGCGTCCGAGGCGCGCCTGGTTTGCAATACCGAAGTCCGAGATGTTCTTAAAGTCAAAAACATTAAAAAAAACCACAAGGCTTGAAATTATCTATAACAGTATTCCTTTCAAGAGTTGAAAACTCTCACCTTTTCCAACTTCTCGATTTTTTTGGCCGCCTCCTCGACGCCTTCGCCCGATTCGTTCTCCCCGATGAAAAGCTGCCGTTTGGCGTCTGAAAAAGGCGATTTGTCAATGGAGCGCACATTCGGCGAATTTTCAAACATCTCAATTCGCTCGACAGACGGTCGATCTCCACGTGCAGGCTTTTCAACATGGCCGCCGTCTCGTTTTGCAAAAATGTGATTTGGGCCTGGAAATGTTGGGATTTTGATAAAATATCACATACGTATCATCTTGAAGTTTTTCCCTTTTTCTTTTTTCGAACTCATTTGAATATCTACTGAACAAAAAATAGATACTGAGAGAAATGTTCTTTCCCTTTCATCTTTCAACCCATTCTTTGAACCCGAAAAGCTTATTTCCGGTCTTCGAACCCAGGGAAAGGATGTTTTTGTGCACCTTTTCGTGCCGTCTCCATTGTTCGTCCCGTTCTCGCAGGGCGTCACGCACTTTTGCTTCGAGTTCTTCGGCCTGCAAATTGTCTCAATCAAAAATTCCCGTTTTTCTCAAAACTGCCTTGCGAAGCGGTCAATATTTTGCCAGTTTTTGCACTTTTCTGTCACAAACTTCAAAATCTTTGATAAAATAATCAAAAATCTGTTATCACCCGTAATTATGATCATTTGGCCTAAAAATTTGAAACTCGAAAATTGGGGCTGGATACGGACCGGGAACCGGCCTGCGACCATATCTTCTCTAATTATTTGACCCTTCTCAAATTTTTTTCCAGGTAGAAAGTCTAACCGTTTATCAAAAAAATTTAGTTTCTCACCATATATAAAACTTTTTTTGAAACATTAAAAGGTATCTTGAAATATCAGTGAGCAAAATGAGAAAAAAAAACCCCCGAAAGTTTTCGAACATTACACCTTTAAAAAAACCCAAGTGAAATGCGAAACTCAGACATCTGTGCCAGTTCACTAAAAGTCGAGTATTCCTACTTCCTGGTCAAAAATTCAATCAAAAAGTAGAACTTTGAAAAATCTTGCCAGAAAAAGGCATTTTCTAGAGTAGAAAATCCATAAATCCATCAAAAAACTTCTCAGAACCGAGCCAGGTTGCTGTAGAAATGTTTCGAAAATTTTTCGCTGAAATCTTCGAAGAAAAAAAAATCACTTAGCGACGGAATCAGTTCTCAAATTTTGCAGAGTAAAAAAATATTTTCTTCTAAAAAAAATATTTTATCCTTGTTTCTTGGTTCATATGTGAATAAAAACGAAAATTTGTAATTTTTATGAGTCTCATATTTCGAAAACTATGAAGTTCGGGCGTTTATAAAACCGAAAATTAATAAAAAACGGGAGCTCACGAATTTTCATTATTCTCTCAAAAAACAATAAAAATATAATTTTTCTCGATTGCTCTCTAATTAGTATATGATACCTCTTTTTGTTATTTTGACATAATCTTTATTCAAACCATTTTTTAAAATAATTTTTTTTTTCTGTTTCCAGTTCAATACAGACATATGAATTTTAGAAAAAAACTCCTAGTGAGAAGCTTAATTTTTTTAAGAAATGAAAATAAGCTTATTATATATAATGGATTCATTAATTTCGGCGCAGTTCTTTTTCGAACCGACTTTTTTTTTGAAGGAAAGAGGATAACAATAAAAAGAGGAAAAATTTAAAAAATTGCCAAAAAAACTGAAAAAAAAAAATTAAGAAACGCCTGTTTTTTTGGTTTATCAATTTCCCATAAAGCATCAAAAAAACAGTCCTTTTCTCTGTGCGATCGCATTTTTCAAACGCCCGCACTTTATACCCCCCAAATCATCTTTTTTTCAGACTGAACGCATTTCAAAGCCATGACAAACGACGCGAATCTTTCCGTGTTTTCTCCATTTCTTCTCTTGAAATCGCCCGAAACGTTAAACGAAACATACAATCCTCCCCTTGAGTAGCTATTATACGCAACTTTCTTCGGAAAGTAGAAGTGAAACCAAAAAAAACCGGACCTGTTCGTCTTGGATATGACTTGTCGTGCCGCTGCAAGTTGCCGCCAGCGCTTCTTTTTCGAAAAACGACGTTTGAACTGGAAATGTGGAGTTTGTGATAAAGTCAACCCTTACAAAATCATCCTTGTTAGGCATGAAATCACTGAATTTTCTTTTTTTTTTCTCAGATTTTCTGAAAAGTTGACCTTGGAAAGTGCAAACATGAGCAACAACTCGTTTGTCGATGGAACAAATTGAATTCCATCGACTCCTAAATTGAGTATTCAGAAAAGGATTGGGAAATTTTGAGGTTCCTCAGAAACTGCTGTGAATTTGCATTATTTGAAGCTTGTGGATGTTTGCTTTTAAATCTCAAAGATTTTGAAGGTCAGATTTTTTTTTGATGTAAAGAAAGACCCAAATTACGCACAAAAAAAATCGGAAAAAGGGTGAAAGAAATAATTTTACTAAAAAGAAACAAAGATTCTCGAAAAATTAATGAAAAATCAATATTCTAAAGCATTAAATTTTTTTCAAACTTAAAATTAAATGACAAAATAAAGCTCCACTTATAGAAGGATATTTTGAAAAAGTATGAAAATCCAGAAAATTTGAAGGGATATAATTTTGAAAAAAGTTATTCGAAGAATTGGTAATTTCGGATTAAAAAGAAATTATTTCAAAATCACAGATTTGTACGTCAAGGAAAATTATCAAGGAAAATTTTAACCTAGCAGATATTTGATAAAAAAAATCCTACTTCTTTCAAAAAGGAACAGTTAATTCGTGGACGATTTTGAGGAGTAATTTATGAGAATATATAGATAGCTAAAGAGTGTGCCGAAATAAGAGACTTAGACTTTTCAAAAGTGTTTCATTCTGATTTAATAGTGATGAAAAAACTGCTTTTCCAAACAGACCCAGGTGTTTTTTACATTCTCATTTCTTCTGAAACAGAAACCCTACTTATTTTGATGCTATAATTGACTTTCTCAAGAAGAGAAAGCCTTAGAAAACTCAAAATCGCAATGGAAAAGGGCCTTTTTCGCACGCGTTTTTCTTTTTTTTTCTGAAAGAAATCTTGAAAATGGCCTCACAGTCGGCTTTCTCATGGAAAAATCCCGAAAAACTCACAAATACATCGGAAAAGGCTTTTTTTTCACTTTTACATTCCTTTTTCGGAGATAAACCCCACCTATATCGATGAGAAGTGCCTCCAAATCTACTCTCCCATAGAAAAAAATCACAAAAAACTCAGAAATGCATTGGAAAATGGCTTTTTCACCTGCAGCTGCCTGGTGGCGACGGGCGACGGCGACGGCGGTCGTCATCGGGTTTTGGCCGACTGGCGGGAAAAGGAGGACGGACCTTTTGGGGGGCGGCGCGTGTCGCGTCGCGTGTCCTCCCGAACGACTCTCGCGCCTCTCGAGCTGTCAGCAGCTCGTTGGTCATCTGACGCATGGAAGTTAATGAGGACGATGAAAAAAACGGAATATGAACTGCAAATGACAAGGGAGAGAGAGGCGATAAGGAGTTCAAAATGAGGTGGGATTACGGTAGAGATGTTATCAATTGACAGGGGAACTCATTTATTTTGCGGTTGGGAATTTCTCGGAAAAGGAACATTTCTTGATGTACCAGATGAAGATCCTGAAAGTCTCAACCTGCACAACTTCTTAGTTTTCGAGAAATAATTGCTCAAAGCCTCAAAATGGCCTAGTTTCATGAATTTGATGGTTTTTTTCAACTTTGAGACGTCTTTTTTCAAAAACGAGAAACTTGGGCAGGTTGAGACTTTCAGAATCTTCTTTTAGTACATCAAGGAGGGTTCTCGCCAATTTTCAGGGAAATCCCAACCGTAAAGTAAAATGACCTTCTTTGTGAGAGAACAATTTAAAATTCATAATGTTGCATGTTCATGGGTTTGAAATTAATTTTTTTACAAAATTACAACTGTTTTTAAAAAAATTGAAACAACAAAAATTTCTTGCCCGACTTCTTTATGATTTTTTCCTCCAAAAGCTTCAAATCTGATGTTTTTTTGGTCGAAAAATCTGAATTCAAGCACCCTTTTCTTATATTTCTTTTTGAAGTTGAAAAACAAAATCCATCCGTTTTATTAGAAAAAAAAACTCTGAGAAAAAAACGATGAAAAAAATAACTTTTTTTAAAAAAATAGAATTGTAAACTTTTAAGGATAAATTATTGTTCATTATCGACCATCTTAAAAGAAAAAAAAATTACATTTCAAAAAGTTTTTTTGAAGCTCGAAAAACTTGAACGTACTTCGTACTTTGGTTTTGAGTGCAAAGGACGATTTTCCGTCCTCAGCGAATCCTTTTTTCAAAGGGGAAGAAAATGTGATTCATTTTGCTATTTTGAATTGAAAAACAGTCTATTTCAATTGAAAGTAACAATTTTTTGAACAAAAATAAGAGAAAATGAGAAAAGTTCGCCAAAACAGGTTCGAAAATCGTTCTTTAGTCTACTTCAGACTTCCAAAGTTATCATGTTTTGGACGTGTGACGTAGGTCTTTTCAACTTGTTCCAAACGACGCGAAATATCGAGTTCCCACGGAAAAAAGTGACTTCCGTGCCGAGTTACGATCAAATTTCTTTTCTTTTATTTCGAGGTCAATATTACATAAAACTAAAGAAAAATAATAGGTACACTATGAAATGAAGTTGCAGCGTACGATTTAGTTTGTAATCTTTTGAAATGCTTTTTTTTCTCAATTTTCATAGACCATTCGCCGTGACTTTACAGTTTTTGAGTGCCTGCGTCTCTCTGTTCCCTCACCGGCGAGGTCAGAGAAAAGTGGAAATAGTGCGTCAAAAAGAGAGGGTCGTCGAGAGACGAGGAGTGCGCAGAGACATCCATTTAAAAAAGACTACTTGTACGAACTTTTTTCATGAAATGATACAGATTTCAAATTAAACTTTTTTCTCTTGTTTAAAATTTATATAGCTTCATTGCTTTGATCTCAGAGTTTAAGGAAATTATTAAAACTGGAAAAAAATCTACTATGAAAAAAATGAAATAAGACCTGTTCCGTTTGTTTAGATGTGTATGTCTAATTTTCATGGACCAAAAAGCGAAAATTCTGGACCTTTTGGAAGAGCTTCTTCTAGTTTCATCTCTATGTTCTCAAAGTTTTAGGAAATTTTTGTCATACTGGAAAATAATAATGTGATAATGTTTTTTTTGTTCGTTTAGATGTTTATGCTTAATTGTATTGATAGTCGAAAGAAGCAGATTAGCCCCTAGAAGGGAACCTCCAAATGCCTCTAAACTTGTCCCTTTAGGAACCACTCTGGTTCAGAATTAGGCCAAAAGAATTTCAAATTTCCATGTTAAATTCTTTCGGTTTTCACATTCTTCTAAAAACCTGTAGTAACATGATCGGAAAATACCATAATTTCTCCAAGTAACCACTAACTTGAAACTGAAATCACCTGTCAAGAGTTCCATGAAAACGGGATGAAATCGGAAGAACGACACTTGCCGCGAGACAGACACGCACTCTCCTCGATCCGCGTGCTCTCTCGCGGCTCGGCCGTTGTAAGATGGGTCGATGGCTCGGATCCAGTCGACGATGCTCGACGACCGCTCCTCCACCTCCCGGGAGCGCAGTTTCGAGGACAACGAGGTCGGAGATTCTGATCATTTTTGCCCTTTTCTGGTTTAATTTGTGTCATACGTGGTTTCATGGTTTTTCTTCATCATTTTTTTCAAGCCATTTTTCTCTCCACATTGCGTAAAACCAAAAGTTTTTTTGATTATCTTTAAACTTTGAAATGAAACCGTGAAGTCGCCGAAGAAAGCTTACAAAAACTTCGCCAAATTAGGTCATTAAAAAAAGTTGATTCAAAAAAAAAGTTCTTTAAAACGTATATGATTTCAAAGAATCTTTTCTCAAAATTCCTACGACATAAAAGAAAATCAGCCCATTTTTCAGTACACCTTTCAAACGAACAGCTGCGATATTTTAATTGGTTTGAAATTTTTGAACCAAGATTTATTTAGTGAAAAACTTTCTGCTCGTTTCAAAATAGATAATTTTCCGGTTTCTAAAAGAGAGGATAAATCGAATGAAACTTTTTAGATATATTACATGTTCGTCACACAATTGTTTTTGAATTCTTTCATAAAATTCACGGAATCCAATTTTCTTTTTTTGGACTTAGAAAACCCACAAAATTTGTGGAAGAGACTAATAGGGTAAAAAAAAATGTGCTCAGTACTCAAGTTTCCTCAAAAAGGAAAAATAAAAGCCATTTTTTCAGGTAACAGGCCTTCGAAGCAAACGTTTAGTCGCCCTTTTAATATGTCTTTCCGTCATTTTCATCGTTTCTCTTCTACTTTTAGCGGTTCGTTTTTTTTTTCAGCAAGTCCAATTTTCAATATTCCTTGGAATTTAATAATATCAAACCAAAAAGTCATGAATTTCAAAAATAAACAAGAAACTTCCAGCTCAACCTAATGATAATCTCGACGCTCCAAATGAACGGAAACGGGATGAAATTTCTTCGATTCCATCAAAGTTATAACAAACAGACGGATCAGATGGAAAAGGTTCGATATTATTATAGAATCCTGATTAAAATTGAATTTTAAGACGGTTGAAATGAGCGGATCGAAAGTGGAACTGGGAAAAGTCGTTTCGAACGGATTAGTCGTCGGATTTCCAGAGAAAGACATTCTGATACATGCTCCGAGGGTATGATTTTTCCCGTTTTCTGTTTTAAAAACTTAAGAACGCCAGAGGGACCCCTATAGGGGTTAGGAATAAAAAACCCCTGTTAGAGACAAAAAAGTGCTCCCTGTAGAAATAAAGTTTAGGTAGTCACTATAGGGGTTTAGTGACTGACTCGTAAGTCCCTAAAGCTCAAGTGGTCTCTATAGGGGTCTTTTCATTCAAAAAAGTTAACTTATTGAGGACTACTTGGAGAGAACACTAAAGTGGCCACTAAACATACCTCTATAGTGGCCACTATTTTCCGTTTTAGTGGCCCCTATGGGGGTTCTCGAATTAGTGGCCACTTCAGTAGCTTTTGATTCAAGATTCCATCCAGTAACTCTGATAATTTAAAAAAAACCAAATTGGACCAGTTATGTTGATCCAGTGACTCCTAAAGTGGCCACTAAAATTTTCAGTGGTCTAGTAGTAGCACTTAGACCTCTAAAGTGCCCACTAAGATTCAACCCCTTAAGTGGCCACTAATTTGACTACTATAATGGCCACTAAACGTCAAAACCACTATAGTGGCCACTGAAAATTTGCGTGGTTTTTAGAGAGGAACCTTCAAAGGCCCCTATAGGGACCGCTCTGACGCTCATAAAAATATTAAAAAATAATTCAGATAACCGTTTCATCAAAACCCAACGATTCACGGTTCGTCATGGATGGGAACACGTGTAAATTCGAAAACACCAATAGTTTTCAGGTAAAAATTTGAGGTAACTAAAAAAAAAGAAGAGTTTGAGATCGTGGATTCGTCAGGAAAAACTGTATTTTCCGCTCGGCATCCGACAATCACAATCGATAAGAAGATCAAAAAAATCAGCGCGACTAAAATAATCACCGACAAGGTATGAGTTTTTCTTCAAGTTTATTGTTTTTTAAAACTATTATTTGATTTTTTTAATTTAAAAAAAGGGAGCATGTTGGTTTTTCTTCTGAGCCAACAATTTTTTTCATTTTAATTTTTGAAATAAAAAAATCATTTTCCTGTTACTCAAAGTTGCTTTAAACAAAAATAAGAAGACTAACTTTTTAATGATCGTGCTTTTTGATATCAAGAAATACATTTTTGAAGTGCAGTTTTTCCTGAAACAATTTCATCATAGTGACCTGGAAAACTGCTAATTCATTTCTTCAAAAAAACTTTAAAAATTGAAAAAAAGATTATTTTGGAGAGTTAGAAATTATTTTCCATTTCGCTAAATTGCTTTGAGCGCGGCATAAAAATTACGAGTTGATAAATTAAAACTTTCTCAATTTTTTTAGTAAAAAAATTAACCGAAAAACAGATTTTTTTGAAATGAGGGCAAGCTCGATTTTCAATAGACCTTCTCCCATGCCTTTTTTTCTTAAATTAAAACATTTTAGGCCATTTTTTTCTGAATTTAATGAATTGAAAATGACAGTTTACGACCGAAAAAACACGGTCATTTTTTTAAAGGACTTTTTCCAGCTTCGGTCACTTTTTTAGACTTGCTGGCGATGACCAAGAAATAATTTTTGAAACTTTTTTTCTGCATTTCGCCAACATTTCTGTACAAAAAAGTCGTTTTCCTCTTGCCGCGAAACCGCATTCGGTGTATGCACAATTTCAACCTACAGTGTGCTTCAATATACCAAACCTCCTTGCAGATCCGTTCGGGCGTCGACGAGGACCTCAAAATTCAGACGGATGACGTCACGATCCGTGGCAACGAGGCGCTTCGTCTAGACGCACGTCGGATCGACATCTCCGGCGGGACTCGGGTTGCCTTCAACACTTCCGTCAGTTTTATCGTTTATTTCTGTTTCGGAAAAGATTCTTTACATTTTGATGATTTATTGAAAGTTAGTCTTTCGTGTAAACTTTCTCTTTATTTTCAAGTAGTTTACGTTTTCAAAGTACATATTTATGCTTAGTATTCATTTATTTATTTATTTATCTCACTCAAACACAAACATACAAAAATATTCGAAAAGGAAAAAATTTAATATGACATGTTCCGATTTTTCAAAAATCTGACCATCAAACTTTCACAAAAGCTCTCTTTCTTTCCGAATTTTTATACTTCGCCGAAAAATGTTCTAAAATCTCATCGCAAACTCTTTCCGAGATAATATTTTCCTTTCAAATTGCATAAAAAAAGTTTCTCAGTGCGTTGAAATTTCTCTCCTCTAATTATTTTTTCATTCAATTTGAGCCTATGGTTCAATTTTTTTCTCTATTTTTGAAAACACTCTATTCTGAGCTTCAAAAAATCCCTGACTTCGAAATCGAAAAGAAGCCAGATTTGGCACACCGATAATTCAAAGTCCCTGGGGGACAAAACTCGGCAGAAAAAAAGGTCGAAAAGCTAAACAGAGAGCCGAGATTTCGCATCAATATTCATGTATAATGCAAAGTCCCAAATGACGTTCATCATGTTTTTGTCTAGGAAGGGACTCCTAAACTCTCAAACGTCATATTCTAGTCGATCAGAGAGAATTCGAATATTTTTGGATCAGTTAAAATTTTTCTTAATATGTGATAAGTGACATCAAAGAGTCAGTTATCAAGTTTTGAATAGTCCTTTGAAATACCATACTACTCAAGAGCCAAGTTTTTTTAGAAGCAGGCGAAATAATAAAAATTAAAGGAAAAATTTTTTAAAAAAAGCTTTCTGAAACTGAAAACTTGAGAAAAAAATGTCAAAAAAACCCCGCACCGAGTTTTTTACAGCATGCTAAAATTATTTTTTTGAAAAAAATGATCGAGAGACAGGCTTGAGTGTCCTGGCCCGGGGAGGCCTGGCTTGGCCCGCATGTTATGCAAAAAAGCCCGAGCGGGCTTGGGACAGGCACGCTTCAAAAAATTTTCAGCAAACCTTTTTTTGGTAAATCATACTTTCTGTTAAATTGTAGCTAAAAAATGATCAAAATGTAGTTTCTGTCCTAAAAAAAAACCTTGATATTTGGTCTGAAAACGCTTTTTTCGCGGTTTTTGAGGCGGTTCGGTTGTTTTTAAGGTCAGGCCAGGTCGGGCTTAGAAAATGGACAAGAAAGGGCAGATAGGCTAGCGGGCCGGCCCTAGCACAAGCCTGTGTCGTCATTTTTGTGCTCTCAAAATTCCTTCCAATCGAATATATACTCTGAGATTTCAGCGCGACGGGTCGATCCATCTGCGAGGCGGCGTCCGTCTCGGCAGCGGGACGGCGGCTCTTCCAGTCTCGTCGTCGCCGGCCTTGTCGGCGAGTCTCGACGCGATGCGCGTCTGCGCCTGCGTCCACAACAAGCATCAGCTGTTCCTCGTCGCCGCCAACAGGCCTTGTCAGGCCTCCCAGTTCTGCTGAACAACTTGTTGGAGGAGTTCTGGAAAAGTCGGTCGGTTCGGATACGGCTGTTTTTATAGTCAATCTTTTCCGACTTGAAGGCCGTAGTCAACGTTCGAGCCTTTCAACGTTAGAAAGCAATTCAAAATAACGGTCAGAGAGTGAAAAAATAACTGAGTTCCAGATGGTCAGAGATAAATTTCAATTTCGCGCAAACCACTCTAAACACGGCAATGGAGAGCGCACAAAAATGAGAGAGCGAGCGTTTTTCCTTCTCCTCTAAAGTCTCTTGTTTACCAAGCTCTCTAGCTTCGAAGATTGGCTGTGGTGAAGCGGCTTTTTGGCGGGAAAACATTTTTTTAAAATTTTTGATCGTTTTTTTCTCGTTCAAATTTTTATGCTTTTTCAAAAAAAGTTTCCAAAAAAATTCTTTTTTTCCTATTTTTCACCAAAAATGCTATCAATTCCTATGGAAAACCAATTTTTGACATAATGTTTTTTTCATTTAAGATTCTAAAAAAATTGACTCAAAAATTGACTTGAAAAAGCGCAAAACATCCATTTTAGATCACCAATATTGAAATTATAGGCATTTTGAAGTAGTAAATAATTTTGCAGCGAAAAAAAACTTAAAAAATCCCGAAGAACAACGCTTAAACCCTCCGAACCGACCGCATTTTCCAGAAAACTCATTTGTGATGCTAAAGGCAGTGAATATTTAAATTTTTTTTCTGAATTTTTGGTTTTTGTCTACATTTTTCAGCTCAATTCCCACATATCTGAAATAATAATTTTAAAAGAATTATCAAAGACGCTTACCTTTTTGAGCTTATTCTTATATTCATTTTGTTATCATCTTTTTTTGAAAAATCCTTTTTCTAGCAAAATTTAGCAAGAGAGGGTAGATTGAGAAAACCCTCCGTTATTGAGAAAATTTCTTTTTCATTTAGAAAATCCCGTTTTCCTATCTCAAAATTTTGAAATACCATTTTTTTTTCTACACTCTTCAATCAGTGCCTCAACATTCCACGTGTAATTTCTTCTATTTTCTTTCTTTTAATTTAATAAAACTTGAAATAAATATTTTTTTAAACAGATCACACGACTCGAACCATAACCAAAGAAAAAAATGAGAAAAAAATATTTATCATTTCCAAACAAAAAAAGGAGAAAATGACCCGTTTCGAAGACAAAGTTCGATGTCACCGGATTTTTTTGGTTATGAAACTACTGCAGGCAATGTCGGAACTCCCGTAGCGATTCAATGGCACAACGACAAAGTGGTACGGTAGTGAAAGTTTAGAAAAAAAGGGTTCAAAATAAATAAGGAAGTGAATGAGGCAAGAAATGAATGGAGTATGTATATGAACAAAATCAAGGAAAAAATAGCCGCGGTCAAAAATTGACCAAAATCTGAGAAGAAACAGCTGATATAAGATTTTGCGCTTGGTGGACAAAAAATACTGAAAGTTTGAAAGAAAAAAACATCTTCTGTCCAAAAATCCTTCTTGAAGTTTTAAAGGCGCAGAAATCTTGTTTTCGCCTCGAGACCTTTTTCTAATCACCCTATGCTTCTTAGAATTTCATATCATGAACTGCAGCTACAACGAGGTTCATGGAAAAAGGTTTTTTGCTCAAATTAGCCGCGGAGCGCAACTCAACCTTGTGGGCGGCTATTTTTTCCGAGTAATTTTTGACCAATTTTTTTTTCTCAACAGAGTTATTTAACTTTTCGGTCGAGATTTTTCTGAAAAAGTACTTTTCGAAAAGCATTCTGGCCAATTTTTTGAAACTCCCAAACCGAAAAATAAATTTTCTTCCTTGTGAGGCTATCAAAAGTTGTGAAAAACGAGAACGAAACCATGAAATTAAATTGAAAACCTCAGGTTCAGTTTAAAAAGATCGTAAGTCTTCGAATCTAACACATCAGGTCAAAAGCCTAGACGTGTGATTGAGCTGAGGTTTTTTCTTGCGGGAGAAGATGGAGCGGACTGTGGCCCGATAGGTAGAGCTCATGACGCAGTAGACGACAAACGAGACGAGACAGTTGATCAACGACAGCATGTCGAGCAGCTCGCCGACGTTGACGTAGATGAGCGTGTGCACGTGGGTCGGGTACATGGCCGAGAGGAGGGCGATCAGGCCTTGAGGCATTTCCGTGCACAGGAACACGGTCATCATGACGATCAGCATCAGCGTCGTCCGGTCGATGCTCGCCGAGCTCAGCTTTCTCACTCTCCTGCAATCAGACTCATGAGAAAGAAGATTTTCAATTCGTTGAACTTATAATTTATTTTTTCTCAATTTGAAAAAAAAAGAGGAGTGCGACACTTGCAGTTTCTGCGTTTGCGATGCGTTTTGGATCAATTTTTTTTCATTATAAAATAGGATTTTCTAATCTAAATAAAAAAGTCCCCTATTCAAGCCTGATTCTATGCAAAAAAGATGATATTTTCAGATTTTCTCGAAAATTTTTTTTTAAACTTTTTTCCATCTTCAGAAAAGTTTTATACGATTCGACACAGATCCTATTGAAAAAAATAGCAGACTCAATGAAGTTTAAAAACTACGTGGAAATAAAAAAATTTCACTCATATTTCTTAAGATATATCTTTTATCATATCAAACTTTTTTCACTAGTTTTCTATTATTTTCTCCTAATCGCTTATGCTGTACGCTACGAAATATGTAGGGAAAAAAGGGACCGCAACGACCCTAAAACATACATTTATCATTTATCATGTCTTCGAAACGGTGATCTTGCTGATCTAGTGACCTTCCTTTATTCCTTTGATATTTTTTCTGTTGCTTCTTTCTACTGTGTGTTTTTTCGCTTTTCAAATAAATATATATTTTCGAAATGGTATTAATCTCTGAATATCTCTCTATTAAACAAGATAAAATTTAGCGATTCTTCAAAGTAGGTTGAACTTGCATGTTCTATGATCAAACCTAATTTTTCGTCTGCTCTTCGGTTTTTTCGGAATTAGCTTCATTGCACCTTCTCATAAGAGCTCAAAAATTCCTTGGAATTTTCTATTATTTTTTTTGCAAAAGACATCGTGGACTTAGAAATTTTGTTCAAATGTGGCCCAACTAGATTACTTTTTGTCAAATATTGCAAAAAAACGTGTTTCTTAATTCATGGCATCAACTTCTAGCTCAAAAGTTTACTCTTCTCCTCTTCTTCTGACATTTTCTTTTTTTGTCAGAAGAAAAACCCCAGGATTTATCTATATCAAAATCTTGATCAGCCAAAAGTTAAAAAAAAACCAAAAAAAGAAAAACAACTTTTTTCTGTTTACCCCTTGGAAAAAAAACAAGTTTTCAACCTCGTTTTCTTGTTTTGAAAGAAAAAAATATGTCTAGACATGAATTTGATGAACTGGAAACAATTAAAATTTCTCCATCTGTGGTGACATATTACTTGAACTTTCTAATTTTCCAACTGCTCGCCCTAGTTGAATAAAAAAATTAGCGAAATAAAATGTTGAAGAAAAAGTGAAAAAAACTACTGAGAAGTTTAGAATTCCTTTTTCATACAAGTCAGCAGTGGTTAACCCTTAAAATCTACAATGACCTCAATTATTTTTTCAAAAATTTGAAGTGAAAAAGTTATTTTACATCTAAAAGTCTCCAAGGAAGCTTCAACTTTTGTAATGTGAAAAAAATGGAAAAAAATGACTGTTTTTATTCCTTTTATTCAAATTTCTATGGTCGCACTTGGAATGACTTCACTTTTCAAGGCTCACCCGACCAAAAACGACTTGCGCTCTCAAAGCATTGAATCAAGCGGCTAAAATTGGTTGAGACCAACCGCTACGCAGCCGCAACGCAATGATCCATTCCAAGTGCGACCAAAATTCTAATGACGCGAAAAATTCACAGAGGCTTCCCAGAAAACGTCTGACAAACTTGAATGCAAAAAAAAAAAAATTGCACGCAAAACGTATCTATCGGGGTAATCTTCGCCATTTAAATTATTAAATGATCCCAAAAACAGCAAGATGAACTAAATAATTCTTTTTTTTCCGAAAGGGAAACTCACGGCTGCTGTCCGAGCAGACTACATACACTCGGCTTGAACTTTTCACCACGCAAAAGTCGCCTTTTCTCGCTCATTTCGCATAGCTTCCATATCAGGGCGATCGTGAACCAGAAGATTAAAATGCAGGGAAGAACCTGGAAATTGACTAATGAAAAAGCTTTTTATGGATCGAAAAGCGACCTTGAACATGATCCCGGTGATCCAGAGATTGGCGCGAAACAACCGACATCCGTCCACAGTTTCTTCGTCCAATTGTACGGTGTATAATCCGTCGAGCTAAAAATGAATAGTTTTCTAATCTATTGGTAACAGCTTTACTTCAGCTTTAAAAAAATTATTCATAATTTCAAACAAAGATTGAAAAAAGTCAGGAGGTCTGAAAAGGCGAAGGACGTCCATTTATAATTTCGTAAAAACTTCAGACCTGATAAAAGTATGATCAAAAAAATGGATTTAAGATGAAACCAACTCTAAACTTTGGCAATTTTTTGGAAATGGAGAAAAACGATAAAGAAAAAAAACATTTTTCATTCATTATACAACTTTCAACGAGGAACAGCAGGTGCAAAATAAACGCCATAAATAATATAACTTAAAATTTTTCCTATAATCGCGAATTTTTCTTTTTGTTCAATGTTTATAGCGTAATAAGAACTATAAAACTGCAGGAAAAAAAATCGAGATTATTCTGCTTTAAACTTAGAACAATATTAGCTTCCTGAAGAAGATAACTTGGAAAAATTCAGGGCGAATTCCAAAATTTTTGAATTTTCAGAAGGTCGCGTTTCTAGAATCTGAGATAAACTGATAATTGAAAAAATTTGTAGAAGCTTGAAAATTAAAAATCCCATAAAAGAACTTTTGTTTGAAATTCGGAGATTGAAATGGAAGCGTGAGTAATAAACACATGATACTTTTTCTATTTTTTTTTCTTTTTAAAATCGATAAATTTTGTCATTTCTAAACTTTTCAGCCTTTTCACCTAAGAGTAGAGCTTTACCTTTGTATCATTCGAGTCCAAGACTTCCTTAACCGTCACAATCTTGTGAACCATCACAGTTGGAACTGATATCAACGACACGGCGAGCGCTGTGAACAAGAATATGTGTCTGAAAAATGGGTTTTGTCAATATTCTCGGAACGTTTTGAAAATGGGTCATAAAACTCTTTGATGTACCAGATGGAGATCCTAGAAGCTTCAAACTGCTTTTGAAAAAAAAAAAAACTGACATCTGAAAGTCAATAAACATATCAAAACATGTTCAAAAAGAGTCATTTCCAGACTTTGATATATTATTTCTCGAAAATTTGCAGGTTGAGACTTCAGGATCTACATCAGGGAAGGCTTTTGGGACACGTTGGGCGGGCTTAGCCGGGCCGGCCCGTAGTGCGAAGAAGCCTGCGCTAGCTTTGGTCAAGCCAGGATTCGGAAACAACTTTGAAATATCGAAAAAAAGATTTTTTTCATAATAATTTTTAAAAAAATTGAAAAAAAAATGTGCGCTCTTTGGGCCAGTAAGGCCCTTCTTATTTAAGACCACGGCGGGCCAAATCGAAGCCCGATATGCTGACGGGCCGGCCCTCACGCAAGCCTGCATCAGGGACATCAAAGCGTTTTTGGCCCATTTTTGGACATCCAGAAGATAGTAACACTAATAAACTTCTTTTCCAAGTGACCTTAGGGCTCTGTGGTTGATCCATTTGGCGTCAAGTCTGTCCAAAGCGGTCCATCTGATGTAGGCCATCACGACGGAAAGGTACAGGGAAGACGTGTGGAGGGCGATCGAAGTCGTGACGTGTAAGATGAGGAACACGAGCCACGGATAGGAGTACCTACACGTTTTTATTATATAAAAACTATAGGTATAATGCAAGTGTAACACGCGATTTGCAACATCGAGGCCATCTTTTGAAGGTTTTTGCTTCGGTATGAAACAGTCAATTCTACATTAATCAGTATAATCGAAGAAAAATGGTATATTGAGAAAAGATGACTCATTTTACAGCAAAGTTGCTCTATGGACAACTCAACATTTTTCTTGATTGAAATTTTTAACTGATTTAGTAGGAACAATATTTTAAAGCTTTCGATTAGGTTTTAAAAATATTGATCTTCAAAATTCACATTAAAAAACTTGACAATATTGGTAAAAACTCTAGTGGCCACTCAAGGACTACTTAAAGAACACTAAAGTGACCACTAAAACCACCTCTATAGAAGCCACTGTATTGCGTCTTAGTGACCATCACAGTGGTTTCCAGTACCCTGGTAATAACATTTAGACTTCTAAAGATACCATTGCATTTTCGCCTAAAACGTCAAAACACTGAAGTGGTCACTAAAAATTTTCCCAGTGGTAAGTTCGTGTAAGCCGTTTCTTCGCTGTATTATCATGAAGATCAAACCGCGTTTTTCTTTCGAAATTACGGAAATTTCTGAGTAATTTTTTAAAAATCCGACGGGGAGTTCTATAGTCTGTTCACGGCCAGCTTGGAGCGGCAGGACCTTTTTTTCTTTTTTTTTTTCTTTTTGGCTAAAGCCGGCCGTGAATCTACACTGTATGGCAATACCCTCTCAAACCTTCTGTTGCACTGAAAATATCCCTTCAAAAGTTAATTACCCGAAGAACTCGGAAGAGTTGTCGAAGATGCGGAAGCGGAGGATGTAGATGAAGTAGGAGGCCATCGTGGTGACGTCACAGACGCACATGGCGCACAGAAGTGCGTTCATGACGTAGGCCCGCATCGTCCGACGCGTCAGGACGTAGAAATGAAGGAGATTGAGGCAGATTCCCGCGGAACACACCATCAGGCATAGGTAACGATGTACGTTCGAGTAGATCCTGTGATTTTTCAATTGAGATACGCTTTTTTTTCGTTTATTTTTCATCAGAGGTTCTCAGAGGGTAGCCCGAACCGCGAAACGGTCACATACCCAAAAAAGCTATTTTTTTTAATACTTTCCCTTGTTTACTCGTTTTCAACTGCGGGTCGGCCCTGGGAGACTGCTTCAAATCGCGGGTCAGCCCGAAAGGTTATACAGCTTCTTCCTATCATGATCATCATTCTCTTCCCTTTGTTTTAATGCGTTTTTTCTTTCTATCCTTTACATTACTATATTTTAATAGAAACGTATGTAGCTACTATCTACAGCTTCAGGAACAAAGATTTCTATTTTTGAGTAGATTTTTCTGTTGATTCGGCAAGAAAATGAGGAATTCTGAACCGTTCGTTTGAAAGACTTGCCATTTTCAAGATACTTATACGGGGAAATCAGGCAGGTCTAGTCAAACCTTTGAAAATCTGGCCGCTTTTTAGATATTCTATGGCCTTGGTATTATATAAAAAACGTAGAAAGAGCATTTTTTGCTAGGAAGAACGTTTGAAGGAAGTTTCTCACTTTTACTACAAGTTTTTTTGAAAAAAACGTTTTTTTCCAAAAATAGAGCGCTACCGAATCCTTACTCAGACAATGAACAATTTCTTATTCTCGTAAGGTAAAAACTCAAAAAGTTTTTAGTATTTTTGTCTCACACACTTCCAAATCTTTCAGGAAGTTCCCAGGAAAAAAAGAAAACCGAAAATTGGATTCTGCCGTTCCATCAACCGCATAAAAGTGACTTTTTTTCTGAATTTTTGTCCCTCATAGACACATGAATAATTCAGCGACGTGTCCCAGCTGCTTTTGGTATAAATTTTATCCCAAAAATTGATTTGTTGAATTATTCTGACACTTTTTCTGTGCCATGCGCCGTTCACGTTTTCAAAAAAAAAAAACACAGACAGCTGAAAATTTTCAAATTACTTTTAGACACATCTGTTGAAAAAGTCTGTTCAAATTAGTACTTCTTATCAATTTTGTATTTTGAAGCGTTCGAAATCATTCGTTTTCTAAGTTTCAAGCTATTTTTGAATACTCCCCAGACATAAGTAGCCGACAGAATGTATCTTCTTGATTGGCCTCGTTTTTCATTTCTTTGAGCTTCTTCTTCTTTTTTATGATCTACGTCGAATAGTCTATTTGAGCACTCTGTTTTGAGCAAACTGCGTATGTAAAAAGAATTGCTGACTTCAAAAAACAAAAGTCAGTCGAATTTAATTTTACTTGATCTCAGAAAAAGCTTCTAGGAGTAGACGAAATCGTAGCATAGTAATTTAGTAATTAAGTGATACTACCGTAGTAAAAAAAAAGAAAAAGAAAAGTCTTAAAAAATAAAAAAAGTGAAAGGGTTACTCTAAGTTCAAGCAAAAAAGGCAATAAAAAGCAGAAAAATGAGGTAAATTTGAGAAATACCGAACTTTTCTTCAGAAAATTAATGGATATGTCATTTTCTTAATGAAGTCTTTGAATTGCTTTCTGCCATTTTAAAATTGACGCGTTATTTGTTCAAAATAATTTTGCGAAATGGTTAAAATTAGAGTTCCAGGAGCAGTTGGAAAAAAAATGGGTCCTACAACGAAATATCGCGATAAGTAACTTTTTACGGTAACTTTCACGCGAAAATTCAAATTTTTGAATTATTCGGGCATTCACAACGAGAATTTCGTATGACTACTAGTATGCTCCCCTAGAGTGGCCACTTTTGATAGCTTAAGTGTTCCCTTTGGCGTTTTTAAGATCTGCCGTACACCGATCCAAAGTAATTTTTCAAAAGTTGGAAAGTCTTTTCCTCTAAAAAGGAAATTTTTACATATTTTTTTGTAAGTCTGCCCCCTCGAAAAAAACGAACCGATTGAAGGCGACAAGGTGGTCGAAGAAGGCGACCGTGGCGTTGTCCTGCAAGTCGAACAGGGGCGAGTCCTCGTCGCAGTGCATTCTGATCCGCTCACGACGTCGTCATCGTGAGAATTCTCCTCTTTGAGCCGGAAAGCCGTCGACACGGCGCACCTGTGTTCAGAACTTCATGCCAATGGATCAAATATCTCCCGAAAGACGAGAACTCAACATGTGATCGCGGCCCTACTTTTTCTCTTTCTTTGGTTTAAACGGGGAAAAAGTTGAGAAGATGAAAAAGATCAATGAAGATGGATATTTGGATACAAAAATGAGCTTTTTTTAAGAAATAGGTATTTAAAATTTAAAAATATGAATAGACTTTTTAAAAAGATTAAATGAAAGTCATTTTGAACATAATCTTTTTCAAAAGACTTCTTAAACTTCATATTCTCATAAATTAATCGATATGGGCAAACTGCTATTCGGTAAGAACTGGATAGAAATAGACTTTAGCAAAAAGAACTTTTTTACTTTTAGCTTTTAAAACGTGAAAAAATGAGAGAAAAACATATAAAAATTGAGAAAAACTAGGCGAAAATCGCGAAATAAAAAAACAAAAATGTCTTAACTTTGAAAACTTCAAAACGGCTATAGAATTTCACGGTTTCCTGCGTTCCCAGCTAAAAACCTTCTCGAGAAAAACAAATTTTCAAAAATCTACAATTATTATGCTTCAAAGAATCTTCAAGTTTAAAATTAACACACCCACGTTTTTTTTCTAACAAAAAAATGATAACAAAAAAGACAAAAAATGTAAATAGTATCACACTTAGAACAAAATCTTCTGAAAAGAAAGTTCTTTTTTTTCATATTTATTCTGAAAATTTACATGCTCTACAGGAAGCGCCATATTTTCCCGGAACTACAAAAAAAGGAGAAAAATTCAAAAAGTGCAAAATAACAAAAAAAAAATGAAGTGCATTTTCCGAATTTCGAGCCGAAAATCCTTTGAAAAGTGGGCAGGAAACGAGGGTTTGGATATTCGTAAGTAAATTGTAGTTATTGTGTGGCTCGGAGCCTCGGCATAACCCTATTTCTATCTTCTTTTCAATGAGTTCCTCGCCTCATTTCCTTGTACGAAAAACTGCAAAAATGGCAATAGGAACAGCTGTGGGAGTCGAATTCAGCTGCATCAAACGGAAATTCATAAATAATTAAAGTTCTGGCTGAAACCAAGAAGTCCAAACTAAATTAGGGGGAAAATAAGGAAAACTTGTTGATCCCTCGAAAAAGAGCATGAAAACAGAAGTGCAAAAGTGCATGAATAATTCATTTGGCCTAATTGCAAAGCAATTTATTAACGCCGTTCGGAAGATGAATGAAGATGAAGGAAAATGAGGAGAAAACTTCGAACAATGGCCGGAAAAAAGGGCGATTGAGTCAGAAAGATGAAAAGTGGCTCTTCTGGAAAGAAAAATCTCCCAGGGGGCCAATTTCCCGCAGGTTGCCATTTTCCTAATAAAAGCTTTCTTTTCAAGTTAAGGTTCGGATAAAAGTGAGTGAAATTATATGTTAGCAAATCGTAAAAAGTGAATAACTTTAAGAAGAAAATCCCATGATTTTGAAAAAAAAGGCAATGGGTACTGAGAAAAGACAAAAAATGAATTCTCTTTCTTAGTATATTTTTTTCTTTCAATGCGACCGCTACTGAGTAAGCAATAATATCCACTGTTCAGACACCGTCAAATGTTTTTTTCATATAGAGATGGTCAAAATTTTAAATAATACAAACTTTCTCGTGATTTTTTTGATCTAACAAGAGATACTTCACGCTTGAAGAAACGTTTTTCTGAAGAAACGTTTTTTTTTGGAAAAATTCCTTAAGAAGCAATAACTTTGAAAAAAAAATGATTTAGTTTCTGATCTAGCTTTTTCAATAACTCAATGAAAACAAAAGGCTTCTCAAATTTATACTGTCCTTAACGAGGATTGGAAAAGTTTTTTTATTTTTATTTTATTTTTTTCACGCGAGTCTATTATTTTTTTGATAGTTTTTCTAAAAAAATTCCCACGAAAGATGCTTCAAGTACCGTAAATATTCCAATAGCATCAGACCAAACGAGAAATAATAGTCTTCTTCTTCTTCTTCTTCTTCTAATAGTAATAGTCAAAAAAAAATAAAACTTTAAAAAGTTTAAAATTTTATGAAAACAATAAATTGTAAAGTGCGCGTGAATTAAAACGCATCGTGTTCCAATATACACCCTCATCACGTCGTCCCCTGCTACCATGATCTTTTTTTTTCCAGAAAAGGAAGGACGAACACCCAAAAAGGAAATGGAGTCTTCCAACGTCTTTTTGCAGAGTTTCCTCACGAAGGACTTTTGAACGATGGCATTTTGAACTCTTTAATTTGTCTCATGTGTCAATTATCGCGGGCTCTTCGGCGTTATTGGCCCCTGGGCAATAAAACATGACAAAAAAGGCTTTTCGTCTGGAAAAAAATTCATTATTTCTGACTTTCAGTTCCTAGCGGCAAAATAGGATAGATGCTGCATAACAAAAATATAAAAAAGCTTTTTATGCGGAGGAGAAAAAATGGAGAGAATAAATTGAGCAGAGCGTTTTTCGATGAGCTATGATCGAGAATAGAAATTGTAACGGAAAGAAAAATTTTCTCAACCATTTTGTCACGAATGAAATATGGACCATCCTTTCCAGAAAGAAATTGTTAGAAAATTGAAAGAAAACGGCCTTAAAATTGACCAGAAAAAAATTCATTTCGTTTTTTGTATTCCAAAATATTTCAAGCATTTTCGTTATAGGAATACCTGAGGAACTATGAGAAAGTCCTGGAAAATTTCAGTTTCACGTGGAAACTTCGGTCTTTACTCCCGAACAAAAACAGTTCCCCCTATTTACCATAAGGCTAAGCGGTTCGTTGCAGTATTCGCGGCAAATTTCGGACGTCAGAACCAAAATTTTTCCCATTTTCCTGGAACAACAAAGGGAAATCTTTCCTTTCTTCAAATCAACAAGGATTTTTTTGCAAAGCTCATGAAAAATTTCAAAAACTGGCTGAAGCTCAAAAACAACAACTTTGTTGAATTTTGAGTTCATTCCGCGCTAAACTTTAACACGGGATTCGAGAGAGGAATAGTTTGAAGTTTCGTGGCTTTCTTGTGGATGCGCCCGACCTTGAACGGCTTTCGCAAGACAGCCCATGATTACACACATGTTCAAGCCAAGATAGGTACAAATTTCGTGTTGTTAGCTGAAACCTCAACTTTTTAAGCCATTCCGAATGCGACTAGAATTTCAAAAAGTGTAGACTGAAATATATATTTTTCAAAAACTGGAAGCAGTGGTGTTTTGACTTATTTCTCGTAGTTTGAACTCTGCCTGAAACGTTAAAACGCTCAAAGAGCACGAAAAGTCCGCGAAATTGGCTGCTATTTTCCAAAAAGCCAATCTAAAATTTACATAAATGTGCTTATTAGAAGATCATCGTTCAGAAGAGCGAAGGGCCATCAATTTTTTATTAGAAAAAAAAAACCTTTGAAGGTTCAAAAAAAAGATACTGACAGATATTTGAAATATCTATGAATGGGGAAGAGAAGAACGCCCACGAAGAGTCACATGGAACTTCTGGGAAAAAGTTTTTTTAATTTTTTTGAAAAAAACATTTTTTCGAGTAGAACTTCAAAATCAGGCACTACAAGCTTATGAAAATGAATTCCTTTTGCACCTAAATTCGGAAAATCATTGAAAATCGAGCAAAAATGACGCTCTTTTCAGGAAATGAGAAAAAAACAAATTTATGATCATTTCCTGCTGAAAAAAAGTTTTTTTAGTTTTTTTCCGGGTACAAGATCATTTTTTTCATGTGTTCAATCGAGATTATCTTTTTCTGAATTCTTCTATCATTAATATCAAAAAAACAAAAAAATAATTTTTCGTAATATGAGCAATAATTAGCAGTCCTAAGCTTCAAAAAAGGAGTTCTCGAAAGCTTGAAAAGCATACAAAACTTATTTTACAAGCCCGAAAAACTGAAAAAAATAAATTCTACTCTCTTCTTAATTTTTTACAAAATAAAAGTGAAAACCTGATTCCTCACCTTTTTTTAAGGCGTTTAAAAAAAACGTGAAAGTGAACTAAAATTCATTTTTTCAATTGGACAAAGTCTGAAAATTTTAGGCGTATAAATCCCAACTCATTGCCCTTCGATACCAAGAGAAAACCGAGAGAATAAAAAAAAAAAAACTGGCTATGAAATCTGGTAGAGCTAGGATTCCACACACGTTTTTGACAAACGAGCGTGTAAGATTCGGACAAAATGGGCAAAAAAGGTGGCTCCCAAGAGCACGAAATGATGAATGAAGCCCAAGGGCACTACACCTCTCAAGTTATTGTCCGTGGAGCTGAGAAGGCGGCGAAGAAAAAGCTGCCGATTTCGATATATCGCAAAAGAGGCCACGCCCCCCAACGGCCTTCTTTTTTCCCAAGGAAAAAGTGGGCGGAGTCGACTTGTCAGGTCTTCGGAGCCTTCTCCGCTTAAGGTACACGAACATTGCCTCAATTTGGGCCGAGGGGAAAAATTGTGACAAGTTTCGGGGGCAATGCAAAAAAGGAAAGGTTCACGTTTGGGACACGCGAGGAATGGCCAAATTGCGGAACCAATTGAGGGTCCGAGAGACTAATCGCCAATGCTACTTCTGCTGGACTTGGAGCTGGTCTCAGCTATAAATCTGTGCTTCTTGCAAGGTTTCGGCTTTTTGGGAGGTAAAAATTGGGATATTGAGCTTCGAAAAAACGTAAAAAATGATTGAGCTTTTGAAAAAATAAGTTTAAATTTTTTTTAAGTCGAAATGGACTCCAAAGAAGCTCATTTTTATTTTCTTTATCTGCTGTTCACAGCTCTTTTTCTTGGAAGTTATCATGAAATTCTTCTTTTCGAGACTTTTTTATCTCCTTAAAAGGACCTTTCCGATCAAGGTCAGGAAAAGACGCTAGGAAGGTTTTTTAAAGACCTTTTTTTCATTCAAAAAAATCTCTAACTTAAATACTTTGGATTTTTTTCTTCCGTATAAACCGAAGTTGCAAAATCCATTTTTTGACTTTGTAAGCTCTTAACATACAAATAAAACCTCTTGAATCGCATTTTATTTTGATTTCTCGATAAAATACAAAAAAACTTTAAAACTTTTTCGATACAAATTCCTTCAGAAAAAAAATGACTGAAAAAAATCATCAAATCAGCAAAACACTGGGAAAAATTTTTTTAGTGGCCACTATAGTAGTCAAATTAGTGGCAACTTAAAAGGTTAAAGATCAAGACCACTATTGAGGTCTAAGTGCCACTACTAGACCACTAAAAGTTTCAGGGGCCACTTTAGGGGTCCATGGATCAACATAACTGGTCCAATCTGTTTGTTTTGAAATTATCAGAGTTGCTGGAAGGGATATTGGATCAAAAACTACTGAAGTGACCACTAATCCGAGAACCTCTATTGTTGGCCACTAAACGGAAAATAGTGGCCACTATAGAGGTGGATTTAGTGGCCACTTTAGTGTCCTCTCCAAGTAGTCCTTGGTGAGCCTCTAAAGAGGCCACTAAAAAGTCTCCCAGTAACAGAGAAAATGTACATTGATGCTTAATTCTTACAAATTCGAACCGGAAATTCAGAATCAAAATCAAAAAGCTCAACACGACGACTACCTCTGCTATAAAAAGATTTTTTTGTTCGATGGAAAAAGAAGTTTCACGAAGGAACTCCGCAAATTGTCACCTGGGAGATCCGTGATTATCGGGAATATTTTTAGCTTGAAACCAAGGAGATTTCAACTTTAGTTTGGAAAAAAGGATAGTTTGTAGTTGAGAAGACTGGAGTTCATTCTTTGCTAACAAGGAAGGTCATTCGAGATTGGGAATATCTTGAAAATTATTAAGAAGTTCTGTTGATGTACCAGAATGACATTCATAAAGTCTCAACTTGAAAAACTGTCTAGTTTTTGAGAAATAAGTCGAAGAAACCTTTAAAATAGGCAATTTCGGAGATTTGAGCGCTTATTTCTCGAAAACTGAAGTTATAAACTTTAAGACTTCCTGTAACTTCTTCTAATACATCAAGAAATCTTCTGGACAACTTTCGAAAAATTCCCAACCTTATAGTAAAATGACCATCCTCCAAAGCTCAAAAAAAAACGAAATAGAGGGAAAAATCAGAAATTGTTTTCTCGAGCCATCCGTGAATACACGAAGTTCAGAAAACCAAGATATGGAAACAAATTTCCCGAATGGGGCGTGTCCCGAAATTAACAAAAGACGCGCCGAAATGTGATCAAACATTCCACCTCTAGATCTATTAATAAAGCAAATTTGAGCCTCACTGAACTCATCAAAAATGAAGTTTTTTTTCAAAAAATCAATCAAAAAAATCATTTTTTTCCCAGATGAAATAAATTTTTCTAATCAAAATCGATGCTTCGTGGTATAAGCTTTTTATTTTTTTAATTCAGAGAATAAATTTTAAAAAAATGGAAAAAGAGTGAAGTTTCCCTGAAACTTTTTTGTTGTTCAGTCTCAAAGCTTCCTGAGAGTTGTGAAATTTTTAAACGCGTCTATAAATAGCTCAGGACACCTCAACTTGAGCCGAAAATCGGGAAAAATAGGTGTCTGTTTCACCTTTTTGTGAAAATCAAAATGAAATGAAAAATTAAAAGCTATTTCGGAGCGTTTTCGGATGTCCAAGAAGCATAATTTCTCATTTCGAGACGATATTTGTTTCTGAGTTTACGCGCCAAAAATAAAAAAAATGAAAATTATAAAAAAACATAAAAATTAACAGTTGATGCGCAGTCAAATCGCACGGGCAAAGTACAAATGTACCTAGAAACAAGTTTTTAATTAGCATTTTTTATGACTTTTTATCAAAAAAAGGACCTTTTTTTAAACAAAGAAAACAGGTGCTGCAGACAAGAAATTGATAGTAAGATTCAGAAAAAGCGGATAAAAGCCGAAAAAAGTTGTACTTGAAAAGGTGGGAGAAAGGAGTATAGAAGGAACTTTCCTGCACCTTTTTCGAACTTCAAAACGAATTTATTTTTTTCTTGAAAAAATTCTTAAAGGCGTCGAGTTTTTTCAACTGCGTTGAGTTTGAACATTTGGAAACAAAATGCCGAAAATTTTTTGCCGAAAAATGCCGAAATAACTAAATTTTTTTAGTCTTAACAAGTATTCCTGCTTCAATTTTGTCTTTTGAGAACTTTTTCGAACGTATAGGGTTGTTTCGCCAATTCGGAAACCCAACATGATTTTTTTAAAAAAATTTTTATCTTTTTTTCGAAATCGATTTAATAAGGACTACTCAGAAAGGAGAGTAATGAAATTTTCATTTCGAAAAATTTTGGAAAGCCAAAAACTCCTTAACATACTCTTGAAGATACAAAGGTAAGATTCAGAAAATTTCAAATTGGAAAACTTCCAACTTTCCGCGAAAAAACGACTCAACTTTAAATCGCCTGACATGCATTTATGACTGAAATTTCAATGAAAATTTCATTTTTGTAGGTTCAAAGTTCAAAAAGTTTCACTCAATGCATTATTGATTGCACTCCATAAATCCTTTGCTCAAACTTCAGAGAATTCTGAAGAAAAAGATAAAAAGCCGTTCAGAACAATCACAAGGCATCATGACTCAAGATTTCGTTCAGAGAAACGAGAAGAAAAGTTCAAAGTTGAGGAGAAAATTGGCCATTTTCGAGAAATCCTTATGAAAAAGAGATGAGTCAAAGGGCCAACCATTAGTGAGGAGGAAAAAAAGAAGAGAATATGAGCCGTCTACTCTACACATCTTCTCACTTTTCACACGCCAGTCGGACAAAATATATTATATTTTGTGTAAAACACGCAATAAACTCAAGTTTTATGTCAGGGATTTTCGAACTTTACAAAAAGCTTTTTATGTTCCAGGCTTTGGTCTTGCAACTTCTAAGTTCCTATATATAAATATAGTTCTTTCAAGAGTTATTTTCATAGTTTTGATTTGCAAGACCCTACGAAGAAGTGGGAGAGAAAGGAAAATAAAATAAACCGATAAAAAGTTGTGTATTCCATAGAAAAGCACGTTTTTTGCGCTTCAATGAGATTTTATTTCGAATAAACTGTCATTTTGAAGTCCTTTAAAGCCCTTATAAAATGTGAGAAACGTTAAACTTCGTTACCTTTATAACGGGATAGGACGTAAAAATTTCACTATACTAAAAAAATTAAGTTTATATGTCATTTTAGACGAAATTGGAAACAGTAAAACCTGAAAAACTGAATGAATTCCTCCAACTTTTCAAGCCAGAAAATTATTTCAAACTTGTTTTGAGAACCTTGAAAGGTATTTCGAAACTGTACAGACTCATTGTACACTGCCAAAGTCGGAAGTACGAAAAACAGGTACAGAAAAGGAATGGTTCCAAAATGGCCTCTAAAACGGTTCCGTTTTGCGGCCTTTATTTAGCCTTTCCTTTTGAAGTAATGGTTCGGACTAAAGTTTCAATTAATTCTGTAGCCTGATTTAAAAATAAAAAAAGAGTTTTGAAGTTTCTCAGCTTCGAATTATAATGTGAAACGAAAAAAGTAAGCCGTGAGAACAAGGGGGAAAAAATCAAAGGCTCACGGTTTTTTTAAAAATGTAACACCTAATAAAAGCTCCCTAATAGCTTTCAAGCATTCAATTAATTCAAAAGAAAGTTTCACAACTGAGAAAAAAAAGTATTATAATCACTATAGTATTCCTAGAAACAGTTTCAAAACACTGAGAAATGTTGCTTTTATTTTAAAACGAACCTCATAATTTCCAGCCAAAAACGTCGATTTTATTCTTTTTTTCATCTTGAACTTCTTGAACTCTTTGTTGAAGTTTCCTCAAAAATGGAAACAAAAGGGGAAAAGATCTCCGATACGACGACGTCGCATAACGTATGCATCAGAGAAAGCGCAATGAGAATAAAACCAATAAAAAAAGTTTATTTATTCAAGAAAGCAAAAAGGAAGAGAAAGACAAGGGGCCGGGCGACTGGTGACGTCATCGGACGATCGTGGCGGCGACGATCTGATTCAGAAGGCCGGCGACGTCGGCTGCAGAAGGCGTCCGCTCGATTCCCGACTGCAGGAACTGCACGGCGAGGGCCTGAAAGATAGATTAGTTGTTGGAGTTTGCATTGAGTATAATGATATAGTCAATCCTTCCCGACTTGGAAGGCGAGATGGGCAGATTGGAGAGGGTGACGCGTTGCGTGTGCGACGCGGCTTCTGGCGGGAAACTTGAGGTCAAACGGGAATCTCTATTTTTCTCCTTTTTTTGGAAAGTTTATCAATAAGCTGTAATTTTTTAGAGGTTTGAAAAGATTAAGTAGATGGAATAAAAGTATAATGATAATAAAAACCTATTTTTTTTTTTAAATTTCTCGAGAAAAAACCCCAAAAGTCGCGACGCACACGCAACGCTTCACCCTTGCAAATCTACTCATCTGGCTTTTCAAGTCGGGAAAATTCTGGTTTTCTTATTTTTCAGCAGTTTTTCCCCTCATCTTCTACATTTTTACTCATTTTCAAGTTTTCGAGTCGGGTCGCCCCGGGGCATCAAATCGCGGGCCAGCCCGTGAGGCCCCCAAGCTCGTTTTCAAGGGCAGTAAAAGTAATCGTTTCGCAATTTTTCCTATTGAAATTTTGAAAAAAAAAGTTCTTTTTTTTATAGATTGTTCAAAAATCCTCACTAGATTGAGTTCAATAGACCAATTTCCAAAAAAAAAACAACAAAGCAAATTATAAATTCGAAGAGCCTGTTTCCTTGTCTTTTTCAGGTCCTACAAACCTTCTGCACGTATGTGTCATGAATATAAATTCCCTCCAGTTCATTGAGACCAATTTCGAAAGAAAAAAAGTGAGACCAAAAATACAAGGATCAGAAAAAGAAGTTGCGAGTTTCACTTCCTTATAGGGAAGATCTTAGGATTATGTAGTTTTACTGGCCTCCTACACGTCAAATTCATTCGAAAAATAAAGATGTTAGCATTGGAAATACATCCTTATCCATAGAAATTGGACAAAAATAAGCTTTTTTTTCAAGGAAGTTTGTGGGGATATGCCGAAACTAGGAAGGTTCTGTGGAAAAAAATAAATTTAAATTTTTTTAATGAAAGATTTTTTTGAAGTTCTTATGTAACGCAAGCAAGTATACAGCCGTTGAAAGTTGATTTTTCGGGTTTTTTTTTTACCTTTTAAAGTTCTAAAGTTTTTTCTTCTATTTTTTGGAGGGGAAACTTTCTAGACTTTTGAACCCGGCTCTGAATTAAAAATTGAAGATGTCTTGATTATTAATTGAACTTGAGGAAAGATATCTTAAGCCCCTGGAAATGATAAAAACTTGTGAAAACTTTGAAATTTTTTTTGAAATTACAATTATTCAGACACAACATATGTTGCATGCAATTTTTGAAAATCACACTGGATAAGATTTTTTTCCGTGGAGCACATTAGACGAGAATTTCAAGCTTTAAGGTTAAAATCTTCAGAATACTTTTTTTCAGAGTTTCTTTTTCTAACCGATTTTTTTGGTTAGAAAAAAATTTGATCTTTCAAAAAAATAAAATCTTAGAAAAAAAGAGTTCATTTTAATGCGAAATCTATCCGTGGGGCACATTTACGCAATAATTTTGAAACTCTGTCTTTTCACTGATTTTTAGTGAAAGAAAATATTTTTCTAATCAAAAGTAGGGGGCTGATGTCTCAAGGACATACTTTCCAGGCATTTTTTGCCTGCAAGCTCAAATTTCTCTGTTTTTTCCCCGATTTTCGGTGAGACAAAACTTATTAAACCTCTTGAACTTGGACCCCCGTACTTTTGATTGACGTGCCCAGTGTTTTTTTCTGACTTTTCGCGTGCATTTCAATCTTATCTCGAAACCTGGCACTCGAGAAGCCTCCTCTGGAACATTTCGTTGTGCTGCCGCAGGAGCTGCGTCTCCATCTGGGAATTGCTCACGGCGAGCTCCGAAACCGACAATTGGGACCTCGTCTGAGCCAGCTCCGTCTCAAAAATCACAATTTTGAGCGGAAAAAAACAGATGATTTATGGGTGGTTTGTAAGAAAAAAAACGAGGCTCCGAAATAAGGGACCACCGAAGTGGCCAGAATGGTGTGTAGGAGAAAGAACACTGGATTTCAAACGAACATAATTGAAAAAGCATTAGAATAAAAAATAGCTTTGAAACTGCAATGTTAAGTTAATTATTTTTCTTTTTTTCCTAATAATGATTTGAAAAAAAATTATTGGGATAAAATGTAATGAAAAAAAGGATAGTGAACCCCAGAAGATTGGAAAACCAACCTCTTCAAAACGATTAAAAAGGGACAAAAAAAGAATAAATCGATTTTTTTAACTATTTTTTTGAAAAAAATCATAGTGATTTTTAATAAAAAGCTCATTTAGAGAAGGCGTCCTAAGACTATGACAAGTAAAAAAATATTTTTTTAAAATGACGAAAAAAATGAAAAAAATTTGAATTTTTGAAAGCTAAAACCGTCAATTATGGAGTTTGAGGTCAAAGTCTGGTTAAAATTAATTTTTCTGCCCAAAAATGAGCAAAATAATGAAAAATGTTTTTTTTTAAATTCTAAAGATTGCTTATTATTTTTTTAGACTGTCAAAAAAAGTTTCTGATTATGGAGATTACTAAATAATATTTATGAGAGTCTGATTTATATTTGTTTTAGAATAAAACATTGCTCAAAAGCTCTAAAAAAGACTGACGATTTTAAAGGAGCATAGACAGTTTTCTTAACAGATCTCAAAGCGAAAGGCCGTTTTATCTGTTAATTCAAGTCACGGAAAATCTCAAAAGTCTTGAAAAACTTAAGAACTGATTCTTGGGCTTACAATATTTTTCTTGATCCAATTCCCACCTTCAGAACCTCGACCTGAGCCTCCAAGAAGCTGGTCCGACTTTCGGCCGCCTTGACCTTGGTCCGGAGATCTTCGCACTCGAAGCAGGCGGAAGACTCCTGGGGACTGACGGAGGACGGAGAAGACGTCGAGGCGGAAGACGTGTTGGTCGCAGAAGGCGTCGGCGAGGGACACATCGACAGCTTCTGGAGAGGCTGGAAGGCGCTGGGTTCGGACCGCGACGACGACGGCGAGGCGTGGAAGTTCTTTATCGAGCAGTTCGAGGCGTCTTCGTCGGACAGCGAGAGGCCACTTAAGCGAATTCCACTTTAGAGGCCACTTAAGGGAATGCCACTTTAGAGGCCACTTAAGCGAATTCCACTTTAGAGGCCACTTAAGGGAATGCCACTTTAGAGTCCGCTTAAGCGAATTCCACTTTAGAGGCCACTTAAGGGAATTCCACTTTAGAGTCCGCTTAAGGGAGTTTCACTTTAGAGGCCACTTAAGGGAATCCCACTTTAGAGGCCACTTAAGGGAAATCCACTCTAGAGGCCACTTAAGGGGTTTTCACTTTAGAAGCCACTTAAGGGAATTTCACTTTAGAAGCCACTTTAGAGGCCACTTAAGGGAATTCCACTTTGAAAGGACTTATTTTTTTCCATGTTAGAGTTCATTCATGTCTGATGCTGAACGTTTTCCTTGAAAAAGTCTGATTTCTCGCTTCCTCTTCTCTCTCCTTTTTGCATGCTATTTCCAATTTTCATGACCTCAACGGTGAGAGAGAAGTGAGAACAGACAGGTCAGACTTGTTAGTAGCAACAATGATTTTAAAAAAACTTTTTCTACTTAAAAAATGAAGTACCTATCCGGCCGAACTCCTTCAAAACTCCTTTCCTTGGCCTCCGTCTCGATTTCCGTGGAATTCCTCTGGATTTTCACACTTTCCAGACTTGGAACAAACGGATTGGGCACTGAAAAAACCGCTAAATCGAGAAAAATCTTCTGCAAAATTACAGGGTGCTGGAAAAAGTTGGGATTGTTGGACGAGAAGCTGAGTCAACAGGAATCTTTCCCTCAGGTCGCCGGATAAGGAGAAAAGCGAATTCAAGGGCGATTGAAGGGAAACCGGCGCTCGGATCACTATAAATTAGATAAGTTGATAATCTTTATATCTCAAATATATTTTTTCTCACCATAACTAAACAGCCTATGCAGGTAAAAAATCCTTTTTTGCACTCAAACTTAGATTTTTGTAAATCTCTATCAAAAATCTCCCAAGTAGAATGTGATGTTAGAAAATTTCAATGAAAATTCCTTTTTTCAATGAAAGTCAGTTTTTTCGTGAAGAATTTCCAAAGTTTTCTTTTGCACTATTCTATCGCATTACGGTTTCACTCAACTTTAATCAATTTTCTTCGTTTCATCAAGTCAATGCTGTTAAAATCAGTCGAATGATTTCATTCTATGTGATTCTGAAAAATAAGTTTTAGTGCAAGGGGGGGGAAATTGTAGTGGCCTCTTTAGGGTTTGACGTTTTGGTGGCTACCTAGTCGTATTAGTGGCCACTTTAGTGGTTGATAATTGGAAGCTTCTTCCAAGGGGTTTTATTAGGGCTCTCAAAACTTTAAAAGCGACTAGAGGTCTATAATAATGTTAAAGGATATCCGCGAAAAATCGTTTGAAATTTTCCGACTTTATTTTTGCAATTAAAACTCACTACATGACATTACAGTTCCACTACATCTTTTTGGCACTCCGACTTTTTTTTTGTTGATTTTTGACACATAAGGCTGTGATGCTGCAAATAAAAAAACCGATCTTCCCTATAAAAAAACTTTTTTTCTTTTTTTCTCAATTCCGATAAAATTACATCCTTTACTGGAAGCAGTTAAGCTTCCTCTTATTATTTTTGAAGAAAAACCCACCAGAAGTCGGGGCAGAAGTCGATTCTGAAGCAGTTGGAAGTATCAGGGGCTTGTTTGAGGCAATTTTTCCCTCCTTGATGTTCTAAAAATGATAATTTTGAGTTTTGAATTAGCGCCGTCGCAGCAGCTACGCGTTGAGTCATTCCAAATGCGACCAGTAAATAAATATATCTATTTTTTCTTAAAAAAACGTTCCCTAGTAAAGCCAAAAATAGGTACTCCGAGTCAAACCAAAAGTCAAAAAAAAAAAATATTAAGTCATGAATTATCAGTTCAAAAGAATGACCTGAACATGTTCATGCAATGAAGTCTTGTCGGAAAAGGCCCAATTACAACAGCGACACATGAACATCCGCGAGATCCGGTGATGCTTGTACATGTGCGTCCGCAGCGATTCATTGCCTGCAAAATTATCAGAGATTATGGATTTTCGAAGTTCTATTCCGTGGGACAAAATACGAAAAAACGGTTTTGATCACAACTTTCTTGTATGGAGTTTAATCTTTTCGAAACCTTCTGGAATTGTGATGACTTTTATTTGTGACACATTCCATTTCATTGAATTCCAAGAAAATTGAGCTCCATACGAGGAAATTGTGAGCAGAATTTATTTTTGTATGTATCTTTTCTGAAGTTAGTTTATTTAAAACCTACTGATAGATAACTTGACGGAACTTCAAAAAAGCCCTAACTTGAAAGCTTTCGAGTAGCTTTTCTTCTATGCCCTGTAGTCCATTCATCAACTACTCACATGTTAGAACCAAAATTACTACAAAAATGTCTGAACCTCTCTTTCTCGCATACTGTTTCTCAAATCCTGTGAAAGTCCTTGATTTTGCTGTTCAGAACAAATTTTGCCTAACCAGGGAATGGTCTCCGGTTGCAGTGGGACTTCTTGATGGTTTTCTAGGTAGCTTTTCACGCTGATTTTAAATTTGTTTTCGAAAAATTGGCGGGGAGGTCTGTGAAAAAAGTTATAGTTTTTCAAAGGTGAGAAATTTTGAAGGTTCTGATTTAACTCAATTTTGGAAGATATGTAGACCCTGTCAGACTGATAACGGGAAAAAAAATTATGTTTCTATATAAAAATTCGAAAACGCATATTTGCTCCACTTCAGACTTTTTGATTTTTTTCAAATTTGGACCTCATGAAAATTCGCTTGTTCAAATTCAATATTAAAGAGCCAATCAATGGAATTCTTAAAAAAGCGTTTTCCTTGAACTTTCCAAATTTCTATTACTTTCAGCCTCGACTTCAATAATAAAAAAAATTTCCTACTGCTCGATGCAAACTTTCCGCAGCTGAATATCAATGAGCCGTGCAAAAAATGAAAGAAAAACGAGTTTAGAGCAGAAAATATTGCATGAAAAGGTGTTTACTCCATTCCAACCTTTCTACTCGCAACTTGTGACCTCACCAAGACAACTCAATTTTTTGCTGCTAAATTCGAAGAAAAGGAACAGCGAAAAGGGGGGAACCGCCGTATTGTGTCCTTTCCGAGCAAGGGTCAAAGTGTGATTGGATTTGATGAGAGAAAAGGTGTCGAAAGCAAACAGGACACGGAACCCGAGAAAAGTGCACGAGAGCAACCCGAAAACAATCAACAAGATGCACGGCTGGTATTAAATCCGGGAGCTTCCAGGTTGAATTTAATTTATTTCTTCCTATTTCTCAAAATGAAGCTGAACATCAAAAATAGGAGAGGGCTAGGGGTTATATTTGACCACAAAAAATGATTTTTGTGAGAGAAAAAAAGCTTCGGCGTATTCAAAGCGATTCCAAGAAAGAGCCGTCAGAGAATGAAAAAGATAACTGCATTTTGGAGAGTCAGAGATATTATTTATCCCAAGGTTACAATTATTTAATTTCTTCTAATCACTCAAAATGGAGTTGAAAATCAGAAAATACGAAAAACTAGGGTTAGTTTTGACCAAAATTCAAATCAGAAGAGATTTTTGAAATAAAAAAAACGAGCTCCATCGTCATTTCTCAATGATAACTACCGAGTTGGCGCGAGAGAAATGCGATATCGCTCGCGGTAAACTAAGGAAATTGTCGCTCTGTGTTCACGCGGGTATCGCATTCCTCTAGGCGCGACATCGCGTTTCTCTCGCGATTCGAAAATTTCCGAATTGCGAGATCGTCAATGTAACGCTAGAAACCTCGAGTTCATCTTGGCAGTTATTTTTTTATAATAACAGAAAAAAATGAACAAATTTGCTCACCCTGGTTAGGTTATTATAAAAAAATTGAAAACTGTAACTTCAGCTTGAAGGCTCGAAAATTGAAAAAAATTGTAGGTGGATGTGATTCTAATTTTAAAACGAGGAGCAAAAAAAAGCACTAAAAACCAGATCTTTGAAAAAACATAAAATATTGTAAAATTCAGAAGCTAACAAAAAGCGAAACTTTTAGGATCAAAATAAAAAGCTTCATTTTGAGGCATGTCATGGCTCTTCGCTTCCAAAAACTAACTATCTTTGAGCTTCCTCTTGCGACAGACTGAGAATCTCTCGCTGTGGAAGGCCCTGAGGTACTCCTCTTTCCGTTGCAGAAATCCGACAGACGTTGCTTTTGGCGATGGCGTAGCGGTCGGCGATGGAAGCCTGGCTGAGGGCCGAGTTGGTCTCGGCCAGTCGGATGAGCTCGACCTTCTGCTCGAGGGTCAGCTCCTTGTAGGGCTTCTTCTTCCGGAGCGGCGGCGACGGCGAGCCCATGGCGATCTCGGTTGGGGAACGATCGGGCCGCCGGAGGGCCTGTCCAGACTCCGCCCACTTTTTGATGACCGGCAGCTAAACCATCGGTACTGCGTGCGGCGAACGGACACGTAATCCGTTCCGGTTACCAGTTCTTTTTTTTTTCTTCTCTGTGTGGGGACAGAGAGAAAAATGACCAATAACCAATAGTCATTGAAAGTGGAACGTTTGAGTTTCAAAAAAAAAACTTTGAAAAAAATCCCGAAAAAGCAAGTTCAAAAGCTTCCAAAAAATAATCTAACATTGAAAATACCAAATAGAAGTTTAGTTTATTTTCCACTGGCTTCAGAAAAAGTTCAAGTGAATGTCAACAAAAAAATTAGTAAAATTAAAGATTCTTATCTGTTTTATAGAAATTATTTTAGGCCAGCTAAAATGACTTTTTAATGATAAATGAAGTTTATAAAAAGTCTATACTTGGCCAGATGTGCCCTTAATCGAATGAAACTTGAATAATTTCGGATTTGCAAAAAAATGTAATTTTAAAAACTGTTTTTCAAAATTTAAAAAAATGCATAATAACAAAAAAAGACTGTTATAGGAGTCTGAACTCGATTTTTCATCCTTTTAGCAAATTTTTTTGAATTAATTGTCTTTATTAATGACCTGTTTTGTCATCAAAAATTTATGAAAAATTCAACAATAACGCAAAAAGTTGAAGTCCATTTTCATGGCGAATTTTTTTAAAATTTCAGTGAGATCTGAAATTATGTTAAAATCCTCAACGCTAAAAACAGATGAAGAAGTTTTTTTCTTTAAAAAAATTTTTTTGGGTATTCACTACTTCGAATTTTTTTTTCTAATACCATTCCACACGTTATCATATATCATATATGATGGAACTTCTGCAAAAAAAAAAAGAACGAGATAATTTTCTCACGTTGCTCATGTTAAGGACCATTCCAAAAAGTGCAAACTGAATGACGTCACAACTTTTTTTGCCCTTAAAAAAGAAAAAAAAAGGCCCACACATAATATTTTGTACAGTGAGAAGGGGTCATACCAAAATTGTTTGCTTTCGTTTTCATTTTTTTTTTTTTTGCTGCTGTTTGTTTGTCCATTTCCGTGCTCCCCATTTGATTTCGTATCGTTCACCCCTCAAACCACAAAACTTTCAAGATTTGACGCGTTTTTGATTATTTTAAATAGAATTTTCTTGTAAATTTTGAAGAATAAAAAAAACACTTTTGGATTGGAAATCATCTGTTTTCCTGATCTAGAACGCGGAGGTTTACTGAACTTGGAATTTTTAGACTTTTCCATTTTGGTACAACTTGAGAGATGAAAACTGACTAACTCGGATTGGGTATCTTTGACAAAAGTGAATTGACCACTTTTTCCAGAAGCAGTGGCTAACATTCCCGTTTTCAAATGAGTAGAAAAAAAAGCTGAGAAGAAATGGTTGATGGATCGTCGCATTTTTAGGTATATAACAAAAATAAGACGCATTTTGAGTGACCACATCAGTGTCTTCTTTAAGCAGCCCTTGAGTAGAGACCGCAGAGCAACGCCCCTTTCTGCGTTGGTGAAATGCACTGGTTTTTTAGATTTCGTGTTTGATGTTTTCGTAAAAGCGCAATACTGAATCAAACACAGAGAAATTTGGTGGAAACATAGAGAAAACCTTCCTCTTCAATCTCATATACTTTTCATCCGATTTTCAAAGCGTTTTAGCGGAGCGTCGTACAAAAAACCAAAACTACTTTTTTTCTTCGGGTTTTTAACCTAGTTCCATGTCGTTGGCGCCTTTTTTTATTTTCGAATTCGATTCTTAAGTGAAAAACAAATCTTTTAAGACAAAAAAATTAAAATTTTTACGGTGCCTAATCTTCGTGAGGCCGCGCAAAGTTGAAAATGTTGTACTCGGTTTCGAGAGCGTGTAAGTAAAAATTTTTTTATTTTTAACTTGTGGATTAAATTGTAACTAAAATTTTATTAATATAAAACTTATTCCGAAAAACTTTGTTTTTCTGAGAAAAAGACAGTGAAAATTTCGAAATTCATTTTAACATGGTCAGATGTCGTTGGCGCCTTTTTATTTCTTAAATATTAGCGTATTTCAATTTTTCAATCAATTAAAAAAATAAAATAAAAAAATTTTAGCGGTGCCTAAAAAGTTTAATCAGTGTTAGTTTGAAGCCAACGTTAAAATAAGAAAAAAACACCGAAAACGGAAGCATTTCGAACTGAATCTCTATGAATAAATTATTTTTAGGTGCTCCGAACACACGTGACTAATAATTGTTCAACTATCATAACTTTTTTTAAAACAAAACAGACGGTAAATGCTGTACTTTGAGGTGAAGTGGTGTATAGCGCGAACGCCTCCCATCCCCGAGGGATGGACGTGGAGCAGCGCAAGTGCCCTTGCATATAGTTTTGATAGCGCGAGTTCAAATCCTCGCAGCGGCCATTTTTATTTTTTTCAAGAAAAAAATAGCTTTTTCTTTTTCAAACTTGTGGTTTTATACTGTTTTAATGACTTATTACGACTTTGAAAAACCAAACTAAACTACTAAAAAAAATTTAAATCCGATATGAAAACAAAATGAACCACCAAAAGTGTAAAATCTAAACTTTCAGTACTAAATTTCGCGACTTTTTTCACTACTGTTTTGACCATAACTTTTTTTTTCTCAACCTTTTTCGAAAAACTGAACTGTTTTGAATAGTAAATTAGAGCAGCTATCCAACCATAGTAATATTGAAGTTCAAAAAATTTTTTGAAAATTCGTCTGCGGTCCCTACCCTTGAGGAACCTTTTAATTAGGCCACTAATTTTTTTCCCAGATGTATTCACCTACCTTGTGGATAAGAAAATTTTCAATCGTTATTGAAGTTTTTACTCGGAAAAACTCTAGTGACTACTTAAGAGGTTCCTTAAGGACTACTCGAATTGGACACTGAAGTGGTCACTAAAACCACCTCTTTAGAAGCCACTCTGGTGAAATTTAGTGGCCTGGCCTGGTACCAGTCAGACTTTTAAAGAAGAGTCTAAATTTTAGCTACTTGAATGGCCCCTTATTCGAATATTATAATAGCCGCTCAAACGTGAAAACCCTAGAGTGGCCACTAGAGACTTTTCCGATTTCTCCGCTTGTTTTTACTTGACAAATAAAATCGCCCTACTCAATTCCTTCGAAAACTAAGATTAAACGTGCAATTTTTTTCTTTTTTCTCCCACCTTTCTTTAAAAAGTTGTCCAAAAATTTGTCTCCCTAATTCAAGATTTTCAAAAATCCCATCGCAAGTCTTCCATGTAACACTCCTTCCATTTCCACGGGAAAAAAGCGCTTGAACGGGTCCATTAGAATCGCCGATTTAACGATTCGGAAGAGTCGGGAGAAACGGTTGCGCAAGGCGAAAATAAGGTGACGCAAAAGGTTAGCCGCGGCGCCGAAGATTAGCGCCGCCGTGACCCCTTTTCCGAGGCTTCTGATGCCATCAGCTTAATCCAGTTTCAGACTGGCGGACCACCCGCAAAGCTTCTACGTGGTGTCAGGGCCGAGGATATAATCAAGAGACAGTAGAAGAACGACTCAAAGCGAGAATTTACTAGAAAAAGGTAGAAACTGGAAAAAAAGAGATACAGGAGGCGCTCAGTGACAACAGAAAAAAAGAAACATCGAAGAATCGCAGAAACGCTCTGGTTTGGCAATTTAGGTCTCCATGTCAGAGCGAACAAAAAGGCCTCGCGAATCGGACGTGTCGGGGCATTTCTAGTGACCACGTTAGTAGCCTCAAAACTCTTAAGTGGTCCCTAGAATCGCCCAGAAACGTCCGGAGCACGTCCGTTTCGCGTTACCAATGTCCGAGGCTAAAGCAGAAAAATAACTTTTTTTTTGTCCATAGAGCAACTTTGCTGCATAGACGGTAAATCGAACTTTTTTTCTCTCGAATGCTTTCTTCAAAACCAGGAACTTCTGTACATTTCCAGGTATATATATAATGAAAGTTCAGGCACAAGGAAAAACGATCTCATTGTATGCTTCAAAAAGAATTTTCTGGAGGGCTTATACGAATATTTTCACAGAAATTCGCACCATTTTTGATGTGGATATGGTTGAAAACTAACTAGTGATGTCCTTGGGACACAAGGTGCACTTGTAGCTCTTGAAAATGAGCTTGCATTCGATGTCGAGAAAGCGAAGAAGAATGACAGAAGACCTTGGCGCAGACCGAGCAGTGGAACGTTCCTACAAAATCGTGAACGATAAGCTTTTTATCTTTCTTTAATTGAACAAAAATAATTTATAAAAGAATGAAAACTGTGATGAACTAGAAATATAGCTCTGCACTATTGAATTTTTTTGAAAAATGCTCAAAAACTTCAAATTATTGTTTATACCGATCCTGAACCTTTTCTATTTCATTTTTTCTCTGCTCTCACTTTTCTTTTCATTATAGTAAAAAAGTTTACAATGAGATTTCATATGAAAGAGTGGTATACCGTATAAGAACAAATATCCTCCATCATTGAGAAAATTTCGTAGACCTGTGTGAAAAAACTCTTATGAGAATTTTTTTTTTCGACTTCTAAAAGGAAAATTTTTGGTGAGCATGGTAAGCGTATACTTTTTGAATAAGATCCTGGAAAATTCTTCAAAAAGGCAACCTTTCAAGTCGGGTCGCTTGAGCTCCGACTTTTTGCCGGGCGAAGAAGACGAGGCTCCGTTCTCGACGTCGTCGAAGTCGCCGTCGCAGTCGACGAACATCTCGTCGTCCTCGACGTCTTCCGCCGCCAACTTCATCGAGATCTTCTGCAACCTTTGCACTACAGTCGACGTTTATGTAGTCGCGGCCGGCTAAACGGTCTATGGGAACGCCGGAAAATTGGCTGAAATTGAAAGATATTCGTCCTGAAAGCAATCAGCAACGCCATGGGAGCGGCGGGAATCCATTCCGTTTCTGTTTATCAATATTTGTGAAGCAAGTCGATTTGGCCGTTTGGTCTGTAGTGGGAAAATTGCAACTTTCTTAGAGAAATAGAGGTTTTGCAATGCTTATTTCAGTTAAGTGAAAATAATTGAAGATGGATACATTACAGAGTTCGAAAAGTTGCTTTTTTTCTAGATAAGCTATCGCAAAATTGAGAACCAAGGAATAGATAAAAATGATGGGATTTTCAAAAGAAAATAAATTGAATATAGAAAAGCACAAAGAAGCTTTTTTAAAAGAGAGTTCGAAATTTTTCATTTTTGAGGTCAAGCCAAGCGAAAACATCAATCTTTGATACTTCAATAATCGAAAAAAAGAACCGAATCTCCACCTTAATGAACGTTTTTTTGATTAAAAAAAAGGAACTTTCGGACGGAAGAGATCGAAAAAAAATATATGATATTCAAATCAGACCTAAATTAGAATTTAGTTTTTCTATTTCCAATTTTTCCCCTCGATGTATGTTCCTCTTATTAACAAAAATTGATATGTTCCCTTAAAAATTAATTTTTTCCTGAAAACTTAGGTCTTGGTTCTAGCCCCCAGAAACTCGAATTAAAGGAAAAGCTGAAAAAACTTGGAGCTTAGGCAAAAAAAAAGTTCTGTGATGCCTGTCAAATCAGATCAAAATGACTTTTCGAAAAATTGATCCGACCATAACCTGGCAGGTCCGTAAACTGTACTTCAAGTTTTTTGTACTCGAATCAGAAATTTTACCGAACTGTGAAAAGTTCGGAAAATGGGAAAAGAAGAGAAGAAGTCTGGGAAAGCCGTCGACAGTTGCATAGCGACACGCGACGCAATCGCGAATCGAGCCCATGCCGGCTAATCGGCGGCCTCCGTTCGGTCAACACAAACAACCGGAGGACCGCCTCAGGGCATCTTTTCCACAGATCCTTGGCTTTCAGGTGATAGTAAACTTGATAGAAGATGATGCATCGGTTATGATAAGTAATTATGTAGCCAGGAATGTTGATCTCCAGTCTCTCATGCTTATTCTGTGCAATCACGGGCTCTCAGCGGGTGTAACCGTGTTAAATCCGTACAAGCACATCTTGTGGAACTTTTTAGTATAGTTGAGGCACCAAAAGCTCGGTTGGAACTCAGAATTTCGAAATAAACACCGCTGGGTTATTTTCGCTACTTGCACCAGTTGTTTCTCCGTTTTAGCACAACTGAGACTCAAATAGCTTTAAAAACACGGGTTTATTACAAGTACACCTGTTGAGACACCAGGACAACATGAAGAACAAATCATTCAAGTCTTAAAAATCATCATTTCGGTACTAAAAAAGCTCAGTTTCATTAGAAAAAGGGATCTTCAGAGAGAGTAGAACCAGAAGAAAAAATCAAAAGGACGCCAACACTGTAAAGTTTCAATTTCGCAAACATTGAGCGAGTTTCAAATTCATTTCCTAAAAAATAAGTTTCATGAAAAGCAAGAAAAACTCTTGACTCAGAAAAGAGGAAAAAAAAGACGGAGCTCATTCCAAGATTTTTCATATCACAATGCATATATATTTGCCTCATTACATAACTCATGACTGGCTAATTATGTATTTCGTTTCGCTTGGATAATTACTCATTAGTGTGTTCTATTTGTAGGAAAATAGTAGTGTCCATCATTATGCCGTGTTCAAAGTAATTTCCGCGAAATGCAAAATGGTCTCTGACTCTCCAAAATTTAGTGATCTTTTCCTTTCTCTAACGGGTATTTTGCATTTCGCGGAAATTACTTTGAACACGGCATTAAATATGATAAAGTTGAGATCATTTTCCCTCATTAAAAAGTGCAAAAAATCAGAAATGAAGGAGAATATTTGTAAATCGAAGCTAAAGAAAACGTCCTGGGAGCAAAATAATGAGTGATACAAAGAAATAGAAGAAAAAAAAACAATATAACTTCTGAAAAATATATAGAAAACTATTTTTTTGAAGGCTCAGAGTACGAAAAATGGAAAAATTATTATTTCATCAAAAAAGAATTATTTCACAACAAGATTTTTCTATTAATTTAAAATTTTTCGAGCCTCACTAAGATTGAACTGAACACGGATGACTAAATTCTCATTTTTAGCTGGATTTTTGAAAAAAATGGCTCAGAAAAATCAAAAAGAATGAGGACTAATAACTACAAAAACATTAAAAAGAAAATTTTACTTCAAAGTAAAACCTTCAAAAATTAATATATAACTCAAAAATCAAAGGAAAAGTAAACGAAAACAGGGTAGAACCTTATCCAAGTGGTCCGCCTCAAAATGCGCGAAGTCAAGCGTTTCAAACCGTTTGGCGGCGACCCAAACCCCTTGCGCCAGCCAATCGGAGGCTGAGTGAAATCACCAAAAGAATAAAAAAGTGAAAATTGGAGCAAAAATAAATAGAGTGAGGCGAGAAATTGAAAGAAAATGGGATGCGGCGGTCCGGTCAGGCGAAATGGACGAGGGAAAGTGGGGGCATCCGAAGCGACCTACTTCCGCCCACGTACATCCAAAATATTGTCGAGATCAACTCAGCTGTTCCGTCAGCTCACAAACAAATGCCGTGTTCATACTCTTTTTGAAAAGGAAATTTCGAACTCTGCAAAAAAATAGCTGTGCTGAATTAATTTATTTTTTTCACTGAAACTCTTCTTTTAAAAAAATTCAGCATGTCTGGACGAAGTTCCCACGTTGCAACTATCTAACGAGAACGTTTTTTTCCCCGGTTAAAAATTAGTTGAAACTTGGCTGAAATGTACTTTAGACCTCTTAATTAAAAAACAAGAAAAATGCTCTCAATTAATCTTGTTTCTAAATTATTAGATTTTTAAAATTTGCAAAACTCACGAATAATGGGCAAAGGGTTAACTGAGAGGTTAGAAGTTTCACAATTCGGAAAAATATCAATTGCGAGAAAAAATTTTCTTTTTCTGCAATCAGGAGGCCGTAAGTTACGCTTCAGCCGATTTTCATCAAAAGGTCAACCGGGGGGCCAAAAAACGTTCCCTTGCAAGCGGAATTTCAAATTCAAAAAATATAATTTTTTTCCATTTAGGTTTAAGCCTTAAACTTTAAGGCTGCAATAATTGAAGTAAAAGTGATAAAATTTTTTGAAAAATCCGTTTTCTAATGGTGATTCAGATTCATCAATGATCTTGGTAATATTCAAACATCCATACAAAACACCTTGGCCCCAAAGTTGTACCCTTAAACGACAAATAAATGTAGAAGACAAATATTGTACCCTTATTAACTTCCAAAAGCTCAGAATACCGTGAATGAATGATAAAAAACGTCAAAAAGTTCCTTATGTAGATGAATAAAATTTATTGAGCAGATTTTGCACATTTAAAGATTTCATTCATTAAATAACGTCTGATAAGGATTCCTAACTTGATAAAAATAGTTGTTAAAATATGCGTTAAAAAAATTCAAACTTTAAAAAAAAATTAAACATAGCGAAAATATCTTGGGAAGTCTTTTTAGTTTCATAACGAAGGATAAAAAACAGAAAGAGAATGCTTGAAACAAAATTTCGTTTCGAAAAAAAACGAAGTTTTCGAAATAACAAAAAAAATGATAAAAATTAAATTTTTTTCAAGACAAAATTTTCAAATTTCAAAAAGGGCGTCGAGTGTGCTCCAGCGATAAATTTTAACGCGGCAGTTTGAATCGTGATCGCGGTTTTTGGCAATGTTTTGATTTTTTGATTTCCTTTTTGAAATAAACGAGAGCTAACTAATCTTTGTTGTGAACTAAGAAGTCGTTAAATTCAGCCAACAACACTAATTTTTCGTATAGTTTAGAGGAAACGGGAAAGGAAAAGATCATTAGGAAGAATAATAAAGTTATAATGAGCTCCAGGGCGAGCATCAAGTCGAAGGTGGCTAACAATGGCCGAAACAAGGGATAAGCCGGTCCGGAGTGCGTAAATGACAGCCGGCGGAAGGTGAGACAGCTTGCGACCTCAATGGAGGAGCCTGAACTGGAATGCCCTCTGGATTTGCTTGTTCGACGAGAGAAAAAATAAAAATTTATAACATCCCACAAGCTATTCAATGATAAGGTGACTGAAAATTGAGCTTTTTCTGAAAAAAATGTAACACGGAAAAGGAGATTTTCTTCTTTGGCTTGGAACTTTCTGAAAATTCGCTCAAAAGTGTTCTGAAGTTCTTTGGGATTCCTCGAAGCGTGTGAGGGCCGGCCCGTCACCCTATCGAGCCCCGACCCGACCTCGGCCCAAAGAGAGCATTTTTTCAAGTTTTTTTTTCACGATAAAAATCACGTTTTTGTTTCTTTTTTTCACTTAAAATTCAACAGAAACTATGATTTAGCCGAAAAATTTTGAATAAGAATGAAAAATCTTTTCGATTTAATTATCAAAATTTTTTTCTCGAAGCATGAGCTTAAACCTGCTGCTTGAATTTTTCAAATTTCAGGGAAAAATTAAATTAAATTATAATCATGAAACCCACATTCCTCGATTTTTTTAAAATTCACTTTTTCAAAAATAAAAAGGTTCACGCAAGTAGCAACTGTGAGGGATCTTTTTCTAGACCTTCAGAGGGTTTTTGAGCAAATTTCAGATAAATACCTTGCTTGTCAGCAAAAATTAAAAGGTTTTAAATACAGGAATAATTCTTGGAAACAACCTTTCCAGCTCATTTTTATCTCAAAAAGCTCGATTCCCGGTTACCCCGTCCAAATATATCCTCAATAAGCTCCACGAAGTTTTCGGTCGGCTCCCCGTTGCTTGTAGTCGGCCTTGTGACGTTCCTTCAACTGTCGTTGCCGTCCTCCAGTGTAACTCGATGAAGAATTCGAACTATTATCGCTTGTTGTCGAATCCGTCGCCTCAGTGTTTCCACCGCCACCACGGCCTCCTTTAGGCGCACCCCGGCCTCGTCCCCGACCGCTTCCGCCTTGTTCTGAACTCTTTTCTAACAATCGGTTAAATCCTAATAATATTTGAGTTAGGAAGTTTTTAACTGTATAATCCTTTTGAAACGGTAAAGTCTTAACAATTAGTTTATTTTTTTCCGAGATTTTATGTAACTGAAAATTTTTGGTACCATATTTTTTTGAAAATGCTTACTCCTTACTTCAAGATCGGAAGAGTAAAACCAAAAAAAGACTTCAGTAATATAATCCTTTTTAAATAATAAAGTCCCATAGGTGGATTTTAGGAAACTGAACATTTCGGTATTTTTTTAAAATTCAGTTCGCTCAATGATTTTTTCTAAAACCAATAATATAACTTTTACTGATTGGAAAAACTTGTTCTGCGCCATTGAGGTTCAGACTGAGATAAGTATTTCCTTAAATTTTGAAACCCATCGAAAAAAAGTTCAAATCTAATATTTTTTTCGAACAAAAAACTTAGTCAAAAAATCTCAAGAATTTTTCTAATTTTCAAGTTTTTAACTGAAAAAAGTCTTAACAACGTAAATGGGAGCTTATTCATTTTTAAAATTTTGAACTTCTGACTGATTATAGTCAATTCACGGCTAGCTAGAGACGCAAAGGGGCGTGGCCTGTCTGCGCCCTCCACCTAATAGACACTATCTCTTTTTTTCGTGTCAAGACCTTTTTTGGATGGATCAAGACAGCTGTGATTCAAACCAGAGTAATATTCAAAAAAGGCGATACCAAGAAATCCGTTACACCGATCACTGAAGCGAATTAAAAAAAAAGAAACAAAAAACTCTTAAAATGAAGTCTATTTGAGCCGTTTTCTCTAGTGAACTCGAAATTCGGTGAAATATTCATTATTATCAAAGTATTCAGTACTCTTTGGAGTCCCTGTCTGAAATCTAGAAGCTGAGAAGTTTTGAAAGTTCAAAACCTTCTTATTTTTCAAAATCACAAAGAACTCACGAGCTCCCCTGCCCCGGCCGCCTCTCTGAGCAGCTTCTGCAGTTCCATTCCTGGTATCTGAAGTCTTCTCGTCGCCTTCTTCCTCATCCTCCTCGCTGGAAGACTCGGTCAGCTCCTCGCTAAACCCTCATTTCAGCGAAAAATCAAGGAGTTGGTCGTACTTCAAGGGCTCCACGGTGAACTCCTTGACCTCGTAGCTGTCGTCGTACTCGTCGTCGTACAACCCCCGTTTCTCGTCATCTTCATCCCGAGTCTCATATCGGTAGGCGTCGTAAGTCGGTCTGATGGCCACCTCGTCGGCCTTGGTGATCTTCAGCGAGTTCAGGGCCGAATACCTCAAGTCGAAGATCGAGAATATTCATGAGAGTCTGAAACTTTTTGGAAGTCATCATCGGGACGAGACGTTCCCCGTTTAGGCCTGCCACAGAGCTTACTGTCGCCTTGGCCAACTGATGAAGTCGTTCAATCAATTTAAGCTTCCTCTCATCCTTCAAATTGATTGGAATTACAAAAAAAAGTTGGAAACAGGTTCCATTACTTCTCTCGTCGTGCTCTGAGAGCCACCAGTTTACTTAGGAATTTCAGAGTGGTCCCTATAGAGGTAACCTTGATGGCCATTAAAGATTCCCCTCTAGGGACTACTTCACCTCCCCCACAGGGGTTGTTTTTCCTTTATAGAGACCACTCAGGATAATCACACCTTGCCTATTAAAAAAATTTACCTTATTCTAATTCATCCCATGAGTGAAACTGTGATTGAAAATAAAAAAATTTCTCAATTTATCCCTGTAAAAAGTTTTTGTTTCTTGCCTCAATTCTTTCAACCTCAATACTCCAAAATACAGAGATTTTTCTAAATTTTTTTCCTAATATTCTGAGACAGCAACACAAAATGAACTCATTTTAAATAATTGGTTAGAAAATTATAAAGTACGATTATTAATGAGTTCTCCCCTGACCTCAGTTCCATTCGAAGAAGTGCCAGCCAAACTTGAATTGCTAGTCGATTGAACAGGAGCCAGTGAGAAGAGACCCTATGAAAAAAAAATTATAAATTTCTTAGAGCTATTCAAAACCTTGAACTTATTCGGTTCTGGTTCGGTTTTCTCAACAGGTTCTTTCCGCTTGGAGGCGACGTGAGCAAATTCATCTAGAAATTTTTTCTCCTTCAAAAAAAATTTCTATGGCCCGTTTATCGCGACTTGAAAGTTTTCGAGTGTCTGTGTCTCTCTGTTCCCTCACCGGCAAGGTCAGAGAAAAAAGAAAATAGCACGTGAATAAGGGAGTGTCACCGAGAGACGAGGAGAGCGCAGAGAAGTCATACTGTTTCGAATCGCGAAAAATGGACTACACGGTCTGTTCAGGTTTTTAAATTCAAGTCTTAGCTCAAGCTCCGCCCCTAATGGAGGGATGAACCAATCAGAGAGCGAGCCATCTACAGATCGTTCGAGAATGACATCCCTGTACTTGGAATTCAAAATCTGAACAGGCTATATGGCCGTCTGCCGCGATTTGAAAGTTTTCGAGTGTCTGCGTCTCTCTGCTCGCTCACCGGCGAGGGCAGAGAAACATAAAAATAGCACGTAAACATGAGAGACGAGGAGGGCGCAGAGAAGTCTCATTCAAGTCGCAAAAAACCGACTAAAATATACCATCAAGCGAGAAGTCGACGAAAGGAAGTTCAGCCTTTTCATCCGTCGGAACGGAGCTCAAATCGCAGAGTTCGACTCTTTGAAGTTGGAGCGGAATTTCTCGGGTCAAAACAGCTTCGATGACACGTTCGGCGTCATATCCAAAGTGCCGCAGGGCTAACTTGAAGTATATTTTTGAGTCGGTTCATATTTTTTTCCAGTTTACATGAGCATATTCCGAAGAAAGATGGGGCAGAATTCCCACGACATGGTCGATCTTGGCAGAAATCTCGTCGTTGCTCTTATTATTGAGATTCTGAAAAAACGGTCCATTAGTTCAGAGATTCTCCGATTTCAAAATTAATTGGCCCTTCCAGGGATCTCTCTGGAGCTCCAGTTTTTTCCTGCCTCATTTTTGATGATTTTCCGGTGCATTCATCACAAAGCCGCCTTTCCTAATACTATAATACTCATGCGCGCAAGCCGTTTTTTGTCGGGTGCTATTCAAATGATGCGTAGGGTCATTCCAGATGCGACCAAAGTCTGCCAAGGTAAGTGAACCGTGAAAAATGACGTTTTTTTCAATTTTTCGATCTAGAAACTTCTGGAATAATTTGTTTCACCTTCAACAACCCAGAAGCCGTGAGTTCCTTGAGAGCTTTTTCCTGTGCGTCCAACTTGGCGTTTGAAATGACTTCATCCGAAAGAATCCTTTTTCCGGCTGGTTTCTGTCTCAAACTATCCACAGCTCCCAAGTCAATCAACAGAGTCAAAATTCTGGAAATCGCAAGTTTAGTTTTTTTATGAAAGCTAAAGTGGTCCCTATAGGGGTTAAGGGGGATAACAGCCCCTATAGAGGGCAAAAAAGCGCGCCATATAGGGGTTAAGGTGGTCCCTATGGGGGTTAAGGATATGACACCTAACCCCTAAAGCCACTTTTGTAAGCTCAAGTGACCCCTATAGGGGAAGGTAGAATTTTACCTAGAGGGGAACCTTCAAGGCCTCTAAGCTTGCTCCTATAGGGACCACTCTGAAGTTCCCAAGCGTGTGTCAAACCTCGGATGTTTCAGACATCGTCGAAGCGCCTCTTCACAAAAACTATCAGGCGACTTTTCGAGAACATCGACAAAAACTTGCACGATAAGTTGCTCGGTCTTTGACCTCGCTCGGTACAAATCACTGTAATTTAAAAGTAAGTTTTCGAAATTTATTTCTTTAAACGAACCCTAAAGGATACGAATCGAAGCAAAAGGCCAAATCGACCAAAGTTTTGTTATCCAAAAGATCGTAAATGGTTTCGACGAGAGATAAAGAGCTGAAAATGAAAAAAATTAATTCAAATCGAAGGGATATTTTCAAAGTCGAAAAAAAGAGATCAATTCTTGATTATTTTTGAGTGAGAAGTTGGTTTTTAAACTACTTGAATAACTTTTTCAAAAAAACACTACGAGATTTCTGAAAAATTTTTCTGACTCGAAATGTAATAAAAAAACAAGTTCAAACTGAGCAGCATTTAACTTTTTTTCGTCTATATCCTCTTAGATCATTTGCGTCTAAATTCGCATTTCTGACAAAAGGCCGCAGAAAGTTACTTAAAAATCTTCCTTTCTACAGGCCGGGAAAAAAATATACTATGAAAAAAATTTTTGAGTTTCAAAAAAGATTCACAAATTTCAAACCAATAACCACTAAAAATAATCCAAAAACGTGAAATCGTACAACAAAAACTACAAAATAATCGTGTACAAACTTCAGAATCCAATCAAACGCCAGGTCGATTCCAGCGTCCCGGAAAACTTCTTGAATCGTCGCGAGTCTTTGGAAAGTCGCAGCCGCGCTCAGAAATATATCCAGGAGCTCTTGAGCCCCTGCCGTTGAATTTTTTGAAGAAAACTCAGCCACCGAAGCTTGAAGCATCGTCTCGGCTTTCACCAAGGCCTGAAACATATTCCTTGGACTTGAAGATTCAAGAAACAACTGACGGATCCACAATCCCGCCAGGCTTCCTCTAGTTCCACTTTTTGGAAGTGTTTCGCCTTCGACAACGACTTCAAAACAGGTACCATCAAATCCTGGTGTTTGTACATAGCGGACACCAAAAAGAAGATCAAGGGGATTGGCAAGGCTTCTCGACGCTGTTTTAAGAAGACGCTCTGAAGTACTATTCATGATTCTGAAGTGTGGAATAGCTGAACCTCATCTTGAGAACAGCAAATTTGAAGAAAAACTGCTAAAAGAGCATTTTCTAGGGCCGTCGCAACGGTGGCTGTTCGTTTGTCGGAACAAAACACGGATCGATATCGAAAATCATCCGGAGGTCTGAATTGAAATATTAGGAAGGTATAGTCAAAGAAAAATTTATCGGAAAGGATGTTGAGAATCGATTTCAGAAGAACCGGCAAAGCCAGTTGAAATTTATTTTGTTCTTTTTTTTTTCAAAGAGAGAAGCTCAAAGGTGTCGCCGATGAGTCATTTCCAGGGTTAATTTTGGGATTTTTTCCGCTATCCATGCTGATATTAGGCAGGGCTGACGACGGGTCGACCCGGGTGACCCCGTGACTTAAAGCAGTAGCTCCGAGGCTACCCGACCCGAGAAGTTATAAATTAGTGAAGATGTATGAAAGTCAACAAACGAAGAGAAATGTTTATTTTGACTATATGACCGCTTCGCAGTTAGGGTAGCCCCAGGGCGCGTTGCGGTCGCCCTACCGCGGGTCTACCCGTCTGGCGGCAGAAAATCTGATATTAAGAACACAGAAAGAGATAATGAAGAGTGGATTGTCAATCTCGCTATTTTTTCATTGATGTCTCTAACTAAAATTCTATTCTTCATGAAAAGACTTCACCAGGGAACGTTTTTTACCCCCCGGTTGAAGTTTCGCTGAAACTTTGCTGAAGTGTACTTTAGGACCCCCTGATTGCAGATCAAGAAAAAAATTTCTCGCAATAGATCTTATTTCCAGTTATGAAGCTTTGAAGTGAGCAAAATACGCAAATTAGACCAAAAAAGCGCTATTTCGGGCTTCTGGAGTGTCCTTACCTGGAAAACGAGATCTTTTGCGATAAATTTTAAATTTTCATTCTGTTCTGGAATCAGGGGATCTTGAAGTACATGTCAGCGAAGTTTCAGCAAAAGTTCAACCGGGGGGTAAAAAACGTTCCTAGTCAGTGGAAAGATGCAGATTTTTAAGCTTCAAAATGTTGAGGATGAAGGGAGAGGGCAGCAAAGGACAGAGAAAAAATCAAAGTTTTTGAGAAATCTCATCTCCCAACTCACAATGGTATGTTGACAACGGCTGAGGTAAAGCTCGCGGAAAACTTTCTATCCGAAGCCAAAAGTTCTACGAGTTTCTTGGCCGGGAGCTCCAGCTTGGCCTCGATCGCCCATCGTATCGTCTCAGCCGCCGCTTTCCATTCCACCAACTCGTTAAAAGTCGGTTGCACGTACAGCGCCGGCAGCTTTTCCATCATAAAACGAAGAAGCTGAATTATTTCTTTCAAAGTAATGATAAGGACAGAAAAACAAGTTTTTTGATAAACCTCAGGCCTTCCAAGAAAAGGCTTTTGATAGGGGGAAAATGATAAGAATTTTAAAAAATGAAGATTTATCAACAATTCCAACAACAAGAGAATATAACAAAACTCAACAAGCAACAAAAATCAACGAGAAAAGGGAAACCATAGCGTAAAATCTAACATTTGTGAAATATTTCGCAACAATTATGATACTATTCTCTGAAAAAGGTACCAGTAAATGAAATGGTAATTCAAAAATAGCAAATAACGAGAAGAAAGTTGAAGAATAGATCCATTTGAAACAAAAATATTCAACAAAGTCGAGAAAGTCACTGAAAAATTATATTCTCTCGGGCAATAAACAAAACTTCGAGATAAAAACCGACAATCTCAATACCTCAAATTTAAAAAAAAGCTTCAAATTTGTTACTTTCAGAGATATCTTTTATTTCTGCCCATTTTGAGAGATTTTTCGTCGTCATCGAGCGGCGGCCACAGCAGAGTTATAGTTGAATGCAATTTTTGAGGAACCCATTCGAGATATTCTTCCAGCAAATAGTTCTCATCAAGCTCCCACTGGGCCTTGAGGGCTTTCCGGGAATGGACCTGGAAAAAAAATTTTGAAAAAAGCCAACGCGATATAAATATCTGGAATAAAAGGTTACGAAAGACAGGAAACTACGGAGTTCCTAAGAACCTTTTAGAAAACTCCGACTAACTTTTTAATGACTTTTTATAGAGGACTCAGGGCCCTTAGAAAAGATTTTATTTATTACAAAATGAAAAACTGTTGATGAAAAATCAATGCGAGCTGATCCAAATGGAAAAATTATTCGTATATTTGTTACTAATTTTTGACAAGTATATGATGTAATGTATGTAAAAAAATTGTAGAGATGAATTATCAAATAGTAAATAAATAGGAATAGTTCAAAGGTTATATTGGATTTACAATATATATTTGAAATACTTTATCCCTTATAAATTTTTTTCAACTATTTAGATGCTCTTTTTCTCAATCAAAAACGCCCTTATGTAAAAATCCGGTTATTCATGATTTGAAAATAAAAAAACTAATTAGAGATTGTGTTCAGTAAAACGGTCACGTTCCATTCGAGTTCAATTCATACTTTTTTTGAAACTTATGAAGCCTAGGAAAAGAAATAAGTTGGTACACTGTAACCGGGAAGAAAAAAATCATACTACCTCCTTGTCGACCAATCGATTCAGAAGATTTTCGGTGCGTTTTTTTGGAGTTTTGCCCAGGATCGGACCATTGTAGAAGGAGGAGCCAGATATTTCTCCACGAACGGCGCCAGCTTCTTGCAGATCTGTTTCGAAGACAAATTTCGATTGCGAGGGAGTTTATTTACTTTAATCAAATCTTTGGGAAAATAGGAAAAACAACTTGAGGTAGGCCTAAAAACCAAATCTTCGAAGTTAGACAACATCAAAACCTTAGATTTGAGGGCAAGGTTCAGAAGTATCTTAATTTCAAATTTTGGCAGAAAACCATCTCAATTTGGAGCTCAAAAAAATCATATATTATTTCAACTTGAATAATGAAATTTAGAAAATTTCTAACTATCACCAGCGGGACAGGCCCTACATACTCTCCAAGAAGCAGCTCAATGGTAGACCTCGAATTTTTAGTCCCTAACTTTATTTAAAGGCCTCGAGAGGGCTTTTCGAGCACAGATTCGATATCAACGTAAAAAACATCGTCTAGTGAGCCCAGTCTCCTTCAGAATTCCTACTGTGAGCGGAGAACATTTTTTGTTAGACATGATATCAAGAAAACAACGTGAAAATTACTGAATTTTATTTCTCATGCCACCCTATAACTTTAAAAACTAAATTTCCTAGGATATCCGTTAGGGAACTTGATAAAAAAATAGATTATTGTCAATCAAAAAATTTTCCTGCAATCTTTCAACTCCTCACCGTTCCATCCAAAAAGTAGACGGCAAAGTATCGGTACAGGAAAATATTATGCGGGATCGGTTTCTCTACCTAAATTCTGGATTTTATAGGAACTTCCGAGTTCGAACAAACATCAGGCATCGGCCAATCCAAAGGTCCGAACCAAACTTTGACGCTTCGCACAATTTCATCGCGAGATTCGTCGTATCTAATAATTATACTTTTTTTCCGGTTTTTCAAGGCAAACTTTGGCTCAATATCATCACTCATGTCGCCAAATCTACAAGAAGACTCGGCGAGACGAGAAATCCACTCGGGTTCTACGGCGCAGATCGTTTGAAGCAGCTTTTTCTCACTGATCTTAAAAAAGAAATCATTGATCTTTTCCTCTTTCAAAAAAGTAGTTTAACCTGCACAATTTCCTGATAAATGACGTATTCCGGCTCCTCGGTGTAGAGCACACTTGAGGGGTCAAGAAAAACGGGCTCCTGAGTATAAAAAATTTGATCAACTTTCAATTTTCTTTTCAGTTCGGTTGATCTGTTTTGTTAAAACTCCTATTTCCATCAGTAACCTTCCGTTTAATACGCGAAGCATATCTCTATGCATGCGCCTTTAAAATAACGGAAATGTTTAGGATAAATTAAAGGCGCATACACAGAGACATACCGCGCGCATCGAAGAGAAGGGTACTGTAAAAATTTAAAGAAACTCCTACGAGCTAGAGTACCATTTTCTTCGATGCGCGCAGCCTGTCTCTGTGCATGAGCCTTTAATTTTCAGACCTAATTCGGTTTTATTAAAGGCGCATACACAGAGGGACCGCGCGCTTCGAAGAGAAGGTTACTGTAGCTCGTACTCGGCAGGAATTATGCTCCGGGCAGACCCTATCTGGGATGTGGCCTTTAAATTTTCGATGCTTTTTCTCGCACATTCAGGGGCACAACCGAGCGCGGAGTCAGTTTATTGCGAAATGACCTCGAGAGTGGAGTTTTCAAAATTCCGAGTCAATTCAGTGCAATTTCAGGGGAGAAAGCGAGCGAAAAAAGCGAATCTAAAATCTGTAATTTTCTCAAATTCAATTCTAAAGTTTTATTTAGTAGATCTTTTGAAATTAAATAGAAACTCCTGCTATCTTAATAGCTTACTTCTCGCACCTTATTTGCGCCCAATGGGAATAGGTGAAGCCCCGTTGAGAATATTTTTCTTTCCCATGCAAGTTGAATTTCGTGGTCAGCACTGTGCAGCCTCTCCTTTCGCCCGAAAAAGACTCGAAAATGTTACGGTTTGTCACTACCACTTGCAAAGTGCAAAAGATGGGAAAAAGAGAGCAATTCTGGGGGTCGCACCGGGCCGAGGTATCTGTCGAGTAGGTGATTGGTAAAAATTTTTTTCCGAATAAGCAGGATTTTCGGTTGTCTACTAGCTCCAGTGCCCTTCTCTTCGATGCACGAGCCTGTCTCTGTGCATGTGCCTTTAATTCCGTTTTATTAAAGGCGCATGCGCACAAAAAGGCCCCGCGCATCGAAAGGAAGCTTCACAGAAGGGTCCTGTATCTCGAAGAGAACCAAAACGTGAAAAGCTGGAGCGGAATGGGCTATACATGATCAAAAATCTCGTTTCACCCATCTTTACCTTGATCAAAGTACTCTGATAAGCGCCTTTCGGAATATTTTCCTGCGCCGCCGACCTATCCACTCGTTTCGCGATTCTGTCACTGAAGCAGGCCACGAAGATCTGCCTGAAAATCGATAGAGTTCTCTTTAAAAATCGATTTTTTCAATCACTCTCTCCTACTTCAGAAGCCTACTCTAGTCATGAAAATCAGCCTTTTAATCTTTTTTTTTTCAACAGTCGATTTTCAACCTCTCAACTATTTCAACCGATCCACTATTCAAAAAAAGACTTGACTATTCAAACCTTGAGGTTGAAACCAAAAAAGTTCAAACGATAGAAAGTTCGTATGGACTTCAATGATGCCAACCTGAGAAGACGTGACTGTTCCTCGTTGGGAGGCTGAAGATTCACGTCGATGACGAGGTCTTTGTCCATCTTGTACGAGACGTTGAGGATGTTCACCAGCTGTTGCCGGAGTTTCTTGCCCTCCATCATCACTTTTGATCGGATGCCGAGCTTTTCGCATTCTTCAGGCAAATACTGAAATTATTCAGTGCTTTAAACTTTTGTGAAAAAAAGGTTTTTCAAGGCTCGGACATCAAAAATGCGGATTCATATTATATGATCTAGTAGTTTTATTCTGATGATCTGCTCAATAATCTATAATAAATTTCTAATTTTTTTCAAAAATCCCCAAAATAACCTTCAAAAATCTGTAGAAGCTTCTTAAAAAGGGTTTTTTTAAAATAAATTATTCCTAACTTTAATTTTTCAGGTTATATATATATTTTTTAATGACGTTGTAATACCTTTTTTTATAAATATGGGATAAAAAGATTATTCCAATTATAGTGGATTGCTTTGTACCGTATGGTTAGTTGAACAAAAAATTATTTTTTTTTCAAATTCATAAGTTCCTTTATTTTTTACCCATCAAACGGTATACACCATTTTTCAATATAAATTTCCCTTTCCAAATTACATTTGACGAGAAAAACCCAAAAAACCGACTTTGGCCTGTTCAGCAGCATGCGCGGCGTGCATCAGAACCTTCACGTCGCCCAGACGTTTCGAAGTGTTCTTAAAATATAAAATTCCTATTTTCCAATGAAAATTCCCTTACATTAGAACACCACTGCTTCCTCTGTTTCAGGACATTTTTCATGAGTTCCTTAGTTTCTTCCGGGGTTTTCCCGCGGAGCGACGCGACGTTCAGAAGAGGTTCTCGAACTGAAAAAGAGGATAGGACACGGAAATCATTGTGTCCTTACTGGAAAGAAGAGAAACGAGGGAGACGGCGTGTTTCATGAGGTCGTGCTCGCAGGCCATCAGGATGAACTTGGCGTAGGCCGGAGCCAGCGGAAGGACGGACATGGCCTTGCCGAGTCTCGTGATCCGCGCCTCCGTCTTCCCGTTGACGCTGCTCTCAGCCAGGGCGCCCAGTTTCACGAGCCTTCTTTCTGCCGCCAGGAGGGTCTCTTCGTTCGGCGCCGATGGGAACGGGAAATTCACCACCTGTTGAAATGATCAATCAACGCGCTGACACGGAAAGTGATCATAAAAGGGAACATTTAGATTAAAGTTGGCTGAAATTTATTCTAGTTTCTCCTTATAAGATAATTTTTTTCAGTCCTCAATTGAATTTTCGATTAAATTGTAGTGTCCACCATTCATACCTAGTGAGACCAAAACCTTGACAATATTCATGAACTTGAGATGAAGAACGAGCTGATCCGAAGGTTTTGTCAGGATTTCCGGCTCGGAGAACTTCAAAAAGTCTTGATAGACAGCAGAGGAGAACAACCTCAACAATTTATTATTGTCTTCCCCAAAATACTCTATTTTTTCATAGCTGCTTTTTCCAGTGCCTTTGAAATAGGCCATCAATGTTTCCTTCCAAACTTTTAAGAACAGACTTTGTCCCAAAAAAGACTTACTGACTTGCGAGAAGCTGGAAAACAAATAGGGTGTAAAGACAACTTTAAAATCCTAACAATTTAGGAAGACTTAAGGGACGGCTTTTTGAAAAGGGCGGCTCATTAATGGCTCGCGCAAAAGTCTGCCTCAACCCAAAACTGACCGATAGGCATGGCCAGCAGCGACGCGACCAGCTCGTCCGGCTCTCTGATCGGCCGACGCCTGCGAGATGCGACAGACGGCGAATCGCGAAACTCCGGTCGTCGCGTCGAAGAGCCGTCGCTTCTCGAAGCCTCCATCCATCACATATCTTCAAGAAAAAAGAGGCGTGATAGATTTATTTTTCCGATTTTAAAGGCGATTGGCAAGGAGGACTTGTTGCGTGCGTGATCTCGGAAAAAAAGTCCGGATGATCAGAAAATGGTAAGTTGAAAGCTGAAGATGCAAAAAAATCTCAAAAAGACGATCATTACTTCTTCTAAACTTATAAAAAAACTCGAGAAAATGTGAAAATAAGAGAGAGACAGCAGAGATAATAAAAAAATAACTGTGAAACTGCGCGAGAAGCAGTAACTTTTTCTACTTTTTAGGAACATTTTTCCTAGCGAAAAAAAGATAGTTTTTCCAGTAATTTTTAATATTTTTTTAATGGTTTTTGGAAATTTGTAGGAATAGAAGTACGAAAAAAACTTTTTTTCCAAAAATTTTTTCCGCGACAATTTTATGATCAGAGTTTCTGAGTACAAGAGTCACCCTTGCAAAATTTTTTTCCGATTCCGGAAGAATATTTCCACATTTTTAAATTATTCATAATATTTACTTGACGCCCGGGATGGTCAACGACGTCTCGGCGACATTCGTGGCGACGACGCAGAGCCGCATTCCCTCGGGAGGCGGATCGAAGACTCTTCTCTGTTTCTTGGTGGACAGCAGCGAGAACAGGGGCAAGCAGTACAGTGGGGCGCAGTCCGTTGGCGGAGGTCCCAATTTCGTTTCTTCGGCTTCTTTTTCCTCGTCCAGCTCCTCTTCGTCCTCCTCCTGATAGTCATCGAAGCATTCGCCAACGCCTCGTTCGTCCAGCTCATGGGTCTCGTAGGCTTTGTTCTCAGGCTCCTGAAAACTGACAATAATGTAGTTTATTCGGGGACTCTTTTGGAATCATTGGAGCTTGGTAACGCGAATTGGACGCGTCGGGGCGTTTCTAGTGGCCCCTTTAGTAGCGCTAAAAAGGTGCGAGTATTTATAGAGACTAAATTTTAACTGCACCTTTTGAGGACTCAAAAAATAGTTATTTCAAAGGTGAAATACTAACAAACATTCTCGTTTTCGGAAAGGTCCTTTTTTTCGAAAAAATTCTTGGAAAGGTTCAAATTTGGCCCGAACTTTTGCAAAAAACCCAATAAAGTGCCACGAAAAAACACCAGGCTCAAGCGACTTTTTTTCATTTCAAGTTAGAAAGGAACCATTTTTTTCGTTTCGAGCTGAAAATTTTTGGAAAATTTTTAGTTTTTAAAATTTTCGATTTTTTTCATATTATAATGACGTCATATTACAAAAAGAAAGGTTTCATTTTAATGAAATTTCTGTCCGCAAATCCCTGTTTCAAAACATTTTCAAACATAACTTCAGAGCTAGGTATGTTAATTCAGTTTTTTTATACAACAATTTTTGAAAATTAAAAATTTAGAGTAACCGTGACCTTTTACAGTTTAAAAAAAATGGACATTTTTTGCCTAAGTCGTTATTTTTCACTTCTGAGTAACAGACCAAAAATGGGCAAAAATGAATTTTTAATTCGCAGAAGAACTGATGATCCCCCTCAGTACAAGAGTAAGTACAATTTTTTTCGGATTCTAATGGTGGAATTCTGTATTTTTCCTCTGCAAATAAGGTTTTTTTCGACAGTAAGTAGGCGAAATAAGAGGATTCTAACCGTAGAAAAAAACAAGAAAAAAAATTTTTTAGACTTTGAAAAAAACGCTAAAAAAACTGTACATTTTTGACACAGGCGGGTCCGCTAAAAAATCGAAAATTCATATTTTTTCCGCACCTCCTCTTCGGCGAAGTCCTCGAGTTTGATGTTCTTCAGCTGCTGGGCCTCCTTTTCCTTCCATCTTCTGGTTCCTTTGACGAAAGTCTCGCCGGACTTGTCCTTCTCGTAGACGATCGGGTACCGTTTCTTCAGTTTCGACATTAAATCTCGGACTTCGTTCTGGCCGGTCACGAAAATCAGAATGGCGCCGTTTGGGAGTGTTTCGTGGATTCGGCATGCCTTGAAAGGGATATTACTGTTCTCTTATGATTTTTGATTTGAACCAACTTTTCGAAAAGCCAACGGCAAATAGTTCTGAGGAGTTTTCTTCTCGAAATGGACTGTTACGGGGAACTGGCGAGCGTCGACTTTGATGATTTTCGGCCGGATTATTGGAAATAGTCTGGAAGCAGTTACCCAATCATATAATATGATCAGCATAAGTTTCATACTTATTTATTTTTTTGATGAAAAAAATTTGAAACATGAATATGATATAATAAGAAAGTGAAAAATTTTTTTACATCGCTAACGGCAAATTTTTCCTTTTTCTCATGAAAAAAATTTGAAAATCTAATTTTCTTCTGAAAAATCTGTTTGAGACTTCGCACAAAAGATATAATAATGATGGATTTGGGCAAAGGATGTTAAAAAGTCTTATTATTTTTCTCTCAAGTTGTTAAATTCTCAAAATACAAAAATATGAAAACTAACAATTAACGAAGGAAAAAAAAATACATAATTACTCAAAAACGACTTCAATTTTTTTCATTATATTCTGGAAATGCCAAGATTTTCACATTAAAAAAATGCAGGTGTCTTTTTGGATCTTCAAACCATCATTTCACCTTCACTAAATCGAGAAATCTGTCTATTTTGAACTAAATTTTCCTGGGGAAAAGCTGTAATTTTCAATGAAGTTTTTCCCAATTTCCACGCTACAAAGTCTGAAAATCAACTGACTTTTGATGAGTAAAATCGGTAAGACGAAGGGTGGCCGACATGATGACGAGTCGGAGAGGTTTTTCGGTTTTGGCCCTCAGGGGAACGATTCGGGAGAGCATTCCGATGAGAACATCGCTGTACATTGACCTTTCGTGAGCTTCGTCGATCAGAATCACGGAATATCTAGGAAAAAATTCATTATTTATGAAAAAATAGAGATTTTTGAGTAAGAAAAATTTCCGGTATCATTCAAATCATGACAAAAAATGTTTTTGAATTGCAAAAAAAATAACTGTAGCTTGACAATGAAGAGCGATTAAAACAAAACTTCAATTTAATTTCCTCACCTATTCCATGAAAGGCTTATAACGGTAAAGAAAAAAATAAATGAAACTATCTCAGATTTTTTTCAAAAAAATAAAATAACGGGATCTAAAATTCTTTACCTTCTTTGAGAAACCTTTCACAAATTACATTCAAGAAAAACTCGACTTTCCTATTTTAAAATAACTATTCGAGTTTGAAAATCAATTTTCCAATTTCTTTGATGAAAAGCTTGACTAGGTTTTTCTCAGTACTTTTTGAGCATAATATCTTTTTCCATCTCTTTCAGAAGAACACCGTCGGTCATGAAAAGAATTCGAGTAGATTCCGACCTTGAACCTTCGTATCGGATCTGAAAAACATTTCTTTGAAAAATTGGAGAAATCCGCCTAGTTTGAACACTTATACTTCTGGAAAAAAAGCCTTTTAAACAGTTAAACTATTGAATTCATCTAAAACTTCATGCCAAGTTGAAAATTTCACCTGATAAGCCACTTCTGAAGGTCTTCCGAGCTCGAATCCAACACGTTCGGCCATCGAAATGGCGGCGACCCTTAATTTTAAAATCTTCTTCTTCTCAAAAGATTCACTTTCAACCAAAATTTCTTGCGAATTCCATTTTTTTTTTCACATTTTCCAATTTTTCTGTTACATCGGTACTACGACAAGTGCAAATTTTCCACTTCCACGCTTTCTTTTTAAGGTTTTCTGATTTTTAACCTAATTTTTAATAGTTTATAATCCGTTTTGATAAAGTTCAAAAACCAAAATAAAAAAACCCGCTTCGTAGAACGGCTATCAATACGCACAAAATAAAAAGGTTTTTTTATAAATTTATTTCACGAAAGTGGAGTTTTTCTACTTTTTTTCATATATTCAAAGTATTAGCCTATTCATCGCTGAAATCTCATAACTTTTTGATTTTATCGCAGCTTTTTTTCTCTCAAAAACCCTCTTTCATATAAATCCTACACAATTTACCTTCTCGGCTCCGTGATTCCAATCAATTCTCCATCATTGGCATATCCGGCTTCGTACAAAAATTGAGGGATTTGTGTCGTTTTTCCGGATCCGGTTTCTCCGCACACAACTGTGACCTAAAATTAAGATGATCCTAATTATAAAATCATAAATTAGAAAAATAGGCTAAAAAGATCAAGTAAAATATATAATATAGTTCGAACTCAATAAGAACGAGAAAAAAATTTTTAAAAAACTTTTTTTGAAGAACTGTACAGATTTTGAAATGAAGGAATTCCTAGAAAAAAATTACTCTGTTAAATTTTTTCTCATTTAATAAATATTTTTATTGATTTTGAATCTTCCTTTCACCATATTTTATGATTTTCTTTTAAATTTTTTTCAAAAAAACAAATAAATCAATTTTTTTCCCCAAAAATCTTAGAATCCAATACGTACTGTGTAACGCCCTCTTGATTTACCATTTCTATTGTCTCTAAATGAATTTTCAAAATATTATATGCTTCAGTTGCTAATTCCTTTCAAAAAGCCTTTCATTTTGAAAAACTAAAACGTCAAAATGATGTACTCATGAATGCTTTCACAAAGAGTTTTTGCTCACCGAATTCTCATTGATAGCCTCGACGATCTGCATTTCCTCAGCGAAAATCGGAAGCTCGGCCCGAGATTTCTGAATATTTTCGTCGCGAGAAACCAGAACATGTTTCCGTTGTACAACGGTTGTTGTTGGCTGCTGAATTCGATGTATTTTTCGGGAAATACTTCTGAAAAACCGTCTGAATTTCCTCCTCGTCGGAAAGTTCTTCTCGCTTTATTTCTTCCTCCGTAATGGCTCCAACGTCTTCGTCTTCTTGTTCATCTTCTTCCACGACTTCCACCTCGGCATTTTCAACTTCTATCCTCTCGATGACGTCTTTCTCATCCGTGTCAACGTCGGCTTCGCTTCCAGAAGTCGTCGCTTCTTCATCATCCGTCGGATAGTAGTGATCATCTACTTTCGGGCCTTTCAGTCTTTCTTCCGCGTTCTTCCCCTTAAAGACTTTCATCTTATGGGCGAAAACGGCTTCTCTGAACGAATAAATATATCAAATTCTGCATTAAATTGAAATATTACTTCTCCTTATCAGCCACATGAGAACTGGAGCTGAGTTGACTCAATTTCGAGCTATCCAATTGATATTCAGCCAAGCCTTTGAACAAATCTTCTTGCTTAAAAAATAAAATTATTCAGAATGAAAAAGGCTATCCCACAGTTTGCTTCAAAGCTTTCCTCGCTTGGACCGCCGCCAACTGTCTTCGGGCCTTTTTCGTCAATTTAGCCTGTTGTTTCTCTTGCGCGAAGTTTCTTTTTCGCTTTCCTCCCGCTTTTGTTTCACCTTTCTTAGCCTCTGACGCTTCAGAACGACCTTTTCCTAAAATATCAACAAAATTCGAAAGATTTTCAAATGAAAAAGAAACCTTTAGCTATAATAAGGTCGTTCGGTTGATCACATGTTCGATAACTGTCACCATCGTCCATAGTTCTCAAATATAACTTGGATTAGTAAAATATAATTGTTTCAACATAAAAAGTGAAAACTCTTGAAAAACTAAATTTTGGGCAAAACTTCAAGGGCGCCGTAAATCCACAACAATGGGGCGCAGACACCGCAGCCGCAGCGTACAGAAAAAGAGAACTACCGTAAGCGGAAAAAGAAACAAACATCTCGGAATGAAAGAAAGATTTAGCGCTACAAAGACAAGCATTTTTCTTATTGGGGAATAAAAAAATCATAAAAAAAGTCAAAATTTTATTAATCTCTCCTTTAATTCTATTTATATATCAAAAATGGCATGAAAGTAAATACCAAAAACTTAGAATTCCTATGAAAAATCATGCTGCCCAGTCTAATATTGTTATTACTCGTCCTTTCGTAATTTACTAATTTACATTCAGAAAATCTATCAATTAACTGATAAGAAGATTTGGAGTCGTGGTTCAATCTATATTAAAGTGCGTTATCAGCGCGTCTCGGCTTCTTATCGAAAAAGAATGGCAAAAAAATTGAAACGAAGCATTTGCAACAATGTCGGTCTCGTCGTACAGCACAAGTCACGGCAATGAGTTGCTACCACTCGGCGGATCCAGGTCAGGATTAATAATGGGACTATTTTTCGAACATGCTTGGAATAGAAGTGTTTTATTTTCAATTTTAGACTTCCAACGATGCAAGAAATGTTCGCATCTCGAGTTAGAGACCGTTCATCAATAAGTGCCGACCAAGCCCTGATCCACATGATTAAGGTTGCCTAATTTAAAATAATACTTTAAGAAATCTGAAGTTAAGGTTATGATGGGAACAGGAATGCTGTCCTTACCTTTGGCTTTCAAGCATTCCGGCCTGTGGGTGAGTTAGAAATCTTCTTTTTTTCAAATAAAATAGAGAAACTTTCTCTTTTTTATTCAAAGATAATTACAGCTAGGTCTCGTTCTTCTTGCCTTGATTTGCATGATATGTATCTACTGCACTCGACAATTAATCTATGGACAGCATTATATCACATATATGTAGGTTCCTTTTTTTAAAAATTTCAATTAAAAAAATTGATATTCATGAGCAAACATTTCAGGAAAAAGCGAACAGAGAATGGATTACGCTAATGTTATGCGATGTGCTGTTGAACTTGGACCATCTTGGATTCGCGGCCATGGATATTTTTTTCAAGTTAGATTTTTAAATCAGAGTTTATTATCAAAAAAACAGACAAGCAGTGAATTTGAACATGTTCGTTGCCCAGCTAGGTTTCTGTTGCGTCTATTTTTGTCTTCATGGCCGATAACTTGAAACAAGTGAGTTGCTTGGAAAAAAATAGTAAAAACGGAATTTTTCCAAAGGACTCTTCGTTAATCATTTCGTGATATTTTTTTCACGCTCTTATGGTTATTATTGATCAAAAAAATTACTTCAAATGAAAAATAAGGAACTGAAACCATTGTAAAAGATAGAAAAATCCAAAGATAGAAAAAAAGAAAATTTACGAAAAAGTTTTGAGAAAATTTCTTGAAGTGCGCTCCATGGGAAAAAAATTAAGGGAGCTTCGGAATATCTTTCTAAATTGTATGCAATTTTTTATTGATATATCCAGATCTCGTGTTCGAAATGGATCAAAATAGCCGTCAGAGAAAGAAAAAGATAAATAAATTTTGATGAGACAGAAATTAATTTGAATTTAGTGGACTGCATCTCGCTTTATTTAATTGAATTTAGAAAAAAAATTCAGTTTTTCGACCAAACATCAAGCATCCATATTTCGCAAGCTGGTTGGATTGGGTTATTACTGATCCCAATTGCAGCACTATGCACGATCCGGGAGCTCAAGGTAATTATAGAAAGCTTGTTATTTTTCTGAATTCCAAAACTTCTCAGGCCCTGGCTCCTCTAGCTGCCGCTGCCAATCTTATCTACCTGATCGCCGTCGTCATCGTTCTTCAAGATCTCTTCTCATCATGGTAGTTTTTCAAACTTATGAAAAAAGAGTTTTCAATTTTAGGCATTCCTACGACTCTTTGCCCGCCATCGGAAATTGGCAATCGCTTCCGCTTTTCTTCGGAACTGTTATGTTCGCCTTTGAAGGTGTTGCTGTGGTAGTAATTTCTTATAATTTCTCAGAAGAGAGAAAAAATTGAGGTTTTACCCATCGAGAACCAAATGAATGAGCCGATCCATTTCATCACTCCGAATGGAGTTCTCAACACCTCCTGCTTTGTCGTTCTGTTTCTATACATGACTGTTGGGTAAAAAACATTTGAAAACTAAAAAAAAGCGTTTTTTTTTCAGCTTTTTCGGCTACCTACGGTACGGGAATGATATCAAAGACACGCTGACGCTGAACTTGCCGCAAACGACGTTAGTTTGGAAATTTTGAAATTAGATTCGATTAAAATGATTGGAAGATTTTCGCACTTCCGGTCAGTTCTCTAAAGATTTTTTCTCCAAAACTTTTCCATTATGGAATAAACTTACCTCTAGAATAAATTTTAACGTCTCTACGGATGCGCTACGGGTTAAACTTAATGATCTCCCTAACTCTGCCTTTTTCGAACCCATTCCTTCCCGTTTGCTCTGACTCCTTTTCTATCCCCGGGTCATAGTCTACTCGTTAGGGTGGACTAATTCCCGTTTTGGTTATTCTGCTGCTTTCGTATTCTGAACTATTTTATTTATTATTTTCCAACAGTATGCAGTGAATAAACCTATTATTAATTGCGAAGTTTTGTGAAAAAGAAATGATAAGCTTACATTAATTTCTTAAAAATTGAGCTTCTTACTAGAAATTTTTCTACAGTTCATATGTCTGTAATACAGAGGAAAAAGTTAAATTTGAAGAAGTGATTTCTTTTTTTATTAATTTATGAGGACGTACAAAAAAACTGCCGCATTTTGTAAACGCCCGAACTTTATAGTTTTCGAAACTCATAAAAATTACAACTTTTCGTTCTTATGATTCACATACATGTATGAACCAAGAAACTTAGATAAAATAATTTTTTTGAAAAATCCTTTTTCCTCTGCAAAATTTAAGTGAGAATTGATTCAGACGTTGAGTGAATTTTTTTTCGAAGGTTTTAGCGAAAAATTTTTGAAAAATGGCTACAGTAACCTGTTTCGGTTCTGTGAAGTTTTTTTGAGGGATTTATGGATTTTCTACTCTAGAAGATGCCTTTTTTTCTGGCAAGATTTTTTTAAAAAAAGGATTTTTTAATTGAAACATCTGACCAGGAAGTAGAAATACTCAACTTCTAGTAAACTGGCACAGATGTCTGAGTTTCGCATTTCACTTGGTTTTTTTAAAAAGTGTAATATTCGAAAACTTTCAGAATATTTTTTCCTCATTTCGCTAACCGAGATTTCAAGATACCTTTACTGTTTCAAAAAAAGTTTTTATATATGGTGAGAAACTGAATTTTTTTGATAAAAGGTTAGATTTCTACCTGGAAAAAAATTAGAGAAGGATCAAATAATTAGAAAAAGATAGGGTCGCAGGTCGGTTCCCGGTCCGTATCCAGCCCCAATTTTTCGAGTTTCAAATTTTTAGGCCAAATGATCATAATTACGGGTGATAACAGATTTTTTTGATTATTTTTATCAAAGATTTTGAAGTTTGTGACAGAAAAAGTGCAAAAA